GTTGGTCATCTCTTTCGTTTTGACTTTAGTCATTCTCCAATTATTAGTCTACGAAGCAAGCATGCATGCATGGTGGAATAATTTCCTCTTATAATTAAAAGTTACTATATATTTCTGAATGGGGCTCTACGGTTAATTAATTAGCTTGGAATAAGGTCATTTCGGAAGGAAAATTGAATTATTAATTTCCACAAGTTCAGCAGAGGTCTTTGACGGACAGAAATTTCTTTCCAAGGCATTAATTCTAGTACACTTTTTTTTGCAAAGGACAAATTAACTCAGACTTGAATATGGTAGACCTAGCAAAAAGTGGCGAGCCATAATAAGCTTTACTATTACCTCCGTCCCACAAAAATAGTTCGCATTGAGTTCTGAGATTTGTATAAGTTTTAAGCTTTACTATTACCTTTGACCCACAAAAATAGTCTATATTGAGTTTTAAGATTTGTACTAGTTTTAGTACAAATTTGAAAATTCAATGTAGACTATTTTTGTTGGACGGAAGGAGTATAATTTATGTACGAGTGGTTGGAGCATTTAAAGAGTAAGAGATATCGGGAGCTGCAAGCTGAGAGATTTTTAACAAATCAATCTTGAGAGAGAAAACTTCTTCGCGACTTTTGCTTAGAGAACGGATGCAAATTGCATGCCTTAAATTAGAGGACTTCAAGAACTGTCAACTTCAAGTTGGTTGCACACATGACAATGGAGGGAGTGCATGTTCCTCTTAGTAAAGGCATCCAATTGCCTTCGTTTGCAAATAAAAAATAAAATAAAAAAAAAAGTAACGGATCCATCTAATCATGGACAATAATTTCAGGATAATGAGATTATATAATGAACGGAGGGGAAGAGAACTATGTAATGTACAACTTCAGAGATGTGAACGTAATTTTAAGAAGGTACATTAATTGAGACTTTGTTGAGAACTTGCATGCATGAGTTAGATAGAGCTGCTTCATTGGATGAATCTTTTCCTAATGTGATCTTCACGTAATTTGGCAGTAAGAAATGAATAATAAAAATCCATCCTGTCCTCTACGATGATTAAAGACCTTCGTGATACGTGTATGGTGTAAATGAAAAAAATATCAAGGAAGAAAATGCTCGGAAATTTGTGAAAAATGGTACCAAAGGTTGACAATGCACGGATCAAGGACCATATGTTTCAATTAAGTAAGTATTAAAAAGGAACAAATTAATAAAAATTGCAAGGTAGGTAGTGAAATCTAACGTCACAGTTGTATTTAATAACGATTACCATAGAATACACCTCAAGTACGCTACTTCCTACTGTCACAAGAAGGATTAGTGGCAACAATATGTTGTAGTCCAATATGTGTCTTCAAATTAAGCTGCTGATTAGTTAGAGATATCTCCGCTTCATATTCATAGGGTTAAGACTTTATAGTTGTTTGGACAATGATTCAACTGGCTCCATACTAAGAAACGTGGTAGTAGTAGCATATCATGAAAATGAACGATGCAATTAATCAACTTCACAGATTTTTTTATTTTTTTTTGGCTGCTTCGGCTAAGATAACCTAAGCTATAAGCGAATGATCGAGGTATATCAATTGCTTTCAAACGGGGAATTCATGATAAAAAAAAAACACAAGTCGGTCACTATTTGGTACCAAAGATTGACTTCATGTCGAGATTAAGGACCATTTGTAGTTAATGATGAGATAGATGGCCAAAATAGAATCAGTTCTCTAGCTACCAAGAAAAGGAAAGGGAAGATATGTCGCTCTTTCCGTCTTGAAATGAAATTTCGATTTAATTTTTCATTTATATTAAAAATAAAAATTGAAACAAGACAATTATTTTTTGTTTGATACAAAAATATGACAATTATTTTATCACACCTAGGAATCAAGTAAGTCACTCGAAGTACATATACATATGTTTTTACAAGTTTGTCGTGTTGGCAAGATAATATGTATACCTGATAATGTAATTATTGAAATAGTTATCTAACGTAGACACAATTAAATTTAATTTATGCATTATTTTGGGACAAGAATATATTTGGATCATACGGATTTCACCATTAGGAATATAGTCAAATATGATTGGGGGGGGGGGGGGTTAAATGGATGGTGTAAACGAAGTTCGGGACATAATGAACTAGGGCAACAAAAGTTGAGCTTCCATATGCGACCACTCCCATTGTACGTATCCACATGTGTGATAAATTGAATCAATCTGAAACGCACCGATTATGTAAGTCGTAGAGAAGGAATATATCATGAGACTGGAGGATTATTTTGATCCATAATCACAGTCATCTATATTGAAAAATGTGTCGTTGAAGGCGAAAAACTAACGGTAAAAGTAGGAACAGTGGTTGATGTATCAAGCTGTGGACATATTTCAAATACTATTCGTACGTTGGAATTTCTGTATTCCATGCATCAGTCTCTCTTTATCTCTCTCTCTTTGTTTCTTTATTAATTACTTTCATTTTCCTTCTGTGTTCCAAATGTGTGAACAGTTGGATGAAGAGGGATAATCTTCACAGTTACATGATGTAATTGATGATTGATTGAACACCTTCCCTTTTGGCTAGTTTTACTGTTTCGGACAATGATACCAAAGTGCTGGTAGCTGAAGCTTCGGAGTGAAGCTGCGCTGAAACAAAAATTATATACACAAATGGTAACAAAATTGACTCGAAATCTGAAACTGCAGTTCCATGAAAAGTGGCAACTAGTATAGTTTTCTAATTTTTGTGGCAAATTTGAACGCACTTAATATGTCTTTTTGGATCCTTACTGCCTTAATCAATCTCCAAAATTGGCAAATCAGTTACATTTTGCATGGATGACAGCAGGGTGTAGCTCTTCCTGCAAAATCTATTAATAAACGTTTCCAGTAAAACACGGTGTGAATGTTTAATTCAATATATTTACTATAAATTATATATGGGACAAAACTATTACTGTTACATTTATTATACTTCAAACAATTACTCCCTCTATTTCAATTTGTAGGTCGTTTTAGATTTGGAGAGATTTTTCAAAATATATGTCGTTTTACAAATTTTAAGCAAATTAATGACTATTTTTTCAATTTTACCCTCAATAAATGATGCCAACTTATTTTCATTTAGTCATGTTTATAATTCTAATATAATTAATGAGGGGTAAAATAGATACTTAACACATAAATTAATTATTTGATGATTGACTCCTTAGTTTACGTGCAAAGACTAAAGTGATCTACATTTTGAAATGGAGGGAATATGTGTTAGTAGCGCCGTGCTTAGAATTGAAAGCAATGAATGTAGTCTCTTTTTTTTTATCCAACTTAAAAGTCATAAATTTAAAATGAATTTAGTTGTATATTTTACGTCTTCAAAATATTAGCGTGGAAGAAGCAACAGTTAGTAATAATATGCAAGTTATTTTGACAATAAATCGAAATGGACTTGGACGTACGGAGTTAATATGACTTAGGGGTAGGGGGCAGATAATTTCTAGTCAAATAATTGCATCATCATGCAGCAAAAAAGCATAAGATTGTGGGCGTATTGTGTCTTACGAATAACTTTTGTTGCTGAGATATATGATAACGTCATATCAATAAACTCACGCCCTCTGAAAGTTCGTCTTTCAATTTTGTTGATATCGTTATTATTGTTTAACACCACCGGCACCCCTTATCATGTTGATGTTTGCGTTAACTTTTCTTTTTCTTTTCTCCTTTGGTGCTAAATACCAACTCCGGTCCTTATCATAAGACATTTTGATTTCGTCTTAGGTTTCATCTCGAATATTTTTTAATCGAAATAAAAAACTTAAAAATATTTCATAATAATTAGAAGAACGCAATGAATGTAAATATATTTTTAAGATTCTTTTCCAATTAAAAACTCATCTTTAGTGAAATTTAGGACGAAATCAAAATGTCTTATAAGAAGGACCGAAGGGAGTACTAATTAAACATATCAATAAAGCGTAGCCAACATTATTTCCTGATGGGGACATCCATAAAAGTCTTATATTTGATTTTTATAATCATATTAATTAGCTCACTGCTGATGACTCAAAATTGCCCCAAGTCTCCCCAGACATTGGCAAAGTCATAATAAGTTCAGTCTGCAAAGAAAAACTCAATGATAATCCATTAACTATTTATCATAATCAAATGGAAATCAGTTCTGAATTCGTGTTCATTCGCTGCATATCATAGTTACGTAGCAAGAAAGAGCCGTCTATTATTTTTAATTGTTATTTTCATGACCAAAACAGTGTAATAATGTAACAACAATCAAATCTATGCATCGTATGGATTATTCAATATATCATTATGTCATATGTGATTAAACTTTTGACACTGTCGAATGATTGATCTGCATGGGAACATAGATCAGGGAAATGCACTATTTATAGTCATTCTGGTTTGGTTGCCAAGAAATGCATGTAGCTCGATTGTTACCAAGTAGCACAAAATAGACCTTAGACCGTTAAAGAATATTGGACGCGTTCAAATAGTCAATTATTACAATAATATGAGAACCAGGACATCCGAATTAGTCCAACGTCACACATGCTATGGAAAAAAGCGTCATGGTCAACTTTTACCCTCCCCCGAGTGAAGTCCCAACTCACAATTAGTTAATTAACAAACTTAAAAAACTAATTAAACAACACAACATGATCAATCACCGAATCACCACCACCTTGATTCATTAAAAATTTTATAACACTCAAAAATTGATAAGAGTCAAGTAATTAAGTATTATCGTTCATACGTATCTCAATAAAATTTCGAGTTCAAATATATGTATGAAAACAACAAATTGTAAGTAAGTATTTTCTTCTTCTTCTGAAATAAATCATTCTAAATAAACAGTAAACTTAATTTGAATGTGATATGCTTCCGTTTAAAATGAGATTAAACTTACGTGTCGTAACGGAACAATAATAATAAAGTAACTATACAACACCTGAACTTCCCCTCCACTTCTTCCTTCCTCTATATATACTCCCACACCGCTCTCATTTCTTCTCCAACTCCAATTTCCATTCTACTTCGCCACTTCCTCAAACCAAAACCTCTTTGCCTACAATAAAGAAAACCAAATCAAAACAGCCAACCTGATAAAACATACCTGCACATTTTGCAGACACAAACACATTGATATCCAGAACACAACAGGAACAAGAGTTTCTTATAATCACAGTTGAACCATTTTTCCGTTAAGAACTCTCAAATTTTCTATCCATTTGAAAGAAAAAGTATGCCAAGGAAAGGAATGAGAAGTCTGTTATTTTCTCCAAGATCACCTATATCATCATCATCATCATCATCCTCCCCTAGGTCCAATTTCTCCTCAACCACATTTTCGCCGTCGAGGCCGAGTTTTGCTGAGTCGGTGATGGACAGAACACTACAATTAGCTGAGCCAATGATCTTGAAATGGGATCCGGAAGCCACCAATTTCGCCAGAGTCACTTCACTTTTTTATGAGAATCGGCGGGAAGCAAGAGACTTCATGAAGCAAGTGAAGAACATACACAGAGCCATGCAGCTTCTGGTCACGGAGAATTCCTTTTCCCAGAAACTCATCCGGGCACAGAGTCTCATGCAAATTGCCATGAAGAGACTTCAGAAGGAGTTTTACCAAATCCTCTCAATGAACAGAGCCCATTTAGACCCTGAATCCATTTCCACTCGATCCTCTAGCACGTCAATTCCTTCTATCTATTCTGATTACGAAGATAACTATGAAGAGGACGAGGATGACTCCGACGAGATTTGTCTCGCCGGCGAATCCATTGCAGAAGTTGAGGATGTCTCGATTTTGGCTATGGCGGATTTGAAAACCATAGCAGAGTGCATGATTTCTGTCGGCTATGCCAAGGAGTGTGTTAACATTTACAAGATAATTCGCAAATCCATAATCGATGAAGGAATCTATAAACTTGGGGTCGAACAATTAAGCCCTTCCTTCGTTCGGAAGATGGATTGGGAAGCAATGGATGTGAGGATTAAGAGATGGCTTGACGCCGTGAAGATCGCCGTCAACACCCTGTTCAAAGGGGAGCGAATCCTTTCCGACCACGTGTTTGCCTCGTCGGAATCCATCAGAGAGTCGGTCTTCGCCGAAATTTCTAAAGACGGAGCCTTAATTCTTTACGGGTTCCCGGAAAACATTGCCAAAAACAGCAAGAAGTCGCCGGAAAAAGTGTTCCGTTTCCTCGACATATGCACAGCCATCTCCAATCACTGGCCGGAGATGGAGTCCACCTTCTCCTACGAATCCAGTACACCCGTTCGATCTCAGGCCATCACGTCTTTGGCCAGAATTGGAGAATACATTCGGACTGCAATCACGGACTTGGAATCGACGATTCAGAAGGAAAATTCAAAATCAACCGTCGCCGGCGGCGGAATCCACTCACTCACAATCGAATGGATGAATCACCTCTCCCTCCTTGCCGATTACAGCAAGGTCATCGCCGACATATTACCGAATTCTCCGGGGCTCTCGGACTCCGAGGACGGATCTCCGGCGATCTCCCGGAAGTTCGATTACCTCATCCTGTTGCTGCTGGCCAAAATCGACAGCAAGGCCAAGAAGTACAAAGACGTTTCCCTTTCGTATCTCTTCCTAGCCAACAACCACCAGTACGTCGTCGTTAAAGCCCGCGCGTCAAACCTCAAGTACCTCCTCGGTGACGATTGGGTGGCAAGTCAAGAAGCAAAAGTCAAACAGTTCACATCCAGCTACCAACGGGTGGGATGGGGCCACGTCATGGAATCCCTACCGAAGGATCCGTCCGGGTCTTACTCACCGGAGGAAGCGAAAGAAACATTCAAGGGATTCAAAGCGGCATTCGATCAGGCCTACCGGAAGCAGTCCGCGGCCGTGATACCGGATTCGGAGCTCCGGGACGGCGTGAAACTCAGCTTAGAGAGGAAGATATTGCGGGTTTACCGTGAATTTTACGAGAAATATGATGAGGAGATGGATTCTGTGATAAGATTTAGGCCAGAAGATGTGGGGCATTGTCTTTCGAATTTGTTTTTCGGGGCTGCTGCTTCCGGGAATTCTTGGACTTCTTCGTCTTCACATTAATTCTATCACCGTTTAATTCTCATGGGCGGTCGTTTTTTTTGGCTCAATTCGATGGAGAGTTTCTTCTCCCCAGGTTTTTTTTTTTTTTTTCTAATCTGGGAAGTAAAATCCAATACTCCGTGTTATTGTTACCGAGATTCGTTAGAGATGAATGTATTGCCAAATCCACCGGCTTAAATTCAAACTAGTCTGTCGGGGCTAGTGATTTATGCAGTCATACACCAAACAGAGATGCCATGTTGTACATATATATATATATATATATATATATATATATATACACATTATTATTAAGTTTTCATTTACGGTTCTATAATGTTATCATCTTGATTTTCAGAATGGCCAGAATAATAAAACGCTACGCAGTATGATGGACGAACCTTTGGATTTGGAGTATACACATGTAGAAACCGAGCGAGTACACAACTACACATGAGGTCTTTCGGTTGATTTGAAGCATTCATAGTTGAAAATATATGAATGATTTGAAGCATTCATAGTTGAAAATATATGAATTCCTCTCACCAAAATCATCCAACCGTTTCACCTTACCCTACTTTTTTATGTTTAATTATTGGATAAAATTTAATAAGTTAATTATTTAAATATATTTTTGTCATATTTATTTATTTATTTTTCAAATTTGTATATTAAAAATTTTAAAATAAATAGACGCTAACTCTGAAAAAATGAACCATTAAGAGTAAATTTATAACACAAATTGTTATTACTTACGTGAATATAATAAATATCAAATAATTCTCAATGGGATGAATACATTAAGTTATTTGAATATAGAGTATGAAGTAGTGCACCAAATGACTTTAATAATACTATATACGAGGTGAAATGTAATTATAAAAGATAAATTAAGTGCATACGTATATAGTGGAGAATAAATTGTGAAACCTCCCATGCATACGCCATTTGTTATATATAGTCAATTAAAATCACGTTTATGGTATGCCACAAAAGAATCTCCCGCGATTAGTGCAAACTCCAAACTCATTTACTCGAACCACGGTTCATTTTTGTCAAGTTATATTACAAACTGTCAAGCTCAAACCACGCAGAGTCTTAATAGTCTCAATCGGATGATTTACACAATACCGAATATAGTATTTTTAAAACGTGACATAAGGAAGGATTACTTACATTACATTACAGTTTGATTAATGTGGGTTTGACCCCTTCTCGTGGAGATAAATGTCTCGCAACGCAATGTTTTTCAATTTGTGCCTCCTATTTGTATCCATTTGCTTCTAAAAAAATGTGAAATTACATCGATGCACAACTAATTTGGTTCCTTAATGTGATGAATTTTTCATCATTTGTACAATAAGTCAAGCCGCAAGTTTTTACTCGGATAACACACTAAACAAACATGTGTTTTTTCTGCAATTGCTAGTTTAATATTATGTCATCAACCTTAGCCGAATCAAACTAAAGAAACCGAACAGGCCAATAATAACCAGAAAATGCAAATTCTACTATATAAGTCTATATAATCAGATAGGTAGCTGTGTTTATATTTTGTGTATACGTGTGAACTGATCTGAAAGTTGTGTGATAGTATAAGCAAAAAGCTGATCACTGATCAACTGGCCGAGCCATCATCTGCCATCCACTGCATTGCTGGATGCATTGTTTTAATGCTTCACTCGGAGCTTCTACTGTCCAGCTTTGGTAGTGTTCCCTTGGATGAAATGTGCCACTTTCACCGCGTTGTTGCTCCTGTAAACCTGCCTTGGTTCCAGAAACAAATAAGTCGCCGTCGGACTTGATACTGCCGGTGTTTGCCTCCGCCTTGTCAGCAGCCTATCAGAAAAATAACCAAATTTGTGTGAATAATAATCTCAAGAGAACATTCTTCACTTCTGATGAGATACCGTGTAAGAAAATTCAATAACTTGGGCTGATCATCTAGGTTCAAATTTGTATCCAACGTAAAGAACAAGAGGAAAAAAATCTAATCACATTAGGAACCAGAACTAGATAAGCATAAAGATATAGACACTAAAACATGAAAAATGACAATCAAATTCCTCCTATATTCCACTTGACACTGATCATAACCGAAGTATAGTTGGTTAAATGATCAAAACGACAAATATGATTCAACTGAGCTGTAATCCTTAGTTAGTAAGGTAGTAAACAGATAAGATCTTAACCAATTCCAATACTATTAACAGGATGCTTCCTTGACAATAACGCAATCATGTTGGAGCCACAAGTTCTGACATCATCATCTAGAATGACATGCCCAAGGTTCTATCTACCTCGAGTTGTAAACCATGAAAACAATGGTCTTTTTCCCATCAAAGTAGGATAATTAAATTACTTGCCATCAAAATATGCAGATCATTTACCTTCTCAGAGAGATATTTGAAAGCAACCTTCTTCTCCCCAGCTTCATATATATTGCACTGGGAATATATCTGAATGACAGTTGAGTACACTAATTAGCTGTCTGTTACATCATAAGCTATACTGACATAGTGTATGTGATTTAAATTGAAGAAAGCTTATAAGAAGCCGAATGCTGAGTACACAGACCTGAGATTCTACACTTGCACAAACAGCATAGATCCCCCAATTTCTGGTGTAGTTATTGTATAAATGCACTTTCCCAAATCTAACACGAGGATGGCGTTGTCGCGTTCCATCGAAAAAGCAGTGGTGAATAGTAACACGAATGCATCTGTCACTGGTGTGGGAAGGATCAGCCCCAATAAGAATAGTCTTGTCATGGTTTGAGAATTGACACCTACAGGTGATCACAAAAGTTTAAAATGCATGTTGCTAAGAAGGTCGATAATTAATCATATGTAAAGATTCCAGACAATTAAACTTTACCTAGATATTGTTATATCAGTGCTTTCTCTGGTAATATCTATAAGGCCATCAGCAAAGTCACTAAGGCTGCAACGATCAATCCAAATGTGTTTTGATTTCGGTTTGATTTGAATGGCATCAACATCAGATCCTCTGCCCCCTGAAATCTCAAGACTGCAGATAATGACATGCTCAGATTCCTTCAATCTCAAACCCTTCCCAGTAAGCTTAATCCTTTGGCCACGACCATCAATGGTTTTATAAGATGACACATTCAAGTAGGAATTAAGCTCAATGGTGCCTGAAACTTCAAAGACGATCCACAGAGGTTCTTTTTTTCGACATGCCTCTCGAAGCGAGCCAGGGCCATCATCTAAAACCAGAATCAGAAAAATCAAGAGCATTTCACCACTCACTCGGCTTAATTATCCAAGCCAGGTTATCAAAAACCTTTAGAGATGATTAAAATCTTGTTTTTAAGATAGTATGAAAGGTCACTAAAAAGTGATAACTAAGCGTGAAAATGTTATTGGTGCTTTTCTCCTCATCAGCGCTAACCGCTAAGGTTATAGTTTCAAAGTAAAGCAGAGGACCTCTGGCCATCCAAACTGATGACACCACATAAGAACAATAATTATGGAACACATTAGAACAAGTTGGTCACAAAAACATGCAAATTGGGCTACTTGGAATTTCCTTCTTAACCTAGGTGTTAATAGCTTTGAACAAAATTGAAGTTTGACGAACAAATAATCGATAAACAGAAACAGTTAAAACTCAACATAACACACGATAATCAATTGACAATCAACAGAATCGCCAAGCTGAAACCCAGAAAAAGAAAAAGAAAGTAGTGTTTACCAGAAAGGTTGGTGACGTGATAGAGAGGACCGTGAAGGCCACCGATGGCTAAACGGCCAAAACCTTCAGCTCGAGCAGCCAAAGCTCGCAAGGTGGAATCAACGTGGGAGTAAGGCAAAGACAAGCCCATTTGGGAATTATTATTATTATTGGAAGCTTGATGAGCTTCTTGTTGCGGGTGTGGTGGTTTATAAGTAGGAGGGAATCCGTAGGGAGTTGTGATGGGATTGTTGGAGGGATGATGATGTCTGTGCTTGTTGAACCGGCCAATAAGCTTGTTCCCCATTTTTTTTGATATGGGTTGCAAGCATTAAAAGCTGCAATTGATGGTCACCCTCTCTATTCAGATCAATTCAATGCTGCTGCCTGTTACTACAAATTAACTACTACTACAGAATTCGAAAGTCGAAACTGAAAAGGATGAAGGGAATGTCGCTTTCATAACTCCGCCATTAATGAGAAGATTTAACTGTTAAAACTTTAAAAAGAAATGGTTTCTGGAATCTGGAAAGGAAAACGACCGACACACACAATAGCTTTTTTTTTTTTTTTGCCATTTTGTTTTACCTGAGTTGAGAGTAAAGCCCAGATTCTTATATATCAGCCCAAGTCATCTTCAGCTCTGTCCATCAATGGTTGGATTGTCCAATAAATTGTCATGACCTTGGGGTCATAATAGAAATACTTAAAAGTACAGGATTATTTTATAATATCTTAACTGTTACTCCCTCCATTTGAAAAAATATTTCAAAATATAGGCCGTTTTAGGATTTCAAGGCAAATTAAAGATCAATTTTTCAATATTACCCCCAATAAATAATGTTAACCACTTCTCATCTAGTTTTAATTATAGTTTCAAAACAATTAATGAAGGACAAAATAAATATTTAACACATAAAGTAATTATTAAGTGATTGTGTACTTAGTTTACGTGTAGAGTCTAAAAAGACTTATATTTTAAAATAGAGGGAGTAAGCGGTTGTCTTGGTTGGAATAAATGTTACTGAAACCAAGTGTAATCGTTATCGAAGATCAAGTATATCGAATAACCAGATTCGGTTTCCCTTTTTGCTTACTCTCTCTCTTTCCTTTACTCAATCCTCTCTCTATTTCTGACCCAAATCTGGCTATAGCTCCAGTTCCAATCGATTTCTTTTCCTGTTTTGACTTGGAATTGGGCTGGAAATCTTCCAGAGTCTGACATAAATCTGTGTCATGCCCTGGGTTAGATTAACGAAATTCAGAAAAATGTTTATTTCCCAAATCTCTCAATTCTTCATTCCCTTGAACCCTACCCCCAAATTCCTGTTCTGAATTCTCAAATTCTGCTTCCCGTCTTCCTCTTTCATCAATATGATATCCAGGGGTTGAAAATCTGTTAGGAATTCTGCCGAAAGATTTGAATCGCTCTGATAAACATAATTCTATTATTATACTGCATTTGTCTCGGAAAAACATATTTATTGAGTTTTGAGATTTGTATTAATTTTTATTACAAATATCAAGATTTATGATGAACTATTTTTTTTTTTTTTGTTGACATAGAGAGATATTTAAAAAACGAAAATGAGACGTGTGTTCTTACCATATGCGTGATCCTTTTTGAATTCTTTATTATAAGGTATTTTCTATTTATACCAAATTTTATTATGTTATTCTAATTAAAAATAAAATATTAAAAATATATTTTCATATTTATTGTAATTTCTCAATTTTAATAAAGTATTTTAAGGGGCAGGGAAAAACCAAAAACCACATGCAAATGAGAATGCAACATTGCATTTTTAACTTTTCTTTCAGTCTAGATTCAACAATTTTTTTAATTTGTTTTTTTGGGTTAATAGATTCAACAGTTTGACTTACACACACGGTGTAGATTCATTAATAAAAACTAGATGTTTGGCCCGGACAGATGACCGGGCGCCCCCTCTAAATTACTATTTTATTAAAATCTAATTGAATTATTATTTTTTGAGAAATTAATTTGACGTATATATCATTTATGCTATGGTTTGGGGCTTAAAAAAATATACCTATGAATATGAGGTTATAAGGGAATAATAAATAATTAGTTTATAAGGCATTATTCTTAATTGTTGGATTTAGGTATTTTTATTTTTTGTTTATATTAAGCCTGCAAAATTATACGATTAGACATTTGAATTTGAATTAATATATACATTCGTTTGAAATGTAACTGATCCTTATTTGTAGTAAAACATGTGTTTTTTTTTAAAAAAAAATTATATAGTTTCTAATTAAAAGAGACTTACACGTGGCAAAAAAACTTCTGAAATCTGAAATATGGTGCATTGGAGCCAAAACAAATATATACATAGTTACCACATAAGTTTCATGTCTTCTGCTTTAATAGGGTAAAAGGGATGTAATCTTGTCATAAGGGGGAAGAGAAACATAAAATGATGTAGCGGGAAGCCGGGAAAGTGGAAAAAGGGTAAAAAAAGGGTCATGCGTGCCAACTAACATTCAGATGGAACAGTAAAAATGAAAATAAGAAACTTCTTAATTTTTCTTAAAAAACAAAATGTGAGGCATGTTGTAAAAATTAAAAGGAAGAGGCATGTTTAATAAAACAACAAAGTTTGCTGTGCTAAAATGAATATCTCCCCAAAATTTATTTGAAGATTCAACTTGCTTGTGTATTCTATCTTGTATATTTGTAGAATCTTCCGTAAGTTTTTTGAACCCTGAGATTGAGAGGTGATTTTTTTACTTATCACATGGAATAGAAAAATATCGATTTTCATTAAAAAAAAATATATATGTGTGTGTATATATATATATGTGTGTATATATATATATATACATATATATATATATATAAATTGTGAGGTACAATATGTTCTGTTAAAAAAAAGAGTTGATAAATTGAGAGCACCTTTTTTTATATTGAAAGAAAATTTTTTTTTTAATTACCTATAATATCTTCATGTAAGAATTTGAAGATTTAACTTATTTATCTTTAAATAATTATATCCCTCTTTTTCTTGATCCACTTCCTTTCACAACTGGCTGGTTCATTAACTAAGAAAAAAGTTACTTTCGATAAGAGAACATCTAAAATAATGTATAACCAAAAAAAAGAAAAAAGAAAAAGGAAAAAAAAAAGAAGAAGCAGCCATTGTCTGGAAAATATCAATGGCTGCACTATAAGATTTTATTCCAAAAATCTCATGGAGTACACATGAAACGTTTATTTTAAAATTTACATAGTCGACAAATAAATTGTAGTATCTTTTTTTTTTTTTAATTTAAAACCGGCACTTATAACGAGAGAAATTCAACAAAACTTTCTTAACGTAATCAAAGATTGAAAAAGGCACTCACAGTATTCATGCTCCAACGATGACTGCAGAATAAGGAAGATTTATTTGTCAAAATCCCTTGAAACAATATCTAACCACATTGAATATGCTACCAACTTGAATACTATCACGACCTTTCTTCAGTTGGTGCATAGGAGCGCTAGTAATCAATTAGGAAATTTTGTACTTTAAATTGATTAATTAGAATGAATACAAAAATCAACAGATAATTGTTTAGTGCAGTTTGGAATGTTTAATGAAGCTATCCTCAAATCCCTCATCTTTTGATGATTGAAGAGGAAAAGCTGAGGAAAGAAGATAAATGAGGAAAAATTAAATGGAATAAATCTTTTATAATATTATACAAGGGTATTATCGGTAATTGCAAATTTAACTCTTAATATTAAAAAAAGGTCATGGCAATTTTCTCTTCTTTTTCCTAAATTGTCCTTTTGTGAGGTCAAATGTCTATCCTTTCAAATCCCTGACCTCACGGTTAAATAACTACCTTCTTTTTTAAAACATTTAAATACTTTCTTTAATAAATTTGAATCTTGCTGGATTTTTTTCATCGAGTCTCTTAGACCCCTCTATCACTTTCTTCATGTTATTTTCTGCTACATGAACACCAAATTAAAGAAGCCATCTTTTTTTTTCCCCCTTTTTTCATGCTTTCAGGGGAAAAAAGAAGTATTATAAGATGAATTTCTGTAGCCAATTAACCATCATTATCATCATAACAGAAAAAAAAATCAAATTCATAATTTAAACCATCATCATGAACAAATAATAAAAAATAATCCGAAAAACAAAACAGCAATGGACAAAAATAATTTGGGACTGGGACAAATCAATCACAAAATGGCCTTTTATTTCCATGCGTAGTTCTTCATTTGGTAGCAGCTACAATTGAGCACCAAGAATATATTAATCAAGATTTAAAAGCTCTCTAAGTATGTACTACACATGGGAATTCATTATTCCGTAAACTAAACAAAACCAAAAACTAGAAGCAAAATGAAGAAAAAATTCATACCTGAAGTTAGGATTTAGTTCCCATGAAACTCTTCAAATGAATTTGGTTGGCAATTCAAACCAATAAAACTCATTGAATCATTATCATCGCCAAGAGCCGGGGTTTGGTATTCACTCAAGTTAATTATGATAATTTGGCTTCTCTGACTATCATCTTCCCCATGTGTGCGAGCTTTTTGCCTTTGCCTCAATTCCGCTTCAACGAATTCAAACCGTGATGGGTCTCTAGTTATTGAACTCAATCCTTTTATCTTATTTTTGTTACATGGCCTTCCTCTACCTGTTGTACATCTGGCTCAAGATTCAATGAAAATTCTACGCCCACAATTTCGTACAATTTTTTATGAATATTTTTCTTCTCATTGATCGGCAAGCGGTTGTATTTTCCGTCCAATCTATTGACTAATCCTTTGAAAACTGGATCATCATTGTTGTTCTTGCTAACATCAAAAGGAGAACCTCTTATGTCAATGCGCCACTGCGGATGTATAGCTTCAATGGGTATTGCTTTTCCTTTCCAAAAATTCATCATGTGTGCACAAGGCAATCCCATAGTAGTCATGAAAATACCACTACATGTGATACTCATTTTGTGATATTTTAACATCTCAAACTGTTCTGCTAACTTATCCAATGCAAAAAGTGACACTTTATTCATAATATTTCTGAAAAATGGTATACGACACTTGAGAGGGACTTGAATTCTTTCCCTAGCTAACCTTGCTTTGATTTCCTTCAGATCGTTTTCAAGGGGAAATGATACTTTCTGTTTGACAACCAACATATCACCAGTTGAGACAGACAAATAAGTATTCAATTTTGAATGTGCGCCTTCAGCCCTATATGAAGAACGTGTCCCAAAATGTAACTTTTTATCAGTCCACGCACTAACAAAAAATTCTTTGTATACAAGCCATGTGTTCTGAAGGTAATTCAGAACATCTGTTTTATCTTTGTAGAGAAATTTCATCTCGCACCATGCTCGACCAAAAGCTTTCTCTGAGGAAAAATATACAACCGTATTTTATATTGTCAAAAAATCTTCCTATTTTTTATTTTTTCCAAAGTACGGTTTACATTTAGAAACAATATTCTTCTCAATGTGCCAAACACATAACAAATTTGAAACATTGGGGAAATCCTCTTTAATAGCACCCATTAATGCCAGTTCTCTATCAGTCGCAATAACAAAAGGATAAATTCCATCACCAAGCTTATCACGAAAGACACGTAACGCGCATTCATAATCTTTTTGTTCTTGTTTCCGTAAAAATACAAAGCAAGAATAGAATGGCGTATTGAAACTAGACATACCAATTATCTCAAATAATGGCATCTTATACCGGTTGGTCTTATATGTACTATCCAAAACAAAAGCGGTTGAATAACTCTTACTTAATGCAATAAACTCAGGATGTGGAAAAAAATATAAGTTAAACGACCAACCTAGTCTTCTTCATAGTCAAACAGATACCCAGCATCACCCAACTCTTTAAATAAAACTTGGATAATAGTACGTCCTTTGAGGCTTTCTCTGGTGATTTTCCTCTCCATATTGTAAACATCTCGAGCAGTGATTTTAGAGTCTAAATTTTTTTTTCCGAATTGAGGCTATTATTTTGCGAGGTGGGATTTCAGCTTTGCTCATGTTGTCCACAGCCAATATCTCTTTTTTCTGAGAACATACGCTCTGATGGGTGTTCAGAAATATCTCTAGAAGGCTCATGATTATGAGAATCATTTTTTATTGACATCTTCCAAAAGTCTAGTTCTTGTCTTTTCCAATATATTTGAAAGGATAATTTATGAGTTGAGTGGTTGTTTTCTTTTGTCTCTCTTCAATAGGGACATTTAATCTATCTCAATATACTACACCCCCGTTACATCCAATGGAAACATACTTATTCACTCTTGAACTTTTAATTGATAAAGCGAACCCGCGAGCTGAGTAAAAGCCTTTTGCTGCGTTTATGAGATCCTCACAAGTCTCACATGCACTAACAAGCAATTTAGTCAATTATGCTTCCTTCACATTCTGTTGGCTGCTGTCTATATCAGAAATAAGAAAATCATTTTCCTCGGCATCTTGATCTTCCATAAGTACTCAACTTTGAATCTAACAAATGAATACACTATATCAATAAGATTTATTGATACACTTGTAAAGAAAAAAAAAACAAAAAACAAAACAAGAACATAAGTCGCAAGTCAATCAACTTAACAAAACGATGATATGTATGTACCTAAGCCCACTAAATTGACCTGATTAATCAGCAAGAATCAAAAGTATTTTTTTAATATTTGAATTTTGGTATTTATGTTAAAATGATCTAAAACCTCTAAATTCAATCACGTAGAATGTCATTGAACTCAAAAATCAAAGTGGTAGTATGCAATTCTTTAATCTAGGACTGCCCATAAAATCTTCCACATCCAATACAATAAATAAATCTATGTTTATGTAAACCTTCAAATAATATAAAATTTGTGACTACATTCTACTCTTTGAGGCATAAAATCAAACACTTATTTGCACTCAACCTATCAATAACATCCAATAAACCCAAAAATAGCATTCCGCCTTCGCTACACTATTGTGAATAATTACATGGTTGTAAGCAACTAAATTTTTAGGTGACAGAAAAAATAACCAACAACATTTTGATAAATTGGGTAGAACTCCAAAAACTTATTCATAAACAGAATCATGTTCTAGTTTAGATTCAATAAGCGATTATTAAAAAAAAAAAAGGTAAACTATTAACATCCTAAGTAATTTTGATTGATTTGAAGAACGTAAATGGGTAGAAAACTTACTTGATTAACTAGGGGATTTGATTTTGTTCCAGAGTCTTCTGCCTTGGTCAAGAGCATACAATGAAAGAGTGATATTTTTCTCCAAAGATGGAGAGGTTTGTGATCTATTATAGCTACTAACATTACGGCAGTAGTTAATTTTTGGAGGGAGAATTTCTGATAATTTTGAGGGAGATTAATTAAGTTTTGGATATCCATTATGAGAAAGGAAATAGGAAGAGGAAGGGGAGAAATTAACCGTGAGATCAGGAATTTCATAGAATAGACAGCTGACCTATCATAAGGGTTATTTTGGAAAAGAAAAAAAAAATGCTCTGAATGCTAAAAATTGATCTGGCAGATCACTTGCCTTAAAAAAATGTCAACACTTTTCCAAAAAAGGAAAAAAAATACTACTCGGTTACATTATAGAAAAAGTGCTTTTTCATACCTTTCCTTCTTTCCTTTTTCTTTTCTTCCTTTTTTTTCTTTTTTTTTTTTTTAAGAAAGAAACAGCTAATCACTCTAAGAAATTCCAACAACTCTTCACTATAACCATATCCATTAAAAAGAATTATTTTTTTTAAACCTTTTGTCTAGAAAAATCAGATAGAATTTCCATTTTTGGTAGAATAGTACTACACTTCAGTCCTTCAATTGTTTTTAATGTCCGAATGCCACGTTGGAAAAATCTAATAAAATACGAATTCATTGTTTTTAAATCGTTCCGGGCTGTCTCCTCGGGGTCCTTCCACCACCAACCCCATCAGCCCGTCATGGTTGGCCCGGCGGCGAAACAATGCCGTTCCATATAAATAAAAACCACGCCCTCTTCCTTTTTTGTCACCCGATCACCACCGCATTTTCCTCCGCCCCTCCTCTTGTCTGGGTTTGACTCTGAAATCCCGACTCAATCCTGCAAATTAACAACATGTTTTTAGATTCGTATTGATTAATTATGATCAGAAGCATAATCCCACGTAATTAAGAACCGTAATTGTGAACATGGTAACTGAAGTAATCATTCGATTTTGTAAACCCCCACGTTTCTCATTCTGCAACAATGGTGGCATTGAATACTTTCCTCGCCGAAGGTGAGTCATCATCATTGCTAATTCATTCGTTTTAGATGTTTTTTTTTTTTTTTGGCATTGGGTGAATGAATGAATGAATAATTAATGCCTTAAAATTAAGTTTCTTTGTTTGAATTTCGGTTTTTGAAACAATGCAGGCGCTACGGATCTTGAAATGGGTTTGCGCCCAAAAAATTCGGACCCGATTATGGGTCCTGATATCATAATCGAGCCACCATCTCCGTCGCCGTCTCCGTCTCCCAGAGCTCCGGCGGCTTTGGTGGTCTCTTATTCAGGCAAATCTCTGGGGGCGTCGAACTCCGGCAAGGCATTGGTGGTTTCGAACTCCGGCAAGGCATTAGTGGTTTCGAATTCCGGCAAGGGATTGGTGGTTTCCAACTCCGGCAAAGGGTTGGGGGTCTCTAATTCCGGCAAGAGAATGGACCCTTCGGGAAGGAAAAAGTACGTGAAGCAGGTTACCGGAAAGCACAATGATACGGAGCTGCATTTGGCGGCTCAACGGGGTGATGTTGCTGCTGTGAGGCAGATATTGGAGGAGATCAACGAGCAGATGCTGAAGACGTTGAGTGGGGCTGAGTTTGACGCAGAGGTGGCGGAGATAAGGGCGGCGGTGGTTAATGAGGTGAATGAATTAGGGGAAACCGCCCTTTTCACGGCGGCGGAGAGAGGCCACATTGATGTGGTTCGTGAATTGCTTCCTTACACCACCAAAGAAGGTATCACCATGAAGAATCGTTCAGGCTTTGATCCATTGCACATTGCTGCCAGTCGAGGCCATCAAGGTAAACACTCAGCATTCCTAACATATAGTAGTATCTCATTAGTTCGCTATATTTTTTGAATTCAAACTAAAACCCTGAATTTGAGCGTAATTGTGCATGAATCATTATTTATAAGAGGTGTAATACAACGAGTCCTGTAGGCGAAATGACACAAAAGATGCCGATACTATATGTTTACATGTAACTATTTGTTGTGTTCTTCAATTTGTCTAATACTATCTGAAAAAACAGCTATTGTTCAGTTGCTGTTGGATCATGATCCAGAGCTGTGCAAGACCGTTGGGCCATCAAATGCAACTCCTCTTATATCTGCTGCTACGAGAGGACATGCTTCTATAGTTGAGGAATTGCTCTCTAAGGATTCTAGTATGCTGGAGATATCAAAATCTAATGGGAAAAATGCATTACATTTTGCCGCTCGACAGGGGCATGTGGAGGTTGTGAGAGTGTTGCTTGAAAAGGATCCACAACTGGCGAGGAGAACCGATAAGAAGGGGCAGACTCCACTTCATATGGCTGTTAAAGGAGTTAGTTGCTCTGTTGTTAGGTTGCTTCTAAGGGCTGATGCTGCCAGTGTGATGCTACCTGACAGATTTGGCAATACAGCATTGCATGTGGCTACTAGAAAAAAGAGGGGAGAGGTACATTAACTGTTGCTGCCAATCCGTCTTTGCTTTACTTGGATTGCTATTTTTCTTGGAGAATTTTAAGATTAATGATTTGGTTAATCCAAACATTGAGGGGTTTAGATCACATCTTGCTAGCCTTCTATCAAGAATCAAACAGAACTAGATTGTACATATGCTTAATGTCTTTGCGTTTTTGCTATGTTGCTGATAGTTGTATTTCATGCATGTCAACAATACTACAATTGGAATGACTAAAAGGTTGAAATCTTTAAAAAATCTTCAAACATTTTTGGATAGATTGTTTTCAATGGGTTTCTGCACTTTCTCTTCTCAATATTTAACTGAATGCACTTTTAACCAGCATTTTCTTCTTGGTTTAGAATTAGGAGAATGTCTGATCACTTTGTTGCTTTTTACCACTAAGGGTTTAGTCGTTCTTTGCCCTCCCATATTTTCATTCTTGTTTGAAATCTTTGGGCAATGCATGTACCCCATGTTTAAAAGGAGGGATGTCTCTCTGCAATGTCTATACAGCTACGCTGCTGATTATTGAAAAGATTTTAGTTTTATGCAGATAGTAAATGAGCTCTTAATGCTCCGTGATACAAATGTGAATGCATTGACAAGAGACCATAAGACAGCTCTTGACATAGCTGAAGGACTTCCTTTTTCAGAGGAGACAGCAGATATCAAAGAACTTTTGACTCGATTTGGTGCCGTTAGGGCCAATGAGCTGAACCAGCCTCGGGATGAACTCAGGAAGACAGTAACTGAAATTAAGAATGATGTTCACAATCAGCTTGAACAAGCTAGGAGAACCAACAGGAACATGAATGGCATTGCAAAAGAATTGAGAAAGCTCCACAGGGAAGGGATCAACAATGCAACTAATTCAGTCACTGTGGTGGCCGTCTTATTTGTTACAGTTGCTTTTGCTGCGTTATTCACTGTTCCTGGGGGTGATGATGACGATGGAAAGGCCGTAATGGTGAGCACCACATCTTTCAAAGTTTTTTTTCTCGCGAATGCTGTTGGGCTCTTCACATCCTTGGCTGTGGTGGTGGTACAAATTACAGTGGTCAGGGGTGAGATAAAATCTGAAAGAAGGGTTGTTGAAGTGATTAACAAGTTGATGTGGTTAGCCTCAATTTGCACAACCATAGCTTTCATCGCTTCTTCTTACATAGTTGTTGGGCGGCGCAACCGGTGGGCCGCAATCGTAGTTACCGTTACAGGAGGAGTTATCATGGCTGGAGTTTTAGGTACAATGACTTTTTATGTGGTGAAATCAAGAAGGTGTAGGAGAGTAAGAAAAAAAGAGAAGAGTTCAAGGGGCGCAAACAGTTCACTGCATCATCATAACTCGGATAATTCAGAGTCTGAAGTGAACCCAATATACGCACTCTAATGCAAGCCATGATTTTTGAGACTTTGACCTCGTGACTCTCCAAAGGCTGCTTGATGGAGTCAAGAAAAGGCAAACTTCACAACAGAAGTTGCAAGCAGGATTTTCTGCTGTCCGTATAAATATCACATCTTTAGCTCAGCGGGGTAAGACGGATGTGTGGAAGTGCGCCTTTCATCTCTGTTTCACTGATCGCCAGGCATCGCGCGATGACCAAAGATACAAAGTAGCATGAGGATCAAATCGAATACTCCCTCTGTCCCGAAATTATTGTCCAGCTTGGATTTTCAGCTTTCGTTCAAATTGTAGTAAAAGTGAAAATTCAAACTGGACAATAATTTTGGAACAAAGGGAATATAAGAGAAATGATTCTTTCATGCTCATTCTTCTTGTTATAAGAATTCAACAAGGAGACGCAGTAGTTCAGATACGTTCCGTTGCATAGATTCTTAAATCCAAATCATACAATTCATCTACTGCTAACCTAGTTCAGGTATAGAAAGACTGTTTTCATACCTGATAACTTGAGAGTAAATATTGGGTGCACCGGTAGCACCATTCTAGGAGTGACAGTTGAAATTTTGAAACAAGGAGAATCCAGCAAATGTTCAAGATACTTTATAGTCCCGTCTAAATCATCACATATTTGAAACAATAAATCGATTTTGCTCTTACAATGAATAAATCACGAACTAATATCAGGACATGTGTGTCGTTAATCCAACCCATTAGTTTTTACTACTTCTGAAAGGTAATTGAATAATTTATTAGGATCGTTTATATTAAAGATGGAAACTATGGAAAAGAAATTATCCAGTAGTTCATTATGTAGTTTCAAAGAAAGATGTAGAATTGTGTCCATTTGGATAATGCTGTAACAAATTGGCAAAAAGAAAAAACAAAGATGCTGAATTTAGAAAATAATGCAAAAATGCCGAGTTTATCCCTCTTTTGTGTTCATAAATTTCTCTTTCTCTTACTCTCAAGCAACCAACATGCTATTCCTTCTCGCGGTAAAGTGTTAAACAAACAAAATTGACGAAAACGAAAGCTGAAATTTCTCAATCCCAGTATCCCACACCAAAGACATAATTATTAAAACATATTCACTCCGTTCCACAAAAATAGTCCACATTAAGTTTTGAGTTTTGTACTAATTTTAGTACAAATTTGAAAATTCAATTTCAGAGTTAATAATCGTTGCGTGAGGCAGGCCAAAAGTAATCAATACGAACAAAACTGGAAAGGAGTGCAGCATAATAAAGAATCATGGAAATAGAGGTTACATGACAATTCTCTCTTTTGGAAAAAAGAAATTGCTTTACGTCAGAATTTTCTAATTGACAGATCAATGGTTCGACACGTTTACATTTTACAAGGTCTAAAGTACAAACATAGACAATAAAGAGTGGTGAACTTCCAATTGATTTGGAACTAATGCTCATATATCTTTGGTATCTGTAGTTTCTTTAGACACATAATTGTAGAATAATTAAGGTTCAAAGGACACTTGGTAATGGCCCGAATATATTAACTAAGGTGTACTAGTACTACCCTTCGAACGTAAGCCAAGTTCCCAATGATGCCTCATTACGGTTGTTTAGTATAGCATTCGCAGCTAATTATTGCTCAGTCGGTAAGAGCAGCTGAAGAGGAAAAGGATACAAGTTCATAATCTACATACACATGCATATATAAACACCCAGATGGGGTTAAATCCCTGAATTTAAACATCCCGACAAATCCAGCCTATAGCCATGGTCATCCTTAATTTATGCTTGATGAGTCCTGCCGAGGAATCTTCTTCTTCTCTCTGGACAAAAAGCATCAATACCCCTTCCCCAAAAATATCTCCTCTTTTCTTCTTTCATCTGCAGCAATGCCCTTCAATCTCACAACTTCCATAATCAACAATAGCCTTGCTCTTTGCAACCACATCATCATTGTGATCTTAAAAAACAATAAACCAATGAAAACAAATTTTTAAGGCATGTCAAAGTAAATAGAGCCCGTCCATGTCATAACTCATAACTTTCCCGATATATCCCAAAGTTGGAAGCTTAAAAAAAAAACAAGGTACATACAACAAAAATACAACTCTGCAAATCCTTGCATACATGAGCATCTCTAAAAGATGTCGAGTAATACTACTACTATTACACCATGCAACATTCCAGTGTATACAAGTATACTATATACTAGTAATGAAAAATTGCAAATAGACATACTTGTCAAAGTGTGAAATAGGCCACGAGATATGAATACTTGAAAACTAAAAGAAGTCATGCAGCGCTAGTATTAGCTAGTCTAAGATGGGGAGATAAAATCAGATGATATTTCTCCAGAACATCATATACTACTTGACCATTACGTGGACTATGAAGCATTTAAGCGAGAAAGACAATCCGTAAATCCGCATGGTAAACAATTTCTTCTGATCATGGAGGAACAAAGTCATTAGTATGGCGGCGGAGGTGATAGCCCTAAACCTAACGGAAAATGTCCAATAAAACAACCAAATTTAAATCAAAATCCAAACCAAGCATACATAAAAAATAAAAACTTAGGCGCCCATCATCAGCAAGGTCAGGTAGAAACCCCAAAATAAATTTATTATTATTTTCTTTTTAACAAAAAAACGTATCAGATCAATCTCACAACAGTCGACCAACATATACAGCAAAAGGCGCCAACTTGGAAACAAAACAAATTGTCTTTTACACTTATTAGGGTCTCCGAAAGATGAAGGAAGCTTACCAAGAGATAATGACCGGAGTTCCTTAGAAATAGGCTGAGCGGCAGCGCCACCAGGCTGATCGAGGGGAGAAAGTTGTGGCTGTGGCTTTGGCTGCGGCTGCTGAGGGTCTGATTCCATGGCGGGAGTGACCGTTGCGCGGTTTGAGATTTGGAGGAACTCTATCTTATAATATGCCTTTATGGGCTTGGGTTTTCTTTTCAGCAGTCGGATCAGATACTGTCATGGCTGGCTCTTATATTTATTTAAGTAATTTGCAGTAAATTAAATTAGGTTATGTTATTTGGGGGTGGACCACGTCGTTTAGATGTTAATTGGGAAGCAAGTTGGGAATGATGTCACGTTGATCAACACATGAATGCAAAGGAGGTCATCACGTGAAGATTGTAGTTGGCATCATCTGATTCATCTTTCGTTAATGCTTATCAATTAGTTAAAATGGTAGAATGTTCAGCGAGAAATGATCATTAGTATTTAATCATCGTTGCAATGCTTAAGGATCATTAAGAATATTATAATCTAAATTATCTCCCCCCATTCTATTTTTCTTTCTTGTTTCCTTCCTCTATCTTGTCTTTTCTTTCTTTCTTTATTCTTCTTTCATCCTCACCATTTATTCCTTATCGTTTTACTATGCATAGTACAACTTTTTAATATATAAAATTTGTTATTAAAATATCACATCATCACAGATACTACTACTTTTTGGGGTCACGTACTGATCAGGCCTATTATGACACTGTCAGCGCAACAAAAAGAATTTTATAACTTCCATTCCCTAGTCTTCCCAGGCGGAGTGCCCGACTTCGATGGGATTAAAGAGCTATGGGGAAGCATAATTAACACAACACTTGGGATTGAATTCTAGTATGAAACTGAATTTGGGATAAAAGTGGGTAGTTTCTAATTTTAAATTCTACTAGTATTATGTTGCAAGGTAGCTATGAATGGTCAATTTTGTTTGATGTAGCCCTGCTTGAAGCTGTGGAGAACTAGGAATGATGAGATTTTCAGTGACACAACTATCAGTGAGAGTATAGTCCCGCAAATTACTTGTAGGAATATTTTGTTGGTTAAGTTTTTTTTTTTTTTACTGCAAAAAGTTAATCAGAGGAATAAATTATTTGTTAGGATTGAGATTTTTCTAGATTTGTTTAAATTAGAATTAGTTTTGAAGATTTTTTAGTATTATCTTTAGAGATAATTTAGGATTTGAAGAATTATTTTCTCTTTTAGTTATTGTGGAGTTGTCTATAAATTAGACTTCTCAAAAAATAAATGTAACCCTTTTCTGATAAAAATTTTACGTTCCAAAAAAATCTCTGCTCTTTTTTCATCTCTTTTCTAACAAAGTAGTATCTAGAGCTTAAGTTTCATTAGGGGGCCTGTGTGAGTAAATTAGTGAGGAACCTTTCTAAACAAACAAATCTTTTTGGCCAATTTTCTTTTATTAATGGAAGGAAGGAATAGTTTTATGTCTGCTCCTCCAGTTTTCAAAGGAGAAAATTATTATATTTAGGCTGTCAAAATGGAAGCCTATCTAAAAGCAAGTGGATTATGGAAGTTGGTGGAAAATGATGAATTACAACCACTTCTTGAAGATCCAACAATTGTACAACTAAATGAATATAGGGAGGTTAAAAAGAGGAGGAACAAGGCCAAAACATGTATCACTCTGTTGTATCAGAGGAGGTATTTACAAAAATCATGGGCATGCGAGACTGCAAAACAGGCATGGGATATATTGAAACAAGAATATCAAGGCAATGTGAAGACAAAGCGCATGCACATCTTGAATTTGAAAAGGGAATTTGAGATGCAGAAGATGTCGGAGACAGAACCATTGAAAGACTACATAGATCGATTGATGAAAATGGTCAATAAAATCCGAATTTTGGGAGAACAACTTCTTGATAGTCGGGTTGTTGAAAAAATTTTAGTAACTTTGCCAGAAAGATTTGAGTCCAAAATTTATTCTCTTGAAGAAACTAATTTTATCAGAAATATCTCTAGCGGTAACTACTTTCAACCTTTGAAGCTCAAGAACAAAGAAGAGTTTTCAGAAAGGAACACGTAGATCATGTCATTGAGAGCAGTTATAAAGTGGACCAAATTGGTAAAGGTAAATGGTGGACTAGGAAGGCAATGGGAGACAGTGAAAGCAAATGAAAATATCCTCCTTGTAAACATTATAAGAAACCTTCTCATTTGCCATAATATTGTTGGTTTAAACCTGATGTTCAATGCAGGGGTTGTAAAGAATTGGGGCACATGGAAAAAGTGTGCAAGAACAAGCAACAAATTAATTTTGTGAATGAAGAAGATGAAGATGAAAATGAAAATGAAGACTTGGTTTGAAGATGCAGGGATTTGTAGGTAAAAAAAAGAGGAAATTTGTTAGTTAAGTTATTCTTTTTTAACTGCAAAAAGTTAATTAGAGGAATAAATTATTTGTTAGGATTGAGATTTATCTAGATTTGTTTAAATTAGAATTAGTTTTAAAGATTTTTTAGTATTATCTTTAGAGATAATTTAGGATTTGAAGAATTATTTTCTCTTTTAGTTACTGTGGAGTTGTCTATAAATTAGACTTCTCAAAACATAAATGTAACCCTCTTTTAATAAAAATTTTACATTCCAAAAAAATCTCTGCTCTTTTTTCATCTCTTTTCCAACATATTTCCCTCACTTTTATTTGTGTTTTGTTTTCTTTTCTTTCTTTTGGGCACTCTATGGTACAATTTTGTGTCTTTGTTGTTAGAAATACTATTCATGTACCATGTTGATTCATCACAACTCTTTCCAGTATGAGTCAACACTCCATTTGGTGACTTTTCACAATATGTTCTTCAAGTAACAAATTCATTTGGGATTTGTTGTTGATCTAAAGCCAGTGAATCCGCAACCGCCTTACCCTCAATACACATATGTTTAGAATCAAAATTATTAAGTGTGGAGCATATTGAATGCATTCCATGGCGGGATAATTCCAAATCCAATTGTTAATTTAGATGGTTTTCATCATGTAAGACTAAATATATCTAATTGTATGCATTCTAGTATTATTATTTTTTTCCCTCGACGTTAATTGCTGATGTTTCGCTTCCAAGTTGAAGCTCCTTCCTTGGCCCATATTAAAAGAACAACTATCTGCGATAAGCTCTCATTTTCGGTTTGTTCTTGATCCTGTTCATCCATATTCCGGGGGACTGGGTTGTTAATTGGGTCGAAAACAAAACGATTATGAATTCCTCATCAGGTCACTATTTCCTTGTCCTGTCTCTGACGTGCAGCCCGGTGGTGACTTGAGCACGAACAAAACCAAGGGTGAAAACGCCCAAAATTAGAACAATTTCCCAATCTGAAAAGCTAGCACTAAGATAGCGCTTCGTGCAATGGGCAAAAAAATCAGAGTTGCATTTTGTAAATTCTTCATTGCTTCACTCCCCTTTTCTTTTGGGTTGCTCATATTTTCGTGGTTCGGAAGGTCTAAATTCTTCATCACCATCGTCATTAATTTCATTATAGGCGACTAGTTAAAAAAAACTTGCACACTATTGTTCACCTTTAGGTGTTGTAGCCTCATATTTGAAACTTCAATCTGAAGAAGTGAAGATGCATGTAGCTGATGTTTGGTAGATTTATTCCACACCCATTCATATTCGTAAATTATCCTCCATGATTGAACATTCAAGATGTGGTAATTCATCTCCTTCAATTTCCCTACACAACAAAATTGAAGGTGTCAATTGTTTTCAAAAAAAAACTCTGTACAGTTTTTGTCGATCTGTTCGTCAATATAGAGAAGTAGACATAAAACTCGACGACTGTCAACTTCAGATTCTGTTTAGTTTCGTCGACTTGGCGTTGACCACATAACATTGACAGCAATTTCGACAGACTATGTCAATCTTCCACTTTGACATTTCCTGCCACCCTCTACACGAAAGTTGTAGTTCATCTTTTGACATTTCCAAAGGTACAATAACACATATTGGTTGTCATCACAAATATAATTTAAACTGTTTTAAGATTGTTGGTAAAGATTACGTGGGATATTTATGTTGAACAATAACAAGTCGGGTATAGGAGAAGGAAAAATCTGAAGCACGTGATAACCAAGCTATTTTTAAAACAGTTTAGCCTCTTCACAAGAGTGTTAGAGGTTTTACGGATTATTGTCTCTCATGATATAACGGATACTGTGAAGACTACTTTACACGAAATAACTTCACGTTTAAACTGGAACTGGAAAATATGATAAACACCAAGGAAAAATTGGGAAAGAAAATGGAATGAAGGTTGTCTTTTTCTTTTTTGTTGTTGAAGAATAGAAAACAAGCTAATAATTAAAGAATGGAAAGAGTCGTTTCCATTGCCTCAATAACTTCTATCAATTAATATGATTAAAGTAATAAAATCATTTTTCTTTAATTGAAATAAAGCTAAAAATTCAAGGTCATTTAATTGGAATAGAACTACAAAACTACATTTTAGTTTTGCTCCAGTAACTTTCCATTAATGTTGATTGAAAAATCAACACCAGTGACAAAACGCGGATTGATCAGGTCCGGGGGTCACGAGTCGACATTGATGTGTGTAGGCGGCGCCTATACACGAGTCAATTTATTTGACATTCACGTTTCTAATCTAATGAGAAACAAATCTCTCATTCAAATTATTATCATAATTATATTTACGGTAGTAATCTTTTATATAGGATTTTATTATTGGCCTTACGGTAGTTATTTGACATTCACGTTTTATTATTGTCATAATTATAGTTATGTTTTTTTCTTTGGAGAAAATGGGATTATATTGGCCTTTAAAGAGGGCATTATAATTCTTTGGAAGGTTGTTTGAGTGAAAGTAATTCATTGAGACACAATCTGTTCAATTTTGAAATTTAAACAAAAAAAGAAAATATTTGGGTCACGATATCAGTTCACTATATTAATTTAGAGATATACACGATATTATCCAATTGTTATTAAACTAATACTTAATTAGTTAGGTCAAATCTAAACAAGCTCAACACAATTTTTAAGACAAAACGCACTATTGGTCCCTAAACTTTAGGAGGTCACAACTTAGAGTCACCATTAATTTTTTACTGATGAAATTGGTCACCGTCTTTTTCTTTATTCATCAACTTTAATTAATTTAACAGAATTTATGGTCAACTAACGGTGAACTCTTTTCGCGTTAAATTTTTTATTTTTTATTAATTTTTTACTGAACTAGGGTCCATAATGTTAAATATTTTATTTATAAATTAATAAACCCAATAAAAAAGGGAAAAAATTAAAAAAAAGGTCATGACCCGCGGGTCAACCCGTACGGATCAACCCGTTGGTCAAAAACTTATACTAACTTAAATTCTTGTGGCTGACTTGCGAGTTGAACCCAACCCGTGCCAACCCATTTATGACCCAACCCGTTGTTAACCCGCGCTTATACGGGTTGGGCTGGGTCAGGACCCGCGTACCTCCAAACCCATCTCGACCCAACTCGCGGTTGACCCAACCTGCCCAACTGCCAGCCCTGAGAATAATAGATAAACTAACTTTTGATAGAACAATTCACTCTCGTGTAATTGAAGTGTAAGCAAAGCGTTAAGTCTCCTCAGTATATTAAAAAAAAATAAAATAAGGGCCTATAGTTTTTTATTTGCACAAGGGCATCCCAAATTATATAGGGTCGTCCCTGTTAATGGACAAGCTGAATTTGCAACCATAAGATAAGCTACATACATCTCGCAAAATACGTCTTCCCAACATGTCCACCAGCCATAGCTTCCCTAACATTTGCCTGAAATAGCTTGGGGTCGTCTCTCAAAACATCAGAAGCATCATGATTAAGAGGGTCCTCATGATTTGGTCCGGTAAAAAGATGGCTTAGTCCATAAACAATGGTGTTAATGTTGAGGACAGGTTTCCAGTCTTCCCGAAGTATGTTGAGGCAAACATTCCCCTCCAGATCAATGTTAGGATGATAGACCTTGGTCTTGCACTTGACTTTTGGGGGTTCATATGGATACACAGGGGAAATCTTGAAACTGAATCGAAAATTCCCGCCCCGATAATACCTTTCATCTGGTCGAATGGAGATTTCAAAGTGCATCAGGTCATCCTTGCCATTTGGGAATGTGATCTTACATGTTTTAGGAAGGTTCAACTCGCTCATGTCTTTGTGAACCCGCAATTCCCCAGCAGTTTGCTTCTTTGCAAAACCTACTCTTCCAGCTCTAGTTTCAGCCGACTCTTTCTGCTTATCCTTTAGTCTGATAAGGTTAATCATCGCACCTTAATTCTTATTCAGAAATTATCTGATGTTGAGACTTGAGAGAGAAACGGGCAAGGACAAATCTTATTCGGAGCAAGGATTAAATCGAAGGATGGATTTTTTATTTTTTTTTAAAAAAAAAAAGTTTAGACGCGGTGTTGATGCGAATTGTCACTTTCTGAATTGCGGGTTGATATCTTACTATATAAGAAACAAAAACCACACTTCAAAATACTCCCCTTTAATTGCCACGTGGCATTTCCACCTCATTAATTGCCATTAATTGGTATTAATAAATTAATAGATTTCCATAATGCCCCCCGGAATGCACACCACGTGCTCTTCTATTTTCTTCCCTCTTTCAAATTCTTACTCCTCCATTACAGTACAGAAAAGTAAATTATATTACTTCTTATTTCACAACTGATGAGATTGCTCTTCAGCCTATTTCATTTTCGATTCTTCTTCCAAAATCTTACACGTTCTCATAATCAAAATGCCGCTGTCCACTATCGGTAAACCGCCGCTTCCACCACCACCCCGCCTTGCTCGGGCACCTCCGTCGCAAACCATTTTCTCACGTGCCAGAGCTCAGATCGCCACTTTCCGTCTATTCTAACATAGAATGGGAAACAAACCTTCTACAGGCATCTATTATAACAGAATTTAATTGAATCCTACCTTAATCCATAAGTTTTCTTTGATTTCTTCAATTGAATCCCATTTTCAATTCATTTCTTTCGGTTTGGTTACTTTTCCAAGTATGGAAATGGATTACTTAGTTCCGAAGCTTCAGAGACAGTCGCAAACGAGCTCGGAGTTTCTGTACTTGGGCACTTTGGTGAATACTCATGGAGCCACCGACAATAGTGTTATGCAGCAACAACACCCACGTGACAGTAGCCCCGGCGACAAGAGCAGTGCTGCGAATTCAAGAAAATTTGATTCGCCGGAGCTCCGTCCTTTGCCGCCGCTTTACGGTCACAACAATGTTAGGCGAAATTACGGTAATGGTGATGTGGGGTCGGCCACACAGCAATGTTAGGCAAAAAATAAAAAAACTCTTCCAGTACCGGAATATTTTGGGTAATATTTTGGAATTTGGGTCCAGTAAATGAATACAGTCTAAATAGAAATGTTTTCATCGGCTGATGTTTGACCGAAAGGAAAGTAATAGTATTTTGTATAGAGCCCAATCTTTTTTTTAGAGTAGAAGTAATAGTATTTTGTATAGAGGTCAAACATTTCCGGCAATACAGTCCTACTAATTTGTCCCACTTTTTACAATAGGGCTACGCACCATGATCGCACTAATTTATATGGTGGTGAGTTCTTTTTTTTTTATCCCACTTTTGTATAGTATTTTGTATGATTTTTGTATGATTTTGTATTGGGTGAGAAGGAATGATGTTCCTTTTAAACACCTCCTATGATTGTCACGTGACATGAAGAAAGTACTAAATTGCCCTTTTGTCTAACCATAACTAAATTACTAAATCCCCCTTTGCACTTTACGTGACACTTTTTTTTTTAATTTTTTCTTTATGTTTCATTCAATTAGAGTGATTTTCTTTTCTTAATTATGGAGTCTAAATTGAATTGATCAATTAGGTTTTTGTTATAAAATGTCAATTTTATTTTAAGCATATACCATTCGGATGAATCTTATTACAAAGCTATTAAAAATCTTCAAAACTAAGTATTAATTTGGCACGACCAATGTAGAACATCAATAAATCATCTTACTAATATTTAAACTTATTAGGATGCTTTTATATTTTGTCTAACATTTACTTCAACACATATATTCGATTAAGTCTATTTATATTTAATAAGTAACACTTATAAAACATTTCTAAGACATACATGGCGAAATACAATTTCTTTTTTTGTGAAATACAAATATTTCTATGATCACACTTATAAAACATTTCTAAATCCTTCAAACATTTCTAAAATATATCGCTCCAAATACAAAATTTTATTTTTTTCAAATATAAATATTTCTAAGATCTACAAATAGACTGGGTTAGGGTCGCATATTACGCAACCAGACATCACTAGTATATAGAGGAGAGAAGAAGGGTGTATGCCGACAAACTTTTACAAATCCTGATCGTAATAACAATTGGAAATACAGAGGAAAATAGGATTACAATCAAATAAGTGTAATGTCGTCACTACTAATCAGTTGAAGCAAAATTACCAAAAATATAGAAGAAGAAATCGGCTGAAGGAAAATTACCAAAAATATCAAATTCGTTTTGTTACGGTTGGAGAAGACTTAGGGAAAACATTCACTTATGGCTGTTTTTTTTTGGTGGGGGAAAAGAAATTACCTTAAAATTGAGTGGCCGCTGCCGACCATGGTTACGATGGGACGTCTGGCGATGGCTAATTTTTCCTGGGCACTCCATGGTCCGATATTTCCTGGGCCGTGCGAGGCTAATTTCGCTAACTATATGCGTTTTAGTATTTTTCTCGAGCTGACGTTTCGGCTCTAAATCGAAGCTCGTTCCTTGGCCCATATGAAAAAACAACTAGCTGTAACAAGCTCTACTTTTCGGTTTGTTCCTGATTCTGTTCATCCATATGCTGAGATTTTATTGGGCCGAAAGACGAAACGCTTACTAATTCCTACCTCAGGTCCCCATATTTGCGGGTCATTTTCAAGTTTCAAGACCTACTGTATTTGGTTTACATCATATTACCACATACTACACCATCAGAGGATGCTGATTTTTATTGATTCCAATTCCACCCAGAAAACAGAGGAAAACACAAAACACACTTGGCTTCAAGTGTCGGGTCGTGGAAATATCAGTGATTTAAGACAATCAGAAATCGACGAGATTTCATTTCCTTTTTTTTTTTTTTTTTTTTTTTTTTGGTAGGGATGTAATTTGTTCTGGCGGAAAGGTGAACGGCGGGACCGTTGTTTAAGTTGAATATTCACAGGCACAAAAGACAGTGAAATGCATTCAAAAAGTGATCAGGGTGTTTTTTTTACCATCACACAATAAAATGTCAGGCCATTAGTGCGCTACAAATTTTACATTTTGTGTTGGGTTTGCTGGGTGTTTGATGAAATGCGCCAGTGGAAAAGCAAAGGCGGCAATACACCCTGCAAATCTGCCATTGGGTACTTTTAATTAATTACTTATCTTAGCATTGGTAATAATGCAAATGGAGTTCCATAATCCCCTTGTTCGTGAGTATGAAGGGTTTATTAATACTTTTGTTGAAAGTGAGATTGAAAAGGCCAGAATTTTAGGGGTTTACAAGAAAACCCGACTGGAATTTAAACTGGAGATTGTTTCTGACCCCTTTCCGTTTCGGGGTGTTGTGGTCAACGGCGTTGAGGTCTTCGTTTCCAAATTTAGCAAGTCAGTTTCTCACTCAGGTAGGTGCAGTTCCTTACACTATCTAACTTTACGGAACTAGCTAGGACTATGTTCGGATGTCGGCCGAGCCTGAATCAATTCGAAAACACAACGAAACCCGTCCCAAGAGGTTTGTATCCGAAGATCATATTGTAAGGTCCTAAAATTAAGAGACTCATTTCCGTCTGTCATTATGTAGATGAGCTTGTTCAATTATTTGAGCTTACACTGTGCACTGGATCAATGGCCTCTTGGGTCTGGTCCTTGAGGACCTGAGGTGTTTCCCAATATAATTGCATCAAGTTGGACAATATATATCCCAGGGAAAAATGAAAGTGAAAGGACGAAGTTGCCAATATTGCCCAAAACGAATTTCAGCAACTCATCCAGCATTGGTCCTACAATAAGTGCCTCAGCAAGATTCAGTGTAGGTTATCCTTTTCCTTTGATCTCATTTTCATTCACGTTCTGGCATACTTGATTACATTTGGAGGAGGTTAATGTTTAATGTGTTAATGTTAGATAACCCACGAGGGCCTTCAACACTATTTGTAAAGAAACTATTGTGGTTGTGGATACATATATAGAATGCCTTTCCCACGTGAACATTGGCACCATTGTTACATTTGATTGCCTGCCTTTCAATTTACATCTCATGTTTGATCAATTTTGTGTTTGATGGGATTGGGGTGGATAGAATAATTAACTTTTGCAAAAGGAATATTATGGCACCAACCCCCCCATTGGATTTGTGCACAACAGACGTTAGCCATGCAGGAAAATTGTCGTAGATATCGTTCACATTGATTTGCCTAATTATATGTTCACAGACAGCATTAAGCGTTTGTTTGTTTATGTTTAGCCTTAAGTGCTCAGCTAATTGTTGCTATTATAGAAATAGGCTAGTACAACTATTGTTACATTAGACTAATGCCTTGTTTGTTATTGATTCTTTGTCTTGACACTGTTAAAGAAATCAGGACTGCGATGTTTCCTTGAAACCATGATTATTTTGTCGATACCAGACATATTGGTTTCCGTAATGAGGTATATTTGTCTGCATCCATTATTCTTTAATGCAGCCCTGAAAAGCTTTCCCCCACTTTATATTTGAAGTAATGGAATTTTCCCTTTTGTTAGATTTGAAAATTGAAACTGCGCATTAGTCTTACACAAAAAATTACCAAACCGTAAATGATGGAAAGCTTAAATGCTCAATAGCTTATCACAGATTTTGGGACAAACTCCAGAGATGTTCATGTGGGATCTTTTAGTACTAACCCCACTGGCTTTTAATCGTTTAATGCACCTATTATAGATTGTGTAGTAATTGGCCACAGTTGACTGGAATAGTCACTTTCACATTCATCACCTCTAGTGGAATGTCAGTGATTGCTGCTGCCTCTAGGAAAGTTTCATGGCAATGGATAAAAGCCTGAAAAAACTGGGACAGAAATCAGTTTGGAGAGGACGAAATGACTTGATTCCCAAAAGTAGCAAGGTTAAACTGTAAAGTGACTTTTCCTGAAAAGGAAGCCATCATTAAGGTCTGTGGTGGGAAGGAGATGCTTTTCTTCTAACGATGATGAAGCTTTTGGCTAGAGAGTCCTACAACATGGTTTTATGACAAATTGATAACTGGAAAAAGAAAAACATCCAATGTAGTAAGGAGAGTAGTACTTAGTACTTCTTTGCAATAATCATCACAATAACATTTTTCCTTTTCTCTTTGCCCTTATTTTATTTTGTCATGGAATCTTTTTATAAAAAGGGGGTCAACTAAAGCTGTCCAGAAAAGAAAATCCTTGCAGAAACTTTACAATTGTTAATTGCTGCAACTAAGATACCCTATGAAAGTGATGAACTTTACTGCTTAGTTTCTGGTTTCTTGATCTGAATCTGGCCATTGAAGCCATTGAAATTGTAATAGCTACTAATGGAGATGAATGATGATAATTAAGCCAATGACTGGGTGCTTATATTGCTAATAGCCATTGTAGAATAATGTACCTCATTGTATGTAACAGAAAGTTCATGGAGCCCTGCCATGGAATCTGGAAAGAAAAAAAGAGGGACTCTTTTCATTTGCTTCATCAAAAAGTCTATCTTTTATTCTTCCCTTTGTAAAGAAGAAGAAAGAAAATATATATACTGAAATTGTACATTAACATGCTTCTCTTAATCTTGCGTAATGTGCAATCTAGGAAGAGGACAATGAACACTCCCCAGCTTCTTCACTCAATGAATTTCTGGGATTGGTGCCTAAATGAGAGTTCTTACAATGAGCAATTGCTGACTGGATTGAAATTTCAATATCTGATGTATCACTGCTGCTCCTCTTGTAGGGGTTTGACTCATAAAGAGCATTAGACTTAATCGAAAATGATGAAGATGAAGAAGAAGCGCCAGATGAGGAAGATGAGGTCGACGAAGACGAAGACAGGCATTTCGATGGAGAATGCCGTTTGATTGCACCAGAAAATGACCTCCTATGCTTGTCCATAGTCTCTTCCATTCCTTCTTTGTCAATTCTCTTTATGAGATTAGCTATAGTTGGATATGGCCCCCTTGAACCATGCCCAAATGGGTTACTCTTCTTGCCTACCACCTTAACGTACTTACTTGAAAAGTCCTTCGATTTGAGCTCCTTTTCAGCATCCAAATTCCGGGCTGCTTCCTTGGAACCGGCCGACTCATCCGAACAGGCAGACTTGCTAAACAGAGACTTGAGATATGCCCGGGAAGCCTTAAGCTTCTGACTCAAAGAGAGATGCCTAATCATCTTCAACTTCTTGGACCAGGACTTCTTTGGAATGGTGTTGATAAAACTACTCAATTCAGTAGACCATTCAAAGAAATAATCAGCAGGGTTGAGTTCACAACTCACTCTGCATGACTCTGATGGAGATATATTGCAGGAATCTAAAGGGGTGTTAATGTTGGTAGAAGGTGCAGTGGAGATACTAATGAAAGGAATACCACACTTTCCAACTTCTTCTCCTTCCTCATCATCTTCGGGGGCTTGTTTTGAAAGCTCCGAAACAGGGTTCAATGAGCTTCTGAGAAGTGTTTGGACCATTTCCAAGCGAGGTGGGAGATACAGAGGAAGAAGCTTTCCTTTGTAAAAAAGCTCATCAGCTGGTGAAGTTGTGGAGTTTCTGCCATTGGAGACAATGGAAGACATTTGAAACTCAAAATCTCTGCTCTGTGGGGAAGCTCTTTCTGGTAAACGAAACAAGTTGGGACTGGAAGTTAGCTCCATGTCTATGTAGTCTTCATCTTCACCATGACATGGCGAAGGATTTTTGGCCATTTTCTTTCTTTCTTTTTTTTTTTTTTTTACTCCCCTGCTTCTCTTCTCTGTGTTGGACTGTGTTTCTCTGAAAGTATGTTTATTAGTGACTCTGAAACTTATGGGGAGATGAGCTTGTTTGAATGGAGAGGAAAGGGCATCATTTAAAGAAAGGATGGTGCCAACTTATAGAAAGGGCACATTGAAATTGAGAGAGGAAATGCTTGTGTGCTGTGCTTTTTTTGAAATCTCGAATTTGTGGGCTGCGGAAATAAGTAATGCTCCATAATAATAGTTGTAGTAGTAGTACACCAGTATAATTACTAAGTATAATGCAAAAAAAGAGTTGCGAATGATTCCTACTGCTAGTACAGGCGCGTGGTTGGTCATTAGTCTTTTTTTGGGTCTTGGAAAGGAAGACCAGATTTAACAATATTTTGGTGCTTATTTTTGGAGTACAATACAGTCTACAGTCTACACTCTACACTACCACAATGTTTTCCTTTCCATTCTAAGGTGAAATTTTTAGTACTGGGTCACAAAAAATTTTACCAAAGTTATTAAGCACTCTTCTTCTCCCGAAATTGATGAGATCGAAACTATAAAATTTGCCGAAAACTAGATTGAATACATAAAAAAAGCGAAACAAAATTAAAACCTTTTTTTGGTTGTTTGAAGAAGCTGTCAATCAAATGGATCTACGTTGAACCTTTTACGGGTACAAGTCCAAACACCAAATGATACCCGGCGCCTAAACTCGGGTTTCCTCTTGGATAGCAAAACTAAAAATTATTGATGACAAAATTACGATATTCATAATTGACTAGATTGGGCCTATTAGAATTGCCTAATCTGTTGTCTAGGTTGGTAATTTAAAAATTGCTCCAACGTCCGTCTGTCTCGAGAGCACATGTAATTCGTCACTGAAACTTCAGTCTATTCTATTATTGGGAAGTCACACCAAACTTGACTAATTGCGGAATATCCATTTACCTACTCGCAAAGGCAACCGTTTCATTTGGATAGGGTTTTGGCGGTAATTTCCTCTTCAAAAGAAGTCATAACTTCGGGTCTTGCGTGAATTTATTTTAGTTGCGATTTCCATAACAATTGCTTCTCCTAGGCTATAAGTAGCTTTCCAAAAAATCAAACCGGTATGAGTTCTTTTCAACTAGTGCATTCGAGCCGGAGTTACTGTGGCATATGTTTCCATTAATTCTTGAGACTTGAGAGGAGGGCTAACACACACCAACGAAAAGTAAATAATTTTTTTTTTCAAAAAAATATTCAATTCAAATGTATTACTAATAGATGAGGAATTGAGGAAAGAGGATGGTTCACCCAAATTCTGTGCGGATACTCCTCTAATAAAGGGAACCAGATTTGAGCTGATGCAGTTTTCTGTTCAATCAGAATTGAATAAAATCCTTTGCAAATCCTTCCACAGCAATATTAAACCCCCAAAAAAAAAAAAAAACAAAGAATACCGCCATGCCTCTGCTCTCTGCAACACCCCTACTTTTCAAAAAGCATATGGTTTTTATTATGAAGGAAAGCTACCCATGCACCAAAACTAGAATTTGATTATTATTACTACCATTTAGATTTGCTGAAGGGATTGGATTTCGCATTCAAGTATCTTCTACATTTGTTTATATTCTACTTTTAAAGTTTTTACTGACTTTGTTTTGATAAAAAAAAAGAAAAAAGAAAGAGTTTTTACTGTTTTTGAGATGTCAAACTCTAAAGTTGTTTGACCATGTTTTACTCAAACCATGTTTCTTTCTTTTTTTTTTTTCTTCTTTTCGGGAAAACACTCATAAAACCAAGCTATTTGGACATTGAAGTACGGAAAAGTTTGCATCCCAAGCTCGAGGGTTTTGTTTGGAAATTGTTGTTCTTCTACCTCTCACATAATCTATCTCTTTTGTCCTAATCTCTCTCTCTCTCTCTACTCAAACCCCCGCGTAATGTTAAAACAGAAAAGTAAACAAAACTTGCGGGATTTAGGTTTTGATCTATGGGTTGGGGAAATTATCAATATCTGTCCCCATGCCTCTCTGAAGCTGCGCATAAACTTAAAATATTTTTTTTTTGTAAAGTACTATTAAAGAAGGGGCAACTGAGAAATCCTGGCTTCTGGCTCTCTCTCTCAGCTTTGGGGTGGTCATGGAGTATATTAAAAAATAGAAAAACAAAAGAGGGACAAAGTGCCACCAAAACACTGAACACTTTCCCTTGGCGCTGATTGTTAGGCTTACAGTTACAAGCACAGTCTGCGTCTTAAAACTGAGGAACCAGAGATTCCGAGTGGCAGCCATCAGCCCATGCCCATTAGCCATACCACTTTGTGCACTTCACTCAGGACAGCCCCTTTGCCTCTTCTGCAGCACCACATGAGATGAATGAACCCATCTCCTACTACATCTTAAAAACACTTCTTCCAGTCTGACCAACAATTCTTTTCTTTTTTTTCTGCTTAAAAATTACTTAAAAAATGGGACAATGAGTTTCCAGTCCTCACTCCCCCTGTAGTTACCACAGTTGCATTGCGAATTTGCGATTCAGAGATTTACGAACTTTAAGCCTTTGTACAACCCGCATATATGCTTCTGGTATTGCTAGTGCTTTCATAAGTGCTGAAAATGCTTTTTGAGTTTAGCGGAATAAACAGCCTAAGGTTAACTGACCTAAACAAGCACTATCAGCAGTGCGCTTAGCGCCTGTCCATCATTATACAGATATAGCAAAGCTGTACTACTTCTCAGAAAAATTATTCATCCACTATTTTAGTACTTTTTATGTCCAGTCTCAATTTTCGATATCATTAACATGTTAAACCTCAGGATATCTATCTGTATGGATGGGTTCCATTATCCTAAAGTTATTTGCCCCAAGCAAGCCTAAAAACTGCCTCTTTCAAAAGTAGAATCGGGGTACCTGAAAACTGAAAATAGTAGCACCTTGCCTCGTTTGGGCAAGACAGTCGGAGCAACTTTATGCTGCAAGTCAATTCCCTCAACCTCGCTTGCGTGCAACCAAAAACAAAGGTGGACGGAAAGATGATTTAAAATGCCATCACAACAGCTAATTGTCCTCAGTGTCTGTCAACATGATCAAATACCCATTCATGAGGTTCGTCTGGAGAGTGGTCTCTGCTGCTATCCTCAAGGAGATAGTCCATTTTAAGGTTTGAAAGCTGCAACTTTGAATCATTGCTCTTTTTATTTCTATTCGATGAATGAGGAAATTCATCTGCTTCATAATCTATTGTCTGACTGGGCTGGTCCGGTATTGGATAAGGACTTCTGCTAAGGCTTACCGGAGTTTCCGCTTTTGGGGTTCCTCTTTCACACGTTAATTCCAGTTTTGAATCATATATGATGATGTTATCAATCTTGGGGCTGACCTTCGGTGGATTATCTGCTTTTGTTCTTGGAGACTCAACTTCCAAACGTGGTCTATCAATTGATTCAAATTCATCTTTGATTTTATTGAGAGCATCGAGTAAATCTTTTACTTTCTTGTCATCTTTTCTGCGAAGGATGAACCATATTTCTCCATTAAGAGAAACAACTCCCGTTTATGTAGAATAGCTACCATACAAACGAATAAATACCTCATAACGCCTTCATCTTGAGAGTAGAACTGTCTCTGTATGCTTTGGATGGCAGTGAATATATTGACAAACTGCAAAATGAGTGGCATAACACAAGACAAGTGAACTCAACCAAACAGGTAACCAAGAAGCAAAAGATTGAATAATTCATTCAAACCAAAATCAAACTTCTGCGTAACCAGATATCGGAAATACTAACACGTGAATAAGCTGGAGAAAATTATCTAATTTAGTACTTATCTTTCAAGCAGGAGAATTGAATTCTGTGTGTGTGACTTTCTGTTTCAATACGTAAACAAAGATTGTACCTTGGACACGGCATCTGCATATTGTTGCTCTAAAACTTTTCTCGAGCTGACAGTCTCATCATTTGAAACTGCTGTGATACCTAGCCTGGAAGAATCCGATGTTAAAGGGGGATAATATCTCGAGAAAGATTGTGAGGGAATTAAATGCATTACCCATTCAAATTCTCCACTAGCTCCCTGACGTGGGAAAGATGTGGCCCTAACTCATCCTAAATACAGGAACAAGTGTGAGAGAGCTTGTCCAGAAAAATCTGTGCTCAGATTGCCACTAAAAGGAATGATTTTGTCAATCAATATGATAGAAGAATTAAAGCACACCTTATAGGATGATAAAATTCGAACTGCCAGGTTCACAAAGTATTCTTCATACCTCTCCAATTCATCACTTGAATGTTGGTAGAAACAAGACATGCAAAGCAAGCGTGAGAATCACAGTAACTAATGGCATCCGAAAGCCCGTCATCACAGGCAACTGTTTTTATTATCAATGTGAAGGATGAAAAGAAACAATAAAACATCGAATGGTAGAGACTCGTACTTGTCCTGCTTCTGCTTTTGTTCAGTATATGCAGACTGGAACTTGTAGCTACTTTCTAGAAAAACAATAAACGCATTACAAACATCTGCTTCCGTTCGATATGATGCAATACTCCTCGACAACTCATCCTCCTAGAAATAGAATCAGAAAAATAATTGAGTTAGATAAAATGTAAACCATAAGATCTGGAGGAATGAAGACTAGAAAACTTCTAAGGACTCGCTCTATACTAAAATGCTTAGGATCCATGATTAGGTCTATACTGAACACACCTTTGCCTTGAAGTGCTGAAGAATCTGACTACTAGCTTCATCAAACTGTTCCCTTTCTTCTCTGGCGTTGTGAAGGCGGGCATGTATGGAAGTTAATGAGGCATTGACCTAAAATGAGACCCGTTAAAGATAACATGATGTAATATTAGTAAGAACTAGATTTCAATGGCTTTAAACTGGTACCAGTACAAAAGAAAAAAGAACTTGAAAGTTTCTACAGGACATTCCTTTATGAGACACAAGTAGTGCTTAAAGTTGCAACGCAAACAAGATGGTAAACCAAAAATTTTAAAATGGTTGGGAGGAAAATCACCTTCTTCAATTCAGCTTCAAGTTCACTTTTTCTCTTTTCAAGTGCTTCCATTTCAATTCCCAGTTCCTGGAAAAAACAAAGGTGGATAACACTATGGTATATTTCTTCAACTGAATAGGTAACAAATCAAGTACCAAGAAATATTGGGCTGAAAATCAGAAAGACAAGATAAAAAAGAATAAAGCAGGATGTAAAGGCACTACAACAATTCTCATGAGAGTACAGACATATTTCTTGATTTAGCTATCCTTGATCTCAAAATGTAACTGGAAGAAGTAAGAACGCTATCTGCACTGAAAAGGAAATAGTCGATGTCTTCAGTTTGCTGAATATCTCAAAATACTTTACAGGTGTAAAGAAAGATGATATTTGAACTCACACCCACATTGACGTCAAAAAATCAGCAGTGTTGAAAACTTTGCACAAAGTGAGGATTATATCTTAAAAGAACATTTTCCGTAAAAGGTTGAAATAGATAGTACAAGTGTACAACTACACCACCTCTATAAGCAAGATTCCTTCAGGAATCTAAGAATTGACATGAGCATAACATTCTTGACCAGAAAGTGTGGAACATTCCACCGGGCCCAAAGTTAACTTTTCTTCCACGTTCTTTGTTAAGAGGAAGGCGCCGGTGGAGTAGTTTCAAGAAAGGAAAAGTATATGAAAATCAAATCTAGCGATCTCATTTCAACGGACGGATACATTTGTTACAATATCATCTACAGCATTAGGTAATAAAGAATTTCACCTTCTCGTGTTGACTCATTTCACTGGTTTTAGCTGTGCGAAAACTGATAGCTTCTACGTTTTGAAGTCTGGTCCGAAAAATAAAAAAGAAAGTATAAGCAAAACACAAAAAGTACTTGTTAGAAGGAATCCTTTGATTAAAGATGACATTACTAGAAACTATATGTATTTTTTCAGGAATTATCTTGAGTCTAGAATACATGCAGTGCTGGTTAGGAATGCAGGCTTGACACTCGAATTTGTCCACTATCAGCTGCGACTTTTGCTTTTAAACATTCTGTAAAGCATGCTGCGATGCAGCTATTTCTTTAAAAGAAAACTGAACCCTTAGAGAAGGTTTTGTCAAACAGTTCCAATTAGTTAACTTTCCACTTATCAGGACACAGATCAGTATTGCACTAAAAATTTAGCATAGATACACATATGTAGGATTGAACCAAGAAGATGGAAGAAATGCAGACCTATTGTCAGAAATGCGTTTTTCTGCTTTCAAGGCTGAGTTAGCAAGAGATTCTGATAAAACTTTTAGTTTGTCAACCTGCAAATTCATCACATATAGGCTCCATGTTAAATAGAAACCATGTTAAGTGGCGGAAGGAAAGTAACACCTGCAAATGTCATGATAAAAGAAAGACCTAACAGTATAAAGAATTGTTCACCTTCTTGTTATGAATCTCACCATAGTCTTCATTCTTGAAATTACTCTTTTGCAGTAGAAGTGCCTCTAATCTCGAGCACCATCGTATGTATTCAAGTTCTTCTTTTAAATCCTGCAAACAGTAAAATCCTTTGGTAACCTCGGAATTAGAGGAAAATGTGTCATGTTGCTCATATAGAAAATTATCACAATAATAAAGGAAAATAAACCAAAATGAGAAGAATACACAGCAAAGCAAGAGCTGGAAACTTCAATATCATGTTGATTCAAAGGGATACAAAACAATAATGTAATCTGTAACTATAGCAGTATGAATTAGAAGAATTTTTTCCTGTCAAAAGGAGGAAAGTAGAAAAGAGGATTGCTAATTATATTGCAATACTTGGGATCGGATCTACGTATCAAGAAACAAGCAAATGAGAAATCAATCTGCTCACCTCCGCATCTGGAAGAGTTCCATTTCCAGAGTGATTCTTATCTTCTGCATTTGAATTTAGCTGCGATCCCATCTTATCCAAGTCTTGTCGAATCTTGGAGACTTCCAAATCTATTCTGAGAGCAGATCACACAAAAAGAACAAGGAACTATAAACTGTTCTTATAACCACCAAAGTCCAACGAATGAAAGTATAAAGATCCAGAGCGGCTCAAGTACACACCCGATATATTAAATATTTGGTTTGGAAATGGTTAAAAATCATTACAAATAATTTGAGCTGAGTCGGGACAGTTTTGCAGCAAACCTATCTTACGTATAAACAATAAACTTATTCTCATTGGACTTGTGGACATAACAAGCAGAAGAAACTCCACCTTTTCAAATCATTGCAAATAAATTTTGAGAATAATATCTGAAAAGAAGCGAAGACATGATTGACAAACTGTTAGCAGTTTGTGCAATTATATCATGGGAAGTAGGATATGCTCTGAAACTCTAGGTAAAATTAAGTTCCAAAGCAAATATTGAAATATAAAGAGCAGATATTGTTAATCTGAAAACCTAAATAAGCAAATTAAAGAAACAACAACGAAGATCCAAGAATGAGAGACAGAAGGCTAATATAGATGAACTAAAAATCATTTTCCCTCTCATTGTAGAAAATGGACACCAGCTAAAGAAACATACATAAAACGCAGATAAAAATAAATAAAAAAACAAAAAATTTCAGTATCAGCCATCCCCAAACTTAAGGATCATTGGAGGGGTTAGATGCTGTCAGAACTTCCTGCAATCATAGGTCTGACTGCGACAAAATGAAGTTTCACCAAGTTGGTAAAGCACAAATTCTGGTTTTAAAATTCAGAAGAAAATAACAAGATTTTGCCAAGGTATCCAAGGGCCAAATTAAAGAATGCAGGACCTCATTAGCATAGAGAAAGCAAGAAAACCAAAAGTACAAGTTATATGGTTAGGAAATTAACATAGCATCAGTCCCATATCTTGCAAACTCGAGTAACTAGTCTTCTTAAAGTACATGGCACCCAAACCTTGGGAGTAAAAACCATAGCTTACAATACCAACCTCAACATATTCTCATGTATCTACAAGAAAAATCCTTACCAACCTCAACATATCAGCATTTACTTTCAGTCCAGCAATTGCATCTTGTGCGCATTGCAGCAGTTCTTCTCTCTTTGCCTGGAAACAACCACGCAACACATTTGAAACCCTTAATAGAGGTAATGTTGCTGATTATAAGATTCCTAGCAGACCTTGTATGAAAAATGCAATTACCAGTACTTCATCCTCGTATGCGGCAAACACTTTTGCCAAGTTCTGTATGCTTGCAGCTGTTTTACAGTGAACTTCTTTCTCACCAGTAAGACAGATCCTATTAGCAATGAAAAGGAGAATAATTAATTTTGTCTATTCCATTGAATGTATACTTTTGGCACGAGAGTAAGTTACCTCATGCCAAAAGGAAATGAGTCCAACACCTATAGTTGTTTTCCTTCAAAATAAGCATAAATATTCCATCATTCCATTCTCTTCCAATCTTTCTTTCTCTCTTAATTAGTCTTCTAATAAACAGAAATGTTTTTTAACATACTCTCTTAATTAGTCTTCTCATAAACAGAAATGTTTTTTAACATATAACTTCATTTCAACAAGGAATCTAAATTTGAGGAAAAGAAATTTTCACCCAAATAACTCGAGAAGTAGAGATACTTCCTCCTCATCAGGTGCTTCAAGAATCTATAGCCACAGAAAAGTAAATATTAGCAAAAAAGATGTCATGATACAGAGAATCCCACCAACAAAGATATCCAGTGCAAGAACTATTCAAATCTAGTAAATCTTGCAGAAGAAACAAATACAGGAAGCTTAGTAACGTACATTTCCCCTAATACTTCAGAAGACATGAAAGAAAAGAAAATGAGAAAATGTTTGGCTTCCTTACTTTGTGAGAAAAAATCATTCCTATACCAAGCCACCCACTACATTAGTTACATTTCCCGAACATCTAACAAGGGGGTATGCCATTCAACACAGCGAACCACACAACATATGTAGGTTAAAATACAGGCACATAATATCTTGAAAACAACATCTTAGTACAAATAGTTGCCAAAACCACACAAATCAGCATGCCACCTTTAGAAATCTTGCTACGGAGGACTACTATCAATCAGACAGGATCAGGCAATGAACTAAGAATTGAAAAGATAAGTTACTACAAATGCTGTGGTTACCAATCGATCACAGCTTAGACTTCTAAATCAACATTGTAAAACATGGATGATACACAAACAGTGTCGAAAACCCAGCATTCGTAGATAAGGTAAAGCCATATAACTAAAAGCAACCTGCATAAAAACCTCAAAGAGAAAGGGTAGAGAACTGGAACTGATCCAGCTTACCATGGACAATGTGACCCCTTCCAGAGCTTGGCTGTGAAGAAATACATCTCGAAAATTCAGTGGTATTCCATTCAGGTCAGGATCAAAAAACTGAGCCTACAAATCATAATATGCAAGTGTATAAAGGTGAATTAGGAGGCAAAAATTTTAATGTCATCTAAAGGGTCTACAATTACAGAGAAACAGGAGCTGCCATCACAATCACATTGGAGTCCCTGGTGATCCAAAGCAATGTTTTTGAGGATTCCCCAAAAAAAAAAAAAAAAAGTTAAAAATGTGTGGACACAAGTCTTGCTTGGGCATGAAAGGATTGATGATGATCATTGGCATGAGTCAACAGAAGCAACTAAAAGAAGAGATAAGACACCAAAGAAAGGCAAATATCACCATTATGCAACAAGAGCAAGTCCATGATCTCATAGGAGGGTAACATCGGCAAGTAAAATAAAAATTTTATTGAGATGGAACTATTTAGTGCATTTCTCTCAGTGGTTGAACCAGAATCTGTACAAAGAAGTTACAAAGAAGTTATTTAAGGAAAGAAAGATACATTGATAACACTAGCGCTCTGGCTTCCAGGATAAATAACACAAATCATAGATATGTAAAAGCTTTGATAGATTATAATCTTCATAAAGTAGGATACAGCTTGATGCAGACAAAGAGGTGCAATCAGGCTAACATCGGAATAAAGATCAACATCTAACAAAACAGTAGCTCACCAGTGTCGGATTTTTAGGAGAATCTTTTGATTCGGAATCATCAGCATCTCTCTTTGTGATCCCTTGGTCAGCATCATGTAATCTTTCAATTTCTTTCAGGGCAACAACCCACCTTCTCAGCAGTTGAACTCTTTCTATTCCTGTGCAGGAAACAGAAACTTCCTCCAGTCGTTTCACAGCAATCTTGAAATTTTGGAAGTTCCTAGCACCCTACTTACCACCAAATTTTATTAGACAGTTCAGATCATTGAGAAACCAATGGTTTACACATATATGCTTTAATGAGAACAAGCATTTTCACACTACTTTTATCCTCAAACTCAAACTATGCCCCTCGATCACTAGTTACATAAACAGACAGGAGGTAAAGGAAACAAATATACAACAATCAAAGTAAAGTTCCCGATCGTATCAAACATTTTGCTCGTGCATGTCCATTCACAGGTTCTAGAAATCATGCTATGACAGTTATGCACAATGCAAGACCTCAGGTTTTAGGATTCTGAGATGAAATCGACTAATCATTTGTCAACAGACGTTTAAAATAGAGTACCAGACTACTGAAATCTACATCTCTCATTATAACATAATGCCATTTAAACGAGTTAGTGAATTGTAGAGGAGGAACTTACAATGCGATCTTGAAACAATTTGGCGCCGCCGACGACAGCTTGGCCGGCATGATGAACGACGGAGTCGGCAACGCCGCGGACGGTGCGTCGGATGTTATTGTTGGCGCCGACTTCAACGGCTCTGTTTACGGCCGAGCGCAACCAAGACATCTCCTCCCAAAATTATCCGCTTAGGTAATTGCTGACGACGAAGAAGAAAATGTTGCGTAAATGCGACGCTACAATCTCCGGCGTCGGAACGGATAATTGGATTATAAGGCGGGGGTGTGGAAAAACGAACAAGAAAGAGTCAGAGCATTGTTCCGAATCATAGCCAAGGGAGGCAATTTTGTTACTGGGAAAGGACCAAATTGATTCGAGTTTTCTGCCTCCCCTTTCGCGCGCCATGGCAATCGACTTGAGTTTCCTCCAATGCCCTTCGGGCTATGAATCATGATGGATCCACACTTTTCTTTTCCCGTCCAATTCTTTTAATCGCAGCTTAAACCCCTTCCCGCTTAAATAGTTTTGGCTCTTTATTTAACTGCCATCATAAACAATTTCAGATTGGCAGGGGTTATACATATTCGTGATCCATAAGTAATTTATCATTTTGGGCTAAAATGATTATTACAGAAATTTGATACCAAAACTGAAAATATACAGCAGAGAAGAACTTTGGTCTTCATTTAAGCAAGTCTCATTTTCGAACATCTACAGTCTAAACGATCTTTCAAGGAAAGGGAGTTTTTATTACTAATGAGAAAAAAATTGGTGAGTTGATTTGAATGAAGTACAACAAGCTTACAGAGGTTCAGTCCTACAATTGCTACAACATCATTAGGAGATTACAAAGCCAAACTCGCATACTTTCCATCACGGTAATTAGCTATGATAGAGGAGTGCTTGCGGCACTGAAATGCTCCCAAGAACAAAAAATTTCTGAAAACTAATCTACTGTATGTTTAGCCGTCAATATCTGGTAATGGCATCCTCCAGTAATTCCATGAATTGTAGTCTTCCTGCAGGAAAAGGGACATCAACTATAAGGGATTCCGAAGACAACCAAAAAGAAAAAGAAAAAGAAGAAAAGAAGCAAAAATCAGCTCTACTAAGAGAGAGGCTTATCCACAAGTTCATCAGCATCCATCATATATTACCTGCTCAGCCATTGAAGTAGGAGGGAACATGTCATGTACCAACGTATGCAATGAAGTATACGACTTTACATCAATACGATTATTGATGGCTACCTCGCCCTGTCAGTTCGGAAGTACAACTTTAGAAGAATGAAGAAAAGTGAATATAAGAACAAATAGGAGAAGCATGAATGCTAGAAATGCAACGGGAACCTTTGGATTAATGATGAATATTTTGCCCTTCGGAATGCCAATTTTTCTGTAACTGAGCTCATCAGTATCTCTGTTCCCGAAACCAGCATAGAATGGGTTGTGCTCAGGAGGGAAAAGGGATTTAATATCCTGAAAGATTTGCCAAGAACAATAAATCAATAACAAGCTGAGAGAACAGCTGATTATTTGTTTACCCTGACAAGTTTCTAAAATTGTTTTACCTCCAAACAAGCAATCTTAAATTCATGGGGAGCTCTTCTTATCACTGCCACACAAGTAAAAACCCGACCATCAGAGACCAAACACAAACTACAGTTGTTTCTATAAAAAGAGAGCTAAAAGTTTTCATTTAAGTAGATATCACCTTCTCGGTATAGCGAAGGAAATAAACCATCAGGGGAGATGACAACTGGTCCATTTGGTAAGGTCTTCCCATCCTGCAAGTTTCAGCACAGGTTTGTTGATCCAAATGAAATTAGTATGCACTATAGAAATGGCACGGGTAAAAGGCATTTGCAATTAGGAAAGAATTTAACACTTTCAAAAGATGAGTGAAACAGTGGACATGTTTTTGTTCATTTAGCCAGGGGAACTTCATAATCAGACTACACCTCATCAGTTCAGAAGGGTTCAAAGGACCCTAATAAATATCAAGCAAGCACTGGAAGAGGTCCAAAAGTTCATTTGCTCTTACTTCACGACATTTACGTGAGATTGGTCTTTTCTTAATTTTTTATTTTTTTTTTTTGGGTCTTTTCTTAAATTTTCAAATGAAGATGCCCAAAGATGGTAGAAGGCTTATATTAACAGTGACATTAACCTACATTGATTTGAACCATTGAAAGGCATATATACATGGTCGATAGTAATGTTTTAGGACAACATTCATCTTGTGACTGACGGATTTAATTTTTATGCTAACAGAACAATAAAACAAGGAACGTGGATAACCTGCTTTAAATTAAATAGGAATGTCTTCGTTAGATATGCTTGAACAATGGCCCGTGCACTCAGAAAGAGGAGCTGGTACCCGTTTCCCTGCGTTTATGATTCAATATCCAGAACGGCAACACAATATTAGTCATAGTCAATCAAGCAATGGTGTAAAATTCAATATCATAGAAGGCACTCTAGTTTGGAAGCTTCAGGCAGCTGATTATCAAAACATAAGTGCAAACAAATACAAGAACAGTGAATATATATATATAAGGGAAAAAAAAAAAAAAAAACAATACTCCATAGCTACATCATTCTTCAGCAAAGACAAGACAAAAGGTGGGCACTAAAATATGGACATCATAGTCCCACTCCCTAGTCAGTCCAGTAAAAACAACAGCACTGTTGATACTCAAGGTGTAGATAAATTCCTCTCAAAAAGAACCATATAAGCAAGAACTTCTCCTCTTTTATACAAAATAATAAAACTCAGCTCAGGGGGACAAGAAGGAAGAAGGATAGCTCAAGGCATACAGTGAGACAACAAAACAAATACCTTAATTGCTGAAAAAAGACGAGCTATTCCAGAATGCGTCCAGTCCTTACCAACCAGAGGCATGAATTGGCCAAGAACGTCAGACCTGACAGAGAAGAATTCAGTCTCAAAGAGATGGAAACAAACTTTACCCTGAGATTATCAGCTGCTCTTCTCAGTCATGAAATATTTCACTACGTTTAAACAATAATCCCATCATAGAAGTTAAAAACTGAAAGGCAACAACATGAATACTAATGCACCAGCTTACCTTACGAAAATAATTTTGTGAATTTTCCACCATTATCAAAATATTAAAGAACCATCGGACTGACAAGGAATAGGGTTCATATGCATAAACTTGATACAAGACAAATAGAGATGAATCGTCTCTTTTGAGAACATAATAACTTCTTTTGTACCTTTTTCTACGTGCTACTTACTCAACATGAATACTAACGCACCGGCCCACCTTACCACCATTACCAAAATAAAAGAACAATCGGAGTCACAAGGAAGAAGGTTCACATCCATAAACTTGATACAAGAGAAAACAGACATGCACCATTTCTTCTGAGAACATAGTGACTTCTTTATGACCTTTTTACGTGCTATTTACTTTAACATGAAGCCATTTTTTAGAAATATTAGTGCAATTCTCCAGGTTATTCAAAGCGGTGCAACTAAAGAACCAGAGTCAACTATCACAATTGCATGGTTATCCCAAGAGATCGCAGTAAGAGGGAGCATCCAGTGACAAAAGTGAAACCATACTTACTAACTATGCTTCAAAAATTTAAGAACTAAACTTTATGAACTGAAATTTTTTACTTAATTTCAGGACTCCAGATGAACTAGGTAATTAAAGACCAGGAGCAGGAAAATGAATATTTGAATCAAACAGCAACGAGTTATCCAATAATTTTGAAAATTTAACAGCTTTCAATAGAAAACTTTTACTAAGAAAAGCTTACTTGGTTATTGTTCCATCAACATCCGAAATTACAATTCGTGCATTCCACTTCCACAAGTATATATGGGCTTCAACCTGTTCAATCAGCAATGAAGCTATGTTAATAGCAGCAGTGGAACACCGATTGGATATAATGCTTCAAATATATAAAACTATGTTCAAATTGGCAAAAACAGAGACAGAAACCTTCTGGGCTCCTAGAACCCTTGAAAACGAGATGAATGTCACCATATTCTGCCCCTCTTTCAGGTTCAAAGATGCAATTTGTTCACTGGTGGGAACATTTGTTCTCATGAGTTGCTTACGAGGAGATTCCCTAGCCCCACCGGGAGATGATGTCGGTTCAGCAGGCCTATTCTGGGCGCCAGATTCAGAATCAATGAATACTTCCTCATTTGATGCATTACTACTAGTATGATCAATTGACTTGCCCCTTCTAAATGGAATTGGCCATAGCCTCCATCCACGCCCGGACGGAGTCGAATTAATTCCAGTCTCATCTTCCCCAGTTTTAATTGTGGCCTCCTGTTCCACAGGGATAGCATCATTTGAACTAACAGATAGCTCCAAACCATATGCAACCATACCAAGAATGATGGGAGCAGCTTTATCCCAAGGCAAGTACTTCCCTTGAATTCTGATAACTAAATTCTCATTCTTAACAATTGATGCTGCAGAAGATTTGAACTCCTCTTCAGATATGCGATGTCTACCAAACGTTTCTTCCGCTGCAGCAGAACCCATGCCAGGATGAAGCGAATTTCTGCAAAGAGATATCTCTAACCCTGCACCGAATGGAAATATATTGATGAAGAAAGGATAGGAACGAATCTGAATAACTGAAGACGTGTTACTAAAGAAAAAAGGATAAAACTAAACCTCTTCTTGTGTCACTTTCATTTCCTTCGCAGAAAGTGGTTGTTGGACGTTCTACGTCATCATTAGCTAAGGCTTCGGCTTCAGAAGCAGATTCTTGAGGGGCTGCTTCAACTTCATTCTCTGGTTTTCCATTAGTATAGTTGAAATCATCAATCATGCTATCGGAGCCACTAGGACCAACAGCTAATGAATTCTTATCAAGAGTTTCAGCTTGAACTGCCGATTCTGGCGAGCCAACAACACTAGGGATACTGGAACTACACGAAGACAGTTTGTCACTGATTTCTGTTACTGTAAATTGCCGATCTTGAGTTCCATCAGCCGATAATGATCCACAAGGAGACCTCTCTTGTGATTGTTCAGCAACATCAGGGATCCTTTTCGGAGAATCTGCATCATGACTGCTCACATTTCCAACCTGCATAGTTAAAGCTGGCAGCTCCAAACAGCTTTTAAAAACATCTTCCTTGTTCATTCTTGGTGGAGATCCGTCATCCAAGCTAGCATCTTCCCTATTTGTTCTAGGAGATGTGTTTTCCAAGTCACAACTTCGATGCTCTTCGGTTAATTGTTTCTCTGAATCTGGAATCCTGTCCACTTCACTTTGACAGCCTCCATCTTGTTGATGTTCCAACTGGGGTTCAGCATTACTATCAGTCATTTTGCCAGTATCCAGTACATTAACTGTATCCACAGATGTGTCAATCTTACCAAAATAATCATCAGTAGCCCATGAATTTTCACCATTAATGAATTCTTCAGTTCCTTCACCTGGGCCGAGATGAAACTGAGGTGTGTCTTCTACATCCTCAGCGTTCTTCTCCGATGATGAAATGGGGGCGGTAAGAATGTGACCATCCACACTCACTAAAACAACTTCTGAACTTAAATTCTCTGATTCTATCACATGGTCCATGTCCAAATTATCATAGCGGTCAGAACTATATTCTGATAAGTCAGAACTTCCAAAGGAAGAATGAACATCTGGAAAATCATAGAATCGCCTTTCACCATCAGATTCAGTCCTCTCCAATCTGTCAACACCAAGAGCAACATGCTCATCTCGTAACTGAAACTCACCAGTGCTTGAATCATAACTCTCAAGCCTACTGAGAGTATCATCCTTCCCATTGGTGTCCGTATCCATGTTATGATCCCTACCCTCTTCCTTACCATTATTACTATCGGAATTCTGTAAAACACCTTTCAAGTCACCATTTTTCTCCGGAACAACCTCCCTAACAAAATAAGCTTCTCCTGAGTTATCAATATACATGTGGAAATTTGCTTCGGTTCCATTAACTTCTATCCGCACAACTTTTTCAGCGCCCTTTAGCACACCTTGAAATTTACCAAATCTAACATACCAAGGCGTGCTCCTGTAGCTCCCATCTTGCTGCTGCACAACAATTATATCGACTGCACCACCAAATGGATGAAATGGGGTTGCAACAGAGTACACCCCTTGTGTTATTAAGCTTCCAACTTTACCCACTACATTCATTTTGCCAATCTACCAAAACCTTCTCCAATTGAATAAACTTGGATGTTAAAAGATATCAAGATAAAGTCGATAAGATCAAGAAAACCTATTCAATTGCTCCAATTTCTTCTCAGCCGCCAAGAAAGAAAAAAAACACTAATACCAAAACTCTAAAATTTCTCTCAAGTTCTGCACTCGGAGTATCCGCATGCAACGCACAATCGGAGACGAATCTTCCCGCATTAACAACTTGCATGTAATCGAACAATCACCATCATTCCACAAGAATTAAAACCCTAGAAAATGATCACGGGAATAAATTCTAATTACGACCGACCCAGGATAATGAAAAATCAACACAAGTGGAAAAAAATTAGATTGCGAGACAAGAAAAGCAGCAAGAATAGAAAAAAGATCTTACAAATTGATAAATTCGAAGAAAACCGATGCAAAATCTACCCGGCTCCCAGCGATCAAATTGATCAATTTGGACTAAATTCTTCCGCAGCTCAACAAACTCCAACTATCTTTTCAGTACAAAATTACTATCCACCTCAAGAATTATACGGGAATCTGGCTAAGTGCTCGAGAAGATTCTCTGAACATGTCGAGGTATCCATTTTTTCTCCATTTTATTTCTTCCTTCCTCTTTTTTCTTTTTTCTCTTTTCTCTTTCGTCTCTCTCTTTGTCGTTGAAACTAGAAAGTAGTTGAGAACTGATGTTTCTTAATAAGGTACTTCTTCTCTTGAAATTCTGTGTAGCGTATTTTGTTGAACTGTAGAACAAATGTCAATGCTCAAAAACTGGCCCCTAAAAAGAAAAGAAATAAAAAGGAAACTAGGAAAAATTAGGAAATTTGACAAAAATAAAAATTCCTTAGCAAAGTGCTTCGAAGTTTGGAAAATTTTCGACGAATTTAATGAATTTTGGATAACAAACTTGTCACTTGTCAGTAGCGTTCAATGCTTTGTGATTTTTCCTCCACAATTGAATTGATTAATTCTTTTTGGAAACAATGGCGGTGGACAGAGTCCAGACAAAACACCAAAAAAAAAAAAAAAGACCATCATTAATCATGTAAATAATTTGTGCCGGTTTATAAATCATGTAAATAATTCGAGTCTAATCTACAAATGTTTCGAACGTATTTCGGTGTGAATAACAAAACTTGCTGTATGTCTAACTAGGTTTATTGTATTCTTCGTTTTAAAAATTATAAATGATTGCAATTGTTATAAATATAAACTGAAGAACAAAGTTATAAAGTTAAGAGAAAGAATAAGTAGGGAGAGAGAACAATAGAGCAAAAGAAAGAGAGAATGATTGCTTTCCTTTTATATGTATAATAGATACAGAGATAAGAGCAAATAGAAATAACATCTAAATGATGATAAGATCTAATAAATATATCTCTGTACAAAGAATTCATGTACAACTCTACTAGTTTGTGAACATCCACATTATCAGATAATTATAGAACTCCCTCTTGGATGTTCATTTTTTGGAATAATGGCTCGTTAAAACCTTTATTAGGAAAAATCCAGTGTGATAAAAATTAATAAAGGAAAAAGAATACATTCCCAGATATGACGCTGCCTCGATAAAAACCTTGTCAGGAAAATCTATTGAGACAAAACATCGATCAAAGGGAAAAGAGTACAGCGTAGGGTTACTCCCCCTGTTGGATACATCACTTGTAATTTTCTCATTGTATACTAAAATGTTGACCAATTTCACCAGTGTCGTCATTTCAGCTTCTCATGCAAACGATCATCTTCATATACCATGTATAATCTTGAGTTCTTCCGGAAAACAGAGATCCATAATCATCGTACACCGAATGTATCAATGTATGCAATATTTCAATGTCTTAAGTAATTGATAAAATAAATCGATATTTTATATAAATTACACTATGGTACTTCAGAACCAAATCAGTTTACATCATTATTCAAAAGCCAAAAAGAATCTATACGCACGTCATGATTATAATCAAGTGTGTCCAACAAGAGTTAAATATAAACATATTACAGTTAAGACTGGATTCTATTCAAAGTCAGTTTTCTTTTTTCTTACTTCAGGCAAATAGCAATCTTTTGAATTTAGCAATCTTTTGAACTTCTTTAATTTTGAAGTCTCCATAAGTATGATGAACTCTTCCGGAGTTATATTAATTTTGAAGTTATTCGAACTCCATAATGAGCTTCGATAATATTCAGCTTTTCAAACTCTTCAAGAGTTTGGTTTTAACTCAGTTCTAAACACACATATATCATTATCATACAAATATGATCATTTAAACACATAGAGAATTACAAATAGGCAAACATAACATATTCAGATAAAACATATATATAAACGAGTGCATAAATCAAACATTCAAAAATATACACCTAAATATTGTCTAAACACATGAAAATACTAGTACTCGCGCAAGTCTTTCGAATTACTTTATCGAGAATTGGAATCATGTTCCTTATTTAATCTTTCTGGGATTTCACATAGACGTTATTATCAAATATCAAGTATCAAATTTTAAGTGGTCACTACATTGAATAGACTCTCTTCTTTTTTTTTTTTCATTTGCTGCCAGATGTAGCAAATAACGGAAGAATTTTTTCCATCCACCACAAGAGAATATATCTCCTCATGATTAACATCCGGACTTTGGAAAAACTTGTGCAATAAGTAGGTTGCTATCTATCTTTTGCACAATCATCCAACAATATTAAGCTAGTATATTATTTGCCAGAACTTTTACAGTTTCAAGCAACTTCAATTCTACTTACACTTCGTTATAGCCGAAAAGTTTAATGTCTGCACTCACCAACAGACCTTCATTTTTATGATCCTCATTTTATTCATTTTACTAACTGCTGCAGCATAAGCAAATTTTATGTCGATATTTTATTGCCGATCGATTCCATCTTTCTTTAGCATTTAGATCTCACAATCATTAAGTTTCTCAAATATTAATATTCTTCTTCTGGAAATTTATTTACCATAGAGGGAAACTATTCAATTTCCAAACTCTTCTAGAATTTTATCACTCGTATTTAGCATCTAAATAGATCTAAATATTCTTCTTACGAGGATTTTTAATATTAGAATCGACAGTTCTACCAATTATCAAATGGACATTCAATTTAATAATAGTGATAGATGATCCTTCGAGGATGTAATATCAAAATTTTAAACATTAATAGCCTTTTGTATGTAACATATTTGCACATTTTGGTCAAACAAATAATCTGGTCTTAAATATTATCACTTGAACTTTAGGTTCATGCTATCTAAGATCTAATGAGATTATGATGTCGTCCATTCGATTAATGAATCGGCTATTTTCATTTCTCCCCCTAATCTTAGGATAACTAATTTGTCAAACTGATATCTAACCAATCGAGTAGTAAATAGATCTCCTTTTGGAGTAACTAACTCGTCAAACAGACAATGAACGATTCTACTGGACCGTTTCACTTTTGCTTGTATAGGCACTCTATGTTCAAGTTTTATCACTGAAATATTTATTGTAGTATTGAGTCATACATTCACCAGAACTATCAAATGAAAAATTCTCTCATAAGAGATTATGAAAATACCCACATAACTGAATTAAAGTTTGTAGTTCACCTTCACAAACTCCAGGTTGCAAGTTAATGATAAACATACAAGTGGTTAACTCATTAGCACATCAATTAATTTGTTAGAAGAAACTCCTGGTTCTCCAAATTTAAATCACATGAACTTAAGTATGTTAAATGTGTAACTTATTATAATCAGTAAAATTCCGGTTTGACTTGTTAGTACGAGAAGTGAACTTCTGGTTCCCTAGTAAACTTCGGGTTTACTATAAAACCCAACAATAGTAATACAGGTATAGTATTTTAATACAAAAGAATTCAAAGACAACTTTCTTCTCGAAACTTTATTCTTAGTGTACAAGTATATGAAAACAATTTTTTGATATTCGAAAATCTTTTCTCGAACACCTTTGACACCCGGGCAAAATTTTATTTGCTCGTGGCATATTTATTTACTCTTCTAGAGTCACATTCACAAGTTTTCTTCTGGAAACAACAAAGAATTGCATTCATCTATGCCAAATCAATTCTTTTGGAGCATTTACTCTAACGAAACTTGTCTACTATACAGTAGCATTATTTAATAAGTTATTTTCGTTCTACCAAAGTATTCTTGTTCTTTTGGAAGACACATAAAGTATTATATAACTGATGTTCTACACGAGATTTCATCCAATTTTATTTATGGAGAAATGTATTTACATATTCCCAGTAGTTAGGGAGCATTCACAATATTGTATTTTGCCATAGCAAATTCTATTCTTCTGGAGATTTTGTCCAATTTTGTGAAAAAATTCATATACATGCTCTACAGGAGCTTTAAATTAATTTTGGTATAACAAAAGAATGATGACATTACCTGGACTCATAAATCATAAATAATAAAGTATACGATAAAGTATATAACAAAGAAATTACTAATCTAAAATATAAAATACATTACCATTAGATGTCTTCATTCTGAACAGATAACTAATACCACCTTCAGAGTGATCATCCATAAATAGTTCTGATTCCTGATTTGTTCACCTTCAGGGAAAACATATAACTAACATACATAATAGTATCGTTAACACATACTTAATATAAATAACTTTCTGATTTTTGACAGAGTAACAATACAATTCTTTCTACAAAGTAAGTTTATGATCACTGATTTTTTATGCCACAACAATAGCACTTGCGATCTTTTACCTTTGTGCTCTCTTTATCTTTCAAACTTCTGGTGGTTTATTTTATTTTCATTAAAATTTCTCACTTCTGGTGGTTAAAAATATTTTTGGTATCATTACCAAATCTCAATTTTATTTGAGACTTCAATTCGTCTACTACTAAAATTCATGATAATCACATTTACTTCAAGAAATGCAGTCATCCGACTCGGACGAGTATAATATTATTTGCAACAAAACTCAATAGTTTGTTCAATGCTAACAATAATTATATAGCTACTTCAGGAGTAATTTTTTAATTGTTCTTGTTATTAATCTTCCACTTCATGTGAAAAATATTATTTTTATTCGTGATTATCATATTATAGTTGTTATAAAACTAGGGCCTAAATAAAATGATCCAAAGCAAAGGTATTAAATAATTATTTAGTGATGATATTTTTAACTTCTCTACTAGAGACTTCAATATAAGGATTAACTAATAATTTAGATAATATGATATAACTTTATAAGATTTAAGAATAAAGAAAGAAAATTAAAACAAATTCATTTGAAGAAAAATACCGGAAGAAATGAAAGCTTTTGCCTTTGATATATATTTTAGTGCATCTGATACATTTTATCTCCTCCTCTATTTATAGCCAATAAAAATAGTAATTTAGTAAATTTTGATACAATTTAATGCTAGAGGTTAGAAGTCAAAAATAGAGGAAAGAATAGCACGGGTTGTTGGGTATTAATTTTGCCATTCACCTCAATAATTACATTAATAGTAGATTTATTGTCACAATTTGATCATAAAACGACGTAGTTGTTCACTTACTTCAGGAAGTGAAATTCTAAAAATCATAGAGTATTGTGATTTTTTAAACAAAACTATAATGATGCATTTAATAAAAACATAATTAATTACTACTCCAAGAGCAATTCTTTCATGGCTTTTTGTCATATCGATATAACTTTTATATCGTCTACCTTTGTGATATTTACCCTTTCAAGTGGTCAATGTATATGACTATGATATTCTAACATGTTCAAATCCACTTACTTCGGAAAGTGGAGAAAATATTTTTGGATATTTTCATGAAGTTGCTATAATGGAGCAAATTCAATACACGAAAATTTATTACAAAATGGCTACTACATGAGCACTTAATTGCATCCAATGTACAACATTAACATTACAGAAGTAAATTTGTATTACACCATATAATATATATGATAAATAATAAATTCTCGTTTTGTAAGATTTTCTTATAGAAAAACAAAACAAGGAAAACTTACCGCACTTCTTGTTCTACCGATTAAAATCACTTAACCACACTTCCAGATCTATAGATTAAAATCTTCTCAGTTGGATAGAGATTCGTACTGATAACGTGTTATAAATATAAACTGAAGAACAAAGTTATAAAGTTTAGAAAAAGAACAAGTAGAGAGAGAAAACAATAGAGAGAAAGAAAGAGAGAATGATATGTATTTTTATTGTCCTGATCTAAGTCTATTGGACAAAAAGTTCAAAGACTTATGGGACTTGAAGGTGTTAAAGTGTATTATCTTGTCTCATATTGTCACCGTAAAGAAAAGTGACTCTGTATATATAAGTGCCAAAAACCATTCCACTCATTGCCAATTAGTTTTGAGATAGGAACCAAAGTACTTATATACTTTTACAATTCCCTCCCAATCAGAGCAAGCACACGTTCAGCAAATGCAGAGAGTACTAATATAATTTAGTATTAGGGTTCGGCAATTGGCAAATGGCAACGGAAGATGTTCAACGCAACGAGCAGCGAGCTACCTAATTATGCTTCTATATTAGTACTCTGTTTTATTAGTAGTTAAAAGAATTGATTGCATTATGATTTCCACAATGGGAAACTTTGACTTTGAAGTTTCAACCCAATGTGGTACGTATGGGATCGTATTTTGTGGAGTAGTTTTGATTACTAGTAGTCTAGTGTGGTAAGGAATTAGTTGTAACTTGCAAGTACGCGCATCAACTTTATATTACCTATTAATAATATTTCTGTTTTTTTTTTTGTCAGTTTTATTCACGAGATGATAAATCCAATGTGAAACAATTTATTCGAATACTACTACTAAATATTTTTGTGACTTTCATATTAATATTTATACATAATTTAATTGTAGACAATCTCAAAAAATTGTTGCAAAAATAAAATTTCTGATTTCATCGATTTTCTCTTCAATTTTTTCAATGAGAAAGCGAAAAAAGTCGACCAAAATTATTTCCTTAAAGGAAATAAACATTTTGGGACTTTAGCCAACTGCTCAATGTAATACTACTACAATTTGGCGCTCATTAATATTCAATCGGTAGAACTAAAGTCCCATTCATCATTTTGTTTAACAAAACAAAAAAATAAAATTGTTGTAGTTGGAACAAAATTGAGTAGCATAAAAAAAAATGGAGATGTCACTTTTTTTTTTTTTTTTTTTTGTTTGGTGATCATGACTTGGTGTTTATACATTTATCATTGTTGATGTAAGTCCATGTGAAATGGAAAAACGTTCTTTCTCGAAAAGGAAATACAATAATAAGAACGGTCTTGGAGAGGAGTATGAAACAAGAACAAATAGTAGGGAGGTATTTTGCAATTAACTTTGCTAGAATGGAGTTAATTATCCTTGGAATCAGATCCAATCCAAATTGAGATTTGACGTTTCCCATTTCCTAGTAACCAGAAGGGGTAATTTAGGAACAGAATCAACGCGTGAATTCTACTCTAATTTTCTTATATACACAAAGTTGCACTTCTTTATTTATTTTTCCCATAGGAAACTCCACCTTGGTTGATAAAAGCCTTTTACAGGGGGGCCGCTGGAGCCTGTAACCGGAGCACCTGTTTATTCATCCGATCCGCCACCGTTTTGGTTTTACTCCGCCGCGAATCCTACCCGAAATGGCTAAACTACCCCTGATACTCCTCCTCCTACTCCCCGTCATCCTCACCCTCCTCCCCTCCACCACGGCGGAGATCAAAACCCTAACCATCAAGGATGACCCCCGGCCGATGATTTTGTTCGAGCAATTCGGATTCACGCACACGGGATACGCCACCATCACCGCCTCCTCGGTCTCCGTCGTCTCCACTCTTGCCACTCCCGATGCGTCTAAGTTGGGATTCTTCCTTCTCTCTGAAGAATCCCTCATTCAAGTCCTCATAGAGCTTCAACAGAACGCATTTTGCGTCCTTGATTCCAGATTCATCATCAAGTTGTTCGATTTCCGTGAACTCTCCCCGCCGCCGGCCTCGTCGTTCAACCGCACGTTCCCGGTTACTTCCCCTAATGAGTACTCTCTTTTCTTCGCTAACTGTGCCCCCGAATCTAAAGTCTCCATGGAGGTGCGGACCGAGCTTTACAACCTCGATAACGCCGGCCGCGTTAGGGATTATCTGTCCGCTGGCCTCACCCAGCTTCCCACTCTTTATTTTCTATTTTCCATTATCTTTTTTGCGTTCCTGGGTGTTTGGATTTACATCTGCATCCAGAACAGGATGTCGGTCCACCGGATCCACGCGTTGATGGGCCTCTTGGTTGTGATGAAGGCTCTGAATCTGCTGTTCGCCGCGGAAGACAAGCACTTCGTGAAGAGCACTGGTACACCACACGGGTGGGATGTATTGTTTTACATTTTCCAGTTCATTCGAGTGGTGCTTTTGTTCACTGTGATTGTTTTGATCGGAACTGGGTGGTCCTTCTTGAAGCCGTTTTTGCAAGAGAGGGAGAAGAAGGTGTTGATGATCGTGATCCCTCTTCAGGTCTTGGCTAATATAGCCTCTGTTGTGATTGGAGAAACAGGGCCGTTTATTCAAGACTGGGTCACTTGGAATCAAGTGTTTTTGCTTGTGGACATCATATGCTGCTGCGCTATTATTTTCCCCATTGTGTGGTCGATCAGATCTTTGAGGGAGACTTCCAAGACTGACGGAAAGGCTGCCAGGAATTTGGCCAAATTGACATTATTTAGGCAGTTTTACATTGTGGTGATCGGATACTTGTACTTCACCAGAATTGTTGTGTTTGCTTTGAGGACCATCGCCGCATACAAGTATCAGTGGGTTGCATATGCAGCTGAAGAGATTGCAAATGTAGCCTTCTACACAGTTATGTTCTACATGTTTAGGCCAGTTGAGAAGAATGAATATTTCGCTCTTGACGACGAGGAAGAAGAGGCAGCTGAGATGGCTCTACGGGATGAGGAGTTTGAGCTCTGAGCTCATATCTGGTTGGCCCTTCCATTTTGTCAATTTTTATTGTTCTGACTTTTAGATACTACTTTCTTGTCAGAGTATACTCTTTAAATAGATTTACTAGGATCAAGTACCGTTTAATTTCATGTTTGTAATACTTTGATATTGTGGAGAAGTTCATCTCATTCCTCTTTTTTTCTTTCTGGAGCAACCCATCTTCTTTCAGCTGCCACTATTTTCTTATTGTCAATTTGTTGCTCTGGGTTTTGGATGCTTCTGTTATTGTCAAGGTGTACTCTTTCTGTTATTTGTTGCTGGATTTTCTATTTGTAATACTTGGATATCATTGAATAGAGCTTTTCTTAGGGAGTTATGCAATCTTTCACTTACCTCATTTGTTTTGTGGTGTGTCGAAATCTCTTATCATTATACAAGTTTTCTCAACCAATGTCATCAACCACAGGAATTGAAGTTCATTTCATGTCTGAATTGTGTACTTTGGTTAATAATACAATGTTCTTTTGTTTGGTTCCTGATTTTAGTTTCTGCAAGTTTTATATAATTATTTGAGTCTCATCCTGTGGTTCACTGTTCTATATGTTACATGTATGAATCAGGAGAAACTGGACTTACGAGTGTTAAATAATCTCAGACTTAAAATATTTGCTGTCTTCCATTTGTGTGTTCTACATCTAACATACACATGCTGTTGTTTCATTTTCTTTGTAAGGCTCCTTTCCTTTTGGTTTTTGGCCGCAGAACTAAAAAGCTAGTTTGTCGTTTTATCCTGTTTGTACTCTTTGCCGCTTAAGCGTGACGCGGGAACTTGTTCAGTTCTTCATAGTATTTCCATTTTCGAGCACCTTTTGGTTTTTTAATGACTGGTTGAGCCATAAAAATTAGAGATGTTCTGTACTTCTTAGTTGAGTGAAGAATTTTATATCTTTTATATCATATGAGCCTTTACCGGCATAGATGTCAAGGCAATGCTGCTGTGTAAAGGTTAAAAATGGTTATTGCCTCCAAATTTCTAAATTTTCTTTGATATGCTCTATTGGCTGCCCTGTTTTTGTGAAAACCCCTTGGATCTCTTGCAAAGTTACTTATTGCCTTTGTTCTTCAAGAGATGTGTTCACGCTGTTACTCGTCAGTTCCAAGTTTCAGCAACTTACCGGTTTAGGTTTTCCAAGTAAGTTTCCAAAACTGAATATTTCAGGCTTTAAGTTTTCTTACTACCTAACCTGATACTACTTTGCCTGGTCGAGCCTGTTGTATGTTCCTTTAATAAGTGTAGAATCTTGGGAAATTGGAGACATTTTGTACCAAGTACTAACTCGATTCGCCTGAAGTTTACTTTCCTTTTTCTTCGTTTTTATGGTGAATGGTACTTTGCTAATTAAGTCTTCCCTTTACGGGAGTCTGTTAATTGGTTTGAAATGGGACAAGAACGTAAGGTGAACAACCTTCCAAAACTGCATGTCTAGCTTGAAACATTGTCGGTGTGTGAGTAAATGATTCAAAATCCAAGGTAGATTCTAATAATGACGGTGCTATGCTACGATCCTCAAGAAAACGGCCTGCATCTTTCACTACAGAACTCTTTCTGTGCCTAATAAAAGCCAACATAATACTGGGGGACGACTGTCACTTGCGTGCCTATATAACAGGGCCAAATGAATGAGCAACAAAATGAAGACAAATGAAAAGCCGAATGGTGGAGGTTTCAGATGGGAATAAATAAATAAATAATTAGGATCGGTATCACAAACACATCGTTCGTTTGAGGGGCTAACAGGTGTGTTGTCTAGATTCAAAAGGCCTGCGCCATATATTTTTTAGGCAGGGGCAAAGACTTCGAAATGCCTTCAGTTTTGAGCCTACTTCATAGACCACCTTTCCAGACTTTCACGACAGTAAATCTTTAATTTGTATAAGAGTAAAATGTTGAACTGGTCCTTTACATTTGATCTTACTTGAATTTACGTTCCTTACATTAACATTTCAATATCGTAGTCCCAAACATTATGTTTTTACACTTTTTTGGTCCCATTTCATTGTTTCGATCACATTTTCGTCCAACTCGATGTTGACCGGCCGTTGACTGGCCGGGGTCAGGGGTGTTTTCGTCCTTTCAATTAAAAATATTAAAAAAGTCATATTTTAATTATTTAAATAGTATTTATTAATTTAAAATATTATTATAATATTTTTAAATTTATATTTTTTAAAAAATAATTTTTTCATTTATCATTTATCTTAGGTGAAAAATAAATAGTAATTATTCTACATTTTAACTCCGGACCCACAGTAAATTTCAAATTAAAAAAAAAATAAAAAATTTTAAATTCGGGTTTTTAGCCCCTCAAATTATTTATCCGGGCCAGCTGTCAAAAATCACCCACAAATTAACCCCTCAAAAAATTCAATCGACGGGGAAAAACGAAAACCGTTCGACTGAAAACCCCCAAATTCACCCACAAATCAACGAGCAGAAATGTTTCCTCCGATCCAAGAACACTAATCCGATCCCTAACACTTTCGAATAAAAAAAATTTAGTGGATCTCGTGCGGATTTGTTGGAGTTCAGAATCTGGGCACAAGATGTGGCGTACCAAGAAAAATATTGATCGAATCAAACCCCAAAAGGATAAAGGTCAGTCTTCTATGGTCAAACACAAGTCTTTCTGTGGTAGACCGACATTGTAGCATAGATTTGGATGATGGTGTTTTTAAAAAAATTTCTTTCATTGTCGGCGTGTTGTGATTTTTTTGTGGTCAATTATTATCGGCATGTTTTGTGGATAAAGTGGTTTGGGAGTCTCATGTAAATCGAGCAAAGGTTGGATTTTTTTAGCGGTGTAGGACATGTATGTATGTTGAAATCCTAGGGTTTGGTGTTGAGGGACACGGCATGCCTGTTAACTCCGTATAATAGCCATTTTGTTGTATGTATGTAAAGGCAAATATGCAGTGGGATCAGGGATGTTGACCTAACAGAGGACTTCTATTTTATGTTTGGTTCCATTTGAAGTCAAAACTTTTTGTAAATATTGGACCAAAAAAGTAGTTGTCATATTTGTGTAGGACCAAAAAAATATTCGAGAATACCTCGATTGGGACCAAAACAGTAGCTGGGTTTTCAGAGGGTATTTTGGTGATTGACATGCCTCTTTGTTGTTTTATATTTGGTGATTGGCATACTTCTTTGTTGTTTTAAGAGGATCTTCTCAGAGTTAGAATTCACTATAATGGGTTTCTCACGAAATCACCAGGCAGGCAATACAAATCTAGTTATGTTCATGCTATGGACGATTGTGATGCAGATAAGTGGTCTAGAATTGAAGTGGATGATGAAGTAGTTACTAAGATTGGCCTAGTTGCTGCTGAGTTATCTTACTACTACCTAAAACCAGAGGAAGACATGGACGAAGGTCTCATGCTACTAGAAGATAATAATTCTTCAATCACCATGGCTTCGCATGGATTAAAGGAAGGGCTGATGGATTTATTTGTAGTGCAGAAGGATAGGAATGAAGCTGCAGATGAAGAGGAAGATGGTCAGTTATTGGTCAGCCAGCTAACCCAAGAAGAACCACCCCAACCAGCAGAAATCAAAGTGCCGGGAGCAAGTCCTACTTGAAAAGTAAGATTCAAGCGTGCGGCTGTATCGAAGGTTAAGTGGAAAGGGGGAAAGAGTGGGAAAACTCAACATGAGATGTTCAAATTGATTGATGAAGATATTGATGATTTAACTCCTGAAATTGAGATATTGAAGGGACCACAAAGATCTTGCTTAGACAGTATCAACAATGAAGGTGTAGACATAGAGGAAGATGATGGGAGTATGGGTTTAGGGAAACAAAAGGCAGCACAACGTAAACTTTTCGGCTTGATAGATGAAGATGATGGTAGTTCACCTGCATACATTGATATGGTGGAAAACGAACCAAGATATGGGGTAGACAGTATCATTGGTGCAGGGTGTTCAGATATACCTGATGGAGCAGAAAAAGAAGACGTTGGTGTCGTTAAATGTGAAGGTGAAGCTACTGATGGCAACCTAGCAAACCATTTTGAAGGTGAAGGTACGCAAGTTGGTGTCGTTGCACAAGTAGTTGACATTGCAGAATCACATGATGCTGCACAAGCAGCTGATGTTGAAAAAGGTTCAGATGACGAACAGAGGAAGACAGATGGCAGTAACAACAAACCTGTTAAGGTTGGGAGGAAAAGAGCCAAAGTAAAGAGCAAATCTAGGAGGAAGAAAAAAAACAACTTAGATGATGATACACTTGACCAAATGCTGGAGAAAGTTAGGAGAAAGAAGAAAGGTGTTGAAGAAGAAGAAGAAGATTCTGAGGTGGAGCCTAATGGCAATGCTGAATTTTATGACAGTGACTACGCACAGGAGATAGATGAAGAAAGTAGAATCATGAAGGAGAGAATGAAAGATTTGTCTAAGATTCTTGGGGAGGAAGAAACAACAAAGCCTACAACAACTGGGGATGATGATGGTACTTGTGATGATGAGGCTGAGATGGATTTTGATGAACTCCCAAGTGATGATGCTTACAATGGAGCTGCTTCGGATGAAGATGTGAAATTACCTACATTCAGAAGGTACAATCGTCAAACTGATTATGATAGCCCTAACTGGGAAATTGGATTGAGATTTGCATCAAAAGCTGAGTTCAAAGAATTGTGTAAGCATCGAGAAGTAAAACATGGAAAGCAGATTCGGTTCAAGAAAAATGATGGCAGGAGATGCCAAGCATGGTGTAGAGGGAATGGTGCTCGTGTATGTCTATGGAAAGTTATAATAACTTACAGAAAAGGCAAGGATGAGTGGGCCGTCACGACATTAGTCATGAAACATGACTGTGGTGGAAAGAACAATAACCACGGATGTGCCAATTCTGATTACCTTGCAGTCATGTTTAAGGAAAAAATGCGTATATGTCCCCAGACTACAGTTGGACAGCTGAGAGAGAAGATTAATTTAAAATTGTCAACGGAGGTATCCTGGTGCTTGGCGGTGAACACGAGAGCTAAAGCACTTAAACTCATTGAAGGTGATGTCGAATGGCAATATCGAAGGCTATGGGATTACCGTCATGAGATTTTGAAAAATAACCCTTGTTCAACTGTTGTAATTGATTCAAAAAAGTGTGGAGATGGGATAGAAATATTTGAGGGAATATATATCTGTTTAGATGCATTGAAAAGGGGATTCAAGGAAGCATGTAGGCCCCTCATTGGGCTGGATGGCTGTCACTTAAAGGGACTAACGAGAGGAATATTGTTGACTGTAGTTGGCATGGGCCCCAATAACCAAATATACCCCATTGCTTATGCTGTTGTGAGGATTGAAGACTACAAATCTTGGAAATGGTTTATGCATTACTTGAAGAATGACTTGGGTATCGAAGATGATGCATCAAAATGGACTTTCATCTCTGATAAACAGAAGGTAATTGTTTTAATTTGTGTTTTGCTTAATTGGTTTTTGTTATATATGTATTTTTAGGGTTACACTCACCTTTTTTTAGTTAATTAGGGTTTCAGCTATTCATTTTTTTGCCACCTTTTTTAGGGGCTAATCAAGGCCATAAATCGAGGGTTTCGGAAGGCTAGCCACAGGATGTGTGTTTGGCATATGCACTGTAATTTTAAAAGACACTTCCCCAGCCCTACATTGAAAGATAAGTTGTGGCAAGCAGCAAGAGCCACATACCCCGCCCGATATAAGAAGATAGTCGAAGAGTTGCACGCTCTTTGTGAGCGGGAAAACCCCAGACTACAAAATTGGGCGCCTTTTGTGAGCGGAAAAACTTACTATTACATCCCCCTCAATGTTTTCCTTTATAAAGAGCATCAACAACCCTAAAAAATATCCCAAGAATTTTTATTCCATCATTTTCAAAAGGCCAAGCTGCATGATGTTCACTCCACGGCCAAAGCACCTAAACGAGGAATTCCTGCCTGTATATTGTAAGTTTTTTTTTTCCTTTTTCAAAAAATAGATTTAATAAAATTTACGATGTTGAATTACCAAACGTTTTCTTCTTCTCTTTTTTTTTTTTTGGGCCAGCAAGTAGTAGCAGCCTTGGCAGCATTAAAATCCACTTTGGTGGGGAGCTTTATGCCAAGCCGTATCCACTTTATTGGGGTGGTGCTTTCAGGGTATTCAATAATGTAGATCTTCAAACAGTATCCTTTTGGAACTTACATGAAATGGCACAAAGGATTGGAATGCTCAACATTGTTACTTTTTACTCTTTATCTGAAGAAAAAGGGGTGGAAAAGATTGTGGGAGACGGAATATTTTTCCCCATGTGTCAAGATGCTTTGAACCGTGATAGATTAATCACGTTATATGCGTTGGACTATCAGGATGAATGGTTCTTTGCTAGGAACGATGACTTCCTAGATAGTGATCCAGACCTTAAATGGGACTCCGATTATGCCTGCAATTGTGAACAATATGGTGGCTGGAAGGAATACAATTCTGATGAAGATTCAGACTCTCAATGTTCATCTCAATGTTCTTGTACTGATTTTCCCTGATTCGACCATTTGATTTATGGTGTATTATCGATATTTTTGTTCAGAAATGGAAACTTATCCTTGAACCATAATGGTGGCATATTATAGCTTTTTTCATCCTTTACAAATTTTACAGTCACTTTTCTGATCCTCTAGAAATTGTAATAATGCTTATTTTAGTCCATTAAATACTAACCAACCACTTTTTTAGTCCACCGAGACTAAACATTTTTGGATGCCAAAACAAAGAATTGAACTTGTACATTGCAGTTGTAAAATTCGCCGTATCCAAGTTTACATGGCAGTAGCAGTAGTTAATTAAAGACATTTCTGAAATTAAAATTTAGGCCTCCTGAACATAAACTCCATAACAACTGAATAAAAGATCACCCTTATGCTACATTCCACATACTACATCACGTTGGCCAGAAAGCACAACACATCACTGACTAAATAGTGATACAACTTTTCAACAGTTCAACACTCGCTAACCCCGAATCAATAACACCACTACAGCAATAAACATACACAAAACACAGGCTATGTTAAGCCAGACAATAGTGTTATTTGCACAGTTACAGTTGTTATTTCTCATTTCATACCTACCCTTCTGACCATCGAATTCGTGGCTTCTCGCTACCCATCCGTCGTATCTTCTCCTTGCATCATTCACCCCATTTCCGACATCACCTCCAATCGGCACAACCCAATCTATGAACCCATGATTAGGACAATCATGGTATAGTCAATTAGGATTTTTGGGGGTTTTGGACAGTTCAAATCCGGTACGCATCGCACATTTATTGCAACCAAGTCTCTCGAATTGCAAATAGCCGGTGTTGCCATCGTTCTCGTTGAAACTGCTACTTGATGTCGAATGGATACCTCAATTCTCGTCCCAGATCTAAGGCGCTTCCTGAGCAGCGAGCCCCTGAAAACTTGCTTTCAACTGCTATTCTTTGGCCGCTTAGATTTGTTTGGAGGTTAGATTATTTTTTTTCCGACGCTGAATTGGGGATGAGATGAAGAGAAGAAGACGGCGGCCTTATAGCGGTAGCGGTAAAATTTATAACTCCTTCGGGCCAAGAGGAAAAAATTTGAGGGTTAGAAGTAACTTAGGGTTTACTGTAGTCAAAGTCAAATTTATGAATTTACTTCTCTTTTCTTTTTTAAAATTTGAATTTTGAATTAAATGTTGTAATCCAGTAAATATGGACAGTAAATGTTTGAATTTACTGTAGGCCCGAGGTTAAAATATAGAATAATTACTGTTTACTTTTTACCTAAGATAAATGGTAAATGAAAAACTATTTTTAAAAAATATAAATTTAAAAATATTATAATAATATTTTAAATTAATAAATACTATTTAAATAATTAAAATATGACTTTTTTAATATTTTTAATTGAAAGGACGAAATACCTCTGACCCCGGCCAATCAACGGCCGGTCAACCTCGAGTTGAACGGAAATTTGGTCGAAACAGTGAAATGAGACTAAAAAAGTGTGAAAACATAATGTTTGAGACTACGATATTGAAATGTTAATGTAAGGGACGTAAATTCAAGTAATGGCAAATGTAAGGGACCATTTCAACATTTTACTCTTTGTATAAATATGTAATGAGAACTCTTTCCGTCCCCAAATAAAGAGTCGTATCAAACATCATTTTTTTTTAAAAAAAAAAAAGGTGTTGGAAGGAGTACTTCTCTGACTCCTGTTAGCAAACATCTAAATAGTCAAAACTTGTTCTGCAACAATGCAGTTTGCTAGTTGGCGCTTCGTGAAGCCACCAAATTGTAGCAAAAGAGAGGGAAACGAGTCCAACGGTAAGCAAAGGCCGGCACATTGCATATGATGATTGCATAGAAAAATGAATGATTAACCAGAAAACCAATTAGAACACTGTATAAAAGGAACAATAAGTTTCATAAGGCAACCCAGATATTCACAAGTACTAATCATGTCGATTGCATAAACGCAAAGGTTTGAACCTACAAATAGTTAGAATATTGCATACTGCAAGGAAGGTTAAACCTAAATGTTCAGTTAACTACTCTACAGATACAGCCGGCATTACTATTTATTCACATTAAAGGGAATGTCCAGGTCTCTCAACAATCTACGAGCCGGATATTATACCGCTGTGCCAACTTATCAGCAGTACCATCAACCACCACCTCATCGATCATCTCGTACTTGTTACTGTTGGCTTTCAAGATCTCGTCCTGGTATCTATGCAGTTTTTCTGCATCTTCAAGTTGATGCTAATTAACAAGCACAAAATCAAAAGTTACAAGTTAGTATAACATCAGAAAATTCAAGACTGAGAAGAGACAAAAAGAATAACGGTTCAACAAAATACAAGGTCAACTGAAGAGAACTATAGTAAGGGATATTACCTTCAAAAGATACTCAGCTTCATTAGCATGTCTTCTTGTCAGATTTTTCATTCTCCTAGCTATCTGAAATTTGGGATCCATTTCATCCAGCCACTGGAAAGTCATCCTCCTGTCTGGTTTTGTGGGACGGTCATCAAACATTCCTTCTTCTGCAGCACAAACCCTCACAGGCCTCGGCATCCCACAAATCATGAACGGGGCGCTAGACATAGCTTCAACCACTGCTCTAGCCGAACTTTCTGTCTTCACTTCCAGCAAAGCAGCGCAGGGGAGGTGTGACGGGTAAACACTGTTCGGGATAAATTTGATGTTTACCACATCACAGAACTGCTCGAAAGCTGCTTTTAGAATAGCTTCAGTCACTTGAGGGGACAAGTTGTCCACGTATATTGTCCTCCTCACTCGTTCTTTAAACTCTTCGTACTCATCTGCTGAACTTTCCATACCTATATCCATAGCATGAAAGAAAAATCAGAAAAAAATTACAGCAGTAGTATGATAGAACAAAGATAAAAACCATTCTTCCAAGTTCCCAAGACCAATTTGCAAAAATGTTTCAGCTATTCTAGTATTCTGTTCAATGTGAAAGATTTTCTACCACAAAGAACAATACCAAAGAGATGAATGTTATAGATGATCTCAGATTCAAGTGCCTAACTGAAACATGAATTGCTAAAACACAGTCACAAGATGAAACATTCATTACAGCATATTGAATTTAGCAGGTTAACCAAACCAAGGCAGTCTCAAATAGAATCCTGTTCTTCTGTCTAATCATCCTCTTTATAATTTCTGAGACGTGGTAGAGTAGGTAGATGATACTGTCATTTGGCAGTATAATGTGATAAACTGTGACTGAGCTACAAAATACTTGAAGAGGTGCTTATTTTGAACAAAATATAGATCAATAACAGATTAAAAAGGGCCATGCACAAAAGTAATCTAAGTGAGCAAGATCATACAGTTATTCTTAAATCCACGAAGAATTTCCTCATTGGAAAAATGAGTATCACAGAAGCAGTAGGCAATCTCTCTCTAACAGAAATAAGGGAGATTATCTCCCTTTAAGAACAAAACGATAATGTATAAGACTACATTCGATTACAGAAATGAAAACATCAAAAAAGAATCAAAGTAAGATTTATGATCTTATCTGATAGAATGAGCTACGAGGCACATGTTTAGAACAGCATACGGATCAAAATCACACATTAAGCTAACAATCCCGATGCACAAATTCAAGTTAAAGAAGAACAAATATCATGCAGTCCCATACTCAGAGCCTCAAGAATTACGTCATGGAAAATGAATTACAAAACCAGTAACACACATTTCATACCTAATAAATTCAATTACGAAGATATTCACTGGGTAAGGGGACTTACTGAGCTTCAGAGGAAACCAGAAAACCCTGGGTAATAAAAAATGACAGCGCAATGAACTCCGGAAACTCCCTGCACAAAAGAAACATCAAGTTGATGATTATCGCAGACACCACAAAGCACTGTCTCTCCAAGGGAAAAGGGAAGATTATCTTGCATTAAAAGGGGAAAAAAAAAAAAAGAGAGAGAGAGGAAATTTTAAAATCGAGGAACAAGTAGAAATTAAAACAAAAATTAAAAATCAAAAGGTAGGGGTTAACTGCAAGGGCAACAAGCGTTTTTACAAAGAAATGAAATCAACTTAATTGAACAGCGCAATTTTCGTTCCCACGAAAAGAAGGTTTCTGCCAAACTCAAAATCGACGCTCATACTTTGGGAAACTGCTTAAAGAAACCCTAGCCATCAAAATTCCCCAAATCAAAGTCAACCTGCATTCAGAAAATTCAATAGATTAGTAGAGAGGTGTATGATCAGACCTTTGACTGACTCTCGAGAACTCAATCGAAAGACGTTGAGCTGGTGTGGGAATGCGAGGGAACTGAGAGCAGCGGAACGTCCTTTCCCTTTTTTTGGTTTCCTTTTCTTTTCTTTTTTTTTTGAATAAAAATGCTCTTTCAATTGGTTGCGGTTCGCGGATAAACAACGTAGTAGTAAGTCCCTTTTTTACTTCAGTTCACTTATGGATAGTTTGGACTTTGGCCCACTTATATGATATCCTAAGGCCTGTAATACGAAGTCCAACACCCATTTTCCATTTCGGAAAAAGCCTTCCCCTCTGACATGTCTCTCCAACTCCTGGTTCTTAATATAAGATACGGAGTATTTTAATTTTGAAAATTCACCTAATATATATTTTTAGATTGAAAAAAAAATTTTAAAAAAATATTTTCACATTTTTTGTGTTCTCTTAATTGCTAAAAAATATTTTTAAGATTTTTTGACAACTAAAAATGCGTATTAGGTGAAACCTAAAACGAATCAAAATGCTTTATATTACGGACTAGAGGGAGTAGCACGAAGTTCGGCCTCAAAAAATAATTAAAAAAATTAGTACAAAGTTGCAGATTTATCGATTACATTCCAAGTTGTACATTTTTAAAATGTTTTCAAATTTATATTCCATCCATCCCAAATTAATTATTCAGTTTAAATTTTTACTAAACGATTTTTTCTAGAACGGATAGAATAACAAAATGATATCAGATACTTTTGCTTACGTGTATCACATCAAATGAATTGATATCTCAAAGATTAGTATGATATGCTCAAAGAAGATAGGAACATCGGTATGGAAGATCACCGGCCTTGTTTATCCAAAGACAATAATCTCGTTCTAATTTGCTTACTTTTTGTTGCTTGTATTTGTCTTAAAGTAGCCAATGAGTCGCTGACTCTCAGTAATTTGCTGACTGGTAAGTGTCTATTTTTGTCTGAAACGATAGTCATATATTAATCAAACATTCAAAAGATGAGATAATTTGTAGAGAAGTATTACATCTGCTTTAAACCGACAAATCTAACCACATTGGGGCTCTAAAATCCCAACTTTGTGTGTGACTGCTAATAAGGCTAAAATAACGCTTCAAGAATTGGTGCAATGCAACTTTGTAAACTGTAAAGATGGACCTAAAATAATCTACACATCAAACCTAATTTAAGGTATCCACTGTCTACATTTCTGACTGGAGTGACCACCACTCATACATGATGTACAAACACTTTTAGAGCCTATTATTAGCATGATTGAGTAAATTACTAAATGGTTGTTGAGCTACTTAATAGTAAAATTACACTTAGGTATTGTGGTCAAACCTAGTTTGGCATCTCATTATGACCTCCTTTTTACACCACTAATTACAGGTAATCTCAACCACTCTGTTATACCCTTTTTTTCCCTTTTTCTTTTCTGCAAATGTTATTGCAAAGAATTGCGTGCAAAACGTTTCCTGACCAAAATCTGTGAATAAGAAACACGGATTCCACTCCAGTTCAGAGCGTGTCCAATTTTTTGTACACAATTTTGATTTTTGCCCCCACCTCGCAGTATCACATGAATCATGGATGAAATCCTCCATCTCCACACTTAAATCTCTCGACCCTTTAAAACAACATTAATAAATTCATGAACAGCAGCAAAAGAAAATATCAAATTAATTTATGCAATTCATTGTCAAATTGAAAACAATTCGAACCTCTGAAATCGAATCGAGAAGAAAAAGGACCCAAAAAAAAAAAAGAGTTATTTGTGTTCGACAACATCAACACTGGTAGTACAGGACAGCAGCCTCTGGAAAACAGAGCGCAGGGCATCACAGGAAAAATCTTTAACCCTCGTCTTCACCATAACAAACCTCGTCTTTATCCTACAACTACTACCCCTCGTCCTCCTGAAGCCGCCGGCGGCGGCTGGCGGACGAGACTGGAACTTTCTCGCGGCGGCTACGGTGGCAACCCCAACCCTCTCCTTAACCTTCCCAAAACATTTCTTGGTTCTTTCATGTACGCTCTGTTTCCTCGAAAACGTGTAGGCACTTCTTAGATACAATTGCCGGCAAGAGGCGCTGTCCACCAACCTAGGAGTACTCGGCGGGTACAGTAAGTAATTATACTTCCCTGAATGTCCTCCTCCGCCGCCGCCGCCTTCATCCGCCGGGGAACTCATTGTCCGTATCAGCAGCTCTGATTCCGGCCACTTGTAGAGGTTCACGTACTTGGCCGACCTTGGGAAGTGGACCAATCCGGTGTCTTTCTTCTCGCGGTTGTTTGATATGCAGATTGTGGCCATTTATATGTATATATATGCTGCTGTTTTTGAGTTCGAGACAGTGGGAAATTTGGCCTATAAAAATGAAGATCAGTGGAAGGCTTAGTTTGGAAGGGAAGTAAATGGAACGTGAAGTGGGAGAGACTAGAGAGAATTTGGCCAATTGGGTGTAACCTGAGTGAAAGTGGGTGCCAAGCATTTTCTACCCTGGTGCCTATCCAATTTAATCGTGGATTCTTTCTACTGTGAACTAATTTATCTGTTCCTCCCGGTTTTCTATTTTTTACTTTTTAAAAGGAGACAATAATACGTAACAACATATGTTTATTCCTTCTTATTCCATCTGTCTCGAAATTATTGTTAAACTTTTAAATTTTTATTTTTAATTTACATTATATTAAAAATAAAATTTTAAACTGGACAACAATTTTAGAACACAAAAAGTATTACTTTAATATAATAAGATGAATTATTATTTTGAAACGGAGAGAGTATCACTTACATATTATAAACAAAACTCTTAAAAATCATGAAACACTTGACTGGGATGCTACAAAACAGAAAAAAAGTTTATTCTCTCCATTGAGAAATTAGGGATTAAATTTTTTCTTTTAAAACGAATTTGGGATTGTTGGAGGGTTGAAATTGATAAAAGTGTTAAAGATATGTGGGGAAGAAATGAAGGAAGCTTGTGGTTTACACTTGAGAACAAGATTGTTAGGCGGGAAGAAGCAGTATTTTACTATATCTCCCGGTCAAAGAACAGGCACCTTCTTTTCCTTTATAGACGTCCTGGCAAAAGCAGCTGATCTATGTCTCCCAATTTAGGTCATGAATTTCAAAAATTCAAACTGGAATGAAGAATATTTCGCGTTCTCGTGTTACATAAGCTTCCCCTTTTAGATTTAACTAATTTTGTTGCCATAGTAAAACGACAAGTTATGATCTCATTCAAACAATGATCCGATTATGTTGGCTCAACAAATCCGTACTGTGTTTGCACTTCTCCAAATAAGATACTGCTAAAAGATGGTGTGTGTAGTTTTTGTTGCTACCTTTACTAGCTAAAATGCTGAACTATGAATCCAATGATATGTGAAGAAGTTGTAGTACATTTGTTTGTATGTTATATGGAGTATCCACAAAATACAACTTATCCCCGCGGCTCATGCACACTTCAAAGGTTTTATTTATTTATTTATTTATTTTTTATGTTTGTATATGTATATAATATACAATTGCAGAACTACTATTCTGATTAATTTATCAAAAAGAGCTTAGGTTAAATTGGTTTATAGTACAATTACAGAGTTGCTACGAGCATTTTTACAGTTTTCTAGGGCGTAAGAGAAATATATAGCTAGTCAATACATTTTGGTAATGGTATTCGGCGATCACGAGATTTACAATTAATGAACATTAAGTAGTACTCCCTCCGTACTAAAATTATTGTTCAGTTTGGGTTTTCTAGTTCAAATTGTACTAAAAGTGAAATATCAAATTGGACAATAATTTTAGGACAAAGAGAGAGTATGTATTTTACGAAAGTTAACTATTTAACAAATTATTTACTTTTGCTGGCATTTTATGGTCACGGAGTCCTGTGAGCATGCGCCATGATGTTGAAGAGGCAACTCGACCCAAAGTGTATTTGAAAGACTTCAGGTTGATAGATCAATTGAGGTTTGGGATTCTGTAAGTATTGAACTAATAATGATCAATGCATACAGGATCATTTCCGGTATCAGGCTAATGGAGATTTCATGATTCATACTTTCATAGAGATCAATTATCATGATTGCTTTTCTTCTTTTTTTCCCCCTTCATCTCCTAACTTATTTATCTCGGCTCAGTTCGAAAAAGTTTTCTGAAAGTACATTTGGGAAGAGAGCAAATGATGAAGAAGGATTTGTGATTATCTTTTGCGAGGGTTGCGTTTAAGGGAAAAGCCATTTTGCGAAACCCAGGTAATTTTTTTTTTTGGGAAGTTGATTTTTTTTTTTTTTGGGGGAAGAGGGGGATGTTATCTCTTTGTCTTTATAGTTCATGCATTGCTTAACTAATAACTAGATGTTATTTATTTATTTGTTTTTATTGTTATACGTTGTCTCTAGCCACGCTAACTAATAATGGCTAAACAAGTATTAGGACGACCATATTACTTCTTAACTAATAAAAAATGTTACTTTTTTTATATATATAAATATGTTATTGTGTTCACTTTTTTTCTTCCTTGATATCACATGGTGTACATTAGCCATCGAAAATAGTGACGAAACAAGCATTAGGATTAGGATAACCATACTCTTCTTAACTAACAACAAGATATATATATATATATATATATATTCATTTGTTAACAAGAATGATTAATTATGATAAAACAAGCATTAGGATTACCATTATCTCCTTAACTAACAACAAGGTTAAGCATTAAGTTGATCGACCTGATTTTTTTTTTCTTTCATATTTGCAAGGATTCCATTAAAAATGGTACCAGTTTCTCTTGCTTAATTGTAAGCATGCCCCAACAGTGACTTTGATCGGCACTATTAAGGCTAGGTTTCAGCCCAATTATTTTTTATTTTTTGCATATTTGCAGGGTGTCCATCATCAGCAATAGTGACTAATCCCCCTCACTGAATTGTAAGCACCTCGATGGGTGGGACATATGGACAAAGTGTTTAAAGTTACTCTATATCCATATCGAGATTCGAACTCTCAATTTATGATTAAAGGTGGAGAAGTCTCTTCCACTCTACCACAACCACTTTGGTTGTTTCAGCCCAATTATTGAACTTCATCAAACTCGAAATGGCACCATATGTAAAACCCACAAATAGAGTTTGAACTTTGAAGGGATTTGGATTGGGCCCAATCCGTGTTTCCTCTATTCCATAGAGCACAGTCAGCTTCTGCTTTCTGGCAACAATTATTCGCTTCGTTTCCAATTTCCAATCATCAAATACACGAATGTTGTAATGCTTCGTTTCCAATTTCCAATCATCAAATACACGAATGTTGTAATGCAAATGGGGCCATGGGGGATTAATTATTGTTATACTTATGTTAGACTTCTGTCCGCACAATTTTCGCCCTAAACAAATTATGTAAAATATCTCAAACGATTATGCGTTGTTCTTCTTATATGTGTTAAAAATCGAATAAATATGACCTTTGAAATTAAAATCAGCTAAAAGACAGATTCTATTGAAATCTTTCAATAACATGTTCGGTGCGACCATTGATTGTCCGTCTAATACAAAGAGTTCTTAAGAAACCCTAATTTTAGAGAATAATTCGGAAAAGAAATAAACTAAAATTTAAAATAAGTAATTTGATGCTGATTTGATTATTGTCCTCTCTCCTACCGCCGATCTTTTTAAATAATCTTCACAATCCAAGTCGGTGCACAATCCTTCTTTCAATCGGACTTTGTTGCCCTAAAGCCTCATCTGCGGTCCACTATCTTGTTCTGATGCGGCCCAGATCACCTTTTGGTCTAGCCGCGGAAAACTGGCCCAACAACTTCCCAAAAAGAAAATTAGAAAGAAAAAGGAGAAGAAAATTACTGTAATGGTGATGGGATACATCTGGAATTCTGCATAAAGGCAAGTGCCGAAGAACAATTCAAAAGTAGAATATAGTAGTATCTTGTAGAACTTGTAGTTGTTAATTTCTTTTTTAGCAAGTAACCTACTTGTGCGTAGAACTTGCAGTTGCTAATATCGTTGTTTTCTGAAAAAAACTTGTTGCGTGATTATCGAGTTTTTGACCAAAAAAAAAAAAAAACACCCAGAAGCAAAAAGGTTTCTTACCCATTCCCAGCGGTCAAGTCCGGACAGGGGTTTGAGGATTACTATTTAGTAATTTGTCTCGTGCATGGTCAAATGTTGATTCAGCGGACGTCCGATTGGTTTTTAACTTGGCTCCAACAATCAATGAGACGTGTACATACGTTTCTTTACAGATTTTTAAGTGATCAGAGTTATATTTATTATTTTGGGATCAGAGTTATATATGTAAGAGGGACTTAGAAAATGCGGGTTTTGCTAGCTCTTTGGCTCTTTCTCCTGGCCCTTTGTTTTTTATTAATAGTATTTTCCGGTATTCACTAGTTATTTTTTCCTTTAATTAGCCCCCTTTCTAATTTTTAATTATTTACTTAATAATGTGGCTTCCTATTCACCTACTCCCAAACGAAATCAAACAGAAAGATATGCAAAAGGCTGAGTTCGGTGACAACAAAAAATCGGCATTTTCTACGTACGCGAGAAAAAGTGATACTTTACGGTGGTTATAACCAATTCATAAGACGAGATATCTTCTTATGAGCTCATCTTGAATCTTGATCACCGTATTTAACTATCACCATAGAAAAAACAGGCATGAAAACAATTTTTGTAATAATAATTAACAGAGTATGTAAGCATTGGTAAAGTATGGTTAGTTTGGCAAGACTCTCTTTCGTTAGTTAATCAACAAGATGGTCCATTGAACCAATACTTGTTCATCTTTAAAGAAAAAAGAAGCTGTTTTTCCCCCCCTTTGGTTGACCAAGGAGCTCGAGCCCTATCTAACAGCGTACAAACCATTTGAGAGTTAAAGTTACCTTGAACAAGCCCTCACTGCATTTGTAAGAGAATTGGAACTCAATACCTTAATGGAAAAAAATGCAAACTTCAAGTCAAGCGAGTCAAACATCCTTGACAGTATAACAATACAACAATTATCATTTCTATTCAAATTCAGGAATGAATATATAACAGTACTTTGATGTGAGATTTTTAGCTTTTGAAAGGGACTAATTCGATCCGATCCCAATTTAAACCTACAGTGGGAGGCTTGGTTCGTGCCATCAAGGAGTTGTTAAAACGGCTATGGTGCGTGAAGTTAGACATAATTGCATGAAAGATAAATTTTGTGGCAAACTACTTAGATTTGATTGTGGCATTGAGTCTGAGAGGATATCATAGACTATGTGATTTATTGAATATAATTACTAAATCGTGGTTAATGCATGAAATTGTGGGTATTTCATAATCACCTAATGTTGTGATGCAAATGAATTTGAACAGGTTCGGCCCTCTTCTTTAATTTGTTAAAAACAAAAAACCAAAAAATAATGACTAATACAAATGAATTTGGACATCCATGTATAATGTAACAAAGAACATTGCTCATTTCTACGTGTTCATTACATTGTCAATACTTGACCATAAAAATTGATTATTGAATACTATCAATTTACAACCTCCAAAAAGTAAGGGGAAAATTATCATCCCTTTCTTCATAAGAGACAAAAAAAAAAAAAAAAAAAAACAGAAAGAAGAAAGAATGAAGTTCTTCATTTCATCAATACTTAGGTATGGGTGTTAAATATCTAACTAAGTGTTAGACCCGTCCGATGGACGGGGAGAACATGTACATTTTTGTCGGGATTTTTTTTAAAAATTATTTTAGTTGGTTTTTTTTTGGTTTTATTATTTTGTTTTGTGCATTTTTAAGTCTAAGAAATTAAGAAAATGCCACATAGCATTAAATCCTATGTGGCATGTGCTCCATGCCTTTAGTTTTCTCTCTCTGATTTTTGCCTTAGTATAGTATATAGATAGATTATAGTTACGTATCATATTACATATACGATAAAGGAATTTAATTGGAGAAGTTATCAATAATAAATAATTAATTTTTTGGCGCAATACAGTACTCCTCACCGAAATATGATTACTATATGCTTTGACTTTCATAAGCATTTTCGACATTTCAGCAATTTGGAAACCACTTCCATCCACAAGAGTGATAAGTTCATGTGATCTTGTCTCTTCAACAAAGGAAATGAACGAAAAAGTGATATATGATTTTTCTAAAAATTTATATTAGGTTGTTGGTGTGAACAGATAGAAGATCGATGACTACTCGAGAATCTTTTATCCTCACAAGAAACCTCATCAAAGTAGAAATAGGAACTAATAAAAAAACCAGGGTCCATGACGTTGAATATACTACTTTTTACATATTTGTTTTTATTTTATGTAACGGGTTCAAAATAATTGTCTCGTTTGTTATGAGACTTTTAAACTCGAACTCAATAAATATAAATTGGATTTAATGATGCATGGACTTATTAGGTTCTTAGGTAGTCATGTACAAATGTTTGTATACGACGTAGATAGAACTAGTGGAAGGCAGTGCAACTTCTTTACCTAATATGATCATACTCACATATCGAAACTGTCAAACCTTAAAACCGCACGAAATCATTCTTCTTACTTATAGTTTTTTTTTAATTATCGTACCTTTTTGCTTAATACCCGATGCCAAACACCAAGACTTGAACGTATTAATTTACACAGACTTTCAACAGTGCAGAGATTTCTTGTTTGTTTTAACTCATGCGGAGCCACCCAAAATTCATCACGTCGTCTCCCACTCTCTCCACCCTTTCATTTTCTACCATGTTGATCATTCAAACCAATTCATCCTGATTAATACTTCTCATTTCCTGTGGTTTTTTTTGGGTCACTTTCATCATTAATTTGGATCATCGAAATCAGAGACAACTAGGCCAAATTTAAGTCTATATATCATGTCCACATCCGGCTATGATTCCTTCTCTACGGCCAGTGATCTTCCCTTTTTGGGTCCTAGACAATCTATGGAGCTCCAAGAATACTCCCGGAGGCCAGCACACAGCCTGTCCGTCACGCTCGGGGAGCTTCTCCGGCGAGTCGGCGACTCAGCCAGTGATGCCGGCGCCAAAACTCCTGATCACCAGGTTCTTCCACTTGATGACCCGTTTTTGAACCCGAATCCTTACCCTTTTGTTCTCTCTTTCCGCAATCTCACTTACAGTGTCAAAGTCCCTCGCAAATTCCCTGTGCCTAAGTTCCTCCAGCGGACTAACTCCTTTGTCCCTCCACCGGATGACACTATTGACGCCAGCACTAACACCAAGATGTTGCTGAACGACATAACCGGAGAAGCTCGCGAAGGCGAGGTTCTGGCGGTTCTTGGAGCCAGTGGTTCCGGAAAGTCCACGCTTATCGATGCGCTGGCGGATCGGATCACCCGAGAAAGCCTCCGAGGGACTGTCACTTTGAACGGTGAGATTCTGGAGTCAAGGCTGATAAAAGTGATATCAGCTTATGTGATGCAAGATGACCTCCTGTTTCCCATGTTAACCGTGGAGGAAACGCTCATGTTCTCAGCTGAGTTCCGGCTACCGAGATCTCTGTCAAAATCAAGGAAGAAAGCCCGAGTTCAAGCCCTGATTGATCAATTGGGCTTAAGAAATGCAGCCAAGACTATAATCGGAGATGAAGGCCACAGGGGAGTTTCGGGTGGGGAGCGGCGTCGTGTTTCGATTGGAATCGACATCATTCACGATCCCATTTTACTGTTTCTGGATGAGCCCACTTCGGGGCTCGATTCCACCAGCGCGTACATGGTGGTCAACGTCCTGCAGAGGATTGCCAGGAGTGGGAGTATTGTGATTATGTCCATTCATCAGCCCAGTTACAGAATCCTGAGCCTGCTGGACCGCCTGATTTTCCTGTCACGCGGGCAGATGGTGTTCAACGGCACTCCCGAAAGCCTTCCCCGATTCTTTGCTGAATTGGGTCATCCAATTCCACCAAACGAAGACAGAACAGAGTTTGTCCTGGATCTGATTCGAGAGCGAGAAGGAACGCCCGGTGGAACCGCCAGTTTGGTCGAATTCAACAAATCATGGCAGAAGAAGGAAAACAGCATTCGTGATAGCGACATCAGTAATGGCAACGGCACAACAACTCCGTCGCTTCAGGATGCAATAAGTTCGAGCATTTCCAGGGGAAAATTGGTTTCAGGGGCAACAAGTGCAAACTTCAATCTCTCAGATGTCCCGCGATTCGCAAACCCGTTTTGGATCGAAATGATAGTCATCGCCAAACGATCAATCATGAACTCTTTAAGAGCTCCTGAATTGTTCGGAGTTCGACTAGGGGCAGTCATCTTAACCGGTGTGATTCTGGCCACAATGTTCAGGAAGATGGAAAATTCCCCAAAGGGCATCCAAGAAAGGCTGGGATTCTTCGCCTTTGCAATGTCCACAACATTTTACACCTGTGCAGAAGCCATCCCAGTCTTCCTCCAACAGCGTTACATCTTCATGAGAGAAACCGCCTACAACGCATATCGTCGATCATCTTATGTGCTTTCTCACTCCATCCTCACAATTCCTTCCATCCTTACACTCTCCATCGTTTTCGCTTGTATAACCTTCTTCCCGGTTGGATTAGCCGGAGGCTTTTCCGGGTTCATGTTCTATTTCCTCTTCACCGTCGTCTCATTCTGGGCCGGAAGTTCCTTCGTGACGTTTCTCTCCGGGATCATATACAACGTCATGATGGGATACACAATCGTGGTGGCATTCTTGGCTTATTTCGTGCTATTCAGCGGCTTATTCATCAGCCGGGATCGGATTCCGTCGTACTGGCTTTGGTTCCATTATATGTCTCTCGTGAAGTATCCGTACCAGGGTGTGATGCAGAACGAATTCGGTGACCCGAATCGTTGTTTCGCAAAAGGAATTCAGATTTTCGATGCGTCGCCGTTGAGGGCCGTTCCTGATTCGCTGAAACTCAAGCTGTTGAAATCCATGAGCGAAACATTGCACTTCAACATCACGAGCACGACTTGTTTGACGACGTCGTCTGATATACTGAAACAGACTGGGGTCACTGATCTGGATAAATGGCATAGCCTTTGGATCACCATTGCTTGGGGTTTCTTCTTCAGGGTTCTGTTTTATTTCACCTTGTTAATTGGAAGCAAGAATAAAAGACGATGAAGAAGGGAGGAATCGGTGGCTAAAAAATCAGAGGAAACAATTCCATAGCATATTGCAAGATTATTTTGCAACTTTTTTTTTTGTTTGTTTTTTTTTTTCCCCTTTTCTTTTATGGCTAAAAATGTATCCATAGGCAATTATGTGGCAATATTTGTTTGAATTGAGCGCATGGTAGAATGCTAATCACAAAAGAGAGTGTAAGTTTTAACGTTCCATTTTAAGAAAGGCTTGAAAAATTAATGTACCAGAGTAGCATATGACACACAGCCTTTTTGAGAATTGAAAAAAATAAAATTATGTTTACGGTAAACAGTATCTCCATTCATCCATGGGGAAAAAAGATTTGTATGCTTATTACAGTAGGGCAGATATGAATGGTTTTCAGGATGAATGGAGTGTTAATTTAGACAATTAAAAACTTATTTTATGTTTACAAGCAACGTTCTCATAGATCTAATTGGACTAAAATTATCCAACATATAGACACAACTGCCTTTCAAGTTGGTGAACCATTTTGTGTATAAATTATACTATAATATATAGTTTATTATGATGGTTGTGCCTGGCCGCCTAATTGGATGGATAATTTCTTCTTGTGCTTCAACAATAAGAAAAGATCAGAAGATTGTGAAGGATGGTAAGAATTTTAAAGTTCCAGCCCTTTCTACAAATTAATTTCTCCATTTCGAAAATTTATTTATTGAATGGCAGTTTAGTAGTTAGGTTACTGTTTTTTCTGATAATAGACCAGGGGTCGATTCTCACTGGGATTTGTAAGGGAGATTTTACCCGTATTTAAGTGGGATCCATTGGGATGGATATTTTTCTTAGAAAAAAAAACATGATTCCACTTTAACGTTTAAGATCAACAAATGTAAGTGATTGACATACACTTGTAACAAGAAACCATTTCCATATTAGAAGTTCCATTAGAGTAAAGAGCCTGTATTGCTAACTTAAGATTTAGAATACCTAGCAATTTATGATGTTATTACAATTGAATTTTCCATCTCCAATAAATGAGGATGAGTAGTGATTGATTGATTGATTGGGGCTCTCTTTATTTTCTTCTTTCACTAGCTTTTTTCAGAATGATATAATAATAACTGTCTCATCACAGCATACTTTTTTAAATTTTCAATACAGTTTTCTACATTTTGAATACAAAAAAGTACTAAAAAACACACACATAAAAAACAAAATAAGCATACCCAGTTTCGACAGGTTGTTGTCATATTCAGGGATCAAATTGGCATTTTTTGTAAACAATTGGGGCTAGTTTGGAGGCGGTGGGAAGGCATGATTTCACGTAAGGATTTACAGTAATCATTGAGCAGTAATTGTTAGGTTTTACTTTTGTAATTCAAATACGACAATCATTTTGTAATAAGGCAGTTAATGAATAATCAAGTTTCTTCTTCAATAAACTTCCCTTTTCCTAAAACCTTCTAGATATTTTTTCCCCTTTCTTCCCCTTTCTTGATCTCCAATCCTCCGAAATTTGCCATCTCCTTCGCCGTTCTTTCCATTTCTGGTTACCGGCAAGCTATCCCTTATTTCTTCTTTGGTTCGTATCTGACACGTTGGTATTAGAGCCTGGGAATTCTTCAGCTTTGAGAAGACGGAAAAGATGACTCAAACAAGGAATTGGAAGATCTACGCTTACAAAATGAGGAACTTCGAATCCAATTGACGAAAATGCAGATCAAGTTCTCTGATTTTGGTAAGCAGATGCACTCCCAGTTTGAAGCATTATCCACAGCTCTGATCGGAAAAATAGAGGCCTTGAATTCTAAGAATCCACCACAATCGGAGCCGTCTACTTCAACAAATCCCATGGGAAGTGTATTGGGATCTGGATCCAATGATGTTGTGACCCAGTCGCCAATAAGCAACCAGAACATGTTCCAGAAGTCATCACGGTGGAGCAGTCGCCGGCCGATTCTGCCGGAATAAAAGAAAAGACGGTGATTAGCAAAATTCCTCACTATGCACTTTCAAGAATTGAGTTACCTATGATCACAGGACTGAAACCACGAGAAATTCGGAAATGTGAAAAATTTTTCCTGATACAACAAATTGCAGAAGAATAAAAGGTTAACACGGTGGAATTGTACCTTGATGAAGAGGCTGATACATGGTTTTAATGAAATTGATTAAGTCACAGATTTCTTGGGGTGAGTTTTGCAAAGAATTGATGAAACGATTTGTGGACATTGGGGAAATCAACCTGGTGGAGGAATTCAATAAGCTATCCCAAAAAGGAAGCGTTCATGACTATCAGGTAAGATTTGAGGCTCTCAGGGTAAGGATGTTAATTCAGGACCCCCGATTATCTGAGGATTACTTCATTCACAGCTTCATTAGCGCGTTGAAGGAAGAATTACTGCCTGGAGTAAGAATGATGGAACCTTTGTCTCTGATTTCTGCTTTCGTGATTACAAGCCTGCAAGAAAATCAAATGGAGATCACTACAAGAAAGCAAAGGCAACAACAATATCAGGTGAATAGACCTTATTCCTCTAATAGCAGGGTTAATGTTAATTCCAGGCATGTTAATAGGAACAACAAGACCATTAATCCAGATTTTATGAAGAAGTTAACCAATGAAGAATATCAATATAGAGCAAATAATCAACTGCATTTCAAGTGTGGAGAGAAGATTGGCCCTGGACATGTATGTAAATACAGACAGTTTAACATCATGATTGTGAATGAAGATGAGGAAAAACTGGATAAATCTGAAATTGATGCTCCTGAATTGACTATAGATGATGGAATAGACCTTAATGACCTGACTATTGAAGAAGGATCAATGCATGTATTGTCTGTGGACACTGTTAAGCAAACTATTTTGCTGTTGGAAAAGATTGAAGGAAGGGTCATCAAAATCCTCATTGACACTGGCAGTACGGATAGTTTTGTTGATTTGCTGCTTCTCAGAGATATGAAATTACCTTATACTGAAACAAATATTTCACTATAACTGTGGGAAATGGGAGCAAAGTTTCTGGTAATCTTATGTGCCCTAACCTGCATTGGAAGATTAAGGACTACAAGTTTAGCTATGATCTGAAAATCAAGAGGTTGGGGGGTTATGATATGGTATTGGGGGTAGAATGGATGAGACATTTTAGCCACATCACCTTTGATTTTGATGATATGCATATAAGGCTAAGCAAGTATGGTAGACAGTACATATTACATGGTAAGGGAAACTTGGAAAGCATGCAACTAGTTAAAGAGAAGGATTGTCAAATACTTACTCAGGAAAGAAGATGCAGAGGATGGCTATGCAATTTAATGCTAGGCCAGCAGTGAAACTTCAGTGGAGGAATACCCTCTACCAGCATCTGTTAGCAAGTTGTTGGATAAGTACTGTGAAGTTTTTGATAATCCAAAATCATTGCCACCAAGCAGAGCCAGTGACCATCAGATCATCTTGAAGACTGGATCACAACCTTTCAAGATATTGCCATACAGATGCCCACATGCTTACAAAACTGAAATAGAGAAGCAAGTGAAGGAGTTACCGGAACAAGGCATTGCTCAACCTAATAGAAGTCCTTATGCTTTACCAGTCATTTTAGTCAAAAAGAAGGATGACAGTTGGCGCATGTGTGTGAATTATAGAAGATTGAATGAGATGACAATGAAGGACAAATTTCCCATACCAATAATTGAGGAATTGTTGGATGAACTCCAAGGAGCTTCTGTTTTCTCAAAGTAGGACCTCAGAACTGGTTATCATAAAATTTTGATGAATAAAGAAGATGTTCCTAAGACTGCTTTTTAGACACATCACGAACATTATGAGTTTCTAGTCATGCCCTTTGGATTGACTAATGCTCCATCTACTTTTTAGTCCTTGCTGAATCACATCTTTCAAGAATAGTTGAGGAAGTTTGTGCTAGTGTTCTTTGATGACATTTTGGTGTACAGTCAGAAATCTGGAAGATCATCTCAATCATCTGGAAGTGGTGCTCAAAACACTGAAACAACATCAACTTTTTGCCAAAAGAAGTAAGTGTATGTTTTCTCAGAGTCAAGTTGAATATCTTAGACATATTATATCTTCAGATGGAGTGAGTAAGGACCCTGCAAAGATTGATAGTATCAAGAAATGGCCTAATCCTACTTCTGTGAAAGCTTTAAGAGGATTTTTGGGACATACAGGTTACTACATAAGATTTATAAAGGGTTATGGCATCATTTGCAAGCCTCTTACCAACCTGTTACAAAAAAATGCTTTTGTATGGAACAATGAAGCTTAACATGTCTACTGCACCAGTGTTGAAAATGCCTGATTTTTCTCAACCTTTCATTGTGGAGACGGATGCTAGTTATTTGGGTATGGGTGCTGTGTTAATACAGGTAGGGTAACCAATAGCTTTTATCAGCAAAGCTTTCAGCCCTCAACATAAGGGATTTTCTGTGTATGATAAGGAACTAATGGCCTTGGTTTTGGCTGTAACCAAGTGGAGACATTATTTGTTGGGAAACATGTTCATCATTAGGACTGATAACCAGTTTTTAAAATACATGTTGGAACAGAAGGTAATAAACACCAATCAGCATAAGTGGCTCACTAAACATTTGGGGTATGATAATGAGATCTAATACAAGAAGGGGAGAGATAATAAAGCAGCTGATGCACTTTCAAGGGTTGAGATTGCTAAAAATGACAAAGAATGAAGAAGTTGTTTAGCTATTACTTCAGTACAACCCAGGTGGATTCAAGATGTTGTAGCTAGCTATCAGGAAGACTCTACTACACTTGAACTTATAGCTGACATCACTATCAATCCTGCTGCTTATCCTGGATATCAGTATGTCAATGGCATCTTAAGGAACAATGGAAGAGTGTACATTGGAAACCATCAGGAACTCAAGTTGACCATCTTGACAGCTTTGCATTCTTCACCTCTTGGTGGGCATTCTGGTCAAAATGTCACCTTGTAGAGATTGAGGACAATCTTCTTCTGGCCAGGAATTAGAACAGATGTGGAGAAATTCATCACTGAGTGTGTTTCTTGCCAAAAGAACAAAGCTGAACATGCTCCTTATCCTGGATTACTTCATCCTAATCCAGTTCCTCAGTATTCTTGGAAAAGTATTTCCGTGGACTGCATTGTGAAGCTCCCTCCTTCTGAAAAGTTTAGAACTATCCTTGTAGTTGTAAACAGACTCACTAAGTATGGCCACTTTATTCCATTGGAGTCACCCATTACAGCTTTGAAAGTGGCTGAGGTATTCCTGAATGAAATCTTTAAACTCCATGGTTTGCCAGAAGACATTATAACTGACAGAGATATAATTTTTACTAACCACTTTTGGTAAGCTTTGTTGAAGATGTTGGGAGTTCAAATCAAGCTTTGCACTGCTTATCATCCCCAAACTGATGGGCAGACAGAAAGGGTAAATTAGTGCTTAGAAAACTACTTGAGATATTTTTGATGTGATAAGCCTTTGACTTGGAGCAAGTGAATTTCCCTAGTAGAATGGTGGTACAATAATTCTCATCACTCAACCATCAAAATGACCCCTTTTGAGGCTCTTTATGGTGAGAAGTCAATCATATTTCCACTGGGGCCATGTACAGATAGTGTCATACCAGCTGCTAACCAGGAAGTGCAAGCAAGGGCTTATGTTCTCAAGCTGCTGAAAGAAAATATGCTCAAAGCACAGCAAAGGATAAAGCATTTTGCTGATCAACATAGAACTGAGAGGGAATTTGCTGTTGATGATTGGGTGTATTTGAAACTTCAGCCATACAAGCAATCCACAGTAGCAATCAAGTTCCACCTCAAACTCATGTCAAGGTTTTATGGTCCTTATCAGGTGATGGAGAAGGTAGGAGATGTTGACTACAGACTACGGATGCTATTTCATGTGCGGATACATCCTGTGTTTTATGTGTCACAATTGAAAAAACATCATGGACAACAGCCTGCTTCAGTTACACCACCAGCCTGCTTCAGTTACACCACCACCTGAGCCTGAAGTGATTGAAAGTGGTGCCCTTCAACCTGAGAAGTCATTCAAAGAAGGTTTATCATGAGAAATGAAAATTCTGTTCAGTGGTTAATTAAATGGAAGGATTTTAGTATGGAGGATTCCTCTTGGGAAGATTAAACCTTCATTTGCAGACAGTTTCCTGATTTTAAACCTTGAGGACAAGGTTGTTTTGAGAGGGATGAATTGTCATATTCAGGGATCAAATTGGCATTTTTGTAAACAATTGGGGCTAGTTTGGAGGCGGTGGGAAGGCACGATTTTACAGAAGGATTTGCAGTAATCATTGAGCAGTAATTGTTAGGTTTTACTTTTGTAATTCAGCCGTCATTAGCTTAATAAATACGACAATCATTTTGTAATAAGGCAGTTAATGAATAACCAGGTTTCTTTTTCAATAAACTTCATTGTTTTCTAAAACCTTCTAGATATTTCTTCCCCTTTCTTGATCTCCTATCCTCTGAAATCTTCCATCCATGGCGCCATTCTTTCCATTTCCGGCTACTGGCAAACTATCCCTTATTTCTTCTTTGGTTCGTATCTGACAGTTGTTAACTGTTAACATACAAGGCTTATTAAGTAGGGTTGGCAATTCCTGACACGATCCGAAATTTCGACACGAACCCGATACGAAATAATCAGGTTCGGGTTGAGATTTTGGACCCGTAGAGTAAACAAGTCGAGTTAGGGTCGACCTGTTTATTATACAGGTCGGGTTCGGGTCAACCCGTCGGGTTATCCAAGTCACCCATATATATGTAATATATGTATTTTCTAAGGCTAATTTGGGAATTCTACATGGTCAACTAACCCTAATATTTACTTTACTCTTGACTCTTGTACTCTTTTTCACTTCCTCTCTCGTGGCGGTCGACCAAATAAATCAAACAACTACAATTCGAAGAAATCAAAAAAATCTTCCCAAAAATCCAATAAATCAAAGATTTGAAAATCAAAGAGGCAGAGGAGCGCGGAAATTCAGCAACACTGCTCTCAAAATTTCACAATCGGAAGGCCGGAAGGGGGCTTCAGAGATTTGAAATAGGAAAATAGCTTCTTCTTCGTCTCAAGGTAGATTCTTCTAAACCTGCAATAATTATTTTCCTTTTTTGCTCCAATTAGATTCTATCAGAACAAAAGAAACCGTGTTTTTGCTAAATGGATTTGGTTATTATATGAACTCAGAAATATTTGTGGTTTCAAGATTCTATGGTTTTTGTTTGTTTCTATTTTCGGGTTCTAGCAGTGATGAATAAAATATATATACCCATGCTTTTCTTTCCTTCTGAGCATCAATTTTAATTTTGTAGTCATTTCTGTTCTCTATTAATTAATTATAGTTCTTGTTTAATCTTATGTTCTTGTAGAACTGGAATCCACCAATAAGGAGAGGAGGTTAATGGCAGTGAGATTGAACCCTAGAGTGAAGGTGATGGAGCATTTGGTGCAAGTAAAGGAAAATACCGAAGAAAAGAATGAAGACTTCGTCAGTTTGGCCTCATTTCCGTTGATTTTATACATTGATTGTATCCTTGTTCTGTTTTCGTTCCGGGTTAAACATGTTGACCTTGTGAAATTATGCTTTGTGATTTTTTTATTTTTTTTTTTAAACGGGTTAAACAGGTCAACCCGGGTTGACTTGGTTATTAAAAGGTCGGGTTAGGGTTGACAATCCCGATTTATTTTTTTAAATGGTCTGTTAAACAGCGAGGGTTCGGGTTAGGTGTATTTTTTTGGGTCGGGTTCAACCCGGCCTGTCAATCCAAACCCGACACGGATTGCCAGCCAAGATGCAGTTGAGATTGTTTCTGGGCTTACTTGATATGGTGTTATCTGGCCCCAACCCGTGTTTTGTATCAATAAACGGCCCAAAATAGTTCAGATTCAAAATCTCTTTGACCCACGGGAAATAATCCAGACCATTGATTATTTAGTCGCTCCTCATCAAAATAAATACGCACAGCACAGCTGAGAGTCGGATAACGCTGCTTATTGATTTTCAGTTGAGGTGTACGGAAGAATTTAGGGCTGAATCCTGAAATCATACTTCACTATCTTACAGGTAATTTTATGTTCGGAATCAATTATCTATTCATACTTTTGTGAATTTTGATCAATATAATTTCAAATTGATTTGGGATATCATCGAGATTATAGGATTCGATTTACCGGACTATGTTTTGGTCGGAAATTTTTTATTTCTTTTCACGGCGCACATGAATAAATAACTTTTGGTTCTATTGGATCTCGTCTGCGTCAAAAAATTTCCTTCTGTTATTTTTTTTACTGATAAATTTGGGAGGTGTGCATAATCTGCTTAGGCCCTAATCTTGATCTTCCGTTGTTGTATTGGATTCTCACCTCGATTTGTCGTTCTTTCTGTTTGAATTTTTGGACTTCTGATTACAGTGGGTGTGGGGGAGCCAAAGAGGGGTGGGGTCGTTAATTTCTTGACGTTTATGTATTTGAATGCTTTGGGGCCAACCAACTTTTTCTGTTCATGCTCGTATAGACAATAGGGGAAATCTATTTTCCTGCTATTTATTTATTTATGCACACATGATTTCATTGGCATTGTCAGTGGAGTGGATTTTTTTCTTGTATGGACTTGATTTTACTATTCAATTTTCAGTTCAAAATGCCCCGTTACGAAGATCGGTATGGCAATACCACTCGTCTCTATGTTGGTCATCTGTCCTCACGGACCCGTTCACGTGATTTGGACAATCTCTTCCGTAGATATGGGAGGTAATGCACTTCCCTTTCAACAATGTTTCATTATCTGAGGTTGATGCTAATGCACAAACAAATTATATTGGACACAGCTATTTGTTGTGCATATGATACATCTGCTTATTTTTGGTTTTTCAAATTGGATGCATTATCTTGATGTCGTAATGGTCACCTTAGTGGCAGGTTTATTTATTAATAATTGGATTTTATGATAGTATTACCACTCGGATCTGAAGATTTTTAACTTTTTAAAAGTGGCATGGAAACATATGCCTTGAAGTTCTAAGCGTGGTTATCTGGTTTGGGTTTAAGAAATGTGAGTGAATTACCATGCCTAAAAATTAGAATGTCAATCTAGGTGGTCAGTTATCTGGTCCTTTTTTAGAGCTCTTTCAAGTAGCTTACAAAAATTCTATTCTATCTTATCATTAAGAATATGCCTAGAGCAGTTAAACTGGATGGATTAGTTATCTTTTTAGTGCGCCGGCCGTGGGGGTATTCAATCTTACACTGTGCAGGATAATTCTTTTTTGTTCAAGCATTTTGTGCTGGGAATCTCATTCATAATGTTGCTATGAAGGAAAATAACATCCCTAGGTTCGTTTGAGATTAACTTGCATGATCTTGTTGAAGGTTACTGGGCTTTTTGCCTGGCCTGAAGGTCAAATGGTGAGTGGGTGGCCTTGGTGGATATTCTTGCCGAGTGTTAGGAGACTTTGAAGATTCTTTCTGTTGTGTGTTTGCGTGTTTTTATGGCATTGGCAACAATCTCAATCTGGTGTTTAGTCCATCTTGAAGGGCAAGTTTCATGCACTTCCAGTACTTAAGTAATGATGGCCTTACTGTTTCTGGCAACCGTTTCCGCAGAGTACGAGATGTGGATATGAAGCAAGATTTTGCTTTTGTGGTATGTGTCTTCTTTGTTTGGTGTTTGATATATGTATTAACTTGTAATTGGCAATTAAAGTATGTTTTGATTGCACAATCATGTATTTTGTGCATGTTTTTCTGCCTCAACTTGCTTGAACAGGATTTCAGTGATCCAAGGGATGCAGATGATGCAAGATATCATTTAAATGGTCGGGAGGTTGATGGACGCCGAATTATAGTGGAACTGGCCAAGGGGGTGAGCAAATGCACCTTTTCTGCTCCAATTGAAATAGCTATATGTTATTGTGATTGTTACATTTCTTTGAATCGTATTTTCCTTGAGGTAGTGACGCAATTTTGCTAGGATATGAAAGTTATAAAAAGCTACTCAGGTTCTGCATAGCTTTAAGAAGTTCAATTACTCATTTGGGGGAGTCTGTTTCGGGCCTTTTTTTTTTTTTTCCTCTCTGTTGGTTTTTGGGGAACTGGAAGTTTGGTTCACAATTTTGTTAAGCTTCAACTGCTTTGTGAAAGATTGTGTATTTTTATCAATTATTTTACATTTCATGTTTCCTTTTACCTGTTTCGATCCTCACCTCATGATTTAAGTAGGAAACCCTTTCTCAAAATATGATTTTCCCTCTGCTTAAATTTTGTAAATGTGATCAACCTTTCGTCACCACATGACATAAATTTTTGTCGAGATTAATTTTTCGTTGGCTGTTTATTTGGTCATTATAAAATTGATGATAAACAAGCTTTTCCTTGCTTTGTACTTGAAAATAGGTGCCACGTGGGCCTGGTGGTGTTCGTGAACATGTTGGTAGAGGCCCTCCTCCTGGTTCTGGGCGTTGCTTCAATTGTGGCCTTGATGGCCACTGGGCCAGAGATTGCAAAGCAGGTGACTGGAAGAATAAGTGTTATCGTTGTGGTGAGAGAGGTCATATAGAAAGGAACTGCAAAAACAGTCCGAAGAAGCTCAGGTACATGTTTGCAAAATCTGTTTTCAAAAATATTTCTTTTCTTTTTTGGTTTGATGCTGTGAACTTTTGTCCTGAGTTTATTGGTCAGCCGAGCTTTTGGAATACATATACTTATTTTCATTTGGTTGCTTGTACAATTATTTTTGCAATTGAAGGGGGCGAAGCTATTCAAGATCTCCAGTAAGATCACGCTCTCGCTCTCCTCCTCGTGGGAGAGGTCACAGCAGAAGCTATAGTCGCAGTCGCAGCTACAGGTTAGCTTGTGCACGACTTGTTTATGGTTTCTCTTAGTTGATTCTGCCTCTTGTCTCAAAAAAAATTGTCCACATTATAAATCAAGAATTATACTAAAAATAGTACTATTTACAATTTTCAAGTTGGACTATTTTTATGGGACGGAGAGAAAATTGTGATACTCCATTATTTCTTCCATTGATTGCATAAATCCTCTAGATTTGTTACCGTCATTAGTTATCCTATTTGTCTCTTAACGTATTTATTTACTGATTCCCAAAGTTGAAGCTTTATTTCATTGAATTTGGTTCCATTGCAGCCGATCAGTTTCACCTCCAGCAAGAGACCTTGCTATTGCTCGAAGAACAAGGAGTCCTTACAGTAGGAGCCCTGACGTCAAGAATGGTAGTCCTAGAAGGAGGAGCAGTCCAATGCCAGATGAAGGTGATATTAGGGGAAGAGAGGGATCTTCCCCCAAGAGGCAGAGATTTGTCAAAGACAATGATGAGAACAGTCGAAGCCCTGCCCGGAGGAGCAGAAGCCCCGTGATTTCTGGAAATGGAGGTGATACTGGTAAAAGGTATGAAGATGGTCCATTTGAAGCAAATGGTGTGAGCCGCAGCCCTAGTCCAGGAGAAGATCGGAGGAGTCCCATTGATGATGCTGATGAACGACGATATCCAAGAGGCAGTGAATCGCCTTGAATTATCTCTAAATGAGAATATTATGTAGTAGTTGTTAGATATAATACTTAGTAGTTTCATATTCTGTCGATGTGCTTTCTTGCAGCTGTGACAGTTTTGTTCAAGTATTTCATAAAGTTTATGTTCGTATTGTGCCAGCTTAATGTTGAAATATTTTACCGAAACGTTTAGGGATTCTTGAATGATATTATTACGACAATATCCTTCTCTCCTTTTGTTGAGCTTCGTTTGCATGGAGTTGACGATGGCTCTTATTTTTCTTCCGAAGATAATAGAGCATGTCTCAGTTACTAAATTTCAGTATACGGGCTACTGACCTATAAATGCTTACTCCTCCACCAAAATTATTACCAAACATGAAAAGTATAAAGAGGCAATAATTTTGGGATTTAAAGGGAAAAGGCAGTATGCTAACAGTAATCCTTTTTCTCTAAGGTTACCCAGTGGGCTTAATTTAGATTTCAGGGTCCATGCCCAGCCAACAAAATGTGCTATACTCTACAAGTTTTCCCAAGGCCCAATGAGCCCGCATTCTCAAAAATCTCAAAGACTTGGAACCTGGAAGAAGTAACAGTAATAGTGAAAGTATAGGGAAAAGATGTCGCAGACGGCTGTGATGGCAGCTCTACCGTCTTTCACCGTCGTCCTGTCGGCGGCTAATCCGGCCCGACGGAAAGCAAAAGTAAAGCCCAATGAGATACGGAAGACACGTCAGAGGCCAGAAGGAAACTCTCCGATTACAGAGACAACCAGCGGCGGGATTAATCCTGGGTTTGGGAACAAAAAGAAAGAGCCTCTGTGGCAGTGTATACAGAAGTGCGGTGCTTGTTGCAAGCTCGATAAAGGTCCTTCTTTCCCTTCTCCTGAGGAAATTTTCGATGACCCTGCTGACATTGAGGTTCGTACTTCTAGTGTACAAATTATCTGATTCTTTATTTCCAAATTTCCAATTCCAATTTGTACTGGGTACCATGTATTCTTGAGGCAGAAATGGATAAACTGGTTTGTGTTAACTGGAATTCCCTGATGTTTTTCTTTTTTTTTTTTTTGTGTGGGCATTGCAGCTATTTAAGAGCATGATAGGTCCCGATGGATGGTGTTTGCAGTATGATAAGTCTACAAGAAGATGTTCCATTTATGATGGTGGGAATTAATTTAGCTGTTGTTTTTCTTTGAATTCAGTTGGGATGCTGTAATTCACTCGAACTTATCGTTTTTAGATCGTCCTTATTTCTGTCGGGTGGACCCTGATATTTTCCAGACGTTATATGGAATTGAGAAAAAGAAGTTCAACAAGGAGGCTTGCAGGTACGTCTTGCAAGCTTAGCAGATCACTTCTCCTATTTGGTTGACCTTGTGGGATTCTTTAGGCCTAACTTCCTTGTTCTGGTTTTCAGTTGCTGCATTGACACGATCAAAGCCGTGTACGGCGCAAAATCAGAAGAGTTAAGTCATTTTAATCATGCAATATGGAATGCACCTTCTCAAACTACCTAAGTATTCTTAGCTTTGCATCTGTTTGATTAAGGTATTTTGTGATCTCAGACTTCCCTCACTGATCCTGTGTTTTTGAGAATAGAATTTTGGTATTATTGAACCCTTAATACGCTAAGCTGTTATTGCAGACTCCAGCTGATTTTCAATTATCAGTCCATTTTCTCTCGAATCTAGTGTATGTTATTCTGGCTGCAGCTTTAGAGCTACTTAGAGACAGGTATGAGCATTTAGCCGCCTGTAAATGTGACGATTAAGTACCTCATTTGCTAATTTTCTTCTAGATTCAGCTCACAAATAGATTGCTCATGGTTCCCATCAGTGATCACGCCGTGGACTGCTATGACCAGGATGCTGGCTGAATCTTCAAGTGTACGATGATGGATGGGCAGGCAGCATCAACAAAATGGCGGTGTTTACTCATCACCATATAAGCTGCTCTTTTCCAGTTGCGGGCAACCACAAATATTGGCCACTGAGCCATCGAGTCGCCTTTCATTATGAGTCGTCGTGTTATCAGTTCTGTCCAATTCCAGTCAACTGATGATTAGACATACTTTCTGTTGATCATGTTAGAAAAGATGGTTCGTATTTCGGCTTAATTTCCTATTGGTTTCGATGTAATCCTTCAACTTGTTACTGAGGTATACAATTTGAATAGCACATTTTTGGTTCCTATTGGTTTTATTAAGATGGAATGTAAACATACTGATCTTACTGGTGCTTGCATCAGCTCCAATTTGTTGCATTGTGCGCGTTTTCTGATTGTTGAGCATTCCTTCAACAGTCAGAAAACTTGAGAATTGACCGAAAGCCCTTTTGTCTCGATTAATTAAGTTGGCCCATTCATGTAACCCAGATATTTACAAGTTACAACCCAAAGAACTACGGTTCGTCTATCCCAAATGGTCACAGACTCCGGAAACATTATAAATAAGAGAAACAGTCCTTGAGAGCCTGAACTTGCCCGCTAGCAGTTTTTCCGAAGGTCGAGGAAGAAGGTAATGTTAATCATCTCGCGTTTAAGTCCCTTCATCGAATTAGGGTTTTGTTTTCTGGCTCGAATTTTATTACTAGTTTATAAGCCCGGAACTATTACGGCAAGAATCCGCATACCTCAAATCAAATCAGCTATTTATTTATTTTCGTCTGATTTTTGGACCTTTTTCTTTTCTGGTTGCTTGGATTGAAGGTGAGAAGAATCGATATAACCTCCCGTGGACCTGAACCCGTCGAAAGGGTAAAATCTGTGTTACTTTAAAATTCTGTTTTCTTCTCTGGACTATGTTTCGTTTGCTGTTTCATTTTCCCTGTTGATTTTCCATTAAACGGAGTTTCAGTTTTTTGTTGCGTTCTTTAGTGATTCCATGTCAATTATATTTAGATTGGTTTGATGATTTATTTTGTTTTGCTCGTATTGAAGTTGGGAACCATGGCTGCGCTTCCTGCACACCAAGTCGGACGGGTTAGTGTTTTCCTTCTTCTTCTCCTTGTTTTTTTTCCCCTGGGTTTTTCTATTTTCTATTTTTTTTTTCAAAAACAATAAATAAAATTGTACGACAGCTCTCTTATCCTTATTTCTTTGAAATTTTTATTTGTTTATTGTTTCTTGTGTGTGTTCTTCTCTATGTGGTTTGATTATACCCCTTTCCTCTGGTGGTGTTTACAGCCAGAGCCAAAGTTTGGAAAGGGAACCACTGCATTGGGCCATATTTTCAGCAAAGAAGGGGGGACCGTGGTAGCGGTTGATCATCCACGCTTGTCATCATTTGGAGGATTTCCCGAGAATGTTGTGCAACTCCATTTGCACCTGCTCGCTGCTTTTTCCGGAGGGATCAAAGATTCGCTCGAATATTTGCTCAATGGGGTCTGCCAGATAAGGTACTTGCTGCTAGTGTACATCTTGAGCACTCTGTTTACTTTGGTATCGGACTTTATTTCAGCATATGGATTTGGTTGTTGTAACTGCCTGCTTTTTCAGTGCCACGAAATTTGAAGTCAATGAGGGGAGAAAAGCTTCTGCTGCTGAAGCATCGGAATGGCTTGCTGACTTTCTGTCTCATCATGACAGTGACTTTGCTTTGTCACTAGGAGTGCTGATTGCTGGGTGGGATAACGAATCGGTAAACCTTAGAATGTCCTCCTCTTTTTGGTCTTCCCTATTCCTCTTATTGAATTGATCATGGTTGGTCTCTCTGTAGGGCCCTTCCCTGTATAAAGTGGATGGTAAGGGGAAAGTGCGGAAAGAATCCTTAGCTGCAACTGGATCTGGCTCATCTGCTCGTAGTTTAATTCTGGGGTATTCTTCTTTTCCCTCTGTGATCGCTTCAAGTTGCAACGTGTGAACATGGTTGTTGCCTGCCTTGTTCAATATTTAGCCTAGGAATTGACATTTGGCCTTCTTGATGCATCGCACACTTTGTCTATAAATTCCATCATTTTCTCTTGAGTTGTTTATTCAAATATTTTTTTGAAATTTCGCGTTATTCTACTTGAGTGAGCAGTATCTCAAAAACTTGTTTCTGGTTTTTCTAAAGGACCCTTCCCTTTCGCCGCCTTGGTATTACCCTGCCAGATGCTAAGGAGATTGCCAAACGTGCAATGGAGAGTGCCAAACGTGCAGTTTGTATTGGTGGATCTCATGCCCCTGAACAAGGTGAATGCATCAGTGGTAAGTTTGTGACCTCGGGGCCGCTTTTATACCTGCATGTTAATTTATGTCTGAAGATTGATGCATCCTGGTTTAGTTTGTATAATACCCCCTACGTCCAGTTTTATTAGTTCACTTTGTTTTTCTCAACCAGGTGGACCATCAGAATGTGACTGAGGTGTTTTTTTTTTTTTAAATTTATTTATATGTATGTATATATTTTCTATGTTCTGGCCCTGATTGAGTATGTTCTTCCTCCCTGTATTTAAGTTTTCCGTGTCGGAAGTGCCGGTGTTGAACTGGTGGTCTCTAATGATGATATAGAAGAGTGGCAGAGGCACCGCTGCAGCAAGACTGGGAGAAATGGAAGAACCCGAAAGTCCACAATAGTCGCCAGCCATCTGAGACTTTATAGGGGGGAATGGGAAGGAAGAGGTCTCTGATGATAAAAGTTGAAGAGCGATGCAATGTCTTGTCTTCTTTCTTTTTTTTTGTGTGCATTTTTTCTTTACGTCTCTTTTTATGGACAAGAGGGATTAGTATGCTGATTTGGCTATTTATGTGTCTCCCTGGGTGGATATGGTGCTTTTTGGTTATAGTATCTATTTATTACGGTAAAAAAATTCTTTAAATTAATATTATTGGGTCAATAAAATGTTATTACTTTATTATTGTTATATTTTGTTGATAAATTAATAATTATTATTTTATCGAAAAATTAATAATTTATTAATTTATAAGATTTTTTCTCAATTCTATTCGGAACAAATACTAACTTTTTTAGATTTCGAAACGACTCATTTATTCTTGAATGAGGAAAGAGGTTTTGTTCTTTTATTTGCTGAGTGGGAATTATTGATGTTCGAAATTTGGTTTCTAGTTTTATTCCCCCTTTCAAATCCTTTTTGAGTTTTACCATATAGGACAAGGATGAGAATAGATCTACAAACGAAAGACGGGAACATGGAGGAAAATGGATGACAGAGTTTATGTAATGGAAGTTCTCATCCCATTACTATTGACTGGTTCTAATTCTTGAATTTTATGCAGTTGATATTGTTTGGTAAAATAAAGATTCGATCTAGAAAAAGAAACCTTATGAACCTAAACCTGAGGAATCAGTCATTTTGAGACTTCATTTGATACCACGGTACCACCTACAGGGATCCCTTAGCCTCTTTGGTAGAATCAAGAACTTCTTGATGATGAATCCATTCGTTTTCAAATGCAAAAAAGAAGCTGAAGATACTGTTGTTAAGCAGGGATTGGCTCTGTAATGGACTGACAAACAGGCCTTTCAACGATAGGAGTTTGCTGTCTCATAGCTATAGCTACAGAAATAACTCAAGAGAGAAACAGGTGCCTGTGTACGAGGATGATCATTGATGATGCTGTCTAAGTGTCTACCCAACCAATGAATATGATGAATGGACAACCTCAAACTTTATTCTATGATGTACTGTGGACTCCATTTCGTCGTCAAACTTTCTCCACTTTTGTTCAATTCAGAAGTTGGGTATTTGAATGGGTTTTTACACAATGCGATATCCATTGTTTTCTGTTCTGTGACTGTTCTAATGGAACTACCAATGGAACAAAGTTAGTCCACAAGTAAACCAATTGAGAGCAATGGGCTTTCCATCTTCCTACACTTTGCTATCTAGATAACATGCAATGAAAATATAAACTTAAATGGAATCTGTTCATGGTAGTCCCCGTCAGTTGTAATTAGTTTCATTTTTCCCTTCAATACATTGATCAGTCTCCCAACATGTCCAACACCGTGAAAGTGTCTCCTATGCCAAAACTTTCATTCAGTCCAGAAGCTACTATACAAGAGAATGCATGTACAAAGATAATTCCAGAAACAGCTCCAAAAGTATGGTACATCTATATTACATGGCTTAAAGGACCAATACCTAATTCATCCTCTATCTCATCACCATCTTCAAACAGTTTCAGAAACCTAGCCTGCTCCTGCTGCTTCTTTCTCTTTTGCCAATACTTGAGCGCAGTCACAATCCCAACAATTATAACCACCAACGCTGCAGCAGATATAAGCCCCACAAGTGTCCAGTGCATTCCTTTCTCATGGTTATGAGAGCCAGGGGGGTGTTCAGAAGCTGAATTTGAGGAATGAGAAATTAGAAAAACTATAAGATATTATTGAAAATATGCAAATCTTTGTAGCAAATGCATCTGCACCCAAAAGAGATATTTGGAAACCTAGTAGCAAATGTTGCCTTCATCCAGAAAGGCTAGTACACACCTCTTACGAATATTTGTTGAGGAGGAATTAATCTATGATACTTGGTAAACAACAAGATGAACTATCATGACAAAGGACCCTTTTGGTTTTCAAGGTGATAAATGAGAAACATGTTCTAGATCAGAGACAAAGATTACTGAACTAAACGCAAGAACCAAGGACTTAGTTCATCCCCTACAGGGGGAAAAAGGTATGATTCCATTGCAAAATGTAGGTATAAGCTCAAGCTGGCTTTGCTTAAATCAATGTTGCCAGACAAATAGTTAATGATGTCCATACTTGCATTCCATATTTACCAGCGTGTACTTGTTCTACCAACTAATTATTTCAATTGCAATAAACTCTCACATATACAAATATTGTCGATTTCATCTCAAGAAAACATCTCGGATCCAGAAAAAACTGTGCAAACCTAGAGGGCAACAGGAAAGAGCAATAATTACAGGTCGCTCACCATTTTCGCTGGGCACGCAGTCCGAACACAAGAATGTAGCGTTGAACTCCCCCTCCTTGACATGGTTATATTTACCATCAGTGAAATCAGAAGCACAAAGCTCCCACTCATCAAATACATCATCTGATGCTATCTTGTCATGCTCATAAATCCCACATCTCTTGCACTTTTTCTCCAAAAGCTCTGTCAAAGGCTGCAAATAGCACAAAATAGCAACAGTAAATATAGATACTTCACTTAATAGGTTCGGCATACGTCTCAATAAGTTAGCCATAGAGAAAATTCAAACACCTCCCATCATATCACAACAAAGTTTTGACTTTTTTTTTCCCAAATTTTTTTCAAAAAAAAAAAAAAAGAAAAATCATAACTAGATACTTTCGACAGATAGTTCCCAGGTATTTTATCTCTGGAGCAACACCTACACTACAGCAGTAAACCGGAAGTTCCACAAATGAAACATATCTTCTTTAAAAGAATCTTAGACAACACTAATTCTGTTAAGATAAGTGTATCAGTGATGACAAACCTGCCATGATTCTTCACCCTTGAAGTTATAAACCACATGCTTTTCAGTGACATCAGGCAGGGTCGTCATGTTCTCCCCCTTACATTTAAAGTAGACAGTAGGTTTAAGATTCAGCATCTCATGGGTCTTGAAAATTTCAATGGAAGCAAGTGTAACAGTCCCCGCAGCTATAAACTCTAAAATATGAAACATGATGCAGAGCCATTAGATTTCAGCACTCATTACGTACCAAAAGACAAAAATGCAGCAAAGGAAATACATCAAACACCAAATCTTAGGATCATCTTTCCGAGTCAAATAAACCTAATTTATCAGCACGCAATCTTAACTTGTTAAGAAAAAAAATCCATAAGCTTATTTTTTAGATTATCATTAAAAGCACATATCTTGTAATTCCTTCCCCCAAAACTCTCTTTCCTTTTCTGTTTTCCCCAAAAATTAAAACCAGTGTCCTTAAGTCCAAACCAACTATGGCGCCATTCTATAATCAGCCATTGATAATAAAAATTGTATTCTTCAACATCAATCAATCACAAAATCATTCAAACATTTATCAATTAACGATCTGAAGCATATAATCTAATAACTAAACGAAGAAAAACCTCAATCTTTGGAACAATATTATACCTGGAATCCATATGAGAAGAATCGAGCACAACAGAATTAGCAAATCAGGCCTACAACGTTTTCCCCGTCGCCGAATCTGCATAATAAGCTCTCTTTTTTTGGGGGGATTTAAATTTAATAACTAGTCTTCCACAAATTGAGCTGATCGACAAAGATAGGCTGACAAAACTCACAAGGCCGAATCAGTTCGCGCCACTAAGCCCGACCGGAAAAAGCTGATGAATACTGAGAAGATTGTAGAAGAGGTATATTCCGTCACGGAGATAAATTTCGAATAGCTCGGATTTCAGGAGGAGGAGGAGACTAGCCGGAGATACCGACTTGTTCGTTGTCGCGCGTTATTCTATTCAACGGTAGTTGCGTGGCGGTTGGGCAATGGATCAAGGCTGCGACCGAGCCTGTTATTTTATTGGGCTCGTGAACTCTCTCCTTTTATACTTTTGGCCCAATTTCAAGTGAGAGTGGCCCACGTGGTGAAATTATGTCATGCTCTTGCGTTTTATTAGACTTTTAAAAATTAGAAGGACCTTTATGTAATTAAGACTTGTAATAGTTGATTAGCTTTTTATATCCCGTTTAGAGTTTGGAACAGGATTTTATCGAAGAATTGAATGAAAATTTCCCCTTTGTCCTGATTCTCTTCCCTCCCGTTAGCCCTAGCTTCTGTTTTTCAAATTTCTTTTTGATTTCTTCTCCTTCTTCTCCATATACCCTCTGAACACTGAATCTGAAGTCTAATTTCTGGATTTTAAATCCTATATCATGACAAATTAGTTTTTTTGTTTCGAGCCCAATAAGACTTAACTGAAAGAATGTTAAGGCCTTTGGGCCTAATTTGCATTATCATAAATGTTAGAGGACCTTCTTGTAATATGTTGAGGAGTGATCTCTCTCTGTAGAATTTTGTGAGTAATAACAATCATCGAAAGTGTATGGAGTTGACGAAATATATCTACCATTAAGGGTAGGATTCTCTTACTGTTATTTGTCCCTGCCGGTGAGGCTGTGACGAAGAATTTATGACTAAAACATGTATTTTATGTCCCTAACTGTGAGGTTGTGCCAAAAGTTATGACTAAAACATGCATTTTAAGACGTGTTTATGATAATTGTTAATTCGTTGGTTTAGTTATGGAAGAGCGGAAAGTTGAGCTAAACATAGGGTTATGATGGGATTTTTCTTTGCTTGGCAACGTTTGCAGGAGTTTATTAGGGCTCTACATGGTGTATCCTTAATTTTTATACTAAACCTATGACCTTATGACTTACACAGAGTAATTACATTTTTGTTATAGTCAAAGTGGATTTATTCAAGATATTCGATTTTTATTGAAACAAAATATGCACCTAAGTCTTTCACAATTGATTTGACCGTTGACGGTGAAGCTTGCATGAAGTCGTGAACATAATGCGTTCTTTTTCATCCTTTCTTTCTTTTTCTTTTTTTTTATCCCTTTTCCTTTCCCAAAATTGCATCTCCCAAATTTTCACCTCTACAAGAAGATAAAGGCAAATAACAGCTAAAAAGCTCATATAAGGTCGAATGGTAAAATACATAAAATCATAAATAATAGACAGGTCATAATTTTGTTCGACTCTTGCTCTCGTGTTACGGGAGCAATCCCCCTGACCAAGTCTTAATAACGGAATTAACCAAACAAACCGGAAATATTTCCCGGGGGAGGCAAAAAACGATAACACCGCCGGCGATTTCAAAATTGCAAATGTCAAGGCCTAATTACCTGATTCTGATTTGCTTGCTCTACATTGCATGTTTTCTCGGGATTATCCTCCCTGAATCCGAAGCTCAAGTCCAGCATTCCATCCCCAGAGGAGGGCTCAGGAAAAGACAATTACCCCCACAACAACATCCCGTCGCCGCCGGCCGGCGAACCAAGCGGCCGTACGTCCCCGTATTCAACTGGGAACAACAGCTGTTCGTCAAGGTTCATAATGACCTGAGACGGACATTGGGAATGCCGCCGTTGGTGTGGGACCCGAAACTGGCTTCCCACGCCCATTCCTGGGCTCGTCAGCGCAGAGGGGATTGCAATTACCGGCAACACTCGGCGGGGCCGTACGGTGAGAACACGTTCTGGATGCAGTACAAGGAGTTCTCTCCGGCCGACGTCGTGAACAGATGGTTCCAGGAGAAATCGCTGTTCGATCACGGCCGGAATGTTTGCAAATGCCAGCCGGAAAGGGACGGATGCGAATGCGGGCATTATGTTAATGTCATTTGGAAAACGACCAAAAGGGTTGGTTGCAGCGCCCCGGTTTACTGCAAACACGGAAAAGGTTTGATCTTTGTTTGTAGCTATGATCCTCCTGGTGGTTTAGTTGGCGTCAACCCTTTGAATCCGCCATTGAAACAGTAAATTAATTGGATGCAATTCGAATCTTCAGTCAAACAATTACTATTATGTTACCAGTTCTTTAAAATCCATAATAAGGGTACGTACCGTTGTTATGGATCATTTATGAAATGTATTCGTGCAGCGGATTGATAACGGAAATAATTTTCTTTGTATTAGTTAATGATCTGCAGTAATAGATCTCATGTGTAGTTCAGGTTATATATAGAATCATGTATGTATTCAACGTGATTCCTTTGGCTATATGCAAAACCATCTTTCTGGAAATGGTTCAAAATTTAATTAGTAGCCTTTTTGTCAGGTTTATTACTGTGACATATTCGATATGTTAGCTCTTTTTGAAGCTGTGATCTCATACAGGAAAGGCACTCAAATTCACATAATTCTATAGAAGATTATAAGGGGATCGACGATGATACGTGAAAGGCACCATGTATATCTCTCTCTAAATTAAGAGGCAGTGTCATATAGGAACGGGTGATGGTATTTTGTAACACGTACCAAAACTGATTTAATAAAGCCAGATTAAAAAAAGGATATCCATACGTACTTGTGCTTCATTTATTAAGCTTATCTAGATGCCTTCAGGGACCTACCATCATTAAACGGAAATCTAATTGCCTAAACACAAGAGGAATAATTTTCATGTCCAAATTACAAGGTTATTTTCATGCAGGCATGAGTTGGAGTCCATTTAGTCCGATGTTTTCCATACATCAAAGCTATGAGAAGAATGCATGATACTACACACCAATCAGTGTCATGGATCTTTGAATTGATGGAAAGGGACAGGAAGAGACATAGGTATTTGTTATTGCAACTTTCAGTTAGCCAAATAGATACGTAAAATGCCTATTTCCTTTGCTTGTGATGGTGGGATGATTCTATCCGTGTACATTCATGATTGGCCAACGTTGGCAACATTAAAGTCTCGAAAAAATCGCATGTTTATCAGCACACTGGATAAAGGAAAATTAACATCAATCTGATACATTGAAAACGGTGGTCTGCAGCTGATAAGCTTCAGTAAAGAAAGACGATCTACTTAGATGAGTCGACACGATACTGCTGACTGTACCAGACCCGATAACCATGTTCATGATCACTAGTTGGATCCGAATCGCCTCCAAAGGCGAAGCACCTCCGAGTATTAGGCCAGACATGGCCCCCGGAAGTGATACGAGGCCAATGGTCTTGGCATTGTCTAGCGTCGGACAAAGGGCAATGATCAATGACCTTTTTACCAGTTGCAATGTCGCCTCACGGGGTGTAGCCCCAAGTGCTAATGCTGTTTCCACCTGAAAAAATCAAACCATGCGTCTAAATGTTACTCCCTCCGTCCAAAAAAAAAAAAAAAATCCACATTAGGTTTTGAGTTTTGTACTGTTTTCAGTACAAATTTGAAAACTCAATGTAGACTGTTTTTTTTTTTGGGATGGAGATAGTAATTTTATTCTTTGAAAACCCCCAAGTTCAAGAAAAAGTCCTCATCATGGGGTATTGAAAAGTCTTACTTATAAAACAGGAATCATATTGACATTGAAGAGATTTCTCGTAAAAGCATGAACTTACTAATGCTTTCTGCATCCGGATGTCATCCCGGAGTCTTTTCATTGTAATACCGGTAACCCTCATTGTATTTCCGACCATCAGTCCGGCAATGGGGATGACATACCTTGCAGTGAAAGGGATAGTTCTCAACATAATCAAAACAAAGAGTGTCACAGAAGTTCCGGCAAAGATTGAAATTCCCGCCACATACTTTCCGCGGGGCACATGCTCGGCTCGCTGTCCGGCAGTGTAACCCGCAACACAAGTCTGCAGCAGAACAAAGCTATCGAGTTTATGATGATCTTTCTTAGATTAACTTTTGAGCAGAACCAGAGAGAGAAGTGTGGCCTAATTCACAGTATCAGAGATATCAGAGACAGAAGTTAAAGTCAGTTCATTAATCAGTCGTCATCTTTATTAACCAGAGCAAAACAGGACCACAAAAATGCAGATTCAAAGATTAATTAAGCAACCAAATTTGATTCAAGAAAATTTAATGCAACAATTAGATACACATTTCCGGAACTTGACTGACTTGTTTAAGTTACATTTTTGTGTCACTTTCTCATTAACATTCTTGCATGATTGAATTACAGCTATGAAACAGCTTATTTAATATCCTAGTCCCGGAAAACAATAAACAAGTAACAGAGGCAAGAACAGAGGATTCAAAGTTAAGAAATACATGAACAGGAATGATCATGACGATGGAGTCGTACCATGAAAAGATAAACACCCAGCATCCAGACCTTAGTATGGAGATTGAATAAGTAGTGAAGCACAAACCCAATGAGTAACAACTGAACAGAAGCCCTGAGGATCGAACATGCGGTTTCTCGAACCAATCCCAACTTCTGAAAGTAGGACATTACCAAGCCTATTGCCAATACAGAGAGTCCAAGCAACGGTTTGATCATACTCTTACCAAACTCTTTTAGCCATTCCCATTCCATAGCTGCCAGTCCAACCCGGATGATCAGATTTTGGAAGAAAGACAAATATGTAGAGAAAGACGAATGGAACTTAATGATCATCAGTTATTAAGATAACATCGGAAGAGGAACATATGGAACTATCGGAGCATAAATTTACCTGTCTGCTCCCTTATACCAAAAATATTTCGAGTAGGTAGCATATCAATATATATGCTTATTGATAGTAAAATAGTAATAATGGATCCACCGTGTTTGATGAAAGTAACCGATTTTGTTCCTTAAAGTAGAACTCGATAGATGATCGATATTCGATGAATTTAATATGTGTCACCTCAGTCATTACATTTCAGTATTTGTATATTTATCGTTACTTACATTCAGTCGCGTTTTATAAATTTGATTTCTTTAACTTTTCTCTCAAATCTAAGTCTACTTTAAGTTTAATTAACAAAATAGTATCTTTTTTTTTTCCTGAAATCAAATGAATAAAATGTAAAAATTGAATTTGATCTGTAGAAGCCATTAAAATGTTTAGCTTAATGATTAGGAGAGATGCAGAAACCGGAATTACTAATGTAATACAAGCAGGGAAAGTAACTAAAATATACGACCATGGCTTATAGAAGGGTCCAGGGTAGACCTCAGTTAAGGAATTACTTTGAGTGGAATAGCCATTTAGTTTGTTATTACAGTTTACTACAATAGGCGCACGTTAAAAACCCACAATCTTTATTCACAAATCAGCTCTATGCGGCGGTGGCTTTTAAAATTTTAATCAAGTACTACAATATTTACTTTAAAAAAAATCAAGTACAACATCTGATTTTCTAAATATTGAATACAATGATTCACTCACTGAAAAAACATAGTAAATTATTTATTATATTGATCAATTAAGGTAAAGTTCACATGGCAACATTAATGTGTAGTACCATCGTTAAGTCAGCACATTCAAGAGTTGGCTTTGTTCATGTCCGCGGGTATGATTTAACTCTTGTGTAAAATCCCCAATTCCACAATACTTGTCGGCCTGAGCCGCAGGGAATTTGGTCCATTAAACTGAGAGTTTGAATCTGAGCGCTTTAAATAGAAGAACCAACATTGGAAAACTTATGCCGCCGAAGAAAGATCATTTCTCGGGTATGATTCGATATTTGAATGTGTTGTGTGTCTATTCAGAATATTTTCATTTATATTCCCCGGTCTACAAATTTGAAAACTTTATGTTCAGATCGTTTTTTAATATATGTGTTTTGTATTGTAAATGTAAAAAAAGTGTATTGAAAATATGTAAAGATATGTTAGGATGAGACAATTATTAACTAGATAACTAGATATATAAAAAGAGAGTTTCTCCCTTCTCACACGTGAACTTTGGTAGTATCTTCTCACGTGAGTTTCTCCCTTCTCACACGTGAACTTTGGTAGTATCTTCTCACGTGTGTGAAAGGTTAGTTATGTAATTTAAACATTCAATTATTTTATTTTAATTTCTTTTTCTTATTTTCTTCTTCCTTCTATCCGCCTCAATTTCTTTCAATTTATGCATTCAATTAATTTCTTCATTTTTATTCTTCATAATAATGAATTTACTACTACATCAATTGCTAATTATGATGATCAAAATTGCTAAATTTTCCAATTCTTCCAAGTAAAAGATATATAATTTTCACAATACCAACCTATCCAATCTTTTCAAATTCATCTTTTTTCTATGTCTTTTTTTTCCCAACTATATATATATATATATATATATATATATTATATAATAAGAGAGTTTGTCATTTCACACGTGAACTTTGATAGTAATCCCACGTGCTTCATTTATAAATAAATTTCTAAAAATTACAGAAGATATTTTCTCCTCTCTAACTCTAATTTTTAGATGTTCTTAGTCATTAATTTTGATGATTAACTTTGATCTTTTGATCTTCTTAATTTTTATTAGTCTTTTTATCATTAATTTAAGTCTTTTGATCTTATCATTCGTGTATGTGTGTGTCTATATATATATATATATATATATATATATATATATATATATATATTCATATGATACATTTACTTTAGGTTAAACAATGCTTTATATAAGTAATTAATAATCATTTAACTCTTTTGAGTGTATTAAAAATTTTTCACTACTAAATAACATAAGAAAGTGAAAAATAATCTCTCTAAATTTTCAAAACCAAACGTTTAATTTGTTGTTATCGCACATAAACTTATCTAATCGTTAGAGAATTTTAGTTTAAGCTTCGATAGTATTGAAATGTATGTTTTTGAAGGCTTTATCTTTTCATTTTCATGTTCTACCTAGCTAGAAGTTAATTATCAAGGTGAAATTTATGTCTAACCATTTTTTTAATGCCTATTTCAAACTTTCCATCTTCCTCTATTAAGATGCCATTAATAGTGTCATTATAATGTAACTTACTTGAAATCAATTTATAAAATGACTATCATTATTAATCATGTGATAAAAGTAATAAAAAAATCTTTCATCTTCATTTGTTGTTACTCAATTGCTCTATTTTAATTTCTCCATCTTCTCTCTTTCACTCATTTGGTCTCTCACTTTTTCATATCTGGGCTAACTGTTGTACTGTCATTTGAGTTCATTCTCTTCTTTAAATTTGCTGACAATAGTTAAAAGCAATAAGGTATGTGTCTTTTTTTTTTTTTTCTCCTTTTCCATTATTTGTCTTGTTTAATAAAGAATGTCTTTATCTCTTCTTGCTTTCTGAACTGATTCATTGCGCTTGGAATTTGAAAGAAATAGGTAGTGTGATGTACACCAGCATCAATTTCTATTAATTCTGAACATATGAAACTATGATCGATCTTTTGTAAATGTCATATTCGTTTATTGCAAAATTTTATTTTCTTGATATTTTGTATCATTTCTATATTATATTTAAATATTTTTATTTTATATCATATTGTTTCTCTTATATTTTAATACTTCAATCAATTTGCAAATATTTTATTAATTTTCGTGCGTACGATTCCACTAATTATAATATTATTTTGAAAAAACTATTAAAAAAATGAAACAAACTGAGCCATTATTAAGTACTTCACAGTTTTGAATGGATGTACAGTTTTCCAATATTTGCAACCTAATGAGTGCACAGAATACTCGGACATATGTTTATTTGTTTATAAGAGTATCAATAATGGTTTACACTATTGTGAGTATAATATCATAAATTTTCAATATTATACTTTTATTCTACTTTTTATTATATTGGTTTACACTGTAAAAGTCTAATAAAATGAAATAGTTTTAATATCATCATAAACACACATTAATTATATTTTAATACTAAAAAATGTATTATACGGTGTAAGAATTCTTACACTGTATAATATTATTACACTCAACACAATGAGAAATAGTGTAATAAAGTGGTTATTTACCACCATTATAGATGCTCTAATAAGAGTATTTTACACAGGATAATACTAACTGGTTATCTTTATATATTCTTCGTGGTTAGTTTTCACTGGAGAGTTTAGACGAAATGAATGCAAGTGATTATGAGCATTATTACGAAAGTTGAAGTGACAGTAGAAAAAGTGAGTGAAATGTTAAAAAATAAAGAGCCAGTGGAGGCTGAAAGCATGAAGCAAACAAGAACAAGCCCATTGGATGTATGTAAAACAAGATGTTGGAAAAGGAAGAAATGGGTCCTAAAATCCCACCAAGCCCAATAATGCTCAATGTGAAAAGGAAAGCCCAGTAGTGTCAATCTGAAATGAACGCGTTGGTTTGTAGCTGATGAGCTTCCGTAAATAAACATGGCCGACTTAGATAAGTTGACGTGATGCTGCTCAATGTAGAAGCTCCAATTATCAAGTTCATTATCACTAATTGGAGTTTAATCGCTTCCGTTGGTGAAGCTCCTGCAAGCATCATCCCCGTCATTCCACCGGGAAACGTCACGAGTCCGAGCGTCTTGGCATTGTCCAGCGCCGGAGAAAGGGCAATAATGACGGATCTCTTCACTTGTAACATAGTAGCCTGACGGGGAGTTGCCCCAAGTGCTAGTGCTGTTTCCACCTAACAAAGGAAAAAAAATAAAATAAAAAATTCAAACCATACAATAAACATTTCAAATGTTGATTATGTAATCGAGAACAATATTAAGTAGTAGGCAAAATCTACGTTTGATATATAGTGTTAATTAAAATAAGGGGACCTTTTGAACTTACCAGGACTGTTTGCAACTTGATGTCATCCCGGAGTCTTTTCATTGTAATACCGGTAACATTCATCGCGGTTCCGACAATCAACCCTGAAAGAGGGATAATATACCTTGGCGTGAAACTGACAGTCTTCAATGTAATTAAAATTGACAGTGGCACGGAAGTTCCAGCTAAGATGGACATTCCTGCCACGTACTTGCCGCGAGGCACGTGCTTGGCTCGCTGTCCGGCCGTGTAACCGGCTACACAAACCTGCAGTGACGCCAATCCTCAAACGCAGTTAATCTTTGTCACTAAATACCTATGATGTCGGAAACCCATATAAATTAGGCAACAAAACATTCTAAACATTGATTACAGAAAAAAGCTATCCCAACACTAGCATTTGATGAATGTGTTGTGTCGAACTTGACTAGCTAAGACATAAAGTTTCATTTACGTCACTGATTGAGATTTCAAATCAATGCAAACTGAACTCTAACAATAATGATGCTTATTGGGATCTCCACTTATTAACTTCATGCGCCTTTGCATAAGCGAAAAGATAATATCTTTATCTTCTCCTCTTTAATTTATCTTTTTTAAAAGGTTAATTTCTCTAGCTAGTTGAGCATAAGAGAAAAAAAAAAGAAAAGAAAAGAAAAAAGAAAAGAAAAGCATATTACCACAAATTTGCTCTTACTCTTTGAGTTTGGAACTAGCGTTCCTTAACAGATTACCACGTTAATTTCGTGCTAAAATAAATATCCTACGTCCGTCTGTTTTCAAACAAAGATAATCCCTTATAAATGTAACATAACAAATGATTTTAAACAGAGGATCGAAGAATGATAAAATTAGCTAGTGAAGCTAACCCCATCCAGTTTCCATGTTATAGTAATGAAAATTTAAGGAAACAGAATGATGAAGACGGAAACATACCATAAAAAGATAGTAACCCACAATCCAAAGACTACTTTGCTGATGGAAAAGGAAGTGAAGAACAAACCCAATGGCGGATATCTGAATCAAACCCCTGAGAACTGAGTAGGCGGTATCCCCCACCAATCCCAACTTCTGCCAGTGGGCTAATACCATTCCCATTACCGCCACCGATAGCGCCAGCAGCGGTTTTATCATTCCTTTACAAAACTCTCTTAGCCATTCCCACTCCATATAGTAGCCAATATTTTCAACAGGATGGATGAGATTAATGAGAGTTGAGGCAAATAAAAACTTACTCAAGTAAACCGAATCTGCCCTCTTTGGAGTTCTTCCCAGTTCAAAAGTGAAGAGAAAAACTGAATTTTTGTTGCAACAAAATGAAGAAAGAACCTATATTAGCAAATAATAAGGCTAAAACCAACTAACTACTGTATTAGAAGTTTTGTCGCTTGTATACGTGGTGGTTTTAATTGGACTTTTTTTTTTCTTTTCTTTTTGGTATATTACGCACTGGGTGTCCGAAATTATTATTTTGATTAATTCGGATTCGAGCCAGGTAGGTTTATCTCGGGAGTTAAATCTCTCCCGACAAGTATTTTAATCATTGTTATATGTCCATGTCTAGGTTCGAGTCCTGATTATAGTTAAGTTGGCCCAATATCTTTACCACTTAGACCTTTTAGTTTTAGTGTCTAAAGGCAAAAAATAATAAAATATGCATGCCCGGCTCATGCAAGTATAGTGAAGTGGTTTTGTGGAAGGCCAAATGAGATAAGATCAAGCTGGGGTCAGCTTATTCTAATATGTTAAAAAAGGACTTCTTAGTTTTTTTTTTTTAACTTGTTGCACATACATTTGATTTTTTATGTCTTAACCAAGTGACTTGTCGAAATTATTCAGGGTCTAGGCGTGACAAAAATTCAAAATTACTTGTTTTCGTGCGTGACACGTAAGGAGAGCATTTCCTAATTTTCCTGAAAATATTAAAAAATTTGGTGTTTGAAATCACTGTTGTAACTAATTTATATTCGAATAGAATGAATTTTTTTTAAGACATAAATTTTTTCTAGTAATTATTTTTAGTCACGTGTCGATGTGTCATACATACTTGAGTTTTGCCTCACTTAAAACTGTCTTAGAACTATATCACCAGAATTTTAGAGTTAAAAACACTACTTTATAATATTTTGACAGGGCAATTTCACTTCAAATATATTTATAAAACATTTGTTCCCATAATCCCATCCTTTCTTTCATTGTGATAGTGTAGTGGACTTTTTCAAGATATGCTTTTCTACAAACGACAATGACTGATTATTTTTATTCATGGCTCAGTAATTAATTTCCATTACCGAGCACGATTACACCACAAAAGAAAAAGAAATGGAGCGATTGTACGAAATCCGGTGAAAACTGAAAAGTTATGGACGAGAGGTTGTAGACTATAGAGGCAGCTGAGCCAACAAGCATGGGTCCATACTCCATAATCCATAGACGTTACGAAGAATAAAAAGAGCTGATTCTGAATCCCAACATAACCCCCCAATTTTCTCCCTCTACAAATTGAAGATTAGATTGATTTTTCTCGTTTTTAGGTGTTGCTAACGGTTTGATCACAGCCTTACCATACTCTTTCAGCGATTCCAGCTCCATTTAGAAACTGGATCAGAATTTGAAACTTGAGAGAGTAAATTCTTAGTGTTAAAATTTTAAATTCGGTAGAATGTACAACTATACATGTAATTAGTGACGAAACCAGCCCCAAATATTTACGGAATCGAAAATATATATAAATTTTTTTCTGAAAATTATAAAGTAATTTTTTTAAAAAAATTTGCTGACCGCAGGGTCGGCCGACCACCCTCGCTCCCTTGGTTCCGTCCCTGCATTTAGTTATAGGGATTGAGAAATATCATCTCTCATTGATCAACCAAGCTTTCTCAACTTGTGCTCTTTTTGTACTGCAAAGATTCCCAAAAAATAGCATGTTTCCGCAGTCCAAAAGTTAAGGTTCCATTCGTCCAATTTTAAACCGCGAGTTGTTGTAATACTCCTTTCGCTTTTAATTATATGTCATAAATTAATAAATTGAATATTAAAAATAATTAAAATTTGTGAGTACTGAAAATATTTTTAGTTTTGGATGTGCGTGAAGGCTCCCTTTTAATGAGAGAAGAAGGGAACGGCTCAGGGAATTGTGCATTAATAACTGCTGCGTCTTGTAATGTGCGATCATCATTGCAATCCAGTGACCATTGATTAATATCCAAATTATTGACTGAATACTAATTCCATCTCAACTTACGACGAATAAAATGCAGCTAGTAGTCTTTTGAGATCTCTCACTCTCTGCATAGTATTTAAAATAATAATAATAATAATAATAATAATAATAATAATAATAATAATAGTTTGCTGCACTATTGATTAATTTGATCTCAAACTACTGACAAAATGACTAGATAGTTTGCCAATTTCAGTTCTAAGAGTTGTTCAGGCGCGACGAAAACGGTACGGATCACCTTGACTGTCTTCTGATACTCCTCCTTAAATATTATACATCCCATAGTTTGTTCCATAATTTCCTTTTAATTTGCTATCGCATGCTGCAACGGAATATATATGTAATTCTTTATTAATTTTCCCCGATTTTGGCTTGGCACGACAACATGATTATTTTATTCCTGGATTAATATTTGTTAATTCCAATTCCCAAACAGATGGATAAGTAAAAATAAAAATAAAAAATGAAGGAACTGTAAGAAAATGTTAGTGAAAATTCATGGATATAATAATTTGGGAATTAAACGAGCATGGGCGGGCTGTAACAGTATAGTAATCCTAAAGGTTCCAGTAATCAAGGAAAGCAGGAAAACCTAGCAGACCGTAACAAATAGAGAAAATGTCCATTTATGACGTAAATATTGTGGTCCCTCTACCTAGTAGTTTAATTATAAGGGAAAAACTTTCATTTATCCGAACTGAAAACATTGTCCTGCAGTTGATATGCCGCCGTAAACAAAATCGGCCTACTTAGATAGGTTGATACGATACTACTGAATGCAGCAGTTGCCATAAGCATGTTGATGATCACAAGTTGGAGGCGAATCACCTCCATAGGCGACGCCCCTCCCAGCAGAAGCCCCGTCATTGCGCCCGGGAACGTCACAATGCCTAGTGTCTTGGCAGAGTCCAGTGCCGGAGAAAGGGCAATTGTCACGGACCTCTTCACCTGTTGCATCGTGGCCTGACGCGGAGTTGCCCCAAGTGCTAACGCTGTTTCTACCTAAAAACACACACACACACACACAAAAAAAATAATATTAATAATAAAAGAATCAACCCATCATTTTGATGTTGGTTTCAAAGTTAAGAAATTTCAATACTATGTGGTGATGAATTAAACTCCAGGCTTCATAAAAGATAGAGTAAACTGGATGGACTAAACTAACCAGGGTTCTTTGCATCTTGATATCCTCCCTGAGTCTTTTCAGTGTAACCCCAATGACCTTCATTGAGTATCCAACTAGCATTCCCGCAATCGGGATGACATAGGTTGGGGCGAGAGGGATTATGTTTAGCACAACTAAGAATAACATTGGCCCTGAAGTTCCTGCCAAGATGGACACTCCTGCCACGTACTTTCCCCCTGGCACGTGCTCGGCTCGCTGCCCGGCAGTGTAACCACCAGCGCAAACCTACAGTCACCAAAAACATAACTAATTAGCAAAAGATAAACTAGAAAAGAAACCATGTAGACATGAAATGGGAGTAACATTTGATAGATACCATGAGAGGATATAAAATCAGGATGAAGAGGCTGTTTTGTAAGCTGAATAGGAAGTGAAGTACAGATCCAAATGGCCAACAGCTGAACCACAAATCTGACCAGTGTCAATGCGGTTTCTCTGACCAAACCCGTCTTCTGCCACTGCATCAACACCATTCCCATCATCGACCCGGATAGGGCCAGCAGCGGTTTGATCATACCGTTACCAAACTCTTTTATTAGCCATTCCAACTCCATACCTAACAGGATCAAATTTTGGAAATACAGAGAGGGAGGGGCAAATTAAAGGTGATGTCAAAAATGGCGATATTATAACGATATGTGTTAGCCGAACTCAAATTAATTGATGAAGTATAAGAGAATAGTGGAGTTGTTGAAACATCTGAGCTTTAGTTAATTTTTGCTCTCCCTTGTAAACCAAAAGAAAGAAGAGGGCTCGAGAGAGAGAGAGAGTTGTTAGCAATAAAACAAATACACACAAGCAAAGATACCCTGCTGGTTTATAAGTTTCATACATACGGCCTGGTGGTTTTATGTTTGACGCGAAATGAATGTGGTGATGCGAAAGAAAGGCCAGATTATAAATTTATATATGATACCTCATCTCTAACCACATGCAACTCTCTTTAGTTGTTTTTCTATATGTATATTAATACAATAGTTTGCTTTATGAAATTTGAATCATTCAACTAATATTACTTTATGTTAGAGATGCTTAGTAATTAGTTCAGAAAAGAAAAATAAAGCGAGCATGCGGCAGTCACTGAGCTAAAGGGAGATAATACTACATATGATCAAAGCACGACGATTTTGATTCTGTTTTGCATCAAATAAATTTGGCGTTTTACACAACAGGGGCGGCTGGCTGATTTATGATCACCAGGTCTCTCTAAGCTAGATAGCTAGCTAGTTACTGATCAGGAGGAAACATTTGTCAATCTGAACCGAAAATGTCGGTCTTCAGTTGATAAGATTCGGTAAAGAAAGAAGGCCTACTCAGATAGACGGACGTGATACTGCTAACTGTGACAGCTCCAATAACCATGCACTTGATCACTAGTTGTATTCGAATAGCCTCCTCAGGTGAAGTTCCGGCAAGCATCATTCCGATCATAGTGCCCGGAAACATTACAAGGCCTACTGTCTTGGTACTGTCCAGTAGCGGAGATATGGCAATAGTCAAAGACCTTTTCACCTGTTGTGTTGTTGCCTGACTTGTGGTCGCCCCGAGCGCTAAAGCCGTTTCCACCTGAAATATTTCAGAACTATATGTATCAATTTTAAGACCTATATTGTGGATTCATTCCTTTGTTGTGTAGTGTCAATGTAAATTCTAGATTCTTCTAGAATATGATTCTCTGGTACTATATATATCACCATGTCGACATGCAGAAATGCAATTTCAGTTTTTTCAATGGAAATTTATACCAAGGCTTTTTGCATCTTGATATCATCCCGGAGGCTTTTCAAAGTAACACCTGTAGCCTTCATTGAGTTTCCAACAAGCAGTCCTGCAATAGGGATGATATATCTTGGTTTGAAGCTGACAACATTCAGCATCACTACCATCAACAGTGGCACCGAACTCCCGGCTAAGATGGACACCCCCGCCACGTACTTGCCGCGGGGCACGTGCTTGGCACGCTGGCCCGTCGCGTAAGCAGCAGTACCAACCTGCAGCAACATTTATGGGGATATGGATTCATTAATGTTGTCAAGTTCTTTATGTTAGAGAAGCCGTAAGAATGTACGAGGAGAAAATATTACCATGATAAGATAAAAACCTAGAATCCAGATGCTATTTTGCTGAGTGAATAAGAACTGAATAACAAACCCCATGGCGCATAGCTGAATAGAACCCCTGAGAATTGACCATGATGTTTCTCCAACCAATCCCAACTTCAGATGGTGGGACATTACCAATCCTATCACCACCACGGATAACCCAAGCAATGGTCTGATCATACCCTTACCAAATTCTTTCAGCCATTCCCATTCCATAGCTGCCAGAATGATGAGATTTTTGAAAGATGGAGAGAGATGAATGTTGTCAACAATCGTTTTGTAGAAATGATAACTGAAGACATATGATTACGGTAAAAATAGTAGTGTTAAAGTGCACAATCTACTCAAAAATGTTAAAGAGTACCGTTAGCAATTAAATTAAATGTTGCCTTGTAGTTTTACTCATAAAATACATGGAAGTTCGAAAGTATACAATGCCAAGTTGCCAACTCTATTAATGTAGTTAATAAGAAGAAACTTAATCCACCACGTTTTATAAGCTCAATTTGTCGCAAAGCTGATGGTTTTTGTGCCCAACACTATGTGGGAGAAAGGCCAGAAACAGGACATTGCAGTCAGAATGGGCAAATTACTTCTTTTTTGGTTTTTTTGGGAAAGGTAGAGCAAATTACTTAAATCAGAATGGGGTCGTGCAGTTTAATTATGGACTTTTGGTACAACATGAACAACTTAATTGTGCTAAGTACTACGAATTAAAAAGCACATGAAAGCCCATCAATTTTCTTTCAACGTTGTATATTCTGTTCTTGGCTCATGTGTGCTACTTGATCATAATATATTTCCAACCGTACTTGATTACCGCAGCTTTTGCTTTTTACCCATGAAGATGACTAACTAAAATAGTATCTGGCTTAAACAGTAGAATCAATAAATCAGAGAAAAGAAGCAGAAAACTGCACGCGCAAACTAAGAAACTGGTTAGAATCAGGTTGAATCCCCTGTTTCTTTTGTGTAGTAAGAATCCCCTGTTTTTTGTTTTTTTTTTTGTTTTTTTTGTTTTTTTTGCATTTCGTTTTTATCAAATGCTTTATCGGGGAACAGGTTTTGAGACTTACGGGGGAGCAAAATTGCTCCGATGACATCACAAGACCCTTTATCCTTTGATATCTATCCTATTGTCCACTACGTAGAGGATAACATGGAGTTCATCGTAAACTTGATTGGTTAAAGTGGAAGTCATTCTGCAACGAAAACTTTGGGCTGAAGTTGATAAGCTTTCGTGAAGAAAGATGGCCAACTTAGATAGGTTGACATGATACTGCTGACAGTTGTAGCTCCAATAAGCATGTTCATGACTATGATTTGAAGCTGAATTGCCTCCAATGGTGAAGCTCCCCCCATTATAAGTCCAGTCATGGCACCAGGAAGCGATATTAGGCCCACGGTCTTGGCGTTGTCCAATACAGGAGAAAGGGCAATAACCAGGGACCTTTTCACCTGTTGCATTGTTGCCTGACGGGGAGTAGCCCCGAGCGCCAATGCTGTTTCAACCTGACACATGAACCATACTGTTAACCCTGCAGAAATTATCAAAATCCTACTTCAATTGAATTGAAGGTGAGGGCTCCGGCAACAACTGTAAAACGAGAGGAATGAGTTATGCAGGACAGAATTAAGAAAAATAGAAAATGCTTCCCGCCAACTTTGGAAGAGAAGTTATGAAAAATGGCTAAATGAGAATCTTAACTACAAAAGCGAATGCCATTGGAAGAATTAAAAGTTAAAAACCATGGAATGTACCAGGTTGATTTGTATCTTGATGTCATCACGGAGCCTTTTCATTGTAACTCCGGTAACAGTCATGGCATTGCCAATCATCATTCCTGCAACAGGGATGATGTACCTAGGGGTGAATGGGAAAACATTCAAAACAACCAATAAAGCCATAGTCACAGCAGTTCCTGTTAAGATGGATGCTCCTGCCACATATTTTCCTCGCGGCACATGTTTCGCCCGCTGCCCGGCAGTATAACCGGCAACTGAAACCTACAATAGCATTAAAACAATTAAGTTCAATGTATGTCATCAAGTTTCAGTGTTTCATTCACCAGATCAAACTTTTTCTCAAAAAAAAAAAGAAGAAAAAAACAAGACCACCCTGGGCCTCCATCACGATACAAAAAGTCTCCGCTGCTGTTTCTAAAGTATTCAAGATGTATACATCAATCTACTATATCAATTATCATATTTGACAAATCGCCCATGTACCATGACCAAAGCAAACATATCAATATTCAATTAAGACATCCTTATCATGCCACTAGACATGGTGATTAGGTTCCGTACAAAACATAGTAAGCGAGTTTCGTGCCACTTTAAGTTGGATTCCATGAAAGGATCTTGACTAGTCAGTTAGTGCTACACATTAATCCTTGACAAATTCCTAATCTTGCAAGGAGCACGTTTGAAATCGGGCCCGATGCGGCTTTAGGGAGGTTTACTAATAAAGAGGTTTACTAATAAAGAATACTTAAGATATGTGTGGGATTAAACTAAGTGTAACAAGTTGCATTAGTTAACAATGTAATTAAATTTATAAAAAATTCCAATATTCGCTAGATGAATTAGTTGGGTCTGCTAATCCCGACTTTTCAGAAAGAGAAACGTGCATATCGCCGGAAAAATACAACAAAGTTAAGGCTTATTCACTGTCGTCATTAACGACATTAGATCATTGTCATTTAGTATTTTGAGCAATTAAAAACGATTAAGGACACACAGAAAAAGATGATCCCTATTCAGCGTGCAAACCTAACAGAGTAAGTGGCACATGTATTCCATCCAAAATTGTTGCCTTTTCTTTTCTGGAATTGAAAGCAGAACTGTAGCCTCTACTTCTAAGGGAAAGGCACAAATAGAAGATAAAAGAAGAGGCAAGAAAAAAGCATTTTTGATCTTCATCACGTATTAGGAAAAGGGCTATTTTCATCCATTTGGGAAAGAGATAAAAACAAAACAAAAATGATAATCAGAATTGAGACACATACCATGAAAAAGTAAGCGACGATGATCCAGATGCTAGTGTGCTGATTGAAGATGAATTGAAGAACAAAACCAATGATCGACAGCTGAAGAAAAGATCTGAAAATTGCATAAATCATTTCCCCCTCTAATCCCAACTTCTGCAAGTAGGACAAAACCATGGCCATTATCACAACCGCGAGTGCCAGCAATGGTTTGATCATACCCTTTCCAAAATCCCTCAGCCATTCCCAATCCATAGCCACTGCTCTATCACAATTTAAAATTCCCAAATTATGTACCCAAAACTGGGCCTAAAAAGAAGAAAAAAATCTCACAGCACCGGAAACAGAGATTAAAAAAGACTCCGAATTTTATGGATCAGGCAAAAAGGAAGATGATGGTTTTATCATCTTGGTAGTAGATTAGTGGAGGTCCTCGTGGATATAGTGGGGAGATTGGGGAATACCGAGTAAAAACCTTCCCCTGATAAGAGCAAATGTTGATATACCTAGTGAAGGTTTTTGAGTATAAGTGGCCTAACTTTTTTGGATTTGTCTTTGACAGATCAAAACTTAAAAAGGACATTTGTTTCAGGTAAATGGGGTCGTACGTACGACCACATACGAAAACTGGACCCCATATTTTATTTCTTCAAGACGGAATCTGGTGGCTGGTTGTAGGGTCATCATTACAACAGTTGAAAGATTCGACCCGGATTTGGATGACTGGTAGCTTGGGCTCCTACTATTGTTCCCCAAATTTTGGGGTTAATTGTAATTCCACCCAAGATAGTTTTAGTTTATTGATAATTGAATCCACATAAATCACAATAAGTAAGGAAATTGATGAGGTTTGAATTTTTATATGAGAGAAATGGATCAAATTGGCAAAATCTAACGCACCGAACTGATATACTCCTTCTGTCCCAAAATTATTGTCTAGTTGTACTAAAAATTAAAATCCAAACAGAACATTAATTTTGGGACTGAGAGAATATTTTAAAAAGTTATTAGTACTTTGACACTATAGTTTTGAACTCCTTTTTATGGATGCAAAATGAGACACTATCCCCCGCTAATTTCCCCAAGATCAATGGCTCATTATGTTAACCTTTTCTTTTAAGCCTCTTATCTTGTTTTGTTTTGTTTTTTTCTTTGTTTTCTTTTTAGTCGAGCGCAAATATTTGGTCATACCACTCTCCAAACGAATTTAACTTTAACGTAAACAAATTACATTATTGGAGGAATAGATTGTAGGTGATCAGAGATATTCCGTCCATCGCCTTTAGCCGAATTGACCTTTATGAAATGGTAGTATCCAGTGAAGGTAGAAAAAATATCGCTACAATTCAAATAGTGGAACAATGATGATTTGCTTTTTGGCATGATGCTTATGTGAAATCTAATGCTACTAGTAATTAATTTATCAAATACTGGACCATTTCCTTATCCAGAAAGCCACGTAAGTTTAGTACAAAGTTGTAACACTTCAAAGGTACCATCCCACCGTACCACTTCTCTTTTTCACAGGTAAACCAACAAAGTAGTATATAATCATAATGTACCTGGACTGCGTAATTTGTCCCAAGTTATTTACTGACTGAGTTAAACTTTTTAGAGTTTTTAATATAATAATGATGATAATAATAACAACCTCTGCCATTACCAACTCCAGTTCCAAAAAAGTGGCCAGAAACTGAATATATAATTCCAGTGATTTTAATTCCAGGAGAGTTTCGTTACCGGGCAAACTAAAAGGCCATCAGTTTTAACGCTATAGGAGCCAGTTTATTTACGTTGGCACTTACGGATGAATCGGATGATAATAAACCTGGCTCAGTTGGAGATGCACCCAAGGTGTGTGTTTCATATTCTTTGATCTATTATGTTGGAATCACAAGGAGTGGACGGAATATTTACTAAAGAAAACATACACACCGAGAATCTAGGAATTCATTCGTACCTAATTAACTTGATTGAGAGAGCATTACACATACATCAGGGTTTATTACCAAGAAATCAGAGAGAATCCAAATGAAGAAAGAGAAATGCTAGGTGCTGAGGTAACTGCTTTTATATATATATATATATATATATATATATATTATATGTGTGTGTGAAGATATTCCGTCCAATATACCTGTGTGTGTGTGTGAAGATATTCCGTCCAATATATATATATGTGTGTGTGTGTGTGAAGATATTCCGTCCAATATACCTGTGTGTGTGTGAAACATTAAAGGGAATATACGATAGCTAACTGCGTATTTATTTTATCGTCGAGAAAAAATAAATAAATAAATAATCAAGATTGTGAATTCATTTACTAAAATAATCAAAAAGTTTCTATATAATCATGCACATCAACTTCTCATAATAGTCCTACAAGTTTGTGGAACATATTTAAAGGGTGTTTTGTGTTTTTTCATATTTATATTCCATGTATCACTTAGAAATTTTAGTGGTATTAGTAGATCCTACATATTATAATGTAAAACTCGAATCTTGCATATCCGCTTACAAAATTTGTAGATCGCTCCATGCAATAATAGTTCCAAAAATATTGTTGTAAGTAAAAAGAATAAATAAAGAAAATGATACATATGGGAAAATGTACAATAAAATGAATTAGTAACTCTTATAATACATGTAAATATATAGTTATATTAGTAGTCATCGAGAGAGTGATGTGACTTTCTTTTATTTTTATGGCAAAAAAATTTGAAATTGCTCCATGTCCGGGTTTCAAACCCTCGCCCAACAGTTGAAGTTGGAGAAGGTCTTATTACTATATTACAATCCTTTTAATTTCAGATTTTAGTTATACACAAAGCACTTAGGCTTTGTTTGGTTGTTTAGAATTTTGGGCTGGAAAGTAATTCGATTTTTTGGTTTTAAATTTCAATGTTTTTTTTCTGGGAAAGTAATTATTTTTCTAATTATTAAATTCATTAGTTTGTTTACTTTTGGGAAAGAAAAAAATCTTGAAATCAAGAAAAATAAACACAAGATGTTTAGATTATGATTTCTCATCTTGAAGGTGGTATTTTGATTCCCGTTTTTTGAGATTTTAATATTTGTCCACTTTTATTCTAGCTCATTTTTTTATCATCATTTTTTTGCCATATAATTTTTACATCTTTCAAATTTTATTCATTTTTATCTTAATCTAATTATCTTTTATATATAAGTTTTAAATTTTTTTAACAATTTGATTAATAATATTTGAGAAGATCAATGTACGTGGAAATTGTAATGTAGTTAGACTTTGAGAAGATCTCTTGAAAATTCTCAATCGAATTCATGAAGAGTATTTAGAGAGAGGGGTTCATTAGTTAAAAAAAAAAAATTTACATTCAAGTATATTCTCTAACATGTAGCCAAAAAAAAATCACATTCTTCATAATCGTGTTCTTAAGAATTAAAAAACAAAGTAAAATATTAATTTTTCTGAGAATTTAAATATCAGGAATGTTAACTCTATTTTCTTTAACATTCTAAAGAATCAAACAGGCCATTAATGGCAAGTTTAAATACTACTTCTAAATTAAGGAGGCACTCAGGCCCAGTACTCTGATAGGCCCACAAATTTCGGGGGGTTTTTCATTTCAGAAACTCTTTGGGCCAGTATTATTATTAAAAAAAAAAAAGAAACTCTTTAGGCCCGATACACGACGCCGTCGTATCACGCATGACGCTCAAGCAACTCGCTCCACTCCCTTTTTCCGCCAGTTTCAGGCTGCTGCTCCCCTCTCTGATTGAATAGCGATAGCCACCAGATTCTTGGAGCCACAAAATTCGATTTCGCCGGCTTTCCGTTTTTTATTTGATCAAAATCCGGCATCAATATGAGTTCATTCAGAGCGGCGGCTAAGTATACCCCGCGTTTGATCGAGATCGCTCGTCAACAGCAAGGTCTGGCTTCACTCCCTCGCCACTCTCAACACAGACTTCTGTGCTCTGCGGCCCAGCAGCCGAACCAGGGTTCAGCCTTTGACCCATTTCATCAAACATCATCCAGTGGTATGCCCAGAAATGCTCTTCGTGTTAATATTAGTAATCATTTGTACAATTGAGCTGGGATTTATCTAGGGTTTAGGGTTTAATTTATTCATTTTATAATACTCTACATGTGAGACATTTTTTTTTTCCGTTTAATATCTATGGCTTATGATAGGAATGAGGAATTGTGAGGGGTGTTGGGTAATTATTTTTGGTGGTTGATTGTGCAGTGACTGAACTTTTTCTTTCTTTTCTATTTATGTCTGTAAAATTTCAGGCCCAATTTATGCTAGATTATATGGCGCCACAAAGCATACATCGAAAACTGATGTTCTAAATCTGTTGTCTGGGTGCAACTTGACGGTTGATGATATCAAACATGATTACACTCTGAACTTTCTGCCATTGCCAGTGTATGCACCTCTTGACTCTTGTGCTCCGTTTTCATATTAACTATTAAAGATAGTTGGAAAGAGGATGTCGTGTACTTCCGCAAGATGTGAACGGAAAGTGGTGTACAGCCTTAGGTTTTAATAGGCATTTTACTGTTTCCATTAGGCTTTACAATACTTGTAATGTATATGCCTCCCTTAGTAATTTCTGTTCATTCAGTTTGGGCATTTCCCCCACCCCTACCCCACTGTTACTTCTGTCTTCCAATAGGTAATTTGTCACATTGTGTTTGCATTGATCATTCACATTTGAATACATGGTTGTATCATTAAAATATGAAATGCTTCCATGTTAATCGTAATGCTTTAATTATGGTCGAGCAGGCTCGTGAAATTCCCTTCTAGACAAGCATATGATGCTGGAACGAGATCAGTTGTTAAGAAGGGTCGCTTCAGATTAGAGCCGGTAAATATGAACTGGAATGTTTTGTCATTAATCTTTCTTAATTGCTTGATCATGATTAAATAATTCAAGACAACGTATTTTCAATGACAGGAGAATGGTTCTAGGTTTGATACTATTGCTCCCTATGATGGAAAAGCTGTAAGTGAAAAGTCATTGTTTTACTTTGTGTAACTATGAGATTTGAATGCAGAACTGTATTTTGTGTTGTCCAGAAGCGAGTTATATATATACTGTACTGCTGCATTAGCAGCTTTTAGTGAAGTGTTTAATGAGTCCATACCAATGTTAATTCTCAGATTTTACTCCAAGGGATCCCACGTAATGCTCTAATTGATGATGTAGAGCGTTTCCTCGCTGGTTGCACCTATGATTCATCCTCCATACAAATGTTCTACAGGTTATTTCTGAGAAGTTATACTTTTGTTACAGGCCTAGAAGAGGGTGTTAATCTGGCAGTTTCTTTTATTGTATACTTATGTAAACACTATGGTTTTCTTGCAGGTCATCATATCAGATGCCTGTAAGAATGGCAGTTGTGCGTTTCCCCTCGCAGGCTCTAGCTATGCATGCCTTCATTACCAAAAACCGAGCATATTGTCTGAATAACCCGATTTCAGTGCGCGTCCTTTATTAGTATCTCGAGCTAGAGTTTTGGTTTTCTTTGTACTTTGGTTGTCCAACTGTCGGGCGGGGGGTTAACATGGAATAACGGCACTTCGGTTGCTTGAAATTTTAGCTCAAATTTGTATTCATCTTCATCATGGTGAGAACTTATTCCTGTCCCTTCTTTATCCCGTATCATGATATATGGAATTCAGAAGTTACATTAATCCTGAATGTAATTTCCCAAATTCGACCAGTGGCGGAGTGGCTGACTATTGTTTGTGAAACTTATGCTAATTGTTATCTCCTACCTTGTAGAGATGTAATTTCTCATTTATTGGAAACAAATAACCACTTTCGAGTACTTAAATGATATGATATAAATTGATTTTGCTTGAATTCTGGTCTTCTTACTCGGAACTCCGTAATGCTCTCCATAACAGAGAAAATGTAACTCCGTGATCAATTTGATAAGCGTCTTTCAATATCGTAACAAGAAACAAAGCTAATGCCACTTCTTGTGATTGCTGCCCGACTTACTTTACATTGTTTGAAGCTGTCTTTTGAACTCCAGTTTAATTCCTATGGATGATAATCGGTCGCTTGATATATGTCAAGCGAATGATCCAGGCCTCTTATGTGGTCTACTACGCAATCTAGCATCGTCATAATCTCTGCAAAACTGGGACTGGTTCTGTCTTCTACCCGAAACTGGAAAATCTCATTCTTGATCTCAATCCAACTGCACCCAGGATCTGTTTTCAGGCCATTATCTTTCATCAACTTGCGCACCCTTGCCGCCTGATCCCAGTAACCAACATTGGCATACAAGTTGGCTAGTTGCACGTGAGTAGCGGCACAAGACGGTTCCAATTCAAGCCTATTCTCAGCAGCTTCAATGCCGACCCAAACATTCCCATGAAGCCTACACGACGAAAGCAATGAACCCCATATGACGGCATTAGGACTGATGGGCATTCTTCTGATGAAATCCCTGGCTTCTTCTAGCCTACCTGCTCGACCAAGGAGGTCTACAATGCATGCATAGTGATCTAGATCCGGTTCCACACCATACTTGACCATTGCCTGGAAGTAACATTGGCCTGTATCGACAAAACCCGCATGGCGACTAGAAGTCATAAGGCCAAGGAAGGTAATGGCATCAGGCTTCATTCCCTTCCTCTTCATCTGTTCAAAAAGCTCCACAGCCTTGGTTGCCTGCCCATGCAGAGCATAACCAGCAATCATTGAGTTCCACGAAACCAAATCTTTCTTACGTGTTTCCCTAAATATACAGAGAGCATCATTAACATTCCCACATTTAGAATACATAGATATAAGAGCATTAGCAACATGGACACAGTGATGGAAACCCGCACGGACGGTATGACCATGAACAGTCCGTCCTTGCCCGAGGTACCCACTATCCGTGCACGCGCTGAGAAAGCTCGAGAAGGTGAATGCATTTGGTACTAAGGTCGAATTCCTCATTCTACGGTAAAGCTGGAAACAGGTGTCAAGCTGACCATCTTGTGCAAAGGCACTGATAATTGCAGTCCAAGTGATCACATTTCTCTCCGGCATTTCTTCAAACACTTTACTCGCACTGCTGAGTTCTCCACATTTGCTGTAAAATGAGACCAAAGAACTGCCAACGTAAACGTTGTAAAAGAACCCATAATTCACAGCCAAACCATGGATTTGAATTCCTATTCTCACATCTCTATCAGACCCACATAAACTCAGAGCATTAGATAGCAAACTGGAGCAGATAGTCAACCCTTGTCGATGAAGTCTAAACAGAGCTGAAAGAGAACTCTGGTTTGGATCCGATTGAGACTTAACACCATCGCTGATTTGAGGATTTGGGAGTGGGAGATGATTGGTTTGTAGAAAGTCATCAATGAGGCGAAGATGAGCCTTGCGGTGGTCGGAGTTATTAAGCTTGGGAGCAACGATATCAAGGATCCTCTGGCTTTTGACCAACGTATTGGGTTTTCTGGGATTTGCCTTTACAGAATGTTGAGATAGAACAGAGAACTGCTTGGATGCTTGAGCAAAGTAGAAAGCTGGCGAGAAGTGGTATAAGGATTTTTGTGCGGCACGTTTAGAGAAGGTATGACTCATGATCTATAACCAAACCCATCACTTTGGCCAAATGACGTCTAGCCGCAGTTGTACTTTTATGTTCCCCTGCCCCAAATATTTACGGGTCGAGTACATACATAATTTTTTTTTTTTAAATATTTTTAAAATTGTAAAGTAATTTTTTAAAAAAATTTGCTGACCGTAGGGTCCGCCGACCACCCTCGCTCCCCGTTGGTTTCGTCCCTGGCTCCCCTCCATATACATTAGAAACTATGATCAATCCTTTGGAAGGGGTTGTGTATTACTCCATTTATACTAGTATAGTATAATAATTGCGGAAATAACAACATACCCGGCAGATTGTTCAAATACAACGACCCAAAAAGTTGCATAACTTATATGATCGTTGTTTCAAAAAAATTTTGTTTAATTTCCAAATTGGGTGAGGCAGAGATTGCAATAATTTTGCCCAAAATTCGGTGCAAGGATGAAGTTAAGGTACACTAATATGAAATAGATACGTACTCTCCTAACCTTATCATAGAATAAATTAATAGTGGTTCGAGCGATTAGTATTTTATAAGTAAAAAAAAAACTTATTTAAGTCTAGTGTTTGATTTTATCTTTGCAACTAAGCCAAACACCTTAGTCAAGCAGATGGCTTGGCATTTGCATCAGCATACATCAAGCTCTCAAGTCCATCACTTCCTAAGTTTTGAAGAACTTGAGGATATTATAACAAAATCTGGGATATTAAAACCATCACTTATCAAATGCCAACATCATTTCTACAAAATGTTTTCACCATTAACATAAATAACCACTTCAACCAGGAGATACTTTTCCAGGATGAATTTGTTCAAACTTCCCAAATTATAAAAAAGTTTAATCCTCCAAAAAAAGAAAAAAGATGCAAAAGTAAAAGAAACTTCACGCTTAAAATTCTTACAAGTTATACAAACACACACAAATTTCATCCCCTCCTGAGTTGATGATGAAACCACAAAACTCAGACCTGCTGTCGTTTAGAGTACTTGATCTTCTTTCTAATCTTCTTTGAAGAAGTGCCATCATCCTCAAAGTCCTCTTCTTCCCTGCTCCCATGCAAGTAAATCCACAGCCGATGGTTCCGATCAAACTTCACACATGCATCACGTTCATAATGCAGACGGTCCAAGGCTCCGCTCACAACCTGTTCAACTTGATCATCAGAAACGCCGTCAATGATGTAACCTGAATCTCGAACCAGAATACAAACATCAGCTCTTGTCCCCACACCATCAGGCAATCTAGCAACGGCATCCCTCACGAGAGAAAGCACAGTGAAACAAGGCGGCCGATCAGACTTGAGGATGAAATGATCCCGGGCTTTCCTGGATGGCTTACCACTCCGGCGTCTAAAAGGCGCAACTGAAGCTTTCCTGCCATCAAGAGCTGTGTAAGCAAAAGGGCGTTCAGGGATTGTGTACCTCAATGCTTCTTCCTTTCGGAAATAGTCTCTCACTTCCTTGCTGATCGGGTTGAGGGTGGACACGCTTATCTTCAGACTTTTAGCCCTGTTGAACCTTTTCAAGTCCCTGGCAGGTTGCATGAGCTGTAATGGCGGTGGAGGAAGACGGCTGAATTCTTGAAGCATGTCCAGTGATTCTTTCAGCCATGCAGAAAATGAGTTCACTAATTTCTTCACTACTTGACCCTTTAAACCCCAAGCACCAGGAGATACAGTACTGGTAAGAAGATCATGATGATCAGTACTTTTTGGCGCCTGATCAGGAGATGGGATTGGACCAATCCAGGACCAAGTTTTACTGCACCTGTCGTACATTGTAAGTGGCTTCCATGAATGAACGCCCTTCGGTGCCAGTTTTGATGAGAAGATTCGGAGTACTCCTCGGACTAAATCCTCCAGGCGCAAACTCAGTTCAAGCACACGTGCATCCCCGGGACTTAGTCTCACCCTTTCGACGATTTCTTGAGTTGTATAACAAGGGAATCTCCTTTGTGCGCATTCGCCTTGGTGATCATATGATCCAACAGAAGAGTTGCCCGCAGCTGCTTCTTCCTCATTAGGACTTGATACTGGAGTAGTCAGTACAAAGCGAATGGCTGACAGAAAGAGAATGATGGAGAATCCCGCATCAAAGCCACAGGAAGAATCAGAAGAGGAAGTAGCATCTGATTCTCGGCGGACAAAGTTAAAAGAACCTGTAAACAGTTGGCAATTCGGAAGTTCGGAATTAGGTCAACATATATATTATATGGTGCTTCTAGCTTACGAAATATAAGCGCCACAGCTCTCACCTTGAGCCTTTGATAAGTCCATCAAAAGATAGGCAGCGTCGTCGTCGTCTAGTTCCTCATACATTTGATAATGGCTCGGCCGGTTTCCAGAGAAATGCTTGGTTCTCATGTTTTACCTTAGTGTCATGAAGATCAAAAAGTAGGAAGAAACTGTCAGACTGTGAATAAGTTTTGATTCAACTGAAATGAGAGTGAAAAACTGGATCTGTATATATCACCAATCATGCATGATGCTGAATTTCTCTTCATACCTTAACATAATAATACATGAACAATAATTCAACGTGCAAACAATAGTAATTAAATAAGCTTTAGACACACTCGATTGCGGGTTCTTCTGTATCTCTGAGGACTTTTTGTAGAATGTATACGTAAAACATGGGAGTGACGATACGAATCCCATCATATTTACATTTAATTTTTCAAAACAAATTAAAAGAGCTAAGCGTATGATAGAGTGACAACTAACGAAAATATGAACGGGGGACGACAAAACACATTAAATTTTCAACTTCTAAGATTATTGGGGGACGGGGGCAGATGAATAGGGCTTGATGGTGATTGTTTCGTACAAATCTTAGGTGTTATGCATGAAGTACGAAATTTCGATTTCCCATCTCACCGTTATATATATATAAAAAAAAAACCCTAATGACAAGTAAAAACTTATTAAATTATTCACCACGACCCAAACAACACTTTCTACAATTTCAATGGATTCGACAGGTTAAACTACAAGGTGTTTCATATATAGTTTTTAGCAGAATAATATCCTACTTGGTATGTTGTTATTGTATAGTTTTTGCAAAAGAATAAATGAAATGGACATGTGACGTTATGAATTGACGTAAGGAACTTCTCGGGTAGTAAACATGGACAATCGTTGGAATCAAACCTAAAATGATGATTCATAGTGACTAAATGAGATTTATGGTTCCTCGATTACAAATAAAACTTTTATTAGTGATTCCAGTAAAATTATTATAGCCGCCCTGATGCCCGTGTTAATATGAAATGAATAGGGAAAAAAAAAGGAGAAGAAAAGAAACTAGACTCCTTGGGAAAATATAATGATTTATTTTCCCCTCTGTTTAAAAATTTAAATTATTGTCCTACTAGTACTATTGATTTGGAATAATAATTTAGGAAGGAATGGAGTATTATTGTTATTATTATTATTTTTTTTTTGAGGAAATAAACCAAGTAAGAAGGGTTTTTTTTTTTAAGATTGGAGTTTTGAAGCCAATGAAATTATGAAATGAATTAAGAAAGAAAAAAAAAAAAGCTTTATCCCCATGTCACTGTTTTCAAGTCGCCCAAATAAACACAAATTTTAACTGCTCATTAATTTTACCAATCAGGAAACCACCAAATTTATTAATCAGGAGTATTCAAGGAACAAGAGATGGAAAGTACCACACTGTAAAAAAGTGACGCGAAATAAAGGGGGGAAAAAAATCGTACCAGCGTCAATTGGGAAACAGAGCTCGAGCCCACCAGAGTGATCGACCGCCCTGCATAAAACCGAGTCACAGAGGATTTTCAGTCATCATCTAGAATAGAAAGAAGATTAAAAGACGATTAATAAAGCTACAAAATTTTAGGAATGAAGTCAAATCATTTCGTTAATGCTAAGCATAAACCCTTCTTCCTTGTTGTTATTATAACTTCTGAATTTAATCCATCACCAAAAGAAAAAAAATAAAAATCAATCAATCAGAATTAATTTTTTTTTTTTTTTGGGGGTCCGAAGAGCATAAAACAGAGAGAGAAAGAAACAAAGGATGAAAGAGAAAATTAACCCTCAAGAATTTTCAATTTTCTCAGAGATGAATATATACACATTAATCCAAAGGATTCTCCTTAAAAAAAAAGGACTTTAGAAAAATCACAACAGAATGCAGGCATGAAGATGGATTCCTCTGTTTCATAACAAACACAGAGACCCATACATGCACACGTTACAGAAACAGGATCGGATTGGAATTAGACTCAAATCCTGAATGAAAAAAGTACCCAATTTTACCTTCTTCTTCTTTTTTTTTTTTTTTATAATCTGATTAGAATGAAATCAAACTCAGAAAAAACAGGTCTTAAGATACAGATTTTTCCAACTAGCAAGCCATGAATCGCAGAGTGAAAATCAACGAGGATGATTTAATCTCAAAATGAATTTAAAAAAAAAATCAGAAAAACACACACACACACACACACATTAATTGTACCTTTTGGGAGAAAAAAAAGTGTATTTAGCAGGAAATGAAGGATAAGGGGGGGAGATGGATAAGGAGGAACTGGGGTGCCGGTGAGTAAGTGCTAAATGGGGGAGAGTGAATTGAAGAAGGACAAAAAGAAAAAGGTTGAAGAGAGGAAGAAAAGGTGGAAGACGATGCTGACTTGGAAGTTATGAGGTCATACTCGAAGACTTGGGATTTTGTAAATACCAACACTACTATATTATGAATTCTTATGTGAACAATATATGTAGTATTATTTCCTCTCCAAATTAAATTGCTAATTGACAAATTTGGGCGAATGCGTACCACCTCCTCTCTCTTTTGATTTTTTTTTTTATTTTTTTATTTTTTCCACATCTAAAATGGATGGAATTTTTTTACCAAAATTTAATTGAAATTGAGATTGTGAATAGATGTGAATTGGTCTAACCATTGTTTAGAAGACATTTTTGTAAGACAATAAATATTTTGGTACACCTTTTGGGATTTGTCAGGCGGGTATATATAACAGGCAAGCCTTCTAAGGACGGTTCTGTTTTACACTATTTTCTATCCTCTCTCACCGTTCACTTTTCATTTACAATTTGTCATTTTCTAATGCTTGACACATTTAGTTTAAACCCTCCATGCGGTTCTATACTTTCAATATAGTATCTTTCAAAATTTTAAACATAAAAACAACAACGCAACAACAAAAAAACGAAGAAAGAAAGAATTGTCCATGTAAGAGGATAGTCAAGAATTTCGGATAGTTCATGCCATCGTTTCAAGAAAATAGTTTTGTTTATCAAATTAAAATAGTAGTAATACAATAAACAAGACTCTTTAAAAAAAATCCAGATTTATCTTATCTTGTGAGTTACGACTAATAATACAATTAAAGCATACTCTACCGAGACAATTAATCCTTGTAATTAGTAGTATGCTGCAATTAACCAAAGTTTTAATTTCTTATTATGGTGTAGTGTAAATTTGAGCTCTCGTATGATTAATCATGTTATCCGGGCCGACTAGGTATCCAACTTGTTCTAGGCCCAATTCTAATTTTGGGACTTTCATCTTCTTCTTCCTTGAAATTTTATTACTAATGGCTGCAAAGTCGATTAGTCCTCAGTCATGGAGTGAGGGCTACTCAGTATTACCATTTACCATGGCAATCTTCCGTCAGTATAGCTAATTCTCCCAATGAGGTTCGCAAAAGCTGCATTTCCGAAAACACTGCCGGAATCCAGCAGCAGCAATGTCCACCAAGCTTTTCGAACATTTCTGAACTTCCGGCCAGTTGACCACCACCGGATAGACTATAATTTGTTTGCCAAACTCATCCGACGATGTACCGAACGCCACCTTGTTCGCCAAGCTAAGCAACTTCATGCCAGGTTCGTGCTATCTTCGACACTGCTTGACAATTTCCTCGCTTCACAGCTTATCAATTTCTATTCCAAGAATAATCATCTCCGCGAAGCCCATCACGTGTTCGATCAAATACCCAGCAAGAATACATTCTCCTGGAATGCGCTACTCATTGGCTATTCTCAGAGGAATTATCACAACGAGACCCTGAGTTTATTTCGTTCCTTCTTACGTGGTGTTTCTAATTCATTGTCTGCCAAACCCGACGGTTTTTCGCTTACTTGCGCATTGAAGGCGCTGGCTGGGCTTTCCTGCGATTCTTTGTTGGTGAACATAGTTCATTGTTATGTCGTGAAGAGCGGGACCGATTCAGATGTTTTTGTGCCTAATGCTCTACTCACGTGCTATTCGCGTAGTGATGATATGGTTTCAGCAAGATGTTTGTTTGATGAAATGTCTAACAGGGACTTGGTGTCGTGGACTTCTTTGATTTCGGGTTATTCTCAAGCTGGATTTTATGAGGAATCTAAGAAACTGTACAGGAGATTGTTGGCTCTGGAGGGAGTTCGTCCCAACGGGCCCACCTTGGTGAGTGTTTTACAGGCTTGTGCACAATCAAATGATCTAATATTAGGGATGGAAGTTCATAAATATGTGATTGAAAATGATATTGAAATGGATGTTACACTCTGTAATTCCATTATCTCATTGTATGCGAAGTGTGGTAGCTTGGATTATGCCAGAGATCTTTTTGATGAGATGAGTGAGAAGGATGAGATCACATATGGCGCTATTATTTCAGGATACATGGCTTATGGTTTCATTGCCGAGGCCCTTGAGGTATTTAGGGCAATTAGGGATCCTGTATTGAGTACTTGGAATGCTATAATCTCAGGCCATGTTAAGAACAATCAGTTCCAAGGAGCCTTAGATTTCTTTCGAGAGATGCTAGAGTTTGGCTGTCGACCTAGTATTGTGACAATTTCAAGCATACTTGCAGCACTTTCACACCTATCAGATTTAAAAGTTGCAAAAGAGATACACGCGTATGCTATTAAGCATGATTACGATGATAATGTATATGTTGCAACTGGCATTGTTGATAATTATGCTAAGTTTGGGTTCATTTCTGGAGCGAAAACTGTTTTTGTTAGAACAAGAGACAGGAGTGTGGTTATTTGGACTGCTATCATCTCAGGATATGCAGCTCAAGGAGATGCCGGCGTTGCACTTTATCTATTTAATGAGATGTTAAACGAAGGATTACAGCCAGATCCAGTTACATTTACTGCATTATTAGGTGCTTGTGCTCGTGCTGGTTTGGTTGAAGAAGCATGGTTTCTATTTCGCTCTTTAGTCCCGAATTATGGCATTGAACCTGTAGCTGAGCACTATGCATGCATGGTGGGAATTCTAAGCCGAGCAGGAAAGCTTTCTGAAGCGTTAGAATTCATACGTGAAATGCCAGTTGAACCCGATGCGAAGACGTGGGGTGCGCTACTTAATGGGGCTTTGTTGTCAGGTAATCTGGAAATTGGGAAATTTATTTCTGACCAGTTGTCAAAGATGGATACTGAAGTTGATGCAAATCATTTCCTTTTGGTAAATTTGTATTCAAAAGTCGGAAAATGGAAAGAGGCGGAAGTGCTTAGGAAGGAAATACAGAATGTTGGGCTGAAGAAGGTTGCAGGCAGTAGTTGGATTGAAAGTTGAGGAGTTTACGTAGTTTTACACCTAGAGTTTTATCAACTGAAGGAGTTGATTAGTTTTATGAGTGAGCAACTTCTTGTTACCGGTTGAGGAATATAGGTTGTGTAATTTGTCTAAGACAGAATCACTCGGTATGAGGTAGGCCATTCCAAAAGGATCATCTGACGTTAGTTCATTTGAACAATATACTTGATGAAAGCTGCAGAACATCTGACGATATGCCAACTGAAGGAGTTGATTGTGTCTTCGTTGGTGTTGTGAATTTTGGCTGATAAAAGTCATTTATCATGTGTGGATTTTTATAAGTCGGATTTGGTATGTCCTATCTCTGAGAATGGCAATTGCTTTTCTAAAGTTTATTGATTGTCAAACGAAAGGACCATCCCTTCATGTATACAAGATTGACCCTAAGTGTCATCAAACAGCATCTACACGATTTTTTCCCCCATCATCCCCTCCTTTTTGTAACTGGAAATCGATCATTAAGAAGCTCACGGGCAATTCATTCATGTGAATATGCTGCGAATTCTATATTTTGCTTTTACTGAGCACGACCAAATCAATCAAAACACACATTCGATACAAAAAGCCAGAAAACTAAACATACACAATCAACAGGCACAACAAATTGATCACCACTTTAGTCAAAATCTTATCTTTTGATAACAGTACAATGTTTCGAGCATCAACAATTTCTCAAATGCTACAGAACTCGCTTGCATTCGGCACGATTTATGATGCACGTATTACTAGATTGACCGTAATAGCAATACACAAGAAATCTAGAACTAATAGCACAAGAAACATCTTTTAGGAATAACTACAATAAAATGTTACACACACTAAATCCATCCAGAAACTTTATTAACCTTGAACCAATCATCGTGCAGCTTGACCTGTAACCATAAGTCTTCACACCTTCATTCATCAGGATGACTGGGCAGCCAGTGTCCAGAATTTGTTGAATTTTGAGACGAGCCTCTTCCTCTGGTTCATTGGCGGCCTCCTCGACCTCCTCTTGATTGTTGTCTACCGCATTCCCATTGACACCCAAATCCAGTTGTTCTTCATCATCAAACCCGTGATCTGCTGGATTCCGCACACTTGAGATAGCCTTCACCACAGCTAATGTTTTATGCCTTAAGAGACTCAAAAGGCCTCATCTCTTCTGAGATAAGTCTTAAAGGACAGTCCTGAAACACGATACCAAATATAATCAGCTCATACCCATACCACCATATGCCAACCAAGATAATGAAACTAACAATCTATCTCTGGAAAAACGCCCAACAAATCCCCTCAAAGAAACAGAACATTGCCCAAACAAACACAATTCAGAGTCTTATCCTAAAAGATATCATTTTTCACTCAAAACAGAGAAAACCCAATATCATAAAAAAGCACCTCAAAGATCATATTTTTCTCATCAAAAACACCAAGAAAAAACCCAAAAGAAAAGAAATTTGAAGACGGAAATTGGCGACGATGGTGGCTGCCACTTTCTTGAGTCCGGCCAACAACTTCCAGGCAGCGGCTGTTGTACCTGAAAACATTGTCAAGCCCATTACACCTTTTATCATTATTTATTTTCTTTAAATTGGAACATTACCCAGATGAAGGACATGAACATCATCGTCATCATAGCTTCAGTGTTAATGACGTCGGGCGCGCTGAGCTTCGATCGCCTCGCTTTGACTTCCGATCAGCTCGCTAAGAATCCATTCTGGCATGTTATCCATTTTGTTGAATTGGAATAAAACTGGAATTTAGAAGCCTATCGAGATAGGAGAGGAAAGAAGGAAAACAGAGTATGGAACTGGAGAAAAAAAAAAAAAAAAGGAAGGCAGACGACGACGATTAGAGGTTTACACCTCTGGAAGGAAATATGTTTTGCTCTCTCTCAGTTTTTGGCTACTCCTGGATTTGTCTGGGTTAAAATGGTAGGTAGAAAGATTTATAGCGAGAGTGAATTGGATTTTAACGAGCTGTATCAGGCAATAAGTTTACGGACCTCGGGAGTCCAGAGCATTCTGACTAACCCATTGACTTGCCTATTAAAGTTTTTAACTGAGCGTCCCTCGGAGTTTTGGCCCATTAGATAATTGTTCTAACCCAGTATTGTTTTACTTAATGGTAATTTTCATGTTCCTTTTTGGGGTCAATGATAATGGCCTAATTTGCTAGTGTCATTTATCATTGAATGATGTGCGTTGCTCAACTAGTTTCTATTTCCAATGCTATTAATATTTTTATGCACAGGCCGTTTTGAATATTCTGGCTGATGACCCCCTTTTGTTTCCAGTGATGTTACATTTAGAATCAAATCCCTCCTAGACTATCAATGGCAAGTAAAAACGTCCTATATAAAAAGAGGAGGAAGTAAAGTAGCAGATTACTTAGTCAAGTTTGGCTTGGCCTTAAATCTGGGTTACATATTTTAGCAAACCCCCCAAGTAATATTAAAGCAGAAGCTCATTTATGTTGTTGTAAATGCACTGATTTATCATATCTAGGCTGAGAGAAATGCAAGGAAATTCAGGAAAGAGGTAAAGGATGAACAGACTCAGTTTGAACAATTAAAGCTTGAAATCAAGTGAAAATTCCAAATTTTTTATAGGAGGGGTAGTAATGATGATATACAGAATCTTCAAACTATTATAGTCTTGTTTGATCTTGCAATGTGATAGTCATGATAGCTTTGCAAATATTATAAGTTGAAAGTTAATTGCAATACAATTTGCCTTTTACCCAAAAAAAGAAGAAAAAAAGTAATGGAAATAAGTTTTATAAATTAAAAAAAAAAAGGAAAAAAAGAGATTGAGAGAATTTTTACAAAAATGACAAATTTGCTCTTTTCATAAGTCAATTTTCATAAGTCAACGATTGAAATGTTGACCGTTAACTATTTAATAGAAGTTGAACGAAAAAGTGAAAAATGCAAACATTCAACTTATGGTTGACTTAAATTATTTTTCACTTTAATGGAGGAAATGAATATAGAGATCGAAGTTATGGTAATATGTAGATAAATTTGAAAATAAAATGTAGGAAATAAATAAAAAGAAACAAGAAACTGTTTAAACGAAATTCAACATGACCTGAATTTATAACTGGATGGGACACGTTTAGACCCGAGACATTAAAATTAGGAAAAGCACCCCTTTGTTTTTCCCTTTTACTGTATTTACGGCAGAGGGAAACCCCCATTGAAAACTGCGAATTTTCCGATGAAGGATCCATTTGTCGTAGGATGTCCTTCTATTCAATGTTGGAATTGGGTAAATCAATTTCTATAAATTAGAGATACCATGGCCTAATCATACATATTTTTACCGTTCGATTCCAAATTCTTATTTGTTTATTGCCAAAAAGTATACGTGCAGATCCGAAACGTTTCTTTCTATTTAGCCGTATAAATGAGGATGATGATGAAGAAGGAAGGCAGAGTTTTGGTGAACAAACCTGTGGTAATGGTACCCGATGAGTTGATGTTTGAGATTCTATCTATGTTTCAGGGAGGAGGGAATCGGCGGCGGCTGAGTTTGGAAGGAAGAAGGGATCCGAATCTGGGCGGCGCACAGTCAAATTCGGTGACGATGATGCTACCAGACGACATGATTTTGGACATTTTGATGAGGCTTCCGGGTAAAAAACTGATGCAATGCAAGAGCGTCTGCAAGTCTTGGCTGTCTCTAATCACAAGTCCTCCATCTATGAAGCTTTTCCGGAATCGACTTCTACCCAACCTTGTATTACACCGGGCAGAAGACATTCATGACCCCACATACTTGTCCTCAACTCTGGTTAGGCTTACGGAGCCTTCCACAAAAGATGAAGAAGAATCCAGATACCTAGTCCTACTAAGGACTGATCCTGATCACGGTCGCAGGAACGGTGGAAGATTGACCGAAGTGGTTAACGGTCTCGTATGTTTTCAGAATGATTCCAATTCATCCCTAACTCTTTTAACGTCTGTACTGGGCAGGGTATGAGGATTCCTGTTCCTGTGGCTTATACTTGTTTTCCAGTACCAGTATCATCTACTCAAAGATTTCATCTTGGCTTCGACCCTGCAACTAGGATGTATAAATTGCTGAGGTATGGCATACAGCACGTAGGTTGGCTTTATCGGAGGATGCAAGTGGAGATAATAACCTTAACAACCTTGATGCCACCCTCTTCTGCTTCAGTATGCACATGGAGGAAGCTGGAGCTGGACAATAACTCTAGTTGTGGTTATATTTCCACAACAAGTGTATCAACTGGTGATGGGTTCTTATGGTCCGAGTTAAATGATTCGCTAATATCTTTTGATCTCAACAAGGAGAAGTTTAAAGTGATTAAGCTTCAGGATAATGTTGCAAATATGATACGAACCCATAGCCTCAGTTTCATTCGATCAATGGGATGCCCAGCCATACGGATTGTGCCTGAGCCAGCTAGAGGTTCCAGATATTTTACACTCTTTCTGTTTGAAAATGATGGAAGTAACATATGGATGACTCATAATGTACAATGGCCCCCAGAACTCGGGATATTGGATCATATTGTTGATTTGGGAAACCTTCCCACTGGTGAGATTTTGTTGATGAATAGGGTGCACATCAATCAGGAACGTCACGAGTCTCTTTATTCTTATAATCATCACACCACTAGGTTTCATCGTTTTCAAGTTGCAGAGGTCCTAGGTTATGCTCGTGATATTGTTGTGCGTGGTTCAACCAGCATTAGTGCCAAGATATCTTGTTTATATGATAATGGTAGTCTTTTTTTACCATTGGATGATAAACTAAGCAGTGGTAGTAGTGTGATATAAATTTATGATTGTGGATTTTGCACAATTTTGATGGGAGATTGCTGTTTTGAGAGGGTTTTTTTTTTTTTTTTTTTTGGTTGAATCCTGATGGTGGTTTACTGGTTCAAATAAGCGGGTTCAGCTCTTCCCATTGTGTTTGTTGTGTTTACTTATTATCTCCAGGTGTGTTTCCCCTCAACTTTAAAATTTCCTTTGTTTTTCACTTTCTTTCAGATTTGGGCTTTCTCCTAACTTTTTGTACGAAATGCTCTATTTGAACAACAGAGATCTAAACATGAGTTGCTGGAGTAGAGAAACATTGACACGATGGTTTGATTTGCTGAGAATTGTTGCCTGTATCAGGAGTGCAATTGCTGTGTTATCTCCTCAGATGATCAGTAATCTTTATTTTTCCTTGCAATTGAAGTATGCATTGCCTCTTATCTTTGTATTTTTTTTCATGTGATGTTAGAAAGGATAAAAGATTGATTGAATGCTTGCACTGTTGTGTTCTTAAATGGGTCTACAAAAAAGGGGTTCAATTATGCCGATTTTGAAAAAAAAAAGCATATGCTCTTTGTGTTTAATTGTTCTTAATATGGAAAAGCTATCCTTTTTGTTGTGTTATCTTGTGGTCTGTTAATTATACTAGAGATTCTGTCTTTTCTTGGGGGGTGCGGACATTTTTGTTAAAAGAGCTTGTTTAACGTAAAACTATCATAATTGTGTCTTCATTTGATGAATCAAATTGAAATGGAAGCTATGTTGGATTCATCTCCACAGAAGAAAATTATTAATGTATTTCAGGAAGATGGAGTAGCTTTTGTTTGTCTTAAATTCCGTGATTGTTGTAACAATAGCAGTTTCTCAAGAGAGGTGGGCATGTGAAGTGATGGAAACTTTGCCACCAAGATCTGACTTGTGTATGAACGTTCCTGCAATGATGCTCACAAGGTCCTTAATCAGTTCTGGAAGGCAGAATTTTAGTTTGTGTAATAATTGTCGTTGTCAATGATCTTAACCATACAAAAGTGTTTTTTATTTTTAGGTTCTGTTGTTGATGACTGTAATCTTATGGATATGAGTTTCACCTCCTCCCTTTTGGTGGTATAAATTTTCCTTACACTTATGATAAATATAACAGTTATGCCCGGCAAAATTATTTTTTCTGCATTTGTATTTTTATGATGCCTTTCACTTTTCTCGCTCTGCAGCAACTAGCTTGGGTTTTATCCCTTTTGATTTTAAATGGCCAAGTCTTTCATCGCGGTAGCTTGGTTGCGGACTCACTCCTTATGTGGAAGCTTTGGCTTTGCCTTCAGGCCATAACTGCCTATCTGTTAGGTATTAATCCATTAGCGTATACACGATGTTGTATTGTCCATGGTGAATGACAAGAAGAAAGCACAATTGTTTTTAGGGTCCGCAGTTCACTTAATATGGAGCAGACCACTGTTGAGAAATTATCATCAAGAGTTCGATTGAACAGTCTACTTGATGATCAAAGGAAACCACCCTGTACAGCATGAATCGGATTAATCCGTCTCTCACGATCAGTATTCATTGCTTGGAAAATGCTGTATCCAACATTCGAGCACCATAGAAGAGGATACCACACATGTAATGAATTTATACTAACTTTTTAGGTATGCTATCATTTTGCAAGTGAACTCTCTTTAGTCTTTACTGTACTATACTTTAAAGTTACTGTATGAGTTGCATTCATACGCGCAGAAGTGCTGACAGGTGCTTGTTAGCACTAGTGATCAACGTTTTGTAAGGTGTTTGTGAGAATACTTCTTGTTAGCCTTAATATTGGCTCTTACTTTTTACTTCTTTTCTTTTGGACCAGGCTGAAAGCACTTTTGGCGACTTCTTGTCTGACAGTGCATTGCTATTTGTATGACATTGTCTCATCAGCTGGTGCAACTTGGGGATAAGCGATTGCATGGAGAGCCAATAGCTGTGCTATAATGACTCACTACATTGACTAAACGGGCAAATTCTGGAGGTAAGATCTTTTTGGTTATCAAGCTTTCAGTTGCAGCGACTAAAAGTTGTGACTATCACAAATTTGTTCAGTTTCAGTTTGAGTTAATAAGCTTTCAGTTGAAGCGACTAAAAGTTGTGACTCAAATTTGATGTCCTCCAGCTTTTTTTCTTTTAACCTTTTCCCTTCACTTGATTTTTTAAGATTTCATGGTGTAAAATGCGTTTTCATCTTACCTTTTCAAACAAATAAAATTTTGTATTTCATTTTGCAACGCGTGTTTATAATGCAATTCATACTCATCCGTCTCAAATGCAGCAGATTGCAACTTCAAGCAGGAAGCCAAGAATGTTGAATCATAATCATATCATAATTCTCAAAGAACCAAAAAGTCCTCAAGGGAAGCGTAACACGACTCTCTTTGGATTCTTGGAATATCGACCTACGCTGTCTGATCGAACGAGACTTCAAATTGTCACCTTTTACATTGCAAGTATCCTCATGGCTCTTTTAGCCTAATTTGGCAGGTAATGTAGCAAAAGATTTGGTTGATGGACCCATGCATAATTGCGTATGATTAAATTGCCAAGAGTAAGTTGCCTTTGTAGCCTCTTTCTAAATGGGGTCTAATCCCAACAACTGTCTCCCCTAACTCATGTTATAGGGGAAAATGTACACCAGTTACCATTGAGGTGATTTTTTCCTTAAGGTGCCCTGTGTTTAATAAGTCTATATAGTGGGACCTTGAGACAAGTTATATTAGGGGAATGGGCCAAATGGTTTTTAATACTCTTGTGCTTGTTCTTTTCACCTTATTAAACACGAAGAAAATGAGAAGATATGGACTGGCGAACTGGTTTGAACCGGACATGAACTCGTGGACAAAGGCCCGACATTCCCAGCCACTCCCTTCTTTTCTACTCCACCCCACCTCTCTTTTTCTTCATATCACACACAGTCACGTATCCCAAACTTCCACATCTTTGTTTCTGATTCCGTAGTTTGTAGCTATCCACATTACTTCTATAATATACGGCCTTTGTTCATACAATAAAGTGGATTATTAAAGTGGGACGATAGTAGTGTCTGTGCACCAAAGGATGTATATATATAAGCTTTCTGCTCAAGTAGAGATGATAAGCAGTAAGATTTGGTAGTCAGAATAATCAGAAAAGTAATAGGTTTTGGTCAAAAGGGCGATTCATCCATTGTATAATAATAAAAGCAGACTCGATCCCAAGACTCCTCTTTTTCACATCAAGAGGTAATAAAGTACCTGTGGGCTTGCATTCCAGCACATGATCCCATGATGGCTGATCAACATTCTTCTCCAGAATCCATAATCATGGCAGCACTTTCAACTCTGAACCCTGCTAAACTTGCAGATCTAATCTACTCCATCTCTTCCCTCTTCCACCTCCTCCACCGCCGCCTCTACTCCATCTTATCATTCCCCATGCTTTATGACCTCACCATCCGCCACCTTCAGTCCCTTTCCCTCCAAGACAAGTCACTTCTCATTGCACGCCATTTGCTGTCTAACTTGACCATCCTAACTCAGTCGATGCAAACCTGCAGCATGATTGGTAGCACGCCGAAAACATACTTTGGTGCCAACCAGATGAGGCTCCGGGATATAGATGCGGTGGTTCTCCTGCTGCTCCTTTGCGAAATACGCCATCTCTTCCCTGAAATGCTCGAAACCCCTCCATCAAACTTGCGACTTATGCTTTACAACTATGTCTCTCGCGACATGCTGACGCTTTCTGGTATTGAAACTTCAGGGGCGCATGTTTTGATGAAGTACATTGAGATGGTGGCCAAATGTAAGCGATTTGTTACCGTGATGGGCGGCGGCGGTGGTGGTGGCGGCGGAGGAGGAGGGAAAAGTGTGAATGAATCGGCTACTTCGGTGGCAATAATTGTGACCCTGCCATCGGTGGAAGTGAAGAGAGGCTGCACAAAGGAATGTGTGATATGCAAAGAAGATATGAAAGAAGGAAGAGATGTGTGTGAGTTGCCTTGCGACCATTTGTTTCACTGGATGTGCATATTGCCTTGGTTGAAGAAGAATAACACCTGTCCTTGTTGCCGGTACCGGCTCCCGACCGACGACATTTTCAGTGAGGTTGATCGGTTATGGGAGCTGCTGGTCAATGTGGGCTGTGCTAGCTAGCCGCTCTTTGTGTTAGATGATCTTCAGTTCTCCAGTAGTATATAATTCAGGTGGCAAAGATATAAAACAGAGATGAGTCCGTACGTCTATGTTTAATTATATGCATTGTTTGCTATTAATTCGTTGAAGGATAATATGTTACTTTGCGGTTGGATCACTGAGTTAAACTGTTCAAGCTGGTTCTAGAGCTTAGTTAATGTACTAAAAGTAGTTAAAATGCTTTTTTTTTTTTAATGTCCATGGAATGAATGAAATGGTTTTTAGAATAATTTCGGAACAGATAAATATTATTGATCCAAACAGCTGCGGATGAATGTGAAATTAGTGAAATTGTCAACTTCAGAATGATGAGTAGAGAGTTTTGTTTGGGTGGCTAAATTGACATGCAAGGAATTAAGGAATGGGTCCAAATTAAGGAAGGAGTGGTGGAATGGGAGTCACGAGTATTTGATAATGGAATTGTGGATAATAGTATATGCATGTGTTTGTTGTGTTGGTCGTATTGTTATGTGGTTTAGGTTTGAGGATTTGGGCAAATTGCAAACACCTATTATTGGGTAGTTCTCTGTACATAAAAACTAGTATTCCCTCCGTCCCATAATTATTGTCCAGTTTAAGTTTTTATTTTCAGTTCAAATTGTACTAAAAGTGAATCTCAAAGTGGACAATAATTTTGGGACAGAGAGAATAGTATTTATTTAAGAGGAAGAGAGAATATAAAAGAATTGGCTAACTTAGTAACATATAGTATCTGCCGTAAAATTATCAAATCTTCAAAATTCAGTCACTTGCTTAATATATGACCTAGTGTTAAATGTAAATGATTGGGCATAATTTTAATCCCTGTATTTAAATGTAGATCTTTTGCTGTAGTATTTAAGCTCTGCGATCCATCTCTCATTTATTGCATATTTATCGTTTTTTTCCTACTGCAATTGATATTTTTATGTGCTTTTCTTTTAGCTTTTGGCAAATGTCACATGAACAAAGAGGCCCCCCACCAAGAAATGAGTGTAAAGACAAAGAAGGAGTGAAAAAATCCAGAGGGAAAGCAAGAAAAGAAAGGATACTAATACACACTTTACACAGTATCTACTATCTACATTCTGTCATCCCTTACTTTAATTTTCTTTTGGGTGAAAAGCATACATTTTTAGGCGGCAGAAATGGGGTAAATTGCTTGGTCAAAGTGGTAAGGTGATTTTGTTCTTTTAAGCGAGGTCTCGGGTTCGAGTCTCGTGAATAGAAAGAGCTATGTTAGGAGAGCTTTTCATTCAAAAGGAGATCGACCCGACTCGGTGTGAATTAGTCTGAGCTATGTTAGGAGAGCTTTTCTTTCAAAAGGAGATCGACCCGACTCAGTGTGAATTAGTCTGAATGTAATATACTAAAGATATCGTGCGCAATATGAAAAAAAAAAAAAAAGAAAAAAAAAAAAGGAGTAAGTTGGGTTCTTCGTTAGTTTGCAAATGGCGGCAACACAACGACCCGAAGCCCAATTGAAAGGAAACAAAACATCTTTTTAAGAGCAGAAATTTGGAACAGTCCCAATAACAGGCTTAATAGCCCAATACTGTTTCAGTCTAGTTGAGTTCCGAGCCTAAAAATCGCTCAAGTTAACTCATATATACAACCCGGCCTAACCCAATCAACAGAAAATTTATGATCCAACCAGCATCTACCTAACTAACCTATGAACCGGCAAACAGATGAGAAAATTTTTAAAAAGTATAAAATGGAGAATTTGTATCACGAAATTCACAGGCTGTGCAAAATGAATGCAGAAAGGATAGCCCTAAGTAGATGGAAATGGAATGGGGGATATATCACCTAAAACTACCAAACACTGCACCTTATTCATGCCCATCCAACTTACATGTGGTCCGCCCCTTATCCGGGGACCCTATACTTACTTACTGATGATTAATCATTGGCGAATTTATCAAAAAAAAACCCTTTGGCCTTTTCCTATACATTTGGGTCATTTCTTCATGATCTTCCCCTATGCAGACTGACACTTGTTATGGCCTTTTTCTTTGTTTAACGCTAATGCTAATGAGAATATCTCATGATCTGTTGGTTTAATATAGTATAGTAAGAATTAGAGAGCGTTCACTTTGAGTGCAATGCAAACTTTTTCTGGTGATGATGGCTTCATTACTCTAATTTAGATGAAATTATTTCTGATGATCTAAGAGTGAATTCTTTTGCTTTAGAATAATGAATGGGGTGGACAAGGACACGTAATAGAATTGGCGATGATGATGGCAAAGGGGAGCCTTGTAGATGTTCTCAATTTTTATCATGCTTTGATATAGTGGACTACAGTTTTTGAGTATGAATTACTACTCCTTTTAACAGATTGCTGCAACAACTTTATTGATTACCAGAGTGTAATAATTATGGTGTAAAGTGTTAACAATCCAAAGCGAAAAACAACAGAAAAAACTCTCTCGTCTTCAAGTGGGGTTTTTTTTTTTGTCCATTGCTGCTAGAAAGTAGCAAGTTTAATGTGAACCAAATTCGAGTAATGCTAAAGAACACGAGTCATCATCTGATGCATCACGTGACTGTACCAACTCTAAACAAATCTCCCAAGATTTTTTTTCACCAGGTCTTGAATCCTTGATTCCTTTCTTTCAAAGATGGAATTTTGACCCGTATTATTAATCAGTAGTACCATGTTCTTGCAGTTTTTAGATTAACACAAAATAGTTGTGTTAGTCTTCTGATGAGTTGTAGCTGAAGAAACATGTCAGTTTATGACAGTTTCAGGAACTGGGGAAAAAAGAAAGTAGTCGCAGAAGACTAACAGGAAAGCAATAATTTTCGGGCTTTAATGGACAGTTAAAAGGTTTCTGAACAGAGGAAAATACATTACTTTTCTGCAGTAAATGAGTAGCGGTGAGAGAGTAAATGCAAACACCTGTAAATTGTAAAAAGCGAAAAAATAGGGAAAGCCAATTCCATTTATGGTGGGGCAATCAACAGTCCAAGCTGCAATCTCCCTCAGTTTTCTTACTGACATTGGTGGGTCTTTTTATTATCTTCAATGTTACGCATCTCTATAGCTTGTTTTCGAGTAAAACAGAGGAACCCATCAACCAAAAAAGTTGATTTCAAATTTCATGTTTCGTCCTTTCCCTCTGTATAAAAGGCCTTTCTTTCTGTTCCAAAGTAAATGATTCAGGCCAAACTTTTAACTGATTTTGTCTACCTTGAACATACAGTATAAGAATTAATAACATATACTACTTGTGAGTTGTGAGACTACTCTTTAGTAGTGTGTACTTTGAGAGTGAAACGCCAGAGCAAAGGTATAATGACGGCTGAGAGCAATGCTGATGGAAAACCGAGGTGATTTTTTCGTTCATTTGGGGGTTGTAAATGTGTGTGATTTCTTTCATTTTGGTCAAGAATTGATGATGTTATTGTGTTTTGTCACAGTAGAAAAGTTGAAGGAGGAGAAGAAGTTTTGAGGAAGGTAGAATGTCTAAGAGGGAGATTGCTTGCTGAAAGAGCTGCTTCAAGAAATGCTAAAGAAGAAGCTGACCAATTTGAGAAAAAGGTCTGTTCTTCAATCCCCCTCGTTTTTTTTTTACTGTTTAAGAATGCAGGAGGACTTAATTTGATTCCCAATCTTCAATCTTAAAGTTACTTCTACTTCTGTTGAGAATGTAGTGTGTGTGTTTAATTTGCTTTACCCCTAGTATAGAGATAAAGTTGCAAACTTTGTCCTTAATACACGATTTTTTTGCCATTTCCGGGGGGAAAAAAACAAAAGTTAATGGAGCTGGAGACTCGTTTGAAAGAAGAGACCAAATCAAGAAATAGGGCTGAGAGAAGGCTTAAATCCCTGATAAAGAAGCTGGAGTCTTTGGAGATTTTCTATGTCTCCGATGAATCAGAACGGTCCGGATTCCTGGAGAAGAGTGAAATTTCCTCTGCCTCTTCCGTTGCTTCAACAAGCACCAAAGAAGCAGACAACCATAGTAAACCAGTCAAAATCAATCCAAATGTTACCCCTGCTTCTTCAACTCACAACAGTCAAGAACAACCAGCAGTTCCACAGATTCCTCCTACTCAAGAGTCCTCCTCTTTCCCTGATATGGATTCCAGACCAAACAATGTTTCCAAAATTAAAGTATCATCCTCGGAGAGTTTTGTTACCCCTGCTGATGAAAAGTTGGAAACTGCAGAAATAACGAACCCAACAACTTCATCTGCAGAAAAGTGTCCAGAAAGTCCAACACCTATGGAGAATTCAAGCTCTGTAACAGAAGAAGAGGACATTGCAAAATCTAGCACAAGTGCATCCACTGAAACTGAAAGCAATAGGTAAAATGGGCTCAAATTAATTTGAACGTTTTAAGTTTCATTCTCTTGACAAATGTTTGTTGTGTGTTAATTGAATTTTTTTTTTTTTTGTCACTATAGCTCTAAATGTGGTGGACTCGATTTGAACAAAGAAAACCAGAAGGAGAAGGTGGAGCAAGATGATGATGAGAATGTGGACAACTCATTGGCAATTGTAGCCATTGATTTGCCAAAGAAAGAGCAGAGAATTGATCCAGTTGTTCTTGATGCCACTGTGAAAGAAGTACTAGATGCACTTAGGCACGCTAAACAAAAGCTTCAAACTTCAATGGAGAGAAGACGAATGATTAGAGTTGGGTAAAAAAAAGGATTCGTTAAAAAAAGTTACCACTTTTCTCACCAAAAACATGGCATTGATGTCAGTGAACCCAGTCATCATTATGAATCACTCCAGTAGCCAGTTCTGTGAAATGTAAATTGACTTTTTTAGACTTCTGGGCTCTTATTGGGCCTCCTCTCTCTCTGCAGCTGGATCTCTTTAAAGGCCCATAGTAGGCTCCTTAATAGCCTCAAGTTTCGCGGACTTCCACTACTTCGAAATTGAAAAACCATTCTGTTGATGGGCAATATCCTGACTTTGTTATGGACTCGGTAGACCCGAATATGTTATATTGTGTGCCTAGCTTATAGTATTTCATTATTATGGTGACGGTTTAGCCTCCTTTCAATTACCGAAACAAAAAAATAGTCTGATTTGGTAAATTCACTACAAGATGTACTTGTAATGTCCACATCAGAAACAAAACTTTCAAAGCTAGGTGCATTTCATTTGCCGTTTACACGAGGATGAGACAAGTTTTTCATTTTGAAATTTTACCACTTCGTCCCAAAATTATTATCCGATTTGATATTTTGTTTATAGTACAATTTGAAGTAAAAATTAAAAAAATTAAACTAGACAATAATTTTGGTACAGAGAGTATAATTTACGGCAAGAATGAAAAAATGATATGGGACGAGAAGAGGCCAAAATGTTGTGATTGGCCTCATATTATGGCCCCTTTGAGACAATGGCGATGGAGATGGAAGCGAAATCGGAGTGAGAAGAGAGCTATGTGGTGTGTTTTTGTGTATCATGAAAAGAAGCTGAGCTCTTCACCAACCATCACCCACTGTCGTCGTAACTTCCAAAATGAATAAATGAAGTTATCGAATAGGACATAGAATTCAAGGAGGAAAAAAAAAATAGATAACCCTTATATATCACTATTATATGACGAGATTCAACGTGTTTTTTTTTCGCATTGCAAATGTAACTATTACAGAGAAGAAGTTTCTACAAACAGCACCTAGATTGTAACAATGAAGAAGAAAAAGTTGTGAAAAGCATATGATCACGAGGGATTGGCAATTGGCCTGAGCATCTTTCAACTTCCTACGGGAAAGTATATGCATTGCACGAGCACGTACAATGAGTTGATTGTTAAATTCTTAATTTGATTGACCTTAATGCGCGTATTGAGTTAATAACTAATTACTGCCAATCGCCTCTAAAAAGAACAAATGCTCCTTCCGTCCTAAAAAAATTCTTGTCCAGTTTGGATTTTTATTTTTAGTTCAAATTATACTAATAGTGAAATTTTAAACTGGACAATAATTTGGGGACAGACGGAATACTTCCTTTAGTTTAGTTGTTGTTGAATTCATCATATGAGATACTAGCCTCGTGGTTGTTTAATGGTCATGCAGTTGTACATTATTAACATATAATACTATAATAGGAAAGGTCTTAATAAGGTGGGTAGATTTAAAAGAAAAGAAAAAAAATGCATACACCATTGGAATTTCAAAAACAAAGGAAATAAAATTTTGATTGTGTGTCCTTTTCCCAACGTAGTAAACCAAACATAGATAATGTAATGAAATTGAAGCATCGGTGACACTGAAAATAGAATAATGGCATCATATTTTTTAATTATAGAAGAGAGAGAAATTTCTTTTCTTTTTTTAAACAAAAGAGTTCAAGGCCAAAAAAGACAGAAGACGTAAGATGAGCAAAACATGCCTAAAATGGTGGTTTACTGTTCGAAGAAACGAGTAGTAAAAATTTCAGCCATGTAAAACCAGAGAGCCTAGGAAATTGATTTTGAGTTTTTTAACTAGTAGGCTGTAAAGAATGGAACCCAGAAAAAATGGAAAAACAAGAGAGCATTTAAGAATATAAACTGAACACAAGTAGGGAGCAATGAGAGGACATATTAGTAGTATATCAAAGAGAAATTTTGTCAGACTGCACTCTGGTAGTTGATTAGCACATCAAGAGATCATCTTTATTGTATTTTTCTTCTTCAAATTCAATTTCTTTGTTTCTTTTTATCTGTGGGTTCCGATCTCTCTTAATCAATCGTACTTATTAGATCTCATCTGACACCAATCCAGGAAAAAAAGATTTTCTTGCCCAGAAATTTCCAAAAAGTCTCAGCTTTTTTTTTTTTTTAATTTTTCTTATCCACTGGTGATCCCTCTGATCCAGGAACAAACTCTGTCTCAATCAAATCTTAAATGGGTTTTTACAGCTAAGGGTGTCGTTGAAAGGTGACACAAAGGTCCACAAGAATTGAAACCAGGTTCAAGGTATGCACCAACATCGCCATCTGGGCACCTCCATATTCTCTGAACTCAAAGAAAAACAATTGATCCCTTGTCTTCAAGACATTTTTTCTGCTTGAATTTCCTTGCCCATACCCATTTGGTCTTTTCTTTGCTCTCTGTAGCATTTTGGTTTGCATATTAATGGTGTCTAGGCCTTGTAGTGCTGGTGGGTATATATCACTCAGAATTCTGCTGGTTGGGTTGGAACATAAACAAAAACTGGAGCTAAGGTTGGGGTTAACAAATATATTGTTTGCTGGTTCCTTTGGATGATGTCTATGTCTAGGCTGATTACTAATAAATCCCGTACGTGCATAAGATTCTGACTTGGGGTTGTGGTTCTGGCAGTCATTCAGAAAAGATCATCATTGTTGAATGACCATGGTTCTTTAGAGTATTGAACTTTGTCTAATACATACATACTCGAGATCAAATAGGGGTGAATCGGTTCGGCAAAGAAATGGTTAAACCTTGTTGGAAACCATCTGTGGAGGGTGATGGAAGTCGAAGAGGATCAGATGGAACCGCCAGGCGAGGTGGCGATCCTAATGGCAGGTGTGATGGGTTGATGTGGTATAAGGATTTGGGGTCTCTTGTGAATGGAGAGTTTTCAATGGCAGTCATTCAAGCTAATGGTTTGTTGGAAGATCAGTGCCAACTTGAATCTGGTTCGCTTAGTTTCCTCAACTCAGGGCCTTCTGGTACTTTCATTGGAGTTTATGATGGACATGGAGGACCAGAGACCTCTCGATTCATAAATGAGAGTCTTTTCCAGAATTTTAAGAGTATGTCCACTTCTCATCTACATTCCCAGTTTCAATTTGTTTTCAAACTCTTTAGATCTCCTATTATTCTAATTTGTCATATAGATTGAGAAGTACTTGCTGCAGTAAGGATCAACTGCCTCTCGACATTGCAAGTTTAAAGCTGAGAAATTAATTCATCAAATTGTGACTTTGCTGTCCCATGTCTTGTGATCCATAACTGATATTTCATAACATTTTGAGGACTTGATAGGAGAGCGCATGTTGTAGATGCCATTGAGAGAACCTGTTTGATAGAAGCTTAGGAGGCTTGCCAGCGGTGTTTAGAATCTGTCCTTTTGGTAGTTCTTTGGTTGTGATGGCCATCAAGGCTCATAAACCTTGCAGATATAAACTCCAACTTGAGCTGATTAGCAGATGAGAAAATGTCAGTAGTCCAAGTTTGGGGTTTTTTGTGGCCCCTATGCTGGAATAATTTACTGAATGGGTTTGTCCATTAGGCCTTTAGTACTCCATCAGTAGCAATAAGATAGTAGCAGTCGAGGATATTACTATTTGCTGGGAATTATTTATCTGGTGCTTAATGCTTGTATGTACCGTGTTTAATCTACTCATGGTTAGTTGTAAATTTTGTCTTTTTTAATTTGCTTCAGAAATTGCCACTGAACATCAAGAAGTGTCTGCCAATGTCATAAAGAAGGCTTTTTTGGCTACTGAAGAGGAATTTATCTCTCAAGTGAAGCAGCAATGGCTGGAAAAACCACAGCTTGCATCAGTTGGATCGTGCTGCTTAGTGGGAGTAATATGTGATGGACTTGTATATGTCGCCAATGTAGGTGACTCCCGTGTGGTGTTGGGCAGAGCGGAGCCTGCCTATGGAGGAGTCACGGCGTTACAGCTGTCGACAGAACATAATGCTAGTATAGAGTCTGTCAGGGATGAGTTAAGGTTATTGCATCCCGATGACCCCCAGATTGTGGTTCTAAAACACAAAGTTTGGCGCGTTAAAGGGATTATACAGGTAGTTTTATCACTTCTCTTTCTTAGTAAGGGCTCAAATGACTTCTACCCTGCTATTTGGTTCTCTAACATTTACTTGAATATTGACCCTTTTTATCCTGTTATTTCTACAGGTTTCAAGATCCATTGGCGATGCCTATCTTAAAAAGGCAGAATTTAATAAAGCGCCGCTATTAGCCAAGTTCAGACTCCCGGAACCATTTTCGAAGCAAATCCTTAATCCGGAGCCGTCAATATTTATCCACAAACTCAATCCTAAGGATCAGTTTCTCATTTTTGCATCCGATGGTCTCTGGGAGCATCTTACGAATCAGGAGGCAGTAGATATTGTTCACAATTACTCCCGTAACGTAAGCTTCTGAATACCTAATACATATAATAATGTCATTCTCGTCCTCATACGAATTTTTATTTCAAACTTTTTGGTTAGTACTCCTATTGGTTTTGAGTATGTTCTAACTTCTACAGTTCGTAGGTCAAAGACATTAACCTTAGATCAATGATAAAGTTCACTACTTATCTTCAGCTTAAAGCAAGAGTGTTAGTGATGTAAACTAATAGCACAGTTTTCTTACTCGGACAGATTAGATTCAGACTTGTTAACGACTAATAATTTATTATCAATGTCTGTATTCTGAGGCATTTGACAACTGGCATTGCCCTTTTCTTGTTTAGTGTGATTCCTAACTAGTAACCCGGACGGTTGTTTATAGCTTTCTTTATTTTTTTGGACAGGGTATCGCCAAGAGACTGGTTAAGGCAGCACTTAAATTGGCAGCCAAAAAGAGAGAAATGAGATACTCTGATCTGAAGAAGATCGATCGAGGGGTTAGGAGACATTTTCACGATGATATCACAGTAGTTGTGGTGTTCCTAGACCAATCTTCTGTAAGTAGGAGCTTTTTTCGTAGTTCAACTAGCGTTTCAATAAGGGGAAGCAGAGGTGTATCATCCCCCAGATCATAGTTTGTAGTCCCAATCTTTTTCTTAAAATCACCCCACTTCTTCCTCTTGAGAGGTGGTACCAAAGGGAAATGAAAAGAATTTCCTTGCCCACCTAGTTTTGTCAAAATTTCTCCCTCTTCTCTTGTATTAATCATCAGTTCTGATCAGATCTAGAATACTTATTTGATTAATACCGCTAACAGGGCAATTGTACAAGTAGTAGTGTTCACTTGTATTACTTCAGCTTTTAGTCAAACAAATAAAAATAACCTTAAGCACGAACGTACTGCATCAAGAGCTTTATCTTCCTAATGACAGTTTCACAGGTTTCTGTGCATTGGTTGCTCATAGGAAATTTCCTCGGCACATGGTCTAAAACCTGTAGGGAAATAAATAACCATCTCTAAGGGTACCGGCTCTGTTTATGCGTTTCATTAATCGGTTTAAGAGTGAGCAGTATTCTTTAATACAGACTTAAACAGTTCACCGTGAGCATAACAATTGTCGGACAACAGTTCATTCTACTTTTGGGCCACTGTAATCAACTTAAACTTATATATACTTTCTGGCCACCGTAATCGAAGAGAACTTTTGGGCCACTGTAATCAACCTCAACTTATACGCCACTGGCCACTGGCCACTGTAATCGAAGAAAACTAATCGATTGTCAAGCAAGCGAGCCTGACAAGTATTTGATTGTATAGGCCCTGAAAGGGAGGGGGAAAAAAAATAATGACTTGATCGGATCAAAGAAAAGGCCAAAAGCTTCATAAGCCTCGAAGATCCTAAAAATTAACAAAAAGCAGAGTCGCTTCATTTCCCGCAGAAATTTGCAAACCAATTCATTCCAAAATAAGATACGGACAGATCTCAATGTACATCATAAGCAATCATTTCTGCAAGACAGAAAGCTAGAGAGGCGCTCTTTGCAATACCATTGAATATCTAATGAAGTAGCAGGTCAGCCTTTACATGAGCTCTATAAGTGGTCCGAAATTTCCCGCCTAGAGCTAAATGGAAAAAGAAAAACTACAACTACCATCTAAGACAACCCTAGAACAATTTTGGGCTATTCCTTCTGATGAGACACTGACACAGGCAACCTCCATGATACCAATTTATCCCAAATGACCAAATAGAAACAGAAGCTAAGCTCCTGGCAAATAAATATTGATGAAAACAACCTAAACGTCCATCTCACTTTTACGTAATAAACCATGGGTCAGGCAAAGAAGACAAACACAAATGCAGACACAGAGTACACAACAGGCAGAGTCCAAAAATACAGCATTATAACGAAACGAAGAAGGCACACATTTAACAAGAGGCACCTACCACATGTTCAATTATCCGTTGCTTAGCCATCTTATATATAAGAATTAAATAATATGATGGCATCATTACAACATAGCACCTCTCCAAAAGCCAGCCATGTGAGGTATATAAAGCAGGAACAATACATCAACTAATGCCATGCAAGAAACAAAATATCAGATAGAGCAGAATCTAAGAGCAGGAAATGCAACTGTAATGCGGATGACAGGGTTGGACAGTTGCAGTGGACAGACACCAAAAAGTCTACGATGTATAATAACCTAGTCAAGTTTTGCGTTCCAAAGGATCATATGAGATATATTCGTACCAAGGAGATTGCCTTAAGTTTTCCACTCTCACTATGCAGATAAAAATAACTACGCTAGATAGGTAAAGAAAAAGTAAAATATCCATCTGAAGAGACAAAAACTGAGAAGTGCCTGAATAAGGATCCACACAGCAAGAACTCTTTCCACAAGATACATAGTACTAGCGAAATGTTGGGGCCCTTAACCTGTATCACACAGAGTAGGAGGAACAAAATGAAACATCATTACTTGTTTTGCATGATAATAGAGTAAGACTATTCAAATAAAACAGAAAAGGACATTCTAATTTGAAATGTCTTACTGTTAACAAGTTCACACAATTCATGTACCCCCGCCTGCCTGTGCCGGTTCAGCAGCCTTCTGGGAATAATCAAGGAAATAACAAGTTTAAATATTCCAGTCAATGTACAGATCAGGTGAATATTTACGCAGATCATTGCTTACCGATTCAATATTTTCCTTGCCATTCTGTTTATCTTTAGTTACAGAACCAGATTGCGAAAACCTAAAAGATGAAATAAAACAGGATGAGAATTGGGCAACATTCTGACACTTATCATGTATTAAAGTTCTATTTCAACACTTTTAAAGTGCCTGTCCTAATGCTGGAATGTGTTCAGGACAGCAAATGACAAAATTGACAGATTGCAACAAACCTGAGTGCTCTTGCTTTCCTTTTATCCTCCTCCACTGCATCAGGTTTAGAAGCTGGAGCAAACCTTGCGAGCCTAGCCTTTTTCTTGGCATCCTCCTCTGAAGAAGTAGACTGAGAAATCCCAAACCTACCAAGCGGTTACAGAGACCAGTGAGATACTGAAGTCTTCCAATAAAACACCGCCATATTCCACAATCTAAAATATATCTAATACAGTACATAACACAAATAGAAATTTAACCTCTCAGCTCTGGCCTTCCTTTTCAGCTCCTCTGATTTCTTCAAAGCTTCCGAGCCAGATGAACCACTAGCTGTGCCAAACCTGGGGCAATGTGTTTGAGAAATAATAAGCTGAGTTCAAACAAGAAAAATAAAAGCCCAACTAAAACAAATCGAAAATTCAATAATACTTCAAGTAACTTTAGTATATTCAACCATAAATTAAAAGTACCAACAATAATATCTCCAAAATTTCTAGAAACCACTGTTGCATGCTTTAAATTGTTCAACGAATGATCAAAAAAATAAAATACCAGCATGCCATAGAATCTGACAAAGAAAACCCTTCAAACATAAGCCAAACACACAGACGAAAGACCAAAAGACCAGACAGGTGATAAACTTTCGTATCTTCGTCTCACTTTGACTGCTAAATGGAAATTCACTTCGATTAATAAACTTCCAAGAAATAGTTACCTTTCGGCTCTGGAATTTCGTTTCTCTTGTTCAGACAGTTGCACAGCCACTCCGAACCGCTCTGCTCTTCGAATCTTCTTCTCGGTGTCAGTAACTGGACCACCACCGCTACCCTCGGTGTCGCCGGAATTCTTATCGCCTCCGTCCTGAGGGGCCGGGACCGTGGACGAAGGTTTCGAAGACGATTCATTCGCGGTAACGGGGTTACCTCCGGCAGGTTGAATTGTCGGAGTAGCAGCATCCGACGACTGGGGCTCAGGTAGGGTTTTCTTAGGGTTTTCCAATTTGGTAGTAGTCGCCGTCGCGGTCGCCATTGGGGATTAATGGAAGCAAAGATAGCGTCAAAACTCAAAGGCAAGAACGAAAGATACCAAAACTTCCACCCTCAATCGAATCTTTGATGTTTGATGGAGAAGAGTGTTCGTCCGGTTGGTGTCTCTTCTGCCTTTTAAGGTTACTTTGCCTAGCACGGAGAAGGACCATATGGGAAAGTCACGAAGAGAGAGGACATTAATGTGCTAAATGGGCTGGGCCAGCCCAAATGTTGAGTGGTATTGGGGTTTTAAGGTTCGTTTAATAAAATTTACGTGAGTTACGTTTGTTAATTTGATAAGTTATTACCAAGTCAATATTTTCACCTGAATTATAAAAATTGACTTCATATGTGCGTAAAATTTTTGAGAAATAAATTCATAAAATTTTTGCTTTTAATAAGAACTCTATAATGGCAAAGGTGAAATTGATTACATTGCTAAGACCTAATACTCACAATCCAGAATTTGTGCAAATGATACAGATTAATGGATTTTGATTTTCGTCCACTTTGTAGTTGATATTTTTAAGAAGACGAACAAGCTGTCTCTAATATTATATATAGATGTTATAACTATATTGATATTGATAAATAAAAAATATTTTGAAAAAAAAAACAAAATTTTCAGAATCAACATTTAAATATGTTTAATGGATTTTTGGATTGCAACTAATATTTAATCGAATAATGAAGTCCAACAACTAAGTAAAATTTTAAGTTCATTGTAAAAGTTTGGTCCGCAACATTTTCATGGCCTGTTCTTTCGGGAAAAAAAATCGATATTGAGTTTGAAAATTTGTACTAAAAAACTTGAAATTCTGTTTTTTCAAGAGGGAGTATAATTTATGCAATATTCTACTTTCTCCGTTTCAAAATTATTGTCCAGTTTAAAATTTCAATTTTAATATAAATTGAACTAAAAATAAAAGTTAGATAATAATTTCGGGACAGGGAAGTATAACATTTAAAGTTTTAACCTAAAAAATTGAAATTTATATGGAGTACTTGCAAAATTATGATACCATAAAAAATTCCAAAAATAAAGAACCATTGAAGTGAAGTTTTTTTAGCAAAAAAAAAAAAAAAAATCCAAGTTTAATGGTTCGAAACTAATTTGCCAGACAGCGGGCCATGTGGATATGATTGATTAACGGACAGCAGTCTCTCCAGCCACTGCCACCACCGCAAAGAGAGTCGGCAACCGCAGAACTAAGGGCGGAGCCGTGAAAATGGCTTCCATGGTCGTCAACAACAATGGCGGATTGGCTTCAGCGAAGTTCCAGTTGCGCAGTCTCGGAGCTTCCTCAATATATTCTCCACTTACTTATCCAAGACGGTTTCAGTTTCAATTCACTGCTTCTCGCTCTCACGTCCGATTTCCCGGTCTGCCCTATGTGATCAGCTCGTTCTTATTTATTTCGATCAGTTAATGATTTTCAGTTCGTTTAGCATATTTTCTTTGTCTTGAATTGCAGATGGATATCATTATCAGAGGAGAGATTGTTCACCAATTTCCTGCTCTCGGAAAACCGAACAGGAGGAAACTTCATCTTCTTCAGGTTATAAATCGTATTCTTTAAGCTTATTACTGCAATAAATTTCCTTTTATTCGATTTGCTGAATGTTTCGGCTGGTGTTCTACCGAGGATATAATTGCAATTTACAGCAAACTAGATAATATTCAGCCTCAAAAGGCTTATCAGAAGTTCTTTTTTCTCGTATTATCATAACTAGAACTGCTTGTGTGTTGTCTAGTCTGCAAACAGGTCATTTCACCAGTTGATATGACTGTTCAAATTCTTGCAGGGACTTCATCAAATGATGACATTTACAATGTAAATAAATCTAAACAAGTCTTACCTGGTGGTAGTTCCCGTGGGAAGATACAAGGAGCTGAGAACTATAAGACTTCTGTCAGAACTGTTGCCTTGTGTGTAAGTTCTTCTTTCCATCGATTTGTATTGTTCTGTGAATGGTCAGATAGAGAATAACAAATTGAAGTCAATACAGCGATCTGTTGTTTTAGGTTTTATCGGCAGTGGCATTTGGGGTTGGTTTGGGGTTTAAAGATGGAGTTGGCAAGGCGTCTGAGTTCTTTGCTGGGTATGTTGTGAAGGAAAAGTGGAAAAAAAAGAAAGAAAAGGAAATCATGTTGATCTAGCAGGTCCCGACTTTATGTCGACCATTTTAACTTTTTGCTTAATTTCAGGTACTTGCTGGAGCAAAGTCTGTCGGTCGACAATTTATTTGTCTTTGTTCTGGTTTTCAAATATTTCAAAGTTCCTCTCATGTACCAGGTGTTGTTTCAAGGTCACCCTTTGTACTCGATTCATTTGGTTATCATACTCCTTTTAGCTTTAGATTAAATTTCTGTTTATTTCAGATGGTTATGCATATATTACAATGCAATTCTATGTCGTGTTTTATACATAGAACCGGGTGCTGTCTTATGGTATAGCTGGTGCAATCATCTTCCGGTTATCACTGATACTTCTAGGAACAGCCACAATTCAGGTTCTTACTTTGACAAATTTAGAAAATTTATTACAATCAGATATTTGGATTATGAAAACTAGTTCTTATCACTTTGTGACGCTTTCTGAACACAATGTTTTTCTCTCTTGTTTCAGAGGTTCGAAGCCATTAATCTGCTACTGGCAGCAATACTATTGTATTCTTCATTCAAGGTGCAATTTATACTCTTATAAAATTTATCTCCTCGAGATATAGGATAAGTTGTCTAGGAGTGCCTCATATAAATCATTTAATTGAAAATTGTTCCGAGGCTACTACCTGCTTGGTCCTATCCTGATTCTTGCACTAATTAGACACTAGCTTCTCATTTTTTTTAAATTTTTTTTTTTTTTTTTGTTTTGAAAAAGAGCTTCTCAAAAATTGACCAATGCCATATTTGATGGGATTTTTTTGTTTTTGTTTTTTTTTTGGTTTTTTTTTTTTGAAAAGTCTCTTTGATTCTCTAGAGATTCGTTAAATGTTTATTTCTTGCCTTCTAAGTTCGTAATATATCTCTGTTTCTTATCTTACTGCAGCTGTTTGCAGAAGAGGAGGAAGATACTGATTTATCTGACAACTTCATAGTCAAGACATGCCAAAAGTTCATCCCTGTAACTGGTAATACATTCGTAATTATCAGCTGATTCTTTTTGACTCATAGAAACTGAATCATAACTAGTTATCGGCTTTCTTTCCCCTCATGATTAAACTTTAAACTTTGAGATTCTTCTTGTTGGCATAATGATAAAAGTTGTGAAACTACTGTATATCTTTCTGAATCTACACATAAATGTAGTTTGACTCATTGAAATCAGCCTGATTTATGTTCTGTATTGTGATCTGCGTTGCCATGATCATAGAGGATCTGATATCTTTCCATAGATGTGGATTTAATGTTTTTCTTTGCCGCGATTTTTAGGAAAATTGAAGGATCAAAACCACACTAGTTAATTTTGTTTTCTTTTCCAATCAAAGAGATTCTCTGAGCTGTGTCATTTTCTACCTTCTCAGCAAATTATGATGGCGACAAATTCTTGACAGTTCATGATGGCGTACTGAAAGTAAGTGCTTCTGCGATTTGTCACCTTGATATTTGTAGTTTTGCTATATAGGAAACACCCGTGAGGCATCTATAAACACTCGCTAGGTAATTGCAGTGGCTAGCACAGACATAATTCATTACTTGGAAGGAATTAGTTTGTGAAGTATCACCCTGTGGTTTTCTTTGAGGTGTACGAATTAAATAAATAATACATGAACAATTATTATAGAAGAAATCAGCCTTATGAAATAACATGTCAATTTGGCTTTTTTCCTGTTTGTTGTGCTTTCTCTATTGTTCTGATGGGCATCGTACAATTTGTGCAGGCAACTCCTTTGCTTCTGACGATAGCTGTTATTGAGCTGAGTGACATTGCATTTGCTGTATGCATTCGTACTCTGTTTGTATCCAGCCAGCTTCATGAGTGTGGAATTTTAGCTGACTTGTTGTATCCTTCTCTCAGGTTGATTCAATACCAGCAGTTTTTGGTGTAACACGGGACCCTTTTATCGTTTTCTCGTCAAACCTGTTTGCCATTTTAGGTACTGTCTTCTCACTCGTTTGTGAATGAGATGGTTAATTTAGATAGTATGGTTTGATTCATATCCTTCTGTAGACCTGTAGGCCAGAAGTTTCGGCAAATAAACATTCAAAAGGAAAAAAATGGAAAGCTATCTTCTTCAACTGAAGATAGGTTTGATAATTACATCTTGATTTTTGGTAGCTGCAAATGAAGCTTTTCTTCTCACTGTCGAATTCTCACTCTGCTTTGTGATAAATGAACGGCATAAGACATTCCTCATGTTTTTTTATTAAACCATAGCACTGAAATTTTTTGCTTTCTGTAGGTTTAAGATCATTGTACACTCTCATTTCTGAAAGTATGGCAGATTTGGAGTATCTGCAGGTGAGTTTGATATGTTACTGTTTTGCAGTGTGAAAGGTTTGCCTGGTACATTCTTCTTCATTTCAGTTAGAGGCATTTGGCTAACTCCTTTCTGCAATTCTCTGGTTGAGTAATTTGGATCAGCAATGAAGTTCTCTGACTTAATTTCGGAAATTTTTTTTCATCAGCCTGCCATCGGCGTTGTTTTGGGCTTTATTGGTTCTAAGATGATCCTTGATTTTTTTGGTGGGTGTCCTGTATTCTCTTGCGCGTTTGTCCGTCCTTCTGATTATCTAGCAATCTTTTTAGAATTCATGATTTCCAATTTGGTTTTTTAGGTTACCATGTTTCCACGGAGGTTTCTCTTGGATTTGTGGCAACATCTCTTGGTGCTGGTGTGTTGTTGAGTCTCCTGAAAAAGTCTGATGTTGAGGAAGGGGATAGGAGTTAAACTTGCAACCGGTTGTAATCATGTTGGATCGGTAATCACATGACATCAGGCTGTTGCTTGGTTGAAGCTTGCGGCTGATGTTTTAAGCAGACGACGATTGCTAAACGTGCAGAATATTTTAATGACTCAGGGTTGTCGTAATTTGATAACCTGGGATACTGAACACAATAGGTTTGTGTCACTGTGACACTGTCGTACCGGCCCGCAAGGAGAAAGGTTTCTCATGTTTCCTAACAGTTTTATCCTCTTATTAATACGGTGCAGTAACTAGAATCGATTGTATGTTGTAGGGGTCAAGAATGTGAAATCCGGAATGCATTCTTTATTCCAAGCCTGAAAATGTAATAAAATTAGTCTACGTTCTGCTAGCAACTACGTTTCCACTCTATTTATTAAAACTTTTGCTAGCGTTGAAGGCAAGCAAATGAACACTTAACAGTTCCCCATTGGTCTAAACTCGGATTGCTGGATATGTGGAATACAACCAATATAGTACTAGTAATACTTTTTTGACCTTTGAAAAGTCTTCCTCGTCCAGAAGAGAGATAAATCATAAATGGATAAAGGAATAAATGTGCGTCTAGATGCACAAGCATCAAAGAAAGGCCAAAGTTCCGAGCATCTTCTGTAGTAGGTCAGGGAACTATATTTGATTATTTTTCCTGACTTGACTTTTGCAAATACGAGTCACATGACGACATTTCTTGGTCTAAGTTCTTTGAATTGTTTGTATTTTTATATGTACAAATTGGATCGCAGGCGGCTACTTTTTTAAGACAAAATATAGATTCATCACAGCTGATGGACAACCCTTTGGACGCGTTCCTACTAATCAGCCGCCTCAATTCTTGCATATGAACGAGTTACTACTATAAAAGCTGAGATCAGATTACACAATTTGTGTATACTACTTTGAAACTTCATCGTTTGGATATACTTGAGCCAGCGACAATCAACCGCAATTCCGCAGCAACAAAATAATATGGCCACTCTGTAAGTAAAATCTTCTTGATGATCCCTTCTTATATCGGCAAAATATGAAAGCTTTCAATCTTTTAAGACATTCAGTTCCTAAACTTCGAGGGACGCTGTTTTACAGAAGCGTACCTGAGGTTCGTCCCCCAGTTTTGTCCCCTACATCTGATCCCCCCGCGGTCTTTGATGGAACCACCAGGTATTCTTCATCGCCTATGCTGACTTTCCTTGTTGCTTTCGATGTTTCATTCTTTCCATCATATAAATATACCACTTTATCTGATGCCGCATTCTGTTTTTGTTTGTTAGGTTGTATATGAGTTACACTTGTCCCTTTGCTCACCGTGCTTGGATTACCAGAAATGTTAAGGTTTGTCTCGCTGTATCTATTTTAGCTCAGAAGGAATGTTTTTGGTGATTAAGTATGAATTTTATGGGTTTATAAATAAATATATATATATATATATATATATATATATATATATAGTTCCTGCAACATCTGATTTTTTTCTTCAGGGTTTAAAAGAGACGATTAAGTTGGTTCCCATTGACCTTAACAACAAGCCTGCTTGGTACAAGGAAAAAGTCTACCCTGACAACAAGGTAATCAATCAATTATCCTTCTTCTTGAACAGATGAGTCTTAATTTGAGCTCTTTCTTGCACCTAGATGATGTTGTTTCCCTAGGATTTACGATGTCGTTGGATTGGCCTCATTGTCGTTTATGGACGATTCTTCATAGCATACTGCTTCCGGAAAAGAGGCCTAGCTAGTGAAGATATTGCCAGCCATGTTTCTACCTTGGAGAACTAGATAGTCTACATTTTGACTTTCGTTCCTGTTTATCGCAGTTGTGACCCAATACTAGTTTCTTTTTCCATAACTGATCTTTGTTTCCGTTCTCACAGGTGCCAGCGCTGGAGCACAATGGTAAAGTTATTGGAGAGAGCATAGATTTAGTCAAGTACATTGATAAGAACTTTGACGGGCCAGCTCTTCTACCTGTGGTAAGATTTCCTGTGTAATTTTTTGCCATCTTTTCCCAGTTTATCTTCCTTATCAAACAACACAACGGGAGTATTTGACAATCTTGTTACAATTCCAGGACCCTGAAAAGCAAGAATTCACTGAGGAGCTGATACAGTACAGTGACACATTCATGAAAGCAGTTTATACGGCGTGGAAGGGAGCAGATCCCATCACAGAAGCTGGCAGTGCTTTTGATCACTTGGAAACTGCTCTCCAGAAATTCGCCGACGGGCCTTTCTTCCTCGGTGAATCCATCAGCGTAGCGGACATTGTTTATGCACCATTTATTGAGAGGTTCCGTGGTTACTTTGGGAATGAGTTGAAGTATGAAATTACATCCGGCAGGCCTAATCTCGCGGCTTGGGTGGAAGCCATGGAGAAGATTGATGCTTACACCGAAACCAAATGTGATATTGACGTCTTCATTCAGCTCATCAACGCTCACGTTTTGGGTAAAAAATGAGTTAGAAAACAGCGTCTGTAAAATAAAAATGAAAGGGGTTTATAAAGCTATGCCTGAACAAGTCATTAGTCCATACTGGATCTTCATTCCTGTTTTTTCCTCATTAGTCTGTATTACAATTGATGCACTCAACCTGCTTGAATCCGTTGTTGGCTTGTACTTACATATAAATGAAAGATAATTCTGTTTGCATTATTCATCTGAATTTTGTTCTTCAGCAAATAGCATTTTCTTCTTGTTCTTTTGCTTAAAGAAAACCATACAAGTATTCAGTGCTAAGGTTGATAAACCAGTCCCAATATTCTGAGCCTGCTTCAACAAATGGTGGTGGTGGTAGTGACCAAATTGGCCTTACCAACCATCTTCCAAGTGGGTGGTTGGTGCAAGAATTATTCGAAACGGTAGTTAAGAATAACAAGGAAGAAATTAGCTTCAGAAAAATACCAGACCAAAAACGGGAAATGAGCATCTCTTTTTGGGTGATTCATGTAAAGAGCATTGTCTAACTAATCAAGTAAAGAAGATTGGGGTTTTTAATGTTTAAAGAGCGTTGGGTAGATAATCACGTAAAGATCATGTAAAAGCTTTGTTTAGATGATCATGTAAAATCATTTGGAACAACATCATCAGTTTCACCTCCTTATATTAATGAGGAGAAAACTGAGGAAAATACGCACAAGAAAAAGAAAAGAAGAAAAGCAAAGAGTGGGGAGCTCGTTGAGTCCATCCGGGATCCATTCAGTTGGGAATTCCGCCCCCTCCGTTATGGACCAACACGAATTTTATGTCATCACTCAACATAAAATTTAGTGTTCGTCCAGAATGGAGCCGGTGGAATCTATTCAAACAATATAAATTTGAAGTTTCTTCCAACAATAACAGCAACTTTACGTCGGGAACAAGACTATTCAGGATTACAAAGTTCGATTTCTGGGTCAAAAGTAAATCACAGAACACACAACAGTTCGGTGAACTTCTTGTTTGTGTTCTATTTACCTGTACAAAAAAAATGACTCTCTCTGCAACTACTTTGATTATTTTGAAGAAGGTTTGTATCATAAAACATTGGTTACTTGTTTGCCACTTAAATCAAAAACTTGAGTTTCTTTTTGTTGATAAAACTGAGAGTAGAAACAAGGTTCTCTGAATCAAAAATGTTAAAAAGGGCAAATTTTTTTTATCGATTCCTCTTTCTCTTCCTACTATGCTGCTGAAAATCATCATAAATTCCAGCAGCCTTAAGCTCTCTGTCTTTTTGCAGCTTAGCCAGCCTTGTAGCCTCTGCAATCTGCTGCTTCCTTGCTTTCCTCTGAGCTTTCTTACCTCCAGTGTTGCCTAATCGAGCTATTGCTGCTGAAGGCATCTGTTTCTCAGCATCATCCAAATCCACAGGGTCAGGTCGAGGAGGCCTCGTTTCGGGACCCGAATCGATCCCTCCTCCAAGACCCAACAACTTACGAGGATCATCATCATCATCTTCATCTTTGGAACACACATGAGGAAGGAGTTGCTCAAAACGATGTAGACATTCAGATGCTGTGTGACCCACAATCGGGGCAATTGTTGTCCATTGTGATGGCATCAATTTGGAAAGATGCAGGAGTTTTTCATCTTCTTCTCTTGACCAGATTCCAGTCCTTATGATGGAAGGATGAATCCACTCTTCCCATCGAGCTTTACATTTCCTTGGAGCTCTGCCGTGGAGGAGGGATGCGATTCGGTACCAATCATTCGTGCCGTATTTCATTACTCCTGCCTTCAGGATTTCGTCTTCCAAGTTCTTCCACGTTTCATCCTTAATCGAATTCCTCATTCTTTTTTTTCTTTTTTTTGCGACCAAACTATAGAACTTCTTACGGAGGGGGAAATCACAAGGACCGTGGCGTGTATTATATATATAGGAATAAGTTGGACGCTTGATTCCATATAGGAAGTGGAAATTATGAGAAACTCTTAAAAGACCACTTCCAAATTGGAAACTAATTAAATGGATTCCTAGGGATGGCAATATTGTCGACTTGTGGTTGGTAAATTACTTGAAAACCTTTTTACATATACTGGACATAAATTGAATTAAAAGCAAAAATTTAAACAGAATCATAATTTTGAAACAGAAGAAATATATTTTAGTAGTTGTTTAAACATTTTTAAGTTTAGTGTGGGATGTTACATGTTTCGTTACTAATATTTTATTCGATAAAATTTTGATATTTGTTAAATGAAATTTGCTTAATTAGACATTGTAATTGTGACACAAAAGGCTACCGATGTTCTTATGACAGATTGATTTTTGTGAGTTGTGACATAAATTGTCCGGCTAATGTTGCTAGTATTGTTTAAGACTTTAAAGTACTAGTAACTTTTTTCCGTCGGATGACGTTGTTGGTCAAACTCTAGAATAGTTAGAAAATGGTATCGATATCCGATAAAGAATCGTCAAAGTCAAACGATAACCTCACGAGCAATCACGTGACCCCGTAATAGCGGTCGGAAAAACGTAGGAAACCCACCGAGAAGAACCGACAGACCATGGAACTGAAGAACCAAGTTACAGAGAATTTTTTAGAGGAAAAACATGAGAAAAATGGAGATTTGAAGAAGTAGCCGTTGGACAACCCGAACCCGCTAAGTCATATTAAGACCCCTGAAATTTGTTGAAGTTGGTTGATCAATCAAAAACTCCCGCCAATGACGCTCGGCAAGCCTTACCATTACTTCCTCGCCAATTTCGAGCCCAAACGGTACGTTTCTTATAAATCATGTCAAATTAGGAATCCAAATCTTTTTTTTTTTTTTTTCTTTACTTGGAGCCTAAATGGTGAAAACAGATAAATTATTTGGATTTGTAGAGATGGTGGGTTTTAGTGTTTGCTGTTAATTACAGGTGGCTCAATGGGCGAAATTTGAGCAATATTGTTTTCAGCAGAATTATACACTTCATAGTTTTCTTACGTAAATCAAGGATAATCAGTTAGCATACTACTACCCTGATGAGTTGACCCACGGAATTCTTTTTGGGTTCTTAGTAATTTGAAAATTTGTAAAAAAAAGATTGAATTTTTCAACAAATTCGTGAATGTGATGTTTGGGTTCCCAATTTAAATAATTTTTAGTGATCCATTCTGGTAGATTCTTCGCGGTCCGCTGCTTAATTTGACCTCAACTTTGTATACGTTCTCTCCACATTAGAATCTGATACTGAAAGATAAGGTTGTTAAGTCATAGTAGTAGATTTGCCAACTTCATGTTCTGGAGAGGTTTGAGGAATGTGGTGATATGATATGAGATTTTTGTTGGGAAGAGGTGGTCGCAAGAGCTATGGGTGGAGGGGTAGGATACGTTGATGAACTATGTTGTTATCCTTGTTGAGTAAGCGTTTGTTGGACGTTGATGCCAGGTATATTATGTACATTTCTAGATAGAGGGGGGAAATTTCGTAATATTTCCACAAATTTCAGAGTTTTTAGAGGATCTGCTGATTTTGGTTTTAAATTTTTGATTTATATTCAATCACATGAAGATGATGTGTTACAACTGTAGAATGAAGGTTATTCATGTGTTAAATTTATTCAGTACAATCATCGTCGACTTTTACAGGGATGCATATGGATTTACTGTGAGACCTCAGCATCTGCAGAGATACAGAGAGTACGCTGATATCTACAAGGTAATTAATTGCCACATTGAGCTTTACTGATCTTGTTATGCATTGAATCTTTTTAAGGACCGAGAGTTAGTTGACTTGTTAATTCCTCAAAATATAATCTAGTTTTAAGTAACTTAGTACTTTTCGTTAATGAGGCATGAGATGTGGAGAAGTTGTTGTTGGTTGCAGTCTATTTAGCACATAGAACATTAAGTTTGCCTCTGAAAGACTGTACCTAATTTCTTTTGTTTCAAGGAGTTTAAATGGGAAAAAATAGGAATGGTGGACACACACAGAGCACTGCTTTAACTTTGAATTTTTGTTCTTGAAAAGCTTCCTTAATCTCCTGTATGTGGTTTCAGAAAGAGGAAGAAGAAAGACTTCAGAAGTGGAATTGGTTTGTGAAACAGCAAGAAGAGCCCATTGTAACTCAACCATCCGGTGAGGTGAATGTTGCAAGTGTGAAACCCGAAGTCACAGAGCAACTATCCCACCCTGTTCAGGAGTTGAATGAAGGGGATACTTTGTGTAAAGGTGATTCAGGAGTTGACATCCATAAAGAAACTGATGCTGAGAAGTTGGTGCCTACAGCTGTTATTAGAACAAAATCTCATGAGGTGCAGAAGTGGGTTCCAGTAAGGCGGTCTCTTAATCATATAGAAACTTTGATGAGTTCTCGTGTACAGAAGAGAAAAGACATGAGAGGTGAGCAAATAAATACCAGTGATAACCATCTTCCATCAATTGAGGAAGGAAAAAATTCAGGAGAGGATTTTGAACAAGCATGTGAAGAAGTTTCTGACAATTCCATGGATGATAACAGCCATAGTGCTGATGAACATAGTGAATTGGTTGATGAAGGGTGTGTAGAAACTTTGTTTCCTTCAAAAGAAGAGCTAGAGTTCCTTGTTCAAGGAGGAGTGCCAAGGGATCTTAGGGGAGAGGTATTGTTATCTATTTGTATCAAATGCTTTCATAGTATGAGTTGATTTTAGTTGGACCTAAGTTAGACTTAATCTTGGTGGTGCAGGTGTGGCAAGCCTTCGTTGGAGTGAGAACTCGTAGGATAGAGAAATATTACCAGGGTTTGCTGGATCCAGAATGCATTGATGGTGACGAGGAACACGATAAATCAGAATCAGGTGAAGATGGAAAGCGACTGAATGAGAGTAGAGTCGATGTACCTGAAAAATTGAGAAAGCAAATTGAGAAGGTCATTAGATGCATGGAACCTGGACTTTATCGTTCAGTCTTTTGATTTGTAGGTGCTACTTCTTTTTGGGGTTTGTTTGGGATGAGAGTGAGGAACGCTTTGTTCTTTTACACGTATCATGTTCTCACTGGTTAGACATCTCAAAAAATGAGAACGCTCATCTTGTTGTTACTGAAGCAACTTTCATCTTTCATTCCCCATCCCCCACTCCCCCAAAAAAAAACCAAATTTCTACCATAGTATGGAGGATTTCAGTTACTGAGAATTGCACATACTTGTTTTACCACTTATGAGCGCATATTTTGCCCTATTAACTGTTTGTTTCTTGTCTGTGTCCAAGTTTCTTATACTCCCAGTGTCTTAGCTTCTGAGTTTATCATGCTATTTGTCGCTGTCTGAGTTTTCCCAGGACTAAATTAATGTTACATGATGTGCAGGATCTGCCTCGAACATTTCCGGGACACCCTGCGCTGGATGAACATGGTAGAAATGCTTTGAGGCGGTTGCTTGTGGCATATGCTCGACACAACCCATCTGTTGGCTACTGCCAGGTAACTCTTGGCTGGAGATTTTATTTTCTCTTCTCAGCTTGCTGTAGCTCCTCTGGTTATTCACTATTTGACATGACATGAAAGTGTTTTTAAACTCCTAGGAGTGGCACCAAAAACTGAAAAATAAACATCTTTCCAACATGTTAATAGAGAAACTTGATGTTGCTTGACCATATATTATTGATAAACAGTGATAGATTCGCTTTCTCTGTTTAAAATGCTGTTATTTGCTCCATTCGCTGTAAGTGCTTGTTCAGTATTGACCTTGCATTTTAGTCTCTGCGGTTTGTTTCATCCTTGTTAAGAGTATTTTCCGTGGAATTCAATCTCTGCCATTTCTTTCTTTTTTCTTTTTTTCTTATTTGCGTGTGATGCTGCAGGCGATGAACTTCTTTGCTGGTTTATTACTGCTTATGATGCCTGAAGAGAATGCTTTTTGGTAAGTGTTGACCTCTTTAAGGCTTGATCATATTGACCTTCCTGCTGGTACTTCTGCACGGATATTTGTAAGACTGGATTGATTGATAAGAAATACGGCTACAGAGTTATTTGCTTTAGAGCGCGGCTGATCATGGTCTAGTTTTTTTTTTTTTGAACCTTCAGGGCATTGGTGGGTATTATCGATGATTACTTTGATGGATATTACTCACAGGAAATGATAGAATCCCAGGTTTGCATCTCCTTCTTTGTAAATTTCCTCTTAACTAGTAGATCTTTCGTTAGCTGAACAGTTTTCATAATCTGATAGGTGGACCAACTTGTTTTTGAGGAGTTGGTGCGCGAAAGGTTTCCTAAATTGGGTTCGTCTAGTGACTGAGCTTTATCTATTAGATATAACTGTTATGCACGAATTCCGCTGATCTTAATTTTTTTGTCCTTGTGCTTCAGTCAACCATCTCGATTACTTGGGAGTGCAGGTTACATGGATATCTGGGGCATGGTTCCTTTCAATTTTTGTTAACATGCTTCCTTGGGAAAGCGGTGGGGAGAACTTTCTTGTACAAAACAAAGTCTAAATTTAAGCAGTTTGTTCATTGTTTCATCTCAAGGAAAATGATGGCCTTGGCATCTGATGATTTACCCTGACTTGCAGTTCTCAGGGTTTGGGATGTGCTGCTTTTTGAAGGAAATCGTGTTATGCTATTTCGGACAGCACTGGCTCTGTTGGAATTATATGGTACTCCAAATTATTTGGATCAACCAAGTTGCAATTGATTGTTAGACTAATCCATTTTCTCGCTTTTATGGAATTAATTTTTATTGCTTTAGGTCCTGCTATAGTCACTACAAAAGATGCTGCTGATTGCTGCAGTTTATTACAGTCCCTAGCTGGTTCAACTTTCGATAGTAGCCAGCTTGTGCTGACAGCTTGCATGGGCTTTCTGACTGTAACTGAAGATAGATTGCAAGAGTTAAGAGAGAAGCATCGTGCTTCTGTGGTTGAAGTAGTAGAAGAGAGATCCAAAGGTGCACGAGTTTGGAAAGACCCAAAAGGTCTAGCCACCAAGCTTTATAGCTTCAAGCACAACCCTGAACCCCTGGTAAAAGAACAAAAACTGGAAGAAGATTCAGGATCCAATTTGGAGAATCATTCTGCTGAATTGGATAAAATGCTTTCTGGCCTGGATATCGATTCAGAATTAAATTTCCTTCCAGACATTCAAGATCAGGTTGTTTATCTTTACCTTCCTTCCTTAACCAATAATATGGGTATTACTTTAATTAAATATATATGGTGTTTGGTTGTGTCTGAGGAGGAGTAAATATGTATAACCTTAGTAAATTTCGAAGCTCAAAAAAACAAATGCACTTTCATTTCAAAATTCTTATCTTTGAAATCTACGTTTTCCTGTCTTGTCTTTAGTTTGAGACAAACAATGTAATGAACAATCCTTATGATCCAATGGAAGAGCTCTGCATATGCTAAGCTTCCAGGGCCACATAGTATCATGTTTGTCCCTGGACACTTATATTTCTAGCCTATATCATGGTTCAGTTTGTAATTGGTTTTAAATTGTTTTTCTTTAAAACATGTCTAAGAAAACTTGTTAAGCGCAATTCATTAAGAACTTTTATGCAGGTTGTTTGGTTGAAGGTTGAGCTATGCAGATTACTGGAGGAAAAAAGAACAGCAGTGCTCAGGTCAGTGATAAGCCTGCATTTTTTTCCTTCTTTTGCATCATTTTCTTCTGTCAATCAGTAGCTGAATAGAAGGTATACATGTTTCGCCAGTGTGTCCCCTTACAAACTAAGAAATGTTTTTTTTTTTTTTTTTTTTTGAAAGGGCACAACCTAAGAAATGTATTTTCTTCTTTATCAGGGCTGAAGAGTTGGAAACAGCTCTTATGGAGATGGTCAAACAAGACAATCGACTGGAATTGAGTGCAAGGGTAAACATCTTATTAAATTGTCTCTTGCGACCATGGAAACCGTAATGTCTTAGGAAAGCAAGCTGTAGATGTGCAAACATGATGCAAATTTGATACATGTTGGAGAATCCAGTTTTAACATCTATGATTATTCTATATTTTTGAAATGAAAGCTTGTTAAGGCCATTATTGTTGTTATGAAATTATATTTTGAAATCATAAGTTGCTTAATTGTTACCAAGTTTCAGTTTCGACTTTTTTGAAATGAGAAATTATGGTCACCCTGCAGGTTGAGCAGTTAGAGCGAGAGTTGGCAGAGCTACGGCAAGCTCTTTCTGATAAAACAGAGCAAGAGAGTGCTATGATTCAGGTTTTCATAACAGCAGTTTCATGTAGATACTTGTATACAATCTCTGCCTTTGTTTTTCAAGTAATAAGCTGACTTTGAGTGATTCCTTATCCATTTTTCAGGTCCTGATGAGAGTCGAACAGGAACAGAAGCTAACTGAAGATGCTCGAGTTTTCGCTGAGCAAGATGCAGCTGCCCAGAGATACGCTGTGAAAGTTCTTCAGGTTGGATAGGTTGTGCATTTTAGATCTCCTTTTCATACTTTTTCTCTGTGTGGACATGGGAATATAAGTATGTCTTGCAGGACAAATATGACCAAGCAATGGCTTCAATTGCCCAAATGGAGAAGAGGGTTGTAATGGCAGAATCAATGCTGGAAGCAACTATGCAATACGAATCTGGCCAAGTTAAAGCTCTAGCTTCTCCTGGGTGAGTGTTCTGTTTACTCTTCACATTTCTATTTCATCTGAGATTTGAGGGGGGTTAGGTTTTATGCCATTTACAGCAAGCTAGATACGGAATTCAAAAGATTAACATTTCTCTTTTCAAGCATTGATCGGTGATGCCTTTTAAATTTGTTTTCTTTACCAAAACATCACATGTTTGTGGTTTTCCACAATTCATACTGAGAAGTAGTTGTCATTATACATATTATTAGACAAACTCTACTGTCTGTGACATAATCATGCCCATCCCCATCCCCATCCCCCTGATTTCTTTTGGATACATTTCTGACCTTTGATGGTGCTGACTTACTTCAAAGGCCCTTGCGTCCTGATTCACCTCGTGATGCACCCCGAAAGACAGGATTACTCTCGTTTGGCCTCGGTTGGCGTGATCGGAACAAGGTACATTCCGCCCGTTTCATAATTTAGTAGCTGTTCAGTGCATGTTTCGTAAAACACAACAACAAAGCCTTTATCACACCATATATGGTCAGCGATATGGATCATATGCTGAAAAACTAGCCTAATTGCTAATGTTGCACTATGCATCTACTACATATGCTGTCGGCTGTCCTATCATAAATTCTGTTACTGATGTTTTATTTGCATGCAATAAAAAGTGAGGAACAAGCGATGGTATCGAAAAACTTCTACCATTTGGATGTGCAAGGAATTTGATCATGATAGGGGCCCAGATAAAAATCCCAAAGAGATAAATTTAGTGAAGCAAATTGCTCATGAGCCATACTGTGGTTTTATAATGGTCAGTCTCCTTTCTCTCACCAAAAGAATTAATGCAACAGGGCAAGCAAAATGACAATGCTCCCGAGGGAGTTGAAACCAGCAGTGCAATCCAAGAGAATGGCCATCCAAAGTAGCAGCCCTGAAAGACAACAGGAGGAGAAAACAATGCGATTTTTGAGCTTCATTTAACAGATGGATGGTGATGCGTGAAGCTGGAGAGGAATCTACGGATTTCTGGGTATGCATTAGAAATGCTCGTAGAAAATGTAAATCTGGTTTTGGTGGTGCTATCATTGAAAATTTTAGTTTCACCAATAAATTTTTTGTTTTGGTGAAAACTAAATAGTAAAAGATCTAGGACTTGGTTGTGGTGCCACATGTTTGAAGCAGGGGAATGAATATGAAAGGATTTTTGAGTACTAACATGAGCTACTTTTCATCTGTTATAAAGTGTTATTTCACGAGCATTATATCCAATTCTTGGAAGCACATCGTTGTAAGTTGTAACTGACTTCATGCCGTCCATCTTAATATTGTTCCGCGTATCGCACGCTTGTGCCAAGACAGACGACCCATCAACCTGGGCAGCGTCTTCTAATTTCCTGCTCTTTTTGTTCTTCCCTGATGTTCACTCTTTCACAGGTTATTCAATTCATAAGCTTTCTCATGTGCTTTAGAATTATTTTAACTAAAACTTTAGGTAAAGATTCACGTAACTGTTGGGCGCAAGAAGTTTGCGAATCTTATATCATTCGACATCCATTTCAGTCCCACGTTGTGTGTTTGCTTAGAACGTGACGCCAGAAAGACAAGCTACACGGAAATCCTGCCAATTACCAGACTCTTCCATTAATCACATATGCATGATGAACCAAGGGAAGGGATGAATGAGTTGCGCCATCATCTGATTTACAAAATTTAGCTTTTTAAACACCACGCCTATTTTTAAACATCCATCAGCATTAGAGATGATGAACGTTGGAAACAGGCAATATCATGTTATCCTCTATTTCAAGCTCCGTTCAGAACCACTGTCGTCAGATTGCTTCTTATTATCCCCACCTTCCTTCCTTGATCTAGGTGGAGTAGCAGGCACCCAGAGTGAATTCTGTGCTGGCTGGGTTGCAGGGTTATACTTTTGTGAAGCAAGGAAAGACAGAGCTGTGACAACATCGGCGATCACAGGACGCATATGAGGCTGCTCTTGGACACACATTGCAGCTACTGACAGTGCTTGATACAAACCCCTCATTGGAAATTGACCTTGAAGCATTGGATCTGCCAGCTGCATGCATTTCTTCCGATCTTTCAACAACGGTCTTGCCTGAAAAGAAACACAGACGTCTGGAAACGTTAGAAATTCAAAGAAAAGGCAACAACAATGAGATAATAAGAAGCGTATAAGGTTTTCTTAGCATAAACTAGATGGCTCACCCATGCTACTAGATTTTGCTCTCCTGATGTTTTGGAGTTCTCAATAGCTTTCCTTCCTGTAATTATTTCCAAAAGGACAACTCCAAAGCTATAAACATCTGATTTCAGTGATAGCTGCCCTGTCATTGCATACTCAGGTGCACAGTAGCCGTAGGTCCCCATAACTCTGGTTGATACATGGGAATTATCTCCAACTGGGCCAAGTTTCGCCAAACCAAAATCAGATAGCTTTGGATGATAACCCTCACCGAGCAATATGTTAGAGCATTTTAGATCACGATATATAACAGGAGGGCTAGCTTTATCATGTAGATACTCCAATCCCTTTGCGGCTCCAGCAGCAATTTTCATTCTGGTATTCCAATCAAGCCGCTTCTCACCAGGAGTAAGATCTATATAAGAGATTATACCTTTTAAGTTCATACTTCGAGTACTCAGATTCAATAGGGTTAAGAGAGTAAGAAACTGATGCACTTAATCGCTGTAGAAAATTACCATGGAGGTGGTCATCTAAGGACCCCAGCGGCATGTATTCATATACTAGGAGTCTCTGATCTCCATCAGCACAATACCCAGTAAGATTAACAAGGTTAGGATGGTGTAGCAGGCTCAACATCAACACTTCAACTAGGAATTCTCTATTCCCTTGCAATCCATTGCGATCCAGTTGCTTGATTGCAACAATCTGCATCAAATTCATGAAACTCAAAGATTCAATGTAGAAACTGAATAAGTGTAGCTTAGAGGAAGAACTAAAAGAGTGGAGTGGACTATAAGCAGCCTTGATACATATAAAAAACATTCAATATCCAACTTGCATTTCCTTTCAGCTACCTGGTTGGAATTTTCCAGTTTTCCTTTGTAGACCCTACCGAATCCTCCTTCTCCAATAAGACAATCTGCCCGAAAATTTTTAGTTGCAACAGCTAACTCACGAAAAGAGAAAGTCTTGGCTGCAATTTGATTGGAACCGCCATCATTGGGGGTTCCATTTGAGCTTACTGAAGAATTTGACCTCAACTTATCTGAAGAAAGCAATTGCACAATCAATGGAAGGGAAAGAAGAAGGATTAACTGAAACTGCGTAAACCATAGCAAAGAAATTTCAAGAATACGATGAACCATGATCAAATTCATTTGCATAGGAAATAAAATAACAGCTCCTCTCCACCACATTTTTATGATTGAAAAGAAAAAAAAAAAAAAAAAAAAGAAGAAGAGCCCTTTTTGTTGTACAGTACTAAATTAGTTCCACAAACACTCTTATTATTATTTTTCCTCGGCAATTTATTGGATGAGAAAAAAAGAGAACAATTATGTCATTGATCTGTTTAGAACAATTGCTTATGAGCTCCTTGCATCTGAAGCACGCATGTCTATACCCTTGCCATGACTCACAACACTCAAGCGAGTCCTAATTCACAGCAAATGATTATTCATCGGAAAGGCTGGAATGATCATTCATCCAAAAGTAAAATTCAAACTTGAAGTTATTTGAAGCACCTCGTAAATATCTTTTAAGGAAATGTCAACTAACGCGAAGACTCAAGAGTACCTATTATTCCCGACTTAATCAATTAATCATTATCCATCCCTAGTAGAAGAATTATTGAACATAACTTAACACTTAATGAACACATTCATCCCAGCCAGGAAAACATGAAATGGACCAATAATGCAGAGGAAAATTCCAAAACCAAAAAGGGAAAGAGGAAAAAGGAGCCGCGAAAAAAGCAACCAAACCCTTTAAGGGAACATGATTTAACATAAAGATATATATCCTTTTTCAAAAAGGGAACGAGATTCCCGTAATCCTGTCCCGCGTGATACTCTTTGGAGATAACGAGACAAACCAGAAGGGGAAAACAGAGAAACAAAAAAGATCATCTTTTTTTAAAAAAAAAAAATCAACTGAAACTCTAGATGATCATTCTTCAATGGCTAAAGAGGCTACCTGAAGACAGCGGAATTGGGCTAAGTGGGTCTTTGATCTTCCTCTTCTTCTTGGAATTACGCTTGGAATAGGATCCTCCGGAGCATGGAAACCAACCCATCACAAATTTCCCCTTCTCCTTTTACCCTCTTCTCTGGTTTACTGACAGATGAATTAAAATCTAAAAAAGCAAGATATGAATGTAGTTGATGACAGCTATATTAAGGAGAAGAAATTGGTAAAGAGAATGAGAAATGAGAATGAATGAATGAGTGGTGTACTAGTTTGAGTTATCTAAGAGATTGTACTAATTAGTGTTGATAATTGATGTACTTTTGGCTTCTGGGAAGGGAAAGTTTGAAAACGAGACAAATGGAATTAAGGAAGGCAGAATTGAAAGGCAGAATATCTTTTTTCGGATGACATAAGGCAAAATTGTAGGCATATATACCAAAACCCAGGGGCAAAGGCAGGCAGGCCTACAGAGTCGTACATGAGTTTTTGTATTTACCTGATGAGATAAATTTTTCAAACTTTATACTCGCTTCGTCCCATAATTATTGTCCAATTTGAATTTTTATTTTTAATTCAAATTGTACTAAAATTGAAATCTCAAACTGGACAAACAAATACTCCTACTACAAGTATTTAATTAGATTGTTGTATTCAGATTCGAAATGAATCGAAGGTTGGCCGTGAAAATAAACAATAATAATAATAATATTAAAAAGGGGTTAGTTGAGACTTTAATGTTTTTGTGCTTTTTTAAATGTAGTAGCTTGTGAGTCGTGACATTCATATAGTTCGTTCAAACAACTCAGAGTAAGGTGGAAAAAGAGAGTAAAGGACAGGAAAAGGAATATAAGAACTTAGGAGGAATGAGTTTTGAAAGATGCAAATATCAATTATTATTATTTTTTTTAATAAATGGTCCCTGAAGTATATATAAGACATAAGAGGTGACCATTTTGAAGGGCACCTGAGTTCATCATGTACTATGATGTTACGCTCACACTAAATTACTAATTACTCTCTCTTCTCCCTAAATTATTATTCAGTTTGAGTTAAAAGAAGAATATTTAATTAACCACTTTGTCTGAATTACGCGTAGAATTAAATTTGTGATCTCTCAAAGTGGCTAATACTAATATTTTAACCCATATCAGGGTAAAGATGTAGTAAGTGATTACTTTCTCCATCCAAATTAATAAAGAGTCTTGAATTAAAATCATACCACTACAACATTCACTAGTTCGAAATTGAAAGTTTTGTAAATAAGGCAGGGGGGCTGCAGGTGGAGATTCCGAGAGGAAATAAGTCAACGGGATTCGCCAAACTGGTGAGCTGGAATTTGGATTAGTCAAATTTCTCTAAATAAGGATATATCGTCGTCTACGTTCATGGAGGCCTTTCAAAAAAGGGAAAAATTTAAAAAAAAAAAAAAAAAAAAAACTCGTATCTATGGAGCGAAGTGTCTTTCTTTTTCGTGCTACACATCTATCACAATAATTAATTTGGATAGGCCGGCGAAAAACGCCATTTTCTCATTAACTGTCACCAAACACTGCCTTAAAATTTTAGTCTCCAAACTTCATTATCAAAATGGTGAGTTGATAGTCACTTGGCATTGTTAATAGAATTAATAAATCAAATCAATTTTTTTTTTCCGCTTTGAGTTGAGAGTTCTCTCCGGCACGAATAAATCATTGACCACTCCCCCGTTCATTTTAGTTAATCCACTCTGTTTTTAATAAAAGTTCGCTTTGTTAAAATCTATATATATTATACGAAAGCAAAAACTAAAGAGAGAAAGTATAAATTAAAAATTTCTGTATGCCATGTGAGATTTAATCTTATGTGGTTTTTTAAGACATTTTTCTCTTTAGAAAATTTTTGTAGCATATTATCTTTATCAAATTCCCTACAAATCTTCAAACGTGATCTTAAAAATCAAATCTTAACAAGAAATTAACAAAAAACATATTTGTATTTGAAAGATATATTAGATTTTTTGGTTAAACCCAATCTTATTTTAAATTAAAGATGTAGCCAACCGAGGAAAACAACTTAATTTATGATTACTCCTACACAACTAACCTCGAACGGGTATGTTCCTATCTCATATCAATGTATAAAATTTTTTGACGCAAAAAAATATGATTATGAGGGATGCAGCTATTTCTTCTATGATCCACTTCCAAGATTAATCATCATGTGATTAATACTAAGAAGGTTTAAATTTATTCAATCAGGTGTCCCACGCGGAGACCATGGTGTTCTTTGAGAAGATTTACATTTGTTTAAAATCTTCTCATATTCGCTTTAAATTTTCTGGAAAATTCATACTCATCGAAGATTTCTTCAAACAGATGGAAAAAAGAAGGCGAAGAAGAACCAGAGAGTGTCGGCAGTTGAGCTTCCACGAGACGCGGTCGTCGAGGTACTTTCCAAGTTACCCATACGAACCATTTACGATTTAAATGTGTGCAAACTGTTGAACTCCCTAATTTTTACTCCTAATTTTGCTCTGAGCACTTCCTCCAGGGTTTAATCGCGGAGAATCTACTTATAAAACCCCCATATACAATGTGAAGATAAGACATAAATCTCCCCTATTTTGAACTTTAGCTCTTAAAAAATACATTTGTATTCATCGAAGCTGCTGAAGTATTACCGCAATGAGCATCTTAATTATTGTCGGATATTTCTTTTCTAATATGTTCTGTCCTGGGTCGACTTTAACTTACACATCAGAGGAGTCTTTGTCTGATACATTCAAACTTGATTTGACTTTTGACTTATCCCTGTCAGCATTGCTTGGAGATAACACTTGTAATGGCTTTACTCGATTCTTGAAGCATTCAAACTTTGATCATTTCGTGCGATATCTGGAATTACTCAATATTCATCGAGGTGATCTTAGGTGTGCGCAGAATGAAAAAAAATTTCTGAAGAAGATCTACATCTTCTGTCTAATGGGAATTATTTTCAATCGACCTGCGGAGGAGAGAACTCTCCCGTTAAGTGTACATTGCTGCCAAACTTTCTAAAAGAGGTGGAGTACCTTCTCATGAAGAGCCTTTCTCGATTCATTTGATTAAGGGAATGATTGATCAAATTACGTGGCACTTTTCATATTTCGTGGGTTCAGCCATATTAGGTAGAGCCGCAGAGATCAAGTCTTTGCGGGATCGGCTATTCTGCTTGATGGTTGGATGGAAAAAATTCACACCACTCCAGTTTTTCTTGAGGCAGAGACGCCCGATTTAGAGTGACATTGTGATTTAGTTAGGAATGGCTCTAAGATAATGTTGAATTTCATTTCTTATTTGGTTTTGTTTCCATGATTTGTACCCCGTGTATATGGGTGTATTAAGGTTGATGATCACAATTTTTAAGTCATACTCCAATATTCGTATCTATTATTCACAATGCAATTTTGAATGTAATTAGATGTCTTTTATATTAGATTTTTTTATTTTATTAATTTTTTCTGGCATTATGGTGACATGATTATTTTTTCTACCTCTGAGAAGAAAAATGTCGAGCATTATTTTAACTTGAATTAGTGCGTTCTTAATCTATTTTTAAAACTTCATAAGAATGAAGAAATTTATTAGTTACAATCACTTTTCGCATCTATTATACTCATTGATGTTTGTAAGGATATGCTTGGTCAAAATATTGGCAATCGTGATTTTTTTTTTCAAGCATAAATCTTCCAAGTCATTATAATTCGTCTCCGTTATGTTCTTTAATATTTTATTACAATAAAAAATTATTTATATGAATTGTGGATTATGATTTCTGTTTTGAGAATTAAGAGAGCATTTGTTTGGGACTTGCCAATTCACATCTTAGACTCTTGAGTCCGAGACTAAAATCAATTAAAGTTCTGATTGTAGAAATGGTCCAAATCAAAACAACAATTTTTGAATCATTCAGTAATATTATTAATATTAGTCATAATTGATTAAAGTTATTATCATTATTATTTGGCGATTGACGTTGGACTATTAAATTAGTCAAGTTTTGTTGAACTTTTAGATGTTAGTAGATTAGTATTATATATATGCGCATGGAACCAACTTTCAATTTTATTTTTAATTAGTTTTATCCTGTAGTGGAATTCTTTTCCGCTTCTTTTCTTCTTTTTTTTTCTTTTGAGAAGTGAAAGTTGCAAAAGTATTTTATAAACGGGAAGAAAAATTCCCATCATTGCAGAAAATTATGCTAGGCACTTGGTGTTTAGTACTTTTGAAAATAAGAAAATCTTAAAATGGCTATAATTAAGAAGAAATAAATGATTGAATGAAAAATGCACAATAGTTGTATAGTTAGTTAAAAATGCAACTTATTCATATTAAAAAGTTTGAGAATTGGTATCATATCCATATAAAAAATTTGAGAATCCATGATACAAATTAAATAAATATTATTAAGGGGAGAAAGATAGTAACACAATACATTTTCAATCATAAAACTTTACGCACTTCAGAGTTTAGGCGAATTGATTATAATAAATTGAAAAGGAAAAAATCATTTAATTAAATAAATAAAATGAAAAATAACTAAAAATATAGTCCCTCCCGTCACACAAAAAAAACATAATTTAATTTAGAAATTCAATTTTGCTCTAGAAAAATGGTTCCATTTGAAAAAAGAGAAAAATCAAAACTACAATTCATAAAACGACCGAAACATCCATAATCCAAACCATCAAATAAAAAAAATTACGATTTTTTCTTGGTTTGAAAACCCATAGAGCCCATCAAAATATGTACTAAAAAAAAGATAAAAAAACACCTAGCCGACCAAAATCTTCAAATTATATGGTATCAAAAACAAACTAGCTAATGATTTGTTATTTAAAGTGTTTGAATTCTCTTTAATATACTGATTGTTTGTCCCGATGCTTGGCAGAATTGACAATTAGAGACAATATAGGGAGAGATAATAACAAATATCAATATACACGAGCAATTAAAACAATTAAAATAAATAGTAAAAAGTTTGAATTTAAACTGTAAACAAAATTTGATAGTCATATTTCAGGAGCAAACAAATAATTCTATTAACAGAATGTCGCAATTGGAATTTGGTTAAAATTATGATTCTATAAATTCTCTTGAATCACTGAGATCTCTCATAGATAGTTGAACGCTTGTCATAAATTTTTCTTATCTCATTCCTCTTCTTGGATGTCCACCGACAGGAACTAGGTAACATTATTATTTATGTGGAGAAATTTCAAGTATTTTTATTATTTTTTTAAAAAAAGTAAAGTAATTTAAGTTGCAGGGTTGCAAGTAGAGAAATCGAGAGTTTTTTTACTTAAAGCTGTCAGGAATTCTTATTGAGTCCATGTACATGTTTCAAGGTCTGATTATATTTTTCCATCACTTGAATACTTTGCACGTTTGTATAATAGTTTTATTATCTTAATTTAAAGTCGTGATGATTAAATTTCTTATTTGATTCATGATTAAAGATTCTTGGCCACAGGATAATGGAGTCCCATGACATCTTTACAATCAGAAAAACCATTCGCAAAAACAAGTTTGTAAGTATATCCTAGGAATAATAAAGTATGATCTTTTTCTAAATAAAAATTTCAATATAACAAGTTGCAATCTATTATTTATGAAAATCACGCGGTAGTGTTAAGAGATGATAGGGTCGTACAACTATTTGAATTATGCACAATTAAAAGTTGCGGAAAGATTCATTTTTGAGAATTGGGTGCATGAAAGAAATTTTCTCGTGTGCCTATTGGTCGTTTTGAGAGATGAACAATTGATATTTTGAAATTCATCTCTAAAATTTTGAAAAGTCACTTAAATTTAATGCTTATGTATAGAATATACACATTTTGATTCTTCAAACATGATTAAAAATAGTTTCTACTTCAAATTTCAATCATGTATATCATAATATATTTCTTTTAATTGAATCACATGTGATTTAATTGCAGGCATTTCCTGAATGAGTAGTGATGCGTACAGGGAAAAAATGACAAGGAAAATTTACCAGGAATGATGTGTCAAACATCAAAACTAGACTCTAACCTTAAATACTTAAACCCTGTATGGAAAGTTTTTAAAATGAATGGGTGAGATCATTTCCTTGTTATTTTTCCTTATAATTTTTCCTTGTACCTATCATTGTTCTTACTAAATTAGGTAATATTATTTAATCACATGTAAATGAACTATAAATATAGAGGGCACATCAACCAATGATACGGAGCTATGAGGTTGTATGAAAGGTATTTGACGGTATGAAATTTGGGAAAAGGAAAAGTAATTCCCTGAAGTTGACAAGATTGTAGTGAATCTGGTGAAGACACGAGGGGAATAACCGAACGCTCACTCAGGATAAGAGGGTAGACTCCGAGAACTATCACAATAGAATTGAAACTTCTTTATTTGCCTGTAGAAGCAAATAAGGGTGAAACTGCATAAATATACAACTTCTCCACGGTGGGTCTTGAAAAAGTTACTTTTTTTTAAAAAAAAAACCTTGTAATTATAATTTTCATAGAATTTACTTTCTAACGAATTATGTATAAAAATTTTTGAAAAAAATTGTGTATAGAACTAGCAATAAATAATTTGAGAAATAAAATGCTGAAAAAGTACAGTGTTAGATTTTACTTCATCGAGAGTAGAAATTTAAAATTCTCATTTATAGGAGTGGAACGTTGGGCCACCCTCAATATTTATCTAAAGTTTCCAATTGTCTATATACGAACCTTCCTTAATATTACAAAATTTATGTTGTTATAAAAAATTTCAATGGATAAAATTCTTTTTTTAAATGAAAGATATTATCATTTCAATAAAATGTGCAAAATATAGTTGGACTCATTTAATTTTTATAAGATGAGTTTGAAACGCTAGCCTTATGCGAATCAGCGGGTTGCCTTGGATACTAAACAGCCATCTCTTTCATAAGTTAAACTAAATGTGAGAAAATTGATAGAGGATTAAGACAAAAGTAATTAAATAATGATTGCAATATTACTTAACAAAATAAAATAATTACTTTTTTTTTAGGTGAACCAGGGCGGTACTTGGCGGGCATCCTCCGATTTTATTGATAATAAAAGAAAAATTACACATGCAGTGCTTAAAACTTACCCAAAGAAAAAGAGTCTGTTGTACAAAGATTTACTAAAATCTCATGACAGCTCTATGTTTTAGTAACTAAGACGATGCCTTACAAAGATTTATCAAAATCCCATAGCATCTCATTTCTTGAAAGCATAAAAGAAAATAAACTAAGAAAGTGTCTTACAAAGGTTTAACATGAACTCCATGACACTTCTTTTTCCTCTAGAAGGAAACTTATAATTAGCTAAGCTAATCTAATTTCTTATCTATTTCACTATTAATATCAGATTGAGCGCAAATGTTCTTTAACCCTTAGATAGGGAAAAGAGCATTTGTCAAGGAACCATTTACCTCTTAGTGTGGTTGGGAGGTCATCTTGATGAAGATATTGCTAAAACAACTATAGGACCAAATTTTGAAAGTGTTTTTATTAAAAAAATCAAACTTGAATACAGAAAAAATGAGCAGGATGGCTTGACACTAGAGAAATGTCCAAAAAGATATTAATGGAACAAAAATAGTTGACTTTAACGAGTAAAAAGACACTCATATCCTCAAAAATAAAATATTTCTGACAATGGATAAATTAAAGTAAAAATAAATTATTAGATAGATAATGAAAAACAATTAAATCAAACGAACAAACGGGTTAAAAAATAAAAAATGAAATAAGGTGAGAATGCATCGTATGTGAAAAAGAAAAGAGTAGAAGAATTGTACTGAAAATAAAAGTTATTTTGAGACAAGGAATAAAGATTCTGATATGTGATTAAAATATTAGTGATGTCCATTCCAGAACTATGTATGTAGTCTACAAACTAGTATTGCATGATATTTAACCTTTCAATTCGAAGTTTATTATTTTTTATTTTTTTATATATTTTTTTGGATTTCTTAACAATCCTCTTTGCGTTAAATAAATTATCAATGTATATATTCATATGGTAAAGTGTTGTTGATATTTGTGATTTACTTTTTCCAATAAAAGCATTATACATTCTACAAAATTTATAAATAAAATTATATATATTTTTTGCTTCGCTTGTGTTGTAATGTCTATATGTATATGTCTTCCCCGATGCACGGGTCTAACACCTAGTTAAACTAACGAACAATAATTAAATCTAGAATTTCCTAATCTTGAAAATCCCGGGGTAGTCGTTTGAATAATGTCTCAAATTTGACAATTTCTCTCCTCATACCCGGGGTGTTCAACCGATCGGTTAGCCAGTTTACCCGTTAATCGGTTTCGGTTAATTCCGGTTTTGTCAATTTTGGATAAAACCGATTAACCAACCAATTAAGTCATCAGTTTAATGGTTTCGGTTTATCAGTTTTCGGTTTAATTACCGGTTTATATCGGTTTAACCGATAATATTTGTCATATATTTTTGAACAAAATATAATTGATATTAAGCTTCACTTTTAAATTTTGTTCTACTAATTTATATAGTTCATATCATATTTTAAGACCATTAAATAATGAAACTCTTTTTTAAACTCTCAATTTACTATAACAACAATCAAAACCTTTCTTTTTTATAATAGTCTATTCAACCAAAAAACAAGTTATTATAACAAAATTTTTTAGTGAAATAAATTGACAAAATGAAAAAGATTAATGACATAGAGATATGAAACATAGAAAATTTTTTTAGATTTATAAATTTTAATTATTATAATCGGTTATTCGGTTTAACCGAGAAAGTATAAGCAAAACCGAAAATCGATTAATCAGCTCGGTTGTTCGGTTAATCGGCTCGGTTTTATGTCGGTTTTCAGTTCGATTAATCGGTGGTGGTTTTGTTGAACATCCCATGCGTCTCGAAAACTCCAGCGGTCAAGATTTGACGGAACAATAATGTGACACTCTAAAACCATCAATGTGGCGGTCCATGGAAAAGCCAAACACAATGATAAATTTAATATTGCTTTAACGTGTATTTTTAACCTTATAAGCACGGGAGTTTTAGTTTTGGTAAAACCTACAGAAAACTTCCAACAACATTATTACAATAATAATTAGTCCCTCCATAGATAGGTTGTACCCACCAAGAACTTGATTAAGACCATTTGTAGATTACATTTGACTTTGTCCTATGTCATAAAGCTTTCAATTCATCTGCCGTGGCTTCGGGCCAAAAATATCCAGTGCGGCGATGATTTTGTAGACATACGTGACACTTATTTCATATGATTAAAATTACGATGGCTTTCTAAGATTTAATTATCATAGAAAGCTGTCGTAATTTTAATTTATCAGCACAGCTGGATGCCTAAAAGTTCTACTACAACCTTCAGTCCTCACAACTATATCTAAGCTGGCAAGCTTTTTGACATTCTATTTTACCAAATAATTGTGAGTGGAACTGGTCTTGGATTGGAATTTGGAATGCAGCTCTTCTTTTGGATTGAATCAGTCAGAAACATCCGGCAGGCTAAATTATTAACTTCCCACAGCCGCTTTTGTGTTTGTTTTGTTTGCCGCGTAATTCGTGTTCTTGATGGGCATCTCATGGTTGTGTTTCCCTTCATAGGTTGTGATGAAAGCATTTGGTTCATCTGATGTCCTCTCAACATATTTCCGCACATTGCATTTCAGAGTTGTACATCTGTAGTAACTCCTGCAGCCCACGAAAACAACAGTTTTTTCCTTCAAAATGGAAGCCTTTTTTGTGTTTTGTATTAACAACAATCTTGTAAAATTTTATAATTGCCTCGTCCCAGGACTCTTAATTTTGGGACGGAGCGAGTATGTAGCAGTTTTTTTTTTTTTTAACTTCAAATAAGTGAGAACCCGACAAATGGAAAATATATTTTAAAACCTGAATGAATGCAGAGATTATCTTTATATTACATGAACAGACCTTGGGTATGGATTGCCTTTAACAACTTTCTGCCCATACTTTCTCCAGCGGAATCCATCGTTTACAATTGTAGAATCTGTGGCATTTTGAACTATAGTAGCCTCTTTTCCTCCTTCAACTGATGCGCCTGGCTCTTTGGATTTGCCATTGTATTTCCTGCAATGAAAGGGATTGATTCATGAAGATTTTCGATTTCATGAGAAAATTTACTTGAAGATGGACTGAAAAAAACTAAGTCAAATCTCGCATATCCTGTGCAAATGTGGTGCATGTTTTATGTAGGCTAGCTCATTTGTTACCTTCTTTTACTCATCAGTTCACCATTCTCAGGCTCCAACTTGTTTGTTGCTTCCGCGAACTCCCCACCATGATAAGAAGTACTATAAAGAGGTGCGGCACCAAAACTGATTGTACTGCCTGCCTGATCAAGGATAGGTTCAATGCTGCCAGAAAAACTCGAAGGGGAAGACAAACCAAATATGTATTGACTCTGAGCAGTGCCCTTGCCCTCGTGGTGTTCATTTTTGCTTTGTTTGTTATACCATGGTGGTTGCTTTAAGTCAATTTTCCCCATATTTCCTTGCAATTGTTCATCAGAGGAGTTGTGTTTTACAAGCCGGGGCTTGGGGTGGTTATGCTCACCCTTGTAAACAATTTCAGAAATCTGCCCATTTATCAATCTTTCAATCTTCTTCTTCACAGGACAATTTGGATGTGAACATTTGTAGTAACTTCTTGGGGTTTCACTTCCTTTAACCTGTTTTTGACCATACTTCCTCCAGGAATACCCATCATAAGAAGGACGATCTCCAAAACTTGGAACGTTATTTGATGAAGACTTATGATCCTCTTCCATGATGATTTCTGATGACATTTTTGAGTGTTCACATTCTTCTGCAGATGGGAGTTTGTGATGAAGTTCTGATCTAAGATCAGCTTGATGATAAACTAAATTCTGGTGCTGCAAATCTTCCAGTTCTGATTCCTGATTTTTTAAATAAATTGGTGCCAAAATGACGATATTGTAATAACATGGAAGTAGTAAATGTGCTGTTATGTAAAGCATATTTCGACATATAAACATTGGTACTGACCGCATTTGTCAAGGCCGGAATCGTTGTCCTGGAGACGGGCTTTGCCACAGGCTTGTAAACTACATTAGGCTTCCTGATCCTTTCTGGTTTAAATACTTTATCAACTGAAGCACAAGCAGCTGCCTTGGATATCTCAGCCTGGAACTCAGAAGTGACGATAAATATGAGATTAACATACGCTTATAGGCCTAAAAAGAGGAAGAGAAATGATCACCTGGGAAGATACAGCGCCAACTGTGTGATGCTTTCCTTCTGCCTTGACCCTCATTGTCCTTGGCCTAATGGCGGCTGTGATTGCTGTTTCAGAAGATTCGGCATTGGTAAGAAGATCAGAAAATGACCTAAAACTGGAACAAGCCGGTCTAGATGCCACAGGTTTCGCAATAACAACTTTCTCTGCTTCTTTAATTTCCATCTTCATTACACACAAGTGACGCATTAAAATCTTTTGAAACTCATTAATCATTGAACATTTTAACTCCTCTGCAGCAGTTTACGGAACTTGGTGCTCTATGATGGCGCGAAATTGTCCCCAACTGCCGTCCTGGATGAATTCAGTTCACAAAATCAAATCAAGATGAAAGAAAAGTAAAGGAAATGGACCCATCCAAGCAGAAATTGTAGGAAAATGGAGCTCCAGAATCAGCTGAAACGATAACATTAATCTCTAGGACCGGTCCTAGCCAAAAGATGATTTATTAAGGTTTAACTTCTTTTAGATAGATGTGAATTTGAACTTTTATCATAGTCCCTTTCAAAATGCCATATCAAAATCTCTACTGAAAACACCATCCATCCAAATTGATAGCATTTGCAATCAGAATTCTCTGAGAAGTATATATACTTGGCCTAAGGTGCTGTGGTTTTCATGCAAGAGTTCTAAGTCTTCAAAATGAAGAAGGAAAGAGACTAGTCATATAAACTACAGATAATTCCTTCACGAATTTCAGATGTTCATTTCTTGGAGAAAAAAGACTGATCCTTTTCTTGTTCATGCTTAAAGTGAAACTGCAGGTATCTTGAACTTATGAAAAGAAAAGAAAAAAAATAAAGGGGGGTTAGTAATTTATTTACCTGTTGTCAAGTCTCAACCATTGCACCAGAAAAGAGAAGGCCAAGAAGAGAGAAGAAGATAGATAACAAGCCTTTCAGATTATGTTGCCCAGCTCTGATAAAAAGTGGTTGGTGGGTTGGATAGTTTTAGCCGTTCTAAGGAACACTGAAATGGTAGCTGAGAGCAGAATTTGGATGTCTTTTGCCAGCGAAACTATGAAAGAAAGGGAAAAAGAAACTGAGTCTGACTGGTGGTTGCTGACTTGTTCGTGTATGGTGGTGGATTCAATAAGTTACAGTTTTACTGCACATATATAAAACCAATTCACCAAAAAACTTTATGCCCCGTTCAAAATTTGTGTTTTATAAATAAAATAAAATATAGGTTAACGAAGATTGCATAATCTATTTAGTACTTTCTACACAAAACATCATTTTTCCCTTCTTGCTGAAAACTACTCCGACTTTCTCCATTTCTAACAAATTATAAAAACACAAAAGATCTGTTACTAAACATTTTTTTTTCTTAAATGGCAAATCAAACCACTACCCATCTGATAAAAGGTATTTGGACCCTCAGTGGATCACGAGTTCGATGACCGCCAATAACAGATATGCAACACGGCCCTCCCATTCCCTTGAAAAAAAAGAAAAAAGAAAAAAAAAGGGCTTGTTAAATGAAAAGAAGGACCTTATACATTCCCCCAACTAACTGTGTAGTTAGGGAGATAGCATTTTGTCCACCCCAGGAACTCACTATCTCAGTTGCAAATAAAGCTAGAGGTTACAATTATTAGATTTCTTTTTAATATAAAATTACAACTGAATAAAACCAAGGAAGCAGCCATATGTACTCTGTCACTACCCACTTTGTCACGTCCTTATAAACACAACTTGAATATTCTTAAATCTAACTTTTTTGTTACAAAAAAGTACTACCTAGGACTTCTGATATATATATAGGTCGATGTTAGCAAGTCCATTTTTATTCCTCCTTAAATCTTTTAATAAGAAAGGCGGTGGGTTAACATTGTGCCCAACGTTATCTAATTTTTATCTTCTTCGATTGGCTTGACGGCAATAATTTTTTATTACTTCCTCCATCTCATAATTATTGTCCAGTTTAGATTTTTACTTTTAGTTCAAATTATAGTAAAAGTGAAATTTTATACTGGACAATAATTTTGGGACAGAGGGAGTATTTGCTTTCGGCAGAATAGTTTGTCCTCAGAGGTTATCAAACATTAGAAATGAACAAAAACACCTTCGTCTTTTTTTTTTAAAAAAAAAAAATGGTTTGGAAAGCGATGTGTGTTAATCAAAATATATTTACTTAATTGATTGCATACTTATTAACCATAAAATATTTGAGAAGTGATAATGGATCAGAGGCTTTGTGTATAGATGAGTTCATGTGTGAATAAAACCACTAAGAAGTGAAGATTAGTTGAGTTGAGATCAACAACAGACAAAAGTTTAAGGAATGTTAGTTGGGAACTAAAAAACACACCCCGGGAGCTAGGCACGTGATCTCATCAATAGTTTGTCTCATTCTAACCTAAATAACCAGCAACCAAAAATCATTCTGAGATGGAGAAAGTGTCAGCATTTTTGGTTTCGTTTTGAGCTAAAATAAAAATCTGAAAATAGTTCAGGCACCATTTTAACACAATAACGTTTCTAAAAATTATTGCCGGATTGTGAATGATATGCAACACCTGATCAAACACGAGATTACTGCTGCATCTTGAAAACTTTGAGCACAACAACGCCGTATCACAGCAGTCTTTAGCACAACTCAATAACTGTCGGATCGAAGGTCCCCTCGGCTGCCAGGACTTTTTGATCCCCTTTAGATGTTGAAAAACCTATAATAATCAACAAGAGTGGGGGAAAACAGATCAACAGAGGGACAAATTATCACCTTGCAACATAAAATGCAGACTTCTCCATCATACACAGTTTGTTTGCACAAGTGATTGGAAGAGCTCCAGCAGAACCGCCTTCGCCAGTCACTCTAGTTACAATTGGAACTTTCAAGCCAAACATTGTCCTTAAATTATGTGCTATTGCTGCTTCCTGTATGTGTTTTTCCAAATTAAAATAAGACAACGAAACACAAGATATAAACAATGGACCTATGGACTTTGTTTCACCTGGCATGGTTCCTCTGATTTCAAATCAGAAAAGGCACATGTTGTGTCAACAAAGATGGCAATGGGGAAACCATAACGCTCAGCATATTTCATCATTCGCAATGCCTTTTTGTAGCAGCAAATGAAGTTAGCGACAATCTGTATGTTATACCTCCCTTAGTCTATTAACCAAGCAAAAACACAAAGTGGCATACAACACTGATTTAAATGCTACATTGCAGAAGTGACATAGAGCGACATACAAGGAGAAAAAGCAAGAACTCTTATCCTACGAAAGAAACAGGCTGAGCTTTTCCTTAATGGCGACAACAAGTGTACCCCTACTAATATCTAAGGTACAATATCAACCGAAAAGACTACTATTTTTTACATTTGAACCCACCAGATGTTTTGGGTGGAACATATGGAGAACAAGCGAACATGTAGATCTACGGATTGATTTTATCTTCCCAGAAGATGAAGGAGAAACTTACCCAGGTGGAGTTTGCACTCGCAATTTACGCTTAAAACTCTCTGTTGTGTAACTCTGATGACCAATAAACATGTAAATTTCCCCTTCAACGCTTCCTAAACCAGTCAGAATTGTTGTGTAATCGCCATCTGCTTCATCTCCGGGGATTTCTACCCACTTTTGTTGTGTTGAAAATTCACAAGACTTAGTACTTACTTATAAGCAATATAATGTCATTGACAAAAATCAAATGAAAGATGGTGACATACATTTCCACCTGTGATGTATTTAATGTGGTCAAGAACTGTTGGCCGATATGGACACCTAGCGATGGCCATGCGCTGCATTGGCGTAAAATGATCTCGAAAGCTTTGGGAAACCTGAAAAAGTATAGGTACACCAAAACAAGAATCTAGGCCATGGAATTGTAAGTTTGTCAGATGAAAGTGGCGTAGGTAGTAGCTTTTGAGGGGGATAACCTAATACTACTATGTTAAAAACACAATAAATTTAACCCAAGATGCATATAACTTACCCCAAAACACTTGTGGTCTAAGAGTTCGATCTGATCACCAAAATCTAGTCCCCATTTATCAGAAAGTTGACCAACCTATGCGACAGAGAAATGTAGATAATCATATCACAGAGTAGAGTTGAATAAAAAAATCGGGCCATTTAGATGCTAAAATTCATACATATCTCGCTACACATTTGGATGAATTTAAAAAAATGAAGCTAGAGTTTCCTGGAATTCAGCTAGAGTTTCCTGAAATGATAAAGTGAAGGGCTTCCTGAGGTGCTTATCACCAACATCACCGTCCAGAGGCTGGATTAAGCGGGATATATACTTTTTCAATGGGTCTGGATCATCATCATCATCATCATCATGCTTCTACTTGTTAATCTCATCCTCCTTATTTAACCACCATTGCTGCAGCCACAGGAAACTTGGGCTTCCTCATCACCGCCCTACCACAACATCCTTACACACAATTTCTGAACCAAACTCTATCTACTAATAAACCCTTGTACAACCCTCTAAATCTAGTGCAAGTATTCTCTTCTCCACATGATGTCATCGCGGCGGCGGCGATTAGAGATAATGAAGCACTAGTGCTCATCGATATATGGAGCAACCAACTTCAGAATATGCCTGTTAAGAAATACTACAAATTTACTCGCTGTCCCAAAATTATGGTCCATATGATCTGAGATATTCCTCTGAAAGGCTTTCGTGTAGTATAAGAAGAATCCATATGATCTTCTTTTATTTATTACAGTATAAGAAGAAGATACATTTCGCATTTGATTTCCAATTCCTTCTTCAAATACTACTACTCAAAAGGACGGTTCGAAATGTTTAACTTCTTCAAATTATTGTAAACTGGTGGAAGCTGTGGTGCCGCCTTATGTGGGTCTTGTTGCCCCTTGTCTCGCCAAACTTTCCCGTGGCTCCGCAAAAGATGCCTTATACCCTAGCTTTGCTGTCCTTCCGTTCCGTAAGGATCATTTTACCGATTTCTGTTTCAAGTTGTATTTCTTTCCGGCAGAATTTGTTAGACGTAAGTTTGATATTAGGAGAGGATTTGTCGATGGATTATGCTTGAGGAACAAAATGGTGAAAAAACCCTAATGATATCAATCTGTGATTTCCGATGGGAAATATTTACAGTGGAATTAAGAAATTTGATAATGATGTAGTAATGGCCCTTATGAGGACGTTTGAATCTCCTACATCTTGATTGCTTTGAATTCAATGCTTATTAACACATGGTGTTTCTGGATTATTTATTACAATAATTTTGTATGATGATGATGATATACGGAGTATGATACAACTTGGATGTAATATACTACTCTTTACGTCCCATAATTATTGTCCAGTTTGAATTTTCATTTTAGTTCAAATTGTTCTAAAAATGAAATCTCAAACTGGACAATAATTTTGGGATAGAGGGAGTATTTGTTGGGGTTGTTTGCATCGTTTTTTGATCATCCATCAGATCCCCGCATTGTGGAGAGAATCTCAGCAGCTTCTGTGGCTTCTCTATATGAGAGGAAGGTTCTTTCTTCTGCACTCGTTAAAACGTCCGGTTTGACAAGTTTTACTTGGAAACCTTTTGCTTTCTAGTCGAATAAGGCTATTTCTTCTGCCGGTTTTGAAAACGCTGACGACCCAGAAAGCGGCGAGACAAGTTTAGGAATCGGGACTCCTGCTCCTCAGGGAATGGGTAAGGATGTTACTGGCTGCACAAGTTCATTTTTACCTGAGGCATAATGTGGTGATATTCCTTTTTCTTCTTTTTTTTTCTTTTTTTTTCCTGTCCAGGTGTTTCTGCGGCCACTATGAGTGCCATACATTATGCTGCACGCGCACGAATTGTGTCTTGGAGAATAGAAGCCGCCTATGAGTGCCATACATTATGCTGCACGCACACGAATTGTGTCTTGGAGAATAGAAGCCGCCGCTGAAGAACTAGAGTTGGCTCGATCTAAAGCAAAGAAAGCATCGCGGAGACTGAAGGAGGAGGGAGCCTATTTGGAGGGAGCTGAGAACCAATCCTAGGCTGCTCAAACTGCTCTCAGGGAGTCGGAGATAGTTGCATTCTGGGTTTTGAACTTGGAAACCTCTAAAGGTCAGGACTTGGCCAATGATTTCAGTACCATCGCTTCGAAAGAGGCTTGGCAGAAACTGGAGGTAGCCCAGTCTCGTGCACATAAAGTAAGCATGAGAGTCAAGTCAGCTAAAGCTTCCTCCAAGTTTGCTGAGGAGAAAGCTAAGACTGCTCAAGATGCTGCGAACAAGTGCGAGGAAGATGCATCCCGGGAAATCAAGCCAATGATTCAACTCCTTAGTGACGGACTGGACATCTTTTTGAGAGAATGGAACCTGGAACACATCTAGGGGCCGAAACAGAAACAACTTTTATCATCAACAAGAAGTGTATTACAAAGAGGAGCACTACAAAAACTGATTGTACTGCCCGCCTCATCAAGGAAAGGTTCAGCTCTGGCAGAAAGACTGGAATGGGAAGACAAACCAAACGTGTATTATATCGACTCTGAGCAATGCCTCACGATTCACGTCTTGGTAAGAGCATCCTCTTTTCTTTTCACTACGGCAGTTACAGAAAGCAATTGTACAAAACTTCTCTTGATACACATTCAAGTAAAGATCGAGCAAATTGCAAAACAGTTCCCCCTCTTTGAACCATTCGAGCAACGATTTAGTAAACTAGTATTCAACATCGCATTTAAAAAGTCAAGAACTAATCCAACTCACCAAAACAGAATGTGGAGGTGTATGAAGAGTCCAGCCAGTGGCAAAAATTTTAAAGCCTAGCACAGTTACATTGAGGGTACAATTCATGTGGTTCTCTAGATTAATACAATATACATATAATCTATAATGACCAAAACCTGCGATAGTAAAAGGCGATGATGCTGAAACAATCTTCAATTTACTGTGTATATTACCAACAGTCTGGCGAGTGAACTCCCAGGTTGTTATCATACCTGTGCTTCTAGTTATTCATCTGCACTTGCAGCATCATTTGAACTGCCATGGTCTATCTGTCTCACAAACTGACCGCGAACACGAGGCCGTTGTTCTGCTAGTCTCTTTCTATTCTGATATCGAACCTGATAAAAGAAACAATAGTCAACCAATCTCATCCGGAATTTATAAAGCATTTTTTAGGGTTATAAAGCCCTTTCAAACTAGAAATAGATTGGATTTTGGCAACTGGAAAAATACTCTGCATCTCTCATTTAAGTTTTCAGTATACCCTAGTAAACACTTCGGACAGTCATGAACACCAAGATATCACAAAACATCAAATTTTTAAGCCTTTCTATTGTTGAACCTTTAATCTACCTTTAGTAGTCTTCTATATGGCATTCCCTATTTTATTCCAAATTTACTCTTTCCGAGCAATTTAGAACAGAAGCCTTACAATATCAACAACATAATCGGACCAGAAAGCCATACTACTTAATCAAGGGTGTGAAGTAGCTTTTCTTTTTGAGCACGCACAAAAAAAAAAAAAATCTTTTCCCCAACAAACATTTGAAACTATCCAAGTCCGATTTCTTATATACAACCTACACCGAAAAAAGAGAACAAAAAGGTTTCACTGAAAAGCAGTCCAGCTCACCTGCAATAATGCTTTTGCTAAGTTTAAGAGGCTGAAGTTGTGAGTAAAGAAAATCTTAAACAGCTATAAAACAAACTAAATCAATGGCTAGACTACAGCAAAGCCTTGATTCAGATTATGAGCACCAATAGGAAAGTGGATTCATTGCCAAAAAATATTGCGCTTAAGCATTATCCTTTGGTATGTAATGGAGTACCTTTTTCTTGAAGCATCTCTCCTTACGCTTCTGGCGGAACTTCAACAGAGCAGCTTCTCGCTGTGCTAATTTGTTCTCATCAATTCTGTTTCCAAAACCACTTCTATTAGCATCCATATTTTCAATTCTTCCATCCAAAGTTCCACTCTCTCCATTAATAAACCCAGTGTTCACAGCACTGCTACTCCCACTTTGACCATTGCTCCCATAGGTGCTTCCTGAGACACTTCCTTTCATACAACAGTTTTCAGGAGCTCCAGCTTCAGGTCCACCTACAACATTTAACAAGGCACTATGCGCAGCCTCAGCAACCAACTTTTTCATTGGTGATTTCTCATAATTGGATAATATCTGTTCTTGTTCTAAGTTACGAAGATGATGATGATGATGATCTTGGAGCTCCAGCTGCACACCTCTTGTCGGAGACAGTACAGATGAGGCTTGCATGTCAACGGACTTAACTTGGGTGGATAGTGGTGGAATGTTTCTTGGGTCACTTTTTACAGGTTGAAAAGCAGAAAAAGGGTGAAAACCATTTACTGTTGATGCAGCTTCAGAACTAAAAGGAATAGGGTTTCCCGGAAAAGTATTAGTTAAGGATCCCACACCTATGAAATTGCTACCTACAAAACTAGGGAACACTATGTTTCCATTTGTATGACCAGATGACGAGTCTCTGTTCACATCCTCAAGACTATTCACATTTTTGTCTCCGGTGATTGCTTTAGGAGCTTTTGCAGAACTGGTTGATGTATTATACCTGCAAGTTGCACAAATAACGGAAAACCAGATTCATCAAAAATCCATGTATTAAAATGCAATTCATTTATGTTCAATGACCACAAGAAAAAACTTTCTAAAAGGAAATAAGTTGCATGTCATGCTGTGTACCTAGAGAAGGCTGAGTGCTCAGAATGCTTCAACGAATTTGAATTATCCTGAATAGTCTTTTCAGATCCTTCAGTACCCCTAAGCCGCTTTAAACTTAACTCGATTTCTTTCTCTCTAGTATCGTCCAAGGGGTTTTCCTTCACTTCCTGCCCACAAGTGAATTCTTTAGGGTGGTCAAACTCGTTGCTGTTAGTTTGAGGATAAGTTGAATTCTTTTCAGCCACTTTATGTTTGCTGAGATGCAATTTTCCTTTTGCCCTTTCCTCCTCTTTTCCCATTCTTGAACTGGTAACTTCAGAGTGACTATTTGGCTTTGCCCCAGTGACTCTGGCACATACGTCAAGTGGATTTTGTTCCGAATCCAGATTATTGGTAGTGTCTGGCAAAGGGTCTGGCACGTACGTAGTTTGAAAAGGCACAATGAAGCATCGGCGTAAACTAAAGTGAATGGATTTAGTTGAAAGGAAAGCTAAACAATTACCAGATTGCTCTTCCTTTGGCCGTTCCTTTTTAGCAGAAGTTTGCACCCTCTTGCCACTAGAAGCTTCAGCATTTGGTTCACTAACTTGAGCACACTTGTTATCAAGATGGTTTGCAACCTGATTGGTTGGAGAAGTTGCTGGAGAACCAGCACCTTCTATAGGCTGTTTTGTCCAAGAACTCTGCATGATAACACAGTTTAACAAAAGCTTTTCTTTGAGATTCACAAACTCACTAACTTTTTACGCAACGTAGTTTTGCGTCTCAGTTTTGTAAAGGGATTGAAGGAAACCACTATGTTTTTCTACATTTTATAACAGTAATCACAAATATATCGGCTCCATCCCTGTTAGCGTAGGAGTTACTGGCAGGTTGCTAATAAAAATTTCCCAACTCGATGAATAGCTTTTAGCCTTTTAATTGTAAGGAAAGAAGCGACTAGATCAAAGAAGAGAGATGCTCTGCCAAGAATACATAGACTAAATTACCTGCGTGCCACTTCCATCATCACTCCCATCAATATTATTTAGGCCATTGCTTCCATTATTTTCTCCAGCATTGCTGCTGCTGTCGCCGGACTTTTCACTACTTCGTGTATGAACAGATTTTTGAGTTGGTGCACCACTCTCACTTCCGCTTCCACTAGACTGAGAGGCAGAAGCAAAAGATATTTGACATGGAAATTAAAAGGGACCCAAGTCACGCATGCAGGCATTATAATGAATAACATTTCACTCACACTGTGGCATCTTCTCCAGACATGCTGCCAGAGGTTCTTCAGCTCATTCTTCCGTATGGGTTTTACTAAGAAGTCCACAGCCCCTTTCGACAAACACTTAAAAACTAATCCCATTGAATCATGAGACGACATCACTGCAGATAAACCTCATATGGACTAGTTAGTACAACAGAACAGTCTACAGACAACATCAAGAATAAAGCAGTGTATACAGCTAAGAGAAGCATACTGATAACAGGAATTATTTTCCGCGTTCTGTGGCTCATAATCTTGCACAAAAGACCAATACCAGACAAGCAAGGCATCACTACTTCTGTTAAGACTAGATCAACTTGGTTGGTCAAATCTTCTAAAATTCTCCACGCCTGCACTCCGTCAGCTGCTTCTATCACTGCAAGAAACAAATCATGTAGATTCAAGCACCTTACAAACAAGACATGATGAAATTTGATTGCAGGCAATAACAACGAAAAAACGACATATATAAAATTGAGAAAGAAATGCAGGTGGAAACTCAAAGCTATTGTAACCAAGCCGATAATAAATTGGAACAGACTTCTATCTCCGTTTCTCTATCTTGTTTTCTACAGAACCCAATTTATCTTAAGAATTTACACAAAGTTTAAAACATCCCTAATTATCATAAGCATTTACACAAGGTTTGCCACTATTTAATTTACAGAGGTAAGGAGAGTAAAGAAGTCAATATAAGACACTTCTTTCAGCAATTCAGCAAATTTAGTGCACTTCTAGACTGACAATAAACAAAAGCTGACTCCAGCATCCAAACCTACAATGACATACATGTAACATTTTTATCTACATAAGTTTTCAAAGACAGAGCTAGGCAACAAAATGTCTCTACCTTCATAGTTGCAATTTCTAAGTAGGGCTGTGACAATATGTCGTGTGGAATCATCATTTTCAACCAATAGCACCTTAATGGATCTAATATGAAGAAACCTTTCCCAATCCACAGCTGTCCCTTGAGACTGTTGCTGCTGGACCTGAATAATTGTTTGTGATATCGAGTCTCTTCTGCCGCCATCATTCACATCCCCGTCTGCCTTCAACCCATTAGTTAAGACCTTACTTTGACTCTCATCCAAGACTCTATCTCTTATCCCGTCGGGAGATTCTTCTCCTTCATCAGCATCATTATTGGTCATCGGAACAATACTCCCTGTCCAGATTCAAATACACTGTTGGTAAAGATGCTGCTATATTGCTCTCCTCGTAAAACCTTTGAAAAATCCTTGTGAATGAAAAACAAAGAGCTCATAGCTTCTTCTTCAAGAATCCAAATTCTTCAACTACCAAACCTTTTTAGCCCTAATAATCCACCAGGAGAAAGGGGCCAATATACCAACTCGTTAAAAAGCAACCCAAGGGCCGAAAGGATAGTCCAAGAACTAGCAAAGTTAAGCCAAACCGTCAACAGCTTCAGGGCAAAAACTCGTTCCAGTTCTGTCGATAGTTCAACTCTCACCCTGAAATTTTACAGAAGAAAGGTCTTAGCTCAAACCTCATCCTCCAAACCCTAATCTTAAAATAACGTGAATACGCATTAATCGAACACACAGACCCAAAGAAGTTAAAGCACAAAATCTTAAGCGCACACAGTCCATTAGAGTTCTCCCTACCGCCATAAAGAAAGAAATGATTGGAAAACAGAAAGGAACCTGAAATCGTGAATTAAACACAAAACCAGAAAGATAATATATTGGGATAATGATCAAGTAAACGGGATTTCAGATGAAAGGAAGTTACCTTGGCAGCTCATTGACATAGCCGCCAGAGGACTAATTAATATCCTTGATTCACCATGAAATCCATAGAAATATGGCAAATCAGATGGGAAAAGAAACAATTAAACGTCAAAGCAAGTTAAAACTTGAAGCTAAAAAATGAAGTTAAATCAAGATTACTACTACTTAAAATCAGAACCCAGAAAGGAAAAAAAAAAAAAAAAAGTAGATTAAGAATTAATCAAATTATTTTTTACAAGGAATGCGTAAATAATAAACTTGACTTGCAGAGAAATTGAAGGACCTTTGGATTTCCAGGATCTTTGTTATTTTGGATTATGACTTTTTTTTTTTTTGTCCCCCTTTCCTCAATCCGGGGGTATTCTTGCAGGTCTGATGACGTGGACAAACTGCAGGTGTTGGAGTTGCCACGTAGGATGATAGTGTACGATGTGGAGGACTTGAATACCACGTGGTCCAATGAGGTGGACAAAATCTAAATACGCGAACAAACGGAGTGTGGGCAAATCGGACAGATTTGGAGAAATGGACACGTGTCAATATGCCAGTAAACTTTCATTAAAAAAATGTGGGCGCCTTTTTTTTGGTTCAGAAACCAAGACAAGAGACGTCGTTTGTGACGGAAGTATTGTCTTAAGCAACCCAAAAGTAACGCCGTGGCAACAACGTGAAGATATTTTAGATGGACAAAAGTAACCTTGTATCTTTTGTGGATGGGAATTGGGAAAGGAAGGAACGCATGTGGTTAGGCCAAAAAGAAAAAGACTAACAAAAAAATATCTACGCCACAACCTGGACTAACGGGCGGGCATCAAAGATGAGATGGACGGATGTGATCCCTAGGAAATGGGAATCAACGGCTAAAATGACTTGCATCAAGAACACTTCTCGTAATTAGTCAAATTAAGGAATAACCTAAGCTTGGCAACTTGTCAATGTTGGACGTAATCATTTGTTCCTTGAATGATTAATTATCGTACTAGTTTCTAGAATCTTCCAAATGTTCTAATCAAGCATTATTCTATCCAATGTTTAATTAAACTCGGGCGACATAGCAATCAAAATTATTGCTTCTCTTTTCAATAGTCTACTTTGTACAAAAGATGAAACTTGTTTATGTGTTAAATAAAAAAGAGTACAATAAACATGGTTCAATTAACCGGTTGCTATTTTTTTTCAACATATTTTGATGTCAAATCACATGAAGCCGGATCCAAACATACCACTCCAAGCCGGATGGGTTCTATCTTGTGTACGCACTCAAACTATGTAGAAGAAGTGCATTGATTGGTACAGTTTACATAGAATATCAATGAGACGATGACGGTGTTTTATGCGTTCATTTCAAATGAAAACTCACTAAACTTAGTTCGGTTCAAAAAAAAAAAAAAAAAAGGAAAAAGAAAAAGAGAATCCACCAGAGTTGTTTATCATACTTACTTGAAGACGATTGTTGCTTTTGAATGATGTATCTGGCATGGAAGACTGATGGTGTATGAGAAAATGGTACTGCCTCAAAGCCGCTATGTGAAATGCAAGAAAGAAGGGGTAGCGGATACATTTGAAAGAGCAAAAACAGGGAGATCTAATCAAGTTTTCAAGGCGGTGTTCAATGTTCACTTACAACGAACTTGAAAGGTTCCGTTTTATTCAGCCACCTTTGTGTTGTACATATTTTATACTCTTTCGAAACCAATGGAGTTGTACTATATACATAATTTATTTCCTTTGTCCCAATACGGTTGTAAGGTCAATCGTTTTTAGGACAGAAGAGAACCTAATTTGAAACACACAAACAAATATCTTCAAACAATTTTGTGACTTTGCACGTGTAACCAAAACCAGCAGCTTCCTGCGGTTGCTATTCCAGACACACCGCGTGGTCGAAATTTAGATGGAAATGCTGAAAGAGGAGGAGATGACAGGAAGCAGGAAAGAGTGAAATTGCTTCCTTTTTCAATCCAAACTAATGAACCTTTCAGTCATTACATTTCTTGTCATTTACAGAAAATTAACACGTGATTCATACAGAACTTGGGGTTGCAGATCATCAATTCCAGATCAATATAACTATCAGTCTATCACCATGACTGACAAGAAACTCATTTATTGAAATAAGATCTTGATTTTATTTTTAGGTTTTTTGGTGGAGGTATAGAGATTTCACACCCACCTTTTCAGTGCCGTACACCAATAAGATTGTCTCCGTTGCTACAATGTAATTCTATCTGGTAGGACAATGGCAACAAGTATGGAATATCACCTCATGAAACCTGGCATATATATTTGAGTCTTATTACAAGCGAGAATAAAAAAAGATCATCTTACATGTGTAGATCCCAAGGCATTAATGAATAATGATACAACAGACCTCTATGTGGAAAAATAAAATGAGATTGGAAGGATAACCGCCACAGTTACCGGGCAGCTAGATTGTTGGTGTTCATTATTTCCTTTTAATCGGTTGATGAAATTGAAGTAAATAATAATGACCCAAAAAAAAAATATATAGTCTCTCTGCAAAATTGTTGAAGGGAGAAGCTACTAGCTCTTAAGCAGCAACAGACTGCTTCTCGTCTTGCTCATCGAGGTTAAGAACTTCAAGCAATTTTGGCCACGATTCAGGTATTCCCCCAGGCAAATCGAATTCCAACAACTTCCCTTGGCTTCGATAAAAGTCCTCCACAGGTTGACTCTGAAGCCATCAGAAATAAGATTTAGTCATTCTTTCCTCAGTTTAGGTACATTGTTCATAAATATATTGTATAACAAAAAACTCTCCAACAGGATGAGAGAACACTGTTTTATGAAGTTTCACATAGGAAGTCACAGCCATTAGGTAACAGCAACTAATGCAAGCAGATCACAACCTGAAATCAAAAGTTTCAAGAATCCAAAAGGCCTATCCAAAGAGAGGATACATGACCAATCAGTTATCTAGGTGGGTATGCAAAGCCCTTTTGGACAAATTTAAGGGTTTCTACAAGTGATTATTAAATTAAGTAACCGCCTCAAACGATAAAAGTTACTATACTGTTAAAAAAATGAACACTCTCAAAGTAATGTAACCTTTCCCACAAACTTCACATCAGCTGGTCCTCATCGATCTAAGCAACTGAAACCCCAACCCCCAACCCATTCACAAAACATAACCACCAACCAAAAATTAACAAACTTTTTCTCAAATATTTGTTCCAACCAAAGCTAACCAAACAAAGAGAAGAAAAATACCTTATCGTTATATATACGAAGTCTTTCTTTAACAACTTCTTCAGTATCATCTGCTCGTGTGATCAGTTTTGAAACACAATGGGAAGGAGGGAGAAGAGGCGCCATGCTTATTCTTGGACTCCCATTTTCACCCATGACATCAATAGATGCCACATTAAAATTCTTCCCACATTCATTGCAAATCCTTCTTCCTAAACACTTCTCAATCAACACCTTTTCTGGGAGCTTAAGATTGACTACCAAATCAATGTCGGTCACTTCATCCAAAATTCCCTGCCAAGCGAGATAAGAACACATTAAATTTGATCACTGAACACAATAGTAAATTACAAATGAACCTGAAAATCAGAATGATACAGAAATCATTCCTTCAGCAATTCCTTGATAACACGGAAGCTTGGGTACTTGGATAGAGCCCTGCTTTGAATTAAACCAAGCAGGATAAATTTGAAAATTATGCAACCCATATTCCACTTATATAGTTACGTGTCCAGATAGAATTTCGTATATACTCATTCAACTCTTTCTTCAACCTTCCAAGTTAAGTCTGATTCAATTTTCAAAAAATCTAACTGGGATTGCTACCCAGTGAAATTGAACTTCACAATTCTCATAATACTTTCATCCGCACAGGAACGAGCCAAGTAAAGTTGTGCCACTGTTTGCATTAGGTAAAGTAAAGTAAAGTAAAGTAAAGTAAAGTAACACTCACTGCCTGTCTGACAGTTCTAGGGAACCCGTCAAGTATGAATCCTGATTCACCTTTTCCCTCGCCCGCCTCAAGCCTCTTTGACAACAGGTTTATTATGATCTCATCCGAGACCAATCTCCCTTGGTTGACAATTTCTGCAAGCTGCAAAAGAATATGGAAACAGAAAGCCACAAACATACTACAATAAATTTAAGCCCGAATAGTTATAATAAAGACGCGAGCTTTCTAGTCCCGGTGAATTGTATAGTTGTTGTTGCTTCCCACAAAAATTCATTCAAACAAAGCAGAAGATGCAATACTCATGTTGGACCCATCACATAAGGAGAGCATTAACTAACGAATCAAGCTCAACCCCCACCACATATGACTGTAAACAATACGCATCAGAAAGATTACAAAGTTAAAAGTCCAAAACCCTAAACCCTATAAAGCAACATAAGCCTCCAAATTTCTTCCTCAATGTGAATTTTGATACAGATAGGAAACAAGGGTAAAAGAATGCATCTTTTATTTTTCGGGAAATTTCGCGGGTAGATTATCCAATCGAAGCTAAACGTTCATATAAACCGAAATCCTCAGCTATTGTGCGGAAAACATACAATAAAGGGAGGGACAAAAAAAAGGCAAAAGTGAAGAACAGATTTGTTCAGTCAGTGAGGATAATAGTAGCAATAGAGCCGTACTTGTTTAGAGAAAGCGCTGCCTGAATTGAGCTCTTCCCGGACGAGATCTCCGGTGGCAATATGGGGAACGCCGAGGAGAGTAGAGAGACGGCTAGCATATGTTCCTTTTCCGACGCCGGGGCAGCCCAAGAAGACCCACTGGACGTTCCTGTTCTTGGGATCTACTCCAGGAGAGATTGGTTTCTGAGAGTAAAGGTGCGGTTTTACGGTCTCCGGCGCCGCCGCGGTGGAAAAAGACCTTGTTACGAAAGAAAACGAAAAGGAAGAGGGCCTCAATCGGCGGATCGCGGCCGCCATTGGAGATGGGGAAAAAAAGGTAAAAAAAGATGTGAACTTGGGGAGTGAAGTGTGGCCGGCGCGGGGTTGAGAGACCAACAACGTATCGAGAAGTTGGGAATATGCTTTTAAGGCACGCGTTGAGATTCCCGATTAACGGATGCTGAATCTACTCCTGTACTGTACGTTTAACTAAGAGTTTGGATTGGTCAAATGTCACGTGAATTTTTACTACAATTGTTAATCCCTCCTAATAATTTTAGGTAATTAAGAACCTCAACTAAATTGACACATCCCTTAATCCTTAAATGCATAAACCCTTTACATTAAAAACTAAGTATGGACGATTATGATTGATTACCTGTTAAAATCTCTCCACAAATAATCATTCTTGTATTGCATTTTTATCATAAAGCTAATCAAAACGTTTATTTGTATCATATACAATGATGACACATAAAAAAACCATGGTTTTTTTTCCCCTAGTAAATCAAGTCGTGCAATCTACACTGCAATAATCCAATAACTATGATCATACAAAGGTTGGAATTTTTTCTCCTGTTTTCCTACTACATAATTATGATGCCTGAGAAGGAATCTCTAGCATTTAGAAGATTGATGCCAACAGAAAATTGAAAAATAAGAAAACATACAACCCAAGCCTCAAGGGTCATATTGTTGGCATATTTGCAGCTGCCAGGACTAAAAAACTCAGCAACTGCCACTGAGGAGTTTATGTGCAGCATGCTTTTAAGATTTCCTCTACATCCGGATCATCACCTGCTTCTTTGTCCTGAGATATAATCAGTAAGTTCTATCAGAGAAGATTATTAATTTACATTCATCAAAACAGGCTAAATGAACTTCCAAATTCTTTTAAGAAGTGTTGACTAGCAGTCTCTGACCTTATGGATGTATGATATATTGTATTTTCCAGGACCTGCAACAATGATACCACCTTGTTGCCTGAGAAGAATTAAACCCCGGTTGTTTGGTTAGCCAGACTAACTCAACAAACATGGAGGTACTAAACATCCCTATTGAACATTAGAAGAGGAGAAACAAGAATCTGAATTTACGAAATGGTAATTGTTTTCAGATCAAGGAGTATCCTTTCAAAATGATGGCAGATGTCAGATAACTCAGGTATCACTTAAGAGCCAATTAGTCTAATCTTAATGCACATCTATGAAAGATCATGAGAAGATAACACGAAATGTAGAGGAAAAATTAGCTTACCAGCCACCTCTTGTCCTAGTTTCTTTCTCAAAGGAAAGCTTCCAATCCTGCCGGTATCCTTCCATGTAGGCTTGAATTATTTTCAAACCTGCCTAGTTTAGAAAAAGTGGGCAAATAATTTCCTTAAATAAAGCATCAAAGTGAATCGTGTATATCAGTAACCATGATCCATGTAGGAAGTATTTCATACCCCTGGTGTAAATGTTGTCGTAACACCAGAAACAAATTCCAGTGCACTGTATGATGAGTGGTCAGGATCTGCATATATTTCTGAAACACAAAAGAAGTAAATCAAGCAGCAATTAATTTTAAACTGAGGAAGGGCGATGCCTCGACTTATAGAAGTGAACAAAACTGCTCCAGCCCTAAATCTGTCTATTGATGCAAATGTTATACTCCCTCCATCCAAAATGATTGTCCAGCTTGGGATCTCACTTTAGCACAAATTGTACTGCAAATGAAAATCCAAACTGGACAATCATGTTGAGATATAGGGAGTATAACTCATCTCACCCAAGTGTCATAAGAAATGCTATAGGGGTACGCATGCTTACCTCCTTTGAATTTTGTTTGTTCTGCAAAAGTCTTTGCCTGTGAGAGTAAATGAATGAAGTGAATCAATGCCTATTTGACTTAATAGCAAGATAATTTTGATTCCTTTAAATTTATTATAAAAAAAAAAAAGTAAAATTAAGAATCTCAATGCTTTACTAATTGTAAGAGGATCACTAAAATGATACCTGGTCTACACTACCAGGTCCAATCAAGACAAGGGCCACACCAGCTTTGTCCATTTTGTCCTGTAAAAGGCCAATGTCAATTAAAGAATACAGCAATCTCGTACATTGAATCCATACATTTCAATTTTCCCCTGAAAAATCCTGAGGTTGGTTTTGAACAAGATTCTTAGGCAAGGTTAAGGACACCGGAATAAGAATTCAAGAAGGGAAGCTAGCCAACTTTCTAAACTCATTCATCAAGAAAGAACATTAATGTCAAATAGTGAGCTAAACCCCAAGATTTATGGAAATCAAAATTTACCTTATGAGCAGCTAGATAATCAGCCCTTTTGCGACAAAGCACACATCTGCAACCACAAGCCCACAAATAATCAGAATATAACCAAATTCACAGCCAAGTGCCAAGTAACAAGCGAATTATTCCATGATCTCGTGCAGATAAAAGAAAAGGAGATAAGAATAAATTGAACATCAAATTACCCAAAGTGACGAGCAAATGCAACGACAGCTTTTCTATCTTTCCACAAATCAGAGATGACCACTTCATCTCCATTCAAATTAAGTACTTTCACGCTGTCCAACAAGCTTGCAGTTCTTTCACTCACTGCAGAAGCTGCTTCACATAACCAACCAACAAGAACACTTAGCACAATCACAACAGAGATGTTTTATCATACTTAGGATGCAAATTTTTGAAGCAGAAGACTTGCCTGCAGAGGCAAACACAACAGGAGCTGCTACTATGTTAGCCCTTTTATTAGGAAAGACTGAAATTTTTCTCGAGGCATCATTTAAGAAGGCCTGCTTCTGGATTACGAGATGTGGAGGAGGGAACTGAATCTGATTCCCCTGTTGTTGATTTAGCACAAGTGGGTTCGTTGTACGGATGGAATTAAGAACCGCCATGGACATGCAGCTTCCTCTTAGATAGCCTGGGAAATGGTTTAGTATAAAAACAACTTCTTCTTGAACCCAAAACTAGAAAAGTATTCCGATTCAGGGTAATCTTTTTGATTTGGTAATAATAACAGAAGACATTCGAAAATCAAAGAAAAGCAGAACCTCTCAGCTAGCTTGTGGAACCTGAATTTTACACGTGTCCTTTCGAAGTATTTGCGGGAAAATTCGGGATGGAACCCATGAATTTGCATAAATTGCGCATCTGGCCCTTCAGGTTTTTTTTAATTTTTATTATACCTTTCCATCTGAATTTTGGAGCCCTACTAAAATTCAGTGAACAACATTGCAGCAATCAGTCACCATTTTCCCGCCTCCTCTAAAAAGCAGCTAACAATGGCGGACCAGAAAAAGCGGCGTCGAGTGGGTGAAAAGGAGCCGGAAACGCTGCCGTTCAAGTCTAAACTGAAGCCGGATTCCGCCATTCTCCAAATCGTGAAAAAACTAGCCGAGCAAGAGGCGGCGGCGTCCACATCCACGGCCAAACCCTTGACCCTTGCAGACCTCAAACTCGCCCAAGCTTGCCGGGAGGTCAGCGACCTGCCGCTTTCCTCCGTCCAATCGAGAATTGAAGAACTTGTTCTCAGCATCACCCACTCAATCATGTCGGAGAATGGGTTTTCCTTGACCGTCCCATCTCGCTCCGCCGCCAATCAACTCTATGTCCCGGAGCTCGACCGCATCGTGCTGAAGGATAAGACATCAATCCGCCCTTATGCCAATGTTTCCACCGTCCGGAAAACCGCCATCACCACCCGCATTATGCAGCTCATCTACCAACTGTGTCTGAAGAACATCCATGTCACCAAGCGTGACCTATTTTATACGGATGTAAAGCTATTTCAGGACCAGACCCAATCAGACGCTGTCTTGGATGATGTTTCTTGTATCTTGGGCTGTACTAGATCCAGCCTCAATGTAGTTGCTGCTGAGAAGGGAGTGGTTGTTGGGCGCCTGATGTTCAGTGATAATGGGGATATGATTGATTGCACAAAGATGGGGATGGGTGGGAAAGCAATCCCTCCCAATATAGACAGGGTTGGAGATATGTCCAGTGATGCATTGTTCATCTTGTTGGTGGAGAAGGATGCTGCATATATGCGATTGGCGGAAGATCGGTTTTACAATCGATTTCCTTGCATCATTGTTACTGCCAAAGGCCAACCAGATGTGGCGACAAGGCTGTTTTTGAGGAAGATGAAGATGGAATTAAAGTTGCCGGTTTTAGCTCTAGTGGATAGTGATCCATATGGATTGAAAATTTTATCTGTGTATGGGTGTGGATCGAAAAACATGTCATATGACAGTTCAAATTTGACCACACCTGATATCAAGTGGTTGGGCATTAGGCCTAGTGACTTAGACAAGTATAAGATACCAGAGCAATGCAGGTTGCCGATGACCGAGCAGGATATCAAGACTGGAAAGGATTTGTTGGAGGAGGATTTTGTGAAGAAGAATCCTGGATGGGTTGAGGAGTTGAATTTGATGGTCAAGAGTAAGCAGAAAGCTGAGATTCAAGCTTTGAGCTCCTTTGGGTTTCAATATCTGTCTGAAGTTTATTTGCCCCTGAAGCTGCAACAACAGGATTGGCTCTAGATGTCTGGTAAATGTATGTTTTGGCAACTATGTCTTTAGTCTCTTGCACCTTTCCGTTTCCTGTATTAAATGTATGTTATTAGCAACATCTTTGGGAAAATTCAAGAGCAGTATTAGGATTGGCTCTTACTGAACCTATGTTTTTCGAGAACAATCTTGTGAAATATTCAAAAGCACAATGAGGATTTGGATTTGGAATGGCATGTTATTGTTCTTGGTAATCCTTTCTGTATTGATCATGTATGAATTGTGCCTTGAGTAATGATACAAATTGTTGTTAATGAATGAAAGAATTTTGATGCCTATTCGCTATATACCATCTTGACAACTATACTACAAGTCACTCAAAGTATCCCCTTGTATAGCACCCTTCCCCTGTAAAGAACTGTGTAGTGATGCATTTGAACTTATTCACTAACAGAAACCCCTTTTCTTTGTAGCCAACTATGTAATGATGCCTTGGTAACCTTTAACCGAAGCAAAACTGCAGGTCTCCTGGAAGGAGAATCCAATTTTAGGGGCAGATCACTTTGTTTCAACACTTCTTTTATCTCGGTGCTAGATACACTGAGAAGTTCAGAATCACTTTCTATATTACTACTTTCTCTTGAACCAGCTGAAAGAACCTCGAGTCCCAAATCATTTTCTAACAGTTTTGTGATTAGTTCTGTAATTCCACTTGAATTTTTTGAGGTCCCAGCTCCAGATATCCCTTCTGTTATTATCCATAGATCATCCTCCACCATATTGCCTAGGACCACAAAGTATACACTGGGTTAAGGATTTTATAAGCCTGATGTAACACAATAACGATGCATTACTGCACCTTCAAGGACCCACATCTTAGTCGCACATAATAGAACAGTTCACAAAATTCAGAGGTTCAAGGGGCATAAGAAAACTTATTTTTGATTGAATTGATTTTCACCATACGTAAAAAAGCTTTTACATTCACCTGTGCTATACTTCTCTTTGATCATTCGCAAAACAGCAAGAACCACTATCCTGGCTTCAATCTGTCAATGCATAACATGTGTTATATGGTATCTCAAGAAGTGTGGACCTTGTGATTATATATATATATATATATATATATATATATATATATATATATACCAGACCCCAACTTGGTTGGGAATATACTCGGTATTTTTTTAATTTTTTTTGGGGGGGGTACGGATGCTACTGAGATGACTATGATCAAAGTGCCACAAAGCTAAAAGGCCTTCCCCAGCCACAACCCAACCCCTCCAAAAGGAGCAATAACGTTCTTACCCTTGAGAGACCTCGGAGGTCAATTGATAAACTTTCAACATTACCAACTTTCAAGTGTTCTGCAACTTTATCAAGAAGTAGACTCTGCGGCCCTGAATCAGCAGTATCATCAATTGGAGTAAATTGGCCCTTATTCTGAGTTCTGTTTTGTATAACACCTTCACACCACTCCTCAATCAGATGTTTCAGGTAGTAATCATTGGGTTTGTACCTGTTAATAATGATAAGATATTGTCAGGTTAGACATAGATGCGGATGGCTTGAGTCAAGTAACATTTTAATGTTTAAGATGTTGTAATTCAATTTTCCTACAAGCCAACTTGGTAAGAGACACGAGGCAATTTGGTAAGCAAAAGTTGATTGGGAAAAAGAAATAATAAGTGAACAGTACAAAGATGTAGTGGCAACGCACCCAGCTTTTCGCATATCTCGATATATTGCAAGGCATTGTTGTACTTGATGAAGAGAACCATACTGGCTGCGAGCTCTTAGAAGAGTGTCGTAAGTCACCTAAACGAAACCTCAAAGAGGTTAAAAGAGCAGAATTTAGTCATACATGGAGCACATGTAGAAGGGGCTACAGAGAGATAGTGGACAACATTAACATCAGCAGTACTTCAGTACATCATTAGTTAACTTAGGAGTCCACATGTATTTTATAATGAACATCATAAATTCATGAAAAGGTAACTTCCACCAGAGGAGACAAACTCAGTCCCTTATTTACAAACCACAATTGGTGGGGAAAATTCTATTATCAGCTTTTAAAAGCGTGCAGATGGATTTTAGTCATTGAAAGAAAGGGTAATTCAATCAGGAACTAGAGAATTATTACCATATTAGGTTTTATTTGGTATCTTCTCATTTCTGAAAGCAATGAAAATGCAACTTCCAGGTGTTTGTGCTCCACGCAAGCCTGTTAGGCAAAAGATGAAGATCCCTCAACATGTGTACACCAGATTAAATCTCCATAAATAAATGCATTCACTTTGATATCAAAGCCAGCAGTCAGCTTGCATAACAAGAAGCACAATCTGACCTTTATAGCTGTTGTATATGTGACAACATCAGGTTGAATACCCGCCTGATGCATGGATCTCAGTATCTGCATTCAAGGGAGAAGAGCTATAGACTTAAAATAACATTATTTGCATCCGGATCAAGAATAACACTTTCGTGTTTTCAAGAGCAAAGTATGAATTGTAAAGTAGTACAAGTAGGAGGCCATAAACAAATAAATAAGGAAATGAAAAGAAAATCATCCGTGAAGATAAATTCTCAGTTTCAACTAGCAGGAAGGATTCTATAAGAGATGTTTCTCTTTTCCAATCAGTGTGAAGATGTCATTTTTTACCTGTAAAGCACCCTTGACATTTCCCAAGCCTCCATAAATATCCATTAAAATAGACCAGCTTATGCGGTTGGGCGAGAGACCTTCTGTCTTCATCTCATCCATCAAAGCTTTGGCACGGCGGTAATTAGTGCCGCAAGCCTTCATCAAAATATTATACGTTGCAGTTGTAGGTGCAAATGACAACCTCTTTGTATGATACTGAACCTCTGAGGTAACGGGACTATCTGATAGCGCACTAAAACCATCTCTGCTGCAGTCTGCTGAGATTATATTGTGTGTCTTCAACTTAAAATCCGTGCTTACTGGCTGAATACCATTTTCCTTCCACGAGCGGAAAAGGCGAAAAGCTCGATCGTATTGGCGAGCTTCAACACAAGCATGAAGAAGAATATTGCAACATTGTGAATTAGGTTCACAACCAGCCTGAAGCATCTCTTCAAACAAGCGTATTGACTGCTCAGCAAGACCTGCATTGGCACATGCACTGATCAATGATAACCAGGTAATTGCATTGGGAGTAACACCAGCTGACAGCATATCTTCTTTGATTTCCAGTGCCATTTTCCACATCCTGGCATCAGCAAGGACCTGTATGATTGGTGGTTGGTGCAGGAAGTGAAAGCATAGAAGTTAATTCTTCCCCAGTGTAACTACTCATAGCAAGGAGAAGTGCTTTCATTTAATCAAGCACTGTGTCTACACCAAACTACAATGGTGGCAATTCACTAGGTTGGCAAAAGTCAAAAGAACCATTAATTTAATGCCTTCATATCAATATTATAATAAAAATTAATTCAACAACATTTTAAAATCTGAACAAAATCTGCCATACATTTTACAATGGCCAGCGGTTGAACTCGGAATGCAATTCCCAGTTTAAGGAAGTAAAAATGATGACAACTAAATCAGACTGTAAAGGATTAATTGTGTGAATCATGTCTCGCCATCATGTTCTATCAACACCTGTCTTTATTAATCGTTTGTATCCGAGTTCTTTTGAATCTTTCCATTACGTTTGTATTTAGGATTTAAAGAAAAAAAGAATTCCCACATTTCAAGGTCTCTGTGCAGATATCCTCACAAATAAACAGTTTCTCCCTTCTTCTCTTCTACTGTGTTATCTCCCATTGCCTTCCTACTACATCCATAACATGTTCTATTATGTCTAGTGTGTACAACTTCATCTCAATAATCTCATTTCTAGTTCTCTCGGCTTTGTTTCATGTTCACTCTTAACAGCCATAAATACCAAGCTACCGGTATTGCTTTTTGCAATCATTTCATAGAATTTTCTCCACCATATAGGCAGTAGCTAACTTAAACTACGGATTCTTCAAACCCCATCCAACAAGAAGCACATATACCTCGTGTTGAGTACAGAATTGGCCCTCACCCTTCTCCCAGACATCAAGGCTCCAACAGATAATGCAACAAGAATACCAAAAGTAAGATAGAAAAGCTGAGGCACCTTAATCATTGTACTATATGTGAAGACATCCAACTTGAGATCTCCGGTTGACTCCAAGTATTTTGTTTGTCTGTAGATATCTAAGGCCAGTTCAACCTTTGCAGCAAGACAGCATGACTTCAAAAGGATGTTGTATGATGCCAGATCAGCTGTCACGCCAAATCTCTGGATGTAGCAGTGAACCAAAAGTCAGTATACAAATTATCATTGACTGAGTGAATTTTCAAAAGACAAGAACACAAAACGAGAATAAGAAACTATAAACGGAGAGCACAAATCCATTCCCCTAATATATCCATATGGCACTTCTAGGAAATAAAGAAGAATCTCACACACACAAACACTGAGAGAGAGAGAGAGAGAGAGAGAGAGAGAGAGAGAGAGAGAGAGTTTATTACTTGCATTTGCTTATAGATCCGCAATGTGAAGCTCAAATCATTGGCATTCACATTCATGAGACTGTTGAAGACGTAAATGTTTGGAGTAAACTTACAGGAAAGTAATTCCTGCAGTAAATTTGGAGATGAGCATATTAAATCTATCATATGAGTCACATTCTCCAAAATCAAGTAAAGCAGCAAAAAAAATCAGAAAGCAAAATCTGAATTAAGAATTTAAAACACCAAAGTTCCATAGTATCAAGTATCTTGTAAAGCTTTGCATAAAAACTGATGAAAAAAAGCCTTTAATTCTACAGCCAACATCCTCATATTTCAGTTTCAAGAAAGTTTTACTCGACCAGTTTCAGCATGTAAGTCTCCGCTGCATACAAGTTGCAAGAATACAACTGCACACAGGTTCCCCTTTTTAGAACACAGTGAACACAAGTGATAAGTGGAACCTTATGATTCTAACCACACTTCTATCTTTGCAGATCAGTGCAACAACAAGAAGCAAGAAAGTAACCTGCATACCAGATTAAAGGACTTCCATTAATTTCTGGCTGCAGTTTAAGTTAAGATCTGTGTGATTTCTGAGATAGCATGTGAAGCATTTTTCAGAACATACAAACTACAAAATCATTAGCTATTCGAAGATGATATATGGATCAAGCAGTTACCTCATATATGGACCTAGATTTCATAGAATCACCACAAAGACCACAAACATCTATTATTGTTCTGTAGGCGTACGTGTTTGGAGAACCTTGACTCCGCTTGGATACTTCAAAAACATTCAGAGCGGAGACCAAGTCCCTTTTCTTCCCAAACTCAATCATTACGGTACACAATAGAGTTTCCATCTGCGGAAAAAGTTGTGCATACCTGCAAAGATGCCCTAGTTATCTTAATACACCTCTGTTATAAAAAGAACACATGTCATATGTTATGAAATCATCCAAAAGAAATGGCACGTGAATGCAGATGAAAAGTGACAATCGTGCATAAACCTAAAGTCTAAGCTCATCCCGCTCAAGGATTTTCACTAAGAGATTATTACTCCCTCCGGCCCTTATTATAAGGCACTCTGTACGGATCAAATTCCCAGAGTGTAAATCAATCGAGTTATAGAGGAACGCTAAATCATACCCAATCAAGGACAAAAACTAAAGAAAAACTGAGTTACCTAATTGCGGCACCGGGGCTCCGTCTCTTCACACACAGCTTTATAACTTGAGATGACGCCAGTAATTGATTAGGTGAAAAACCAAGGCCTGAAAATTCATATAAGTTATTAAAAAATCGTTAAATGTAAATCCTGCGTCTCCTTCAGTTCGACTGTTGTTACTTTTACTTTCAAATGCTCTCATGCAATTCATTGGCAAAAATCATAAAGAAAATTTGACCTTGAAGCGTCTCCATCAAGCTTACAATCTCCTCCGGTTGAACACAGTTTTGGAACCGACGAAGACATTCCTGCCGAAGTGACTCAAACGCGACTCCATCGAAGAGCTTAACTACAGGAAATCCTAGCTTGAGAAGACCACTCAGAACCTCAATCAACCTCTCAAGCTTTCCATCCTCAAGCATTCTAGAAATTCCGGCAGAAACGCTCTTCAAATTAAGCATCGCCAGGAACTGAGAAGGCTTAGCGCCTGAAACGACAACGCTTTCGGCAATCATTAACAAATCGGAAAACCTTCCGTCCTCGGCAAGGTCCGAGGCTAATTCGGCGTAGTCTTTGAGGCGATGGACCTGGCGAGAAGGAGAGGTGTTCCATCTCACTGTGGAGTGTAGTAGCGCAGCGGTTGATTTCAGCGACTGTTTCCGGCCGGAAAACTTCTTCGACTTGGACTTGGAGGCCGGAGACAAGGATTGTTGATTAGAAGGAGTGGTGGTGGCCGGCGAAGGTGTCGAATTCGGAGGGAGAGTAATGGAGGAAGAAGCAAGAATGGCAATGGCGTCCCTCATTGAAGACGACCAGTTTTTGGTGGAGAGTGAACTCAGTGAAGATCATTTTTCTTTTCAGCTTATTTTTCTATAACAGTAAATAACTGACGCAGACTGGAGCGTTCTTCAGGATTAAATTTGAAAGGTGTGCGTTTCTTGTGTTTCTTGATATTTATGTTATGGGCTGGGTCCAATATATATATCTAGTGTTTCATCTGAGCAGATCAGATGATTTACTGGGCTGGTATTAGCAATTTTGGCCTATATAAAGTCCTCCATTCAGTTGCGTAGAGGCCCAATAACGTAGTGGTTCCATTTTCATTCTGAGGAAAAAAAAAAAACTCAATCCCTTCAAAGAAAAAAAAAGCCAATTATATAACAATTAAAACCCTCCAATCTGTTCATTGTACAAACATATACTCCCTCCGTTTTAAAATATAGGTCATTTTAAAATTTTTAGACAAATTAAAGATCAATTTTCCAACTTTACCTCCAATAAACGATGTTAATCATTTTTTATCTAGTCTTGGTTATAATTTCAAAACGATTAATGATGAGTAAAATAGATATCCAACACAAATTAATTATTAAATAATTGTTTCCTTAGTTTACATACATAGTTTAAAGTAACTTACATTTTGAAACGGATGGAGTAGTAATAATTTTGAAACCGAAAAATGAAAAATATTTATAGCTGATTCTAAGCACCACTGCACCAAAAGGTGGTCAATATGTATTGCTCCTCTCCAATACAATAATCTGGGTACTTCCTAAATGCCAATAGATGTTGGCTCTTTAAAACAGTATAGCCAATCTTATTTGTATTCTTTAATTTTTACAAATTTCAAAGAAAGTGTTACACAAAATGAGTTCCTCCCGACTTCATCTTCATAATAAACCATACATATTTTCAAACGAATAATAGGAGGGAAAAATCTCTCTCTATATATATATATATATTACTAATAGAGAAACCGGAAAGAGAAACTAAGTTTCATTTTTTGAGTGACAACTAGCATAAAATCCTATGTGTAATTATTTCATGTGTTCTCAAAAAAATAAGTTATCGAAATTGTGTTAATACCCTTAAATTTTATGTTAAATTAAACACTAAATTAGGTTCGTTTATATGATAATAGTTTAAGTAAATCCCTAAAAATATGACTCTGAATAAAATTCTGATCAACTTTGCCTTTACCTTTACTACTTGATAAATTTTATTTTTGCATTCTACATATTTGTATTAGGTCCATATAAATTATTTAATATGTCACATAGTGTTTCCTCAATTAACATCGAAATTAAACATTTAAGATTATTCATTATGTTTGTTTTTTTCTTAAAAATATTTTTAGTAAAAAAATAAATTTAAAATTTATTTACCCCGCACAACGTGCGGGTTTAATATCTAGTACTATACTAAGGCAAAAACCAGAGAGAGGAATCTAAAGTCAAGGAGCACATGAATCCTATGTGGCATTTTTTAAATATTTTAGATATAAAAATACACAAAATAAAACAATAGAAACCAAAAAAAAAAAAAAACACAACTGAAAAAATCCAAACCCTATATTGATTCGACCAAATCCCTGCAAATTCGATTGACGGATCTTCCTCTTAAGAAAAACACAACTGAAAAAGAATTTTATATTAATAATTTATTAAAATAATTAAAGAAGTTAAGCCAACCTGAAACTTCTATAATTAGCTTCAAATATGGAATTGAGTTAAAATACTATGGTGATGGGTTGATGTAGCGGGGCTAAGAATGGCTCTGGCAAATAATAAAAATATTAAAAGGCTTCAATTATGGCTATTCTTTCTTCTTCTTTTTTAACGTTTTGAAATCCAAATTTTTAGTTTATCTTTCTTGAACCTAAATGGTAAAATGTACATACATGAGAAATAAATATACTAATTTATACATGAATCAACTACTACTCACTAAGTAAGGAGGTCTCAACACTCGGGATCTCACAAAAATGGTTTGAAGATGGATAGAAAGCAAAATAGCTGAGAAGCTGTTTGTTTTGTCATGCAGAAACGGAATCAAGAAACGGCTTTGAATACTGACGAAATGGTTCTTCTTGAATGTTGATGAAATCATGATTCTAATGGTGCTATTTGTTTTGAAATCATGATTCTGTTTAGCTAATCTTGGTAATGAATTTCAAGTTCAGGTTGTACTCATCATTCCATTGAAAATTTGCATAGATTTCTAATACACACTACATTCTAACAATAGTATAGTGACTGTTGAATTGGTTATCTACTTAATTTTTTTTATTCCAATTTCTGTTTCCTAAAAAAATATTTGTGATTTTTAATAAGATAAACTTATTTGTCTAATCGTGCGTGACTGCTAAATATTTCATGTTTTCAACAAATATAAAGGGGTCTATGCGGCTAAATATTGGGCTCTTAATTTTTAGTTCTTTTTTTTTCCTGAAAAGAAGTCTATATATATATATATATATATATAATAGTAAAGCAAACTCCAGAGAGAGGAAAATCTAAGGTATCGTATCATGCCACATATACTAAATCTTATGTGGCAAATTTATGATTTTTTGAACCAAAATTTAAAATTATTTTCTTAAAAAATCTAACTTTAATTTGAAAAAAAAAAGAGTAGGATGGATTTGACATTTGCGAAAGTGTCTAGAAAGATATTAATAAAGAAAAAAAATAGGTAAATGATATTCTTTAAGGGTAAAAAACATAGTCCCATCCTTACATTTTAAATAAAATATTTCTGACAATGGGTAAGTTAATTAAAGATAAATTATTAGATTGGTATGAGAAATAACTAAAGCAAACAAACAAATGAGGCTAAAAAATAAAAAATGAAGGAAAGTGAGAATGCATCATATTTAAAAAAGAAAATAATAAAATAAAAACACTGAAAACAAAAGTCACTCCGAGACAAGGAATAAAGGTCCTGATATCCAACCTTTTTTTTTAATGTTTCTTATTAAAAAATTAGATGGCCTCTATAACAGATTGGGGTTGTTGTTTCTGTAGTAACCATTCCTTATCATAAACTTAAAAAAAAAAAAAAAAATCCTTATCATAATTTCTTAACCACCTTAGCCAACCTTTCTACCCCGGACTACCAATGTAGTCTACCAAGAAATATTGCAAGATATGTAATTATTTAATTCAAAGTTCTTTTTTTTTAATTTCTTAACAATCTTTTTTACGTTAAATAAATTACCAGTGTATTCGTTTGGTAAAGTGTTGTTGATGTTTGTGTTTTATATTTTTCAATGAATTCATTATATATTTTATAAAAATACAAAAATCTATACAAATATTTATATTTTTTTGATTTGTTTGTGTAGTAATGTCTATGTATATGTGTTCTCCGTTCATCGGACGGGTCTAACACCTAATGTTTACTCATTCATTAAATAATACCTAAACATGGCTACTCTCAGTCTACTGTTATGCAGAAAGGCAAACTATTTATTTGGAATTATTACTTTTGTATTGTTAACTGAGCAATTTTTTTATTTTTATTTTTTTGGTAATGCTTTACATTTTAAAGATCACTTTCAAATCTTTTCTAATAAACTCCATCCAATTTTTTTTTAAAACAGAAAAGAGATTAAAAAAGAATAAATAAACTCCCCAATTTTTTTAAATCTTCTTTTTTGTTTCTTTAAAAAAAAGACTAAAAATCCTTCCTTCATGTGCATTTATGATTTTATTATTGGGGGGAGAAAAATAATAAAAGTGTAAAAATGTGATGGTACATATTTGACTATTTGGTAGAATTTTATTTTTGGTGTAAAAGGAAAAGGAAAAGGAGGAGTGATGGGAAAAATAGACTGAGAAGAAAGAGGCTGGCTTAGGTATAGTTCTAGAACGTACGCACCACCTGCTGTGGTTCCAAAAATCCCCCATTGCCCGGCACTTCCCTGCCAGAGATATCTATCTCCATTCTCCGGCCGGCGGCCACCATCAAAACCGGTCTCGATACATTCTAGAAACACAAAACCTATAGGAACCAGCACCGTCTGCCTCTACGAGAGGAACCATTCGGAACCCTACTTAATCCGATCAAGTGGAAGCTAATTTCAATCATCAAATTGATTATTCGCAGAGGTTGGGTGTTGAGATTGGATGAGAATAAGAGATGCCTCCAAAGCAGCAATCGAAAGCCGATTTGGCCAAGAAGCAGAAGGTAGTGGAGGACAAGACCTTCGGTCTCAAGAACAAGAACAAGTCTAAGAATGTTCAGAAATATGTTCAGTCCCTCAAACAAAACGTTCAGCCCAAACCTGACCCATCTAAACTCAACGCAAAGGTAAATTGTTATTATTACTTATTTCAGCTATCTCTTCTTTTTTTTTTTTTTGGTGGTGGGAAAGTCGGGATTAATCTAAATTTGATATCTTTATGCTTTTTCGTACTATTTTAGTAACAATTGGTTATTTGATGTGGTTGCAGAAGAAGAAGGAAGAGGAGAAAGCTAAAGAGAAGGAGCTGAATGAATTATTTAAAGTTGCCGTCAGTCAGCCTAAAGTTCCTCCTGGTAATTTCTCAATGTATAATCTGAATCTTTTTGTATGTGAAGAATTCATAGGAATTACAGGAGGTTATTTACCCTGTTCTGTGATTTATTTGTCTATCTGGCCACTACTAGAGTACAGGGAGTCTTACTTTTGTAGTCTGAATTGAATAATGTAGGAGTTGATCCAAAATCAATTTTGTGCGAGTATTTCAAGGCGGGACAGTGTACTAAGGGATTCAAATGCAAGTTCTCGCATGACTTGAATGTTCAAAGGAAGGGAGAGAAGATTGATATCTACAGCGACAAGCGTGATCAAGGTTGTTTACGTAGCATTGTTAGTTTGTCCTCTTCAGTTTGCTTTCTTTTTGTTTATTTTTCCGTTACTGTTGGTTGAATTTTGATTTTGGTGTTTGCTCATTCTTCTGGCGCAAAGAGGATGATAAAGAGACGATGGAAGATTGGGATCAAGAGACGTTGGAGAAGGTTGTGGCCTCAAAAAGTAATGAGTACAATAAGAACAAGCCCACTGATATTGTAAGTCTTCTTTCTTCTTTCTAACAAAGAATATCCTTTTCGAAATTGTGCTATCTGGTTTTTTGTCTTTGAAGTAGGTGAATGTTGTCCGTTGTGTGTCTGGTTCAAATTTGTTGCCTCTCTTTTAATGCACATGGATATGGTAGTTTGCCCTGATGAGTTTTCATCAGATAAATCCTGCAGAAAACGTTGACCTTTTTGGTACACTATGCTCAGTATTAATGCTTGCTGGAAAAGGAAAGCATGCAACAAGATTGTTACAGTAGGTAGTTTTGGAGATTATGGAATGCCACTGGTTGTTAACACGGACTTCTTAAAAAAGCTCGATTAAGGAATGGACACGTGTGAGAGAATGTGATTCGTTTTGTTTTTTTGGTCAATAAAAGGGAACGTGTTTTGTGTTCGATACATACGTGGTAAAATTTTGGCACTTGTCAAGCCTTTCTATTGGTGCCATCTAAGATATTGAATGCGATGTAACCAGGTAAGCATCCGCTGTTATTCTTCTACTGGTTGGCCTGTAGGTTTTGTCATCTCTGCTGCTTCTGAGCTTTATCAACTAAATTGTGACGCTTGTTGTCTTAGTTTTCAGGCTTAAGAAGTGAAGTAGATATTAGGATGATTTGTGCCTGTGGTATATGAGACTTAGCTCCAACATTCAGGAATCAATGTGGCAACCCTGCACTATTCTAATTGAGATAATTTAATACATGGAGTTTCTTGAAAGTAAGATTATTTTGTAATTTCGGGCTATCAGATGCCTTTAACTTGGCTGTAAGCTTATTTTGGAAGCTCTGGTTTCATGTCTGTCTGCTGGCTTGAAGGCCTTCTCCTGTTCTCTTTTTCCCTGTTCGGTTCTTTGGTGTCTTTTTTGTTGGTTGTCCTTTTTTGATGAATGCAAGGAAAGCTATAATTGATGGTGTTCTGAATACTTATGCAGGTGTGTAAATACTTTTTGGAAGCAGTGGAGAAGAAGCAGTATGGTTGGTTCTGGGTATGCCCCAATGGTGGTAAAGAATGCCACTATAGGCACGCTCTCCCCCCTGGATATGTTTTGAAATCACAGATGAAAGCTCTCCTCGAGGAAGAATCAGAAAAGATATCAATTGAAGAGGAAATAGAAAATCAGGCAAGTTGTTTGTGAAATTCACGAGATCATAGCTTTTCTTCGTCAACTGTTGTACTTTGCGTGCATATTCTGATTGCCCTTACTAATGGACTCTTTTTGTCTTGAAACCAGCGTGCTAAAGTAGCTACTTCAACTCCTATGACTCCTGAGCTATTCATGCAATGGAAGAAAAAGAAGATGGAAGAAAGAGAAGCTGGCTTGGCTGCTCTGCAAGCTGAAAGGGCTAAGAATGACCGTATGAGGTATCAACCTAGCTTGTATTTTATTTACTGTCAACCGTAACATTTTTCGTTTTCATGGGAACTCTGTCAGTAATAGCTGCTAATTACATGCTGATTATGTGATTTGGATCTGCAGTGGTCGTGAGCTGTTTCTTTCAGATGCCAGTTTGTTTGTGGATGATGTTGGGGCCTATGATGAGTACCAAAGGCATGAAGAGCCAGATGTTCCTGAACAGAAGGTACATGCATAATCTTTTGCCAATTGTGATTGCTTATTTTGCATTAGTTAACTTTCATGGAGTTATTTCTATTCCTGTTTGATGGTTAATCTGATGGCTGAGACGGGTAATCTCAGAAGTGCTATCTTTTATGTATGTATTGTGTTCTTCGTGGCAGACTTTTCTTATATACTTCTGTTGATTTTTTTAATTTTAATAGCTGAGTAACAGACTGCTGTAGTTGAATATGCATAAATTCCATTGCACGGTGCCATATGGAAAGAATTGAACTGGAATTATTGTAATGGGTGGGGGATTCATGGCTCAAACTTTGTCGAACCGTTATTTTCTTGAGGTTTAAGTGTGTTCAGAAAGAGAACATAATTATAATACTCTTGAATTCAGCTGCACTAATATCAATTTTACTAAGCCTGTTTCCAGGCTACATGGTGTCTTGGAGTTGGTATCCTTTACCCCAATCTTATGTTTATTTATGTAGTGGTCGAGTATTGTTGTAAGTTTTTAACAAGGACTTGGAATTCTTCATTTAGGGTGTTTACATTAATGCAACATTGACTTGATTAGTCTAGGGGTCACTTATTCATCATGAACAGAAAGTGTGGATCCTGTTATTGACTTCAACATATGATATTATTATTTTAGGTTGACAAAGACTCTACCAGTGAAAGACCGAGTTCTTCTACTTCAGCTGCCCAAGATGCTGAAGACAGCGATCTAGATGAGGATGATGATGACTTGGATGTGGATGAGCTAAATGAACTGGAAGCAAGTTTGTCCAAAGCATCACTTCATATAAGTGAACCAAGTGAGAGTGTGTGATCTTTGGACAAGGTTGCCCTTAAGCTCATACACACCCTCTGTAGGCATCTTGTTGCTATTGAAAGCTGGTGGGGTGGAACTTGATCATGTTCTCCTTTTTGCAACCACAAGGAACAGGATCTGTGGGATCCTTAATGCGGTTCCAGCAGTCATGCCATAAGACAGTAGAAATTTTCAATTTTTCTGTTAGGCTGGATACGGTGTATCGACCTGTTGATCCTTTTGCCCTTTTGTTGTCAAACCTAGGTTACATTTTTGAATTTCTGACTACCGGTTAGTTCAAACATGAGTATGTTGTATGACGAGTGGATTGGAATTTCGGAGAATGAATTTCTGTGGTCTCCTGACCGTTTTATGGTTCTTATTTATGGATTCTCTGTTGGAAAAGTTCCTGAGTTTGTTTCTCAGCTGTGGGAAGATTCCCGTGCTGGTGTGTATAGTTTACTGAAAACTCAGAAGTGGGAATCAAATGTCACCTAATGTTGTCGAAGTCTCAAAGACTTGGGGTAACATTTTGTTCAATGCTCACGACTTGAACAAGAAGAAGAATGTTCATGATGTCGGACTAGATTTCAGAGCTTAAGAGCCACAGCAAGAACCATATAGTGCAAGGAAAGTGAAGATTTTCATATTTACTCTGTAAAGAAGTTGTAATGTACAAAGATGGGCTCCGAGGCAATTAGCTTCCAAGTAATAAGAAAATGAAGTCTAAAAGTAAACAGAAAATCACTTGATGGGAGCACTGATAGTGTAAACCAAAAGAAAGGTAACAATAACAATGGCACCGCCGAGGGTGAAAGTGGGGCTGTTCCAGAACCTGAGATTGGACCTCTCAGTCCTCTTGATCGGATCAACTTCTTCTGAGAGCGGATAATCGGAGCGCCTAGGATTCCAGCTCACGTACTTGTCCGCAGAGAACTTAGGGAACAGAGTTTTCTTGCCTTGCTTCTTGAAATTAGACCAGGCCTTATCCCAATCCGTCGAGAATTTATCACCTAAAACATGCCAGACCCAAAACAACGACGATTAAGATGAATAAACTGAATCCAAAAAGAAATCAAGATGAAAAACGATGATTACATATATACCTCCATTTTTGTCGTCGTTGTTGTTGGTGTTACCGTCGCCATTTTGATTGGGAGAGTCTTTTTTGGAACAACGTGGTACTACAAGGTTGAAGCAGTTTGTTGTTGTAGTTTTGGAACCTGAACTCCTCCTCCATGTTGTATACGATGAAATCCTTCCATTTGCAGTTCCAGCAGCAACTCGAATGTCCATGTGGGGGGGTTTAACTTTCTTGCTTTCCTGTATTAATCCAGAAAGATCAATGTTATTTGCTTTTTGTTCTCCCTCTCTCTCAGCCACGCTTTGCCTATCACTTCGAACCCGGTCCCCTCAACCAACCCCGCCTGATTTTTTTATTTTTATTTTTTCCGTAGGTCAGGCTCGTAAAAGGAATAATCTGCGATTTTCTTATTGTGATTACTCATTTATTGATTTCTAATTATTTCAGGTAGGATGTAGGAAAATTTATTGGGTGCACCCTTGCTATTTTTTGCATCACTAGTTTTTATTATCTTTTTTTTTCTCTTTTAAATAATTTTCTATATTTTGTAAATTTAGTCATGTTATTTTTTCTCTCTCCTCAAAAAAACATTTCTAATCTTTAAATGAGCATATTTTTCAATCCGTAAATAATTTGTGAATGAATTATATATGAAATTTATAGTACTCGAAGAGATCTATCCAACAAGATCAATATCGAATATTTTTCTCGAGATTAAAAATGATCAAATTTCGATGAACAGAATTAAGATGGATATCCAGTTTCAAAAGATGGATAACCAACTTATTTTATATTGATATTTTTGTAAAATTTATATCCTTCAATCCGTAAAGAATTACAAAACAAATTATATATGAAATTTATAGTGCTCGACGAGATCTATCCGATAAGATCAATGTTGAATTTTTTTTGGAACTTTAAATGCATTTAAATTTCACGGGCAGAAATGAAGAAATTTTTTTTCTGAAAAATGGTTATCCGTTGTGTTCATACTGATAATCCAACCGATTCGAACTGATTATCCATTTTGCTTGTACTGATCATATTTTTGACATTTCCTTCTCTTCAAAAAAAAAGAATAAAGTATTTGGATAAGCATTACGAACAATTTAGATAATCATTGAAAATAATTAGATAAGCAGTACAAACTTTTTGGATAATCAGTACAAAAAATCAGACAATCATTTTCATAAAAGACAAGGGAAAAAAAGTTGGATAAGTATCACCAAGAAGTTGGATAATCAGTATGAACACATTGGACATATATTTTCTCAAAAGAAAAAAAAAAAAGAAAAATCATGTTTGGATAAGTAGCGAAAACGATTGGATAACCAATACAAAACGGTTTGATAGTCAGTACAAAAAAATGGACAATGATTTTCACAAAGAGTATGGTAAAAAAAAGGTTGGGTAATCTATACCAAGCAGCTGGATAACTAATATGAACGCGTTGGACAACCATTTTTTTAAAAAAAATAATAAAAAGGAAAACTATGTTGGATAAGCAGTACTAATTAATTAGATAATTAGTATTAACACATTGGACAATGATTTTCAAAGAAAAAAAATAGATAATCAGTTCAAACCGGTCGAATAATCAGTATGAACACGGTGGATAACCATTTTAAGAAAAAACTAGGTTGGATAAGTAGTACCAATTAGTTGGATAACAAGTACGAACACATCGGACAAGTATTTTCATAAAAATAAATTAAAAAAAAATAGTTGGAGAAACAATAGCATGAGGTTGGATAATCACTACTCCACATCGGACAAGTATTTTCTCAAAATAAAAAAAATGATTGAAAAACAATACAAACTTATTTAGACAAACAATAAAAATAATTGGACAACTGATACAAAGCGATTGGATAATCACTACGAACATATTGGATAACCGTATTTCAAAGAAAAAAATGATTGGATAAGCGGCATAAACAAATGGATAACCAGTATTAGTGTATTGGACAATGATTTTTTCCAAACAAAAAAAAAATGATTGGATAACCAATACAAACAATTTGGATAAGCATATAAATCCGTTGGATAACCAGTACACATAAGTCGGATAGGTATACAAACCAAATAGATATCTAGTACAAAGAAGTTGAATATGCATACAAACTCGTTAGATTGTAATTACAAAACAAGTTGGATAGACATACAAACCAAATGAATAACCAGTGCAAACCGGTCGGATAATCAACACGAACACAATGGAGAACCAATTTAAAATAAATTGATTATCCATCTTCTTAAACGAGACATCCATCATATTTCTGCCCATCAAAATTTGATCATTTTTAAGTCGAAAAAAATATTCGATATGGATCTTGTTAGATAAATTTCAACGAATGCAATAAATTTCATGTGTAACATGTTTTCAAATTTTTCACAGATTGGGAGATATGTTCGTTTAAAGATTAGAGATATTTTTTGAAGGAGAGAAAAAAAAATCACAGGGACTAAATTTACAAAAATATAAAAAGATTGAAGAAAAAAGGACAATGAGGATCATATGTGCAAAAAATAGGAGGGAGAGCACGTGCACCCGAGTGTATTGGATACGGACTCAGAAAAAGTTGATTTCCCTTTAATGAGTCTGTATCCAGTATACCCGGGAGCACCTACTCCCCCTCCTATTTTTTGCATTTATAGTCTTTATTGTGCTTTTTTTTCAACTATTTCTATAATTTACAATTTTAGTCTCTGTCACTTTTTCTCTCTCCTACAGAAAACATCTCTAATCTTCAAACGAACATAACTTTCACTCCGTGGAAAATTTGTGAACGAATTATCTGTGAAATTTATAGTATACGTCGAGATCTATCCAACAAGATCCATATCAAATATTTTTCCGAGCTTAAAAATGATCAAATTTTGATGGGTATAAATAAGGTGGATATCCAAATTAAAAGTATGGATAAGCAACTTATTTTATATTAAGATTCTTATATTGCATATATCTTTTGATCCGTAAAGAATTAGAACACGAATTATACATGAAATTTATAGTAGTTGACAAGATCTATTCCATAAGATCAATTTTGAATATGTTTTTGAACTTTAAGTACATTCAAATACTCTGGGCAGAAACGAAGAAAGTATTTGTGTTGGATAACTAGTACAAAGACGTTGGACAACTATTTTTTCAGAAAAAAAGAAAAGAAAAAAATGATTGGATAAGCATTAACAAACCATTTAGATAACCGATAAAAATAATTGGATAAACAGTACAAACTGGTTGGATAATCAGTACAGAAAGATTGGACAATCATTTTGCATAAAAGAGCAAGGAAAAATAAAGGTCGGATAACCATCACCGAAAAGTTGGATAATCAGTATGAACACACTGATAACCAGTGAAAACGATTCTGTTTGGATAAAAAAATTCTGTTTGGATAATCAGTGAAAACGATTGGATAACCAACACAAAACGGTTGGATAGTCAGTATAAAAAAATAGACAAGGATTTTCGCAAAGAGTAGTGAAAAAATGGTCGGATAATTTATACCAAAGTGTTGGATAATCAATACAAACGCGTTGGGCAACCATTTTTTTTTCAAAAAAAAAGGAAAGAAAAACTAGGTTGGATAAGCAGTACTAATTAATTAGATAATCAGTACGAACACAATGGATTACCATTTTAAGAAAAAACCAGGTTGGATAAACGGTACCAATTAGTTGGATAACATGTACAAACACATCGGACAAATATTTTCATAAAAAAAAAAATAGTTGGAGAAATAATAGCACGGGATTGGATAATCTGTACGAACACATTAATTGGACAAGCATTTTCTCAAAAGAAAAAAAAATGATTGGACAAGCAATAAAAACTTATTTAGACAAGCAGTAAAAATAATTGGATAACCAATACAAAGCGATTGGATAATCACTACGAACACATTGGATAACCGTGTTTCAAAGAAAAAGAAATGATTGGATAAGCGGTATAAACAAAAATGGATAATCAGTATTAGCGTATTGGACAATGATTTTTTCCAAATAAAAAAAATTAGATAATTAGTACAAACAATTTTGATAAGCATATAATCTGTTAAATAATCACTACAAAACAAGTTGGATAGGCATACATACCAAATGGATAGATATTCAATACAAACAAGTTGGATATGCATACAAACCCGTTAGATTACAACTACAAAACAAGTTGAACAGGCATACAAACCAAATGTATAACCAGTTCAAACTGGTTGGATAATCAGCATGAACACAATGGACAACCAATTTAAAATGAGTTTGTTATCCATCTTCTTAAACTGGATATCCATCTTATCTTTACCCATCAAAATTTAGTCATTTTTAAGTTCGGAAAAATATTCGATATGGATTTTGTTATATAGATCTCGATGAGAACAATAAATTTCGTGTGTAAAACATTTTATAATTCTTCACGGATTGAGAGTTATGCTCGTTTAAAGATTAGAGATGTTTTTTTAGATGAGAGAAAAAAAATAACATGGACTAAACTTACAAAATATAAAAATATTGAGAAAAAAAGTACAATAAAGACTAGAAATGAAAACAAATAGGAGGGTGAGCATAGTGCTTCAGGGTATACTGGATAAATTGCCCTTTAATAACCCGCACTTCTTCCATTTCTTATTATAAAACATTTTGATTCGTCCTAATTTTTATTTAGTATATTTTTTCAATCATAACAACATACTAAATAAAAATTCAGGACGAATACTTTATAATAAGGACCATTATACTATATTTTATTAGAACAAATGTTTTTCGATAAGATATCGAAGTAGGTCTACTTATGTAGAATTTGTTTTTTCATCAATGATACATTGACATCAAATTATATATTTTCTCTGTCTCGAAATGATTGAATGGTTTAGATTTTCATGATTAGTATAATTTAAATTAGGAATGAAAATTTTTTCTCTTCTTTTAGGCTCAGTAAGGTGCCATCTTCTTTGTTTATTATGCCTCACCATCGTCAAAATCATTGGTTAATATATTAATTTGAAAAGAGAGGCAACAATGACAATCGAAAAGATGTAACACTAAAGAGTACATGGTCATATAATATTCAAACACAAATTGAAATTGCGTTTATGCAAATCCTTGCCTTGATGGGTTTCTCCGGGAGCTACAGTAATACAACTTAAAAACGGAGGAGATTGTTACTGTAAATATCGTCCACGTATCTTTTTTGACAATTTCTGATGCAGAGTATCCTCTAAAGAGGTAATTGCAGAGCATACTTATACGTAGGAGTTAGAGCACTATCGAAAACTTATATGAAAAACTTTTGAAAAGGATGTAGAAGAAGACTAAAGTTTTAAGAGAACATGATAACCTTTACATGCACAATTTGGAGAGGAAGAGGGTTTCATATTAGTATTAGTATTGAATTGTTAGGTCTTTTAATGTTATATATATCATACATACAATAAATTACAGCAAAAGGATTATAAAAAATACATGTGAAATAAATAGATAATAGAAATAAAATTATAATATAAATCCCAATTATTAAAAGTACAAAATCCATGAAGGCGTTTTTTTTAAAAGCAAAAAATAACATGAACAATTTTTTTAAGCAACAGTGGCTATAAAATATCTGCGTCTACTTTGGCATTGATGTTCCTACCTCAACAATAAAGTCGACGAAGTAAATTCACCTGAAACCATTTGTGTCCACTTTTTTGTTGACTTTTTTAACTTGAGAAAAAATAAAGTGGTCAAATGCAAAATTTCTTAGAAAGCATTTCCATCGACTTTTTCATCGTCTTTCCAAACTTGACGATAAAATCGACGAAAGTAAATTTTTCTTTAAGAATTTCTCGTCTACACTGTAGTCGTTTTCATTAACCCGACATAGAATTCGAAAAAATCAAAATTGACCTGTAAATATTCTATCCAATTTCATAACCCAACCATAAAATCAACGGAAATCACTTTTTATTTAAAACATTTGTGTGACTTTAGGAACCCAACAAGTAATTCAACATGTTAGTTTGTCATGTAATCATGCCTTGCCCCCAAGGGATGGAAAATTCCACATTGACTTTTCTGTTCATTGTTTTTTCCTTGATGAGAAAATCGACGTAATACAGATTCTATCATTTATAAACTTGCATCTACTATTCTACTTTAATTAAATATAAAATTTTACACTAAACTCCCATGTCGACCTGTATATGATTTCCTCCAAAAATCATGTTAAAATCATGTAAGTAATTTTTCCAACTTACAAAATCTAATAATAAAGTCGATGAAAGGGGGAAAAAAATTGTAAACATTCGCATTGATCTTTTTGTCTACTTGCCTAATTTGACGATAAAGTTAACGAATCAAAGTTCACTTGAAAACATTCCTGCCATTTTTCCTAACTCTGTGTAACGAAATGGTGAATTCATTAAGCAATTGTGGAATAAGTAATAAACTAACTTTTATTGTTTGTATTTTGTATTGCAGTTTCAGGATTACTTAATTCATTAAGAGGTTCATTTTTTATTATCAAACATACTTAATTAAAAAATGCTTAATAAAATAATTTTTTAAGTATTAAGCAGTGTTAACAAACAGGCCCTTAGTCAAAACTATAACAACCACTACAACATTATCTATTTTTGATTGTCCCTTTTTAGATTATTTTCATAATGGAACTTTAGAAATTGTACTTCTTTTTTGAAAAATAAATAAATTGGTGAATGAATTTTGAAAGTCAAAGAACCACAAATTACACAAACTGGAAATATATGTGTAGTACTTTTGTCATCCTAACTTAATATGAGATTATTATTGTGAAAGAAACTGGAATAATTTTCTTCTGATTATAAACATTACACGGACAATATGAATCACTCAATAAGCTATATTTTATATACAAATTACAAGAAAGGAATATCATGACATTGCAATAAACAAATAATGAGAATTATAGTGACAATTCCTACTTAACATAAAAAAGCAAGATGTAGCATTATGAGGCAATAGTAAATAATGAAAGTGTAGACATGACTTATAAGAATGTTTTTTTTTTTTTTTTTTTTTTGTAAGAATGAAAACGTTAAAGGACTACGAACAAAGTAAATCGTGTAGATTTTTTGGGATCCCACATAATATAGAAAAAAGTGGATATTTTAATAATTCAACAACATTGTATAGTGGTAGCTCAACTTCATAAATATTAGTTATATTTTTTTGTATTATATTTGTCCTTAAAAATAGTCAACATTGAGTTTTTAAAAATATATATTTTAATGCAAATTTCAAGACTTGATGCAAAAATTTTTTAAGGACGTAAAGATTATATGATTACTATTTAACTAAAAAATACTGTAATAAATAAATAATATTCCTTTCATTGCTATTCTTTTTCTAACTTTAGAAATAAAAAATGAAAAATTAAAAATTATTATACTTATATTATGCCAAAAAATTATAAAATTAATAAATACTGTATACGTATACTACTTCCTTTTTAAACTTCTAGTGTTAGTTTTTCATTTTGAAGACATATACTACTCCTGTAATAAATTTTTTACGTTAATAATTTTTCATATTGAAATATTGAAGGGAGTAGTCATGGTCCTCATGGATGGAATAGTAAAATTGGAAAATAGAACTAATCACATCGTTTACCCGTTGAAGTGGGGCTGTGGGAGTTAGTTAAAGAGGACTGTTAGTGTTACTGCTACCTGTCCCCGGAAAATAGGTTTTGTATGACACGACATCGTTAGGACCATAAAATTAGTGGATCTAGTCGATGCAGAGGTAGCATCATGAAATCAAAGGTGGGTCCCCTTAGCTTTTTTTGGGTTTTAATACTCTCAACTCGGCGATTCCTCGTCGATCTGCCGTTAGCGGCGGCGTTGCCAATCGGAGTAGTGGGCAAAGTCAGTTATTCGGTACATGCTAGTGCAAGATGACACTTTTCGCACCCGCTTCTCACCCAATGCACATGCTTGTCACTTGACTTCCCTCTATTCCCGCCCCCAATAGCGTAATATTATAGTCATTCTTTAAGACTAAAATCTGAAAATGATTTTTATATTAAACCTAATGCATATTTTGGTCATCTGTATTTTAGAATGTAACTCTTTTGAAACTATTCATTCATTTTGATCAGATTTAGGGTCAAATCAAGAACAGTATTTTCAGAAAAAAAATTTAATAATTTTTTAACAAAAAATTATATTGAATAAAATATTAACATCAATACTAAAATAATCATATTAATAAAATAATTAAGAAATTAAATACGCCGTTCCACAAAAATACTCTAGTTTCAAAAAGTACAACTTTACTCCAGTTTCAAAAGGTACAACTTTTCTTTGTTAGTCAACTCAATGAACGTATAAGTCATTTTAATATAAAATTTTTCAATTTTGCTCCTGTTCTATTCAACAGTAGTTCGCCCAAATTTAAAATCCAAATAAATCTTCTAAGTTTTCTCTCGTCGGAGTTCAAATCACAGCCGTCGTTAGTAACCGATCAAATCACCAAAAGCTACACAGTCAATTACAAAATTCATCACCAATTAATGCTTTTCTCTTTTGATCATCAACATAACCGAACGGATTGGCAAAAAATCCCATCGGAGTGGGAGTTAAAAAAGGTCGGTTAGATGCTTTAAAGGATACAAAATCATCATATATGATAACCAGAGATTGGATCTGATGTGAAGTTTGATTCTTATCATATCGATTGGATATAATCAAAGATATTTGACTTGAAAAAAAATAAGTGACACTAACGACGACGATGAGACGAGATTTAATGAAATTAATAATAAAACCATGATGATGAGAGTGAAGGAGGCGGCGATGGCAGGCGAGGGAGAAATAATGGTCAAATTGAAGGTTTGTGCGGCGGAGGATTTAGTTTGGAGAGAACGATGGGGGTTTGGACCGATGATGCTTACTCTCTCCGTCCCATACTTATTGCCCACTTTGCCAAAAAAATTTTGTCTCAAAATTATTGTCCAATTTGACTTTTTATGGATCAAGTTACACATTTGTCCTTGTAAAAAACATTATTCATAAAATTTTAGTGGTTAAACAATTACTTATGTAGGGGTATATCCGGTTGTTTAAGATAAAATATAGTTAAGTTTGACCAAAAATAAAATCTTTCATTTTAGTAAAACTGGACAATAATTATGGGAGGGAGGGAGTATTTGTTAAGGATATTATAGTTATTTTTATTGGTTTTAATTTTAAATTTTTAAAATTGGATAATTTTTTTGAGATAAAATTATTTATTAAACTGAACTATTTTTGTAGAATGGAGGGAATAACATATTAAATTAATAAAAATGAAAAATTATACTTGTGGTGTGTTAGAAAAAAAAAAGTTTAATATGACATATCGTTTTATTTGAACTTTAAAAATCAAACTCCAAGAGAAAAAAGATTACACTGAATTTTAAAATTTATACTCCCTCCGTCCCATAATTATTGTCCAGTTTAGGTTTTCACTTTTAGTACAATTTGAACTAAAAATGAAAATTCAAATAGGACAATAATTATGGGACAGAAGGAGTATTATTTTTAGTATATATTTCAAATTTTAATACAGATTTTTTTTTTTGGTGACAATGGAGATATTGTATTATTATTATTATTATTTTTATAGAATAGAGAAAATATAAATTTGACTATGGCCAAGTCCAGAGTCGTTACCATGTGGAGCAGCGCACACGAATTCCTCTAGAAAACGTCAGAAAAAGGAAACCAAGAAGCGATTAATCGTGCAAGTGGGACGATTAATTGTCCGGTCTCAAATCATCGAGCCTGGGGATTCACATCTATTCACAAACACTCAAACAGTCCCCGCCAAGTCGCCAACTTTACACGTCTCTCTCTCTCTCTAATCTTCCCATGAATCTATAGACCACCACCATGAATTCCACGAGCTCATCCAGTTCTCAATCTATGGCTAACTCAGCTGCTCCGAGCACCACCGACGGTTCTGCTTCCGGCTCCGGCAAGAAGGTCCGAAAACCCTACACCATTACTAAGTCTCGGGAGAGCTGGACGGAAGAAGAGCACGACAAGTTCCTTGAAGCTCTTCAACTGTAAATTCAGCTTACCATTTCGCTTTGCTTTTTTGTCGGGATATTTGCTTTTGTGCTGTTTGATTGGTCTGTTTATATGTAGCGAAAATATTGCACGGTTACTAGTCAACTGAAGTAGTAGTTGATTTGAATTGTACTCCTGGTGGTTTTAATTTGGAATTAAAATTCTTGTCCAACTTTTTTCTTCGATGTGGTTTTGCTCCTGGTTTTCTTGTGGGGGGGGGGGGGACGAATTAGGTTTGAGAAAGGAGCCAAACTATGTTAACTTAGTTGCGATTACTTCTCTGGTGATTCAGGTTTGATCGTGATTGGAAGAAGATTGAAGATTTCGTTGGTTCAAAAACTGTTATCCAGGTGAATAGCTCCTTCCGTCAACTTAATTCTTCATCAGTCAATGTTCTGTCTGTTGTTGGCTTGTTGCTACCTCGTGTTTTATTTTTCATAAATCCCCCAACTTTCAGAAGTTCTTCCGTAGACAATCTTAAGAAGTGAAACCCTCTAATGTGGGGAAGTGCTAATTTATTTGTTGTGATAACAGGAGGGGAGGAGGAGACGGGGGGTTGGGGGGATTTACTAGGTAACACAGACTCAAGAGATCAGATTTACACGCATCCTTATTGGGGATTGGAGTTTTATTTCACAATGAATGTTATTAGTAGTAATTGGGAGATAGTGAAACCTCATTTGTGCGTACCAACTTACTTATAAATCTGGATCAGTTGTACTGTTCTTTGCCCTTCAATCACTCTGACAATGGCGGGTGGGTGTATCCTAGTTATTAGCAGCTTCTCCATGCCACTATAATGGGGGATGCTTGGCCACCACTTATTCTGTCATGTTTCTTGCAAGAAGGGAACTTATGTTTAGTTTAATATGCTTTTACAGATTCGAAGTCATGCCCAGAAATACTTTTTAAAGGTTCAAAAGAATGGGACTTTGGCTCATGTACCTCCACCACGCCCTAAGCGTAAAGCTGCTCATCCTTATCCCCAGAAGGCTCCTAAAAATGGTCCGTATATTCTTACTTGATGGAGTTTCTGTCATCATTATTCTCATCAAATAATTGAAATCTTGATTTTCTGGCACCTGCAAAATACAACAGTTTTGGCTCCAGTTCAAACATCTGTCGCGCATCCTTCTTCAGTAAATCCTCTTGCGCCTGGATATATTAGATGGGATGATAGTTCCATGCTTGTAAGTCCGCCATCAAGTGGAGCATTGCCATCTCAAGATGACTTCAATCTTAGTGGAGCTGAAGGCATGCTCACAATCTTATTTATGTTATTCCTTTGTAATTCGTGTCACTTTATTTTCTTGGGAAAATCTCCACTAGTGTTGTGACGTCTAACTTTGTTGACTCAGCTGATATTGGACCAAAAGAAGCCACGAGGAGTAGTAATAGCAATCTTGGTGGTTTTGGGAGTTCTAATAGAACACTTCCAGCTGCTAACCTATCGGAACAGGGGAAGCAAGGTTCTCTTCTTCATGGTAATCTTATCTACTCGCGCAACATGCCAAAACTATGATTCTCTTATTATGGTTGGTACAACTTTGAGTAGTATATGCACAGATGTCGCCTCGGTGTAATACACCAGTGTTCTTAACGTTTGTGTAGGTTTTCGTTTTTCATTATGTCATTCTTTAGCTAATATTTGCAGTAGTCGTACTAAAGAAGCTTGTTTTAGTGCAAACACACAGGCAATTATGGCATGGTAGGTGTTACATGCTTCTATGTGTGAAGATATACTTATATATTTGTGTCGTGTTTGAATGATAACTTGCAACTTACTCAAGAGGGAAAAAAACCTTTCAAACTTTCTCTCAATGCAATGGTACATTAGTATAGATCACCCGAGTCAAAGTTCAATGAAGGTTAACATGAATTAGAAATTGCATTTGTAAAGGAATAGAAAGATCCTTTCCTTAATTCTTCTCCTCTTCTTTTTTTTTTATTTTTTATTTTTATAATCTAGGTTTCCAGTATCATCTTTGACACTGTGACGACTAAATTCTGATTTAAAGTCTTTATTTCTTATTTTCTTTTGTTTAGGAATAAGTCTTATGCAATGCCATGTGTAATTTTTTCAAATTATTAATGAATTGGGGAATGCCAAGGTACTGTCCTGGACTCCTGGTTAACCTTGAAAAAAAAGGAAAAAGAAAAAAAGATGAACTGAATGACTTCATTGGTTTAATCTTTGTAGGTTTACCAGATTTTGCGGTAGTTTATAGTTTCATCGGGAGTGTGTTTGATCCCAGCTCTGATGGTCATGTGGAGAAGCTGAAGGAGATGGACCCAATAAATTTCGAGACTGTGAGTTTACTGAATCTTTTTGTAGCTTATTTGTTGTTGTCTGCATGGCTAAAACTGAAAACATTCTAGACGGTGTAGGTTCAAGCTTGAATAAACGTTGCTGGCCTACAAAAATGTTGAAATAGGAGGTGTAAGCTAGGGGGGAAAAAAAAATAGCTAGGCATCAAAACAACTAGATTCCTGTTGATCAAAAGTCATTTATGCATAGGATAGATCGTCGAAAGGAATACAGGATGACAGCTTGAGATATGGCTGTAAAGATTCTGTGATGTTTTGCTGACAAATTTAAATTTCATGAATTTTTTGGGAAAGGTTCATATTTATGTCATCACTTTAGTATAGATGAGGTTCAGGCAGTATGGTGATTCAATAGCTGTGAAGGATAGTTCATTATTTTATTTTATTTTACTTTATTTTTCTCTCCCTGATGCACATTTTGCCGAGGAGAAGCATCTTATTAGGGTACTCAAACTTATATGAGTGAGCAGTGAAAAAATAGAGATACTTAAGCATCAGCTTTGAAATGCTTGCATCACATCAAATCAAAGGCTGAAATGTAATCTTGAGGGGTAAACAATTTGAATGAAATCTAAAACGGAGAGAAATGTCATCTGTTTAGCGGCAGTTTTACAGTTGAAGTCTCTTTTGTCCTGCTCTTCTCTTAATAATTTGTCTTTTATCTTTTTGTTTCAATAATATAGATATTTATCATTCAATAGCTGGTCGCTTTCTATGATGTAGCCAAGGTGAGTGAATGTTCCGTTCTTTAAACATGCAGGTTTTACTACTGATGAGAAATCTTACCATCAATCTCTCCAGCCCTGATTTCGAGCCGATTGTAAGCATTTTATATTTTATAAGAGATGTGTTCATGTATATTGGAATTGAATAATGTTTGCTTTGTTCACACGTTTCAACATGGAATTTCAATAGCCACGGCTCAATTCACCTCAATTTTCTAGTCATTATTCAGTTTATCTTATCTTTCCTCCTAGTAAATTAATACACTGGCTCTGGTATTATTTATTCATTACATTTGAATTGGATTTGCTTGATTGCATATTTGCATTGTCTTTTGGAATACTCGAGATACCAGTAGAGTTTATCAATTATCATGTGTTGCATTGTTGGAAGAACAGAATCCACAATTATGATGCTATATGTAGTTCTTTGTGCAGTTTATTCTATACATGTATTGGTTTTGGTGAAGAAACTTCAATAGTGAAATCTGTAGACATTTTAGTCCAACACCAGCTCTCCACCAAGTGAAATTAGCATATCATATATTCCTCAAATTTTTGCTTTTTGAATTTCAGTTTTGTGAGAATCATGCTTGGATCTGTTTTGCTGTCCAGCTTTGGAGTTTTGTGCTTAAAAAGACTGGCAAAATTGACCCTCGATTTGATATTTTACTCCTCCCAAAATGATTGTCCACTTTAGTACAAATTGTACTACAAATTAAAATCCAAAACTGGACAATCTTTTCGGGAAGGAGGGAGTATTGTCTTTCAATGTGTATTTGTAACTTATTGTAGGATAGAAGGAAAAAACCTTATGGTGCTTTGTCTGCCACTTGTCCTGTTCTTATTCAATATACTTTTTACTATAGTTACATGGTTTGCTTACCATGGATTTTCCATCAAAATGCAGAAAGTTGCTTTCTCTTCACATGATGTCAATACAAAATATATGGGTGTTGCTGGGGAACAATGGTTGAGAAGTTGAACTATGGTTTACCATGTTGAAGGCCATGGTTATGTTTATAAATTGGTAATTTTTTTTTAATCTTTTTTCTCTCTTCAGGCCGTCCTTTTTTTAAGTGTTAATAGCTGCTAAACTTTACCCTACATTTCTCATCAGCGTTTCCAAAAGTAACTCTGCACCAGTTCTGACATGCTTTATGTTGAGGATGGACCTATGGAGTTACATAAAGCAATGGCCAGAGGTAAGTGATTCTCATGTGGAAACTAAGCACATACCTCTGGTCACCGGCCTGAAATGGTCCCATGATTCAAAGGAAGAAAGGAAATGTGTCTCCTGCAAGTATGGCTATAACATGTATAATCTTAGTGTGTCACAGTCTCAATTTTGTGCGGCAAAAGTATCCCGTGCGGAGGATTTCTTTTGCATGTAAGTCAGTCTAGCTTCAAGAAATAGAAATGTGAAAATAAATTAAATCTTTGATTGATTTTAGTAGCAGTTTTTGGTATTTGATGTGAAGCGGCGCTCTGGTTGTCTGGTTGATGAATTTGGTGGCTATTTTAAGTGTAAAGCTTTGTTGCTGACTTTAAAATTTTGCTTCGTGGATAGTTTCAAGTGCAGGGATTTTGCCTCCATAGAATTTCATCTCGGAGCTGTTTATCTCTCTTCCCTGGAAGTGCTTTCACTATGTCTTCTCCGCAGAATGGCTTCATTTGCAGGATGCAGTCTGGGCAGTTTTTCTGAAGGGATGGTATCATCTGCTTGACATTTGGACCAAGCCTGTGACGGGACAAGCGGTTGAAGAAATCCATCGATCATTCATCCCGAATATTAGTCCTTAACTGGGATGCTAGTGATCAAACTGCCTATCTTTTGTGTACATCTGAAAGTGAATAAAAAATAGTCTTCTGCTTTTGTGACCTAGGTGGATGATTACTGGACCCTTGATTAGTTTTTTGGTGAAATAGATCCACTTATAATAATTCTGCAAACGGGACCAAAAATCCTTTTAACTGATATGTTAACATTCAAGAGTTGAGGCGGTGACTAAAGGTTACTTTGGTTTTTCTTTGGTTCTGATTGACCTAGCAAACTTACTTCATTGATGTGATATAACTTTGAAGCCTTCACCACTATCTGTTTGGTACATAACCAAAGCGAAAAGCGAATCATGATCAAGTCAAGGCTGAAATATCGTGGGGATACCTATTTACTAAATTTCCTGCCAATGGTCATGTGGTCGATCAAAGCAATTTTGCAGTGAAGTTTACTTCTTCTTTTTTTTTCCCCCGCTTTTTAAGTTCACTTCTTGTTTATAGAGTATGTCTCAACGTAATAATCAATTGTCTCTATATCCAATCCATTATCTCTATACTCAAAATACTCTCACTATCAAATGGTTCCATGACACTTCAAAAGGGTGAAAAACATATTAAGAGTGCTTTTTTTTTTATTTTTTTTACCTTGAATTATGCTACAAATTGTTGGCACTCCAGTGTGAAAGAAAACCCTTTTCAGTATACCAAAAAATATTTCCGCATACAAAAAAAAACAAAAAAACACAGAGAAAAAAAAGAATTATGAAGACACTTGATAATAAAATTTTACAGTGGGAAGGTGGGAACTCTAAATTGATTTTAAAACTAAAAACTGAAAAAAAGTCGCGAAACCTGCCGGAGCGTGTACCCAACCCAGTTACCAGAACCTCTGGGGGCAAGTACGACGAATCCTCTCTCTCTCTCTCTCATTCCCTTATTTTCTCTCCAGCGAAAGTCTGAAGTTCGAACCACCTTGTTGTTTGCGGTTTAAAAGAAAGCCTAGTCTCGCCCGCTCCGACCATTCTCGATCCTGAAAGCTGGACCGTCTAGTCTCCGGCCACTTCGGTGGGGGTAAGCTCTTGTCAATCAGGTTCTGCCGAGCTAATTTCGGGTAGGCAACTGAAATCGAATTTTAATTTGAAGATATATTTGTTGGGTTTTTAGTTACATCATCCAGAGTTTTGGGGATTCTTCCCAGTTAGATTCATTAATTTAAATATTCAAACTGCTGTCTGTAGCTCTTGTGTGATAGAGTGAAACGTGAACGTAGATGTTTCTGCATAAATTTCAAAGCTTCAATTTCTTGTTTTTGGTTGGGTGCAAGTTTATAAGTTTGGTTATGGTTGTCTTTTTTTCGCTATCTCAATTGTAGTTGTTGGGGCTTTTATTCTGGTTCTTAGGTCTAGAAATTCAAATTATTATAGTATTTATGCAAGAAGGCAGGTGTTGTTTCTCTAATTTGTGGCTAAAGTTGAAGAGTCCTGCTGTCAAATTTTCTTGCTTTTGAAGATCCCTAATGAAGAGTGATTAACCTTTGGGCTTTGCTTTCATCTGATATTGCTTACTTAGACTGGTAGAGACAATTTAACTTGCCCTGTTGTTCCAAACATCGAGATGTTTGATTTGTGAATTCGGTAGTGGAACTGAAATATGGCATGTGACGCCCCAACTTCGGGACGTCTCTGCTTGTAATTTAAAATAGTGAAACAATTACCATAAACTCGTTACAATATAGTTTAAAAACTCCTCAAATTTGATACATATAGTACACTTCAAGTTACAGTGTTAGTTTTAGAAAATAATAAAAATAATGAACTAGAATACTCGTCCAGGAACAAAATGTAAATTATAAATGTTGATCGGACCTTATAATTAAACGTAAGAAATTATTGGATTGACAAACAAATTAAGATTTTGTAATTAAACCATTGGCCAATCAAAGTGCACGCAAAACCCACCTATTTCTTTATACTCCCTCCGTCCCATAATTATTGTCCACTTTGCCTAAAAAATTTTGTCCCAAAATTATTGTCCAATTTGACTTTTTATGGATCAAGTTACACATTTGTCCTTAGTAAAAAACATTATCCATAAAATCTTTGTGGTTAAACAATTACTTATGTAGGGGTATATCCGGTTGTTCAAGGTAAAATATAGTTAATTTTGACTAAAAATAAAAATTTTTATTTTAGTAAAACTGGACAATAATTATGGGACGGAGGGAGTATAATTTAAAATAAAACCTCTCTAATTCCCACCCCTTCAAACCGGCCAAGCATCCCTTAATGGTTTCCCACATGTTCATTTTTTCTTAAAACCTCACCAGCAAACACTATTTCTCTACTCTTAAAACCATCCCGAATCCATCACATCCTCTCACCTCTATCCTTATACCATCATTGTTCAACATTGCAACCAAAGTGTATCATTGTAAATCAATTGAAGAAGAAGGAAGAAAGTGAGGAGGAATAATAGCCGAGTGAGAAAGAGAGAAGGGAGGCTGGCATAGGAGAAAAGAGGGAAAAGAGAAAGAGGAAGACAAAAAGGTAATGAATTTTAATTCCTGGCTGCTTAAATCGATTGTTTCTGATGGTGTAAGGGTGGGATGGAGTTCAATCAAGGAAATGTAGGAATATAATCTTATGAGGAAAACGTTTGGATTATTGGATTGCATGTTAAGAGTGATGATTTAGGATTTCTAAATAGAACAAGGATTTGGGTTTGTTGATGCTTTAGAAATCTTCCAGTAGCATAGAAATAATTGCACGCAATGGAATTGTAAGTTTGAAACAGAAACGAAAATATAGGTTTTCAGATTCAAATGCCCAAATTTGGAGGCTTAAATTCTCTATAGTCTTGTTGCAATTTTTGTCCAATTTGATTGGTTTCAATAACCATACTTCAAGGTTAAGAAGGCTCGTTGCGCAAGAGAAACTTGAGAAGGTGAGTTGCTTACATCATTAATGTCTTCATTGCATGGCTTTCAGTCGTTTGACCGCTACTTTACATCGATGCATGGGCCTTCGGATTTCCTTTGCATTTGTGGTTTCTCCTTGTTTGAACTTGTTTAGTTCAAAACTCCCTAGTATTGCTTTCAATTGAAAGCCATACTTGTGTGGACATTTAAAAATACAATTAAATTATCATTTCTGGACAGAGTTGACCAGTTGATTGCTGATTTCTTCTGTCTATTTATCTCTCTTTTTTACGGTTTGCAAAACAATTTTACGGATCTTCCAAAATTCTGATTGAAAACGAGTGTTCACTGACTACTTGCTCAAAAGGCAGAAGAATCAGATTGGAGCCCTTGTGTTAAAGGGCCTGTTTCTTCTAGCTCTTAAATTTTTCTCCAGAATTTCTTTTCATAAAATCCTTCCTTGTTTAGTCTAGTTTGTGTCAGTTTTATGGATCTTCAAACGGATTCTTGGCTGGGTGAGAGAATGGATTTGAAAATGGCTCAGCAGTCCTGATTTTCTTAAATTTCAGAATTTGAGATTTGAGCAGTTGAACTTAAGTTGCTTGTTTATCGTCATTTTAGAATCTTTTTGGTTGATTTCTGTTTGTAAACCTTTTCTTCGTTTTGTAAGCTGTACATGGAACTTTATGGATGTTGAAAGGACTTAAGATTGATGTAAAACTTCAGTTTAAAGATTTCTTTTCTGTTTGACGATTTATGAAGTTCATGATTCCAAATTTCAGACCCTCTGTTGACAGGGGCTTTTCTCCTAGATTGTGAACTCTTTTCCAGTATTTTTTTATGGAACTCTTCTTTGTTTGGTGACCTTCGATGCTGTTTTTACGGATTGCATAACGGGTCTGTGGTTTGTCTAGAAACTTCATTTGAAAATGACGGTTTAGTCACTAGGAATCTGGTTTGTGCGATTGTGTTCGGAGATTTGTTTCTCATATCTCTTAAACCTTTTTTATGAGATTTCTTTTGATAAATCCCTTCTATGCTTGATTTAGTATTTGCATAGACATTAGACATTAGATAGCTTATGATACGAGTAAACAATGACAAGTGTAAAAATTAATTAACAATTTGCGGAGCGATCTTAGTAAGTTGCGAGGTTAATCAGGTAAGTTACTGCTCCTGGGATTGTGCATGTGACTGTCTCCCCTTTACCATTACTATATCTAGTAGTTTAATATAAAGAGGGAATCACCTTTTTGGCACGGTTAACGCCCGGTTCCCTGTCCTTAAAACCCACGTGTCAACTGATGGTTGAAGTCCTTTATGTTTTGTCGCTTTCCTACTCTTCTGCTTCCCCTTCTTTTCTTCCGGTTGTCAGTCTCCTCTCTCTTCAGTCTTTCCTGCTTTTCCTCTTTCTTCAATTTCCTCTTGTTTAAATCTTTTTGCAATTTTGTTTAGAACCCGTTGATATTGCTCCTGTAAACAAAATCAAAGTAAAAAAGTTTGGGGTCTGAATTCGAATCCATGGAGTAGAAGAAGAAGATGATGAAGATTATGACTTTAAATTTGTAGGTGAGCTTTTATTTGTATTTCTTTTTGGGTCAAACTGGTGTTATGCCAGTCGAATTGGATTTTGCAGTGTTTTCATGATTATAAAATGGTTTGATTATGAGTTTAGTTGAAGGCTCACCCTGTGTGTTAAGTCTCTGATCTGCTGTTCCTCCTGCACTCTGATGTCACGGTAAAAGTTTTACTTGTGAAGTAATGCATGTTATATGTTTGTTTAAAGTCTCAAGAGAATAAGGAAAAAAAGGACCGAGAACAATTTTGTTCTCTGATTTGCCTTTGTGAAAACTAAAAGTGCTACAATTATCAGCCTCACCTTTCCTAATTCTGATGATGCGTGTTTGAATTTACAGTTGTATCTAAATTAATTAGTTCAAATCTTTGTTATTAGATTATTAAAACTAGATGGTACCTTTGGGTTTTTTCAATCCAACACACAACCAAAAGGACCTATAACCCAGCCAAGATTGTAAGCAATGGAGGCCCTCGAGCAGTTTCGTATCAACTTCATCAGTATAACACCTAACCTAAAGCTACGAGGCTACACGGCTAACTCTTGGATCACATGTAGATGCTATAGTAAACTGGGTAAAGTTTGGTACTGCACCTCGTGCGGTGCATCCAAGCTAGTATATATAAGAGTCTTCATTTATGAGAACATGTTGTATGTTGTGGGTGATTGTTGTGTGTGATAGGTTTCTTAAATGAATATTGCATTGTGATTGGAGAATATGCTATGGTTTCTAACTGTATTGCTCTGTGACATGGCATGAGGTAGCCTGGTATTTGGCTGATCATTCTGGGTGAAGAAAACTACGTGGTCTGTGTGATTTTGAGAATGATTGACTTGGTTGTTCAACAGTGAACTACTAGTGCATGCTTTATGGGTCCAATCTTATAGCAATCGTACTGGCAAACAGGCATTGGGCCTGGTCACTCAGGGAGAACTATAAGATCCCAGATTAATGATGGTATACTTGAGTTACCTGTGGAAGTCACTTGAACCAGAGACAACCACAACCGAAGGTGAAGGATATGCGCGCTTAATAAAATATGAAAACGATAAAGATGATGATAAGAGAATGATGATTGATTGTGCTTGGGCAATTGATCGAGCTATGGCTGATCCTAGAGAGTCGACTTGGGAATCAATTCTAAAGGACTACATAAGTCCTTCGATTTGGTTCTCGAGTTTGACTTGCCCTTTTGTGCTGACACTTGTTTACTTGATCTGTTTGTGCATTGCTTTTACTATCAAGATGCATGTTTGAGAGTGCTTACTTGTGCTTGAGATTTGCATGCTGTGTAGGTGTCCATAGGGTATAAAGTATAAACTAAAGGAACTCACCGGGCTTGCATGGCGCGAGCTCACCCCTATATATTACTTTCCCTATCCCAGGTTGACGGGTACGCGATTAATGTGCGAGGACAAAACACTATTGTAATCAATGATAATCGCAAAGTGTTTTCTTTGGAGAAAGGAATGGTGGAAATTGCCAAACTGTATGAATCTTTTACCGTTGCAAATATAGGGCTGCTTAAATGTGCTAAAATGTTTTGATGTAAGAAAATGTTTTAGAAAGATCTAATTTTGTAAAAATGGAAACCAAGTGCTTCGGCTGTGAAAATGAGTGTACAAACTTTGGAAATCAAGCCTTCCGCTGTAAAAGTAAGCGTTTAAAGATGCATTACATTTAGTTGTTCTGTTTCACAACCCCTTGGGCTAGAAATCGCTCGGTGGGCGGCCCAATGAGTTACAAGCATGATGTGTAAGGCTAGCTAACTCGGGTCGTCACATGTCAGCTGTTTGTCATTAGCTAGTACAGTTTGAGATCTGATATGGTTATCTTGGCCTTGTCACAAAGCTTACAATAATGACATTGTAAGCAGGGAGAGTAAGCTATTATATGTTTTATACACTTTTTAATTGCCAACCATTGCCTATTTTTTCTTTTCGAGGTCTTAATCATCTGAATGAACTTGGGAAGTTGCAGATGTTTACTGGGTTGAACAGTTACTTCCATACTTAAGTGGCTGGCTTTCTACTTCACACATTTCTCATACTTTTCCTTTCATATCGTGGTTTCAGGTTTAGCTGAAGATCAAACTAAATTAAAGATGCTGCAGAATGTTCCGCATCAAATTGTGCATTCTCCAGCCAGGTTAGGATTAACAAATCCTAATTCACCTTCACTTCAAAATCCTACTCCACCTAAGTTCTCTCAAGCCCCGGTATCTCAGTTTTCCAATCAGCAATCAAACCTATCAAGTGCAATCTCCACATCTTCATCCTTACTTCCCCTGCTCCCCCCTCTGCCCAGAGCTCAATCTATCCTTCTTCAAATGGCTTCCCTTGCTTCAAGACTTTTTGAAGTATCACCAAATAGGTCCCAGTGGATTAGTTCCTTTCGCGGTTCTCTGCCCACGTTCTTGACTTCCCAAGCCCAATCTTCAGCACCATCTCCACCAAATCTTTTGCCTTCATCTTCCAAAGAAATTCTTTCCCTTTTTTCAACTCTTCAAACTCAGCTGCTTGAAGCTATCACTGAACTTCAAGAAATTCGTGAACTCCAAGATGCAAAACAGAAACTCTCCCTTGAAATCCGGTCAAAGGACGCTGCTATTCTTACTTTTGCAAACAAACTCAAAGAAGCTGAGCAAGTACTTGACAACCTTGTAGATGATTATTCTGATTATCGTCGCCCAAAGCGGTCCAAGTTGGAGGACGGAGCAGAGGGTTCTTTAACAACTGTTACATCGCAGCTGAAACTGTCAGACATATTATCATATGCTCATAGGATCAGTTACACAACTTTCGCGCCGCCAGAATTTGGTGCTGGAGCAGCTCCTCTCAGAGGTGCACTCCCTCCGGCTCCTCAAGAGGAGCAGATGCGCGCATCTCAATTGTACAATTTTGCTGATCTTGATGTTGGTTTGCCGAAGACAGATGAGAGTAAGGAGAAAACTATTGCGCCACTGATTGATATGCCTGCTCCAGAAGATCCACTTTCTAGTCTTGCTGGAATGAAGAATCTGCTTCCCCCCAATATTCTTCCTCCAGCAGGGTGGAAACCTGGAATGCCTGTGCAGTTGGATCTGCCGCTAATTCCTCCAGTTGGATGGAAACCGGGTGATCCTATTACACTGCCTCCTCTGGACTCTCTTCCCATACCTCCAACAGTGGACGAGCAGCCTCGACCAGTTCCTCCAATGTTAATGAAGGCACCCGAGCCTATACAGGTCCGGCATGTGAAGCTTGATATTGAGGACGAAAGCAGTGATTATAGCAGTGACATCGGCAGTTCTGATAGTGAAGACTAATTCGCTGACTTTCACTGCTATTTTGAGTTATGTAGATAGTTGATGCATTCTGTCAAAGAGGAGCCGAAGTGTGTCAATTCGACATAGTACTTGTCACAGATTACGATCGAAGTTTTAAGGAAATGCCACGCTATTTTCCCTTATAAGCTATGAACTTTGTGCATTTTTGTTACCAACACTTCTTGTAATTTCTCAGAAATTTGGCTGTGTATTCGAAGTGGTGAATCATCTCAAGTCGAGAGGTTTCAAACTGTACCCAGTAAGCGTACAATGCATAATTTCGCTGTAAAAACATGGTCGATTTTACTTTTGTAGTTTCTTCGAAACGCATATGGCCCAACGTTAAAATAGTTTGCTAACCCCTGTTTTTTTTCCCAGTAAATAGCATTCGGTTAAACAAATGTGTAATCAACTCTAGATAGAAGCAACTAAAAGGGTTAATTTATTTAAAAATTCAAAAGACTCTAAATCATTTATTATTGATCTAATCTAACCTATTACTATAATTTTCAAATCCTATTTACACATAAAAATTTATCATCTAAACACCCAAAGAAAAAAGAAAAAAACAGAAATCTAAAGAGAAAAAGAATCAATTGTTGTTTCGACAAAATAGATGACATTTGATTCAAAAAAAAAATTAAAAATAAAACTTGATGACAGCTTGTTAGAGTAAATGATCAGGCCCAGACGAGCAAAAGGATGGTGAAGAATCGTTGTTCTTGGCCCAATTGTAAAATGGGCCATTTAGTAAAACCCTAAGTGGCACAAGTGTAAATATCGCCCATTTCCATCTCTATATATTCTCGCTACAAACTCAACCCTAAATTTCACTTTCAGTCTCAGCGGGCGAAAAACCCTATTTCCTTCTCCTCTTCCCCAATCCCCCAGGCCTAAATCGAAAAAAACTAAATGGCCGCCGCCGCTGCTCGCCCTCTCGTTTCCGTTCAACCGCTGGAGAACGATATGGCGACGGACGGAGCCTCTGCCACAAACTCCGTTCCCCAACCCGCCGTCATGAAGGCCCCGATCCGTCCTGATTTGGTCAAGTACGTTCACGGAAACATTTCCAAGAACGCACGCCAGCCATACGCCGTTTCCAAGAAAGCCGGTCACCAGACTTCGGCCGAATCGTGGGGTACCGGTCGTGCTGTCTCACGTATCCCTCGTGTTCCCGGTGGTGGTACCCACAGAGCCGGCCAGGGTGCCTACGGCAACATGTGTCGTGGTGGTCGGATGTTTGCTCCGACTAAGATCTGGCGCCGCTGGCATCGTAAGATCCCTGTCAACCAGAAGAGGTTCGCCGTTGCTTCTGCAATCGCCGCCTCTGCTGTGCCCGCGCTCGTGATGGCCCGTGGTCATCGCATTGAGTCAGTTCCAGAACTTCCCTGTGTCGTCTCTGATTCTGCTGAGGGAATTGAGAAGACTTCCAACGCCATTAAGGCCCTCAAGCAAATTGGAGCTTATCCCGATGCTGAGAAGGCTAAGGAGAGCCACGCAATCCGCGCTGGAAAGGGTAAAATGCGTAACCGCAGGTATGTTTCCAAGAAGGGCCCTCTGATTGTTTACGGTACTGAAGGCTCAAAGCTTGTCAAGGCCTTCCGCAACATCCCTGGTGTTGAGATTGCCCACGTTGAGCGCCTAAATTTGTTGAAGCTCGCCCCTGGTGGCCATCTTGGTAGGTTCATTATTTGGACCAAGTCGGCCTTTGAGAAATTGGATGAGATATATGGGACTTTTGATAAGAAATCCGAGCAGAAGAAGGGCTATCTTCTACCCAGGTCTAAGATGGTCAATGCTGATTTGGCTAGGATTATCAACTCTGATGAGGTTCAGTCTGTTGTGAGACCAATTAAGAAGGAGGTCAAGAGGGCACCAATGAAGAAGAATCCTCTCAAGAACTTGAATGTGCTTCTGAAGCTTAACCCATATGCCAAGACCGCTAGGAGGATGGCTCTTTTGGCTGAGGCTGAGCGTGTGAAGTCCAAGAAGGAGAAGCTTGCAGCGAAGAGGACACCCATCACTAAGGTTTTTTCTTTACCTGATTATGTTGATTTAATTTCATTGATCGCTTTCCTAGTACTGTTGAACTTTGATTTCTCATTTGGGTTTTGTAATGTTTATTAATCTGTGCTTCCAATGTTTGTCTGTTCTTGTTCTTGCCATTTCGTCCGTCTGCCTTTTCATTACACTGCTATTTTTTTGATGAATTCAATTGTGGGTTCTTGTACTGATGTTGTAGATATTTACACTTTCCTTTTATGATGCTATCCTTATGCCCTTTTATGCTAGTGTTTAGTCTTGGTTTTTCCTTTTTGTATAGAACAACTTAGCATTTGTGATGGAGTCATTAAAGTCTGCATTTGATCAGTTTGTGCTTCGTTGGGTTCAATTCTATGGATTTTTTTATTATCTTTTTGGGATTATTTTTGCTGATATCTGTATGTTTTGCGCCTGACTTCTGTCTATCGAAGTGTTGTTTCATAGGCTTCGTTATTGTGTTTTGAATATCATTGCTCTGTATGCTCTTTCTTTTGCATTTTTATTTTTTGGCTGTACTGCAACCATCTTTCTTTCTTTCGCAGGAGGATGCATCTGCTATTAAAGCTGCTGGAAAATCGTGGTACAAGACAATGATCTCCGATAGTGATTACACCGAGTTCGAGAACTTCACTAAGTGGTTGGGCGTGTCTCAGTGATTGACTTTTATTAGAATTTTTGGTTATCACTAGTGTTGTTCTTATTTAAACTTGTGGTTTAAAGACATGTACGTTCTATCTTTGGTTGGGAAATGTGAAACTGAGTATTCATACTTGGTCGTCCAGTTCCCAACTCATCTGGAGCTCAATCTTCTGGATAGTTTGAAGAGTTTTTGTTTGAAGAGATTTTATATTAAGGATATTATCGTAGCATTTCATTATCAATAGATGCATGCTGTGTATTTTATCATCAAACTTATAATTTGTTGGTCTGAAAATTGAGAATCAATTCTGATCCATACCATACTCATTTGTGAATTGTATTAGGCTTAGGTTCATATGGATGGTTAAGCTATTATTTTGATGTGGTTTGTTTCTTCTAGCTGGTATATGGAGACGGCTCATTTGAAAATTTGGAAGCCAATTAAGATATCACATGGATGCTTTTGCTTGAAAGAATTTGTGATTCTTCACTCCAGGAAAAGCTTTCATTGAGTATAAAATGATGTGTTTAGGACTGCAGAAATGTAGATTATTTCTAGCTAGAGTTTTAAAAGCGTTCTTGTGTGATTGGTTCAATGGTATTATTATGTTTGGTTATTTTTTTAGTGTGTTATTTTTGGTGTTTTTTCTATTCTGAATGTTAAAAAACATGAGACATCAATTAATCAAAAAATGTTAAGAGCCATCCGAAAAATCAACCTATGTAGCAAAAAATGTGTTACTAAAGTTATCTTTGTTTCATTTCTTTAAAGGCATTGGCCTTCTTTGGATTTTTTTATTGTAATTTGATTTTCTATTTGGTTTGATTAGAGCTAATATACTGATTTGCTGGATCAGCAACAAGTATGTGTCTTTTAGCTCTGTTCGGACTTTTCTCGTGGTTTGACACAATCCTGTTTTTTTTTTTTTTTTATTTATTTCCTGTCCTCATGAATCTAGGAATGAAATAATAATCCAATAAATTTGTGTTGGATTATATGTAGTATTCCGTTGGGATACTTCAATCTTACGATAATATGGTTAATTGCAATCCTACCATGAGATGGTTAATTTGACTAGCTGCATGCCTGCATCTAATAACATTACAGCGCGTTTGAGGCCTTGGCGTTGGCGGTCTCCTCTTCTTTTATCATGTTGATTCGCAGGTTAAAAACCTTTCTTCCTTTTAGACCTATTAAGGGCTGGGCTTGGTAGAAAGACAGTTGAAGAAAATATTTCGAAGCAGATTTGCCCGGTTGGTGCGTGTACTTACATTTTCATCTTTATTCAACTTCATAAAACATAATAATGGATTACCAGCAATTCTGGCTACCGCAGTGTCCGGATGATTTAGCCATAAAGGGTGTTGGATAATCTATGACAAGTCCAGAATGAAAGTAACGTGAAACCTTTTAAAACGAGATGATGGTAGAGAGATCGAACCTCTTAAGAGTTCAAACTGATTGGACATGGGCCAAATCCTAAAGGTAAACAATAACCCAATCCTGAACATAGAATATTACAATAACATCAAGTGACATTTAAGTCTAACTTGCTAAACTATTCTTAACATTTTTTTCATGATGCTCAGTGGGAGAATATTTTAAAGTTTAGCACTCACTAAAATAGAAAAGGTAATACAATGAAAGAAATTATGAGGACAATTTTAGAACTATAAAATTAAATCCAGATCCAAGATCTCTATTAACTCTACTTACTGTCTTTTTCGAGTTTGTGACTTTATTTTTTAATCTTTTGTCTCCCAATCTATTTACCTCTTGAAAATCCTTGTTTTGAACTAATCCCTTTTACCCTATTAAAGCAGAAGACATGAAACTTATGTGGCAACTAAGTATGTATCTATTTTGGCTCTAATGCACCATATTTTAGATTTTAGGATTATTTTTGCCACGTGTAAGTCTCTTTTAATTAGAAGTTATATAATTTTTTTTTTAAAAAAAACACATGTTTTACTACAAATAAGGATCAGTTACATTTCAAACGAATGGATATATTAATTCAAATTCAAATGTCCAATCGTATAGTTTTGCAGGCTTAATATAAACAAAAAATAAAAATACCTAAATCCAGCAATTAAGAATAATGCTTTATAAATTAATTATTTATTATTCCCTTATAACCTCAAATTTATAGGTATATTTTTTTAAGCCCCAAATCATAGCATAAATAATATATACGCCAAATTAATTCCTCAAAAAATAGTAATTCAATTAGATTTTAATAAAATAGTAATTTAGAAGGGGCGCCCGGGCATCTGCCTGGGCCAAACATCTAGTTTAAATTAGTTCTGTAACCTGTTTTCTTTATATTTTTCATTATTTCTTGTACCAGGTGATTTACAAATTCTCAATTACGAGATATGACAAAAAAAATTCAATAAATGACAAAAACAAAACAAAAGTTTGCAATGCTAAAAATGCATGAAAATAAATTGATTTTTTTTTTTTTGAAATCTCCCTATTCCTCACTAATATAGGATGGGGAGATAGATTTTTGAAAAAAAAATGAAAATAATATGAAAGGGAAAGAAGATAAAAAGATAGAGAAAGGGTGGAAGGGGAGAATTTCAGAGACATGTTGTCAACTACGAAGTGTATGCAAATAACAATGTGTAGCTACATATATTACGTTAAATACCTTAAGAAAATATACAAAGAATAACATATTTGCCAGTATTTTTTTAAACAGTAAAAGTGTCTTAGATAATTAGATATATTTAAGAGTTACTTTTGATATTAACCCAAGAATCTTTTATGGTAAATCAAGAGGCTGTAAATGAAGCAGGAGAACAGTCAAAGCTTCACTAACGGAGTTAAGAAACCACCGACGTCAGTGTTAAGTGTTGTTTACTTTTTTACCTTCTCACACATGTCAACCAATTAAACCCATAATAACCGAAGGGCCAAAGCCCGTCCGCATTTACGGATGCTTTTCTTGCAACTGTCAAGTCATCTGTATTCTGTACACTTCCCTTTACCAATTTCCATGATTAGAGTTTAGTAACCTCAAAAAGGAAAAAGAAATCCTACCACGCGCTATTATGCATTCTCTATCCCTCCAAGTGAAATACTACTAATTTTTTTCTTTGATACTTTTTTCTGAAAAAAAAAATAATATTATTATGTCTCTAATTTATTATTCAGTTTAAATTTTTATATTTAATTTAATTTATATTAAAATAAAAATAAAAATTAGATAATAATTTCGGAACAAAAATAGTACTATTGAACCTCTCCACTCCACACTTCGAATCTTGCCATTGCTCCGTGATCCCCACGCGGCACTGCTTGCATGGTTCGGCTACAATCAAGCAAGAAGGAAGAAGGTTCAAATTTTGGATCGGTCCCCCAAGTTTGGGGATACTACGGACTGATCCTCCTATTTTGAAAAAAGTTTGTTATGTATTCCCTGTATGCAATCGAACAATTAGGTTAGTAGCGAAATTGTGCAAGATGACTTTTGTAGAAATTCAAAGCATGATAGGATTAGAAGGAGCCTTTGGTCATCTCCACTAATTTTTATTTTTATTTTTCTTTTGCCATAATATGGAGAATACAACACAATTAATTTGGAAAGTCTAGTTTGATGAGCAATTTCATGTTCACCAGTAATTCTCTCGTTTGATGGAGAGGTGAACAATTTGAGCAACATATGAATTTATTAAAATTAATTTAGTCGTGCAAGTTTAGATTTATTGTAGCTCATAATTTGATTGAAATCTTAATTCAATATACACGTTAGAATGATGGTAGAAAACGATACAATCTGATTTGTGTCCGTTAACGGTTGATAAGCTTAAATTTGACAGTCTTGCAAGGCACATAGATTACTAATTAGCTCTTTTTAAATTGTAAATAAGTTGTACCATTTTCCTTGACAAGCAGTTGCAACTTTTTTCCATCGCCCAATGAAATAACTGTAATCTGCTCAAACATTAAGGACTATTTATAGTTTTATCAAACCATGGGGGTGGTCAAGTGATTGACCAGAAAAACAAAAAGCCCACAAAAAATATCTCTGTTTCTCTCGTCTTTTTGTTTCCTCCTCCCGTCCTCCGGCAGTACACTACTGTATCTAACCAATAAAAGCAGAAATAGATAATTCCTATTGGTTGAATACTGAATAGCACCAAAAAAACGTTTATCTCTTCCGATAATTCTGTTCTTTTTTCCCGCTTTACGATGGAAAAAATGCGGCTTTATATTGACGAGTCGGTAATGTAAAATTGTAAGTAGTATATTTGTGCCGTCCTCCTCCTCTTTTTCTACTTTCAGTTGACTAAACTAAAAACCTTTCTGCCTCTTTCATTTCGTCGCCAGTATTGTACGGCTGGAAAAAGAAAAAGAACAATTCCGCTCTTTTTAATTCCTTCCCAAATTACCCGAATTTCTCTCTCCCTATATATACACTTCCCGTTCATTACGTAGATATATCCCTTTCTTCCTCGTTTATATTACTACTCTTTTTTTCCCAGCTTACTTCATAATACTGTCTTTTCCTCACTTTCTCTTTCACACACTCACACACTCCACAGTCACGCATTTTCTATTTTGTTGTTGAATTTTGATTCTTAACTGTTTCGATGCTTGTTGTGATTTTTTAGTCTGAGGAGATAAATAAATTGTGTTTTTGAAATAAAATCGGAGGATGTTGGACTTGAATCTCTCCGTGTTTGCTGCCGAATCCGATGGGAATGAAGCTGTCTGGAAGAAGTTTCGTGAATTCTCCGGCGGTCAAGTGGAGGATTCCGGTACGTCGAATTCTTCTTCGATCGTTAATGTCGATTCATCCAGCACCGCCGCGGAGGACGACTCCTGCTCTGAGTATCGGTTTGAAGGCTGTCCGATCAGTTTTGAGATATTGAAGAGCGGCGGCGCTGATCGAAATGACTGTGAAGAGAGTGAGGATCGTTGCAATTTCTTGACTAAAGAACTCTTTCCTATTACGACTGTTGGTGAATCGTCGTCGAGTACAGTGCGGAGAGAACAGTGGTTGGACCTGGCGGTGGCGGGAAACTACCGCGCTCCGGCGGAGACGAGGATCGTTGCTCTGCAGCAGAGACAGCTGGTAAAGAAAAGTAGAAGAGGACCGAGGTCGCGGAGTTCTCAGTATCGTGGCGTCACTTTCTACCGGAGAACTGGACGATGGGAATCTCACATTTGGTTAGTGATCTTCTTATATCTGTACTCTTTCTTGTGCAATTATCTCCTCGAGGTTCACAATGCCAATACTTCTCGTTGTCTCTTTATATTGAAGTTGTGTCTTTACTCGAATTATGACTTTCGTATTGCTTCAATTCTTCGAATACGGTTGTTTAAGGTCAATGCCTGCTGAAGTTGTGTTAATGATAGAGCAATCATCAGCTGTTTAGTTTTTTTTCATCACTCACTGTCGTTATTTGAATTAGTAGACAAGTAGGTCATTAGTGTGATGATTTTAATTGTTTTGCGGACTTTATATTCATGTGTAGCGATGTGATAATGCTATTCTGAGATTTCGATTGTTTTCGTGGAACTTTTCAGGGATAATGGGAAACAAGTTTATCTAGGTACGTTTGCAGGCCACATGTTATTCAGGAGATTTGTATACTTTAAACCCTTTGTAAGACATCTGGATGACCTATTACACTTATGGTGATTTTGATAGGGGGTTTTGACACTGCACATGCTGCTGCTAGGTAATTGACATTTGATTGGTGGTTTTCTGAAATTGATGATAATTTTTTAAAGTTACAAGTGCTCTCTTGCCATTGTTTATGTTGTGAAAATCATATGAAAATCTGGAACCTGTTGCAGAGCGTATGATCGTGCTGCTATCAAGTTCCGTGGACTTGAGGCAGATATTAATTTTGATGTCAGTGATTATGAAGAAGATCTCAAGCAGGTTGTCAGTGTTTCCCTCCTAATCTGTTTACCTCATCTCTACCTGTTATTTCCAGAGATAGTGTTAAGTTGCTGTTGATGGTGTATACCTGTGTAGATGAAAAACTTGACCAAGGAAGAGTTTGTTCACATACTTCGTCGCCAAAGTAATGGGTTCTCCAGAGGCAGTTCAAAGTACAGGGGGGTCACACTGCACAAATGTGGACGCTGGGAAGCTCGAATGGGGCAATTTCTTGGCAAGAAGTTAGTCCTGACTAGATCTATTCACTCAGATAGCAAGTCTGTGATTTTTAAAATAGCCAAAGCATTATCTTAAGTAATTTAAATATCCATTTTGCTGCAGGTATATTTACCTGGGACTCTTTGACAGTGAGATAGAAGCTGCAAGGTCTCATGAGCAAAATTATTTTCCTGAAATTTTTCTTTGTGTAAAGTTACTCTTTACCTTAGTTCGAGGATCATCTCTCAGTGGCTGTGAAATGTGGATTGCCAAATATTCTCTTTACTTGTCTAAACCAGGGCATATGATAAGGCTGCTATTAAATGCAATGGAAGGGAAGCAGTCACAAACTTTGAACAAAGCTTATATGAAGAGGACTTGATTTCTCGGGCAGATGAAGGAGGTATATCTTCGAACTACAACATTTTAGCAGTTTCTTTTTACAATGTCTTAATTAAAAGTATTTCCGTTATTTAATTAGATGTGTCTATGCAGGGCATAAGTATGATCTGGATCTCAACCTGGGTGTTGCTGCTTCCCCTGATGTTGGTTGCCCAAGTGAGAATGTTTATATGCTAGGCCTCAAGGACCAATGTAGCCCCAGTTTTGTGTTTGAGCAAGCCGGAGCAAGGGTATTGATCTTGTGCTGTTTGCCATTTGGTGTGTTGAATCGCTACCTGGACGAACTTATGACCAATTTCATTGTGCTTATCTCGTTTTGTATGTAGAACTTTGATGTGGCAGCACTCAATAATCAACTGTCACATGGCCATTATAAAGTGTCCAAGAACTCTCCCTCACAGAATGTCATGATTTCCAGTTTAGTTCCCACCCACAAGGTACTCCTATGTGACTGATATATGATTATTTTGAAGAAGCATCAGCGCAGCTTAATGTTTTGTTCATCTGGTTTGATATATACCTTGTTAAAAATTAATCATTCATGAGAGGGAATTGAACTTTTATTTCTAAGACACCTGCCAAATGATTTATGGAAATTAATTAATTCTTGATGGCTATGGCTAACTGTTATTGATGATGTTATCTCCGCAGGGACCAGCAATAGAGAAGAGTATGGAACTTGCTTTCCCGCCAAACTTGGCGTGGGAAAATCAGCATCCTTATATTGGGGTTGCTCAAAGACTCTTCTCTACTGCAGCATCATCAGGATTCGTCAATACCATCCCTGCATCTTCATCAGCAGTTATCCATCAGCCAATATTTCTAAGGTCAACGGCATCCCTACCCCATCACTCCTTTGCACCATTGACAAATGTGGAGAACATACCGAATTATCATCACTTTGGGAGCTGAACTAGTTAGCAGGTGATCATCATAAGACTTCTACTTTTTAACTTCCTAATGGAAGATTAAAGATGGTTAACCATGACCAGAATGTGTTAGTTAATTGCTTACATTCTCCGTTGTAAGTACATCTATGGTTGAAATTGTTTAGGTTAGCTTTTCAAAGCTATATGTGGTTCTTGAAAAGATGTAACCCTTGCTAATTCTCCCATGCTTTATATTGTTTGTAATCATTGAGCTTGATGGAGATCCTCAGTCCTGCCCTTCACTCTTACATACTTTTGATGGGGCATGCTATTCCATTCATCATCTCTACGTTAGAGAAACTTTTCTTTTAACGCTTTATGAAGCTTGGTTTTGCTTTGTCGAATCCAATCCAATGGTAAAACTCGAAAGTCATCAGGATCGCTACTGGTTTACCGGTTTCTGCCTACGCGCTCTACAAGATGTGTACATGAATGAAGAGATGTGTAATTCCCTTTTCGAATTTATGAAAGCTTAGAATTCTCTTACTCCTTTTGCTCGTCACTTTGATATATGTTTGTCCAAGCACTGGGATTGGGAGCCCGTAATGCTCCTGTTTTGTTTACCACACATGGAAGGATACATTGTACTTCAAAAGTCTTGTACCTTGTAAGGTATTATTGAAACCGGCCATCAACAAATGGTACTGTTTTGATGAGATGAAGGAGAGTGATTATAGTCACTTTCACTTGGGTACTTTGTGATCGTCTTCTACTTTAGAGACCACAATGAATATTGTGTAATTCATCTTTTTCCTCAGTAAAATGAGGGATTAGTTCATGTTTTTGCACGGTAAGTGATTAGGTGTAGGATTGGAATGTGAAATTAGATGATACGTTGTAAGGTTTTGGCAGTTTAAACATTACAAAAAAAAGAGAGAAATGGGATACTCATCCATAATAACATCAGATTATGATTTATGAGCTGGAAAGAAAAACCTTTCCCTGTAGACTGATTTCTCATTTTTGCCTGTGTTGAAAAGTAGTTTCAGTGCTTTCTCTGTAGACTCGTTTTATGGCCTACTCCGTCGGCCTCAATACTGTTATGGGACCATAGAGCTCTTGTTATCCTTTGAACAAAAGAACCTGAAAGTCCACATTTGTAATTGTTGGCTTTTGGTTCCATCAGTCAGATCAACTTTTAAGGTTCTTGCTCCTTAATATATTTGTCTGCTTTGCCTCAGTTGTCGTATTGTACTTCTCAGTTCTGACTGTTTTTAGTGATCCGTTCCTAAATGAATATCCTAGTGATTGAATTTTTTTTATTTTTCAAAAACATAAATCTTACTCCTTAGAGAAGAAGTAAGCATTATTTATAATGTCTCTCCTCTCCCACCAAAACTTACCCAGGAACAAAATCACACAAGTGTGATGGAATTTTTAAGACTTGAGCATTAAAACGAAATGAATAAAACAACTCATTTAATCGCATTCTTTTCGACTCAAAATGAAACACACTCATTTCGGAACTTGCTACAGTGTTATCAGTTATTACTAAAGCGTGAAGAAAACATTCAATTTCAGCTGATACCTGGATTATCAATCATCCTTTGTAGGAGGCATGCCAAAATGTAAGGAGAGCTGGAGGACGACCAGTGTGCTTTTTGTTTCGCCCAATGAGAGAGATTTGTTTCCGATGATGCCGTCAACAGTGTCGCATGCAGGACACATCTGAGTAAAAACATTATGATAGCTATCACTCTCGCACAGCTTTTGTACGTGACAGTGGATGTCCTCTTCATCCTCTCTAGTAATAAAAAGAGAAAAAGAAATGCATTAAATTTGTTATTCAACTGGGATTTGACAATTCATGATTAAATTTTCTACGTACTCTACAGTACCCTTCCAGTTGCGATCAGAATAAAATGTATTTTTGGGCTAATCAGAGCAGGTTTCAAGGGTGAACATTATGGACTAATGGTCTGTTCAGGGGATGCAGAGCCCTTTAATGGAAAGGCCCATGTAAACATACGATGGCTCCTTCAAGGAATTCCGCGTGCTTTGTCATTTCTTCAGTCTTCCTACTTGTGGCTTTTATATCACAGCCTTTTTAGCTTTGTTCCTACTTCCCTTCCTAAAATCTCACTGCAGTCATGAATGGATGATGGGATTGTCGCATCAAATTGTCGTGGCAGCCTTTTTTTTTTTTTTTTTTTCTAATTCACCTGACTGTTAAAAAAGTGAAAACAAAGGGGCATCCCAAAATAATTCAAGATCTCTCGAGCTATAACTTGGGTTAAAGGTTTTTTTTTTTTTTTTTAAAACGGTTTTATGAATGCTCGCTTTTGGCCTTTTGCAGATCTCTGTTTTTTTAGGGTTAACACTAACAGTTGGTAAATGGGTAGAGTTACTAATATGATGAGATTTACTCACACTTCCATTATAGTGAAATAAATCGTGAAACAAACTAAAAACTATCATGATAAAAACAGAAGAGCAAAAATACTTCCTATGTCCTAAATTATTGTCCAGTTTGGATTCTTACTTTTAGTACATTTTGAACTAAAAATGAAAATTCATACCAGTTTTATTAATTAGTTTCTTAGTGTAGTTGCTTTCCTATTCCTTAATTGATAGTATGGATTGCGGAGAACATAGTTGATTGGACAGTTAAGTCCTGCAACCGACTTGTTCTTCTACTTTTGGGCCTTAGTTTCATGAAACATAAGTTAGTGTTTGATGGGCCTGGGACTCTTAGCACGGTCCACCTATGCCTAGCCTAGCTCCTCTGGGCTAAATCTAGCCCAAAAATAAAGGGATCCAGTTGTACTTTGTCCCATAATGGAACAATATTGTTTTGGGGCCCACACGTTCATTAATTAAGGGAGTTTTTTTTTTTTTTTTTGGGTAAATACACAGTTTAGCCTACTAGCTAAGGTTACAAAAGCCTAACAGGCCGAGAATTCTTCTTCTTCCTAGCATCTGCTTCCACTAACAGACTAGTTGAACTTGAGAAACATAAAAAATATACAACCCCCTATCACAATTTAAAGCCTCTTTCGCTAAGGCATCCGCACACATGTTATTATCCCTACACGTGTGCTTAAAATTCAATAGCCAATTGGCTTTCAAAAAATTATATAAACATCTTAGCTCCGAGACAAGTGGAGTCTGTGACTGATCCTTCAATTGACTGACAAGCTCAATAACTACCTGAGAATCAGACTCAATTATAAGCTTGATGATACCTCCTTTTGCTGCAACCTCCATTACCAAAGCTATTGCTCTTAGTTCAGCGGTTTCTATGAAACACACCCCGAGGTTTGAGTTGAAAGCTGTTAAGAAACGACCAGCTTCGTCCCTATGGATAGCACTAGCCACTGCCTTTCCTGAGGTTAAACAACAGCCCCATCACAGTTTACCTTCACCCAATCCTGACCAGGACTTTTCCAGCCCTGCAAAGTTTCAACATGAACCCCTCTTCTACTGAACTTGGTCAACATGCTATACTTGTCAATTTCCATTGATTTATGGATTGTAACTCTGATCGCCTAATCAACCCTTATGGTACCACCGTTGTAAACCCTGCCATTTCTCCAACTCCATCATAACCAACACGTGACCCTAAAATTAGTCTTCCATCGTAGATAGCTTGCACTCAGATTGGTCCGCAGCCATAAATTGATGTCTTGCTGAAAAAATGTTTGGCTTTTGTCCCTGGGCACCAGCAGCTTCCACACATCTATTGCCAAAGAGCAATCTCTCAAAGCATGAATTGTTGATTCCGCTCCTCGGTTGCAGGAGGAACACACCTCAGTTTGTACTGCTTCTCTTTTTTTACATAACACGTTCGTTGGGAGCCTATCGTGCAGGGCTAGCCATAAGAATGACCGTATTCTATGTGGTCTATCCCAGCTCCATACCTTCTTCCAGTCCCTATTAGCCTGCAAAAAAGTATTATCAAGTGCCAAGTCGTATGCCGACTTGACAGAGAACTTACCTGTTTTGTTGAACATCCAAGAGGGCTTGTCCTTCCCTAAGCTCTCTATCGGTGGTGGCAGCCTGCAAACTTGAGCAACCATATCACGAGAGAGAAAACAAGCTAATTTTCACAACATCCCAACTACCATTAGGTAAAGTGAATTCCACCACTGGCAAATCCCTCTAATCAGCTGGTACAAGTCTCAAGGCTTGCCCCGCTAGTTTCCCCACTCCTTCAACCCAAACATCTTCCAAAATCGAACTGTTCTCCCATTCCCTATAAACGAGCCAAATGAAAGACATCAAACACTCCCTTCCATGTATGGGATGCACTCTTGCTCCTTCGTAAGCGTGGAGAGTCTCCCTGGCTTTTGCAGTATTTTGCCATGACAATTTGAACCCGTAGGTTGTCCTCCCTACTGATTAATTCCCATCCTATTTTCATCAAGAAAGTCACATTATTCTCCCGAGTTTTTTCTCAGTCCAAGGCGACCTTTTTCTTTAGAACCAGAAACCGTATTCCAGTTGATGAGATGCAATTTCTTTTTGTTCACAGTGGATCCCCAAACAAACTCTTACACCAGCTTATCAACATCGTCGCAAACAGCTACCGGGAGCCTAGTTGATTGCATTTGGAACATTGGTATACACTGGAGACATGATTGTGCTAACGTAATCCTCCCTGCTAGAGACAAATTTTTAGTTTTCTAACTAGACAGTTTGGCCCTAACTCTATCCAACATCTCATTATAAGTAGACTTCGTGACTCTTCCGCGTAATAGGGGTGACCCAAGGTATTTTTCTAGGTTGTTGGTCACCCAAATCCAAAATCTTCACTGATGGATCTTTTCAATTGCGCCGGTGCATTTTTAAAGAATAAAATTTTAGTTTTCTGCCTGTTCATTCTATCCCCTAATGTCCTACAAAATGCATCCAAAACATTAATGATTACTTGTACCTGCTCTAATGTGGTTTCTGAGAATAAAAACAGGTCATTTGTAAAGAATAAATGAGAAATTAGAGGTCCATGTCCTATTCTAAAATTAAGGGAGTTGATTTTCATACTTTCCCTTTCTATAACTCACTTTGGTACCCTAGGACTGGTTTATTCATCCGAATGCTAACATCTGTTTTGCAAGCTTCTGACCTTGTAGGCCATTAACTCACATGACATAGGGTTTTTCCTTCATCAGCATTGAAATGCCTGACTTAAACTAGCGTCCCATAAGAACAATTAATGGTATTTTGAAACCAGCATTGTACTTCCCCTATTCATCTATTTATATTTATTATTGCTGTACAAATTATGATTTATCATTTTAAAGTGTTGACCCATAGTTGTCTTTTTATGTGATTTGTAGCAGTTTGAATTCTTTTCAAAGTATCTATCGCTAGTAACAATGATTAAGTTCGTGAAAGGGCGAACTAATTAGTCGAAATAGATGATTGTTTTGCAGTTGAAGGCAAAATCTGGAGACCCGTTCTAGTTAAGGTATTGTCACTACTCATTTTGTCCCAAAATAGCTAGGAATTAGTAGAAGTATCTTGTATTGAGAGAGAGAGAGAGAGAGTTGTGGGCTTCCCATTCCTCCTGTCTGCAATAGGTCAAAAACCCAATTTGTCTCCATTTGGATTTGATATTGGGCCTTAAAGCTTCCAAAATACTAGACAATAAAAAAGATATCAGTGGGCTTCTAAGTTCCCCTGGAAAACGGAATCAAAAGTGTTCAGACGGATACTCCACTTTACAACCAGAATTTCTCCTCCACGTGTTCAGAGACTATAAGAAAGACGGCAAAACTAAGACTTCATTAAAATGGAAAACATTTCACTTGGTCCATCTCTGTTGGCTTTAGTCCCTTTAAACTCCAAAATTAAGGGCGTCAAATTAACCTCTGATTTGTGCAAACGTATGCTAAATCACACATTCACACAGATGGATGTCCTGATTAGCATTGAGATTAGTGATAAAACAGGGCAGAAAAGAAATGCCAATTGTCCCACAGATTGTACATTACAGCAGCACCTAGAACTCTCTGGATGTTGCCTTCTGGGGTCCACAAATGTCAAATTTCTGCCAATTTTTCAACCAGTAAACTTTTGGACTAGTTTTTATTTCCAAGTCTTAATTAAGACAGACTCACAGTCTAAGTTCATTGCCAAAACCTGATTCTGTACTGAGTGAGTTTCGAGTTCATCAATTTTCATTTGGTTTCTCAGAAGGTCTCGCTAAGATACACTGCAAATTAATCCGAGTTTTTTTTTTGTGTCATGTTCTATATTTAGTTATTAATGATAATCTAATGAATGCAGGGTTTTATTAAACTATAATGGGGAAATCATATCCGAAAGTGAGCCCGGAATATGAAAAGGCCGTGGAAAAATGCAAGAGGAAGCTGAGAGGTTTGATTGCTGAGAAGAATTGCGCCCCTTTGATCCTCCGATTGGCGTAAGCTTTTTTATTTAATACACTTTTGATCCCTTTTTACTACATCCATCTTTTTGTTGAATTTTTGAACGGCTTTGTGTTGTTATATTCAGATGGCATGCAGCAGGGACTTATGATGTTAAAACAAAAACTGGGGGACCATTTGGGACGATTAGGCACCCTCAAGAGCTTTCTCATGAAGCCAACAACGGCCTTGATATTGCTGTTAGACTTTTGGAACCAATCAAGCAGCAATTCCCGGAATTGACCTACGCCGATTTCTATCAGGTGAGGTTTTCTTGTTTGGTTTTTTTTCCCCTGTTCAATGAAGCTACTTCAAGTGTAACTGATAAGGCAAGTTATCATTGTTGCTGATTTGTGGATTTGAAGTTGGCGGGAGTTGTTGCCGTTGAAGTTACTGGAGGCCCTGAAATTCCATTTCATCCGGGGAGACCTGTAAGTATGACTTGAGTTAAGCTTCCTAAAATATGGTTTTGTATGGATCCTTAGTTTCTTGTTGAGTTTAACAAGGTTAACTAAGTTGTGGAGGTTTAATTCAGGACAAGAATGAGCCTCCTCCAGAAGGCCGCCTGCCTGATGCCACCAAAGGTACAGAATAACTCTAGCCAAATTGTGTTTTTTTTTTTGGGACACAGATTTTGCTAAGATGATAATCAAGTTGGAACATGACATGGGATCAATGTGGTTGTTGTTGTATGTAGGAACTGACCATTTGAGGGAAGTTTTTGGACATATGGGATTGAGTGACAAGGATATTGTGGCTCTTTCTGGTGGGCATACCTTGGTATATTTCTTATACTTTTGCTCATTAATTTGCTTCTGACCGTTTAAGTCGTATCGATTCTTCGCCTGAGTTTTGATGAAGAAATTGAGGATGAGAAGACATATATGCTAATGGTTCAATGGGATAAAAATTTATCAGGGAAGGTGCCACAAGGAACGTTCTGGATTTGAGGGACCCTGGACAACAAATCCACTTATCTTTGACAACTCCTACTTCAAGTAATTACCAATCTTTGCTGTCTAAAGTATCTGTTTGTACAACAATCTCTGTCATGAAACCATTTACCGATCTTCAATAATTGAATGAATGCAACTAACCACTATATCATGTACTAAAATGCAGAGAACTCTTGAGTGGAGAGAAAGAAGGCTTGATTCAACTTCCATCAGACAAAGCACTGTTGGAAGATCCAGTGTTCCGTCCCTTAGTTGAGAAATATGCTGCTGTAAGTTTCTGGATTATGTCCATTTTGTGGTCCACTCATTTAGATGGTATAAAGCAAAACAGTTCTTTTTAACTGTCTGAATATGCTGTATTGTGTTATGTTATAGGACGAAGATGCATTCTTCGCCGACTATGCTGAAGCTCATCTCAAGCTCTCCGAACTTGGGTAAGGGATTTTTCTTTGTTTCTATTTTTTTGGTTTCAAAACTCTGATCTCAACAGTTCAATGCTGAATGTTGAAAGTGCCGTGTCAAAGTAAAATATAATCTCACTCAACTGTCTTAGCACTCAATCTCATCGGGCATTTGTCTTCTGTATCTTCTAATTGTTGGATTTGGGAACGTGTTGAATTCTATTCAGATTCGCGGAGACGGAGTGAAGTTCTTATGAGGACACCAATCCAGCAGCATGAGTTCCCCCCATGTTTGTTAATGAATGAGCTTAAAAAGTATTTGCAGTAGCTGGAGTCAGGAGATTTGATCTTATTGTCCCCATTCCAATGTAACCATTTCGTGTACTTCATATATGTTGGACTAGTAATAAAAATAGATCAGCCTTTTGTAATGGGTTTTCTTATAGTTTTTATCTGGGGGATCTTGACTGCCTGTTTTGCTGTTTTTTCACTTCTGTGAAATGCTCTACTGCGACGGTTTAATAGTTTGTCCAGTGGCCGGCTTTTTTTTTCTTTTTTTCTTTTCCCCAACAACTCTCAAGAACGGCCCATTCAATTCTTCTTCAGTGAGGCACATATAATCAACTCGAAATTTTCGAAGAATAGTTCGATTGAAGTTTCGACTTGTCATTATTGAAATTTTTCTAGTTCAATTCTATGTTAATCCGACTGGTTTGGAAAACCACAAATTAAATGCATTTTGACAAAGGTACTTGCTTTCAATCTGCACATCATCATCAAAGACATACCTCCAGCCGATGATAAATTTGGCCACCGTCGGACACGGCCACAGATCGGCCATCATCGTAAGCTACCCGGGCGCTGGAGACGGCCACAGATCGGTCAATAGTGAAGAAGAAACTTCAATCCGACAGCTCCGTGTTACTCTAATTCATCCGAATCACCCTTTAGAAGCATTACAGGAAGTTGAGGAATGGAATCAAATGGAATCCTTAAACCACCTGTACAATTCATGCTTTCTGCCGTCAAAGACGTCAGAGTGTAGCACTCCTTTTTCGGATTTTCACTGCTATTGAGAAAATGGGTATGTTGTTTTTACTAAAGGGTATTAGTGTAATTTGACCCTTAAAAAGTCAAATTGGACAATAATTTTGGGACAAAATTTTTTTGACAAATTGGACAATAATTATGGGACGGAGGGAGTAATCATTTTCTGAATTCTTAAATTCCTTTGTTTGTTTACTTTTGGGAAAGGAAAAAGAATCCTGAAATCAAGAAAAATAAACATAACTTTCCTGAATTATGATTTCTGGGTGGTATTGTGATTCCTATCTTTTAGGATTTTAACATTTACTCACTTTTTATTCTCCATAACTTTTTTTTTAATCATCATTTTCACATCATTCATATTTATTTATTTTTTCTGAATCTAATTTATATATATATATATATAATTTTTAAGTTTTTTTTTTGTAATTTGATTAATTATCTTTTCACATTATTAATTGACAAAATATTTGATTGGCCACCTAAAAACTAGACACTTTATCAAATTAATTTTTTTAATAAATAAAAGATAGGACTTGGATTATGCTAGGAGTAAGAATGAGAAAATTAACTTTTAAATATTTCCTTAAAGTATATCACAACATTGTAGAATAATTTTTTAAAAAAACTGTAATACTTATAACATAGTTTTAACTTGTAATAATAACATAGTCATTGTAAATAAATTTAACACTCAAAAATTCATGTCTATCATATAAAATTAAATTTGAATTTAATTAATCTAACTCAAAATTGAATCATCTTTGATGAATTATAAATTCAAACATTCAGACACACATACATGTATACATGGAGTTAATGTACCAGTAGATGACGTTACACTTTAAGTATATCTCCTCGAGATTTTGAATCGAATTTCATAAAGAATATTTCGGGGGCTTATAGACTAAAAAAATATTATTTTACATTCAAGTATATTTTCTAACATGTAACCAAACAGAAGAAATATTTATATTCTTCAGAATCATATTCTTAAGAATCACAAAATAAAATAAAGTATTAATTTTTCTCAGAATTAAAATATCAAGAATGCTAACTTTACTTTCCCCAATTTTCCAAACAACCAAACATGCCAATATAATCTTCATATCCTTGCTCTATCTGTGAATGTAATTTAGAAAAGACCACAAAAATTAGCAACTGTAGCAGTTTCAGGACCTTTAGGTTATCATTGTCTTGATCAAGATTAACCTCCAGTTCGAACACAATATTTGCTTCAACGTGATGTAATGAGGATCACTTACCTCGAAATGTTTTTCTATGATTAAGACGTTTCAGTCCAATTTTCACCAAATGGAAAAAAAAAAAAGATATAACACAACAAAATTTGGTTGTGTTATTGAAAGTTTTGGGTCACGACTCATGAGTCCACCCGGAACAGTGTCCAAAAAGTGAATTGAATTAGTTATTCTGCTTTATACTTTACAGAGTCAAAAGCTGGCCAAAATTGTTTTTATACCCCCATTTTAGTGCTGTATTATTGTCTCTCCATCACTCCATGAAATGGAAAAAGTCAGATGATACCTACCTACTGTTAGAACACGTGAGTTACTTTTAAGATCTGCATCAAACCATGACAGTTATTTTGTTCTGAGGAAATAGATTTACTAGTTACCACCTTAAAGATTAGTTCGCAACTTTACATCACTAGTCCTTTATGGGCTTTTGTCTTGTAAGTGACCAAGGTTATCGAGGTTATAAAGTCTAAACAATTGAGACACTACTATTCCTCTCGAAAAGAAAAGTCCAGTTTGATACTGGTTAATTTATTGTTATGAGATGTAACATTTTTAATGAAGATAATAATTTATTTTATTGAACTAAAATAATACATAACGTTTTTTTTTTGTTTGTATTTTTTTTTTGGTGTAATGGAAAGAGGCATAATGCCTACAAATCTAAATTATTACAGAACGTTAGTAAGCAATACCAATTATATCATGTTGTAACCATGGCTTTAATAATACAATAATGTTGATTGTTGAATATTCATAACTTTCCAATTAAGGTCATCCCAACTCCCAAGTACTTTAAGCCGGTTATCAAATTGCACTTTACAGGGCTTAAATACTTGAAACAGCGAGGATAATGAGACCGACGTGAGGTTAGACTCTCGGATATGTTTTCCCTTTCCGATCATGCGTTTGTTCCACATCTATAATGTGTGTGTGTGTGTGTTTTTTTTTTAAAAAAACAAATAAAAATAAAAAAGTTTTGAGTGTCGACCCATGGTATGATGCAAAACTTAAAGACACAATCATTTTCCTGAATAGGAATATAATGTCCATGATTGGTAATTGATCTGAAAAAAAATAAAATAAAATCTATCACATATGCGGATATACAGAATCACAGAGACGGTAAACTATTGTGTATCTTGTAGCTTCGAAAAGTCCAGGGACTCCATGATACGATCCGGATGCATATACTTGGAGGCTAAGGAAAAGCTTAAAGTCAAACCAAAAAATAAAAATAAAAATGTGACAGCTTAGTGCATATATATAAACCTAAATACTAGTACTACATTTTAGTTGAGCTGGTATTTGTCATCAATAATTTAATTAAAGTGTAAAGGAGAGTTCATCAGATTAGTAGTATTACAATAAAGAAGATAAAAATCACACCTCTTTTTGGAAAGGTACACTAAACAAAGTTGAAAGACACACACTTTGCTAAAACTAAAAGTAAAAGGTGGGTGCCATGCAGCCAAACAATCACTATGGAAAATAAAAAGAGGTCGCATTTCAAAAAAAAAAAAAGAAAAAAGAAAATGCCCATATCCTCTTATAAATTCCCGTAACGAATACGAGACCACTAATTGGTGCCGTAATTAGAAAATTGAGTATGTTAATCTCAGTCATAAGAGTTGAAGGAGAAAAAAAAAAAATATATATATAAGTACTTTGTTCAAGAGGGACAAATATTGGATATATTAATTGTCCAGTGTTACAAATTTAGATTAATCGTAAAAATGAGTTTGAAGATTAGTTGGGTAAAAAAAAGAGGACTGAAACCAAAAAGTAATGATAAGATTATGTTGCTGTATATTTATTTCCCACGTAAATTAATTAGTTGATATCAATATCAACAGGTACCTAAATATATGGGCTGTTAAGAAAATCTTTAAGCGGGATTGAAGATCCCGCACATCATTGTAGTAGATCCTTTTACCGGGAAAATCTTGGTGGGTATTTAGTAAATTTCTTCTCTTGTCTTTTGAAAATCAAGATTAATTAAAAATAAAAATTACGTCTCAAAACAATTAATCCATTTTTTCTTTTTTTTTTTATCTATACGTTTTTATGTGTGGTAAAAAATTCAGAAACTGGTCCATCCCAGAATTTTTGCAATGGACAACAATGGCTCCCGACGCTTAACGTTTGACTTTCGGTCAATCGTCGAGTCACACACTTCTTCCCTAGCTTTTGTTGTCGTTTCGCTAGCGTCCAACGTAGACCCATTGTCCAAATATGTGGGTCCCTGGCCCATAACCTTCGTCTTCCCTTTCTCCACTTTTCCACTTCCCCAAATTACCCTTTCACTAAAAAAACACAAATAATTTATGCGTCTGGGTTCTGGACGGTGTTGTTTCCCTCTTTGTAAGCTCACAGAAATGAATTAAAAAAAAATACTGCCAGAAGAATGAAAAACATTCCCTAAATAAATAAAAACATACTAGAAAAACTATGGCAGCAACATATCCCTGACACCAAAAAAAAATGACCAAATTCTTCTTTCCAGTTTTCATTTCCTTCTCTTCCTTTTCAGTCCTACTGGCTCTGAAGAAGACGACCTAATCTAAAGTGATTCACCATATTTTATGACTACTCCCACTAAATATTCCGAAGCTCTAATGCTGCTAAATTGCTAATTTATTCTTACATTTACAGACAATACTTTTGGTTTAGTGCAATTTTAAAATTCAGCCAATCCATCTCTTTTTTCTCAGAGAGTTTCTCTCTTCTCCTCGTTTCTTTTTTCCGCTGTGAATTACTGAAAGGGATACTTTTCCTTTTTCGTCGTATTCTTTTGGCTTCCATGGCTCATTGTCTGCCCTTTGGTTAGCTGACAAAAGTGTTTTTTGACATCTCATAGCCTTCTTGGCCACTGGCAAACTTGGGAGGAGCAATGGCTGCTGTCTGCTACCGTTTTATCTCTGTTCTTTTAGTTCTTCCTCTGCTAATCAATGTATCTCAAGCCCAGATTCCAGGTTATTCTCTGTTTACTCTGCATCTCTATATATTGTTAAGGTCCCTCAAACCTATCAACTGAGAGAAAAAGAAAATTTGTCGTGGTAAAGGAGTTTCTGGCAATGATGTGCTACTTCTTGGCCTAAGTTATTCATGTGTGTGTGTGTGTGTCTGTGTTTTTTTTTCCCGATTTAATCTCATTTAATGTATAATTGCTGCTAGATGCTTGTTTTCAGTGTTAGGTTTTTGATAATGGAATCCTGAAACGCCTGCTTTACCCATTTTTTCTTTACCCTTTTCATTTTGTTCGGTGGATTTTCTTTTTACTTTTTTTTCTTTTTTTTTTTGGCTCCGAAGCTCTTTCGTTTCTGTTTTTGGGGGTTGGCTGGGTGATGAGCCCATAACTTTGTGCGAAGGAATTTAACAATTAAAGCAGAATGGAAAGACTCAAGACATATATGCACTGGAACGACTGAAAATTTTACGTTGTGGGATATTTATTTTGAATGCATTTGGATTAAACTCATACTATTGGAAGTTGACAGATACGGAAACATTTTTAGTTTCAGTTTTAGGAGCAGTGCCCTATACTGTGTTTTCTTAACGATTAAGACCCTGTTAACAATGAACACACGTCTTCCAAGGTTTTGAAGAGCCTGAAATTAGTTTCTTACTTCTCTGATTGAAATCTACTGTGCGCAGAATTTTCTGTTTTATCATGTGAAATGAATTATTCGTGGACATTATGCAGTACTGTAGTTATTCAAAGACATTAAGATGCTTGTTTCCTTCAAATTTTTATGTGTTATGAAATCTGAACTCTGTGCAGCTAGTTTCATGTCTGGTCAATTCTAACAAATATGGGCTAATGAAACAGGTTTTCTAAGTTTGGATTGTGGTGGTAAAGATAATTTTACTGATGAAATTGGACTCCAATGGACTGCTGATAATCAGATGATCTTTGGACAAACAGCTAACATATCCGTGTTACATGAACAAAGAAAACAATATTCGACTGTTAGATATTTCCCTGCCGACAATAGAAAGTATTGTTACAAGTTTGATGTCATCAGTAGAACCAGATATCTTCTGCGAGCGAGCTTCTTATACGGAAACTTTGACAATAACAATGTGTATCCCAAGTTTGATATTTCTGTTGGTGCTACTCCGTGGGCCACAGTGGGCATTTTGGATGCTGATAGCATAGAATATGAAGAGTTAATTTTTCTGGCCACTGAACCCTCCATCAGTGTCTGTTTATCCAATGCTTCAACTGGTTCTCCATTCATCTCAACCCTTGAGCTCCGACAATTTAATGGCTCTGTATACATGACACAATTCGAGAACGAGTATTTTCTAAGTGTTTCAGCAAGAATAAATTTTGGTTCTGATAGTGATGCTCCCGTCAGGTATGCCTTTGAACTGCATGATGTTCGGTTTCAGGGCGGCATTAATTGTTTGCCATTTAAATTCTTTGCAACTTCCAACTTCCTGTTGTTGGAATTTCAGTAAGTCTTTAAGGAAGCCTCTGAATTAAACTGATTCTTCTTTTTTCTCATCATTACCAACCAGGTATCCGGACGATCCATTTGATAGGATATGGGAGTCTGATACTCTGCGGAAACCCAACTATCTTGTTGATGTTGCACCTGGCACTGAAAAAGTTTCTACCCGCATGCCAATTGATGTTGGCAGTGGGGAAAGACCACCTCAGAAAGTGATGCAGACAGCTGTAGTTGGTAGAAATGGGACACTGACATATCGTTTGGATCTGGATGGTTTTCCTGGTTTCGGGTGGGCATTCTCTTACTTTGCTGAAATTGAAGATCTAAAGCCTACTGCTACCAGAAAATTTAGGCTGATGCTCCACGAAGATCCTACTCTTAGTAAGGCCATTGTCAATATCCAAGAGAATGCCCAAGGAAAATATCGTCTATATGAACCTGGATATTACAACATCAGCCTTCCTTTTCTTTTATCATTCAAATTTGCGAAGGCCTCTGACTCTACGGAGGGGCCACTGCTGAATGCAATGGAAATCAATAAGTACTTGAGGAGAAGCGGCGGATCTCCGGATGGTAAACCTAGATCCTTGATTTGTGATATAAATCATTTTGCTTCTGTCGCTTGTGCAATTGTATGATTATTTCCTTCAAGAATGGTGGATTCTGCAATTGATATATAATATATATATATATATATATATATTTCTTGTTGTATATTTGATGAAGTGTGAATGGTATATTTTTGACATATTTCACAATTATTGCAGAGCAATTTCTTGCAGACTTGATCTCAGTTTACTCTAATGCTGATTGGGCACAAGAAGGTGGCGATCCATGTCTGCCTGCTCCATGGTCTTGGATCCAATGTAGTACAGATCCCCAGCCAAAAGTAGTATCTATGTAAGGGGTTCTGCGGGCCAATTTTCCCTTCCTTTAATTTTTATCTTTTCTTCTATTTTTGACCCTTGCTGTTTTGGCAGCAAATTATCAAGGAAGAATTTGACTGGTAGTATCCCCTCTGAGTTCACAAAGTTGAGCAGTCTGGTTGAGTTGTAAGTTTTTTGCTCCAATTCAACTTAGAGAGAAATTAGCATCTTAAATGTACAACCTCTTCAGGGTGCACTAACTTCTGACTGCAGATGGCTAGATGGGAATGCATTATCTGGTACAATTCCTGATTTTTCTGGATGCCCAAACTTGAAGATAATGTAAGAACCTTTTCTGGAGTGCCTGAAAATGAATAACTTTATCTCTTTGAATTTTCTGTGCGCATTGCACGCTAATTCGCGATGCGGTATATACCATCTAATGTGTATTTTGCTCTAAATGTCACTAGCAAATATTTTTGAAACGCCACATTTGGGTTTATTATACGAGCCTTAATGATAGCCTTCCTTCCAAGTATTTGATATTTAAGGATGTCACAGAACCTACAGTATTGTTATTCTTATGATTCTCTCTTTTTTACAGACATCTTGAGAACAATCATTTGACTGGTGAGCTGCCCTCCTCCTTGGCAGGCCTATCTAATTTAAGAGAACTGTAAGTTTGAGATCCAGATACTTTTGTGCTTTTATAGGTTCATCAACTTTTTCTCTTTGATCATCAGAACCTAAAGTACTGTGTGAAACATTTTGCTATCATCTGATGGTTTGCATGAAAGTTTGGCATTGCCTGAATTGCAAACCACTAGCAAAGTCATTTCAGAAATTTTGTTTTTTATTCTATCCCAGTTACATGTGTTATAATGCTCTCATAATAGTACTCAAATGAATGCAGGGATGTCCAGAACAATAGTTTGTCTGGGACTGTCCCTTCAGATCTTCTGAACAAGGGGCTGATTTTAAAGTAAGTACTATTTTCTTGGTTTGTAAATTCATTTTACCCTCTTCGGGCAGTACCCTTTCAAAGTGGTACTAGTTTACTTATCCTTGTGATTTTGAATCTTTCTTTGAGATAGCAGAGTAGTGTTTACAGGCTACAGATGCAAAACATGACATAACTGTTATTTTAAATGGTTGCATGGATGGTGTTGAGGGGATGGGGGGCAGCTAGCTGAGGTCCGATTTATTTTCATTGAAATTCGTCAGGTCTCCCTTAAAGTAAATTGTAATTGAAATTGTTAGACCTTTTGGAATCCGTTATAATGGAAGTAGGGCAAAGTATTTTAGAGCAGTCATACTAGCTCCTAGTTGGATTCAGTTATGTAGTTGGTTCATCAATCAAACTCTATTTGAGGGCGCTTTCATTTCTCAAGAAATCAAACTATCTCACCAGTGAAACTTTTTTTTCTCGGTTTCAGCTATGGTGGAAACATGCTTCACAAAGGCAGCAGCGCAGGTAGTCATGAGAAAATTATTATTGGATCATCAATTGGTGCTGCAGCTCTGTTGATAGCTACTATTGCCTCTTGCTTTATGTTACATAAAACAAAGAAAAACCATCATAACCAAGGTCAGTCCAAATACCTCCAGTTACGAGTTTCTTGAGTGTCACTAAATACTGTTTACTCACAAAAGTTCAACGAATTGCAGAACAACATAAATATGGTTCATCGGATCAATTAGCTGTCTCTTCATTGAATAATGGTGCAGAGGCAGCTCATTGCTTTACCTTATCTGAACTTGAAAATGCAACAAGAAATTTTGAGAGAAAAGTGGGCTCAGGGGGCTTCGGGGTTGTCTACTATGGAAAGCTTCCAGAAGGGAAGGAAATTGCTGTGAAAGTCCTCACAAACAATTCATTCCAGGGCAAACGCGAATTTTCAAATGAGGTTTTCTGTTACCTTTCTGATTTACGTTTTATATTGCAGTAAATTTGGAAATTGTATGTAAGCAAGGTTTTGTTTTCTCATTGAATGAAAGATGTACAACTTTTGAGATGAAACGTTTAAACGGGAATCCATATTTATTATTATGAAGATGATGAATAAATTCTTTTTTCCCCTGAAGTAACTTGCTAATCAGGAACCTCACCATCTCATGCTCATTTGTGGCTCAGGTGGCTCTTCTGTCAAGGATTCATCACCGGAATCTGGTTCAGTTTCTAGGTTATTGCCAAGAAGATGGGAAAAGTATACTCGTCTACGAGTTTATGCACAATGGCACTCTAAAGGAACATCTCTACGGTAAGTCTCTTTTCTCATGACTCTAATCATGTGAAGTTCTTTGGTTCTACTGCCTAAAACTAAATCACTTGCTACCATTACTAGGGCCAATAACTCATGAAAGAAGAATCAGCTGGATCAGGCGCCTTGAGATTGCTGAAGATGCTGCCCGAGGTGACTAAGCTAGATAACATTTGTTTTGGTTTTAAAGGCGGGATTTTTTCAGCTCAGGATCATGACTTAAAAGGTTATACCTTGCAACAGGGATCGAGTATCTTCATACTGGATGTGTTCCCTCCATTATTCATAGGGATCTAAAGACCAGCAATATTCTTCTTGACAAAAACATGCGAGCAAAAGTTTCAGATTTTGGTCTCTCTAAACTCGCTGTAGATGGAGCTTCGCATGTGTCAAGCATAGTTCGTGGAACTGTTGGTTATCTAGATCCCGAGTAAGACTTGTTTTATACAGTGAGCCATTTTATCTGGTTAATCATATTCGTTAGCAAGTGCAGTCTAATTAAAAACCTGAAAATGAAAGTTTTCATATTCATTCCTCATATTTTTCTTGTCAAGCCTTACATCTTAACCTTGTCGCCTCCATATATCACCATGCAGGTATTATATATCCCAGCAGTTGACAGAAAAAAGTGATGTTTACAGTTTTGGGGTCATTCTTCTGGAGTTAATATCTGGTCAAGAAGCTATTTCCAATGAAAGCTTTGGTGACAACTGTCGCAATATAGTTCAATGGGTAAGATCAGTTGATTAGAACAATGTCAACTGCTGTCCTAACAAATGCGGCATTGATTTTGCTTGATTTCCTTAGATTGGTTTTTCCTGATCCCTCTTTCAAGTGATGCTAATCATGTTTGCACTTTTTCAGGCGAAGACTCGTATCGAAAGCGGAGATATCCAGGCGATCATTGACCCAATGCTACAAAATGAATACGACATTCAATCAATGTGGAAGATAGCTGAGAAAGCTTTGTGGTGTGTTCAACCTCATGGAAGCATGAGACCTCCAATATCTGAAATTATAAAAGAGATCCAAGATGCAATAGTGATCGAAAGAGGCGCAGAAGCGACGAGAGAAGGCAGTTCAAGTGATATATCCAGGCATTCCCTTAATTCTTTCCGTAACAATGGTTCACAAGACTTGGGTGCAAGTGAGCATCACTTGTCTATTGATGATGACTCCATTGCAGGGCCAACTGCAAGATAGGCTTCTTTTTTTTTTTTCTTTTTTTTTTTTTACTTGCTCTAACTTTCGGGTTCTGCACCTTCTTTTCCCTTCTTCTACTATGCTATTCTTTATAGACTTTGGGTAGATTATGTGCAAAGCAAAAAGAAATTTTTGAGTTAGGTGCTTTTGTTATTTTCCCAAACTATCAGAATGCTTTATTAGCAGGATTGTAAATTGTAATCAGAAACGCTAGATGCATTATATTGCTGCTGGTGTAAATTTTTGGTTAATATGATGCGCCAAGTGGCCGATGGCGATGGATATTCAGTTCTTTGGTAATTTTATCTCTTAACTTTTGATACATCACCTCGATTAGCTGCAGTAAAATTAGACACAAATTTACGCAACCTCCGAATGAGATTTGAATTTCTGTGATGTTTTTGTGTGACAGTTCATTATTCAGTAGCCCAGAAACGCGCACTTTCTACTTTGTGTTGTAATTTTTGACGTTAAAAAAGGAAGCGAAAAAAGAACGGTTACATATAGGTCTTCGATAGCTCCCAGGGAGACCCATAAATAGTCGAGTGAACCTTAGAAACCCCTACCGTCATATGAGAAAAAAACACATAAAAAAGAAAGAAGACATTGCATCACTCTTCCAACTTTTATTATCTTCATTCAGCAGATTGCTCTTCCCACTCCCCTACTAAAAACTCTCAGATGGCCGGAGACAGATTTTCTGGACTTTGGGTTCTTCCACTTTCTCCCAGCCTGGCTGTAGCGCTGCCTCTGCCACTCCTCTATATCATCATTATAGACCACCAGTTCAACACCGGCTCTTCCGACGTATAAAAATTCAATACAGGGTGGAAGAACATAATCAGGGCCAAAAAATGGAAAATCTATACACACATATAAGAACAAACCCCTGTCCCATTCTAATGGTCCACTTGGTTGAGTAAAACAAAGTGAACTAGTAAAACTGGACGGAGAGGGTGTTATCCATGGTAAACCAGAATGCACCAATCTTCAGGCATAAATTAACGGGCAAGTATGAAAGCGGCCCGGAGATCACAAACTTTACCAACTGACACATTCTGCATAATATCCACTGATACAAACTGCACGTTTGACAAACTCCGTAGCATCCGCCAGGGAAATACTGTGGATTCGGGGACGGGGACGGGTCCTTTAGAAAAACCAGAAATTTCTTGAGATACTGCTCAGTCAAGTAAAATAAGGCCCAAGTTTCAAATACCTATCTGAAAAAACAACTCAAGAGAAACTACAGGAATTCATAGACAAAGTGTGCGATGCATCTAAATAGTGAACAAGGCAGGCAACAACCATGTTCATGCATTGCAACTTGAAGCGATCACAGAGGGAAAAGAAGAATACCTGCTAGCAATTATAACACGAGCAGATGAGGCAGATCCAGTTCCAACTAAGGATTTTTTCTGCACATTCCCCTTACCGTTATACAGGGAAGGGCCCTACAGAGAGACAAACCATGATCAATTCAACAAGAGGCATAGGGAAAACCAAAATGAAGATAACATTCTAAGATTTACTTATCCCACCCAGCGACCATTGTTCCTAGTGACAAAGCAAGTTCACTGTCAGGATGATGAGACAGAAAGTCAGCAAGCCACTCAGACGCTTCGGCAGCAAAAACTTTTCTTCCCTCCTTGGTTTCAAATTCGTGGCACTGAAAGGCAGGCAGTACCCACACGCGTTACAACAACCAAACCTTCCTTATATTGAAGTAAAGCTGATAACAAATTAAACGAAGTGCTCAAATGTACACTAGCAGCAGGTACCTAATTTGGCAGACCATTAAGCAAAAATTCGCGCGAATCTTCGCTCCCTCCGGAAAAAGCAGCGAGCAGGTGAGAGTGGAGTTGCACAACGTTTTTGGGAAATTCACCAGATGACAAGCATGGATGATCAACAGATACCACGATCCCCCCTTCTTTGCTGAAAATATGACCCAATTATGTGGTTCCCTTTTCAAACTTGGGCTGTGAACAACACCACAGAAAAGGGGGGTCATCTCATCCCATCGATTCAATATTATGAAATTGTTCACTAAAATGACTATCATCCTACTGAGTCATTATTATGAAAGAGGGGGGGTCATCTCATCCTATCGATTCAATATTATGAAATTGTTCACTAAAATGACTATCATCCTATTGAGTCAATATTATGAAAGTGAGGTATAAAATAAGAGACAGAGGACTAAAATGAACATAAACGTAAGATTCACTATAATCGATTATGTGAGATGAAGGATCCATATGAGAATAACATAGAGGATCAGATGCAGAATCAAGAGCACATGATGTAATCATGCAATACACACGTGAGACAGATGAATTAACCTCCTTCGAGTTCCCTGATTTTCTGTGAAAGGAAAAAGAGGAGGAAATTTCTTTAACTGCAATAAACCAACCAGTTCCAGCAAGTAACTTGAAAAGACAAAATAACATTGTTTTTCGATGTTCACTTTTGGACATATTGGCCACATTCTAACTGGCCCTAAAACTCCAAATTCTACATAAACAGTTGTGGTAGACAAACTCGGTCAACAGGGTTAAAATTCAGAAAGCTGTCCTACCATTTTCATCATTATTAAAAAAAGAAAAGAAAAAACCGGAAAAAAAAAAGTAGAAGGAAAACACTAACCATCCAGTGTTCGAATTCGGCAAGGGCAGCCATGGTTCCCAACTTCAACACGAGCAAAAAAAAAAACAAAATAAATCATCAGACGGATCTAGATATAATTTGACATGGAATCGAGGCTTACACTAAATAACTCAACAAAAATTTATACTCTATAAATGAAAATTCAACTGGCAAAACAAGAGACATAGTCCGGCGAAGAAAATCGAATTCTGAAGTGACACGGGTCTTACGTTTTCGCCGGTTGTAGGTCCACGGGAGATTATATCAGATTCTTCTCACCTTCAATCCAAGCCACCAAAAAAAAAAAAAAAAGGTCCAAAAATCAGACGAAAATAAATAATTAGCTGATTTTTGATTGAGGTATGTGGATTCTTGCCCTAATCGTTTCGAGCTTATAAAATAAAATTCGAGCCAGAAAACAAAAGCCTGATTCGATGAAGGAAAGAGGGAACAACGGGACTAGAGATGATTTACCTTCTTCCCGCGACTTTCGAAAAAACTGCTAGCGCGCAAATTCAGCCTCTCAAGGACTTTTCTATTTGTCTTCGGGAGAAACGAGCTGGGCTTGTTAATTTTTATCTGGGCTAGGTCAACTAGTTTATTAGTTCTAAGCCCAGAACATTTACAGATCGGCCCAATAACGCTTGGAACAAAACAACAACTCAATAATGTTTAACCATAGGTCGAGGGTTCAACTCTCGCCATGTGGGTATGAAGAACCTTTAATCTTTGGCCACTGCTCGCCCATTAAAGTCATTGCACGTGGCATGGAACAACCTTTAATCTTTAAGCCACTGTCTCGCCCATTGTGCCTACTATTCAAATGAGAAGGATTAGTTCATCGCTGTGACAGTGTACACCATGCAAATATGAGAAGGAAAAAAAAAACTTTAGCGAGACGGGGAACGATAAACACTCTGCAAATATGAAAAAAATAAATTAAAAAAAAAAACGCTTTCCACGAGTGTGTATGTCACTCGTTCTAATAATCCAAACAAGGAAGCGTTAAAGGTTCGAAGAGGTTCTAAAGAAACAAACATCCTAGCATCATCAAGTTGAATTGCCCCTATCTTATATGTCGGTGACCTATGAAATTACCAAAAACTACAATTTACAATTCCCCCTCGAATTCAAGGATTGCATTTGTGAATTTATTCTATGTGTTTCTTATTTCAAACAGTCCAATCTTGCGTACAATTCTAAATTAATTTCGAATTATGTTATTATTGAAAATGAACCAAAATCGTACTGTACGAGTGTTTTTAGATTTTAGTAAATTATTATTACTGTTGAAATTTATAATGGAAAAAGACATTGTAGAATTTCTTTGACCAAAAAAAGGGGGGAAAAAGAGAGAGAGAGAGAGAGAGAGAGAGAGAAGCGGTGGAAGCGAACGACGTGTCCCAATCAGATTAAGCAGCTGATTCCAGAAGTGGAGAAATGATGACAAGACTTTTCTAAAATTACTAAAAGGTCATAAGAGAGCAAAAAAATTATTAGGATTTTTTTTTTTTTTTTAAAAAAAGAAACAAACCAACGGTGTTGATAAACCTAAAGATATCCCCAATTTTACATCTGAGTCGTCTCCTCCTTCCTTTCTTCTCCAGCGTCGGATTTTCCTCTCTCCTCCTCTCCTCCATTCTCAATCATCCATCGTCGCGCCTAAACTCAAATTCTTAATCTCTTTTTTATAATCAAATTCAAAACCTTCGGTAACCTCCTTTCCCCCTTCCTTAATCTTGATTTCATCTCCTTCCCTAATCATTCTATCTCTTTCCCTCAATTAATTTGTTTTGTTGGCCGAATAGGGTTTCGGTGTTTATTTTTGGGAATTATGATGGTGTTTTTGTTTTGTGTGGGCAGATATGGCGGATTCGTCTCAGGGAGCACTTCCGGGGAGTCCTGGCGGTGGCAGCCACGAGAGTGGGGACCAGAGTCCGAGATCGGGGGTTAGGGAACAAGATAGGTTTCTTCCCATCGCTAATATCAGTCGGATCATGAAGAAGGCTCTTCCGGCTAATGGCAAAATTGCCAAAGATGCTAAGGAGACTGTTCAGGAATGCGTCTCCGAGTTTATCAGCTTCATTACTAGCGAGTATGTTTGTTGTTGCTGTTTTTTTTTCCCTCCCTTTTTCGGGTTTATGATAAACTAATTGCATGTCTTTTTGGCGAGATATTGTAATTTTTTTACTCTTTTATTTTTTGGCTGGGTTGCTGTGTTTATTTCATGAATGAATGTAACTGAAATTTAGTTGGTTTAAGTAAATGAAACGGTTTTTAACCTTTCGCCTCGGCGGTGGAAGCTAGTCAAAGGAAATAATTTGCCACCGCATGCTTCCTTTGGCCGGTTTCTACGTTATTTGATATTTGTATGTAATTTACCTCTGTTGTTCTCTGAAATCTGAACTTCGGTATTATGATGGTCTAAGTGATGGATTGAAATTTTGTGATGTCAGGGCAAGTGATAAGTGCCAAAGGGAGAAGAGAAAGACTATCAATGGAGATGATTTGCTGTGGGCAATGGCCACTCTTGGATTTGAAGATTATATTGAACCTCTTAAGGTTTACTTAACCAGGTTCAGGGAGGTATGGATTATTCTTTTTTTTGGCGTGTTGTGAATTATACCTTATTGTTCTTTGTATGGTGTGAAGTGAAGCATTTTGTTTGAGAATCTACTGACTGATTCTTTTTGCTTTGTTCTCGTGATTCAATTGGTTGCTCGCTGCAGATGGAGGTAAATGTGCTTTTATATATTTTCAAAACCTTGTGACCTGATAAATATTCTGTTTTGTCCCTTTTTTCATTTGTGTTCTTTTTTCATGATAGGGTGATACCAAGGGTTCAGCAAAAGGAGGTGAAGGGTCCAGTAAGAGAGATGGTGTGCAACTTAACCCAAATTCACAGGTTGCTATCTCAGATCTTTCATATGATTCTCTAACACTTGCCAAGAAACATTCTTCTTACTTCCAAATGGTTCATATTTTCGGTTATTTGGCTAACGCATATCTCATATAATCCAGCTTGGTCATCAAGGTTCATATACCCAAGGCATCAATTATGGGAATTCTCAGGTCTTCTTCTCAATCCTCTCATACAGATATTCCTTTCCTTCTATCTTGAACACCATGGGCATATATAATGATAATATTCACATAAAATTATTATTAGAGCTACACTGTGGAGTGGTATCCTTGATATCAAATCATTAAATGCTTTAGTCTTTAGTCTTGAGGCATTGCTTCATCCTCTTCATTGAAAAAAAAGAAGCAAATTATCTGGAAAATTTGTGTTGAACTCAAATCCTAATATTTATACATCTTCTCTAATGCAGCAGTAGCTACCTTCTGGTCAGGATGGCTGTCCAGTGCTTGTCCAGGTTGATACTTGAGGTAGATAATAGGGTTCTGACTTCTACGTACTAAGCAAACTTGATCTCGTTATCTGATATGATGAAGTTTGCATGGGTTTTCTTTCTAATCTGTTGCAACGTGTGCTAGTATGATTTTTGTTTGTTCTGTGGATTTGGTAGCAGGGGGACGTCATATTTTTTTTCCCACTATTTTACTGATGTTTCACGGCTCTCCATACTGTATGTTTAAAGTTTTTGAGGCAGCATGTAGTTTTAACTTTACACGTGTTGGTTTCCATCATTATTTGCACACGACATAGCGTCCGTACGTAATTAACCGTTTCTAACGGTTTTGAAACTCACGCAGAATTCAAAGCATTACGTAATTAACCGTTTCTAACGGTTTTGAAAGTCATAAAGATTTCAAAGCATTAAATCAGCTTAGTCGTGTGTTTTCTTTTCTCTGTTGCGCCTCTTCACCTTCGAAATTACTGGAAATGTTTGGGGTGTACTGCAAGTAACGAGTTCCGAAACTCATTTGGGAAGAAGATATTGTTTAATTTGTAGATGCCTTGCGTTGCTGTTGTGGAATTATAGCCTTATAAACGTCTATGAGTTATATCAGCCCTTGAGGCTGTTTGATAAGCTTCGTCAAGTCCATTTTCTGATGCCTAGTTTTGCTGAAATTAGTAAAGCCAAAGCAGCCCTAGTGTTTTGTAATACATCACGTAGTACTTTGAATTGGTCTTTGGATTGATGTGAACATCTTTCTGCTCTGTACTCAGCAAATAGTCTTTGATCGTTAGCTTCTGATGGATGCTTAACATATTGGATTCTTCAAATTTGCAGGTGGTGACGGGATTTGGGTCATTTTGAGGCGGCGATCATGTTCTGCAAGTTGGTTTTGGGAGCTCCGGAGGCCATGTTCTTTCTTGGTTGAACCTGTGATGCTTGAAGTTCATGTTCTATTGTGATGATGATCTACAAGTTACTCAGTAGTTATATACTAGTAGTTTATTTATTCTGCTTTAGGGGCCGGTATACATCAGTATATTTTGTATATTCAGGTGATTGTTCTTGTATTCTCTGATAATTTAAAACTTATATATTAAGTACCCATATATGCCTCCTGTGTGTTTGGTTCATTTTGCTGTTGCTCTGTGTCTATCCAGTACCTGTGCGAGGTTCGCTGCTCTAGTTCCCTTGATCCGTATGTTTTCGGTAGTCGAGCCTTTAATGTGAGGTGAGGAGGGCTTGGAGCTTTCTTGGCTGAAATTTATAATTCACTTCAGGGTGATAATATTATCAGAGCATAAATTAACTACAAGGGGAAAATTTCACCGGATTTTTCTCGTTGGGTTAAAGGTCCCATTCTTCCTCCCTGCAATCTCCATAGGAACGAGAATATGATATGATCTGGAACGGTTGGAAGAAAGGGGAGAAAGTGTTTTCAGCGATGATTTTTGTCTAAATAAAGTGGGGTTTGTATTTATTAATTATAAAATGGAGTTAATAATGATGTGATGGAGTTTAATAATAGTAGTAATACTGTATTTCTCTTAACCAAGTTCATTTCGTCTTGATATTCCAAACCTAGTGGGTTCCCATATGATCAGCTCCGTACACGTATCACCAAAATACCCCTCCTTACGTGTGTGTGCTGCGACAAGTCAGCAGCGATTAGGGCCCACACCACGTCTTTGGACTGCATTCTTAATAAAGTAGTAAAAAGGTTGGAGTTCTTTATTTCTTTGTGATGATGATCCCAAGTGAGGCAAACACCAGTTCTCCCACGAGCCCGCAGGTGTGGATTCCTTGGTTTGGGATAACCTCGGCTTCTGATGTTGTACTTTCCTTTCCCGGTGATTGGGCTAATTGGTAATTACTAGATTTTTCTCAAAAAAAAAAATTTGGTAATTACTAGATCTTTTTAATTTTATTACACTTTAATCCCCAAATATTAGTTTGTGTTCATTTTGGGTACACTATTTCTGTTTTTATTACATCGCGCCACACGTTTCACCTAAAAACTCATCTTTGGGTACTACGTCTCAGAATAATTTTCTTGCCACTTCTTAGCCCGTGGATCATAGAATAATGGAATTTTTTGTGCCATCTATATCATAGTGTTAGTATCTACAGTTGTTAATTTGGTTTTATTTTTTAAACTAATTATTGAACGTCGAGATTGTAGGTCTTCTAATTGTTATAACGACATTAATTATAAATTTAATGAGTGAATCATGCAGATACTATTTCTTTTTTTAATTATTTACCTACATTTCGTATTTGACAAAGTATAACACCAATCACACGATACTGTATTTTGTTAGTATTTAGTCCATACATCAAAACCATTAAAATACAGTATTTTCATTCATAAACCATTTTGTTAAAGCAACTCATCCACGTATTCATTTGAACTCGTTTATTAAGTAAAAAATGTTTGCTTTTTTTCTCCAAAAATAACAAAATTCAGCAATTTTTAGTCATAATTTTTTTTATTTAGTACATTTCCAAATTTACATTCAAATCTATTTTTAAAATGGTTATTTAATTGGTTTTTACATCAAAATGACCCTAACCACTCCTCCCTTTTCCCGATTTTTTAGTCATTAAATTACTTTTCTTTTAACCTTATGTGTATCATTCAATTTTTGGATTCTCTCCTTGTCTGAGATGAATGGAATGATACACATAAGGTTAAAAGAAAAGTATATAAATTGGCAGATGGGTGAAAAAATCAAACTAAAAGATTAGAGAGGTACTAGGGAAAGGAGTCTATTTGAAGGAGGGGTGGTGGGGTAAATAAATGATATTTCGCTGGGAATATTTTAATCCGCATATTTATACTATTTCTCTTCAAACACTCAAAAAAGGTTTCTTTACTCTGTTTTCCTCCATCATTATCATCATCATCCTCCCCATCGTCGTCGCCATCACCTCTTCCCGTATGTCTGCTCTAAATTAAATGTTTTATTCATTGCTCCCTCTCAATTTCGTTTTCCTCGCCGACAACATCCCCGGTGGTGGTGGAGGAGCCGGTGAAAACCCTAGCAACAATTCCGGTAATCCCCCCTACCTGTATTCGAAGACTAAATAAATATTAATACTCGAAACTAAGCCACTGTGTTTCATGTTTGTGGTTCCCTATAATTGTGATCATTTGGTACTATTGTTTAATTTGTTGATATTGTGTGATCGCCGGCTTCAGTTGTGCTTCTCTCTTTTTTCCACTCTTATTTCTTTGGGAGTGTTTTTTGTTTCTGTAATTGTGGACATTGTGTTTCGTTTTCAACTCCTCTTGCTGTTTATTCTGTCCATTTTTTCGCGTGTGTTTTTTGTTTAGTTTCATCATGATCGTTTAAGTATCTGTTTATTGATTCCAAATTCTCTCTTGTTTCGTTGGGAGTTACTGATCATCCGTATCTTTTGTCGATGCGTTTGTAGTTGGTACTCAAGTTAATGATGCATCTGCTTTCCTTTGTCTAAGGCAAGCCAATTGTTTCTTATTAATGCGATTTTAAGTAGGTTTTGTTTACAATGATCTTGTTTAAAGTGTTTTGGTTTTTTATCAAGATGCTTTTTCTGCATTGTTGGCTTTAGAATGGAGTTGTTTGGCTTCATGCATTCGGGATGTTGTTTGTTGAATCATTTTTATAGTGAATGTATTCATTTGTGCTCCTTTTAGTTTATTTCTTTGGTATAAATGTTGTTTATGTTGATGTGGTCCATGCTTATTTAATTTATGCTCCTTATTGCAGGAAACTGTGTAGATTCAGCTGTTTTTGTAAATGGAAAATAGAGGACAAAAGAGAACTGACACCTCTGAAGAATTGCCTGCGGATAAGAGAGCATGTAATTCCGTGGAGTTCAGGCCAAGTACATCAGTTTCACCTGTTCGCACACCAATGAATGAGGTGCACGAAGCTCATGATGCCGACATGGATACATCATCATCAACTTCTGGATCAATGAGATCAGAAGGTGACATGGAGAGGGATTCCTCTGGCTCTTGTGATTCAGATAATAACTACCGTGATTATTATAGAAGGAGGTCATCTGGTGATCAAAGCAAGTTCAAGAAAGTAATGTCAAGTTTAACTGAGAGTGTTGATGAATCGGAGCAGTTGGCTGCCCTTAATGAACTCTGTGAATTGCTATCTTTCTGTAGTGATAGTTCATTGTCTGGTCTGATGGCGGATTCGTTCTCTCCGTTACTTGTGAAATTGGCAAGGCATGAGAGCAATCCTGACATAATGCTGTTGGCTATTAGAGCTATAACTTATTTTTGTGATGTTCATCCACGAGCTTCAGCTTATCTTGTCAGACATGATGCAGTGCCTGCTCTATGTCAAAGGCTTTCGGCCATTGAGTACTTGGATGTGGCAGAACAAGTATGTGAGAATATTTGCTGCATTTCATTTGTTAAATAGGAGATGGATTCAATAAGCATTTCTTGTATCATTTTATATGTTGATTCTGATATTCTTGGTTGTCTTGTTCTTCAATTTAGTGCTTGCAAGCATTGGAGAAAATTTCGCAGGAGCATCCACTTGCTTGCTTGCAATCTGGCGCTATCTTGGCTGTCTTAAATTATATTGATTTCTTCTCAACAGTTTTGCAGGTATTTTCATTTGTAACATCTAAATTACAACAGTCATTTGTTTTTTTAGAACTTCAAGGTTATCTCACGATGCTCAAATATTTAATGACTTATTTCGTGTCATCTCTGTGCATCAGAGGGTTGCACTTTCCACTGTGGTAAATATTTGCAAGAAACTTCCTTCAGAAAGTCCTTCACCCTTCATGGACGCAGTTCCTATCTTGTGCAATCTTCTGCAGTATGAAGATCGACAGGTGTTGTACTAACCTTTGCTCTTATGCTCTTATTTTGGAGATCATTGGCTACTTAGTTCACCCTTCCTCTACACAACCCTCCTCCCAAGGGAAAAAAGAGGAAAAGAAAAAACTAAATTTCTTTTATTTCTGTATTTCAGTTAGTTGAGAGTGTTGCTACTTGCTTGATTAAAATAACCGAGCAAGTAGGCAACAGGTCTGATATGTTGGATGCACTCTGTAAACACGGACTCGTTCAACAAGCTGTAGATCTCATCAACTTGAATAGTCGAACGTCATTGTGTCAGCAAATATATCTGGTAAGTCTACTTTTTGAATTGATGTCCCCTTTAAAACGTTGATTTGCATAATCCTGTTTTTCGGTTTCCATTTTGCAGGGTCTGATACAAGTACTTGTCAAACTGGCTTCTGGTTCTGTTCTTGCTGTCAGGACACTTTTTGAGATCAACATAAGCCGAATATTGAAGGATATATTATCTAGCTTTGACATCTCCCATGGCATAACTTCCAGTACAACGGTTGATGGTCAATGCAATCAGGTTAGTAATAGAAGTCATCTTCACTGCATCTGTTATCTAAGTAATGTAATAGGTAGACAGTTGCTCTAGATTCTTATGTTTCTTATGAGCATGGTGGCAAATCCCTGTGCAAGAAGATATCAAATAACACACTTTCTAATCTTTGGCGTCTCCTTCACTTGATAATCTGCCCCCCTTGCTTCGTATGGATGTGCTGTATCTAGCAAATAAAAGAACTGGAGGCTGGCAGAATAAGACCAGAGTGATAGTGTCCAAAAGAATTGTTTCAAATCACTCGTCAGTACGATGGAACAGCTTCTCTTTTAATCCTGTCCTGTCTATTGATGGATCCTTTCCTCAGTGATATTCTAATTGAAATTTGATTGCCTTAATCTTCTGGAGAAAGAGAACTGAAACTAGCTTTCTCAAATTAAAATCTGAATTTTCTTAACATTCATTTGGCACGTGAAAATAGATTTTCTTATTGTCATTGTCCAGCAAGAAGACAGTAAAAGCCCAATGGACTGGAGAAGAGAAGTGTTTGTATGAAATTTTAATGCATATGAAACATTTACTTAAGTTTTCCTCTTAAATTAATGGAAAACTTACAGATGCAGAATCTTTTTAGAAGACCCAAAATTTTCTATCACGTAAAGTCTCCTAGGACCCAGAATTTACTGTTGGAGCTTGTTGTCTCCTGTAAATGGACCTGATTTATGTGCTGCCTTGTTTGGTTTTACTTTCTACTTTGAAATATTTTGAGGTTCATGATTGCTTTCTTCGATAATTGTGTCGAAATGGTTTGGTAATTGAAGATTCTTCCTCATTTCTTTCATGCGAAATAACATTTTTTGGATATTATTTTTGGACTTGGAAAACTTGGGCAGTTCTGCCCTTTTTTTTCGAACTCTCATACTTGTAATTTTTCTTCTTTTAATGCTGTGTCTCCAGTTTTGGAGTGGTTTTGATTCGAAAATGTATACTAGAATATCTCTCTGAACATTATTTATGACCGAAGAAGTGGAGATATTAGAAAATGAATGCCTTACTAGAAATTTCCTTGTCAGGTCCATGAAGTTCTGAAGTTACTGAATGAGCTTCTCCCTGCTACTACAACTGCCGGGGAGCAGGATTCTCTAATAACATCTGAGAAAGTAGCATTCTTTACCAGCCGACCTGATCTCCTTCAAAGTTTTGGGTTGGATTTACTTCCGGTTCTGATCCAGGTTGGTTTTTAGAAATTCTCTTGTTTGTTGGTTGGTCATCTACTTCATTCTAATCCTGTCGTGTTTTGCACTTTTATCATTATTGCCCAGCAGGTGGTGAATTCTGGCGTGAATTTATATGTTTGTTATGGGTGTTTATCTGTGATCAGCAAGTTCGTCTATTTCAGCAAATCTGATTTACTCCTTGAAGTCCTTGAATGCACCAACATTTCAAGGTTGAAAAAGTTTGGTTTTTTCTTCTTTTTTTCTTTGGATGATGTCAATATCGGATATTCACCATATCCTTTACGGATGGGGCTTTTATTGCAGTTTCTTGGCTGGAGTCTTTACCCGGAAGGATTTTCATGTGTTGCTACTGTCGCTTCAAATTGTTGAGACAGTTCTGCAGAAGCTTTCCCATGCATTTTTGAGTTCTTTTGTGAAGGAAGGTGTCTTTTCTGCAGTTGATTCATTTTTATCCACAGAAAGGTGTTCTCATTCTATGTTTCACACATCAAACGGCCTGCAAGAAGTTGCCAGTCAAAAATCAGCTTCAAGGGATGGGGGAAAATGTCTATGCTTTGCTTTTGATACTGGTCAATCTCCAACAACTTCAGATCCTCTAGTTTGCAAGATCGATGAAGACTCCATCAAAAAACTTGCAGAGCATATAAAGGGCAGCTACTTTTCAGCAGAAACCATGAACCTTGAGAAAGGGTTGACGGCTATATTTCATAAGCTCAAAACTTTAGCTTCTAGATTGGCACATATGGTAAGTGTGGAAATGGTGAACTCTAGCTCTTCTGATGAACGTGAAGAAGAGTTGTACCTTATTTTGAGGGATATAGTATCAGTTCTTAATGGGGAAGACCCTATATCCACTTTTGAGTTTCTTGAAAGTGGAATTGTGAGGTCACTACTTATGTATCTATCCAATGGGCAATATATGGATGGAAAGGAAGGTGCTGTGCGGGGGAAAAATCATTTGTGTGTCATAGAGAAGAGATTTAAGGCCTTTGGAAATCTGCTTTTTTCTTTTTCTAAACCAACTTCTCTGGAGTGTCCTCTGCCAGCTTTGATTAAGAAATTACAAAGTTCACTAGCTTTTGTAGAAACATTTCCTGTCATCTTGAGCCAGAAAGTCAAACTGAAAAGTTCTCATGCTAAAATTCCTTATGGACGAGCTACTTCGTACCCTTGCCTGAAAGTCCAGTTTCAGAAGGTGGAGGAAGAACTTTCCCTTGGGGAATATGTTGCAGATGTTGTAACTGTTGACCCATTCTCAACTTTGGATAGAATTGAAAAATACATGTGGTCAAAAGTGAGTACTCAAAAAGCAGGAGCAAAATCAGCCCAATCCGACGGGGAGGGGAGTTGTTCATCTCAAAGCAGGACTGAAGATAGTATGGAGTCAGATTGCATGTCCAATCAAGTAAATGAAATGCAGGTAATGCCCCTGTTTTGATTATTTCGTTAGAAAGCAGCTTTCTCTCTTTTCTAATTTCTTCCAGGATTAGGAATCTTGCTCTGCAGTCTCTGGCTTAAGGGAGACTGCAAGCGCCAGTGATAAGTCTGTAAATTTAGCAGTCTCTTTGGATGTGCATACACTTTGTTGGTCTGTCCTTGAATGATCAAAATTGGATGGTCTACTTAGCCTCCTCAACTACTTAGTTGACACGTACATTTTAACTCTGTGTAGAGTTCAAATCTTTATGTTATTTTTGCTAGTTTTCTTGTTGAGTCACTGTATGTTTCTTGAGTAATGTGGTAAAGTGATGAAGATCTTTTTCCTCCACTCTCTTCCCAGACATACGACTTTTCCAATTTTAGTAGTATTTAAATATTTCCAAATGCTCGTTTTAAAACTAATTGCTGGATCTGGGCTCCGCTGTGGTAAGAGATAGGTGTTCTTGATTGATGAAATGTGTTTTTGTGTCCTCCTGCCATCATGGCTATGTTATATGAAAGATGTATACTAATTTTAGCTTTGATATGCAGCTTGAGGACAATATGGAGCAAGTGCCAGAGAAAGGTCCTACAAAAATAACAGGCTGTCAAAGATGCGATAAAGATGAAGAATCTTCGCCAAAATTGGTTTTTTACCTTGACGGAGAAGAATTGGAACTGGGGTTGACATTATATCAAGCTATAATCCAACGAAAATTTAAAGAAGAAAATGACGGTAGTACTTCAAGCAGTAATTTGTGGAGTCGAGTATACAAGGTCACCTATGGTAAAGCTGTCGAACAAATTAATTGTCAAGATCATGATTGTTGTTCGTTGGGCAATGCTACTGACTCCAGCCGGTACCCATTGCTGTTTTCTGATATCTTTGCTTCAGAACTTACGGACATGAATGGGTGCACTCCAGCTTATGATATATTATCTCTCCTCAAGTGTCTGGAAGGGATAAATAGGTTCAGATTTCATTTGACTGCGCACGATAGAATGTTTGGTTTCGTGAAGGGGGCAATTGATGACTTTGATAATTATAATCTTGAAGTTAATGGTGTTCCCCAATCTGAATTTGTTAATAGTAAACTGACAGAAAAATTGGAACAGCAGATGAGGGATCCTTTGGCTGTCTCAATTGGTGGCTTGCCTGCATGGTGTTCCCAGTTAATGGGCTCATACCCCTTTTTGTTTGGTTATGATGCAAGGTGCAAGTACTTCTGGTTGGCTATGTTAGGTCAGCAGGCTTCTCAATCTCGTTTATCTCGTAGTGATGAAGTAGGAGTCATGCATCCAAGGAGGCAAAACAGTGGTAACTATTCCCGCAAAAAGTTCCTTGTTGACCGAAGTAAAGTTCTTGATTCTGCAATACAGATGATGAATGTCCATGCCCAGCAGAAAGTAGTCTTGGAGGTGGAATATCATGAGGAAGTTGGCACTGGTCTTGGTCCAACATTAGAATTCTATACATTGATTAGTCATGAGTTTCAAAAGAGTGGCCTGTGCATGTGGAGGGGGGATCATGAAGCTCAACGTGGTATTAAAGATTTAGAGCGGGATGAATCTGGAGTTCTTGCTCCATTGGGACTTTTCCCTCGTCCGTGGTCACCCAGAGTGGACATTTCTGTAGGTTCAGGTTTTCCTAATGTGATGGAAAAATTTGTACTTCTAGGGCAAATTGTAGGAAAGGCTCTTCAAGATGGAAGAGTGTTGGATCTTCCTTTTTCTAAGGCCTTTTACAAACTCGTCCTTGGGAAGGTACGCCATATACCGTAATATTAAATACCTTTTGTTATTTTTGCTTAGGTGAAGTGCTTGTATTCAGTTACCATCTCTGTTTTCTGTTGCAGGAACTAACAATGTATGACATCCAGTTATTTGATCATGAACTTGGTAGAGCTCTTTTAGAATTTCAGGCCCTCGTCGAGAAAAAGAAGTATCTAGAATCTATGAATGGGGAATCATCATCTCGTCTGGACCTCCGTTATCACAGAACTAGAATTGAAGATCTTTGCCTTGAATTTACTCTTCCAGGGTACCCTGACTACTTCGCAGAGCCTGCATCTGGCTCAAAAATGGTTGGCTTTTACAATGAGCTTTTATTGTTTTAGAAAGGTTTCATTATGAATTGGTCTTCTAATCGATCTGTGCCTTCACTGCAGGTGAATATGTCCAACTTAGAAGAATTTGTTTCATTTGTGGTTGATGCTACCATAAAAACTGGGATTTCAAGACAAGTGGAGGCTTTCAAGTCAGGATTTTGTCAGGTTTGCTTTAATATGACAAAAATGTAGTTTCTTTACATGACTGGTCATGATACTGGTACAGTAGTTTGTGAATGTACCTTTTCTGTTTTTAGTCTATTTTTCAAAATATGCCTCTCTTGGCCCGCAGTTTCACGAATTTGCCTGCTTCGGTTGACACAAATATACATGATTGATTGATCTGACTCTGATTAAATGGTCGCCTTACTTCGACTTTTACTTGAATTATGGACTAATTTAAATTATTCTGTTTCCCCGTTTTTAGGTCTTGCCCATCCAGCACCTCCGGTTATTCAGTGAAGAGGAATTAGAACGTTTGCTGTGTGGGGAGCATTCACATTGGGATGTACGTGCTTAGTTCTTTAACTAGTTGCCCTGATTTTTATTTATTTTTATTATTATCATCATTATTATTCTTATTATTATTATTGTTTTTCTATTTCTTGCTTAACTTCATTTTAGAGGTAGTTATTGATTAAATCTTCTGTGTTTTGGAACTGTAGGCAAATGAGCTTTTGGACCACATAAAGTTTGATCATGGGTACACTGCTAGTAGTGCGCCTATTATCAATGTATGTTGTTGATCCTTTACTTGGTAATGTACTTAAAAAGTGTTCCCTTTTTTTGTTTACTCACAGTTTTATTGATCTTTAAAATTGCAGTTTTTGCAAATTATACAAGAGTTTGACATTGGGCAGCAAAGGTCATTCTTGAGGTTTGTGACCGGTGCACCTCGGCTCCCTTCTGGAGGTTTGGCGTCTCTCAACCCAAAATTGACTGTTGTCCGCAAGGTAAGAGAAAATGTGCTCTTTATTTTGGAAATATTCTAGAACGTTGGTGTTTGTATATTACTAAAAGCAATTTGTTCTGGCAGCATTGTACTGGCAAATGGGTGGACTCAGACTTGCCTAGCGTGATGACCTGCGCAAACTATCTAAAGTTGCCTCCTTATTCGTCAAAAGTAAGATTCTTCTCTCTCATTTTTGGTTTCTGTCTTTGCTTGGTTTTAATCTAACCACAGCGTAAATGATGGTTGTTACTGCAGGAACTGATGAGGGAGAAGTTACTCTATGCCATAACAGAAGGACAAGGCTCATTCCACCTCTCGTAGTCTCCTAGATCCGATACATAGCATGTGAATAAGGGTAGATGATTAGGGTGGAATTGTACATAAGGTAACCTGAATAGGCACGGCCACATGTTTGAGTTGCTGGAGGCGCTGATTGGCGCGGCGCAAAAAATTTGAAGCTACTCTGGGAGTGCGCCGACTGAAGTTGCATTAGCCTAGCTTTGGTAGTGATAAGTTATCTAATTATTGCCTTGCAGTCTTGCAGGTGTAAATTATAAAGGAAATGGTGACGGTTTCGAGATTGTCTAGTCTCCCTCTTGATTTCGTTGTACAGTCTTAGTTGGAGTAATAGAGCTGACATATAAATGTAAATATTGTTAGCGATAAACAAGTTCTGAAAGAAGTTGCCACTCAGATATGATGCCCGAGAATTATTAAACACATATGGCGAACTAAAACAGCATTGAATGTGTGTGAACAAGTTTATATCCACGACCTTACAAATTTCAGTGAATCTATGACCCTAAAAATTTCAGTATTGCAGGAGCTGAGATTGTTAACTAAAGTATAATTTGTGAGCAATTAATTATAATCTTAAACTTTGATTAATTTATTATAGGATTTTGATGCTGAAATTAATTAAATTGGATTGTGATCACTGATTGGATAAGTGATTGTAACATAAATTTTGGAAAATTACATTAAATACAATAAATATGAACAAGCGTAATGTTATATATATACCCTCTTCAAAAAAAAAGTAATATATATACGTTGAATGATATTCAGTTTTATTTAAGATAATGTTCTCTTTTTGAATATTTACATTTGCAGAAGGGATTTCAGGAGTGACTGAATCTTATAATCCAATCCGATTGTATGACCTTAAATATAAAAAAAAAAAATAGTTGATATTGCTGAGAATTACTCTCTCCGTCCTAATTATAAGTCATTTTTTTAATTTTTTTTTGGATTTATTTATAAGGCATTTGAATTCTGATGTCTCCAAGATTTTATTTATGTAAATGTACTTACAATTTTACCCCAACTTAAATTAAATAAACTTTATTTTTACTGGTTATTGAAAAAAAAGGGGGAGACATTTTTAGTACGTATAATATAGGTAGTTCAGAAAAATAGCTAAATTAACTATTTTTTAAAAAAAATTTACAAATTAATTATATATGTCTTATATTAATTGCACACGTAAAGGAGTATTTTCCGTAATTCATACACCCTCAATAGTGTACACTCCCTACAGCATACACACCAAGAGAAAATAATAATCATCCGTATAAATTAAGTGCACATTTTGGTTTCAATTTTGATATTCTCTTCAAAATTTAGAATGTTATTATATTGTGACCATAGAATAATGATAATATTTTTTTAAAGATGGTAAGAAATATGAATAAAATTTAGATAAAAAACATAACCATTTTTTCAACTAAATATTTTTTTAAGAGGGCAAAATATACTCAACGTAGCACTTCCCTCCACCCCCCAAAACCTTGAGCAAATTTTAAAAAGAAAAAAAAAAAAAATCCATCTACACTAGTTATGACGGCAAAAAAGAATAATGTCTAATATTAATATCCAAACACCACATTATCGTCTACTTTCTCCGGCTACCCGTTGTCCTGTGATAGAACAAAACCCCTTTTCCCTCCCAGCCTCCCTCTGACCTCTGTAATGGGCAAGCAATGAACGCTAAATTTCCTGCCAACTGCTCAAATCCAATTCTATACACCCAAACTGCTGTAGGGGTGAACTTGGTTTCACCTCTACCTTGCTCATCCAAGCTCATTTCTCCAATTTTCATCTCTTCCTCTTCCACTGTTATCACTTCCAAAACCACAAATTCTTATGAGGAGGCTAAACCCTCCAGTAGTAGTGCAAGCAAAACTCAGGTTCACTCCCTAGATACGAAACTATTAACCCTCCTCAGCCAAAGGAAAACTGAGGACGCCTGGCTAGCTTACACTCAATGTGAAGACCTACCAAACCCCGAATGTTTGAGCCGTTTGGTTTGTCAATTATCCTACCAAAACACCGATTTGAGCTTCGCCCGGGCGCAGTCTATAGTCCAACGTCTTCGGGATGAGCGGCAGCTCCACCGTCTCGACGCCAATTCCCTCGGCCTTCTTGCGGTAGCTGCGGCTAAGGGAGGCCATATCCTCTATGCCACATCTATCATCAGGTCCATGCTTAAGTCTGGGTATCTTCCTCATGTGAAAGCTTGGAGCGCTGTGGTCAGCCGGCTTGCTGCTTCTGGTGACGATGGTCCGGGGGAGGCCGTAAGACTCTTTACCTCTGTGACTAGTAGGATTCGGCGGTTTGCGGAACCTACGGTGGCTAAGGACTCCAGGCCAGATACTGCTGCTTATAATGCTGTTCTTAATGCTTGTTCCAACCGTGGTGACTCTAAGAAGTTTCTACAGCTCTTCAGTGAAATGCCCCAATTTGGTTGTGAACCTGATGTTTTGACGTATAATATCATGATCAAGCTTTGTGCTAGGGTTAATAGAAAGGATTTGCTCGTGTTTGTATTGGAGAGGATTATTGAGAAAGGGATTCCAGTGTGTATGACTACTCTCCAGTCACTGGTTGCTGCTTATGTTGGTTTTGGCGATTTAGAGACTGCAGAGAATATAGTTCAGGCATTGCGGAAAGGGAGGACAGATATTTGCAGGATCCTAAGGGATGCAAATGTTATGGATGAGAAAAGCTCTGATGCAAGCAGTGTCTTTGAAGCACTGCTTCCGAATTCTGTAGGATCGGAAAGGAACAATGAGCCAAAGGAGTTACCTAAAGCGTTTGCGCCAAACACAAGGATGTATACCACCATAATGAAAGGTTACATGAGAGCAGGTCGTGTCGTTGATACCGTGAGGATGCTCGAGGCCATGAGGCATCAAGAAGACAGGGCCAGCCACCCAGACCATGTCACCTATACAACAGTGGTCTCGGCGTTTGTGAAAGCTGGGGCAATGGATCGTGCCAGGCAAGTACTAGCTGAGATGACTAGAATTGGTGTACCAGCCAACAGAATTACTTACAATATTCTCCTGAAGGGGTATTGTCAACAGCTGCAGATTGATAAAGCGAAAGCATTAATGCGGGAGATGATAAGAGATGCTACCATAGAACCTGATGTGGTTTCTTATAACACACTGATTGATGGATGCATTATGATTGATGATAGTGCAGGAGCTCTTGCATATTTCAATGAAATGCGAGCACGTGGATTAGCTCCTACGAAAATCAGCTATACAACCTTGATGAAAGCTTTTGCTTTATCTGGTCAACCAAAACTAGCTGCTCAAGTGTTTGATGAGATGCTAAAAGACCCCAGGATAAAGGTTGATTTGGTTGCATGGAACATGTTGGTTGAAGGATATTCCAGATTGGGACAGATTGAAGAAGCAAAAAGTGTCATCCAACAAATGAAAGAAGAAGGATTTTACCCCAATGTAGCAACTTATGGCAGCTTAGCAAATGGGATTGCGTTGGCTAGGAAGCCAGGAGAGGCACTACTACTCTGGAATGAAATAAAGGAGAGGTGTGTAGTGCAGAAGGAAGGAGAAAATTCTAATGCTTCAAGTCTTCCACCATTGGAGCCAGACGAGGGTCTCTTAGATACTCTGGCTGATATCTGTGTCAGGGCTGCTTTCTTTAAGAAGGCCTTGGAGATTGTTGCATGCATGGAGGATCACGGCATACCACCAAATAAGTCCAAATTCACTAGAATCTATGTGGAAATGCATTCCAGGATGTTTACCAGTAAACACGCTTCAAGAGCTAGGCAGGACCGAAGAAAGGAGAGGAAGAGAGCAGCAGAGGCGTTCAAGTTTTGGCTGGGATTGCCCAACAACTATTACGCCAGCGAGTGGCACTTTGATCCTGTAACTGAAGATGATTAGTTTTCTGGGTCCAGAGGACATTAGTATGAATCACAGTTGTAGAATATGAATAGCATTGTTAAAATCTATACACAATGTACATCTTAGCTGTGTTACAAATACATATTTTTTCACTGTCCACCTAAGAAGTTGTATCCAATGACATTGACGACCTTAATGGTTTTCCAGTGCAGAGGAGTGTAGTGGAATAGCTCATTGAGGTTATACAAATTACGTCTTGTACTGGAATATTTTGGTGACAATGTCGATGAACAACTTATAACTTTGTGTCATCATAGGGCATTAGATGATAATCAAGGCAGGACCTTCACTTGTATTAACTCAAGCAGTGGTAGGCCTTTTATATCTATTTTCGCTGAACAGTATAACATGAAGGGATTAGACGGTTTGTAACCTTAATTCTGTTATTCAATCAGCAATTAAGGCATAGGGGAGGAGAAATTGCATATTTAGTTTGAGAAATAGTTTAAGTTTCACAAGCAGCCTTCTGAACAATATAACATGAAGGGATTAGATGGTTTGTAACATTAATTTCTGCTATTCAATCTGCAATTAAGGCATAGAGGAGGAGAAATTGCATATATAGTTTGACAAATAGTTAAGTTTCACGAACAGCCTGATACAAAATAAAAGAGTTCACTTCAAAATACAAATTTGACCTCTTAATACTATATAAAGCGTAGAAAGGAGAATGACTAAGGGAATGGAGACTGAGAGATTCATCTTTGAAAATTACCTTTGCGAAAGGCATGAAATTATGGACAGCACATATTGGATAATCAGAGCCTGCCTATACAACAAAAAAAAAAAAAAAAAAAAAAAGAGACCAAAATGGAGTAACCAGATAAAGGTGATTATTTGGAAGACATGCAAGGTTATGAACGGGATTTGAAGGAGAAAAATGAAGAAATAACGAACTTACCTACTTTTACATACAAGTTAGCCCCTTGCTTTTGATGATGACTGTGAATAAGATGATGATAGCACCTGCAATAAAGCAAAAGTTGTGATTTCTGTTGTAACATCTCTAAGGGAAAATGTGGCACTTTCATAAAAAATTTAGCATGGTAGCTCATGAACACGAGAGAAACAACAGAGAGATGGGTCTTTAAACATTTTTGGCAAATGATGAATTAGCTTCGATACTCATCTATTATAAACTTTCACATATTCAAATGATCCATAGGTTTGGACTTTAAGATGGCATCAATGATGCAAGTTACTTCAAAACTCAGCCTGCAAAAGTAGATCCTGCCAGTGGAACCATATAGATGGAAACTTTAGGGGGTCCCCTTTCATTTTGTAAGTTCCCTTTACACCTAGAATGTTTTTAAAAGCAATTTCTATCAACTACGAATTATTTGGCAGTCCAACTCTCTGGTTCTTCTAGTCATATAAGTTGAGCTAGAATTCATGATTACTCTTAAAAGAAAGACGTCAAATCTGTATCAATCTTCTACCCATTCATGTAAAGCTATGAAACTGGTACAAACTTTGAAATGTATAATAAACCACTAACTAAATATTCAAAAAGTGACGGGATAAGTTCCTGGATCCAGAATGACATTCTCATAGTACCTGATACGTCTTTGGTCCCTTCTTTATCAAATAACCAACACTATTCAAGTTGTCAATGAATGTGTCTATATCTGGAACTCTTAGTGAAATCCTGTCAGCCAAACCATATAATTCCTAAAATGGAAAACAGTCGAGATGTTACATATCTTGAACTGAATAAAATCTGTACCCCAGAATTCAAATGAAGAAAAGGTCCAATCAAGGGTTTCCTTACAGATATAGTAAAGCAGTCCTTTTGCTGTAAATCTGATTGCTTGTTTAGGGCATTTAAAAACCGTTTTGCTTCTTTCTGTTGGCTCATTCCACCACTTCGCCCAAAATCCACAAGGCCATGTTCATCAACATACTTATCATACAAAGATTCTTTCATTATCTCTACAACTTCCTGCATCAGAAAGAATCCAGGCATATGGATGAACATACTAATGATATATTTACATAATAATAGAGATACAATCAAGCATGCATTGTCATGACTAGAAATGAAAATGTCGAGTAAGCAGTCAATATCTTTTGGTATCAGTTTAACATCTCAGATGTACAGTTTACTACTTCAGTGTAAGAAAATTCTTGGGGCTTAACATTGAGCAGGACCTCAGTGTATTCTCATGCATACTTGCTTACTAAGGGTTTCAGTCTGGTTTAAAACGGTCTAATCAGAAAGTGTATTTATGACAGTGCATGACCTCACAGAACTAGTAACAAACATAAGAAAAGTAAGCTTTCATTTATGTAAACTGGAGCTATTAGAGAATGAAATTTGTAATGTTAACTTATCCCGAAAGATGCAGACAAAACTAGACCAATGAAAGAGGGGACTGTGAAAATCTAGAATAATAAACATTCAACTCGAGAAACAAAGAGACAATTGGAGAGCTAAAGAACCCTTGCACAAACAGTCAGGACGGAAGGAAACACATCAGAAAGAATAGAAGGTATTCAATACAAACCTACCAAGCATCAAGAAAGCAAATTCAAAATCCGCAGCTCAATTAAATAAAAATATTAGCATGTCACTGAAAACAAGCTTAAAGATGCACCAGATGCCATTTAGGCAAATGCTATCAACAGGAAAGTAAAGCACTTGATAGTACTACAACACCTGCCTAGAAAGGTCCTCCAAAATATATGCAGTAACAGATGGTGCTTGCAGACCAAATTAATCACAGAACCAGAAATCTCAAGAAAAGCCCCTGCCATTTTTTAAGTGACTTACAATACCCAGAATTTAATGATCAGCAAATTTGTTATCTACTCGAATTTAGTTCCATCTACTTCATTTTTGCCCCTTGTATGACCGTGAGTCAAAAATTCGAAACAACCACTAACCTGACTCAAAAGACTCACAATCTTTTCCACAGTAAAAAGAAAAATTTTGCAGATAGAAGATTCAGTGGACCATTAAATGAATAGGTCATGGGGACATACGAATCAACACTATTTACGTGCTGATTTGAAAGCAAAGACACCCAACTAAAAATACACAAGAAGATTGTACATGACCAGATAGAATCAAATTATGACGCCTAGTAGATGACTTTTGCAAGCTTTATATACCATGGCATCTTGAATGGTAATTTCTTCTCTTAAATCCACTCTAGCTCGAGCTTCTGCCAGCCGTACAAGACTTTCAAGTTGCCTTGCTGTTATTGGTGTGCCATCAGCAGATGTGTTGTGATCTCTTAATTGTAGGTAAAACTTCTGCAGGATTTCAGCTGCTGGTTTTGTCATCCTTGAAATACAACATGCCACTATTAGGGCTAATATGCTAACATATCCATGAAAGCCCCAAAGGCATAGTTTAAAATAACTGAAAACTACGTCTGGTTTGTCCAACACTTATTTTGCGTTTTTGTCTCATTTTATCTCTTAAAACACCTCTCAAACACAAATCCCAATACTATCCAAACAACTTTTTAATTTACCTTTTAAAAAATATTCCAAAAATTATTTATACAAAATTTTCGTCCACCACCACCACCACCCGCCACCGCCGGACTGCTGCCGGCCGGCCGGATTCCGGCCAAATTCCGGCCAACTTGCTGGAATTTGGTAGGAATCCAGCGGCGGTGGTGGTCCAGTGGTGGTCTAAAAATATTATTATTTTATTTAAAATATTACCCAAACAACTTTTTAAATTTTATCTCAAACCACATTTTAAATCACATCTCAAACCCAAATCAAAAACTAAAACAAAATGTTGGCCAAACAAGCCCCCTTCACAGAAATGTTAAAAGGCCACCTGGGGAACACGTATGTTCGTGCATAAGCAATATACTTCCTGAGAAGAGAACCAGGCAATGGAACAAAATCTGTGTCCTTTGGGTCAATCCTCAACCTAGCAGCTAAAGTTCCACTCCTGGAAGTCAGATTCATGCCTCTAACATCTTGTGAATCTACTTGCAGAAGAAAGATAAGCTGTCAGAAACATAACAGCGCCAAATGGAAATAACAAGTTCTCAAACAAACTACCTGAGCATATCCTCTTGGCTGCAGGTGAACTTTGTCCATTTCCAGTATGAAGCTGCAGAAAATGCTTCAGTATCATATTGCTTGCCTTTTTCTAATATACTTGTTAAAAACTAGTCTGCATTGATTATCCTCCAAAACTAAACAAGAGAGAGAGAGAGCGAGCGAGCGAGCGTATGCATTGACTGACTTTATTCAGCAACCATCTAAGTGTGAATCAAACCAGAGAATGTAGTTTGTGTGGGAAGAAAAGAAAGATAGGAAAGTAAAGAGTGCTAAAGAATCGATATATGGGTAAAAGTATCCCAAAATATGACATTAATTCTCAAAGAGTAAATGACAACATCCCAATTATATCAGTGCAAAGTGTTCCTTGAAATGAGTCAATGACGTGTCCATTTTTTCCAGGCTCCTTTTTCTTGCTAACACAAATAGAGAGTTATTTTTTTCCTTCCTTTTCCCTTTCCCAACTAATTCAACAAGTTTCTTTAATCTTATGGATGACAAGTAAGAACGGTTTCCAAATGGAGTTTCTCCGGGTACAAGGAAATGTGTCCGATCAAAATGGATAAGTAATTTATGAAGTGGGTGGGAGGGTTGGGTGGGATGGTTAGGGGATTAGGATGGGGGATGGTTATTACCGGGAGGTCGAGAGTTCGATTCTAGATGGGGCCATCCAATTTTTTTTTTTTTAGAAAAAAAGTAATTTATGAAGTGGATGCAAAACACTCTGTACTGAAACAAATTACATTTTCAAATTAATAACACATTATCAATTGCTTGATTACAGAAACCAGACTGAACAACTTACTGACATAATGTGCTCCGAAAGCCGCTTGTCCAGTAGTTCATCAGGCTTATCGAGTAATATGAAAACCAGATCAAACCTTGAAAGCAGAGCACCATTCATTTTCAAGTTCTCATTCACAGTTTTAGCACGGCTGCATAAATCCAATGTGTATCATTATACGTTCATTAGTCGATGAAAACAGGGATCTTATAATCTCTTCCTACAATAATGTACACAACAAAATATCACCAACAGCACTGCCTTCTTTAGAAAGTTGGATTTATTGTTTCCAATTTTGAGGCAGCTTAAGGTCCCATTTCAGAATGATAGTTGGATGAGTTCCTCATTGCAGTTTAATACAGCCATATTTCATAAACATGCAAGCTTTTGAAAACAACAAACAATTAATCATCAGAATGGAGTCAATGCTTTATACTTATAATGACCCCCAGCAGGGTTTGCGGCAGCTAAAACTGACGTTCGAGCTGACAAGCTAGCCACCAGTCCTGCTTTTGCAACAGAAACACACTGTTGTTCCATAGCTTCTAAAAGAGCCTGGTGTCATCAGAAAATTAGTAACTGATCATAATGGCTAAGAATTGGACTTCCACAACATTATGAATAATATAACCTGATGCTCAGCCGACATTTTGTCAAACTCATCAATACAACACAAACCACGATCTGCAAGTACCATGGCACCTATTGTAGAAATGGAATCCACTTGAGAAATTTTTTCAATCATAATAACTAGCAAATAGTTAAAAAGTTACTAAGAGACATCCTCTCCTAAATTTCACTTTTCTCTCAACTAACTTGAGTATCCTTTGAAATTAAAGGATGCCTCTGGAGGATGAAACTGTGGGGAAAAGAAACAGCAAACTTTTATCTGTAAATGTAAAAATGTAATCCTTCTAGAAAATGTGGCTCTAAATTTGATATTTGCACACATGAAATCTCCAATATGACATAAGAGAAATAAATCAGCTCCTTTCTTTATTATTTGTTTCATTATGCCAGAAAAAAACTACTTAATTCATGTGGGCCTGAGTTTACTTCATTATAACTATATACTAAAGATGATTATAGTCTTTCTTTTGAAAAACTAGTAAAATAAAATAAAAAATAGGGATGATGAAATCTCCAGGAATGAGATCAATGCTTTGTAGAAGTAAAATAGCATTTTCCATATCACCCAGTCTCTTAAACTTTCCACTTTTCATTAGAAATGATCCTTTGGCTAAAATAGAGGCATTAGAGCAAAAATTATAAAAGATTAATTAGATGATGAGCAAGTTTACCTGCCTCAAAAGCATAGTCACCAGTTACCGGATCCTTCACCACAGCAACAGTTAGGCCGGCATTAGTTGTTGCATTACCACATACATATATGCCACGAGGACAAACAGAAGCTGCTGCTTGGAGTAGCTGACTTTTTCCCATGCCAGGATCACCTAATAGTTAGAACAAATAACTCAAATTTTTATCACAATAGATACTTTGCATATTGAAGGAGAAATATCTTTTAAAACTAACAATATAAGGAAAACCATCCATTTTTCCAGAAGTAGAAGTGCAGAGATTTCACCTACCAACAATTATTACATGGATGTCACCTCTGACAGGCACTTTATTCTGATCCATCGAATGCTTTTGGACCCCTCCAAACAGTGCTAAAGTGATTCCCGCTAGCCACAAAAAAATTTTCAAAGATAATATATATCAGAATGAGCAACCGGTTCTGAAGCACAATAAGTGGGTGACATCTTCAACAGGCCTCTTTAACCATCCCTGTTAATATATCTTAGAATAATATAGAATTGGGAACTTCCCTAAACCCCATAACATAAATCCTCAATTTAAGCATGGCTCCAAAATCACCAATTACCCTGCTACTGTAACCAATTGATGAACTTAATCCCGTTCTGATAAATCAGCAATCAAAAACTTCAACGAAAGAGAAACAACTCCTATGACAATATCACCCGTTCAGCAAGGACAGTACAAATTTCAGCAAGGAAAAGATGAAAGAACAGAACTACATTACATGGTCTTTTTTACTTATTGGAATAAGAAACTCATATTAATCTGGTACAACGAACAAGAACGAACATGAGTCGAATCAAAGCATACTGACTGTAGAAAATGTCAAAAGAGAATTCTGCATACCTTTAACAAGCTCATGCCCATAGATTGAAGGACAAATGGATTGAAGAATTTGCCTAAATAACCCCGAACCGTATTCCTCAGAAAAATTCACAATGAATTCCAGATCTTTCGGAGAAAATGAGAATAATTCAAACACTTGTGTTGCTCTAGCATCAATTATAGCATCTTGACAATCCCCTGGCGTCGACGGAGACTTGGAATTCTTTATTGAAACAGCTTCAAGGTACAAGTAGTACAGTCCCTGGTTCTTGCTTTTCGATTTTCCTGAGAACAGGGGACAAAAAAAAAAGAAAAGAAAACCAACCCTATCAAGTTGGGAAAAATTGATGCAAAGATTCACAAGCGAGAAATGTAAACCAACCAGCTGATCACAGTAAAGTTTAATGCCAAAACTATGGTAAGAATAGTTTATCACATGATCTCCATAAATATAAGAAAAACAACAGATAGAGAAATATGATGTAATTGCCTCCAACAGGTTCAAAAGAACAAGAGATAGAACAGGTTACAATCAAGAGAAGTTAATAAACCCAAATAAATCCTCCACGGCTGGCAATTTTAGATACCTCCTCCAATATCCATGTAATTGTTGATCATCCTTATGATACCAGTTACAGTGACAATGTCCCCAGGAATGCATGCATCTACAATATCTTCTGTCAATTCACATTCAACAGTCCTAGGCACCCTCCCTTCTTCGTAACGTTCATTGTTTAGCAGTTCCTGGATTCTGAAAAAAAAACAATAGAGAAAATGGAGAAACAGCTATAATCGTAAGCATTATAACTTTAATCAGCAAATAGAGAGGTATACACATCAAGGATAAAATTGAAAGCTGACCTTATTTTTTGAAAGTCAACAGGTCGAGCAGAAGATCTTACTGGTTCAAAACTCTTACTTTTGCAACCTTGAATCACACAACTTGAAGGAGGTGAAAATTTTCCATCTGGAAAGTCGCGAGTTATGTTTTCTCCACAACCAGTACAGACAAAACTCATTTGCAGAACCAGAGGCCTCACTGTGCTAACTTTCACAACAGTGCCACGCACAGATACAAGCCTGTCTGTTGCACATGATATCATACAGTTTAATTTGGTGTTCAAAACTTTAACTGGCTTGGCTCCCTTGAAAGTACAGTTAAGAAAAACTAAAAGTTTACCAATATAAGCGGCTTTTAGATTCTTCAATGCAATCATGGATTCAGGATAGTTATGCAGGCGGATGTTGATCTTTGTGAATTCGTCCAGCTTTTTAGAGTTCGATTTCATAAACAGAACCTAGTCAGATTCCAGAAAGAGAAAAAGTAGTGAGAAACAATTCGTCCAACAACATACATACTATGATATATCTCAATAACATGATTTTCACCTTGTGCAATGCAGCACTGATACATGAGAGAGTATCTTTAGGCTTTTCTTCCAATGCTTCATAGAGTTCTTTAATCTGACAAATTTTTCTAAATTGCTGGAAGTCAAGGGATAGGAAGCATAAACCATCATCACTTTTGACCTGTCCATTTCACCAATTTTATCATTAGAGGAGGTCTTAACCATGATGATAACAACAAACTAGATCCTATGAAGTTTACAACCAGAAAAGCAAACCGTTGCAGTCAATCGGGCTCAAAAAAGGCATACTACATCAGCTTATGCAACATTAACCTTATAATATACTAGGAAAGAATGTTCTAACTTCCAGACACAGCTGGGAGACATATACTATCATAGTCTATGTCATGCATCATATAAAATAACAATTTGCGAAGGTGCACTCATGAATGAAAGAAACACACTAGGTATCTTTATTCTGTAAAGCATTTTACCCAAATTAATTAGTTGATCTTCTTATTATGCCTTAACAAGTGCATTCGGAAATTGATACAGTGACTCTTGAGAAGGATGCCATTTCTACCTTAAATACTAAAGATGGCATACATCTGTCAAAACCTAGGACTTGCAAGTTCCTCTTCATATGTTGTTGAAAAAAGCCTATAGCAAGTTGCCTTCTAACACCATAATCCAACACATAAGATAACTGGAGAATAAGTAAAAAATCATTGAAAACTAAATCGATTGCTAAAACCATACATCTGGAAAGAACATAGACTTCAAAAACTAATACCCTCCGTCCTAAAATGATTCTCCAGCCTGGGATTTCACCTTTAGTGCAAATTGTAATTAAAATGAAAATCCAAATTGGATAATCATTTTGAGGGAGTATTAACATTCACCATCAGTCAATAGTCAAATTCCAACACGGTAAATAGTCATTAATTCTCAAGTAACTCTACCAGACCTAAAAATTAACCGTACTGACGACTTTTTTCACTTCAATGTGTGCGATTATCTCTATCAGTTTCTTCTGCCCCATGAAATCCAAAACCCTTGAGAAATTAGAAGTACCGATGATTAGGAATGTACGAAGTAAATCCTACGCAACTAAACATCTCCGTTCACCTCATGGATTACATGGGGGAATCACGGGACATACATAAATAATAATTTCATGTACGGTGAAGACGACTGCGTCCCCTTTGTAGATGAAGCAACTATAATTTGTGATGGAAGAGAGACAGACCTGTGAGATTATGTTTTCGCCGGGCAAAATGGAGAAGAATTTTGTCAGTTGGGACGTTAATTGAACTATTAACTTGGAGTCCGGCGTAGAGAAGTCGATTTGGGGGAAATAGAGCTCTAAAATACTCGCAACGTCGTTTGTACCGGAACATTGCTGCTGCCGCTTAAGGTTTTCAGCATACATCTGATTTCCATACATCGGGAACTCGGGAGGAGACGGTGGCGCTGTTGGCCCGGCACGGTGGCGTAGCTGTTCTGGATGTGTGAGCTCTCAAATTTGGCGGGAGAATGAAGAAGGAGTTGTGCTGAAAGCGTGCCCAATAAACCAAAGGGAAAATTCCTATCAAGGCGTTGCAACTTTAGTAATTCTTAAAAAGGGTGAAAACTTTTAAAATTTCTTTTAAGAGCGTAATTATTGAGGTTGTATCCAGTATACCCGGAGGCACCGTGCTCCCCTCCTATTTTTTGCATTTCTAGTCCTTATTATACTTTTAATCAATATTTCTATATTTTGTAAGTTTAGTCCTTGTTATTTTTTCTCTCTCTTCCAAAAAAAACATCTCTACTGCTTATCCATTTGGTTGTCCAAATTCTTAATTCAAAATAAGTTGGTTATCCATCTTCTTAAACTGGATATCCAATGTGTTCATATAGATTATCCAATGCGTTAATACTGGTTATCCAATGGATTTGCATGCTTATCCAAATTATTTGTACTGGTTATCCACTGTGTTCATGCTGATTATCCAACTTGTTTGTACTAGATATCCATCCATTTGGTTTGTATGCATATCCAACTCTAATCTTTCAACGAGCATATCTCCCAATCCGTGAAGAATTTGTGAACGAATTATATATGAAATTTATAGTACTCGTCGAGATCTATCCAACGAAATCTACAGTGTACATTTTTTCAGGCTTAAAAATGACTTAATTCTGATGGGCTGAATAGAGGTGGTTATCCATCTTCTTAAACTGGATATCCAATGTGTTCATATTGATTATTCAATGTCAAAAATATGATTGGATAACAAGTACGAACAAAATGGATAATCAGTCCAAACCTGTTGGATAATCAGTAGGAACACAACGGATAACCATTTTGCAAAGAAAAACGAAAAACACATTTCTTCATTTCTGCCCGTAAAATTTAAATGCATTTAAAGTTCAAAAAAAATATTCAACATTGATCTTATCGAATAGATCTCGTCGAGCACTATAAATTTCATATATAATTTGTGTTATAATTCTTTACGAATCAAAAGATACAAGGAACACAACAATATGAATGTAAAATAAGTTGGTTATCCATCTTTTTAAATTGGTTATCCACTGTGTTTATGTTGAATATCCAACTTATTTGTGGTGGTTATCCAGTATTTTTTTTTTCCTTGCTCTTTTATGAAAATGATTGTCAAACTTTTTTGTACTGATTATCCAACATGTTGCACTGATTATCCAATTATTTGTTATTGATTATCCAAATTGTTTGCAATGCTTATCCAATCATTTTTTCTTTCTTTCTTTTTTTTTTTTTTGAAGAGTGAATGTCAAAAATATGATTGGATAACAAGTACGAACAGAATGGATAACCAGTCCAAACCGGTTGGATAATCAGTAGAAATACAACGGATAACCATTTTTCAAAGAAAAACGAAAAACACATTTCTTCATTTTCTGCCCGTAAATTTAAATGCATTTAAAGTTCAAAAAAAATATTCAACATGGATCTTATCGGATAGATCTCGTCGAGCACTATAAATTTCATACATAATTCGTGTTATAATTCTTTACGAATCAAAAGATACAAGGAACACAATAATATGAATGTAAAATAAGTTGGTTATCCATCTTCTTAAACTGGATATCCAATGTGTTCATATTGATTATCCAACTTCTTTGTGGTGGTCATCCAGTATTTTTTTTTTCCTTGCTCTTTTATGAAAATGATTGTCAAACTTGATTATTTATGTTAATGATGTTTATCCAACTAATTAGTATTATTTATCTAACCTGATTTTTCTTTTTATTATTTTTTTAAAAAATAGTAAACTAAGTTGGTTATCCATTTTTTTAAACTGGTTATCCAATGGATTTACATGCTTATCCAAATTGTTTGTACTGGTTATCCACTGTATTCGTGCTGATTATCCAACTTGTTTGTACTGGATATCCATCCATTTGGTTTGTATGTCTTTCCAACTCGTGCGTATTGGTTATCCAACGGATTTACATGCTTATCCAAATTATTTGAACTGGTTATCCACTGTGTTAATTATGATTATCCAACTTGTTTGTACTGGATATCCAATGTGTTCATATTGATTATCCACTTTCTTTGTGGTGGTTATCCAGTATTTTTTTTCTTGCTCTTTTAATGAAAATGATTGTCAAACTTGATTATTTATGTTAATACTGTTTATCCAACTAAATAGTATTATTTATCCAACCTGGTTTTTCTTTTTATTATTTTTTTAAAAAATAATAAACTAAGTTGGTTATCCATTTTTTTAAACTGGTTATCCAATGGATTTACATGTTTATCCAAATTGTTTGTACTGGTTATCCACTGTGTTCATGCTGATTATCCAACTTGTTTGTACTAGATATCCATCCATTTGGTTTGTATGTCTATCCAACTCGTGCGTATTGGTTATCCAACGGATTTATATGCTTATCCAAATTATTTGAACTGGTTATTCACTGTGTTCATTCTGATTATCCAACTTGTTTGTACTGGATATCCAATGTGTTCATATTGATTATCCAATTTCTTTGTGGTGGATATTCAGTATTTTTTTTCCTTGCTCTTTTTTATGAAAATGATTGTCAAACTCTATTATTTATGTTAATACTGTTTATCCAACTACTTAGTATTATTTACCAACCTGGTTTTTCTTTTTGTTATTTTTTTAAAAAATAATAAACTAAGTTGGTTATCCATTTTTTAAAACTGGATATCCAACTTAATTCTGCCCAAAGAAATTTGATCATTTTTAAGTTGGAAAAAAATATTGGATATGGATCTTGTTGAATAGATCTCAACGAGTACTATTTTTAAAGGAGAGAAAAAAAAAATCACAGGGACTAAACTTACAAATCATAAAAAGATTGATGAAAAATACAATAGGGACTCCTCGTGCAAAAAAATAGGAGGGGGGACACGGTGCCCCCGGATATACTGGATAAATTGCCTAATTATTATTTAAGATATGAATATTTCCTTTCATAACAATTCTACCCTTAATTATATTCTCTCTTTTTTTGTTTTCAAGGAAAGAATAATTATTTATTTTTGTTCACTGATTTTTCTCAACTTAGTCCTATTCAAATCATTCTTGGTTCTCTACACGCTAGGGGGGCCAAATATTCTTGGGACAATGTTAGGTAAATTGTAACGGTCCATAACACAAATACAAATACGTTCTTCATGGGCGATTGTGATTGAAACAATTCACACTAAGTATAACGATACTGAAATCTATAGTAGAATTGAAAAATAGCAACTCCCAGTGAGAGAATCTTGATGAGATGATGAGAAAATCAAGGTTATAGAGTTCCAACAAAAACCATAATTATTAAAAGGATCCCATCATAGTAAATATTATGAATAAATAGAGCATTTAGTTTGGGAGACATTGTTTGATTGATTCGTAGAAAATTATAATAAACGACTAAGTCTATAAAAACAATTGAGGTAAAAAATTGCAACAATGCATTATCTTATTGTGCCGATCAATCAATTTAAGTAATTGTGGGAAAAAAGGACATTGCTCAAAAGTCTTCAAACTACTCCCATGGCATCGTTTATTTTGGAAAATTGAATATGTTGTAGGATTGAATTCCAAAACAAGAACAAATTATTTTACAAAAAAGAAAATAGAAAGTGAATCCAACGCGGTGAAATAATGAAATAGTATATATGTAATAATTACAATAAAAAGGAAAGAATTGTCATTAAAGATAATTTTCACATCTTAAGTAATAGTTACGCCCTTAAAAGGAATTTTGAAAGTTTTACACCCTTTTTAGAAATTATAAAAGTTAGAACGCCCTTAAGAAGAATTCTCCCCAAACCAAAAAAAAAAAATACCACCACCCAAAAAAAGTGAAACCCTAATTAAGGCTTAATCATTAATAAATGTAAATTATATCCCTAATTAATTGAACCAATCACTTATTTTCTATATTGTGAGTTGTGACTGCAATCAAACTGTTATATAGTATGCGTATGGAGTATCAATAAAAAGACAAAGGTAAATTAGATAAAAGTTGGAAAGTCATACATAAAGTAAGGGTGGATTTATAATTTCGCATATTGTTACGATAATATTTCCTCCGATTTTATTATATGTTATTGAGATTCAATAAAAAGACAACAGATACAAGTTGGAAAGTTATACATAAGAAAATTAAGGGTGGCTTTATAATTTACATATTGTTTAGAGAATATTTCGTCTAATTTTATTATAAGACATTTAGAGTATCTACCAGTCTTATGTATAAAGCATTTAATATTGCTAAAGATTTTATAAAAATTATTAAAATTTTCAAAATTCTTTATTTTTTATTATATTAGAAACAAAAAGTGAAAAAATTCACCTCTATTTGCCACGTAGCAAGCGTAATGTTACATCTATTTGTTATGCACCAAATAACTAAGTTTGTTGTTTTACTGCTTAGTACAGTGTTGTCTTCTCCGATCCGCAACACCAATTTCTAAATCAAAATAGAATATTTCTTATATATTCTCTTTTCCTATTATTCTTTACTAATTTAAAAAAAAAAAGATTATTTGTTTTATACAATAACTAAAACATTTCTTTTCTATTTTAGAATTATATATTCATTCAAAATGAAATAATTATTCTAATACCAATTGAATAATAAGAAATAAATAATGGGCTAAATTAATTAATAGCTAAAAATAAGATTCAGATATACTTTGAACAAAAAGGAAAAAAAGAAAGTTAAGATAAACTCACAAATCAATAAAATACATTTTCAAATTGAAACACATGCAAAATAAATATTACATTTAAAAAAATAAGCCAATAAAATCAAGTTAAAAGTAGCGAAGAAAAAAAGAAAAAAAAAAGGAGTATTGGGGTGCTTTGTTGTTGCTACAATAGGGCAACATATTAGGCGCGCTACTGTACCAGCAACAACATTTTGCTGCTCCAACCTTTTTAGTGCACTATTGGAGGTTGCATACAACTAGATGCTTTGCTGCACAATGCAGATTACATGACATTTTTTTACTTATATATATCAGCCGTGCAACAAAGCATCTAGTTGTATGCAGCTTCCGATAGTGCACTAAAAAGGCAAATTGGATATAGGAAAATGATATGTATAATGAAAGAAAATAGTGAAAAAAGATAGTGAGTGATGTGGAGTAATTGTGATCTCTAGTTTTTTGCTACTTTTACGTTAAACTTTTATCTTTTCCTAAAAAAATTATATTGTTACCCTTAATTAATAAATACGCATACTCAACGAGGATAATGTATTTGTTTTTTCATTAGTCACTATTATATTTCACTATAATTTGTCACTATCTCTATCATTACTCTTGGGTATATAATACACTATGCTTTCCTTGTCCTTTGCCACATCAAACTCTAATTTTTTTTTTCCCAATCCAAACTCTATTATTTTTACTCTCGCAAGTGGTGCGGATTTTTAAATATTTTATTTCAAGATTTTAAATATTGTAATTCTATGGAAAATATTTTTTATTTTTAAGTATGAGTGGAAAGCCGTGTTAACTATGATTTTGAATTAATGGAATAATTGAGAAATAATGATTAGATCAATTTTATTTATGAAGATTGTTATGTTTAATGCAATTATCTCGTAGTTATTATTATTTGCTGGCATTAAAAGTTTGGAATGTATGGTATAATAAGACTCACGAATACACATCATGGTTAGAAACTTACAATTAGCACTAGTACATAAATTTTATTTTAACGATTTACATAATTAATTTGTACATTTTAATGAATGACTAATAATGAGGTGACTATATCATTTGTGTATATTATGTCAATTGAATGATAAGTGCCATCCATCAAATTTCCTTTAAATGCATGGGATTCCTAAATTTCCTCCGCCTTTACCTTTTGCCTCGTTATGAAACAAATTTTTAATGTTATTACATTAGAATATCTATAAATTAATATATATAAATTAATAATTTTTTCTGGTCCCAAACGGGACCTGTATGAAAAATAAAATCAATCGATAAAATAATAAGATGATAATTTTTTTTAAAAAATTCATATGTAAATATAGGTCTTATTGATACCATAAATTAGCGACAACTTGATATATATATATATATATATATAGATATAGATATAAGCTAGGACTAGTAAAATAAGAATCTAGTAATATTTGTTTTTTCTTACAATTTACATCTAAAGAGATTGATAATTTTTTTTAAAAAATTCATATGTAAATATAGGTCTTATTGATACCATAAATTAGCGACAACTTGATATATATATATATATATATATATATATATATATATATATATAGATATAGATATAAGCTAGGACTAGTAAAATAAGAATCTAGTAATATTTGTTTTTTCTTACAATTTACATCTAAAGAGATTTCATGTTTAATTTTTTTTTCACCGATTTCAAAAGTTATGGTGCAGATTTCTCATATTGCAACAAAAATTTTGAAAAATTATTGCTGCATTAAGTGTTTTCGTTCATGTGATTTGTTCCAAATATGCCGAATCGTCATCATTTTAATCCTAATCAAATTTTTAGTGACACTAACTGTATTTTTTATAAAGTTTTTATTAAGTAAATTATTAATTTATCAATAAATTAATAATTTTTAATTTATAAATAAATTAATATTTTTAGGGGTCATAAAGGTATTACTTTATAGATATTTTACTGTATTCCAATTTCCAAACAAAGTCAATGGTTGCTGTAGTCCTAACTTCTCCCAAATCCACCACCATTTACATAGACCATTCTTCTTATTTTCAAACAAAATTCAATCCCTTTTATATATTATTATTATCCTATTAAAGCAGAAGACATGAAACTTATGTGGCAACTAAATATGCATCTGTTTTGGCTCCAATGCACTATATTTCAGATTTCAGGAGTCTTTTTGCCACGTGTAAGTCTCTTTTAATTAGAAGTTATATATATATATATTTTTTTAAAAAAAAAACACGTGTTTTACTACAAATAAGGATCAGTTACATTTCAAACGAATAGATATATTAATTCAAATTCAAATGTCCAATCGTATAGTTTTGCAGGCTTAATATAAACAAAAAATAAAAATATCTAAATCCAGCAATTAAGAATAATGCCTTATAAACTAATTATTTATTATTCCCTTATAACCTCAGATTTATAGGTATATTTTTTTAAGCCCCAAATCATAGCATAAATGATATATACGCCAAATTAATTCCTCAAAAAATAGTAATTCAATTAGATTTTAATAAAATAGTAATTTAGAAGGGGCGCCCGGGCATCTGCCTGGGCCAAACATCTAATTTTGTTTAATTATTAATTCCACAACCAAAATACAAAGTCCTTAACAAATACCAACCAAATCATAAGTAAATCTTTTACCAATTTCTAATTTCCATTTTATACTAACCAAATGCGTAAGTAAAATTCCAAACCATCATTAATCATCGATTTATAAATTATATAATGCTAGTAACTTAATTTTTTTATATTTTTTTTCCCTTCACTTCCTACAAAGAAATAAGTATTTACATACATATAATAGATTTATCGTCAACAATTCCAAATAATAAATAATAAATTTAGACTATACAAATTTAAACTCAGGGTTTGTGTGTTTGCAAACTAATATAAATTCTGATTTGTTTTAGAATAACAAAGTGTAGTACCATGTACAATGATAAAGTTTAGGGTTAATATCAAAAAACACCCTCGAGATTTGATTGATTATCTAAAACGTCCTCATCTTTTCCCTTGACCAGATGTCCTTAACAGTCAATCGATGACTTGGGTGAAATGTCTAAAAAACCAACACAATCAAGGCCAAATTCCTTCTTATAATGAATAAAAGAAATTAATTACTTTTAAAGGCTAAAATACTATCCCAACATTTTTTTTTTTGCCGTTAAATCCTAACCTATCAAAATAACTGCCGTACTACTTCTTTCTTCCTTCTTCCAATCAAATTCCTCCTCCAAACCACCACCTCATCTCCTCTACTTCTAAGTCTAACCCTCGCCACTTCAAATTCAAAGAAATAAACCCTTAAATCTATAACTTCTTACATTAAAACCTTGATTTATTATTTCATTTAAGTAGATTTTTGTTGGATTCTTATGAGAGGGAGCGGCAAGATTAGAGGAGGAGGTGGTGAGAATTATGGGTCTGGTCATTGGTGGTAGTTTGACAATGGTGGAAAGGCACATGTATTTCTTAATTTTTTTGCCCAAGCTCAGTTCCCACCACAAAGCAAATCAAAGCAATTCCGATGCCATCTCGATCGTGAAGTAGGGGTTTGGCTTTTTGATCTGGAAAAATCCCCAAGCTAGAAAGTTGTTTGTGTTTAGGATTCCGATTTGGGTCCGGATTTTTATCAAATTGACATATGCTCATCCGATAAGGATTTTTCAGGAGAACCATTTAGAAGAATTGTGATTTCAAAGATGCGGTTTATTGCAACGGTGCAATTAATCGGCTTTGCAATTGGAGCGTGATGATCTGTATGAGTGAATTGAACGGTGTTGAATTTTTAGGCAGGAATGAATAAAAAAAAAAGATATTTGTTTGTAGTTTATTTGGGGTAATTTTAAAATTTAAGAGGATATAAACGTCTTTTTATTTTATTTTTTCTGGCAAATGTCATATGTATACATCACTTTCCTGACGCCGGAGGACCGTTTTATTAGTTGACTCGCCGGTCAAGGGATGTTTTTGATATTTATCCAAAAATTGAGGGTGTTTTAGATAATCGGTCTAAATACATGGGTGTTTTTGATATTAACCCTAAAGTTTATTGCCTTTTACACGAAGAGACAATACTAGTTTTACAACTGCCAAAATATGTAACCAGACAACGTAATCCAGTCATGAAAATATTCACATTAATCAACAGCACCAATTAGGAATTCCTAGCTGCAGCCCATCCCACTTAATAGGATCAGTTGCCAAAGTATTTTCACCACTTACGTCACACTTTCCACTTCTAGACTAGATCATAACCCTAATATAGTTATTAGGCTTTGTTTGTTTTGTTTTTTGGATGGTTTTTTCATAATATTAAAATAATAAATGTCTCATTCTAATACATTTTTTTATATTTTTAATACATTTTTTTTACATGTCTAATACAAAAAATACCTAAAAACATGTATAAAAAAACGAAATAATTCGGGCCCACGTGGTACATTTTTTAACTTCCAAATTATAACCTTAACAATACTACGTGACATACTACTATCTTTTTAAAAATCACTGTCATTTCACATGGTAAAAAATAAAAACCCAAAATATTGGAAGCGATAGAGAAATAAAAGGGGGAAAAACCCAAAATATTGGAAGCGATAGAGAATCAAATGATCCGTAGTTCTTCCTTTGCTTGCATTTGAAAGATTCTCATCACTCCAAAGAGAGCTTCCATTGTGTAGCGATTCGAAAAGTTCCAATTATTTTTCCAACAAATTTATAGAAATCAATCAATGTGGCCATTAAAACCCTAAATCCCCAAATCCTCAGCTATGGTGTTGAAGAAGTGTGAAACCCACTATGATCATCAGAATCAACAATTGATCAACTCGAGGTTTTCAGCGGATACGATCAAATTTGAATGGATTCGAAGAAGAAGATGCCGAATTCATCAGTTATAGGTCAGGAGGAAAAAAGTAAAGAAATAGAAGTTAATGGTGATCACGAATTTGTTAAAGTTATAGATTGGGAAGAATACGAGCAAGAATTAGCGCGATTTTGTAGTCTCACCTCTGCCCTCCACGAAGCTAAGCAGAAGAAATCACAACTTCAACAGAAATTGGAGTCCCTCATTCAGGTACTTTTTCTTTTTTGGGCTGCGTGGAAGAAGTAGTTGTTTCGTGTATTGCGTTACAAATGTATTCCAAGATTCAATATCCGCGTTTCTGTTTGAAAATGGTTCAATCATTAGCAGAAGAGTGTTCTTACTGTTGTAGGAATGGAATTTCAAATTTGTGGTTTGTTTCGGGTTTTAAGTAATTTAATTTTGCTTCTCCAGAATTGGTACTTTTCAAACGTGAGCCTTAGGAATGTTAGACTTGCTGGCATATAAATGAAAAGTATGTACATATGTTACTTTGGTTAATTTTTGAGGAAGACTGTTACTTATTGGCATTTCTGTTGATCTGTGATATGGAATAATGCTTGTCAGGTTTCGGATTTGTTTGATATGAGTCTCTCTTTGAAATGGAGAAGAGAAAAAGTAATCATACAGTGTCTGCTTTGATATGGTTGTGACTGTTTTACTGAGTAAAAAGAGATGGATTGCATTACAAAGAAATGGCTTCACGCTCTGTGTAGTTTTTGCAAGATTATTGTTGTGCCAAACAATGTCTGTTTCTAGCAAGCATGTACTTTCTTTTCAATATATGCAATAATTATCATCGCTACTGTTTCCATCATTCTTATTGTTAGTGACAAACTTCAAAGGAAGAGGCACTTCTTAGATAGCTTATAGATTGTGCCAGCATCATTAATTAAGGCTTATCTGGAACTCTGATCATATATTTGGGAAAAATATCGTTACCTTGTCTTCTTTATTGCTTATTTTTAAATTTCAGCTTTAAGGTAAAATTTTGTAAATAATTGCTTAGGAGAGGCAAGGACTTATGTGAGCATTTTCTCTTTACTGTGGGGGATAGCTGAAAAAGAGGGTTAAGAGTAACCTATATTGTACTTGTAAAATATATGTTAAAATGGAACAATTTGTATAAGTGAAACTCCGAGTACATTAGGTTCTAATGATCATTGTATCTTGCCTTAGTAAAAACCCACGCTTTTGATTGATGGAGGAGAGAAATAAATGGCATTAGAAGATTGGAGAGACTTAAGAATCCAATAAATTTTACCATTAGTAGAGTGGAAACTGAATATATAGAAGGAGCAGTAGTTTATATCTGAAAAGTCATGGCATGAATTAGATGCATTTAGAAGTTGGTAGATTTATAGAATTTATCCTCTGAAGATGAATAGATAAATATGTTCACATCCAATTCAGGTAGGCTGGAAGAAATGGAGAATTGTGTCTTTATTCTGTTTTCTAAAGTATTGTTGAAGTTGGAAGAAGAATTATATAAAGTATTCATACGACTTGCAATGGGTTATGGATTGATTGTTGGGAACTAAATACTAACACGAAGAAACCGAGAATATGTAAATGGATTTGCCTACACATAAGTTTGATCGAATAAGTTACCAGTGTTATAAAACGATGGTGAGAAATGAAGGAAACATTTGAGATGGTTTAAACATGTGGATAGGAGACTGTGTGCAGTTGACTCCACATAGCTGATCCGCACAATAAGATATATGCTTTGTTATTGTTGATGTTGATATAATCGTCAAAAATCTTGAAGTCTAGTACACTGTTAAGCTATAAATCCTGTTAGACATGACTTATGATGTATTACGTGATGTGCCAAACTGTTTTCTAGGTTGAGAGCATACATAGTATAAAAACGGCACCAGGGCATCTGTAAGTTGGCAGACTATGAAATTAGGTTTTTTGTTCAACTTGGAAGTTTCTATTACTGTTTCATCAAATTTGAATAGGATTAATAATTTGTTCTTTTTTTTTTCTTTTCATCTTTTGGGCTTTTATGCATAATAATTACTTTCCAATTTTTTAGGATTTTATTTAATTGTTAGTGGGTGGAAACTGTGGCAGGTGGAATCTGAGTCATTAAGCCGGTCAAATGAGCTTGATGAGATGCGTGAAAAACTGCAGTCTCGACAATTGGTGATGGGAAACATGTCAATGCATTCAAAAGTTGCCGAAGAGAAAGTAAAAAAACGAGAAGAACAACTTAGTAGTGAAATTAGATCACTCTTAGTTGCTGGAACTGCTCTTTCTGTGGCTACCAAGCACCTGCAGGTATGCTTAATGTGTGGGCTGGATTTATGCCTTCTATATTATCTATTTATTAGTATGTAAACTCATTGAATATGTGCCTATATGATATTACCCATCTATTGTGTCGTAATCATGAATGTGCTATTCGCACTTTGTCTTTTCCTTTTAGAAACAGTATTTAGTAAATGATATTTGGTCAAGAAGATGGATGAGCATATCATGTTAACTAGTTTCAAAGGATTTTTGTTTGAGATTCTGTTTCCCTAATCTGTGAGAGAGTACGCTTCTGATCAACACCAAATCAAAAGTAGCAATCGGTTCTCTATGGTATATGTTGCCTTAGTCTCCATCTGCTTTGTTCTTTCATTCTGCTTGCTCGATCTCTGTAGTTCTTGTTTTGCATCTTTAGTTATACCAGCTATACTGCATTAAAGGTATATTTGATATGATTCCATTCCACTCTCTTGAGTTCAATTAATCAGTATTCTTGTATTCCTACTTATTGGATTTTGTCTCACAGAGCCACCATCTCCAATCTCATAATATAAATGTGTGCATTTTGGGCGCCTTATTATTTCATTTCTTGCTTCAGAAGTACAAGTTAGTTATTAAGATAATTTGACGGAAATAATTTTATGATGCAATCAAATGTAGGAAGGTAGTGGAGCCCTTGCTGGTGAGAAAGGCTATGCTCATCTGAAAACCTTGCAAAAATTACTGAGGGTACGGCAGCAACATATGGTTTCTCAGATTTCCTTACTTTATCCAGTAAAGTTTGTCCTTGGGCATTCTCCTGAACAAGAACTTGAATCATTTAGCAGCAGCATTAAATCAGGTAATCATTCATGTATAGCATTCTGTAGTCCTATGAAGTTAGGTGTGATGATTGGAAGGCTTTTGTTTTTCATATTGGAAACTTTTGTAATGTTTATTTGTAGCAGTAGAGTTCAGCATGGCTTTCAACTTCTGCAGATTGCATAATAACATCCCTTTTGCTGAAATTCATAGTTGACTAAGATGCATGGTGGTTTCCTCTCAGTATAATTTATATCTCTGATAACTCAAAAGATCAATAAACTAGTAACTGATAAGCTGATTTCTCGCCCTTTTTTTTTTTTCGCTATGCTTGCTTGTGTTCCAATGTTTTTTACAGTTCATTAACGAGATAATCAGTTGGTTTTCCTTTCTTTCATTTCAATCTCTGAAAGATACAAAAGTCCCTTACGACAGGTTTTTGTTGGTCGAATATTTAACAATTTGCCCATGCTTCAAAGATGAATGCCTATGTGTACATGTATTCTTAAGAACATATGTTGGTCCATTGTTTTGGGTCGATTCTGTCTCCTAAGACTTTTTGATTGGAGTTGGTTAAAGATTAAAATAATGGAAATGATGACAGATGTATTACACTTCCACTACATTCTGCCTTCTGTTCATAAAGAGTGTCAACAAGACTTGTCCATTATTATTTTTGTTCATAATGTGCTCATGAGTTAGTCTACCTGTTCATATTCTATTACCTTAAATATATTTGTGTTTATTCTCTGTCATTTATTTTTGTTGCATCTTCAATAAGATTTACGCTTATATTTGTTTTTTTGATAATTATACACTGAAGCAATGAACTGCCACGATTATTAGACTTAGAAGTTGATTTGTTTACGAAATTGTCAGGTGCTCCTGCTGGATCCAGACCTCTTGATCAGGGGTCCTTGACAATTGCAGGTCTGCATCTCACTGTGATTCCATTTACAAAGATGAGCTTTTTCACTGATAAGAAGGAAGTCCAACGATCTTCAACAGCCCTTGGATACGTGGCGCATGTATGTTTTTTCTCCCATCTTTTTCCCTTTACTACTCGTATTATTTATTTTCCCTTTTATGGAATGGATGTGCCTTTTCTCTCTCTCTCTCTCTATCTCTCTCTCTCTCTTGATTGTTTGTTTTTGGTGGGGATAAGGGGACAGCAATCTGCTGCGAAGACTGAACTTTTGGGCTGCTTATCCTCTTCCCTTCTCTAACTGTTGCAGTCCTTTCATTTCTGCTTGTTTATCTGTTTGATTGGTATTACTTCATCTGTTGCATAAGTGCAGAATCACATAGTTCTTTATCATTTTGTTCCTCTCTTGTGTGGACTCGTCGCTAGTTATTTTGTTGCGCAAGTCTGAGAGATTAACTTTGAAGATAACTTAATCTTAGTGGTTATACTTGTTCCAGGCTGTCTCGCTTATCGCGTCATACTTGCAAGTCCCATTACGATATCCTTTGCGATTGGGTTGTTCCCGATCATATATTCGTGATTATGCACCCTCTGTTGAGTCTCAGCCAACTGATTCAACATCAAATTCGTTGGTGTTGACGAACTCAAAGCCTGTAGAATTTCCACTCTTTTTGGAAGGGCAAGACGCCACCAGAGCAGCTTATGCGGTATTCTTGCTCAATAAGGTTTGCTTCTAATTAGTTGGATCAAAACTCCATACCAATTTATTGTATAGTATTATATTGCTTGTATGATTATGATGTCTATATTCGGTGAAATTACATTGTTGTACTGAAGTTTGATCTTGCCGTATTTAACCTCCTTCATTTGAAATATTGTTTCCACTTTTGGATTTTGAACCAGATGCTTTGTGTGAGATTTGATCAAACCACATATTTACCGTGGATAGTTTCAGTGAGAATCTACGTACTTGTTTTCGGTAAAACAAAAATGCTTGAGAATTTGATTATGCTGTAAATCTTATATACGTTAAAATGATTTATACTAGTTCTCTTGCCTTAGTTTTTCTTCAGTGTTCTTTTTGTTTTGGCATAATGTCAACCTTTTTTTTGCTTTCTTTGTTGTGTTAGATTTTTGGCAGAATTGAAAAAAAAAAAGTAAATAACCTGCCATTAAAAATATAGGTCATAAGTAAATAAGGGACTTATTGCTGGTTTGTTGTTGTCTGAAAAAGAGAACTGCTTGCGTAAAAGATCTTAGAAGTAATGTTTATCTTTTCTATCTAATCAGAACAAGTGCAGCAATTTGATAAGGATTCAATATATATGTTTGGTCCAAATGTATCATTTAGTTTTAGAATCTGATGATAACTAGGACCTAGACTCTTTCCATTGAGCTCATCTTCTTCCTTTTAATCTTTTATTGAGATAACTACTCTGGCTGATTATGGTTTCTCTACTGCAATATATTACCATCCTTCTCTGTTATCACAAGAAAAACCTTGTATGTAATCCTCTGAACTCTAGATGATGTGGTGTTATCGGGGGGCGCCATACCAACTTTAGATGTGAGATATGTTTGTTGAGCCCTTGACATTAAAGTCAAATTGAAGAAATGCTTTTATTTTCACATAGCATGACTGTATTCCATACCAGGATTGTGATCCATGTTAAGTGCAGTAGAGGCTTTGTCGTTGCTCCTGCAAAACTCTAGTGTGCCCTTATTTAGCCTTAACAAAACCATCAATACATTGTGCACTGTGTTTAATTTATACTTCTACATTACACACGAGCATATGGGAACATGTTATGCTTTTAGCGGATTCTTTTCTCTTTCAATGCTAATGAAAGATGAAAACATGTCTTTTAACTGATGTCATATATGCTCTTGCAGGATTTAGAGCAGCTATTAAATTATATTGGAGTTAAGAGTTTAGGGCCACGCCACGTTTTGGCTAATTTGAAGGAGCTTCTAAGAACTGTTCTATCACCCGAGTACATAAACACATGAACAGGAGGAAGCTCCCATCAGTGTCAGTAAATGTGTTTTTTGGTCTTGTAAATCGATTCACTACTTGTATTCTTAGATTGGTGCCAATTTTTCATAGGAGCACCTTTCAACTCTAGTGTTTAGAGGAATGCATATTATGCATGGTAGAAAAGTTTTGATTGTTACTTTTTCCTCTCCATCTCTCGTTTAGGATTTTTTTAAAATTTTAATTTTGTAATTCATTACGAAGACTCCAATGTTTCTACATAACAAAAAAAAAAAAATCAAAAACAAAAATGGGAACAAAAAGAAATACAATTAACCAGCCTTTTACAAACAACAAGCTTTCCCTTTTTTTTTTCTTTTCTTTTTTTTCTTTTGTTTGTTTTTCTTGCTTTTTTGGTTTAATTTAGTAAAAGAGTACAGTATCATGCGATATGTTAGAAACCGAGGAAGCAGGTCGGTAACACTCTTCTGGTCCTTATTATAAGGTATTTTGATTTCTCTTAAGTTTCACCTATGATTTATTTTTATAATTGAAATAAGAACTTTAAAAATATTTTATGATAATTAAGAAAACACAATAAATGAGAAAATATATTTTTAAGATTTTTTTCCCAATTAAAAAGAAATTCTATGTGAAACCTATGATAAATCAAAATGACTTATAATAAGGACCGGGGAGTAATAGTTTGGGACAAAGGCCAACAATATTGTGTAATGAATTTCAATAATTACCATATAAGCTAATGAGGGTAATGTTACAAAAGATTTCTTTCCTTATTAAGAATTTTTATAATCTTCATGGAAATTGTATTGTTTTACATTTTATTTTCGTAGGAGTCTCTAGAGGGTTAATATTTTCCAAGCCATACTAAAAAATTGGAGATTGAGTTTGACCACTCTGAGACTTTGCATAGCAGCAAGCAACTAACATTCAATAAGCACGCATGTTTTTTCCCCAGTTACATATTCATTTTAGACTCCATGAGGTATGTGATTTAGAAATTGAATTACATTTTCATACGGGAGTGAATCACTACAAATTACAAAAGTAAAAAACTTTATTGGTCGACATTACTACCTTTTTTTTTTTGGTGGTGAAAACCATTCATTAGCAAAGAAAGTTCCAAGACAGGCAATACAAGAGTCGCTCTAGCTAATCTTGTGGATTATTTTTACATGGTGATACTGGTAATCATTGTGCAAATCAAAATAGAAAATATTGGTTTTTTTTTTTATAAAAAAATTGGATGATCCGGTGAGAATCAAACTCTTGAACTGCTGGTAATAATCATCCCTACCTAATCCCTAATCATTCCACCCAACCCTCCCACTCTAAATATAAAATAATGATGTATTGTCTCTTGCAGTTGGAAAAAAGAAAAAGTAACCAAAACACTCCTAAATGTTAACAAAAAAAAAAACACTCCTAAATAAAATTTTTCTTAATCAAATAAATTAAAACTATAATTGATGTTATCAAACAAGTACTAAATAGTAGATTTAGAGTATTTAGTTGATGTATATTAGGAAATGAAATAGGCTTTCTTTCCACATTCAAGTGGGTTCACTGTTTTTTTTTTTAAATTTTTTATTATAAGTTGATGTAATATATATAATTAAAAAAGTTATAGATATATATATATATATATATATATATATAAAAAAAGAGTAAAAGGGAAATGTACAGTCTTGAGGGCCTGTTTCGTTCTGGCAATGCTTAAAAGGCCCAATGATAAAAACCCAGTCCATCTCATCGTGGACTATGACCAATAAGGGGACACGTGTTTCTTGAGGCGTTCAGCTATATATAAGAAGCAAAAAACAATCAAGAGTGTGAGGTCGAATACGTACACACAAAAACACAGTAAAACGTCTACCAGAATACCAGGCGATCGACGACCACCACCGCTATTTTAACAGGACCTCATATCCACCACTTCCATCGCCGCCACTCATATCCACCGACTGATTCCTTAGTTGTACAATCTGCGTTCTTCTATCGATCTTTCCGTTCTCCATTTGGTTCGCTTGATCGGTATTGCCTATAAGTAATTCAGTCGTTTTGGCCAGGTATATCTTGGTATCATATGTGATATCCTTTTTTTTTGTGGTAAATTAGGATTGAATTTTTTTTACCTGTTCTGATTGCATGCACTTTGCTCATTAACTCCGTCGTCAGCATTTTTTTTGGATATCCAATTATGATTTTCTTATCTAGGCTGTATAATTTTTTACTTGTTTGGATATATATATTTTTTTGAAAAATTGAATTGCATGTTTAGGTTTAGCAAAATGTCTGTGAGATCGGAGTGCATTGATTCAAACTGCAAGGCCGGTCTGATTGCGGCAAATCAGGAAATTCTGTTTTAATAAAGAGTTCAATGAATGCCACCCCTGTTTGTGATGCTATTAATTTGGGTGGGCTTTTATTATTTAATTGATGGGGCTAGGGTTTTAGGGGAAACGAATGATTCATCGAATGCCAATGGGGTGGTCGATGTAGAAATGAGAACTGTAATGGATGGTGTTGGTCAATAGGAAGTAGTTAAGTCAGGCACGCTCATTCCATATAATTTATCATGAGTAACTTCAAATACTGATGGTGATCTGTATGTAAAAAGAGAGGGTCTGACGTTGCTGTTGTTGCAGGGGAGATAAAAATGGATCAAAAGAAAGAGATGAGTTTTATTGTGGATTTGAATTTGGCGGGCGAAGAAGAAGCTGTTGATCCAACGGGTGAGATTAACTTGCCGCTTGCGGGAGATTTAAATGGGAACGTCGATATTCCTGTTGAAGAGAGTGGTTTACCTGTAAGGCAACGCGCTGGGATGGACGTTGATTCTCACGCTCTGTTACCAAAAAAACGTCCAAAAGAGAATCAAGTAGAAAAGGAAGGCGACTTTTATGTGTCTGATTTAGTGTGGGGTAAGGTTAGGAGCCATCCCTGGTGGCCCGGTCAGATAATTGAACCTTCTGCTGCCTCTGAGAGAGCTATGAAACACTTAAAGAAAGATAGTTACTTGATAGCCTATTTTGGGGACCAAACTTTTGCATGGAATGAGGCATCAAAGTTAAAACCATTTAGAATGTATTTCTCTGAAATGAAGGAGCAAAGTAATGTCGACACTTTCTGTGATGCTCTTGATGGTGCCTTGAATGAGGTCTCCCGAAGGATTGAATTTGGGTTGGCCTGCCAATGCTTGCCGGAGGATGTACTTTCCAAATTAAAGTTTCAGGTGTTGGTTAATGCTGGTATTCAAGATGAACCAACCCGGTTATATGGTGGAGACAACTTTTCAACGGCACGCTCTTTCTTTCCTGAAAAGCTCATGAACTATTTGAAGGCATTAGCTGAATCCCCACGGTCAAACTATAGTGTTCTGGAACTTGTGACAGCAAGAGCACAGTTGTTGGCTTTAAACAGATTTAAAGGGTACAACCAGCTTCCTATGCTTGAAGAAGTGAAAGGTGTTTCAGAAAATGATGCTGATCTTCAGGTTTCACCCAGGGATGAGAATTTTGACAATTTAGGTTCCTGGGGAGACAATCCAGCTGCAAATGGAAAAAGGAAATTACCTTCTTGTGGTAATGAGCTTCAGCAAAAAAAGAAAAGACAAAAGTTGAGTTTGATGTCAGGAAGCCATTCAGGTGATCCAAACAGTGAGAGCAAATTTCAATGGGAAGGTGGCAGCAAAGAGACTAATCTTGATAGTAAGAAAAGGAAAGTGGTTGGTTCTGTATCTAGTGAACATAGAGGGAAAAGTGGCCGTAGAGGTTCACAAAAAGCTGTGGTTGATCATGATGGAAAGGTTGTCAATGCTTCTAATTCTGGGGCTTCGACCTTGACTTCAGAGAATTTGTATACGGGGAAGATATATCTGGAAGAATGCCCTCCTATGAGTGAGATACTTTTGAAGCTGTGTGTTGCTGCTGCTAGTCCCCTGGAAAATTACCTGTCCTTAACTTCAATTGCTGGTGTTTTGGGTGAGTTCAGGAATTCTATCTCTCTGGAAACTGACACATTTAAGGAAGAAACAGTATCTTCAAGGGAGATAGAAAAAAAGCTATCCAAGGCTACAGGAACATGTCCTCCTGTGAGCAAGATACTCTTAAAGCTGTTTGTTGCTGCTGCAAATCCACTGGAAGGTTACCGTTCCTTAACATCAATAGCTGGTGTTTTGGGTAACTTCAGGAATTCCATCTGTCTGGAAAATAACGAATCTAAAGATGTCCCAATGTCTTTGAGTAAGACAGAAGAGAAGTTGTCCAAGGGAAGTGAAGCAACCGAGTATGTTGGAACTGAAGACTCTTATTGGACTGACAGAATAATCCAAAACAACTCGAATAAGCTGGTGCCTTTTGGTCCTGAGACCATAGGTAAAAAGGTTATTCCTGTTTCTGAAGGGAATACGAATGTGATCGTGGATGATGAACAAGAAGTGGATGCGGAGGACTCAAGTCTTCCTGCCAATGGGAACTCTGAAGACTATTCTCCGACTACACTGATCTTAAACTTCAGTGATTTGGAATCGATTCCTTCAGTACCTAATCTGAACCTGATATTCCATCGATTTGGACCATTGGAGGAGTCGAGGACTACAATTCTTACCAAGAGCAAGCGTGCAAAACTTATCTTTAAGAGGCGTTCAGACGCAGAATGTGCATTCAGCAGAGCTGGGAAATTCAGTATTTTTGGACCAGCACTTGTCAGCTACCGCCTTAAGTATGAACCTAGCCTATCTTCATCTACCGAACTAACAAAAAGCAGCAAAAAAGTTCGGCGCCGGCAGAGGAAGTCGTCGGAGAAGCAACCATATAAAGAGAAAAAATTTTGATGTCCGGTGCAAGCATATTCACATGAGAGCGGTGTGGTGGTATATGTTGCACTCACTCGTATGTTTTGTAAATATTGCCGTTACTTTTCATCCTCAGTCTTAAAACCTTAAAAGTTTCGACAGGATTTTCATTTGGATTCTCCGTACATGGAGTAAACTATTGATACCTTTTGTAAGTATTGTTCATTTTTTTTGCGTTTACCATATTTCATATTTCAGACGAAAGTTTAAAGTATGTGAGAATAATGTTTAAAAATAAGTGCTCCCACCACAGACCATCTTCCGCCAGTATCGGACTGCCATTCCGGCCAGCCGGTGATTGGTGATCGCCCTGTGGTGGAAGGTGTTGCCGTGATGGCGGCCTGGCCAAGTGGTGTAAGGTGGTGGTTGATGTCTTGATGATGTAGACCAAATGAGTTTTAAGATTAATTGAAATTGAAATCCAAAAAAAAAAAAATGTTCTTGGTATAACTTTCGGAAGGACGAAAATGTTATATTCTTTATTCCCCAACGCAATTAATATTTTGTTTAAAAAAGTAAATGCTTTGTACATTGGTAACCTAAAAGACTAAAAAAATAATAATACCAGAAAATTATATAAAGAAAAGAAAAGAAAAAAAGAATACTGTAGCATTCAATTTTCGGAAAACCGCCTATAGAACGTTCAAAAAATTAACAGTAATATTTTCCGCTCCTTTTCTCTCTCTCCCTCCCCCTCTCTGTCTAATCATTTAACCCTGTACCACTCACTCATAGCCTGCAGCGCAGTCCAACGCTCTTTCTCGGCCGGGGCTCTCTTGTGAACTTTATTCGTCGTCTCCTCTGCAATAATCCCAGGAATTTCCGGGGGCGCATTGAGTATAATCGATTTAGATTGTCGAAGTAATATAAATGGAAGAGGAACGGGATAACGGCGGCATGGATCTTCAATTAAGAAGGCTTAGCCTGATTGATTTCTCATCGGAAAATGATGCCCTAGTCCACAATTCAATATCTTCGCCCCTCACTTCATCCAGTCCCGCCGGTCTTGCCCACGGCCAACCTACAGGTTTGATTCTTGAATTACTCTTTTTTTTTTATCCGGTCATTCAAGATAGAATAGATCCATTGAATTGCTTACAGATTGATGCAACCTATTCGGTTGGCAAATAAATTATTCTATCGTTGTGACTGTTCCTTTTTAAATATGGAGGGGATTGAGTATATTGTGCGGAATCAGCCGGTACTTTGATGGACTTTCTTTTCCAGTATTATCTGTTGGACTGAATTATTTTGAATTTCGAGTTGTATTGTTGGCCTTTCGAATTATCCTGGATTATTCATTTCGATTCATTTTTCTGACACTTTCCGAGCCAAAAACTTGAGAAGGGTAACGATTAACGTTTTCTCGTATAGCCTCACTTGTGAGCAGTTTATTTGTTTGTATACTGCTTTACACTGTTGCTGTTATGTGAGAAGCGCCATTTCTGTTGTTCCTTTTGTTCTTTTTGTGTTTTTATTGTTAAAGACTGGAGCTCTTGCTTAGATTAGACTGTTTATAATGCAGAGAATCAAATGCAGCCCGAGGTTTTTGAGTCATTAGTAGGGTCATTGAGTAGTGGAAAAGATCCCATCTTGACACCTAGTAGTGACCAAGATGACCAATTCCCTGATCTGAAAGAATCCGTGGAGCCAGATTGTTTTCGAAGGAAGGCCAAGTGCAACTTACGGAAAAGTTTAGCATGGGATAGTGCTTTCTTCACGAGTGCTGGTACAGTATTATCTAATCGTTTCTCGTCTGTTTCAAATTCAAATGTGACTTCTTAGGCTACTGAACTATACCAATTACTGTACTTCAGGTGTTCTGGATCCTGAGGAGCTGTCATGCATGATTAAAGGAGCTGAGAAGAGTGAAAAGAAGATGTTACCAGGAATTGAAGAGGATTTCCGCAGATCTAATGATTCAATCTCTACCTTAGAAAGTGACCATATGGTTATGGAAAATCTTGAGGCTGAGTTGTTTGGGGATATTAGAGCTTCAATACAGAAATCCAGCAAGGCATTTACTGCTGCAACTGAGACCTGTAAGGCAACCTTTGTGGATACCCCGGCTAGTTCTTGTGACTTGGCTACTGCTTCACTTGGAGAAAACTTGCATCTTTTCTTTCTAAAGCACCTTATCTTGTGTTTTATCTCATTATTATGTTTTCTCCTGTAATATGCCATGATGCTGTAGGACAATGTGAATGACTTGTGTACAAACAAGTATCAGAGCATATCTCAGGATTTGACAAATTAAATATGTGGTCCACTTACACAAATAATGTATAACCAGTTCTGTTGTTTGATGACCTGTTTTAATTGCTCTCAAAACCATCATAATAGCTAGCTGCAGTTTGCTTCCATCTGCATTCCATCAACAGTTTTGTAGTGCATCATTTCTCAATCTAACTTTTCATTGCCTTGCATCGTCGCTCACCATGTTGTCAAGGTCTTTAGCATCTAGCGGAACCGTCATTTCCCTATCATAATCAACAAGCTAATTGTTTCCCTTCTTTTCTTAAACAGCAAAGAAGAAAATGAACATATCCTCTCAAAACCAGGTAATAAGGATGAGCAACTGTTGTTTATCTTGATTTCTATTTTATAAAGAAGCTAATGCATTACACAACCCTTTTCTCCAGAAGCAGCAATCCACTTCAAAAAAACCCATTAGCGTATCCAAACCTCAGATAAAGCAAACTCTTAGGACAAATGGAACAGCAAGAGCAGTTAACCTGGATGCTGTCAGATCACAAGCTGTGCAGGTATGTCCTATAGAGCTATTTACATCTTCCATGACGCATCTGAACAAAGTTTCAAACCATCCATGAATTAGTTTGGTATTTAACTGGTCTGTGCTGGCAATTTCTGTAATTTGCTTGATTTCTGCATTCATTCTACACCTTTCAACTTTTCTCTGATGATATTTTAGCTGGTTTGGGCAGTTCTGTTTTTCTTCTATTCTCCAGTCATTGGTTGGTGGAAAATATTCCATTTTAATTTGGAAGACAGAAATTCTTTTGCCTAATACCCTTTGTGCTTTGTCCTGTAAAGTCTGTAGCTAGACCTGGGAATTCAAACCCTGCAGTTCATAAGCCACCACGAGTTACGAGCAATGCAAAACCCACCCCAACTGTAACATCTAAAGGAGCATCATTATCTGCTACTGAGACAAACAAGATTGGAACTACAAAGACAACCGTTGGTGCTGGTAATGCATTTATCTTTTGTTAGACAAGAATCTTTCACAGAAGATTTGTTTGCTATATTAACAATTCTGAAAATTTGCAGTTCCTGGTAGAGTGCCTCAGGCATCTAAGGCAAATGTTTCTGGTGGTGCTCACCGGCTGCTGCCAAAATCTGCATCATCTTCCAAGGGTCCATCTTTAGATTCTTCAATCTCAGCTAAATCGACAAAATCCTCCCCGACTGGTAGTTCTGGACGCGTTTCTACCGAAAAAGTTCCTAAATCTCTTTTAGCACCTGTTCAAAGGAAGGCAGCAGTTAAAACTGTTAACCCACCTTCTGCTGGTTCATCACTCACAACTCCCTCAAAAACTGTGCCAAGAAATAAGAAAACATCTGGAAATTCTGCTGTCTCAGCATATCTGATGTCATCCAAGATCTCTTCAAGCGTATCACCTGCTAGTTCTATCAGTGAATGGTCCTCAGCTTCATCATCTTCTTCTTGTACAGTCAACTTCAGGTCCAAGTCAAGGACTAGCATTGAAACTAGTTCTTGCAGATCTTCTGTGAATGATATTACCTCAGATTTCGGTGACCCCTACGACTGTCAGATGTTAGAGAGTGATGACAGTAACAGCATAACTGTGCCTGAAGGAAGTGCTAGGAAATCTTTGACACAAACTTCTACTCTTTCCCATTCAAAGTCTGCCAGACCATCCGGGTTGAGATTGCCATCCCCAAAGATTGGGTTCTTTGATGGGGTCAGTTCTGCCTATTACTCTTATCTTTTATTCCTTTTTGCTTAGTTTGGATGGAAACACTTCCAGGACTAGTTAATGATGCAAAACAAGGACAACAATAACGACAAGCCTTTAGCTCACTATGTGGGTTGGCATATGATGCAAAATGAGGACAAACACTAGAATTTATAGATGAAAAAGTCAGCACATGAAGGGTGAAGAATAAGGATATTTGAGAAATAAAAACTTTTATTCAAGATAAAAGGGTTAGAACATTAGTCTTAAACACGATGCCGTGGAATTTTTCTGCAAAGAATGTTACTTACAAAATTTAGCTGGTTATATTCTTTCATGCAGGTGAAATCAATCCGTACTCCTAATGGGTCCCAGCCGTCTCATGCAAGCTTAACAACGTCTACAGTTGGAGCTGCTGTACCTAGTCCAAGGAGCGCCAGTATGAAGCCAAAAATTGGAAAACTTTCACACCCGAGAGGTGGATCTGCTTTATCAAAAACAAAACCTCAAGGAGTCATGTCTTGTACACCCTCAAGTGAGAGATCACAACCTCTGGTAAATGACTTCAGTGGTCTGAGTGATGTAGGAGTTGAAGCCGTTATGGATGGAGAAAGTTTCTTAAAAACTCAGGAAGGTGGAGGAGAGGTTGTTGATCAAGCTAACCGTACTGAATCTACTGGCATTGGGGTACTCAAGGATAGAAATGATCCTGCATTTGCAATGAAGACAGAAAGAAATACAGGCGTGGATGGAGTTGTTAACTCCAAAGATACTAAGGTTGACACTATTGGTGATTTTTGCGAACCAGATATAGGAAAAGGGTTTTTGAAGCCATCAGTGATAGTTGATAAAGATGGGGAAGGTAATCTGGCAACATCGGTCTTGGGAGTTGACGAAAAAGAAAATGCTGCGTTCAGAGAGCACGTAGATAGCATTCTAGGGCAATAAACAACGAAGATCCACAGCCTGTGGAGCAAACTTGAATGAGATACAGATAACAAGAGCCTACTTCAGTCTCTTTCATCAAATAGATGAGGCAAGCAACTTGTCAAAATGCGAACCCTAATGGATGCCAGTGAGGGATTATAATTCTTATTTCTGGGGCCTGCTGATGTTCCTTATGGTCAGCTGTCTAGTAACTCAAGCTTCTGGCCAATTTTAGCATTTTTTCAGAGATGCGAGTGCCTTGGCGCTTCACATATATTTCCATGGACAGTATATGAGCACAATTCATCTTTGCTACAGTTATTTAAGTGATTCTTATAGCCCTTGCTGATTATACTACGTTCCATTTCTGAAATACTATGTAAATCCAACTACTGGTAAAGCTAAGCTCACTGCTTTAATGACATTATCATGCATTTCACTCTACTTCGTCATTGTTATTATTATGAATGTAAACATTTCTTTGGTTAAAGAAACACGAAACTGTTGTTACGATGCTTGGTAGCTGGTGATGGAAAAAGCTGTATGTTTCATTCTATGTTGACGTAGAGTTAATAAGGATGATATACGTGATAATACAGGTATTTGGACCATCCAAAATCTAAATTCATGTTACCCATGTTGGGCATAGATGGCAACTGTGGTCCTTGATAAAACATTTAGTAAAAATATGAACACCACCACCAACTCCTAACGGCTGCATAAGTTATACTTCTTAACCATTAACTTTTCGGATTAAGCAACTGTACAGTTTGCTTTGCTTGACATACAATAGTGAGATTCAGAAACCGGTACAAGTTGGCAGGCGAGCAAACAAAGTAAAACTGGGTAACAATCTCAAATCTATTATAGCATCAAAAATTTTATTACAGCCACATGACAAATAATGGACCAACAAAGAGCACGGAAACAAAATCGCAAAATGGTTTCCTACAAAAATCTAAGATCTAGGTTTCTCCTTCTTCTCCTTGAAGAGAGCCAGAAGAGAAACACCTGAGACCTTTACCACCTTGAACCTGACACCAGGAATATCTCCAACAGCATGACCTTTACGTCCAAATCCAGCAATCAACACTTCATCCTGCCACACATACAACATGGAGTTAGAATCGCAAGCATGGAAATATACCTAGAGACAAGAATTAAGAGATCTCAGGCTCACATTTTCTTCAATATAGTTCAGACAACCATCGTTAGGGACAAAAGCAGCAATCTTCTTCCCGTTTTTAATGAGTTGAACCCTGGCACATTTCCGGATGGCAGAGTTTGGCTGCTTGGCCTCAATACCTCTGCATACATCAAAGAGCATCGCCAATTAAGCAGTGAAGCCTTAACAATGAAACAGACACAAACTGAATATAATTTAAAGTTTCTCACATCTTCTCAAGTACAATGCCCTTGGCATGGGATGACCCAGCAAATGGTTTTTTCCATTCATTGCCCAGATGGGACTTCTTATAGGACTTGTCCGCCCACCTTTGCTGCCTACGGTGGTTCTTCAGCTTGCGACCGGCTCCCATACCGCGTCTACAAAATAAAGTAAAAAATAACCTCAAAAAAACTCTAGACAATTTAACCAGTAGATGCTGCTACAATCATGAAGATTGCATGGCTTACAATATAGAATAGAAGGAGACTCAACCGACATAAATCCGGCAAAATCCAATATTGTAAAAGGATCAACTCAGGCAGACTGTAGGAGAGATCGTAGGCAAGGATGCAGATACAAGGATCATCGTAGACAGAGAATAAATGAGTGGTCAACAAATTTGATTTTCTCAAATTTAAGAAGGCAAAACTCTTCAATTGGTGATTAACCAAAGTCAGAAAAACTCCAAAATCTAAATATAGCTTCAACTCAAGTAAGATACTCCATACTTTTAATTTTCAGAATTGAAATTTGAAAAGATTACTGATTCCTCAAAGCTGAAATTAGCTTCTAGCAATATAGGTGATCCAAAATTTATTTTTCCCTGATCATCATATTTACCCAACTTTTTGGAGATAGAAAAAACCAACCGCAATCCGGCCAATTGATTTTAAACAGCATGCATTACAACCTTCTACGCATTGCAATATCTTGTTCTCATATACAGAACTGATCCATCTATCATCGAGTAACCACAGGTAAATTGCTATTACCACTGAGGCATAATTTACAAGAAGACTGTGCAGAAGGCACAATTCGATAGTGTACAGAAAAAGGAATTGCAGAAAATTGAGATATCATACGCCATGTTTGCAGATGAAGGAGAACTCCGAGTCGAAAAGCTAGGGTTACAGTTGGGACTTGAAAATGCAGAGGCAGTGGAAGCTCGCCGTCTAACGCCTGTAAAACCCTATTCGTCGGAAGGAAAAATTCGATCAAGTGATAGAAGCTATATACCCTTCATGTAGGCCCATTTGTTCGCCTTTTTAAAAATTTCTATGACATAGGAAACGGGCTTCTGCTGGATCAACATAATTTGGGCCGAACTCCAAGTCTATTGTTTGTTCTTTTTATTAGATCGTTTTTATTACTTTCTTAGAAAATGATATCTGTTTTTTTTAAAAAAAAAAAAAAAAAAATCTGAGATCACTTAATCCAGTACCAAAAGCTGCAGCTGGTTAATGTTACAAAATGATACTCCTTCCGTCCCATAATTATTGTCCAGTTTGAGTTTTCATTTCTAGTTCAAATTGTACTAAAAGTGAAATTTCAAACTGAACAATAATTTTGGGACGGAGGGAGTAATCACATAACCTTCTGCTTGCAACAATGGTAACCATAAATGTGAGTGAAGATAACATAAATCCTGATGAACGTCGTCAACATTTCATACTATACAAATTACATTGATTACATTATGAGAAGCTAACTTTCTGGGAAGTCAAAACAATTTTTGCAGTTTCATTTTTTGAATACCCGAAAAGAAACTGCATTAAGTGCAGAGAGAAAAAAAACAATGGAAAGGGGAGGATCAAAAGTTGCAAACTTGAAGAAGCTTTGATGCTACTTCTGGCCCTTCTTCAACAACACGCCAATTTTCTTCAACATGTTACCATTCTTCTTCTTAGGCGAGTCATCATCCAAGTCTTCAGAATAAGGCAAGTTCAACTTCCCACCAATTGTGTTGTATCCCATGGAGCCCGTCCTTTCCACAAACTTTCCATTGTTCCCAGTCGAAAGCATTGCCGTAGCTGCCTCAGCAGCTTTCCTCCACTGGTCTGCCTGCACTTTTAGTCTCCTTAGTTCGGCTTCCATGTCCGTGTTGGCAGCTTGGGCCGCATCCAATTGCTCAGTAACCCTTGCAGCCTTTCTGGTACTTTTATCTGCTTCCTCTGTTAGATGATTGAGCTTCATTAGTGCCTCTTGTTCTGTAGCCCTGGCTGCTTCTACGAGAGCAACAGCTTCGTCGTTTAATCTACTCCTTTCTTGTTCTCTATTCCTCATTTCCAACTTCAGCTTTTCATTCTCCTCTGTAACACTCTGCAACTCCGTTTTCTTGTCTATCAAGCTTGACTTGAGGTCTTCCAATATTGATTCTAGATTCTTTCCTTCCATGAAATGATTTCTCTCTATCTCTTGATCTAACCCTTGGTTCTCCTCTCCAGCATACTTGAATTGAGTCTCTTTCTCCATCAGTTTTTGCTTCAGCTCTTCTACACTGGCTCTAGCAGCCTTCAACTTTTCCTCCAATTCAGCCTCTCTCTGACATGATTCTGATTTTGTTTTCTCCACAAGGTCAAAAGCATTTCTAATCTGCAAAGTACTTTGAATGTACTCCTCTTGATACCTTCTTTCAGATGCCTCTAACGCCTCTCTTAACCTGCCTACCTCAATCTTTGCGGCATGGAGCTCATCTTTCAGTTGTTTTGCTTCCTTGTCGTTGTCCTTTGCTTCCACAATTTCCGCAGCATGAGGAGCTGCCGAATCTTCCTTACCATCATTGATAGTAGTTTGAAGTTCTCTCACAAGTTCCTCCAAAGAAACCACTCTATTCTGTGATTCCTGTAGATCCAAGGCCAATGACTTGTAAGCCTCCATGGCTTGCATACCTTCTGAACGAAGTGTCTCCTCCACTTCCTTTGCAACCTCCAGCTGCATTTGAGCATTACTTAGTTCTTCCAGCGCTCTATCCTCAGATTCTTTGCTGTCATTTAACTGGGCTTTCATCTTCTCTACCATCACAAGTGTTTCTGTGAGTTCCATCCTTAGGTTCTGAACATCAGCATGAGCTGATTCAGCATGCCTAGCTTGTGCTGCTTCAGACTCAACCACCCTCTCGAGTTGAATTTTGAGTTTCTGGATTTCATTTAAGGCAGAAGCCAGAGCAGCAGAGTCCATGTCATGCTGATTCTGGATAGCCTCCAGTTCCGACTGCCATGCTCGATCCCGATCCTGTGAGATCTTGCGCAATTCTTGAACTCGAGATTCCTCAGATTCTGAAAGTTCCTGCAACTGCTTCTCAGACTCTTCAAATTTTGCTGACATGGCTAAAAGTTTCTTTTTAGCCTCTTCCGCCTCATGCTGAGCCTTCTTCTTTGATGATTCAGATGAGCTCAGTTGATCTTTTGCTCTCTTCAGTTCGTCTTGGAGATGGGCAAGCTGAGTTTCCAAATCAGTCATACCAGCAGGGCGCTTCTTCTGCCAAAAATTCAACATTTGTAACTGACAGTAAACAATTTCAGTGCATCTTTAAGATTGCAAATGACCCAAAGAGGTCAAGTGCACAAAGAGACTGAGAAGCAACCAACTTTAAGATTGCAGTTTCTCTTTAGTTCCATTTATTTGCATTTTAAAGTTCAAGCTCAAACTTCCACTTCAACATCACCATATGATATTGGATACAATTCTAAGAATCTATAAAATCATACTGTTCTGAACATCATAACTTACTGTTGTTCATATACAAAAATGGAAGACATGTATTTATTACCTCAGTTGCTGGGCTCCGTGGAGAGCGGCGATCACCAACATTGGGACTTCTGTTTTTTGGCATTTTGCTAGCACCGTTGGGGGATGAAACCAGGTCAGGAGTTTTGAGCTTTCGAGTTGTACGAGGTGTAACCGGAGATGTTTTCTGAGGCAGTTCAGAAGAACTGATTCTGTTTTCCAAGTTCACATAATGATGCTAAAATCAAAAGGAGGCAACTATGCAGAGAATACAGTAAATAAATTGTCCAGTTTACACAGAAGAAATAACCAATTTTCTGATCCTAGTGATTTTGGAATATATGTTAACATTCTCAGGCATTTAACATTTTGCAAAGAAACCCCCAAAGGGATCACCTAAAAACATAAGATATAAACTGTACAGTATCAACAGGCAGTTTCCTAGAGTATGCACATTTTATCGACTAAGAAATGGAAGATTCTACAAGAATGATGTATAATGTCAGTTATAACTGGAGAATATATACATTTGAGCGCTGGTTGCGTAGACTGCTATGGGATAGATACTTGAAAATTAAAGCAAAACTAACATTTGGCAAAATTACAAAGCAATTTACCCCTAATTGTTAGCAAAGTACCTTGCTTTTGGTGCCTGCATATTGAGTTCCTTTAAAGCTGATGGAGAATATAGGGAAACAAAAGTGCTTCTTCAAAGGCCCACCTGACCCACTCCTGGAACTGTTCAAGGCAAAATCTTGGTTCAGAATGAACTTTTATGTCAATGAAAAAAAATGGCAAATAAATGGTTCTTCCAGGATAGCTAACCTCAAATGCACACCCAACCAAAGAAAAAAATAAAATAAATAAATAATAAAAGGAAGAAGAAAACAAAAACAACAACAACAAACGAACAACACCATCCCTTCAAAGAAACTCCAGGAAACAGCCTCCACTCTCACCAACCAAACCCCCAATGGAAGTAAAAAACATAATGGTGAAGAAACTAGCAATTCATTGGGGGAAGGAAAACAAAACAATTCTGTTAGCCATCTTTTCACTTTTTTTTTTTTTTTTAAAAATATTTTGCTTCCTTTCTACTCCTGCTTAGACAATGAATAAAAGCATCACTCAGACATCATCATAGAATAAGAAAATGACTCATCCAACTCACAGCTGATTATAAATAATCCTAAGACGTATTAACAGAACATAACCACACATGGGTTTGACTAATCAGGTCAAATAAATAGCAATCTTTTCACAATTTAAGCTTGACCTTAAACAGAACAAAGGTAGGAATCTCACGACCGACATAAGCATGGCGCAAACTCAATGGGAAGATGGAACTCCTCTATTAGCAAAACAAGCATTTTTGGACACCAATAGACGCTTTGGCCAAAATATTCCAAAATTTTGCCCACTCAATCACTGAAATAAACCCAAAAATAAAAGGCAGAGGACAGAAATTTTCACTGGATGCATTATCAGCCAATGACAGTGAAAGACTAACATAAGACAACCATTTGAAAGAACAGCCAATCTCTAATCTTTAAGCAGGAAAGACAAAGATAGCCAAGCACCTAGTAGAAACTAGAAACCTTAAAATAACATCATAATTAACAGAGGAGTTTTGGTTCTTCGGATGAGATCTGAATACATCTCAAACATTTCCAGTCACCTACGTTTAACACACAAAACTCGATTCATGTGGAACATGCAATGAAATGAAGAAATGTTATCCTTAAAATTGGAAGCTTGTAAATGTCATCCAAAGTTCTTAACTTTTTAAATTTCGAAACAACAAGCACGTGAAAGCACAGACCCCGCCCAAACCCCAAAAATAGGATAAGAAGAAACAACAGGAAAATTGAAGTTTCAACAGAAGAAACCCAATGCAGAACTCGTGATACCCCAACCACCTCTGCAACTCAAAAATACACATAAACACTAACATTCCCATAACTCAAAAAAAAAAAAAGAAAAAGAAAAAAGAAGAAGAAGCAGAGCCCAAAATTTATGGGCTGGTAATCAATGCTCACAAATGTTAAATGATTGTTAAGTGCAAACTTACTAAGAATTAAGCAGAATGAAATTTCACAGTGGACTAAAAAAGAACTCAATGCTGCAGAGTCAACTGGTTCAGTTGAAAGTGCAGCAGGAGAGTTTGAAGAAATTGCAGAAGCAGAGAGAAACCTTACTCTCAAACTCTAAAGGTATGGGTCTCCTTTTTTTTTTTCTGTTGGAGGAGAGAGGCTGAAAGGGGTGAAGAGCTCGAGAAGTAGAGAGAGCATTAAAACAGGGCAATGGTGGCAGCTTGGGCAGTGCTGATATTATGCAATTCCCAAGTCACCAAAAAAAAAAAATTATATGTCTTTAGTTTTTACCCTCTTTCTTTTTTACTCTTATGACTTTTTTCATTCAATCAGTTAGATGATTTTAAACTTTCTTTTTAGTTTTATAGGAGTAATTTCTTTTCTTTTGTCAGTGTCAGTGAAGACTGCAGGCCCCTTTTACTCTATAAAAACACAGGGCTCCAGGGTGTTTGAATGACTACGCTCTTCAAACCGCACGCCATTTCCACGCACCCGTGACCAAGTTTCTGGAATATTTTAACCCTTGGTCAAAGATATTTGGGGTCTGCTTCTTGTTCTGCCTTCTTTGTTTTGTTTTGTTTCGTTTTCCGTGGTAAATTAATACAGTAGTATTACTAAGTACCATCCTCATCAAGCGCAGGCAGAAATCTTTTTGCTTTCCTGATTTACGGACCAGTACCTTTCTTACTTGAACATTGTTTTTTGGTCTTTTGTTTCTTTAATGTTGTTTATGCTTTGCTTTTTTTAGCCTAATCTTGAGCTTTACGATGAATCAACCTATATAAATTTGCTCAAGTAATTGTTCCAAAAGGGAGAATAGAGATGAACCAAAAGTAGTTTGGTACATCCATCATGGGAAATTGAATTTGTTCAATACTTTTGGTAAGTTATTCTGTTGCATATTCCTTTAGTCCTAGCATTTGAAATTTGGAACATAGTACTCATATAATCCATGAACTACCTCTTTCCAATACTTTAATCATCAAACTGCTCCATTTTTATTGCATTTTTTCCACAAACGAAAAAAAGAATCTTAATTAATGCACCACCAACCAAGGATCCAACTACTGCATTTCCTCTCCTTACGCAAGCAAGGAGGTTTGTTCGTGCTCTTCTGTGTCCAGCAGTTGATGATTTGTATGGAGATCAATTATCAAAAAGCAACAAAGTAAACTAAAACTCGCATGATTGACTTGGGCATAAACAATTCATACGAGATACTTGTCTCTCTTTTCTTTTAATTTATTCATTTTTTGGGTATTGCCAATCGTTTTCCAGGTACCACAAACCTAAAATAAGTCAAGCATGATAATACACGGCATGTTGAATCCAGTTACCGATTATCATAATAGCTAGAAAATACCAAAACTATGGCAACGAATCAAAACAGCTACATCCTTGGAAATGTCACTTTCTTCTCCAGAAATAAATACCCACGCTGTGCCCATTGGGCCAAGACTAGGATCTATACAGATTCTTGTTTATCCGAAATGGGCTGAGAAGTGGACCTGTTGATGATGCCAGGGGCCCAGGACTCGGCATACTTCAGGTGGATTCCGTGTCTTCTGGAACTCTGCCACATCCTGATTCAGAAGCCTGAAGATAGTCAACAGCTTTGCATTTACTTCATCAGATCCGAGTTTTTGAAGGTTAAAAGCCCTAAATATCTATGGCACAAAGATTCTCTTGTTTGAACTAAAAAAATAATTTTATGGATGGAGGGAGGACTACTTCACTGATGTACATGAGTAAAAATAACATCACAGAACTGCAGATTGAAAAAGAATATTAGAAAGTGAAATGATGTCTTTGGAGATAATTTAGGATATCAGCTACCTCTAGAACCATTGGTTGCACTTTACATCCCTGACTACCTCAGCTTCAAGCTTCAGTTCAACGATTCACATACATAGACACTTGTTGACACATTAGCACAGTGATCAAATTTGTACCTAACATGGTGCAAATTTTAAGTGAGAAATGGAGTTGGTCTGTTCAGAGGTTCAAATCGGTCTTAGCGCGTGCAATTACACTTCTCATGAGGAATCAAAACGCATTCCCTATTTCGATCAGAAGCAAACAATAAAGGATGGATCGAGTTAAAAGGCAAAGATATGATAACCACACGTTTTTTATACCAAAACTACAAGCATCACTTCAACCCTGGTATCTGGCAATTTTTACACCCATCTCTAGCCTCTCTGTTCCAGAGCAGCAGTTCATATACTGTACACCAAAAGCTAAGAAACAATATTATGCCAGAATATGTCCCAGGAAAGTCAAACCCTCGAAAGCACCAACATCTTACAATAGACGATGTTTTTACTTGCTCCAATTTAAATATATATCCTCTCCCAACCCCAACCAAAAATAGATAAACAGGTTCCTATAGAGCTGTGGGCAAACGTTTCAATCTTGACTTGAATCTAACACCTCTTCTGATAAAGCTGAAATTTGAAAAAAATTAGAACATAGAGCACATGCCATAACTGCAGCTATGAGATATCACTTCCAACAGCTACATTTCACTTCATCCTACTACATCCGGCCCTCATGAGTTTTCCAGAAGTTCTTCTAGCTATTTTCTGTTACTTTTTTTTCTTTTTTCTTTTTTTATTCACAGTTCTACGTTTTAATTCATTCATGAACGAACAGTTTGATGGCAATTTCACAAAGTTGCACTACTCGTTCCCCATGAGATCCTCTCTCTTCATTTCCCTTTCAACAAAACAAATGTTAAGCGAAGTAGCCAAACCACATGCTAGAACATGGTAAGGAGAATGAAGATATCAATAACTGAGCATATAACATGTCAGACGAGAGTTGAGGTTTATTAGGACAAGCCCGTACTCTTAGACAAGTAAAAAACAATATCCTACACAAACAGAGAGATGATAATTTTATCATATCCCAAAATTTGAGGCCCTGGCAGATAACTGCCTCTAATAAACTGAAGCGGCTACAAACAACCGGGACATTTCATGTCGAAGGGGCATACAAAACCAGGGAAGAAACAGAGTCTAAACAAAAGAATGCAACTTCCAATAATCGGTATAAAGCTTACCAGTACAAACTAAGACAGCCAAATCACTGAACCTGAGATCTTGACGCGAGTTTATCTCCCAACAATGTAATCTTCCAGCAATCCACTTGGAGCACAAAAACAGAAAGCTTTTTGGGGACAACTGCACAGTTATATGAAGGACGGCCAAAATATAAATTCAACCAGACAATAACTTGAGAGCATGAAAAACAGAGACTGGGATTGGATAAAAAGGTTTTAACCATCAACAACCATGTCAAAAGACTCATAAAACAAGCCAACTAGTAAATTGTACACCCAAGCACGCCCAAATAACATGTAGCACTAAAGAAAATGCAGAAACGCACAAGCTTCTCACGCTAATTGCAATAACATAATTCCAGAGATGAGACCTAAAATTTCAAAAAATAAAAATTATTCATCAAATGCTGACCCTAACAATTACATTGCAGATAAGAAATATGAATCTAGACAATGCATTACCTCTAAATTTATTATCTTCTGTAATTATTCCAAATGTTTCAGCAGTTTCACGAACCATGATACCATGCACTCCACACAAGGTGCAAACTTTGCATTGAACAACTGTTGACAGACAAAATATCAAATGAAAAGTTGATCAAGGATGCCCAGTGTTCACAAGATAAGTAAATAAAATTTAAACAAAAATCAAACACCATGTAAAAAATCTTTAAGCAATTTTATTTCCAAACTTGACAAGTCTACCACTTTCATACTAATAAGAATTTATATGAAACTGCTACTTCTATAATCTTTCATTCTTCTCATAATGCTGAAAATAATTCACATTCTTTTTGGCTCAAAGATTTCGGGGTGATGACAGTTGCAATATTAATCAAATGATTATAACTTTAGCTTAGATAATTGTGCAAAATCAAGTAGAGAAGTACAAAGGATATGAAAATGCCTTGAGCAACTATAACAATTACCTCCGAAGAGGCTTATTAAAGATATAGATTAGAGAGGGAGCAAGAGTGATGAAGTTTATTACCTAGCATGAGAGATCCATGTAAGTCCGCATTTAAAAGACATTGGGCCAATTGATTTTTCCTGCAGCATTTTCCGTCAAGAGTAAGAGAGGGAATACTCTTGTACACGTGTAAACAAAAAGTATTCCGAGGAATAACATCACTTATGCATATACTGCCAGACAGTATAAGTCAAGGATGAAGCAAACTTACCCAACATGCTTCAAAAGTTGTGTTGTGTAGCTTTTCCACATTTCATGCATAGGTTTAAAAAGCTCAAAGCTGTCAAGATAAACGTAAAACTGTGATACGGGAACCTGATTATGTCAGGGAGATCCTTGCAACAAAACACTTTCTAGAACTGTAATTTAAAAGTCGATGAAATTTACTTACTTCTGGAGCTCTTTAGGTAAATTGAATGAGCCAGACTTTTTATGTTGTTTCAAGGACATGTGACTCTTGGATCTCCTCGGATGAGTTTTCAAAGATTGAGATCGTGCGCTAGCTGACATACTATTACTTGGTGGGATGAAATTATCAAGAAGAATCCAATTGTCAATTCTTATTCCTCTGGATCCTTGCATATACTTTTCCGCCGAATTACCATGTTGGAAAAGGTCATGCAAGAGGTGATCTACTGAAAGGTCCTTAGAAATCTACACGAAAAATTGTATTTAAAGGATCAGTCTGCAGCTTAAGTCAGCAACTGTGTTTGACCATAGCAGTTCTTGCGTTTTTATATAATTTATAAAGAATTACCCCAGATTCATTTTTCAGCAGATTTTCATGTGCATCATGCGCTAGTTGAAAATATGCTGGATCACTTGCCTCTGCATTAAATATCATTCAAAGAAAGTACTCTTTTAATAGCATGAACCTGCTTCTTTAAAGAAAATCTCTGCGTGAAACTCTATATAACTTGTAAGAAAATCAAATTAAAAAAAATCGAAAGAATACCTTCTTTATTCATATATCCTGAGAAAGTAATGTTTCCTGCAAGAGAGACAGGACGGGTCACTTGAATAGAAGAAACTTGCACTATCAAAGAAATACAAAGCCAAAAGCTTATTGTACATTTTGTAACTCATTAGTGAGAGATCTTATAAGAAAAGGAGACATGCAATCACTAACTTTAGCAAAAGATCATCCAAGCCACATAAGCAAGAGGTAGAGGTACTAATGTCATTCCAATAGAACCCAAGTGAAAGAAACAAGTCCGAAGAAAGATATAATTCATACTTCAATAAGAAATCATCCGAATCTAATTTAGTTATTTTTAGTTTTACCAGATAAAAGCTTCTGGAAAATGAACATCTCAAGTAATCATGGGATATCCAAACCCACCACAAAGCTGTCCCGTTAGTTTGGTTGAAAACTTTTGTTCTGAGACTAGGATTAAACAGTTGGCCTCTATTGGAAATTTTCCAGACATATGGGCGATAAAACTCAATAGTTTATAATGTGGAGAAAAGAAGTTGGGAAAGGGTAATACCAATTGCTACCACAAATTCTCAATTACGTGCTAGAGCTAAGCATAAAGGAGTAGAGTTCTCACAATCAGACTTAGATTATAGTGTTTCCCCACGAAAAAATCATCTCAAATTCTCAACCATCGTAAATGAATAAAATAAACTAAATGGATGCAAACTCGTCAACCAACTCTTATCCCCATTTATAATTAAACAAATGATAGCCAACCAGGATGTGCATGAAGGCAATGGAAAAACCTTTCTTGTACGATGAATTTGTTGACGGTGCAGCCGGTGCAACTGCAGAGGAATTTTTGATTTGGTACGAGTCTTTGGCATGTTCTCCATGAAGTCTTCTCTTACTCTTCTGCTGCTGAAGGAGATGCGCTGCTTTTTCTTGAGCTAACCTCCTCTCCAGAGCATCCAGAGTTCGTTTCTTTCTTTCCTCCAAACTACTATTACTGGCCATTGCAATGAATCACACCCTGGAATCAAATGAAAATTAACAATCACGTGACAGAACCATAATCAACCACAGGAGTACGTAAATGCAGCTAAGGGTACATAGTAAGGATATCCATTGTCATTTCACCACAAAGTATAAATACGGTACAGCGCAGGGTGCTTGTGTTTGTTAATAAAGTTAAGCATATCATTTAGAACAATATACGTTTGAAAGATAATGCAGGAACCTGTCATTATGCAAACATTCTCCACCAGCAAGCGATAAATTAAAAGATACATCTAGACTAAAAGGTCTGGCATACATACTGTACTAATGTAACCCAAGTGGTGTAACTATGCAATCACATATTTGCGGGAAGCAATCATACATGTTAACAGAGTCCATAGATTAGAAAGCAAATATTTTATGCCAGAAGATCTTCAGCACATAGAAAACATATTCGAATTTGAAGTTCCTTTGTCGTCCGCAATATCACCGAGAGCAATAAAATATCAAAAAAAAGGGAATATTGCCCCAAGATCCTTAATGGCATTAGAGCTATTCAGGAATCCTTTAAACGTTAAAAGTTCCGGAATATTGTTTCCTTTACTATCTGTTTGGTACAAACTGAACAATGAAGGCTTCAAACTGAAACTACACCTAATTCTAACTGAATTCCAAATAATTTAATTCACCACAAAATTTACGTTAAAAAAAGCAGCAGATTCGCCGACTCACATAGTTGAATAAGAGAAATTTACCGGGGGAGGACTGCCGCCGGAGTTGACTCGGAATTCCGATGGGAACAATTGGAGAAGATAGGACAATGAAGCTCTTGATGATGGTGGCGGAGGGAAATATGAGATGTAGGGCGAAGATTCAATTAATTAATAGAAACTGAAAATTGCGACCGTCTTTTCGCGGGAATGCTTGAAGCCTTGCCACAATAATTAAAGGATGGCAGGGTTTTAGCTCATGGAGTGTCGCTCTCCTCTTGATGTCTGATGAGACACTACAGTCTACACACTATAATTTGAGAGTTATTGCCCTCTTATCGGAATTTTTTTTTTTTGGTAATTAGGAATTTGTTGTTAGTGTGTTGAATTTTTTTCGAACTTTTTCTTGTGTTGTTAGGATGTTAAACTATTTTTTTTATCCAATTATCCAAACGATAATCAAGCTTATTATAAAACAGATCAAAATATACAAAATTGTACAAGAATTGTATCAGTTAGATCTAGTCATGGCAGAACAGAGCACAACTATATTCAATGAACGATTCTAGATCTAAATTTCACCAATTAAAAGGAAAAATAGTTTACGGTCTAAAAAATACAAGAAAAACCTTTTAATACAGAGATTTGACGATCTAACATAGCACTACAAATCTGGACTCAAGTTTTTAGATCTTTAACGTCTATAAAATTAGATCAAAAGTTACTCTGTCTTTTATCTTCATGTTCACTTTCTACAATCCGCCTTTTATCTTCATGTTAAATTATGATTGGAGAATAATGTTATATATGTAGTGTATCCAAAAATGAATCAATTTCATTGTAATGTTCGAGTCGTTTTTCTTGTAATAAAGATGAATAAAATATTTCTTCATCGTTTTAACGTGTTTAATCAAGGTTGATACACTCTTTTCTTTCTTTCTTTCTAACTTTTGTGTTTTTTTAAGAATGGAATAATTTATGAAAATCAAGACACAGACACCATGCAAATAAGAAATTTTGATGTTACTCTTTCCGGTTCTTAATGTAAGACATTTTGATTCCGTCATAGGTTTCGTCTAGTATACATTTTTAATTGACAAAAAAAACTTTAAAAACATTTTATAACAATCAAGAGAATATCACGAACGTGAAAATATAATTTTAAAGTTTTTTTGTCTATTAAAAATGCATACTAGATGAAACCTAAAACAAAATTAAAATATTTTATATTAAGATCCGAAGGGAAGAGTATGTTCTAACAATGGTCTAATTTCACTAGACAAAAATTATCATGTTTTAACCACTGTTTAATCTTGCCCGACAAAGTCAACAGACAATAGAACCCTCTCGGACTCTTATAAGGTGGGGTAATGCAAAATTAACCTCCCTAAAATCATATTCCCTCTGTCTCAAAATTATGATCCAGTTTAAAATTTCACTTTTAGTACAATTTGAACTAGGAAAATAAAAATTCAAACTGGACAATAATTATGGGACGGAGGGAGTATTTCAAAACAACGCACTTATCCCTCCTTAAAATCTGTCGACTCTGAACAATACATCCATTAATCCCCAATTCTTCCAACTATATAGATTGGTCCTCATTTGAAATGAAAATTGAAATTTTGTGATTGGCGCGTTAGTAGTCTGGTAGAATTGTAACGTCAAAAAGATATCCATCCACCGCTACAAAACATGAACTACATTAGTAATATTTCCAAAAAAAAAAAAAAAAACACTAGTAAGACTTGTATTTTTTTATTTCTTCAGTCACAAAAATATAATCCACATTGAGTTATAAATTTTGTATTGTTTTTAATACAAATTAAAAAACTTAATGTACTATTTTCTGTAAATGATTCAAGAGATGGAAACTCTGGAAAATTTATAAAAGATACACTGAGTATTTGAGCAACTATATAACAAGCACAAAAAGAAAAAGCTCAAGTGATATCGCCTCAGAGTGAGTCAACCATCATATACCGTCACCAGGAGAAACACCGGAAAGAAGAAGAACCCAGTTGGCCTTAACTAATCACCGACCCAAATGCAGCCATTTTGACAGACAACAGTATGTATGCCGCCAACGTTACGGCGATGGGGGTAATATATCAATCTGGCCCCATGTGGCAGAATCACCCCCCTGGAAAACCCCTCGGTATCTGCACCCCACGAGTCTACTACTCAGCTACTCCCAAATTGTACCTGAGAACCAAACGACCAAGGTAGATGGATAGAAAAAAAGAATCCATTTTGCTGGTCCATACCAATATTTTTTTTTTTTAAAAAAAACTACTACTATTACGATTTCCACTCAATTACTAAAATGAATTCTTTTCACTAACATTGTCAGAATTGTACAATACCCAGATACCAGAAAGCAGATAAACTGGATGCTTTTTCCCTTTTCCCTTTGATTTTTCGTCCTGAACCTGAAGTGGGTTACTAACTTACTAGTGGTATTCGACTTTTTTTTTTTTTTTTTAAGAAGAAGATTTTGATTCCCGTCAGATCAATGGTCGGTTATGATTTTATCATTTTACTATGAGAGAAAATGTCCATTGTGTCTTTTGTTTTTTTCTCCTTTGTCCATCCACATTAATTTATTAAGGCTTTTTTTCTTTTCTTTTTTTTGTTTGTGGAGGTTTTGAGGCTCTTTTTGAGGTTCACGCTGCAAAAGTCATCATGCTAGCTTGTAAAATTCCAAAGAGAACAATCGAGGAATACAAGATTTGGCCTCGAAAATGAGAGAGATATAAAAATCCCAAAAAGTAGAGCATTTTAATTTTACACTTTCCAGTCATAAGCTTCAGATTCAAGCAAAGTCTCATGTCTCTCTCACTTCACTCCTTTTAAAGCTCTCCAAGAATTCTGACTTGAGTTGAATACTATGGTGAATTCGGGGAATAGTCACCACTTCAGTACCTAATTTTCGTTACCCTTTTTTACATTTGGTCTGTGCTCAGACTGTTCCATTAACGGTTGCCAGTTTTGCATTAGTCCCAAGGCTGTTGTTTTTTTCCTTCATCTTTCTTTGCTTGGAATTTGACATCTGTACATTGGCCAACCAATTCTGCAATTCCCACTTCCAGACGTGTTCAATTATGGTGCAATTTCCACTGCCCTTTTCTGGGTCAGCCTAGCTTGTTTGCAATTTTTTCTTTTTCATATGCTTTACCGTAAAAGAAATTGTAGGAAATGGGTGAAATTGGTGGGACGAAGTCGTGGACAGAGGAGTTAGCTAGCTTAGTGGAGGATACTGGCATAAGATTCACCGATGATGATTTTGAAGTCAAGAAATTCGAGTTTGAGATTCCGGTGAATGAATCCAAGGAGCCCGAGAGCTTGAAGGATCAAATCAAAGGTTTTGCCAAGGCTTGGGGTGAAATACTTTTGGAACTGGGGAGAGGGTGTAAAGATGTTGTGCGGCAGAGCTTTTTAACGGAGGATTCTTACATCGTTAAGAAGACACGTGGTCCCTTGGCTAAGGTTTCTGAGCAAATAAGGTTCGTGAATGAGTATTTGCCGGAGGATCGTGATCCTGCACATGCTTGGAGCATCATCATCTTGGTTTTCATGCTTGCTTTCGCTGGTACTTCAATTGCCCTTTTGGAATTACATTATTTTTTTGTATTATTTGTTTAATGTCTTATTATGTAATACAGCGGTAAATTTTCTCTGATTCCTGTACCAATTTTTTGTACTAACAATTTCCAAATTGTTGTTGCAGTTCTAGGTGTAAACATTAAAAGTGATAGTTCAGTTCCTCTGGTAAAGAAAATTCTTGTGCACCCTCCTAGTGCAATTCGTACACTACTTCCAGATGGCCGATACTTGGCGTACCATGAATTTGGAGTTCCAGCTAACAGAGCTAGATTTTCAGTTGTAGTCCCACATTCATTCCTTTTTTCTCGACTTTCAGGTACCCAGAGGTTGAACCTTTTTTTTTTCCCTGTAATTGTACAAAGGAATTATTCTAATTTGTGATCCATAGTGTTGTTTATCTTATTATTCTGCTTCAATTTCAAGGCATTCCCGGTGTTAAAATGGCGCTGCTGGAAGAGTTTGGTGTGCGCTTAGTAACATACGATCGTCCTGGTTTTGGGGAGAGTGATCCTGATCCTGGCAGAAACCTCAGCTCCTCTGCTCTGGATATGTTAAACTTAGCAGAAGCAATAGGTATAAAGGACAAATTCTGGATTCTTGGGCATTCTGATGGAGCAATACATGCTTGGGCTGCATTAAACTTCATTCCTCATAAAATTGCTGGTAAGCTGACTTTCCGCTTTGAAATAACCGAATTGCTATTATTATCTGCAGTCAGCTCTTGCAATTATGTCATCCATATCTTTGAGAAATTTATTGTTCAGTAGGAAGTATTCTCATTTATCATTAATCACTGATTACAGGTGCTGGTATGATTGCCCCAATGGTGAATCCATATGACTCTAGCATGACAAAGGAGGAAATGTCTAGAGCTTGGGAAAAGTGGACAAGAAGAAGAAGATGGATGTACCATTTAGCTCGAAGATCTCATAAACTTCTCAATTACTTCTACAGCCGAAAGTATCTATCTGGAAAGCATGGTCAGATTGATAACTGGCTATCTTTATCACTGGGAGAGAAGGTTAAGTTTGGATTCTCCCTATGCATTCTAGTTTAAAAGAGATTTGTACTGTATTGATGTACTCCACATTTCCTTTTTCTCATGCTTTTGATTTCAGTTGTAATGTACTATTTTCATTTCATATCTGTCATGAAATCGAACGTATAACAAACCTTAGCTGGCCAATTTTTTAATGAAGTATGATTCTATCCAACCAGTTAAGTTTTGGTGTGCCCCTTTAGTCATTCATGTCGTGTTATGATCTTCTTTTGGCCTGGTTTTCCAGCCAAAAGCTTAGCAGCGCAATAGCCCTTTCAAAATGCTGTTAGATGGGTTTCCTGTCATATAACATAATGTTTCTCAAAGATATCAGCTTGAATGATTAGATATGTTCTTATACAAACTGGTTCAGAGTTGACTTCAACTTCAGCAAATCTCATGCCTATATTAAGTTGGCTTCCTACCAGTGTTTTCTAATGAGATTTCACATTCTATGATTATTTAGGATACCGAACTCATCAGGTCGCCAGTGTTTGAGGAATTTTGGCGAAGGAATGTTGAGGAATCACTCCGTCAAGGTAGCATGAAGCCGTTCATTGAGGAAGCAGCGTTGCAGGTATCTGATTGGGGTTTTAGCCCGAATGATCTTCGGGTGCGGGAGAAGTGTCCAAGTAAGAGCTTTTTCCAATGGCTTGATTTCCTATCTGGTCCAGCGGAATGTACTTTGACTGGGTTTCTAGGCCCGATTCACATATGGCAGGTATCTAATGTCCCCTCCTTCATTTTGTTAATTTTATCATCACCTCGTTAAGAATTATTGATCTTTGAAAAGTATAATACCCTAAATGAGCTGTTCACGGCCCAGCTTCATGACATACTTATTACTTTGTTCAATAATAACTGACAGGGAACAGATGATCTTGTGGTGTCCCCATCAGTAACTGATTTTGTGGGAAGAACTCTGCCATCGGCTTCTATACATAAACTTCCAGATGAAGGTCACTTCTCCTATTTCTTTTTTTGTGATAAATGCCAAAGGCACATATTCACTACCCTTTTTGGAAATCCTCGTGGTCCATTAGAAGTCGCAAATGAAACTTCGCCAGGCCACAGTGGAGAAGATGGAGAAGCATCAATACTCGATGCTCCAATTCTGTAACCACAAGTAGTTATGAGGAAATTGCAATGTACATAGAGTTCCTAACGAAGCCTTAAAAGCCTGAGATTAGTGGTTTGGTTTGTTGACTCCCACAACGAATGTTTTGGAAGAGCAAAGAGAAGAGAGTTTCATTCCGTGCCTAGTCCTGTTATCTAGAAGCAATATGAAATTTTTAGCAAACGAGTGCGGATTTGCGCATTTCAGTCAGTTGTGCACATCAGTCAACTGCAATTTTAGAGGCATGTTGATGATTTGAAAGGGACTAAAGACTCCCCAAATCCAATCAGAATTACATGTATCCCTCAATCTCACCAAAGAGCAATGGTCACTTTAGCTACTTATTTTCTCCTTCCCTCTGGTCTGGTATCAGTATTTTAACTTTTCTTCCAGTCCTCAGATCTCTTTAAAAAACCCAGATAGCATATATGATTTAGCTGATCCATCCCCTTAAAGGTCCTCCAGAAGCGGCGTGCAATTTAAGATGCAAAGCCGCATTTCTGGAGGAGCATCATAAATTGATACTAAAGTCATCTGTAGAATAAAATAATAGATATTCAATATGTATTTTAGTTGTACCGACTCTGAAACTTTGATACTCGTAATAATTTCACGGAAGGCACCATACCAGCCCAACTGACCTTACAATAGTATAGCATTGTACAAGAGCAAGCTAAGCTCAGCACAAATGGTGGCTTAAACAATTCTCTCTCCGACTAGCACTATGAAGATGATAAAATTTAAGAGCACCAAGAACAACTTCCTTCAATAAACTTGTTAGATGACTAATAATTTAGTTCAAAAATTGGATATCAAGATTTGTAGCAAGCCCCAAATCCTTCATGAAGATCTGACTTGCATGCAAACTCATCCTTTAAAAAGCTGAACCACTGCTTTGGCTCTTCCCAAGCATCACATCTTTAGCTTCATTTATCTTTGATGCAAGGTAGTGGCTACCACCTGCATCTGGATGGTTTGCGACCATCACTCTTCTATGTGCTTCCCTCACCTTATCAGTAGCAGTACTTTCCCTGTTGCAATAGAAAATGGCACAACATAGATGAAACTGAATTTTAAAATAGGACCACTAAGCAGTCTAAAGCACCCATACTAGCAGCATTTCTAGGTCAAATTCACAAAGCATTTGTCCCGAATTGAAGTAGCACATTACCACCTTGATGTCATTCATCCATTCCCACAAAAACCACTATTGCACTAACTCGTCCTATTCCTGAATCTACTTCATAAGTCATAGCACTTGACAATTTTTTACAATGAACAAATTGTACTAACAAAACATCATGACGTGAAATATGGACATTTAAGACGACCTTCTAGCTCCAGAAGGGTGCCATGCATATCCCAATTTTTAAGTCACATTTCATGATCAAATGGTATGAAGATTCCCCAAGAAAGGCATCAATAAACTAAGTTATAAAGCAAAAATTCTGTAGCAGATGCAGATGTTCCTTTTCTCCGACAAGGACAAAAAAAAAAAAAAAAAAAAATTAGTACACACCTTACTCCAAGAATTAATGCAGCTTCCCTCCTAGTCATTTTCGGCTGAAAGCCGCCCTCATAGAATTTTCGCATTCTAGGAGGCCTAGCTTTGAAGGCTTGCCAAGCCTTAATACTGTATCGACCAGCATAAGCAGCTGCAGCAACAGCAACTCCAGCCACTAATGGTGCAACCTGATGAACAATGCATAATTAACTTAATAATTGATAACATCTCACCTATCAGTCCCCACACCCAACCCTCCACATCCCTAAAATGAAAAGGGAGAGGCAGAGGGTGTAATATCCAACTAATGTAACCATCAAAGAAATGATTACGCTTTGATGGTTTATCTTATAGAGAAGTAACGAACAGCAGGGTAAAGTGAAGAAAAAGGCAGTGGCGAAGAAGCAAATCAGGAAATCAGAACAATATCAACTACGTAACTTTTGTAACGCCCCCAAAGGATAACTAATAGTCAGGAGTGCCCATACAATCATAAAAAGAAGCTGTACAAATCCAGGCAAGAATAAATTCAGAGAAAGTACAAACAAATCTATTTGGAAAAACCAAGAAGCTCCCCATCCCCATTTAGAAAACCTCAAACCTCAACCATCCTCACATCTTGGAGAAAAAAAAAATGTGTAGTAGCATTTTGTGTTTATACTTAAGAAGGACCCGATCAGGAAACTAGAAAAAAGAACGAAGCTCCCTGTAAGCTGATTTCATGAAGCAATTAGGGTGCCGCAAATGGGGAAGAAAAAATTGGGCCACAAGTTAAAACATTCCAATTGAATACTAAAAGTACAACTTCTGAATTTCGATTCATTCATATCAATTCGTCCAATTCGTCAATCAAAATCGTCAAATTTACAGTTCAAATTGTTCAAATTTCAGCACAGACCATTCGCGATGCTGACTCTATTCGCAAACAACACCGGACCTAATAGAACCCACATAAAAGCTTTAATGTTTCAACCAATAACAAGTATAGGAAAGATGTACTGAAGGGTTAAAGACGAATTATAAAATAACAACTCAGAAGAATAACGAGTTCATAATTATCTTTTTCTTAAAAAAATAAAATAAAAAACAGTATAAACCGAAATGATGAACAAGTAAGGTAAAACTTACCATCCCTTTAACACCGCAACTCAGAAAGCATTCAAATTGTGATGAAAATTTGTTCCCTCCGGCGTCTGCTGTTACGAGAGAGGCACAAAATTGTGTCTTGCTGGACAAGAATTTTAAAATTTTATAGTATTTCCGCAGAGTCGGCGACTGTTAGTGTTATAGCCCTTTGTAATGGATTTTCATGGGTTTCGGAAGTGTATAATAAAGGGTCAAAGACCAACACGTTTAATTGGGCTGATTGAAGGCCCATAAATTAGCTGCTTGGTCCGTCCCAATATTTTTTTTTGAGCAACTTATATGGTCTGACATGCAATCAGGACGAACGCCTTAAATCGTTATGTCAACTATTCATTCCAGTAATATGAAACTTTTCTGAAATCTCTGATTTTGCAATGCTAAATCAATTCTTGTATCATCTTTAGCTCGTTACCAAAATTTGAACTATGTAACTACAAAGTCAAACGAATTAAGATCTTAAAAAATAAGATGAAAATTGGAAAATTGGGCAATTACATTATTGTGACAGCTCTAAAACTAGTCTAGTATAATAAGTGCACTATCTCCAACTGCTATCAACATCAAAGCAAAGTATTCCTCTTATGTTGAAGGCGAACGTTCCACACCAAAACTTTGGAGCAATCTTCGGATGGAATTCCTCTTAGTTGTGTCTCCTCTTCAAGAACCTCTTTCTTCACAAATTTTAATGTATCCTGAATGTGAAAAATTGAACACCAAATTAGAAGAAACACACAGAAAATTCAATTTGTAGTAAGGCTTTTTTGGGGCTAACCCATTGCTTCTTGGTAGGTAGAATTCGTAACTGTACTTTTGTAGTAGTTGTTGGGGGAAGGTGATGTTGCAACTAATAAACGTTAAGTTTAAGCTAGAATATTACCAACCACTGTCACTAAAATAATGATTATGCTGTTTACTACTTGAGAATCATTCAATTGGATTTGTTCGATCATGATAAGGTTTGGGTTAGTGATTTTTAAGGTTGATGATCATTATTATTAGATTACCTGGGAAGTGTCCTGAGCAGATGAAGTTCGACCCCATCTTTCAGGATCCCATAAGATGGAGCTGTTGAATGCAAAGCTGGAGATGTGAATTGCAGGCCTTGTTACTACTCCATCTGTTTGATTGTTGATGTTCTTCAAATGCCATCCTATCACATCTGAACCCTCACATATTGGTCCTTCTATATTCACCTTCTTTCTGTTTGCTGATAAAAATGCCATTGGCCAAGTTCCAAATGCTCTGCAGAAGAAACACATGAAACCAATCATAAGAATCAGACAATTTATACTCCCTCCGTCGCAAAATAAGAGTTTTCATTTTTACTAGTACAATTTTGAACAAAAAATAAAAATCCAAAACGAATTGCCTAAAACTGTTAAAAGGGCCTCAATGATCTTATGCGCAACACCATTCTTATAATTTGAACCCGGAAACACAAAACACGACTCGATAAACACCCAATAGCAGATAATTTTATAAGGAATTTCAGAACCATTAAAGATCAACAATTATTATTCAGGCAAACCGAATTTTAGGAAAACAGAGGACTTACTCGATTGATCTAATCTCGTCGAAGAAGCTGAGATCATAGACATTGGATAAGTCAGCAAAATGGACAATTCCACTTAATCTGTGGTGCTCGATATGATTCAAAGCCACATTCCTTTGGTGATCCATCTCAGTTTGGAAATCTGTGAAGTTGTCCTTAAACACCAAATGCCTATACATAATTCCCGTCTGTCGGAGTATCTCCGACACCTCATCCGAATCCGATTGCTGCTCCACAACCACCCACAACAGCGGCTGCGCAACCAATCTCAAGGTGTTTGCAAGCCTCCTAAGCCTCACCCCACGAAGCCTATCTTTCATGCTTGTTGGAGTAACAATAATTATTAGTCCCCTTGGATTTAAATCACCTTCTTCTTCTTCTTCTTCCTCCTTCGAAATTCCCGCATCAGAATCACTACCATCTTCATCGGATTTTAATGTTTCGGCAGGCACCGCCGCAGGGCTTCCGTCCACCAAATGAATCACTTCTAATGGTTGAGGAGAAAAATCTGTTATGTTTGTAACAGAGACCCGATTACGAGAAAATACTGAAGCCTTCCCAGTGGGAGCAAATCCGGTGAGAAATCCCATTACAAAACATAACACGAAATGAAAAGCAGCTTTCTTCCATAGCTGGGTTTTTTTCTTTGATCTGTCCACCGTTCCCATAACTATTTTCGAAATATCCGCGGATCAAACCTTTCAGCTCTGTTTCTGCATTATATATACAATTAGTTGTTGAAGTTGAGAATGGTGATTTTGAAAATGGCGGGAGCCAACTAATGTGAAGTAGTAGTATTATTTGTAAAATTGAGGTAGTTCGCTGGAAGTGGTTCTTTGTGGGGTTTGAGACACAGACTTGCTTCTCAAAAGAAGTTCATCACTTGAAGCAAAAGGAAAAACAATATTTTCTAATGGTGGGCGTGTCCTTGAGTAGTACTTTCTCACGATTATATGCACCAAATAGTGGTTGAGATGCAAAATCATCCACCTAAATTTGTTAAACAGGGATGTTACAATTTAGAACCAAACCCATTAATTTAGTCATCTTAGTTACGAAATGATTTTATTAGTATCTTTTTCTGTAATTTATATAATTTGATATTTCCATGAAAGAATAGACTAATTACCCACTGTGAGCTAAAAAAATGATGTAGTTTGACTGACCAAATTGCATTTCTAAATGTAATAACTTATTCAACAAATAATTAGTATAGACGTGTAAATGTTTATCGGAAGAATTTTGCCCGTCGGGACCAAACTACACAATTTGAATCCTGATTAGTTGTTCGTTGGGAGGTTCAGAAGTTAAACACTGGAAACTCAAAAAACTAAAACTAAAAAGACGCTCAACCAAACAAATGTGTCCTGGTTAAAATGTGTTTTTTATGTTCATCAGGGTTTGATGTCCAAGTGTTCGACAAATTGTCCAAAAGAAGCCTTTTATACAGACTACTTCACATTTCCCTCTTCACAAGACTCTGCCCAACTTACAGTTGTTGAGTGCGTTCGTGAAACGGTTAAGAAATCGAAGCTACAGACCTGTGTCTTCACATGTGACAAATCACGGCTTATGCTGATCAATAATACACGTAAGAAATCATAATTAAGCCTTGTTCAGGTAAGAACGAACTAAAAATTCTCCTATAATTTGAGGGCTAAAAAAAACCAGAACTAGTTTAAGTTCTACCATTTCAGAAGACCACCTGAGCTTGACACTTCATTCCAACACTGATGGTAGTCATGGCAACTAAAAGCTATAATGGCTTCCAGCACCACACGACGACATAGACAGAGCTGTAAAGAGTTTTTCCTGGTTTATAATTTAGAGTGCCAGTTTATCAGCTAAACTATGAACTTCAAACTTGGTGGATGAGTGAACTAGTGACTAGTTGCTTCATCTGATGAACTTCAATAAGGCACAAGGTGTTATATGCACCAAGGTTACATGTCACCCGAGTGTTGGATGAATTGCCATGGCAAATTGAGGAGCAAACAAGCGATCAGAAAACATGGCAACAGGTTATAGTTCCCAAAAGCTCCAATAAGGCAATAACTATATCTAGTAAATAAGCATCAACTAAGTCCTAATAATAAACAATGAGAACACAATGCAGCAAGCAGGATACGTTCAAAACAAAAGGAGGCAGTCTCACATTTTTCTATTGGCTTTTCAGTCCATGGAGCCACTGATAGAGGAAGTCTGGTGCTTGATAGAGCAAAATCTATTAGGCAAATGATATCCCGACTTCGGCTGTTGGAAGAGATAACGCTTCAAAAGAAATGCCCCTTTTGAACACCCTGCAGAGCCACATTCCACCTTGAAGAGGTCTAAGAACCCCAATTTGCAACCTTCTCTTTCGGTTCAGGCAACTTCGGCAAAACCCAATTTGGAGCGCTGTTCAGCCACAGTGCTTCCTTAGTTTCTTTGTGCGTAAAGTCGGGCCCTTTGGGATTTTTCTTGTTCAACCTGTTATCCCACCATTTACTAGGATACTCCACCAAATTCTTCCATGAATCTTCCCCTTTTGACGCTTTTGACGCCTTCACTTCATTCGAGTTGACTTTTCCAAACATCTTTTCAATTTCTGGCAACACCCACTTTGGAGCACTATCTAGCCAAAGCGAAATACGCCCGTGCTTAAAATCTGGGTGCTTTGGAACCACAGTTCGGTTGGACTTCTGTTCGCGATAATCCCGCCATTGACCTGGATTCTTCACCAGATCTTTCCAAGGATCATTGCCAAGATCATCCTTTTTCACTGCTTTTGCGCTGTTCAAGTTGTCCTGGGAGAATTCCGGCTCACTGATTTCACTCTCTGGTGTTTTTGAAGGACGCAATTGATCATCATATTCCTGCACATTAACTTTTTCCGGATAAGTTCTTCCACCACCAGACTCATTAGTCACCATTTTCTTCCTAGAAGGCTTCTTCTCATACCCTACCACAAAATTGATATTTTCCACTACCAAATGGAAATTACCTCGACAATCATCCAGATCAAATGGCAAAGAATCCTCACTCAATTTCCCTTCAACGTATACACAGTCATTTTTTTTCACATGGGCATCCACGACAGATGCCAAATCGCCCTCAAACAACATAGGAATAACAAGGTGTTCGTCATTTTCTTGGGAAATAACAGCGCCAGCAAAAGACTTACCATCTGGGGCTGAATGAAACTTGACCGGAGTTGTGACTTGACCGATGAGATTCACTGAATTCGCAACCTTTGATTGGTAAGGAATTTCACTCGGCCTCGGCCAATCCGTTGACCCTTCTGCTTGTTTCTTAATCCTCTGATGCCAACTCATCGACGAAGATGACGGTGGCGGGGGCGGTGGTTCTTGTGGCTTCTGGGTGGTGGTTTTCGCCTTCCTGGGCTGGGGATTACTGAGCTTATAGGTTGTGGAATACGGCGAAGATTGAGTGATCGGACGGAGCAAGAAAAGGGGTTGTCTCCATGAGCGAGAAGAATGAGAACCGTAGGATGAAAGGGCTTGCTTAAGGAAATTCATGGCGGACTAAGACGACGGAGTTCAGACCCCTAGTGAGGGTTTTAGAGACGGTCAGAATTGAAGCACCCACCACAATTGGGAAAAAAGGAGGACTTAGGGTTTTGTGAAAATTAAAGCCTCGAGATCTTCTCTGTGTTCATTTTCTCTTAATTGATGGAAGAATTGGTAAATTTGCCAAATATTTCACCCCATACTGCGTTATTTGTACAATAGCAGTTTAGATTAATTCAAGAATTTTTGTACTACCAAAATGTATAATCCCTGTTTGTATAAGCTTAAAATCAGTTTGAAACTAAAATAACTCAAAATTCATCCATTGTGTACCTCGCGATTTAATATACACCTTCAAAAAGTAATATAAACAAACTCAAAACTTCATTTCACTTTGAATACTAGTGTTTAAAAGGGGACCCTTGTCACAAACCAACTAAAGAGGTACAATGCCAAATATCAAAACACAATTAAGGTTCAGAGGCTAATCACTAATGTGCACAATCTCAGAAAGGTACTAAGTTAAAAATGGTGGACCAAAATTTTCCTTTCCCGAAATGAATAATTTCTAACTCTATTCTTCTTCCTCATCAACAGAATTAGTTGAAATGGCCTCCCTTTGTGGTCTGTGCTTCTTCCACTTCTTTTTAGGCAAGGATAACATCCACGAAGGGACTTCACAGCCAGATGCAGTCATCACGTTAGCTACGTTTCGCAAGTATGGAACATCAGCTTCCGTGTACAATGTAATAGCCTCCCCACTTCTACCCGCTCTACCACAACGACCTATTTTATGACAGAAAACTAGGTTTAGTTCTGACCAGATTGCTGAGAACGATGAAACTCAAACACATCAAATAAAGATGACAAAATGACTCACCGATCCTGTGGATATATGCTGCAGCAGAATCTGGAAAATCATAATTAATAACACAGTTGACACCCTTAAAATCCATACCACGAGCGATTACATCAGTTGCAATCAGGACCCAAGTTTTCCCTGCTCGAAAGTTATTCACGGCATCTTCCCGCTACAAGAAATCAATGTCCACTATTAACTTCAAATTTATCCAGCACAATTAAACTTTTGAATAGAGAATACAAACTGGTCTAATATTTTTCCCAAGCATTACCTGTATCTGCGATAGGTCAGCATGTATCACATCAGCTCTTAAATCATCAAATTTCAACTCATTATAAAGCTCTTTTCCCCGCTCCTTGTTTTGAACAAACACCAGTACTGGTGGATTCCAACCCTGCTCAGAGAAGGAATTGCATATAGTAACGATGGAAACATAACTTATATGGACCTTTTGTCCTTTCATAGTCTAACTTTTCTCCTCTACTTTCAGAGCAAGGAAAGACATGGGAAATTCCACATATTCTCAAGTATGTGTTACTAGAACATCAGTAAGTGCAAGCAAACAAACAGGTTACCTCTTGGAAAATTTGTCGCAGAGCAAGACGCTTCCCATCTTCACTTCCTACATATACCAACTTTTGCTTTATTGATTCAGAAGCAGAATTCCTGTATCCAACAAATGTGATTTCAGCAAAAGGAGATAGAAAACCGAGCTCATAAATTTCATGCCATAACATATCACACAAATAAATTTGAAACTAAAACACTCAAACCAAGGAAGGGATACAAGATTATTAAATGACATTTAATCAAGCTGATAGATACTCACTTCCTACCAATAATAACACGGACAGCATCATGCATTATTGTGCGTGCAAGGTCTTCCACAGTATCAGGCAAAGTAGCACTAAACAATGACCGCAAGATTTTAGGGTTAGAGCATGCCTTAACCACTGAGTCAACCTGCTTCACCAACCCCAGCTCAAATAGCTTATCAGATTCGTCAAGGACTAAGAATTCCACCCTGCAAAAGGAATTCAGGAATAAGGAGAGCTGCTAATGGAACACAGCCTATTTCCTCAAGAAAGATCCTCGAGATGGCAAATCATGCCTATCCAAGTTTCATTCAGAACATCTAAAAGGCGATAATATAGGTAAAAAGATTGATAAAATCCCCAATATCTTGTAGTGGTCAATCCAGCAGAACCATGCTATTGGTTCATGCAGCAGATGCAGTAGGCAACAAATACTTAGAAAATATTAAAGATCTATATAGATAACCAGTAACCTCATATACTAAAAACTAGTTTCGTATTTTCAAGCTGCTCCAGTGGGGCAGGCTAAATATATAACCTGATTTCATAACAAATTTAAAAGACTATCCAATGACTGTTCAGGTCTTCAGGATGTCCCAGTTTTTGATAACTTAGTTTGTAAATGTCCATAATTTTCATTCTAAAATAAGTCATACATTCATGCTCCAATGAACAGCCTGTGGACATTAACTCACTTGCTCAAATCAAGCTTCCTTTTACGAACTGCAAACTGCACGCGAAATGGTGTTGAGATGAGTATGTCACATGGTAGCTTTGAAAAGTCAGCACCTTTAACGAGTTGTTTGGTCATCAACTTGATCCGGAACTTTTTCCCTCTAGCCAGCTTCTTACATTCTCTTGCTGTCTGAGCTGCCAACTCCCGTGTAGGGCAAAGGAATACTGCTCGAACACCAACATCGGAAGCACGCTGATTGTATGCAGTTTGTCCATTAGACTACTCATAAACAACCAAATTTCAACAAGGAACTTAACTAATACGGTTGCTTACCTTGAGTCTCATCAATATTGGACAGACAAAGGCAAAGGTTTTACCAGAGCCAGTTGGAGCACACGCAAAGCATTCACGTCCCTAGTAAGATTGACAATGCCATATATTCTGTCAGAATATAAAGCAACAGGAAAGAACATATCCTAAAAGAAAAGAACAAGATGGCTCAAATGAAAGATCATACAGATAGGAGAACTGGAATAGCCTGCCTTTGGATTGGTGTTGGCTCTTTGAATCCAAGTTCTGCCAGATTCCGCAAAATATATGATTTACATTTATACCTGTGTAAGAATTATAAAACTTATTTAAGGACGAGGGAACCAAAAACAGTGAGGGCATACCACAGAAGCTATATGAGCAGCAACGTAAGGTGACAGATCAAAAGGCAAAGAATAAAAAGCCCGCTAAAATGGTTATGCTCGGAGATAATAAGAGAGCAAAAGTCACCGAAAATCAAATATTAACATAGTGACGTATCAGTAGAATTTGGTTCGTCAAAGTAACCCAAGCATCCAAGGATCCTGAAAAGAAGGAAAAGGAAACGTACCTTGACTTTAATTCTGCAAAGCTCTGAAGAGGAGAAGGGACATTACTCCCAGAAACATGAATGTTGAGCTTCTTTCGGAAAATAGCATCCCTCTGGAAAAACAAATTACCAAAGCAGAATGTTTTTAAGTAATATGGCTCCAGCAAATTTTGTAGTCACTACCAAAAGAACATTGCTTTTATATGCACTTCACATTCATTCTTCGCTCCCTTCAAAAGTGTTTTAATAAGTTAACTTCATAGATAAACATGCCAGGTATTGCAAACATGAAGTAAAAGAGAAAAGGGAACCTCTAATTGACGATGGTATTCCTTCTTTGCCTCATCAGTTTCCTCTTGACCATCTTGCTCATCTTCTTTAACTTTTTTGGATTTTGAACTCCGGAACACACTGAATCCTTCTACTGGGTCTACCAGATAAAACAAACCGATAGTGTCAAAATGCTTCAGTCTAACGACAGACAAAATACAAAATAGCAAGATTAAAACAAAAACTTAATCAACAGGAAAAAAAATCACCAGAAGTAGTTGTTGTTTTCCTCTTTCTCTTCTTCTTGTTGTTAGATTGAAATTTGATCTCCGTGTCCTCATTCGTTAGTGCAGATTCCCCATTTTCGATGAATTTCTGTCCTTCTAAAGAATCAGCATCCGGCTCTTTTTTCTCCTACAGCGACATTTGATAACAAAAGGGTTCAATGAGAAATTTCATGATTGCACGCCCAAGCTATAGACCCAAATAATACGACCTAACCATAAAATAGAAAACGAAGAGGAATCCAGAGAGAAAGGAAAGACCTTGAATTTACTGAAGACAGTGGGAAATTTCTTGCGATCGAAAGAGGTGCCAGCGAATAGGAAAGAGGCATCACTCTTCGCCATTGAAGCGTTTGATGCTGAGAAGTCCCTGCACCCAAGCTTTGACGATTATTATGCAACGCAACCGGGAAATAGAAAAGAAAAAAATTGAACCCCAGGACAAATCACGTTTCGTAGGGTTTTGGTTGCTATAAGGAGAGGTTGCAAGGGTTTAAGGATTTTCTATTTTCTTTTTTAGGCCTTTTTTTTTATTTTTTGTTTGACCAATTAACCTTCTTTGCACAGTTAAAGTCATCCAAATTCCAAATTGCTAGTATTCCACATCTCAATGAAGTTCATCAACGCAAGCTGTGAATCTTTTTGCATAAACAGCGTTGAAAGAACATGAATTTAACCGTTTCATTTCAATGAGTGTGTAAAACAGGTCAAATGTTACTGCATCATTTTTCCAGAGGTGAAGTATGTAAAAGCGAGAAAACTATCTTTAGTGAGAACTTTCTCAACGGACAGTCAATAACCTTTCATAACCAAGCAGGAGGAAATAACTGTAAGCTTACAAGTTACAGCAGCTTTTTAGCTACACAATCAGTACCACCTAAGTACATTTCACAGCAAGTGACTGCTGTATTTAATTACCACAGTAATCTTAATCTTGTACACAATGTTCAGCTGGAGGAGGTTGCAAACTAATCATCCACACCGTAGTTCTCACCGAAGTACTTATCAACTAACTCAGTAGCCATGCATCGCAGCTCTTCATTTTCGTGAAACTGAAATCTTTCCATTGCATCAATACCATCTTCTTTCTCGACTAGTTTGATGCCTACACCATTGGGTATCCCTCTAAGGACCTGCAACCAACAGTAAAGAAAGCTCAATATAATGGTGATGGTCGCCCAACACAATCACTCTTTTTACGACTTGCTTACCATTTCAATAAATTGAAGCCCCAATCTTGCTGCTTCAATATCAGCAGATCTCACGAGATCAATGAAACCAGGAAGGCATCCTTTGCCAACAAGGGAAACCAAGTGATCAACAATCAATTGTGGCCTCCCAGAACCATCGGATGAAACACATAAATTTCCAAGTACATATGCCACTTCTTTTCTTATATCAAAAGGTGCAGTTGAAAGAAGGCGTAACAGAACAGGCACTGCTTCACTATAATACACCAATTGCTTGTGCTCGACAGAGCCAGCAGCTATATTGGATAGTACCCAAGCAGCTTCCTGTAAAATAGAGGCATTCTTAGTCATATGAGGACTCCCAACTATCATGTTGCAAATACAAAGAGCATACCTTCTTTAGGACTCGATGTTCACCTCTCAAGCATTTGACTAGAGCTGGTATCACAGTGTCTGCAAACATCTTAGAATGTTACCATTTAAAGCAAAAGTGATTTTGCTTCACAAAAATTACCAAGTAATGAATCTCTCATAATGTAAGACGTGGGGACTAGCCTGTGATCTTTTGTCTGGAAGCAAGCAGAGTACTTGCAGCGTGGTCATCACCAGCCACAAGATTACCTATACCCCGTAGCACCTAATTAGAGACATTCTCCTTCAGAATATGTTTCGAGCTCCATAAACAACAGAAATAGAGAAACATATCCATACAAGCGTACAAGGGTTCACAAAATTAGTAAGATTTCATTGAATAAACCAGCCGAACCCCTCGGGGATGGAGTCTAACAAAATCATTCTTTATTTTACAGTCAACATTGCATATCAGAGTTTCTACATCTGAATCCGTTTTGTCCTTGAAGTAACTACTCCATTATGAGATATAAATCTGGGCCATACAAAATTTATGGGAAGTCATATTACAATAACTAAATAATTATGTTAACAATTTTCTTTAAATTTGTTAACATAAGTGACATATTACACGTAGAAAGCAAAGAAGCCAAATCAAGCCTAATCTAACAATACTCAGTCCTATCTTGCTGCCTCAAGGCCAATCCCACCCCAAAAGAAAGATTAATTCATGTCGTACCGGGATAAGGAGTTGCAAACTATTCGATGTACCCAATCTTTCAAATAATATTTGGAGCAGGTCACTCTTCACCAGGATGCTGGTAGCCATATTAGAAAGTGCGGAGAGGTAAACAACAACCCAAGCAACTTCTGTTGCCAATTCATCGTCCCTTTTCAAAATAAGTAGTTAAACAGATATGAGCTTATGGAAAAGCATGAACTTTCGAAAAAAAATCTCAAAATAAGTAAACAATCATTGAATTACAAATATCAAATTATTCTTCAACCAGCCATGAATCAAGCATGGAAAATTGGTGTATCTCCTGGTAGTTCTGAGCCTTGAGCAAACAGGAAGCTATGAAGGTCAGCAATCTACCTTTCTATAGTTATTAGTACTGTTACTGACATTTGCATGAATGAAGCTTCTTAAAGATGAGCATTTAATAGCACCTAGATTTCAAAACAACTAGCATTCAGTTTCTTTGTCTTAGTGGATCAGATGTTAGCTCATTTCAGTCATGTCAGCCATTGCTTTGTTCAACTGACTACGAATATAAGTGCTCGATACCATAACTGCAGAAATATCAAACAACTTCACTGGAACCCGAGGTGGACTATGAAATTGCAGAAGCAAAAATTGAAAGTGAACAGCCATTGGCTCCTCTTTAATCAGAATGAGCAGGTAAATACTAAATAGGATAGATTAGACATAATATCGGAATATGTTGTTTGGGGTGACTGCAATCTGTTAGTTAAACGAGATATAGAAGGCTAGCAGACTAGCACTACCCTTTCACTAAGTGTCGAAGAATTGCATCTAGTACGCCATCAATTCTTATCAAGTCAGTGGCAGCTTTAGGATCTGGTCCCTGCATTAAAAAAAAAAAAAAATCATGATTAGATATCACATGTGCAGAAAGAGATCCAAGTCTCACAAATAGGCTAAAAGGTTTATTCAGAAATAGACAAGTCTTTGAAGGTGGTTTGAACCTTTATTAGGTTTGACAATGCCCATGCAGCTGTTCTCACAGTTGACCCCTTGTTTGGCAACATCATTCTTGCAAGGGGTGAAAGGGCTCCTTGTGACAAAAGAATGCTTCTCAGTTCCTCTCCTTCACCGGCAACATTTCCAATGGCCCAAGCACATTGCTCAGCGACATGTGAGGAACTCTTCTCTGCAAATACGCCACATCAAATACCAAACATCTACATTAGAGTATGGGTTTTTTAGGCTTACAGCATGTTGGAATTTTTCAGTTTCTCTGAATTACAATGATGATTAAAAGGTAGACACAAATGCTAGTAGCGGAGAACTTGTGCATATACTAAGTATTTGCTGGTTCCTGTGCTTTTTTTTTTTTTTCTCCTTCTTTGGCTACATAGTTGCAGGATAGATTTTCTAAAAACCCACTCATAACATACCACCAGCTAACAAGATCGAAACTATAAAACAAGTCCTACCCCAAAATCACGCATTCCATTCCACAACGTCAAATGGAGTTCAAAAAGTTTCAGAAGTTAGCGGCAACGCCTAAATGGGAACAAAAGAATCACAATGTACAACTTATGCTAACAGTTCTTCATATAATAAGACAAACCTCCAAGATGAGCAATAAGCAATGGCAATGCAGGCAACAATGCCTTTGTTTCTTCAGAATTTCCAGTTGCTATATTTGTCATGCACCAAGCTGCCTCAAGCAACTGAAAAAGCAAGACATGTTCAATGTATCAATAACTGTTGTCGTGCTATTGAATTAGTGTAAAGCAATTCTGTTACTGCAGCGCGTGTGAAGTGCATTGCAACAGAAATGCCAATTCGGCGATCATTTCTCCATATAAGAAGGAACAGCCACTTAATTTCTTCGCAAGAAAAAGCAAAGAAACAAGTGTCTTGCTCCTTCAACTGAAGACTAATATAAGACAAAAAAAGAAAGATAAACTGAAAACACCATTTCGACCTGCTCTTCAGGAGAACCAAATGAAAGACACTGAACAAGAAGGGGTATTGCCCCAGCTTTGATAGCCGCTTCAATGGGAGGGAATTCAGGTCTAGACAAGAACCGTCTTACTTCACGAAGAGCCGCCACCCTTCTCTGCAATGCTCCTTTCCCCCTAATAGTCATGCAAAAACAGATTATCAGATTCCAAAATTCATACTAATTAAGTCATAAAAGACAATTATTCTACTCCATTTAGAACAAACTCGGGTAAAATTAATAGATAAAAAAACCATACTGATACGACACTGCAAGCTTCAATTCTTCAACAGCAGAAGAAGCCTGATCTTCTAAAATGTTAAGCTGTTCGTCAGTCATCATATCATCCTCGATAATGGGATCATCACCCTCCCCAACTACTCCAACTCTACAGAGACGCTTCGTCCGCATCACTGCTTCCCTTCTTTCTTTCGCCACGGCGATAGCATGTTGCCTCCTCCTCTGTGCCGCCACGTTCCCAACTAATGAGCACAAATCACATTATTGACAATAAACTTCAGTAGTGGGCACAAAAAAAAAAAAAAAAACCCACAAATGAAAAAGAAAAAGCTCAAACTTCTTGCCCAAATACAAAACCCTTCACCCTCACAAGTTTCCGACGGTTTAGAGATTGAAAAAGACACCAAAAAAAAAAAAAAAAATTGAATCCACAATACAGGTAATTCTTGTTCCAGAAGAGGGATAGATTGGCTTACCTGAGGACTTGATGGGGTCTCTTCTGTGAGGAACAGAGCTTTCATCCGCCATTTTGTTGGGTCACCAGAGAATCCCACTTTCTTGAGCTCCTCCTAATGAGAACGGAGAAAAGAAGTTGGGGTTTTTCTTTAATTAAGTAGTAGCAATTGGTCAGTTGAAAATTTTAAGGTTGGAAGTGGGATTGAGAAGCGGATTAATCTTCGGCTCCTTCGCAAGCTGTTGTAGTATTTACCGATGTTAGGGACGCGCGAAAAATGGTTAGTCGCGCCGCAAAGTTACTGCCGAAGGTGTACCGGCGACATTTATTGGCTCCGGTGGGGTATGGTTGTCCTTATGGTGGATACCTGCTCCGTCTTTTATAATCTTGAGCCGAAGTACTCATATCTTCACTTCATGTCTTTTTTGGTAGTGACAAAATTAATAGTGTACAAAGTAACAAAAGGTGACAAAATCCATACAAGAATTGCACCCAAATTTATCACCACAAGTCCACCTAGATCCTAGGCTGGTTCATATCCCATTAAACTTATCACTTTGAATTTAGCTCTAATGGTGAACTTATCATTCTAGATTTTATAAGGTGGTACATCTTTCACTGTGATCAAGGGAGTTTTACAATTCCACGCATTCTTTGGAGTACTTCTTTCAGGTTATTTTGATTTGGGAGTAAACATTAATTCGAAGGCTCTATTCTTAACTTCATGTGATGTTCTTTTTGAGGTTAGGGTGAAGTGACATTGAGATAAGAGCATGAAACTTTCCGCTGTCTGTAACAGTTGTTTAGTGTTAACAAGATTGACAAAACTGTTAGTGATGTATGATAATGTGAAAGATGAAGAAACTGGTGAGGAATTTTTTAAGTCATATTCCTAAGGGATGATTGAATTTGAAGCTGCAGGTCCAGGATCAAATGGAGCGTGACTCGTGTAAGTGCTAAACAACTCTATCATTTGAGTAAAACTTCCACAAAACACGCAGGTTCCGTCTTTAATTAAGAAGGCAAGGTGATCATTCAGAGCAATCTAAAAAACATTCACGTAATTCCAGAGTTCAAGGCCCTCAAGGGTCATAAAGCAAATATAGGTTTATTACCATTCGTTATGCAATGAAGTGTAAATTGTAATTGAATACCCCTTGACTTAAGAATATGGATTCGCCTCATTAAATAATTTTCTTATTTCCAGAATTATTAAACTTTACAAAGCTATGAAAATCATTCTTTTATGTTAGCTAGTTTATACTAGAAATGATTTTGTATTAGGTGCATCATTTATAGTCTATAGGCCTCCCCTTACTGCTATTACAGTCGCAACCGTGTAACTTCTTGGTTGAAAAAAGAATGATCATTTTATATTCATCGGATTTAGAACAAGATGGTTTAGACGAGGCTCTAATCAAGTTAAGTGTTCAAGTACAAGAAAGGAGATCATGATGGCAGCAGCCTACTGAAAAGTGTAATACAGAGTGATTTTGCCGAAATGTAGCCACGCTTTTCATGTAATTAACGTGTACTGACAGGCACAAATCTCACTCCAATGCCGATCTGCCTCCATTGAAAGAATCATCTCCCCCTCAAAATGGTCTTAAGTAGTTCATTAATGCGTAGTAATTCTCATGAGATTGAAAATTTGCATTCTCATTATGGAGAAGATATGGAGATGGAATCAGAGCTGAAGAGGCAACCTCAGGAGAAATGTTTTTGCCTAATAATGGTTTGTTTAAAAGATCAATTTCTAGTGAATGATTTTTTTTCTCAATGGGTAGAAGGGGAAGATATGAGCTTGTTTGTCCATCTCTTATTTTACATTTTTGTCTCATTTTACCTCTTAAAACACCTCTCAGGAGTGGGATGCATCAATCACTTTTACTGTGCAATTTTAGTCAAATTTATTAAAAAAGAAGTTTGTTATTTCATTTATTTTTAGTATTTTTTTTTTTTTGCTTCCGATTGCTCATGTTTGAAAACTCTAATTTAATTATGGTTGTAAACATGGCATCAAAATTTTATTTTTTATTATGAAAAAATTATAATTAAAATCGAACAAATTGCCATTTCCTTTTTGAACAAAAGTTCCCAATTTTTTGTCATATTACAAAGACCCTTGAGGAGAGGGGTACTTTGGTAACTAAAGATGTCATATTACATAAGGGCATTCATGTCTAGTCACGTAAATATTTTGCTGACATCATTATATCACATAACTTTTTTTGGTGAGAAGGGGGTATTGGTAAGTTGACTACGGGTCAAGGGGAAGTTTTGGTAGTATCACAAAAACTGAGGGGGACATGGTAGAAGGGCCATAACTCGAGGGGCAAAATGTAGTTTGTCCTATTTAAAATTATTGAATTTTGTTTCTCATACCATTGTAGGATTGGAAATACAGACATGAGTTCAAAAGAAATGCGAAGCCTAGTCAATCGCATATTTCCACTCTAATCAATAAATAGAGAGACGTTGTTTCCCATTTAATTCCTATATCCAATAAGAATGAATGTGTGATTAATTAAATTGACATGCAGAACCATTTTAACGAGTTTAGCCATGAATTTGATGAATTTAATTGAATTAAAATGCTTAAAAATTTAAGTTGTTCTAATCTCTCCTTCTTGAAGTGCTTGTTTATTTTCAAAAATTCAACACTTAAAAAAATCACCTTTTTTTTTTTGTTTCCCTTCACTAATTTCCATTTGTGTCTATCATATTTTCTTCGATCCAATTGGCATGTGAAGTTATTTTGTGCAAAGAAAGTTTACCGTATCAGCTGTATCCTGGACGAGAGTAATCCAATTTTCATTTAACACACTTGTGAAGGGGTTAAATAGTTTTAAAGAGAGTGTAATTATGCGTGCTTTAGTTTTTTCCTATTCATATTCAATTTGTTTTATCACAAATATCCCATAAACTTTCGTCGACACATATTAGTTCCTCTTTTTTCAAAAAAAAAACAAAACTTAATGATTATTAAGTATGAATTTTCATTTTTAATATTTATTCTAAAAATGAAATTCTAAACTAGATAATTATTTTAAAACCGATGGAGTATTATTTTTCTGATCATGAATGGATACGGATGACTCTCAACTAATCAAACTCATGTGAATGTTAACAAGTGATAAGTTGGATCATCACATAAGTGTGGATTAATCAAGTGCTTAATTGCTAATTTGCTCACGATTTAATACTAAAACATTTCACAACAAACCTCCCAAGCGGACCCAACAGAGAAAAAAAATAAAAAATCAGATACAATTTCCGTCCAAAGCTTAACAGATTCCACATGGCAAGACCATTAACCACGTGTACAGACGCACCCCAGAAGCCTCACTTCTGACTTTTCTTCGCCAAGTTTGCTTCGATTTTCGTCCTTTGTTTGCCCAGATCTCTCACCTTCAGTTTTATTCGTGCTTTCTGTCGTCAGTTTCGGACGCTGATCCAATTGAAGTTATTCGCGCACATTTTTGCCATCTATCTAGATCTGGCGTTTGTTTGAGGATAGAACTGCCGGAATTATTATATAATCATGTCGGAAGCAGGTCATCATCCGGCTCTGAAAGCTGTGAGCCTGACTCATGTCCGATATCAAAAGGGCGATCGATTGGGTTGTTTTCTGGCATGGGTTTCATTAATCCCTGTTTTCATCAGCCTTGGCGGATTCGTTTCTCACTTCATGTTCCGCCGGGAGCTCCAAGGTATGTTCTTCGCTTTAGGCCTTTTGATTTCCCAATTCGTTAACGAAGTCATCAAGACTTCCGTCCAGCAAGCCCGGCCCGAAACCTGTGCCCTCCTCGAAATTTGCGATTCCCACGGATGGCCCTCTAGCCATTCCCAGTACATGTTCTTCTTCGCTGTCTATTTCACTCTTTTGACCCACAAGCGAATTGGGATCATACTGAGGAATCAAATGGTGGTTGTGATTCTCTTGATTTGGCCTCTGGCGATCTTGACTATGTATTCCAGGGTGTATTTGGGGTATCATACGGTTGCCCAGGTCTTTGCTGGGGCTGCACTCGGAGCTTTACTTGGTGGCTTGTGGTTTTATGTGGTGAATTCGGGCCTTAGAAGTTTCTTTCCAATAATTGAGGAGAGCCCATTCGGGAGGTTCTTCTACGTGAAGGATACTTCGCATATACCCAATGTATTGAAATTTGAGTATGAAAATGCGAGGGCCGCCAGGAAGCATGCTTCTTACAAGCGTGCTGATTGATTGTGGTAAGTGAGTTTTGATATACCTGTTGAATGGGTTGGTTTCTGATTGATGGTTAATTTACTTCATCTGAGAACAGAAAATGGACAAAAGATTTGCATTGTATTACTTCCGTTTGTATTAATATATATATATATTTTTTCATGTCTATCAACTCAGTGCTGTAAAAGTAGGTTTTTGTCATCATGGAAGAATTTTCTAAGTGTGATGATCCCTGGGCTTTTGTTTGATACTTTTTGTCTTTAATGTAACGATATTATTCTTGAAGCAATATGGCATGTTTTGTGAAGCAATGTGTGGATCTTCCGTTTCCTGTAATTGAGTATGAATTTTTTTATAGTGGCAATTTGATGAATAAGGCTCATATGGTTAAGTCTGGACTCCGATGACATGATCATTTGATGGTGGTCAAGTTATTATCATCTGGAAGTTGTGTTCTTCCTGGCAAAAGGCCAGATAGAATGAAGGTTGGATATCTGTATATTTGTGATTTTTGGAGATGAGCTGTTCGTCAACTGTCAGTTCTTCAAGGTATAATTAAAATTGATGCACCATGACATGTATTGTTGATAAAATGGTTAAATCACCATGGGGGACATAAGTACTGTGTAAATGTCATGCATTAATTGATTATGTGTTTCTTTCCTTGGAAAATTTGCTTACCTAAGTTTAAGTTGCCTGGTAATTATGCAGTAATTCTTCTGTATTATGTAACTCTTCTGTATTCTTCTTGGTGGTTTCTTTTATGCAGTGATTGTTTCTTTTTACAACAGGCATTATTCATCGCCAGCTTGAAGGATCACTGTGTTGAATTATGTATCGCATATTTTGGCATATTTTGGTTATTTGTATATTTACAGTACTGTGTACGTTGCCTATAAAAAGAAACGAAGAGAGAAGAAGGGCAATAAAGAACAAAGGAAGTGCTTTCGTTGATTGATCTGCTCATTTTACTTTGTCTCCTGCATCCAGTTTGTTTAAATTAAAACACAGGTCGTCGTAATGTCTGCTTTTCTGTTGTTATTTATGGAATAATGGCAGGACGACTTGAGGATTTTCTTGGGCGGTGATCTTGTCTTATCGTATGAGTAACTTTGCTGTGATTGCAGTTTTTTTTTTTTTTTTTTGGTGAAGCCCATTTCAGGTTTTTTGGGTGATTGCAGTTTAGTTTTACAGTTCATGCAAGTTCGAAAGGTTAGAGTTTTTGACAGTGATTTCTTCTCTTTTGTCTTCTCGCAGGACTTTATGCAACTGATGTGGGGTATTCGTTGCTCGACGAGGTTATAGAAACACAATACTAGCTATACGTCTTTGCCGATGTTTATTTGAGGCTTATTGGAGGACTCTTGACAGAGCACAAAGGAGGGCTCTTGGCTGAGCATCCTTCTGAAAATTCTGTTTTTTGTTTAGTTCAGTTGGAAGGCATCGGAGGAGTGATTGTAATAGATGATGATGTGCAATGTACAATACGTGGAGCTCATCACTGATGATTAGTCTTTACATTTTACAATGATCTCTTTCCTGTCTCTGTCATTATTTGTGCAGATCAGGTTTGTGTTCATTCTGGTAGGAGACATTATTGATGAAGGATTTAGGCCTGTGAATTTTATTTATTTATTTTTTCGTTGGTTAAAAGTTGTTAAAGTTCAGGGGGAAATCTCAAAATGCTGCGCAAAACACCAATGGCTTGATGAGTGACATAGAATAGCTTGCATTGTATCTGCTAATTACCAGACTCTGTGATACCAGGGTTACAAAGAGCACAAACAGGTTCAATTCAATATGTTCCATACAAATCGTTGGCTACATGAAGCTGCTGTATTTTACTATGTTTGGCCAAAACAAGTACTATTTAAAGCTTCCCGGAAGAGAATACCCCCTTGTTTTTGGCAAATTTATAAGATTACTACAGGTCTAAAGCAATGCAGGAACTTTGTTCCAAATAACTTTGAATCTCAACATGTCCTGGCTGAGTCATGCAAGTTCAGGAACATATAATAACTGCACGGTATCATTTCCATCTCCCAACACAAAAAATCTCTTCTGCCCAAGGATGCCCGTCAACAAATTAATAGAAGTCAACTTCATCCCTCACTTATTGAGCTACAACCTGGTAACTTCTTCGACCCAGTAAACTTCTCTGCATCTCTAAGCTGTGCAACGTCTTGCCATCTTTTAGCAGCCTTGTATATGTTTCCCAGCATCACATAGTACGTCTGATTATTTGGTTCAATCTGGATAAGGTTTTGAAGCGCTAGCTCAGCAACCTTGACATTTTTGTGCACCCTAGCAGCGCCAAGTAGTTCATATTACAGCATCTGCATTTATAGGCATTTTATTCACAAAATCCACAGCTTGCTCAAGAAGTCCAGCACGACCAAGAAGATCCACAATACAACCATAATGCTCAACATGAGGCACAATTGCATGTTCATCAATCATTGATTGAAAATAAGAGAATCCATCATCAACTAACCCCGTACGAGCACAAGCACATAAGACGCCTACGTATGTAATTCCATCTGGTTTTTCTCCAGCGACTTTCATCTCCCTATACAGTTTTAAGGCATCAGCTCCATGACCATGTACTGCTAAGCCATTAATAATAGTGTTCCAGGAAATCGAATCCTTTCAACCCACGTCTCTAAAAACATTCATTGCACTTTCAATCAAGCCGCACTTTGCATATAATTCTATTAAACCATTACAAACGAAAATATTATCCTTGCATCCAATTCTGTCAGCATATGCATGAACCCATTTGCCCAAATCAAGTGCGCATAACCTTGAGCGTGCCATGAGCACATACAGTAGCGTGACATAATTAGGCGGCACATCAGATTCATTACGGGCATATCTGCTCGAATTGTTTTTCACACCCTTCAATACTCCATTGTTGGCATACCCGTTTAACTAAGTGTTCCAAGATATCAAGTCCTTATTCGGCATCACATCAAAAAGCTTTTTAGCCTCCTTCATATCCCCATGCTCAATATATCCTATCACCATGGTATTCCACAATATAATATCTAGCTCTGGCACCAAATCAAAGAGCCGTCTTGCTAAATCTAATTCACCATTCCTTAGAAAGCCATTTATCTTGGAAGTCCACATTACAACATCCTTTACAACCATCTCATCAAACACTCTGTAGGAACAATGAACTTTTTGTGCACTCGAGTACACATCAACCAAAGTTGAAGCCACAAAGGTATTTGACTCAAATTCAACTTTCAAGACCAAAGAATGTACCTCCTCGCATTCTTTTAAAGCCTTCAACTTTACACAGGCTTTGAGCACCAACGAAAATGTGTAACACCTAGGCAGTATATCTTGTCCCCTCATATTCTTAAACAGCAATAATACATCCTGATACATGTCATTTTGTAGATACCCCTTAAACATGGCATCATAAACAGACGCATTTCTGTACCTAATTTGATCGAACACTTTGTGGGCATACCCAATCTGGTTGAAACTAAAACATTTAGAGAGGAAAGTTGGGACTACATATTGGCTGGTAGGGTCAAGGCCGAGAGTTATGATATGGGAATGGATTTGTTTGAGATGATTGGCGGAACTACATGAGTTCAAGAGCGCCAAAACATTATGTTCGAGGAGTATGTGGGCGGTCTGGAGGAGAAGTTCAGAGCAAGTTTAGCTATTTTTGCTAGGCTCAGCGTCCAGGTTGGTTGCCCGCGGTAAGCATCAAATGCTAGTAAAGCTAAGAGCCTAATAAGGGCCGGACCCAGTTACCGAACACTGCGGCTGGCCGCTGAAGATAGTCGGAATCGGCCGCCAGAGGTGGGAGGCATCAGGATCAGGCGGGGGAGGCTGGAGGAGTGTACTTGACCGTTAACTTTTTTGCTGTCTGGCTCGGATAAAATTATTTGGTGTCAAATTTTCAAAAGGAAAACGATATGACAAATAGGTGAGTGATGATGTGGAATATTATCATACTTTTATGAACTTTTATTTTTCTTTCAAAATTATACTATCTTTGTCTCAAAATTATTGTCACACTTTGAAATTTCACTTTTAATATAATTTGAACTAAAAATGAAAATCGGACAATAATTATGGGACGGAAGGAGTCCTACTTTTATTTCTAATTAACCGTTACAAATCAGTTAGTATTATAAATTTTTTCACTATAATTTTTTTTATTGGTTTTTTAAAAAAGTTTAAACAAACAAAAAAAAAAAAAACTTTCACAACTAATAAGTTTAACCGTTTTTGGTTGTTGCACACTTCATACTAGAATGCCTTAAAATGTGTTCAATTTCTTATGTGAACAAAATGTTTCTTTTGTATCATTCCCAAATTAAATAAAATGGTTTTTTCAAAAAAATCAAGTCTATCATTATTAGTTATGAACAAAATCATTTTCAATAATGTTAATTTGAATTCTATCATTGTTAGACTTTAATGAGGGAAAGTTTAAATTAAGCAATTTTATCAAAAGAGGACAAAAACTTCCACTGCCTCAGATCACGTGGACATCCGTTCAAATTTTTAGTCAAAGAGCATCACTGTCAGTCTACTGAGTTCACACTTTTGCAGCGGTTACTTTGAAAGAAACCATTGGCAAATTTGAACTGAATAATGTGATTTCCCCAACCAACTACCATTTTTCCACTCCCTTTGTTCTAGGGCTTCTTTTTCCAGATAAAAATGTGGCAAGTTTTGTTGGCCGCAGCGGCGGCAGGATCTGGGATTCTAGCCAAGAAACTCATCATCGACCACAACGCCCCTAAACCCATTAGTAGTTCTAAACAAGATGATCATGTAAATGAAAAAACCTCGTCTTCGCCCAAAGATTCAATCTTTACCTGTAAAGAAGGTTGCCCAGATGACCAAAATGAGGCTGAGGATGAGATAATGGGTGATGGGTCGATCTTCATGTTTTCCAGTACTCCTTCCAGCTCTGAAAAGGGGTCAAAGAGCTCGAAGAAGAAAATGGCCGGTGGGACGAAGGGAAATGTGGAGGGTTTGAAGAGAAATGATAAAGGAGAAGAGGAAAAGAAATGCGGGGTTATGGGTTGTGGGAAGCAGGGGTGGGTGGTAGATCAAAGGAAGAGTGGTAAAAGATTATACATTTACCCGAAGAAGAGGAGGACTAGCAAGAATATTGCTGGAAAGTGTCAATCTTGTGCTTCCAAAGGTTAGATTAGCACTTTAATTTCTACTTAAAATGGGTCCAATTTGCTTATGCGCGGGTGTTCTCTTTATGGCTTTACGCATTGGATTTTCTTTTTGTTTTTTGCTTCTCATGGGTCCTATGTTACTGTATTATAATCATTTTTCCTTGTTCGCTTAACCCTTTTCTTGATTGTCATTGCCTGGTGAAAATGATAGGATAGGACTATCAGTTTTTTTTTCTTTTTTCCATTTGTTTTCATATCTGCAGTTTCCAAAAGCTCAATTCTTTTTGTTTTTGGTCTCAATTATAGAATTTAGGATTTAGAATCCAACATAACATGAAAGCCATGGGAAGGAAATTCAGAGCAGGATATGGTGGTTACAATTTCAAATTGCAAGTGTGGTTCTGTAAAACAAGATGGTAGTTTTTTTGGTGCCCTTAAAATAGATACTAGGAATTATAAGAGGAGAGCTCTAAGCTTCTAGTCACTTTTTCCAGCATTTTGTATCTGCAAAACTTGCCTGCAATTTTTATTAGGGGGATACAGCCCTATCTTTTTGTTTCAAATGGATTAGATCATGTAAATGGTTTTCAATGCGAATGATTCAACTTTTACTATCTGAGAAGGTTTGCCTGTTGATAGTTGGATTATGGGACTCATAAAATAACCTTTAACCCCATTTAGAAAAATCACCAAACTATAGAGAACTAAACAATTGCGTGCCCGAAGTAAAATTTGATTGAAGTTGTACTATGTTGTTCTCAATTTCCCATAATTGAACTTGCTACAATTGAAAATGCATTCCGTCTCATTACTGGTCCTTGTGCTGAGTTTTGACATCAATGTAGACCAGAAGTGGTGCCTTCTGTGAGAAAGCACTTTATTTTGTGTAACTGAATTAGTTGAATGATTCTTCAGTCTTGCTGAGACTGGGTTACTCTTGCTGAGATCATGTAACACTTTTCAGGCAACTCACCGTTTACCTGGGGCCTCAGTGTTGGCATGATGTACATGATGTCAGCTGGGAAAGCTGAAATCAGTAAGTTGTACAATTCCATGGATGAAACTGCACAAATCGTCCAAGAATTGAAAGCGGAACTTTCTAGAAGAAAAATATTGCAGAACCAGTTTGAGTCAGCAGGTGCTCATGCTAATGTTACCGAGTTGAATTCTCAGAATGTTGATGCTTTTGAAATATATGGGCACCCTAAAGTCGAGGAAGGTGAATGTGCAAGTAGCGTTCTTACTGAAGATAGGCAAATTGATCCTTTGGGAATGGATCAGCTTGAAGCTGAGCTTGAACAGGAATTAGAGAAACTTCCTTGGAGTTGTGGAATTGAAGGAAGGAAAGATAAATTTGAGGTAATAATGGTGCCGGGCATTTTTTAGACTGTGCCATTTGTGGTTAGGATAGTCACTAATGCCTTCTTCAGTGATAATTGTCCCCACTCTTCTATGAATTTAACCTTCTCAGGTGAATGGTACTCATCATTTGTTTTCATGTGCTATGTTTGCTACTTAAACAATATGAAGTCTGCGTTTATCTAAGGTTGTGGTATTTTGCTCTTATGTAGTTTCTAGTTTTGATTCTCCACTCCCTGGCCTGTTTTCTACTTCTCCAGGCAAAAACAGAAACTTTGTGCTTGGTGGTTCTTATGATGGTTCTGTAATTGTGTGTGAAAATTGGGCTTTCTCTATCAAGCAAAAAGGATATCTCTGTGGTCTTTCCTATATTCAGAATCTCCAGGTTGCAAAATCGTATAAAGTACATGGCATTGACTTGGTTTTACTTGTGATTTTGAAAATCCAATGCATCGTCTTTTGTAGTGTCTATCTTTTAGCCGAATAGGCTCCTTAATTTCTCTTCATGGCTCATGTCTTTGAAATTTAAAGACCTGATCGTGGTAATGATTCCTTGAATTCAATGGGAAAAATGTGCGCAGGCTGACCAATTGGCCGGAGAAGCTGATGAACAGGGCATGATTACCAATCATTTCACAGGAGTTCAACCATCTGAGCTGGACCAAAAGTTGAGTCATCTACTTATTCAACAGCAGGAAACCCACATCATGGAGCTGGAATCCAAACTGGAGCGAACGCATTCAAAACTTTATGAGAAGGAAGCTGAGCTGCAAGCACTCAAGGATTGTGTTAAGCGCCTCACAAGCTTTTCTTTAGGAGGTGCCTTACTTATACATTGTTTGCTTCTTCCCTTTGCAACTCGGCATATGTTATAATAGGAATGCACAAGGCTTTAGCTCTGTTCAACTTTTGCTTAATTAGTCGATATTGTATGCTTATGATGCCTAGTTTGATTTCTCAGATGAAGACACTGAATACCAAATGGAAGACGAGAAATCTGATCTTGAGGACCAAGAAGTGGTAAATATGGTGTCTCAGTCAACAAGATCAGCTGTTGGGATGAAAAGGGCCATAGATTTCCGGTCATAAGGTGTTTGACTTTTGAAGGTTAGTAAGGCAATCCCCAACCCCCAAAAACCAAACAAAGGAAGAGAAGCTTGTAAAAGAAAGCTCCAAACTTTATTCTGAATGTGGTTTTTAGCATGGACCACAAGCTACAAACTTTGTTTTTTCCACCATTGTCAAACAACTAACAAGCTGTAATTTTTTTCCTTTTTTTTTTTTTCTAGTGTCTGTCTTGGTGCTCTTTGAAGTTTTGCTGAGGCTGATTGATTCCTTGATTGACTTAAGAGAGGCCAGCCTTATTCGGTCAGGCTCTTTCTGGGTTTCTGAAACCTTAGTTGACTTTATAGTACAAAAGTAGTGAGTATAATTCTGTTACCGGGAGGTGTACGTGTGATCCATGATGCTGATTCCAGTTCCATGTGCAAATCTGAATCATATTAATCAAACTTCAGTCTCCGGCCATCCGGGCTGATATGTAGTGTGTACAGTTTTCCCTCTGTTAGTATAATAGACAATCTTTTTGGGACGGCGAGAGTATTTGATTTTGGCGGTGCATTCTGCATGTAGTAAAAAAACATAGATGCGGAAGAGTACTAGTATAATATAAGTAGCCCTATTTTGTGGTTGGAACTTGGGATTCACTCCTTTTTATTCAGTTCAGACCATATGAATTCGGAGAAAAAAAAAGACCATAACTTTAATTTTTACTATATTTTTAGAGTAATGTTTTAAATTTTATTATGAGGGTAAAAAAAAACCTCTTGGATGCTTTTCAAGTGAAAGGAAACTCTTGGGTTCGTTTGTGGTCAAACATGACAGTTGACACAAGGACATGGAGTGCCCTTAGTATAAGAAAAAAATGCGAGATGAGCAGAAGCTGCTCCGGATGTCGAGACATGTGGCGCTGTTAGCATTAATTACTGTTTTTAATTTTTTGAAGCACCGTATTAATAATAATAATAATAATAATCCGCTGTACTTTTTCTAGTTTTTTCCTTTCTTTAAAGACTTTTTTTTTTGACAGGAAATTAAAAGAGTTTCTTCTTAATTTTATTTTGTTTTCGTACTTATAGAGTATCCACTGTCATGATCAACCCCTCAAGTTAAAATTTAAAGAGTTGCTAAATAACTATACATTTATACATATATATATATATATGTAAAACGGAGTGAGAGTAGCTTGGAATGAAAGAAGTACTTAACTACATTGTCTACGCAATAAAGAGTAAACATTTATGCCTGCATTGCAAAGTAGACAAATTCTCTCAAATGCTTTAACGCCTCCAATTGTTCTTTTTAGAAAATGAAGGAAAGACAATTAGGTGCTCTTCTTGTTTAAGGCATTAGAAACTAACTGGTAGAGATGATATTTGGCCAACAACTTTTGAGGTTCAAAAATAACTATTCTCCACTTGTTCCAATCAGGAAAAAAAAAAGGGTAATTTATTTGAACTTTTCAAGTTAATATCAATTGATTTTGAGGTGAAAAAAAAGCAAGAAAGCAAATAGTAATACACATGGAGAAAATGTTGGTTTGGTTCAACAACACAAAAGAAGGGGTTAATGAAACGAACAGGCAGAGTTAGTTCGGTAACTATGTCTACCTCTAAAAAGACTGAGAGTTGGGTACCCTATAGCGTGCCTATGGGATAGTAGCACTCATTAACCCTATAAATCTCACTCTCTCGATATGCTGCATCAAAGAGAAACAAGGAAGCAGATTCATTTCAGGCCTACTCTGGTTTGTTTTTTGTACTGAATCTCACCAAACCAAACCAAAAGAGCACTGGCATTTATTGATCAGTTTGAGTGACTTGTTGGGAAAAAACCCACTTATCCAAATGCCAACACAACCCCCACCCTACTTCTCTCATAGTTTCAGGTTTCTGTCCCACGTTTTCACCTTTTTAACCCAGCACGGTGCCCCTAATCGGCAATAATTTATTTACTGAATTGTAAACAACTCAATCCGCAAGATAATTCATCTAAGAGTAGATTGGGACGACAATAACAATGGTTATTTTGTTTACGGAGTTGTAAATAATTTGATAAGTGAAGTAATTAGTCAAAAAATGACTAAACTGTATAAATGGTCCCTTACATTTGTCTGAATTTAAATTTTGGTCCCCTACATCAACGTGTATATAGATTGAGCCTTCACATTTTATTTTGAAACTTTTTTTGTCTCTTTTCACTGTTCCATCACCATTTCCGTCTTGATCACCGTTGATCCTACCAAGTCAGGGGTATTTTCGAAATGACACATATAAGATCAAAATAACAAATGTTTTTATAATAAAATAGAATAAAATATTTAAAATTATTATTTTTTAATAAAAAACTTAAATAATTTAAAAATAAAAAAAATTAAAATGATTTCAAATTTCAAATTTTAAAATTTAAAATTTTTTTTCACTTCCCACCTTCGTGAGTCCCACATGCCAGTCAATTTTCCCTCCTTTTTTTGCTACAGTAAGAAAATCAAAATTAAAAAGCAAACGTACATTCACCCGTCTTTTGCTTTTACCCTTAAAAATTTTATTCTCATAATCCGAAATACCATTTATTAATTTTATTCTCACCAAGTCACTGCTGGTAAAGGTAAAAGACGGGTGAAGGTAAGTTTACTTTTTAATTTTGTTTTTTTTTACTGTAGCAAAAAAAAAAGAGAGAAATTGACTGGCATGTAGGACCCACAAAGGTGGGAAGTGAAAAAAACAATTTGAAATTTGAAATTTGAAATCATTTTAATTTTTTATTTTTATATTTAAATTATTTAATTTTTTTATTATAAAATAATAATTTTTAATATTTTATTCTATTTTATTATAAAAACATTTGTTATTTTGATCTTATATTTCTCATTCTGAAAATACTCCTGACTTGGTAGAGTCAACGGTCATCAAGACTGAAATGGTGATGGAACAGTGAAAAGAGACCAAAAAAGTTTCAAAATGAAATGTAAAGGCTCAATCCATATACATACTGATGTAGGGGACCAAAATTTAAATTCGGATAAATGTAACAGACCATTTATACAGTTTAATCGTCAAAAAATTTTAAGATTGTTATGGACAAATGTCAATTTTTTTATTTGTTTTTTTGGGGGGGTTGGTTGTATGATATTTTTCCCACCTAGTTTTGAAATTAGGTGACCTGTGTATTTTGCTTTCGCACGCTTATTCCATTCTTAACATCGTTTTGAAAGAACCCTCCAATTATAGCATCTTATGGAGCACGACCAAAGCCGTGTTCAATCATGGTAGTGATAGAGTGATTGGAGAGTGGTACAGAGCTTTGTAAATTATTTGTTAGATGCAATTCAGACGCAAGACGAAATGGGAATGATGTTTCTTATGACCGATACTTCCCGAATTTCAAAATAATTATTTTGTTTACAATTTCTTACTTTCAGGACAATTTGTACTAAAAATAAAATTTTAAACACTGCCGTAATCCGCCGAAAGATGTCCATTTCGTAATCGACAGCTATAACATTTCGGAAGGTTTAGATAATTATTTTCGGGATGGAAGGAATATTAATGTGACAGAATTTTCAAAATAATTGAGCACTTGAGTTTTTTTTTTCATTCATATGTAAACCCTTCTCAAAATTTCCAAGGGTTAAAAAGGAAAATCAAATTATCCATGTCACCACTAGTGAAAAATCAAAATTTCAATAAGTCACTAAACGATTCACTACATAATTGTTGGAAGTTTAATTAGCATTGTCTCCCAATGACCTACTCGACTCGAATCTAGATTAATCGAAGAAATGATTTTGAACACCAAATGTGCGTAATATGCCAAAAAATATTACTAGTCTTTTGAGGGGAGAAATGAGGTCAATTAAACAACATTATAACTAAAATGGTGAGCGACAACATTATAACTAAAATGGTGAGCGACAGTGTGACACAGTCAACTAATAAGATGAAGAACGGGATGCATGAATTAAAGGGCTTTTTTCTATTTTGAAATGATTATTAACTGGATGCAGAAGGTAGTAACGGCAGTGAAAATTTTGCACCATAATAAAGCCTAAAGTTTTGATGAGCCCAATAAATCATGAGAGTGGGAAAATCCAAGCAGAACCTTACAGCCTCGGAATTAAAAAGTGTTATGAATCTGAGTCTTTTCAGTAATTTCAGTCCCTCCCATCCGTGCAATATAAAAATAATGTAAACAAATCCTAGTAGTAAATTATGTTTGACAGCGCCACAAGAAGCCATCTGCCAACAGTAAAAACAATACTAAATACCTCCCAAAAACTGCAATGAAATTTACTCATTTAAAAAAAAGGAAAAAACAGAGTATCACAGAGTGAGGGAGAGAAAAACTTCTCAGCCCATCTCTCTCACACAAAAACAATCCCCCCAAGAGCCAAACGCTAATAAGATAAAGTCTGAGTGAAACTCTTGATGATAATGATACTTGCGGAGTACTATTCAGTAATTTGAGGAGCTAAAACAGAGGAGAATAGAGGGATAGGGGCAAGTTTGACATCTACTTTTTTTTCATGTTAATTTTTAGGTGGGGGTTTTTGGGATATAGAGGAGGAATTTGTTGAGGAATAAATGTCAAAGATGAAGACTTTATCGAAGCCTCTTTCAAGTCCGAGCCGGACGGATAAGTTTCCGACGCCATTGATGTTGAGGTTTCTGAGGAGCAATGTTGGTAGCAGAAGCAGAGGGAGGTCACGTTCCAGCCCTTTGTTTATTCTCAGGAGCAAAAAGAATGCAGCAGCCATTAATGAAGCTGCTCAACAACAAGAACCATCTTCCCCAAAAGTCACTTGCATAGGCCAAGTTCGAGCCAGAAGATCTTCTAAGGCTAAAGCAAAAGCTTCTAGGTCAAGGTCGAAAAGGAAAACGAGTAGTAAACAAGCCACTTGTTGTCATCCCTGCTCTTGTTCCTGCCCTTTTTCATGTTCTTCTTCCTCATCCTGCTCTTGTTGCTGTTGCTTCTCTTGTTGTGTGCCAAAGACTCTATTTTGTTGCCATTTTAGGCCGAAATTCCGCAAGCCCAGATTATTTCCTCGGAAGTTCTTTCGCAAGTGGGTGTATTTTTTCCGGTTTGGATACTGTAAGAAAATTGATGTTAGGGATGATTCTGTACAGGTTTTGGCTAATCAAAGAAGTCATAGTAATCATCATGTTATTAGTTCTGCCGTTATCAAGGCTGTTGACATCGGAAATGAGGAGGGTACTGTTCAGGAAAGCAAGGAAGATTTTCACGAATCTTCTAGTTTTAGTCCTCCCAAGAATGCTTTGTTACTGACTAGGTGCAGATCTGCCCCTTATAGATCTTCCTCACTTGCGGGCAAATTTTGGGAATCTCCGTTAAGGTCATCCGAAACGGAAACAGAGACTCTGAAGGATGAATCCAAAGAACCACTGGGGGATGATGAAACTGAGGCTCTGAAGGATGATTTTAGAGAATCGCTTGATTATGGTGGAAATGGGCAACCCAATTCGCCAATAAATGAAGGGAATGAGGCAGAGGCGGCCAAGGAAATGGAATCAAGAAACAGCATTAGTCCGGAAGAAGAAGGAAGTAGTGAAGAATCAAGAATCAGCCACATTCAGGAAGAAGGAGGTTTTGAAGAATTGGAAACCGCGGCTGTGGCTGAACAAAGAATCAGCAACTGTCAGGAAGAAGAAGGAAGTAGTGAAGAATTAGAGTGTTCCACAAACGAGAAGACCAAAGAAGATTTGAAGAAGCAAGAATCTCGGGGAGGTTCATCAGTTCAAGTTCATCCTTTGTTACTGATGAGGTGTAAATCTGAACCAGCAAAAACAGGGGAAAGGCTCAATCCGGAGGTAATAAATTTCTCAAAGCAAAGAAGGTCGGATACTAGTCAGTCATGTTTGCAAGATATTAAGTTGAACTGTGATTAACATTAGTTGTTGTTGTTGTTGTTGTATGATTGTATCATCAATAGTAATTTTTTCAGTCACTATACTTAACCAAAATAAGAAGCTTTCCAAGTAAATTTGATAAACCTTTATCAATGGTGTCTATGGATTTTCTTTTTCAGTTTTGGGGTTTTTCGAAAGTCAAATATTTCAATACCTAAGTCCACAGACACCATGGGATTCTGGGATTCTAGTCATTTGTTTATGAAATGTTGTTTGAGTTTAGTTTACCACATTGGATGATCAGCTGGTGTATGAACGAACAAGAAGGAATCTTTTTGGCAAATGGGTCATTAATTTTTTATTTTTATTTTTTTTTTTATATATATTTGCGAGTATTAAAAATTTTGGCTTTCAGTGAATCGTACTCTGAAAGATGGAAAACGGATGAACTGGTTTTCTCATTGTATACACTGCCAATGTGCTGCCAACTAGTAGGCAGCTCATCTGCATATTTAATGCTGACTTTAATGCTGTGAAACCTTCACATTTTCTTGGGAAGCTGGATATGTCCCCAATTTGTTGCCTTATTCCCCATAATTTGGCCCCCTTTGGCTTTAACTTTCTTGCTTCTGCATTTGTGTTTATTGGAACTTAAAAACGCATGCATTTTACCAGTACTAGTAGTAGGCTTCGAGCTCATATGAAGAGGACTTACATTAAATTATCTTAAAAGGGGATGATCATAACTTCTCTCATTGTTAGTTGTACCTAAACCTGCTTTAGGCTAACATAGTGAAGAATTTGGGCCAAGATTAGTAATGGGTTAAGATTAGTCCGTTGAAAGAAATCATATGTTAGGCTTTTGTATTTCTTAGGTCCGAACTGAGAATTGACAGTAGATGTTGCTGTTTGCATTAATCAATGATTTTGATATGCACGTTACATGTTTTATTAACCGAGTTGCTCTGATTCTCTAATTCAAGGGCCGTGAATTATATCTCATATCCTTAATTAAATTAAATTCTTGTGCATTCTGGTGGGCCTAATCACTGGTTTAATGGGGACTGAATCTGAGAGAAATTGACATGATTTTTGGGGCTTCTGAATGGAAGAACTTTCAAGTTTCAATAGGACAGAGTCACTCTCCTATACTAAACAATATATAGCCCCACAAATTGCAAAAGGTAGATAACCCTTTTCCTTAAGCACATTGACATAGCTCTATATATCCTTGAAATCTGCCAAAGGCGTAAAAACAGAGTTGTAGTGAAGCCAAAGATTCCTGTTCACCACCTGACTGAACAGTATCTCCATCAAATATGTGTTGTTGTACCACCCTCCTAGATTTTCTTTCTTCTTTTTTTTTTTTTCTGATATGATTTATACTTTTCATGGTTATTGGTTTTCCTGTACCCACGCACGTACGGTTTGCATTGCATGCATCTTTTTTTTCATCGGATTTCTCCATTTGACATTTTCCCTTTTATCGGTTTATCGGTCCTTGTTTTTAGACTTCTCTACCACTTACTTTTGCAACAGATTCTTACTGTCCAATTGCCGCCTAACAATAATAGGCTAACGGGCAACTTTTGTAATGAAAAAAATGAAAAAATGCCACCTACATCTTCTAGCAAACATTCTTGTTGCGTCTAGCAAATGGCTCTTTATTTGAGCATAAAGATATACTACTAGTAGTTCAGTAGTTAATACATGTAATAAATAAGGTGGTTTAGAAGAAGAATCTGGTTATCCCCACCTCCACGCATTGCCATTTTTGGAGGCAAAACCAAAACATGAGGTGATTAATTCAACGGTTGGTCAAACAACAGGACCCAATCATTTCTATTGTCCCATTGTTAATATGGATCGAAACGTGACAAAGTCAATTGATTTTGAGATGGGAGCCCAAAGTGAAACATGAGGTGATTAATTCAACGGTTGGTCAAACAACAGGACCTAATCATTTCTATTGTCCCATTGTTAATATGGATCGAAACGTGACAAAGTCAATTGATTTTGAGATGGGCTCCCATCTCAAAATCAATTGACAATGAATGGGGTGGCTCTCGTAACTTACAAATAGGTCTAAGATCCTGAGCACGGCCGACGTGAGATTCTTTTCCCAACAAAATGAGAGACATAAACAAACCTTCATTCCCTCCCAACCAAGCTTTGTCCGGTTGTCATGAAAATTTAGGCATTGCCATCTTTTACTATGCTGGAACTATTCCTAGTACATTTGATTCAGTTTGTTGGTGCTTTTGGGGGAGGGTTAGAGCTATGCTATCTGTAAAAATTTTTTTTTAAAAAAAATAAAATTAACAAATGTAGAATGGTATGACATAAAAACAAAAATGATGCTGTTTTATTAGAAACCTCTGTTTCAGATTTACTTGGTAGGAATGTCCAGTAGCCAGCAGGATGATGCACAATCAGGAAGTTGTTGCATCTGAAAGTTCTGAAGCCTTATGGCATGGCATGTGACAATATAGGTTTTAACATCAAGCAAGAATTGGACAGACCAGTGTATCTCATTTACCATATGAATCAAACTACCCCATTCCTCTCTGAGGTGAAAAATTCCCTCCTAATTTGTCAACCAGTTGATATGAAGATTGTCATATCAAGCTACTTGTCAGATTTGCAGAAATTTGGCCTACACCCACGTTCCTTGGATCCCATTTTTTACAAGGATAAATGACAAAAATCTGTTCTTCCATTTTTTTTGGGTTACAACTTACAAGAACCATGAACCTAAGCAGTATATACCGCACTTGAACTAATTTTCACTCGCTCCGAAAACAATCACTTTTTAATTAAATTCTCACAATAGGTACTGTAATAATCACTGTTGTATGCGGTATACATCCATGTTAGAATTTGTTCACGTCTTTCCCAAAATCTTTTTAACCTCTCCGCTAAGTATAAATGACAAGATTAGGCCATATTGGTGTGTACATCTTCACTTAATTCAGCAAAAGTCCATCACTATCTCAAGAGTTCAGCCCAGATTGAGAAACCCAACAACGGCAACTAATTTATTGAGGACATCATTGTGGACAATCGAGTTTTGTAATATAAGTGATAGCCCAAACGTTGAGCAATGAGCAACTGGCCCCATACTGGCACCAAAACTCTAATCCTGAAGCAAAAAAGGTTAGGTTAAATCTTGAATTTAGCTGAAAAAACGGAGGACAAATAGATAATTAAGGGATGAAAAACTAATCAAACAGGCCATCTTTTGACCCTCAACACCATTGAATGAGTATTTAAAGCAAGCTTTCGGCCCTTGAACTTGAATTCGGTTGGTGAAGTTTGGTGATCATTTTAGTGTGTTATTTTTTGATAGAGATTGCAAAAAGCACGGTAAAATATAGAGAAAATGATTTTTTTTTTTTACCACATATGTATCCAAACATAAACTTAACTTCCTTATCTAGAGTAGAATACGACATCTATATATGCACACAAAGCTCATGGAATGCACCTTGGAGACGAGGCAGGAATCATCAACAATCATGGACTTAAGGTTGAAGGCCTTGTGCAACAAAAGATCCATCAACATCAACAACTCATCACGACCATCATCGTCATCGTGTTTGGAGTTGTTCGAGTTGACTAATGAGAAACCCATGAGCTTGATAACTTTAAGGTGCACGAGATTTGAAGCATCTGATTTCACTGTGTTGTAGTCCATCCACAAGTGTGTCTGCTGCTGCCAGTACTCGTCAAACATCTGGGCTGGCATACTCTTGCTCTTTTTGTCCATCTGCATATATAATTTTGCTAATTTAATTGGGCGTGATTAAATTCAAGCATTTAAATATGATATTGTTAGATCATTTTTCACCCGTTTCATGTATTTTAAGACTTGTAACCAAAAATCAACTACTCCCTCCCTCCCATAATTATTGTCCAGTTTGGCTTTTCATTTTTAGTTTAAATTGTACTAAAAGTGAAATCTCAAACTGGACAATAATTTTGGGACAGAAGGAGTATATTAAATAGCATTTGATCAAACTCACGTTGATGATCAACATCTCTAAGTGTGGCGCGACGTTTAGGAAGCAAGCAAGCGAATCGCGCTTTTGAGCGTCCATGGCAGCAGGATAGGTACACCATAACTTCTTCAGCTTCATCAACTTGAATTCAAGGCGTCCAAATATTACGCCTGCACTCCACTTTAATTTTGGTGGACATGAATAAAATATTCGCCATCATCGATCAGTTCATAAATTGTCACACAAGTAAGGATCAGTTCATTGATTTTCTATGTTAATTGTATAATTACAAGAAAAATGATGGAAATGAAGTATCAGCTCGTTCGCGCACCCAAAATAGCTAGCAAACTGGAGTAACTAATTGAATAATCTGCCACTGAAAAAACCTGCTCAATTTGACTACGTACCTCAATGATCCAACCGCTTATGGAGAGGGATTCGGCTTCCTTCAGATTGGCGAGAAGTTCCACGAGCTCCTCGCAGTCATATTTCTGTCCGGTTTGGGCAACGTTATAAGATCCGACGTCAAATTTGACATCAATCAAGTGAGGAGTGCCTTTTAACTGAACCCTTGTCGGAAGAACTCCGGAATAGTACAAGGTTTTGAGATTAGGAGCAGAGATAACCATACTTTCAGCGTTTGAACAATCAGAAAACTCAAGAGCTTCGAGACGGCTACTTTCGCCACCGAACACAATCTGAATTCGTCGTAAATTGCCGCACTTTTCAAGCTTCAAGCTTTGGAGACAAGGACAACAAGGTAAAAAAGATGAAACGAAATCCTCAGCCAGGCCTGCGCTGATGGACCGCAGGTGAAGTGTCTTGAGGGAATGGAAATTACAAACATAAGCTGGTTCCGTCGTTATTTCCGCCGGGGATTTTTGGTTTCTGGGAAGACACTCAATGATGAATGCCGCCGCCGCACCGGAACTTGTATCGCTGCCGCCGTCTTCTCGGGAGAAGTCAAGATGAAGCTGATCACTATTGAAGCCCTTGGTAGCCGCCACCACCACAACCATCTTATTAGTATGGCCCACAACATAAATTTTCAGCTTCATCGATGCAGCATCAGCAGGATGATGGTCTAGGAATTCAGAAATGACTCGTTTCATCTTGTCGCCGACGTCGTCGTCGTCGGATGATTCCAAGTTGACGGAGAGCGGTTTCCAGAGGGAGCTCCAAGTAGTGGAAAGCAGGCAAGTTTTCACAGCTTCCTTCATGGAGAGAGATGAAAGTATGAGTTGCACAATCTCAACCGGTAAGTTCCCAAGTAAATAATCATCATCAGCTGGCAGCTTCATGCTTCCTTCGATGTTCTCTGAAACAAGAACAGGATGTTCTGAACTGGCCATAATTAACCATATGTTGACGCTCTATAATTAGTAGCAAGTTAATGGAGTTCATAGATAGCTACTTAATGAACTTATCTTCCTTATTAATTATTAGAGCATCCACAGCGGGCCTTCACTTTTATTAATACTCCAAATAGTACTTCTCTATTCATCATCTAATTATTGGACTCTACGTGATTTCACTTCATCCAAAAACAAAAAGAACAAAACTGAGTGTCAATGTTGCACGTACTCAACGGTTATAGCACGTGACGAAAGGAAGGACCAGCACAAATAAAAATTGGCGACTGTATCGTTGCTTTTTACTGAAAAAACAAACAAAAAAGTCATCAATTAATTAATACTCCCCAACACCAATATGGCCGTATTACGTGTTTTAAACTTGACAATATATCTCCCTGATGTTGAGAGATTGTTGTCGGTATTCTTAATTCATTCTTACTTAAAATGGTTGGGTTAACACAGTAAAATTTGAAAAAGCGAAATAAATAAATGGCCGTCTCGAAATGATATATTTATTTTTACTTCAAATTGTATTAAAAGTAAACAAAAATCAAAATTAGAAAAGCAAAGTGTGTGGCAAATTATCTCTAGTGCCGATAAAACAACGGTATATTTGGGATACAAGTAGAAATTGGAAGAAGAACCCCTCTTGGTCTGGTTAAATTAAATCTCTGCGATTGGCTCAGGATGTAATAGGGAGAGGTTCGTGAGCAGGCCAAGACGTCTTTCGTTTTAAAATAAAATGAATGTGTAGCTATATATATCTAGTCCCGTGGCAACCGTTTCTACCTGAATCCATACTGCATATATAGTCATGCCTTCCTAAAATGAGCCGAAATTTCTTGCAATCCATTGCAAATTGAGAATTAGCCACATGAGCTATTTCTAAATCCATTTGTGAGTATTGTTTACACGGATCCTGGAATTAATAATTATTGTTATTATTATCATTATTCTTGGTGGTACTATATAGCTCGTAATTTAAAAAAAATAAAATAAAAATAATTGTCAATGATTTTGACAAGCACGGAACCAGCACGAAAAGGAGCTTCATCGGTTTCTAATAATGTCAGGGGCCGTGAATTACTATCGCACGAGCTTTAGATAAGTAGTACATGTGCTCAATATCGGTGGACCTAATGATCCCTAGTTTGAAGGGAGCGGTTATGTGTGAGAAATTGACGTGAAATTTTTGGGGCTTAATCTTAGACAGATGGAAGTTTCTGCAGGATATTAGTCCACAAACAAACAAAAGCACCCCCAAAGTTGTAAAACTAGATATCCCCTTTCCTTTAGAAAATCGCAATGGCTTATGGCTCTATCCTTGGAAGGAAACTCTGCCAGAAAAGGCGTAATTACAGAATTGTACGCTTAAGTGAAAGCCAAGACTCATGCTCACTTTAGATTTTCTTTATTTTCTGATGATTTGTGTTCTTTTTCATGGCTCTTTTTTAATTTCCCCGAACAGGCCTAAGGTTGCGTGTAGGATCACAACTGTTCTGCTGCATCCATCATTTTGTTCATTGGATTTCTCCATTCACATTTTCCCTTTAGTTATCGTCCTTGGTTCCAAATGCTTGTACGGAGTTACGGGGTTCAAGTTTGTTCAATATACGATTTGATGGCAATTGCTAGCTGGAAGATTGCCCGGGACGAACAGATAATGAGATAACGAATTACTGGAATTCGCGTTTGAGCAATAAAGTTTACCAGGAGGAGAAACAAAGCAAAGAAGTCCAACAGAGGGAAAGCCGTAGGGATAAGAAGAAAAGAAAACTCACTAACGAGTTTGGAGAAGCGACGACAATGAGAGAAATGAAATCATCACTGTTTCAACGTGATCATACTGGCACCGCTGGAGATTGAAAGCTTTTCGATGATGATGACTTGTTCGATTTCTCGGATCAGAGAGTTTGTCCACATGGACGATGGTTGATGCTTTACATCCCAAACACATACTATCTGGTATAAACTAATGCTATCATCTGTTTGTCTACAATTAGGGCAGACCAGGTCTCTCATTTATTCAGTTGTAGATCAGTGACTAGGATGGAATGGAACTCCCTGAACAACGGAACAAAGTTTCAGCCTATAGCTTTATTTGTTGAATAGTATTTGTATATCAGCCAATAATGTAGTCTTTACCCACATACTGTCTCTTAGTTTAAAAGGATTTTTTCAAATTAAGCTTCGCTAGCTTACAACACTCTGCCCCAAACTATGTCAATGAAGTTGTCATGGAAGTACTAGGCTGATGCTCTGTGCAAAACTACTCATCAATGAAGTTATGGAAGTACTAGGACTGATCAGTAATAAGGAAATATAGCACAGATAAAGCAGGGGAAGAGACTTGAGAGAGTTCAACAAGTGTCATTGAGCAAACAGGGAAGTTTTCATTATGTAGCAGCATTATCTATAGTAATCAACAAGTGTTCCACAATGAATTTCAGAAAAATCATCTAAATCTCGACAGTCGGAAATCTCAAAATCTAAATCCATTCATTGAGAACATAATCACATAAGTAAGAAAGTTACTGACAGCCACATCACTGAGAAAATCTTCATTCCACTACAAAGCAATTGCGCTTGAATGGGTCAAAATCTTAATGCCCACAACATTAACTAAACGAGCTTAAATTCTGTACAGATTATGGCAATCCCTCGGACAAAAAGTCAACACTAGCCATTCCTATATTTTATAGCTTGAAGAAGCTAGGTTGCTTATAACAAACTTTGTAGGTTGAAACAGTCACAACTACGTATATCCAGTCCTGCTTCAAACTAAATATTGCTAAAAAGTAAGCAGCTCCTACAAACCTGAGTACCTGACAGAAGATATTCATAACATCCGAGTTAGTGCTATTTTTTAGTCCAGAAAAATGCAGACAAATGACTACTACAAAGATGAGCTAATGATTCTACTTATGTCAATTAAAAAGGATGCTTGAACAAAGTAGAAACATTTAACATCTGGAAAACTAAGAATCTGTGTACCTTACAGATTCAGTTGACTGTACAATACACATCCAGTAAGTATAACTAGAGGTTAACCCCACGCCATGGAAGAAGCATAATTCACCACCAATTTACCACCAACACCAAAATTCTGCACAATTGGAATTCCAGCAACAAATTATGCTTCACGTCAACTGTATTACTAAATCAAACCTGAAGACTATAATTAAATAACTACATATGCAGCATAAATAGCCAATACTTCAGGCCAAACTCAGGATGCTCACAAAGTCACAAATAGCATGAAAGCAAGAGAATATGACATTGTCAAATGCGCTAAAAAGAAAAGTGCCGCAAGAGACCTTAGATTAAATAAAAACGCAACCTTTCAAGCTTTGAAAGGGTAAATAGTGTCAGGAAATCAAGAAAGCATAACAGATTAGTACAACAACTAACCTTGTAAAGGTCAATAACCAACTCATCAGGATTAGGTGAGAAGGCACTGTTAATGTAAACAAACTGCGGCAAATAAATAGTATTAGTATTAGCTCAGTGAATGACTATGTTCTCACAAAAAGCACAGTTTGAGTCCAGCAAAACCAGAAGAGAAACACAATACCAGTGTCTCCCTGCGAAGCTGTCTGCACAAGTGATCAATCACTTTCACAAATCTGTTGGAACCAGAAGCCTACACATAAGGTGGGCAAAATTGATGAAAAAAAAAAAAAATCCATGAAAACCAGGAATCCAGGTTAATCAGTTAAAAGGCAAACATTTATTCTTCTGAATTTTCATACAATGTAAACATTTAAATTCTTCTAAACTGCAAGAATTTGTGATAATACTCCCAAACAAGAAGCTCATTCATAGCCAATCCAATCCAATCGAATCGTGCAGACAAAATTTGCAAACCTAGCTAGATTGCAGACTAAACGTTCTCTAACACTGCTAAATAGTACTAGTTAGCACTTGAATGCACATATAATTCAACTCTCAACTTTTGTAAGATAGAACTGTGGTACTACAGAACCAGCACAACACGCAGATTAACGCAAAAATTTGGATTATAGATCACAATGTAATCAAGCAATTACACTAAAATAAAAGGAATACCTTGATTTTGGAGTCCTTGAGTATCGGTGCGTCTCCAGTTGCTTTAAAGTAAATCAAAACTGCATACCACGAAAATCAACCAAAAAAGAAGGAAAAGTTATGCTTCAAGAAAGAATAAGAGACGGCAAAATCAATCGCGGGCATCAACGTAGTCTAAAAGAGGACACTGATTTATCGAGAAATTGAAATCTCGGGCTTGACCTTTGGGATCTTCCGAATCCATAGATTTCAACGGGAAAGAGAAACACAAATTTGAACGTCGGAGGAAGCAGTCGACGGAGTATTTTTTTCCTTCCCTGCAGTATATAAAATCGTCCCGACGGGATATCTTTTATGTGTTTTTTTTAAAAAGTCGTTGTTCTTTGCCAACGACTTCTGTTTTGTTTTGAAATTTATATAAGAGTAGAGAACTACTCTGATCATATATAGAATTATACATACATACAGTACATTAATTCAAGAAAACGCTATTTAATTTTCAAATGAATAAATATTTTTAAATATTTAATTCCAGTAATGTAATTTTAAAACTTTGAACAAATTAAAGTAATCCAAATTACAGCAATAGTATATAAATTTAATATAAAGTATTGGTGCAATTAGTTGTGACGAAAACAAAGAACACTTTTACATACTTGTGATAATGAAATATTGAAACTCAACCAAGACATTGCCTTATTTCGATTAACAAAATCGAATCGAGATCATTTGGGCCAACGGATTCGGGTACAAAGTGTGTGTTTGTGGAGTAACCCAATAAACCTATAATTTTTCTAACTGCCTTAAAAAAAAACTACCTAAATCCAAAAAAAAAAAAAAAAACCAAGTATATGATGATAATAACAGCTCGATGCCTGAAAGGAAAAGAAGTTTTCCCATTAATGAAAACCAGATGTCTCCATGCCATATGCCATTCCAAAGCAGTAAGATATGAAATGAATCCATGAGAGTTTAATGACAAGAAAATGAGTAGACTGAGAGGAGAAATGGAGTGGGATGAGGATTAGGTATTTTTGGGCCTGAGAAATTCCAGCAAGGAGGGGTCTGCCATGTCAAGTTCATAGGCGTACATGACCAATAATACACACATGACACTGTCCACCTGACCAAGAAACTATAATTAATAATAGAGCTAGTCGTCTTTATTTACTCCCTCAAAATTGGTAGAAACCATCAATCGTGTCCGGAAATTCAAAATAACTACGATCATCATCTCAACGCCAACGGGTTAAAAATATGATCCAATTGTACATAGAAATGTTCACCATTTTGACGAATCTCACCGAAATCTACAAGTTAGTATATACTCCATATACAAACACTTTGTGCGTACCTTGCGCTGGGATTGGTCAAAGGAGATGACGGTAGATTTTGTAAAATTTTCAAGGTGATGATAGATTTTGTGATTCTTCAAGAGGTGATGCGTAATTTCTCCAAACTTTGAAGGGAGGTTATTAATAATCATTTGGCTAAGAAACTAGACTAAAAGTGGTTTTGTGGCAACATTTACAATCGCACCACACATCAATTTTGCCAACCGAACACATCTACATCAGCACCTCGCCACTCATTGCTGTTGAGATGGAGACGGTTTCAATTCTGAAAAGTACACCAATTCCTTCCTATAGGGGTATAGGGCTATATAGCTAGCTAGCTAAATCTCCATACTATTATTTGTTTATTACCACTTACCTTACTTAAATCGGTTATCTGTATATATATATGCTTAGATGCATGCTTCCCCCGTGATGATCCTACTCATTCTTCCTCCTTTATAAACACACGAGAAATTTGTCATCCATTTATTCTGCCCTCTTCCATGGAGTTGAAATCCCGTATTGCAGCTGAAGCTTTTATTCTCTTTATTCTGCTGATAACACCGACGCCTTGCCTAACGAGAGGTACTTATGAATTTTGCTGGTATTTTTGTTTGATTGGATTGTCGGATTTGTGATTAATTGAGAATTGGGATCAGGTTTACCAAATGATGTGAATCAAGAGGTATATCAAATTGATTATAGAGGTCCTGAGACACATTCTTATCTTCCTCCCCCGAATCAATCTGTGGAGGGTGCAACTCCGAGGTACCACAATCTCCATCAAAAATCCAAAGACCTGAGGACTGGCAGAAAGGTGAGAGGACTGAAATACATATATACACTTCATGATTGATTTGCCATTGTCTTGTTAGGAAATTAAAATTCCAAAGTTCTTAATTCCAGTTGGGACCGCCAATTTTCTGAATCTCTTTTTTTTTTTTAAATTTTTTTTTGCTTATAAATTAGCAGGGAAAGGGAACCCATGCCTAAAGTGAAGTGAAGAAGCGGTCTTGGATCTGAAGTAGTATTAATTAGAGGTTTACTCTTTTTTGATGAAATAAATGTTTCATTATTAGTTAAGCTATGTATCATATACTCCATCTGTTCAAGAGAAATTACGGAAGAACTCAACCTAGCTATCAGTGATGTGTTTAATGTTGTTATTCTGTAGTACAAGAGAAATGCGGAATATTTGGGGTTTCTGTAATCTGTGCTTGTTTTTCCGGCGCTAGTATTGTATCATAAGCAAGAACAATATTTGGCCACGCTATACGTACTTACAACCAATTCTGTCTCACTTGTTATGTTGCAATCACGTTATCTCATAAAAAACAACAAAGTTAGATAAAAATAAAGAAATATCGTTTAGCAGTTTAAAAATATTGCTACGTACAAAGTAGCCCCCGTCTTCATATACCAGGTACCAACTACTCTTCCATGTGTTAAACCATCATATTTTACGTTCACGAGTGATTTTCTTACATTAGAAAGATTCTAAAAGAAAGCCACTATAAGAGATAATGTTTTGTTCTCCCCAAAAGTGTTCGAGCTCACATTTGATAATTCTCTTTTCAATATCTTTAAATGATCTCTTCAATTTGATGGTACCTCTTGATGCCTTAACACCCGCACCTCAAACTAGACCTCCTCAGTCTGAGAAGTACTCAATCTGGAAAAATTGTATGTTCGGTAAAAGATTTGATGAAATGGTTAGAAGTAGTAAACTGTTACCTTCATGACTTCATCATGAGTGCAATCATTTGTATGAATCATATACCCATCCATTTATTTTTTTATTTTTTATTTTTTATGTAGGAAGCCGAAAGGCTTTAATACCCATCCATTTGAATCAAAAAAAATAAAATAAAAAATACCCATCCATATTATTAGAAATGAAGTCCACTATTATATTGGGCAACATTCAGGGTTAATTATAGCGGACTGTCGAAGGCCCAAGTTAAAAACATTAAGTCTGCTTGGAATGTAATTAAAGAGTTTTTCTATAAAAAAAAATTAAAAGAAATAGACCGACAGATGTGAGATGACGACCGTCGATGCCTTGTTAGTTGACGCATTCCCATCGCTATCACCGTTTACGCGTTTTCTTGAATTCATTGATTCATTCCTTAATTTGTCACCACTCCCCCCCACCTGTTTTCATCTTCCTTCCTCTCTTCTCCAAATTTTTTTCTGTGCAATTTGGCTTTGAATTATCCAATTCTCAATGGCTAATTCTGAGGAATCCAATCCCCTCCTGCCAAAGCAAGAATCAGCTGTTGAGGCCACCCTAAAAAATGATGCGCAAAAGGTCTCCACCGACAAGAACCAGGCTCTTGACGCCGGTAAACAATCTGTAGATCCGTCCCCAATGGATTGGACCGCCGAGGGCTTGCCCCTTGCCCATGGAAGCGTGGTAGGAGAGCCGATCATGGGTAGGAGGACCCCGTGGAACTCCAGCCTCTGCGCTTGTCTCGGACAGAACGATGACTTCTGTAGCAGCGATCTTGAAGTTTGTGAGTCTAATCCCCTTTTATTTTAATGCTTTCAATATTTGAATTTTGATGTCCTCAATCCTTTAAGGAAATTGAAAATCGTGTTAATTTGTTGTTCTGAATTGCTTGGTTTGAGATCCCTAAAAAAACTTATCTGAGACATAGTTTCAGCTCGTAATTGTCTAAATGGGGCCTTCAAGCTCTGTAGAAACATTGTCCGAATTGTGCGTTTTCCCTACATTGTGACTAAAGATTACTTTTGATCCCCGATTGCGTATGTGGGTACATTCTGATCGATAGAGGAAGAATTGCAGCATTTTGAGTTTGATGAACAATTTTTGTGCTCTTGTTATTCATGTTACAGGATTCCCCTAGGTTTCGTGTTTCATTATTTGTTATTATTACCTTACTTTCCGTTTTCATGTGATTTGGCTTTGCTAAATGGCGTGTGCTGATATGGGTTCTCTAAACAAAAAACAGCTAAAGATTAATGCCATTGCAATTAGTCGGGGTTTAATCAGCTGCTCTGTGGAAACTTCTATGCCGTTTCCCCTTTTTGTAAGAATAACCATGCTGTGCAGGTTTGCTGGGAAGTGTGGCACCTTGTGTCCTCTATGGAAGCAATGTGGAAAGACTTGGCTCATCTCCCGGGTCTTTCGCAAATCACTGCCTGTCGTACACAGGTTTGTACCTGATAGGGAACTCGTTTTTTGGCTGGAACTGCTTAGCCCCCTGGTTTTCATACAACAGCCGCACGGCTATCAGGCGGAGATTTAATTTGGAGGTATGCCATAATTTTGTACATTTGAGCTCTGTGATCCATAAGGTGGTCGTAGACCCATATAATTTCGTATGTATGTTTTCCAAGCTTGAAGAGATTGAGAAAGCAGTTCTTAGTTGATTTTGAATGCTGGTGTGTGGTATCCATTTAGGTGAATATTGTTGAAGCTGCTAAATACTATTTCCTGAGCAGTTATGAGTACTTTTTATCTTCCACTATCTTTCAGTTTGTTACATTTGAATACAAGATGCCACATTTTTGTGATTGGTTTGTGATAACACATAAAATTACACTATTTATAAAGTATATTGTGGTTTTCAGTTCCGTGACGGTTTAAGCACCATTGACAGATACGATATCTTTGTTTTCTTTTGACCAAGATGAAACTATAGTTTCTATTATTTCCAACTGCAAACATGCTATAGTAACTCCTGACTGCCTGTCAAATTTATTGCTTTTCCTTTTTATCATCAAGTGTTAAGTTTTGGAGTTGGCTATTGAAGGTATTAACTATTTACTTGGTTGCTTGACTTTTACAGGGAAGCTGTGAGGCATTTGTCAGATCATGCGGATGCTGTGGAAGCTGTGTGGAGGATGATGTCCATCGCGAGCAATGTGAAATGGCATGCGACTTCGCAACCCATGTTTTATGCCATGCCTGTGCACTTTGCCAGGAAGGTCGTGAGGTGCGTCGTAGGCTTCCTCATCCTGGGCATAATGCCCAGCAGATCTTGGTCATGATTCCTCCTGGTGAGCAGGTTATGGGTCGAGGACCCTGAATGCTATTGGCGATGCTTTGTAAGGATATGGTTATTGAACCTAGTTAATGTTGTAAAGATGCTCCCGTGTTTTTCTGCTTTGTTGCTGAGATACTTATGAAATAGAAACCGTGGAAACTTTTGTAACTCGTATTACAGCCTGTGCCTGTGGTCTTGTGGACTGCAGAGTGCACATTCTGCTTTTATGTTTTGGATTGTACCTTACTATACTTTTAATATGTGAATTTCAAACTTATCTGTGTCCCAAGTAAAAATAAATCTCATCTATTCAAGTTCATTGCATTCATCATCGATTAAGTTTTGTAGTTTAGTTTTTGGATCATACAGCACAAATCTGGAAATTTTCATGGAAATGCATTTTCTATTGTAAAGCATATACAACGTGCATTTTGTGGGTAGCATGCGGCCTACCTCTGTTCTTGCTTATACTTTCAAATAAACATATCATCGTTGCTTGCGACATTTTTACAATCTCTAAACTTACAATTGCATTAGCATATAATGATCAAATTTATCATGCTGGCCTCAGTCAAATCCCAAGCTTCTCTTACCCACTAGATCACCTACAATGAACGATCTAGCCACCAATACCCCCCACACCCCCATCAATCTGGTGGCAATTTAGCATGAAATACCACGAAAAACAATCTTTACCAGAAGAAGTAAAAGGAAACAAGCATCAAAAATAAAAAGAGTTCTCTATGGTATCAGGCAGGTGCAAAATCCGGGAATGGTTTCTTAAGTTCTATCTTCTAATTGAACAGAGAAAGGAAAGTAAGAAAAGTTCAAAACTGGGCGGCCCTCTCAAACAATGTTAAACACAAAAAAGACACAGCAGCTCTACATGACAGACCAGTACAATCCTAGAGTTCAAACTTCAACATGCCTACTCTCCAGGGGCTGATACACCTTGCTTCAGTCTCTCCTTCTTCATCTTCTTCTTCGAAACAGGCTTCTTTTTCTTGGGAGGAAGGGTTTTCTGTGCATACATATAAAGCAAGTAGTTTCCAACAAGGAACGCCAGCAATAGCCCACCAACAAGAAGTAAAACAATCAGTCCTGGGTTGAATCCTTGGGCTTCTGCAGCAACTCCGGCATTGCCCTGTCATCCATCAGATACGGAATGTAAACTAAAAAAGCATATATCGTGAGAAGAAACAAGATAGAAAACAAAGTTTGCCTGCAAAAACTTTCTAGAAAAGATTTTGACACAAGCTACTATCTAATGCAGTTTTTTAAGTTGCCAGACACAAACCCAAAGTTACTTGTGGGTGCTTGACTTGAGGAAAGCACACTTATATATCCATTCAAATTTATTTAATGAACCAAGTTACACTGACTGATGTACAGCTCCCAACATCTGTGTCTTAATCAAGGACTTACTGCTCTCTTTCGACTGAGCATTTCTATGGCAAGCAGCCACACGTGGAATATTAAACACACTTCATTCCAGATAAAGGGAAAAAAAAGAACCATAGACAATAGAGGAATCATTCTTTTGCAGCTTGCTTTTTTCACAGGATTCAGTTTTTCAAGCACATGCAAGAGTTGATTTCATGTCATATTGCATCATCCATACACAATTTTAAAACTACAGGGCCATCCTATGTTATCCTATATCGACTTAGACCTGAAACCACCAAATATCTTAGTTGGATTACATAACTAAATACTTGGCTAGGATAATACAATTGTGAAACTCTAGATCGGTTAACATCCATAGGGATCGAGGTAAAATTGGTAAAATTTTCAGACGCCAAGAAGAATGGCATCACACGAAATTCATGCCCAGGTACCATAAATGATGAATGCATACCCAAGTTCAAAACGAATAATTCACCAAACACATGCTAAAAACATGTCAAAGGCCCATTTGTAGATTGTTAAAATGAAAAAATTAAACTGATACAGGGAGAAACAAATTCCACGGATCAATCCAATCTTTACTTGATCAAATATAGATACGGAAAAAAATGGAGAATCCAAATACCAAATAGGATAGAGGAGCATCAAACAGAGTAAAAAAACCCAGATCACAATCACAAACAGCTGAAATCGCATCGAATCAAGGATAGATCTACCAAATTCAATCGACCAAACGAACAAAAACGCAAATTGAGGAGATCTGTGGAAACGTACCGATGCGTCAAAAGACGGATCCTGTTCGGACGCCATGGTGCGGTGACGGTGATCGTAGAAATGAGGTAAGGAGGAAGAAGACCGACGCCGATCTTCGAGAAGTTTGTCAACAGAAATAGGAGTGATGTCAGTCCGGAAATAAGAACAAGTCTCCGCAACTCGTGTTGTAAATGGGCGAGTAATTTAATAATATCAGCAGATAGGCCCCTTGGGATTTTCCTAACATACTATTAAAGCCTATTGAAATTTGGACTTTATCAATCAGCCCCTAGTTTGTCAATTTCCACTCTCCAAAATTATTTTAAAAAAAATAATAATAAAAAAAAACAGAAGGGAAAGTTTTGGAACTAACCATACAGTGAAAGGTTATACTGATTACAAAATCATATAGTCTAAGCAATGTCTTATGCTTCTTTTTTGTACCAAAAAAAAAAAAAGATAGTTTCCTTTTAAACATGATTTCAATAATTTATATGAAGCCATTTCTTGTTAAACATTTGCTATTTCAACACCTAAATTCGGAAACTTTTAACTATATCTTTTCACATGTTATGGCTGATCGAAATTGTTCAAGCACGGGCAAGTAGTCTAGTGACGCGAGCAAAACTGATGGTCACCAAATTAATTTGTGGAAAGTAATTTCTCCTCCTCGTTGGAATGGAATAATGCTTCCATCTAAAGTTTAGATTATTTGATAGGTGAGATTATTCAAGTCACATTTAGTGTGAAATTTATTGAAGTCATAGATTTGAAGAAAAACACCCAAAAAGTTTAATCGTGGGGTTAAACGTATTGCAATTAACAACGGTACTCCCCCGTAGATTCTCAGAGAATGGAAAGCTGGTAAATGTCTTTTGCACGTGGAAAATGTACATTTTCTGACAAAAATGAAAAGGGTGTAGTGAAAATCGGCCAATAAGATTGGGTGTTGGATCCAAGGTGAAATTCCGACACCAAACGGTCCAAAACAATCACTACTACTGCGGCGGTGTAACAGTTGCATCTGTTTTCCCGAATGAATTATTGACAATCATTGACCAGATCAGCTAAAAATGACTACTCGGAACGAGCATTGTTTCCCGGTTCCGGCCATCATAATGATTAATTGTGGAAAAATACCCGTTACTACCGTTTAAGTGGAAAACTTCAATGGCCGTTATTATTTCCTTGTTGAAATGGTCGGCATCCAAAAGAAGAAATATGGATCGTTTTGCTTTCAGATTTTATTTTTTATTTTTTACTTCAACTTCATTATACACCGCAAACCACAGGAATATCAAAACCAATCGTTAACCTCATACTCCCTTCTGTTCATGTCACCATACAACTTTACTAACCTTCCACTCAAAATCTCGTGTTGACTTTGAGCTCCCACCTAATTTGTTCTATCATAGATAGCTTGTGAAAGTAACTTCGCCACCATGCGTTCTCTCAAAGGAATTAGGACAAAATGAGGGTGGTACATAATCCCAACAGATTCCACCTCAAAACTAATTAGCAATGAGAGAAATAGCACATGAAATTTATATATTGATATTCAAAATCTTCCAACATCAATGTAAGATTGGGACTCTTTAATACTCCCCCTATAAGTCCAACGTATTTTTTAAGCTGAGCTTGTTCAACCTTTTTTTTTTTTTTTGAATTTTTTGGAGTTCGAATGTCGGCGGGCTGGCTCTGATACCATACAGAAACCTATGAGTTCCACCACAAAATCAATTGGCAATGAAGAGAGTAGTCATGAATCTTATATATTATTACTCATAGTCTACCCATATCAATGCGGGACTGTGACTCTTCAATACTCCCTGCAAGTGCAATGTATTTTTTGGGTTGGGTTTGTCTTATTTTTTTCAGCTCAAACACCGTCTCACGTCTTAGCCCTATTTTTTTGTTAGGTTTTTTAGAGTCTGAATATCGGCGGGCTGGCTTTGATACCATACAGAAGCTCATGGGATTTCACCTCAAAACCAATTAGTAATGATGAAAGTAACCCATGGAGTTTATATATTGATATTCAGAGTCTCCCAACACTGATGTGGTATTGAGACTCTTTAATAGACGTAGTCCGTATGGTGCTAGTCGTGAGACGTGACATGTTTCAGCGAGAATGAATTTGTCGAGCCATGGATTTTTGTTTGTCTACGATAATTTGAAGTGTCTTGCAATCTCAATTCACTTATACAAGTTACATTTTTAGCTATTGCAATTTCAATTTTCTTATACGAGTTACGGTTAACTTATACAAGTTACATTTTTAGCTATTGCAATTTCAATTTTCTTATACGAGTTACGGTTATTACCTGTTCTCCGGTTAGATATCGAACTATGGTTAAAGCACGAGAACATGTGGGTATACCCTCCCCCCCGCCAATACACCAGTACTGTATGAATTGATTTTTTTTTTTTTTTTTTTTTAAGAAAGAGGCGAAATCCATCCAAAAATATCACAAATTAACTATCCCTATGTCCCAAAAGTCCAAAACCAAGAAAACGACCTCCATTGCACTTGCACATCTTTTGCCCTTAACTTTAGGCCTCTTAGCAACCAGCACAAGTTTTAACCAATTGCAAATAGAAGAACGTTAAAGCAAGACAAGAAAACTGTATCCCTAATTATACACAGCTAGCTAACAATATTATGGTCCATCTGGACAACATTATATTATTCTTAATTATTACCACTTCTAATCGAATAATATACTATTATTAAACAAATGAATAAATTACTATAGCGGCAATATGTATATAATTAATTAATTAAACCAAACTATGGGCGTCGCCGTCGAAACCACCAACACCGGTAAAGGTCCGTTCCGATGAGGAAGTGGAGAGGGTGATCATACCATTCAAATCGGAAACGCTGTCTTGCAAGTTGAGCAAAAGATGAGAAGTGCTGAAACTCAATGCCGGCTTTGCTCTTGGCACCAATGGAATCTCAGCTTCACCCACCAGCATTTGTACCACACCCCTCATTGTCGGCCTAGCCAGTGGATCCGGATGCGAGCAAGCCAACCCGACTAACAGAACCCGCCTCATATCCGGTTCCTCGAACTCCCCACACAGCCTCGGGTCGGCGGCCGACAACAACCGCCCTTCCCGGTGCAAACTCCAAACCCATTCCACCAGATTACTGTTCACTCCGACTTTCCCTACTCCGGTGACTTCCTTCTCGATCGGCCTCCGCCCGCTTGCCACCTCAAGAACCACCGCTCCGTAGCTAAAAACGTCGGTTTTCTCAGTGGCTCTACCGGTTAATAAATACTCCGGAGCCAAGTAACCCATTGTACCGGCGGCGACGGTGGCGTCAGGGGACTTATCATGTTCAACTTGCCTAGCTAACCCAAAATCTCCTAACCTCGCATTGAATGCTTCATCTAACATGATATTACTACTCTTAATGTCTCTGTGAATTACTTGGTTTTCGCACTCTTGATGTAAATAAGCCAAAGCAGAAGCCACGCCTAACAAAATTTTCCGCCGATGATGCCACGCCAATACCATTCTGGACTCGAATAATACCTTATCCAGGCTGCCATTAGGCATCAAGTCATAAATTAACAAAATTTCACCCTTTTCATGGCACCATCCCTGAAGCCTAACCAGATTCCGGTGCCGGAGGGTCCCAATTATGGACAATTCAGACAAGAACTCTGCTTTCCCCTGTCCACTGTGACTGCATCTCTTCACCGCAACAATGTCGCCGTTGTCCGGCAATATGCCCTTGTACACGGTTCCAAATGCACCGTGTCCGATGATTCTCGCCGAATCGAAACCCTTTGTCGCTAATTTAAGCTCCTTGTAGCTGAATTCCTTGGGCATTTTGATGATATCCTGGGCCAAATTCTCGGAATTTTTGGAATGTTTGAACTTCTTGGAATAAACCCATATTAAAAGCAGAGCACACAAGGCTAGAAAGAAGGCGCCAGCAGTAACCACCCCAACGACGGCGCCTGGGCCCTGTCTACAGAACTGGTTATGACACTTGCTATTGCTCTCGTGTATTGTTGAGGTTGTATCGTTGAGGTTATCATTACCAGCCGGAGGTGGAGCGGTGGAACTGACATTGTCGGCGCCGCCGGGATTCATAAAACCAGCTGTTGGCGATGGCGGCGGCGGCGGCGGGGGTGATGACACTGCTGACGCTGAATTGGACTTGGGAATTGGTTCCAATGAAGAACTGAAGCTCCACCATTCAATGCAATGAATTTCAGTGCTCCCCTGAGTCGACCCACTGAACCCAACATACATGTCTTCCTTCACATACTCATCAAGATTGAGCTTTGTTGATATAATTGGCTCTTTTGGTTTCTGATTTGAGTAGGATACATACACATCGAGAGTGCGGGTTGTACCGGAGTAATCAATCCACGAGTTAACTAAATCACCGCTTTTTAGATTAACTTCTACGGCGTCCAAATCGCCGACTTGATTTGATACCATTGAATTCAGATCCAATCCCACATGGTTTCCGTTAATATCCCTGAACTCAACGTCCATCAGAGTGTCAAATTCAACCGCGACGACGCCGGTTTGTGTGCCCTTTGAGTCAACGATCCCCAAATATCCCCCGGCGTCACCCAATGACGCATCATCCGGCGTGATGACGAATGCTAAACCGCCACCGATGGAGGACGGGTTCAAATTAGTCACCGAGAATGAGAAGAATGTGGAGAAATTTGCCGGCTTCTGAGTTCCCGGCTGGAGCAGCTTGACTGGCTTCGAGTACAGAACTTTCCCGGCGCCGGAGTTGGGAACGGTGAGGTCACGAGTTAGCCTCACGGTCTGATTGTACACGTGCGCATCTCCGATCAACTTCAGGCTTGTTAATGTCAGGGCGCCGAAATCAAATTCCACCGCTAAAACATTGTTCAACAAGGAGAGAAACAGAGCACATTGAATTATAACAACAACAACAGTAATACCGGGAAATCCGCCGGGAAGTGACGTCATTGCTCGACTTCTAGGACAGCATAGCACCTAAAAAAATGTACAGATTTTTTTACAGATAAAAGGGGCTGCTCCGTTTACCAATTACCACAACTGTTTTCAGTAACGACAATCTGTGATCACGAGATATTAATGAAGGCGATTGAAACGGCAGCGGTGAAAAAATCAGAATTCGGGGATTCAGAATGTGAGGAATTAATTGCATGGATGAATGGAAGGAATCGGAAACGAACAAAAATAGAATACAAACAGTAGTATAATTGGGTTGGGGGAGTTTTGGAAGCAAAAGGAGGAAGAAAAGAAGGGGTGGGTGTGAAGGCGAGAATCCAAGGAGGAGGACTGAAGAAGACAGGTGGCTGGGGAATGGATGCCACGTGGGTTTCTGTAACGGTAAAATTTCCTCTCTTTTTTCCATTTTCTTATCTTCTAGACAAGCAATTCTTACGTACATTGATGTGATAAAGGTTTCTCTTTTTTTTTTCTTTTTCTTTTTTCCCTGAATATCTTTTTTTATTGTTTTCCTGAGAAAATCTCCACTGAGTTTAAGACAGTCAGGGGGGTCCTCCATTTTTTGTGCCATCTTTCTGGTAGACTAGTAGGGGGCTGCTGTTTGATTAAGGGAATAATTATTTGGATTATTTGACGTGGAATTCAGTGTTAAAATTTGTTTAATGTTAAAGGGATGAATTTGGGAGAGTTTGACAGACGTTAGATTTAGGAAATGTTTGCTAATTTAATTCTTAAGATTCTAATTGCATGGCTAAAAGTTCAATATCTACTCTGTTTGATTCTTTTTGAATTTACAAACTTTAAATTGGCCCGAAACGATATCATTGTAATTCGTATACATATCAACTTAGCATTTTCAATTAATTTTGCCATTTTACCGTTTGGTATGAAATGAGGTATTTATAATGTTAAGTGCAGTTTGCTAATTTCAAAGGTAATGTGAATGAATTTACCATGGAATATTTGTCTCGAGAAATTCAATTAAGATAAGAAAAAAAAAGGTTTGATGATTGTCGGAAAAAAAACAGGAAGTCGAGTTAATCCGACTGGATGGTCGCATGTGACGGGAATATTCACATCAATGTGATGGATAGTGCAACCTATCACAACTTGACAACTCAATATTCATCCATGTAGGAAAAGGCTATGTGACCCATATTTTCACCATATGACAATATTTTTGTCCTGCATACCTCGCCCGATTATTGAGAGAAGTACTAGTATAAATGTAACCAGAACACAAATCATTCAATGTTAAGTTGATTAGATAGTTTACAATAATCGACACTCTTACTTAAATCCTATCAAATTATTTTATATCCAATACTCCCTCCATTTCAAAATATAAGTCGCTTTAAACTTTGCATGTAAACTAAAGAGATATTAATTTATATATTAAATCTTTATTTTACCCCTCATTAATTACATTGAAACTATAAACAAAACTGAATGAAAATAAATTGCATAAATTATTGATGATAAAATTAGAAAAATAGTCATTAATTTGCCTATAATTTGTAAAACGACTTAAATTTTAAAAAATCTCTCCAAACCTAAAACGACCTACAAATTGAAATGGAGAGAGTATAATTTAAGACTCGCGTTAGTAATTTTGACTAAAATTCATTGTTACATTGTATAAGTGGAATGGGACGATGAATCCACACACATAAAATTGTTCCATGCAATTGATGGGAAAATAAGACCCACCATGTTTAGCACGTCAAATTAGGTGATCGCAAAAGGAAGTTTTATAATTCAATTTAAGAGAGGAGATATTGACAGCTTTACCTTATGTCACTTCATTCCGAAATCGGTAATATTTAGCTACGTTGCCAATGATGCATTATCTGTTCATTACTCAAAATTTCATAACCCTAAATACGTGAAGTGACAATGAAAAAGTAAGTGGGTGTTGTTAGATGGTCAATTACATATTTAAAGGAACTGTTGATAGGTTAGTTTTTGTCAATTTGTCATGTTAGTATAACAACAGTGGTTAACAATGAGGCAATCACTTTTAATTTTATTTTATTTTTTAATTCAAACATTCCCATAACTCTTCTGTCCTAATTGAACCCAAGATCCATTCTGTAAATTGTCCATTTCTAGGACTGTTAAACAAAGACAGTTCACCACAATGTTTTTCCACTTAAGCAACACGTGGCAGTTTGCAGGGTACGTTGAAGACGGTATATATATTGATGTCGTTGACGAATTTGACAAAAAAAAATTCAATCGGAAGGGTAAACAATAAACATTTATGTAAAAAACTTTATCTATATACGACAATATTTCCTTGTTTTTACAGTTCCATTGGGGTTTTTTTTTTTTTTTGATTTTTTAGTTAGACAACTTAAAAAACATCTGTTCAGAAAATTGAATGGAAATGATATTAAAAATGAAGCATAAGATCTCACACACACACACACACACACACACACACCAACTTGTACAATTATTCAATCAATTAACGAGTTATTACAGCGAGTATTAACCAAGGAAGCAATAATGGAAAGATCTTTTTTGCGTGCAATTGAGAGTTTCTTGAAGTTGAAGAGTTGCAAGAGGCAAATGGGCAGAAAGTGCAATGGCAGTCACACCAAGAAGTTGAAAGGCTCACTCTGGAATGTGGAGTATAAATTGTTGGTTAAGAAAGCAGCTCCTTTTTCTTTTTTTTTTGGGTGGGGGGTAAATATTCCATTATGGTACTTACCAGTTACCATTTGGTTGGTGGACGTAACTGCTGATTTGGGCAATCATTTTTCATTTATTTTATACGGTTTAATACTGTGCTAATTTTCTTCTCAAGAAAGCACAAACAAGTCAGTAGGAGTTTATAGATTTCGATCCAATAACAATTGTTTTTATCTACAAAAAAAAAAGCATATGAAGTCATTTTATTAGTTTTATTCCATTTGGTCCACTCGAGGCTTGAGAGCTACTTGTCAACTACTGTACTATGTTACTAGTAATTAACATTAACAATACGGAACTTTATCGTATGTATCTCTTTCTCTAGATTCTCTTCCACTGAATGTAGGCGTATTAAGCAATGGAAATGTATCTACACTAAAATTATCCGTAACTTTAATCACCCGGGAAAAAAAAAACTGTGACTTTGCCTCTTGAAACAGATATACTTAAATGAAATCCTAATTAATCAGAAACAGGAATTTAAAGATACTGAAAAAATTATCCTATGACTTAACACGTACGTACATACCTTATTAATCAAGCATAAAAAATTGTCACTCTGTCTAGAAGAAAATACGCAAACTGAATGTTTTTTTCTCAATGTTTGAAATCATCGTCTAATTCACGTTAGAGTTGGATAGATATCTCAATAATTCAACTCACTATTTCATCTCACCTTAAATGACATCTATTCATAAGGCAATGTATTTTTTACTTTGCATTAAAATAAATTAATCTAAATATTATTTTATTTCTTATTAATATTAGTCCTGCTGATACTATTTTGATAATTTTATCCAGTATTGTCATGCTCGGCTCGGACCGGCCGGTCGACCCGATTAAACCGGGAACCGGCTCCTAAGCCAAACCAAGCAAAGTTTAAAATCGCCAAAAAGAAAATCAGTCAAAATCGGTCAAAATTCCGGTCAAACCGCGAATCGGTTAAAACCGGGTCGAATCGGGGTTTTTGTTTTTTTACCTTTTGACCCAAAGATTGCACATTTTTCCATAGATTTCAACTTCCAGTGTCTTCCAGGCCAATTTTTTCTCTTTTGTTCAAAATTGCCCAACAACTTTCAATTTTTTGTACTTTTTTAAAGTTTTAATTTAATATTTAGTCCTCATATTCAATTTTAATTTTCAAAATACAATATTTTGAATAATCTTTTTTTAAATTTGCTACAGAAATTTACTTCCCTCATTTTATGAAAAATTTATATTATTACACTAATATATCACAAAAAAAAAAAATCTTGGAATACTTTTTCTTAATGTGTATATTAGTTGTCCTTCAAATTTAACATTTTTTTCTAAATGATAATGTATTTATCTTAATTACTTTATTAGTATACTACTTTACTTCACTTGAATAACAATTAAGTACTGAAAAATATCAATATCAACTAATATAATCGACGAGAGATATAAAGTTTCAATCTTTTTAATAATAAATATATTAAAAAACTAAATACTATATAGTTAGTAATAATAACATCATCATATGCGACCTCATGAGTTCAATTTGATTATATAGCAATCCATTTGTAAATTATGAAGTATTAATTTGACTCAAACAATTGAAAATATATATAAAATTTATAAAATTTTAATTAAAATATTATTATTAATTAATTAGTATTTATTACGTCATTATGACGTCATCTGAGTCGACTCCCCGAATCGCCCTGATTCGACCCCCGATTCGATCGACTCCTTGGCCATGTCGAGTCGAGCTCCGATCCAAGCCTGACAACATTGCCCAAAAGGATTTTATTTTTTTTAGGTTAGGGTCTATTTATTTTAAAATTTTAGCTATAAAAGTATTCAGAAAGGTATATAAACCTAACTAAAAAAAATTAAATTAACTTATTAAATTTTATTTAATAATTAATTAACTTATTAAATTTCATCCAATAACTAAATACCATGTAAGGCGAGATGAAAATATGAGATAAATTAGGTGAGATGTGTATCATCGCTCTTAACTATAACAGTGAGCTTTTTTTAAAAAAACGTATCAACATTTCTATGAATCTCCGTCACACCAATGATGGAGATGTAACAGACAGAACATCCCTTCGAAAAGAAAACATAGGGTAATGATAAATGTTGATAGATGAATCCAGAAGTACATTGAATAATATAGTCAAGTGTAGTAGCACCAAGTCACCAACAATAACAATGGTGTGCTTTGTACTGAGAATTCGAGAATGTGTATAAACTAGTGGTTGGAAGTTGGAACTCGAAGTTCATCGTTACCTACCTCGTAGTGGACCAATATAAGTCCAACATTATAAGATGTTATGCTAAGTCGAATTCAAAATAGCACTAGCAATTAAAAACCAAAGTCTTGATAATAGTCCGGTAAACGCATAATTAGCTAACATAGCACTCAATCCTGGTTGACAAAACGGCACTTTTTTCTAATCTCCCCTTGATGACCAGTTAGTGGATTAATCTCCGACAAAATCAGCAACGCCCTTGCAAACTGTTGGTGGAAATAGTCATTATCGGCGGCCATTTTCTCGACAAAAGCAGCCGTCCGATTATCCGTTGCCAATTCGGCGTCGATCGTTAAGAGCCCTTCTCCTCGTAAGATGTTCTTGTAGTACAAATTATCCAGCACAGCCGGGGTCAGCAGATCAGTTCGCGAGTACTGAACTTTCTTCGGGTCGGGTTCGGGTGTCGGGCACCTCTTTTTAAGGTAAGCAGCACGTGTGGGATTTAAGGTTGGATCAACTGTTGGATAGAGTCTCCCCACAATGTTTAGGCAATGAACTCGTCCCACCGAGTGAGCTCCTGCACCAACCACATCCGTGACCATATATTAATTGTTAGATTGACCATCTCAAAATGCATGAATTAAGTGAGCAAGTTTCTTAAGCTAATTCCCGTACACAAGATAACCAAATCTCCAGTATGGAATGTGACATTACAATTTTATTACTTTGATATATAAAAACAATAAAACAGGGGATTATGTTGAATTTTTACCAAGGAGAGCAACAGTTGCTTCATCGTCAAGGCCAACTGAGTTGAATCTGGAGAGGACAACAGGCATGGAGTCATTGAAGTTAGGAATGGAGCTCTCGACCTGGTCAAGGAAACTGACTTTGCTATCCCTTCGCCCTGTTTTCATTTCAACGTACGGCCCTCCTAACTGTATACAATGTATATAACTTAAGATGATCAGAAAACTATCAAATAAACACACAAGTTGGTAATTAATTGGATAACAAGTTAGAAGTAATTTGGATAATCGATGAATAATTACCAAAACAGTGCCTTCTCTGGCGGACAGAGCAACAATATCAGCACAAGAAACTGTTTGTGGGCATTCCTTTTCAAGCGCTTCCTTAATTCTGTCAATGGGACCGAAATTTCTCATTCCAAAGCTCCTTGGTGAATTCTTCTCCGACTCGATCCCATCTTTATTGTCCAATAGAACCGAAGCATCACAGGACTGCATGATCCATGATCAAACAAGAATGAATTTTTAATTGAAAAAAAAAATAAAAATATGCAGGGCTTTTTATATATGTAGCTTTTAGAAGAAAACTGATTACGGATAGTAATTACGAACCTCAACCATACAGTCATGAAAGATGTTCCTGAGCCATGAAATGGCAGTATGATATTGCTTATGGAAGATTTGTGTGACTTGTTCCTTGATGATCTCTTCGGCTCTTGGGCAACTTTCTGAATAATAGTTGGACTGGAGATCACATCTACCTGCATGCAAACACAATCACGTACTATATTAGATCATCAGATTCTCCGTCTGAACAATTTTATACGTATGTTTTAAATTCACTACACCAACAAATATTCAGAAACAAATCCCAAATGAAATCAGGGGAGAAAAAAAATGTTGGAAACGGAAAATCATAAACCAGGGATGAAAACCATTCTGTTATAACTCTGTTTCACCATTGGAACATAGGCAAAAGGTTTGAGGATTCATTTGAAATTTCTCAGTGATCATGCATGGACTACGGTCAACAGTATGTGTAATTTCGAACAAAAACAAGACAAAACAAAAAGAAGAATGAGAATTGATTTTGGACGGTAAAGTAAAAAAATAAAAAAAAATGGTTACCACTTACCAGAAGAAAAAAACAGGGAGAGTAACAGTAAAAACAGAAAGGTGAAGAAGGTAGAAGAAGAATGGAAGATTTTCATGTCGTTGTTGGCCATTTTTCCTAAACACTTTCTTTTCTGAACTAAACTGCAGAAAACGATGAAGATGTGTGGGATTCAGTGGTTGGATGAATGTGATCTGCTAGATGGGCATTGCTATATAAGGGAAAGGATTCTGACTTATGCTTTGGAACCTAATAAAATTTAATTCTCATTTCCACTCAGACAATTTGTTTGACCCTTTCGGTTTTTAGGTTTCACCAAGCGTGCACCTCCACCACTACACCGAAAGTCATCATCATTAATGAATTGCTATCAAAAATTTTTTTTATATAATCAATTCAAGGTTGGAATGATTTCATTAAAAAAAAAAAAAAAACACTTTGGGAATGAATCATATGAGAGGTTTGTTGAATAATGTTAAGCTAGGCCTTCTTATATATATAGCAGCTATGGAGATATCGATTTTGTGTTCGGAAGAAGAATGAAAAAAAGATTACATTTCTCTTCTGGGTAGGAAGTATGGGGTAATTTTGGAGGGGAAATACTGCCATGTTTACCCGCAAAAGAGGTATGCATCATGTGGAGTAGATTTCATTGCATTGTAATGAATCTGATATTTATAGGGCAACAGAAATGCTGAAACAGGCTAATGCATGTAATTTGCAATATCCCGTTTTTGGTACGCTATGATAAGATTGTCCCACCCTCGTGAGCTAAATGTCTTCGAATTTCAGTTATCGTTTAAGTGTATTCGCCCAAGAATATAGATAATTAAAGTTAAAAAATTGATTGTTGCCAATGAGAATACTCGTTAAGTTGCCAGTAATTGAACATGTATATATTAATTACTGTTGTTGAAAGTTGATGTACACCTTACTAATAATGCAAACAACGGATAATCAGTCGAAAGAAAAGTAATTTTATAGGGCAAATTGGTCAAATCATAATTGAAATGGTGAATATCATCTCCACCCGTTCAAAATTGGTCAAATGATATAAACCTAACCCCTCAAATGTTGATACGTTGACATTTTCTTTGGTGATAATATTTTAGGTTCAAGACAATCATGCTGAAATGGGATAGAGATAGAACTCTTTGACTAATTTGATTGTCATTATTTTCAAAGAACTTCAAAACATAAGTAAATCAATTACTGGAAATTGCCGGCACAAAATGATTCACAAAATTACAAGGATGACTCTATATATCTACAGTCCATATATTTCCCAGGATTTTTGCAGACTGCATGATCTCTTCCATATCTGCATGTTTCCTTTCAGATATTCCCACTATCCCATCCCTTGGACTTCTACATTAGTTTTTACTTCTGATTCAACGGCTTTTAGTTTCAGTTTCAAACTTTCAACAGGAGATTCTCTTGTTGTGCGTTTGCCAAAATGCCAAATTCAGGTTTTAGGCTCCTCACTTCCTACTCAGGTTTCAGTTTTTCCAAGGTTACCCAGGGTCAGTTCCTTCTCTCTCAGCCCACTTGGTTGGTTCTCCAGATTGTCAATCTGCGCCTGAAGCTCCGGTAGGCTTCGATTTTCCGATGGTGTCCAGCACCAAACCAATGGTAATCTTAGCTTCATTCAACACCACTAATGCATGGGTGTACTACTATCAATACACTAAAGCATGCATGATGTTGGTGCCCCAAGGAAAAACAGGCTGCAAAATTAATAGTGCAAAATTGGAACGAGGGAGTCCAAAAGATTCATCTCCGTTTAATATCTAAAAGTTTGTTACTCTTATTATCAAACTTAAAATATAGTGATAGGGACTGTGTCGAGTCCAAAAGGTTTCCCCATTTTCGTTTAGGGCCTTCCTTTGCAAGCGTATCTGATGAAGGCCAACCCTCAAGAATGAGTTTGGAGTGCCTGTCCTCTCCCCGCGCCTGACTAGTGGCTACCAAACTCAAATTCGTGTGAACACTAACCAGACGCCTGCCCCTTCTCATCTCTCAATCACGTTCCTCTTCTTATACTACAAAATGTTATTTCGATGATGCCTTTATGCAATACTTTTGATACTATTAACAGTAGAGAATATGAACATGTAAAGAGTTCTCACAACTGAAGTGAAGTTGTATATATGCCGTATATAAAACTTCAGTTTACACAAAAAAAAGTTCTTGTATTGACCTTCTAAGATACTCCTAGACAAATCCTTTACACTGTTTGAAACTAATTAAGGCACCGATCGACTAATTTGATACTAGAATGATTGAAAAATGTACTTCTTCTGTCTAAAAATTATTGTCCAGTTTGTATTTTCAATTATAGTACAATTTGAACTAAAAATGAAAATGCAATCTGGACAATAATTTTGGGACGAACGGAGTACATTTTTTCTCCATTGACGACCCTGGGTAGTCAATCTTCAAAACATCCAGGGAACAACCAAAAAAAAAAAAAAACGAACACTTGTTCATGCACAAATAATCACCACACTTTCTTATTACCTCTTTGATTTTCTCGTCCTCATTTCAGCACGCCAAACTCTCATTTCTACAGTTGCAAATTGTCGGCGCCATAAAACTCCGGTTGTTTTATTCATCGTGTATACACATATATGTACTGCTAAGCTTTTACTGAGTAGTAAACTAGTAGTAGTGAAAAGAAACGGCCGGCCGGATTCAACAAAATTAACTCAACATTCAAGTTGAATAGCTGAAGCGACGGTTTTAGCCCAGTACTTGAGGTGTTTCTTCATATCATCCGCCGTTGATTCCCTCGGAACCCTCAGATTCAGCAATGGCGAATCCGGCCTTTTTACCAGCCACGCTTCCGATAGATATGGCCGCTTGATTACTCTATTTCCCCGTTTATTTACTTCCTCGTCTTCTTCTTCGTTAAGAACTTCTTCCTCTTCAATTTCATGGCTGCTGTTACGAGTTTCAGGGTCGCCTAAATCCAGTCTTTGCAATCCGGGAAGCACGCTCATCATCCGCTTATCCAAGTGTTGTTTATCAAAAGTGAAACCCAAATCCATGAATCCCTTTACTTCTTCAAGCTCAAGCTCGCACAGGCTTTTGCAACTCATGGTTTTGCTTAATCTCCTTCGCGAAACAGGGTACATGTCCGATCTCCGTTTCCGACCGCCGGACGGTGAATTCGATGAGTGGCGGCAACCGACGTTTCCGCTGCCGGAGCGATTTAATGTTCTTTTCGGTTGCGTCTCTTCCTCTTCCTTCTCATCATCACTGTCGTACTGATTGCACTCGTCATCATCCTTTCACATCCGAATTCAGAAATTTTAGAATACCATACAAACCGCAAATACATATTCATTAGAAATTCCAACAAATCAGTGATTACAACGAACTGAAAGGGTCATTAAAAGAATTACCTGAATCGAACTAATCAGTGATGAGTTTTCCTCTGAAGTCAGTTGGGTATCAGAGGTGTGTGCTGATGAAGTGTTTGATAAAAGTTGTTCTTCTTCTGAAATTGAGGCAGCCATGGACGAAGATGATGATGATTCTTGTTGGAGGTTTATTGGGAAAAATATGATTTGTTGAAACCACAGTTGATCCATGAATCCAACTATGCATGATATAGCATGGGTGTCTGCCGCCATAGATTCTGATTCTTCTCCCTATTTATTTTGTTTTTCTAATAATTAATAATTACGGAAGTAGAGACAATGGTGGCCTGATGTGGGTAGGTTGGGTATATCATGCTGAACATAAAAGATTTGATAATATCCTGAAAGCATAAGAATTTGGTGCGAAAAGTAATATATAGGAAAGATAAGTGTGGTTGTGATCAAATCTTGTTCAAAATACAAAGGAATAAAGAAAGAAAAAGAATTTAGAGTCCTTAAAATGGCAAGATGGTGTGGTTCCGGGACGTGTTGTGTAACCATCTGATCAAGACAATACGTACATGAGTTTGTGTACTGACAATTTATGAATTGACATTTGTAATATCGCTACCTCACATATTACGGCTCCCAGCAAGATATACTAGAAATTACGTTCCTCTTGCAAATTAATTATCTTTTCCGTTTCAAAATTATTGTTCAGTTTCGATTTTTATTTCTCATACAAAATTTTATTAAAAATGAGACTTTAAATTAAACAATAATTTATTTTGGGACTGAAGAAATAATTAATAATATATATGATGTTCTATTTGTAGACACAACTATAAATTATTGTGTAGTATGTGGTCGGTCCAAGTTCTTAATAAACTGTAATGGTTTTATTGTAGTTAGAAATTGGAATACGTGATTAGCAATTACGCAGGGTAACAACAAATTAAGAAAATTCAGTTTGTGTGTAATTACCGTTGATAGTTATCCAAACAACATCAATTGACTGTTGATAGGACTATTCCTCAAATTATCTTCATCCTCTCATTTTTTACCCATTTAGGAAAAGGAGATATGATTATCATATTAAACCAGTGCTCATTTTTTATTTATTATTATTATTATTATTTTTTGTTTAAGGTCGATTTTGTCTCAATTCATTGGATGTTTATGAATCTATTTAGGATAAAAATCTTAACTACTGATGATAGGGCAGATAATATAGGTAAACATTCAAAAAAAACTGATTGTTCGTTAGTAGCTTAATTTGCAATTGGATAAAAGAATTAATCGGTTTGAGAAGTTAAAAATTAGTTCTCTAACTAAGATTCAAATAATGCCTTTTAAAATATCGAAATGACTAACCACCTTACAAAGAAAAACTCAACTCAAAATAAATTGGAACTGAGTGATACAACTACACAAGTGAACATTAAAGACGACCACACCAAGATAAAGTATTATTAGTATTCACATTTTTCCTCTACATCTAACTTGTGAGGTGTTTGCACTGCTAATCATTGAAACAAATTCTCTTTGTGTGATCCTTAGTCCTTACCTCTTTCCGTGAACGCAGTATTCCTACCTAGCTTTTTTCATTCACAAGACACGTGCCAAAAAGCGTTATGGCCTTTAAAGGACTATTATATCTGAATAAGTGTTAACTGAAACATTAGACCTTCACACTATGGTGATAGCTGATGTTTAAACTTTAAAATCCTTGTGATCTTATCATATTTGTTCCATTATCACCATGCGTCACCTAATCTGATGTTATCTGGATCGAGATAATAGTGTGTAAATATACAACAGCTGCACTCTGCAGCTATTCGAGCTATCCACACTATCTAATACTTAAATTATTTTAAGTTATCTTACGGGTGCTTGTTTTATTTTAATTATAATTAATACATGTTTAATTATAAAATAGAATAATTTAAGGTTATCTTACGGGTGCTTGTTTTATTTTAATTATAATTAATGCATGTTTAATTATAAAACAGAAAGCATATTCTGTGGGAATATAATTTTCCGAACACAGGACGTAAGAATTCCATAGCCTTCTTGTTTCTTCCTCAACCGTTGTTGTTAACTCTTGACTCTTACTTCAGCAAACCTATGTAGGACCAAAAAAAAAGAAAAAAAAAAGTATATATGGGTGTACATATATTGCGTAATAAAGCCATCTGATTTTCAAAGTACATTCCGCTAATATGTTTTGTAATTTCTCTCTCTTTGTAGCAAAAAAAAAAGAAGAAGAAAGGTTTAACTAAAGCGAGAGTTTTTACAGAGCAGTGGCAGTACAGATACAATGACGAATAATAGCTTCAACTAATGGAAGATATACACATTTCAGTAATGAAAACGATTTCAACGCCAAGAAAACACCACAAAATTTAAAAGGTTGCGTGTATGAAAGATGGAACAAATATTGTCCGCGAAAGCCACACGCAATAATTATTAGGCTTAAACAGAGGGGTCCCTGTGTTGATAAATATTGAATCAAAGAAACAATTCTTGCTTCGGCGACCTCAAGTTTTGGTTATAGATCAGCTGCATTGTCTGCTAGAAAAAATTGAGGTCCTAAATCTTAAACACCAAAGCTAATTTAAGTCTCATTCTGTGAGGTCTACCAAAAAACGGATGAACGCGTGGCAACCTCCCTGCCGGGTCCAAACCAACACAAGAGGCATCAAATGATGAAAATTTCAAAGATGCTTTTTAAGTGTTGGTTTCTTTTTCCCAGTTGAAAATGGATGGTCGTTCTTTCGTTCCCTGCCGGGGTTAACGAAAGAATTGTGGCAAGTGGCGATGGGATCTTTCGCCTGGACATTATCACAAGCATATTGAAGACGACAACTATCGCCCCCAGATTAAGATTGGTGTCTGGAGTCAGCATCCATAGATTCATTCTCAGAGAGATTAACGCCACGTAAAGCTATGATTCGATTCGTGTTGGTTTACAGCTTCAGAAAGTAAAGGGAAGAATCCGATGGAGGCGATCATTCGTGTTGGTCCAGTCAGTGATAATTTCAATTTCATTTGTTTAGACGCTGCATAAGATGATTCTGATGAGTGATGAGGCGTTTTTTTTTTTAAATTTTTTTTTGAGGAGTGATGAGCGTTGATTACATTCATTTCATCAGTTACTGAGTAGTAGTATTAAGTATAGTAAAAATAATTGCAGTAAGAAACGATTCACGGTCTCCCCACCTTTATAACTCTTATATTCGTCAATCATCCAACGAAGGGCATTTGGTCTAGTGGTATGATTCTCGCTTAGGGTGCGAGAGGTCCCGAGTTCAATTCTCGGAATGCCCCTTTCTCTTATGTTCTTTTTATATTTTTCACTCAGCAAAAACGGGCCAGGACAACAAAAATGGTTTTGTAAAGGCCTCAGGCATACATTTCAAGGGCTGCCGATCAATAACCGCCCAACGTATAGCGTGACTAGCCCATTAATAAAGTAATTTTCACTACTATTTTTTTTGTATCTTCTCTCCCGGTTTTCCCCTCCAGTGAAAAAGAAGCAGAGGGAATCTCAACATAAAAAGAATATTTCAGACCATAATGACTCAGTCCTTTCACCTTAGTCCCAAAATGATTGATTAAATTCATAGTAAAGTGAATATGCAAATTGGACATGTTTCAGGGGAGGAGTACTATCCTAAATGCTTTCATTTTAAGTACAGAGGTAGCACACTTCAGAAGGGATGAAAGTGCACCAGGGTTGGATCCATCTAGTTCAACATATTAATAAAACCATATCAATAAACAAAACTAACAATAGATGAATTGCATAGCAGAAACTCCTAATCATTTGGCGTCCAAATAGCAGAAAGCAATGACTATTGGCAGCAGAAGTTTTCATCCACACATACTACTAGAAGTAATCATTGCATCCGGAAAAAAAGAACACCTGGTTAAGCAGACTGCAATCATCCATTTATATTACATCAATAATCCTCTTATAATCAAGGTCATCCATATCTATTGCCTCTCATATCCCTCTTATAATGAGGCTTCCCCATTGATACACTTATGCAGCATCTCAGTCTAAAACATATTTCCTGACCCAGAAATATAGCCATCTTGGGTACATATTGCTCTGCCAAAATCATTCTCCCAACAAGAAATATAGTGGAGACATCAAGCAACAATCATACTCATAGGATAATTATGACATGGAAGGAACAAAATAACCAAACTCCATATAAACTGTAAGCTCCAAAATAACCAAACACATTAGTTAAAGATTGAAAAACAACCAAGCGCAGTAGTAGTGAACAACTAAAAACAAAGGAAGAATAAGAGGGAGCAAAAAAACATATGAACCAACATTTGCCAAAACAAAAATGGGTAAAACAAGTACTTTCTTGAAAGCCGAAGCTGAACATAGTCCATAGAAACCTGACCTACGATTGCAAAATGTCAATAAATATATGATGTAGATATCAACCCAAGAGCTAGAGACTGCATAACCAAGATTATCATTCTTGAAACTAATTCAAGTTTCATCTAAGGATTCACCACAATGACTGAGAGTCTGAGAATATAAAACCATTTCGTCTGCTTCTATAAAGAAGATACAATGATCTTAGAATAGTCCCAATAGAAAGCTTGGTTAACTCCTTAAATGCTCGAGGGAGCTGTGTTCTCGGTTGGTCACCAATTTTTTCACTATCTCACGCCCAAAATTTGGTTGTTATGCCATATAAGAACACAGACGTATTCAATACTGAAAATCTCATCATCTCAGAGCTAAGGCGTTTGCCAATTTCAAATTAAAATAACACGCATTATAAAACTAAAAATAACACGCACTATAAAACTGACGAACAAATTCAGATGCAGCAAGAACAGTAGTAATTGAAAAACAAGAGCGAATGAAGAAAAAGAACCAATTGTACTTAAAAATTCAAAAACACAGTTACATTACATTTCACCATACTGAAAGATGAATGCAATAAGAGGGTACTTAGCCATTAAAACAAAGAAAGGAACATCAAAGAACGGAATTCAATAAAGGAGAACTTCAGAAACCGCCACGAAGGCGGAGAACAAGGTGGAGGGTGGATTCTTTCTGGATATTGTAATCCGCAAGGGTGCGCCCATCTTCAAGCTGTTTACCCGCAAATATCAACCTTTGCTGGTCCGGAGGGATCCCCTCTTTGTCTTGGATCTTCGCTTTCACATTGTCAATTGTGTCAGAACTCTCCACCTCCAGGGTGATAGTTTTTCCTGTAAGTGTCTTCACGAAGATCTGCATACCACCACGCAGCCTCAGAACCAGATGCAGGGTCGATTCCTTCTGAATGTTGTAATCGGCTAGAGTCCGGCCATCCTCCAGCTGCTTCCCAGCGAAAATCAACCTCTGCTGGTCTGGAGGAATTCCCTCCTTATCCTGAATCTTTGCCTTGACGTTGTCAATTGTATCGGAGCTCTCAACCTCCAAAGTGATCGTCTTGCCTGTCAGGGTTTTGACAAAAATCTGCATACCCCCACGAAGCCTCAAGACAAGGTGAAGAGTCGACTCCTTCTGAATATTGTAATCGGCTAAAGTTCTGCCATCCTCAAGCTGCTTTCCGGCAAAGATCAACCGCTGCTGATCCGGCGGAATCCCCTCTTTGTCCTGAATTTTTGCCTTAACATTGTCGATCGTATCGGAACTCTCCACCTCGAGGGTGATAGTCTTGCCCGTCAACGTCTTCACAAAAATCTGCATACCACCGCGAAGGCGGAGGACAAGATGAAGGGTAGATTCCTTCTGAATATTGTAATCGGCGAGTGTGCGGCCATCCTCAAGCTGCTTTCCGGCGAAGATCAACCGCTGCTGATCCGGGGGGATGCCTTCCTTATCTTGAATCTTGGCCTTGACGTTGTCAATTGTATCGGAACTTTCCACCTCAAGGGTAATGGTCTTGCCCGTTAGGGTTTTGACGAAGATCTGCATACCACCACGAAGGCGGAGGACAAGGTGAAGGGTAGATTCCTTCTGAATGTTGTAATCGGCAAGGGTACGGCCGTCTTCCAACTGTTTCCCGGCAAAGATCAACCGCTGCTGATCGGGAGGGATGCCCTCCTTGTCCTGGATCTTGGCCTTGACATTATCGATGGTATCGGAACTCTCAACCTCGAGAGTAATCGTTTTCCCGGTTAGGGTTTTCACGAAAATCTGCATATTGAATTATCGAATTGAAACGATTTGCAGAGAAAAAAAAAACGGCAAACGGGGAGAGGGATTTCTGATTGTGAGGAATTCTGTTAAACGATGAGATATGTAGGATTGGGGAGAGCTAGGGGTTATTTATAGGGATAATGTTAGCGGACTTTGAACGCTAAGTAAACCGACTAGGAAGCGGAAATATCACGGCAAGTAGACCACTCCATGAGCCCAATACCAAAGTGGACGCGGTTCATAGCCCGTTCTAGAACATCCCAGATTCTTTTCCCAGGTAACTCCTTCACGTCTTCATCATCATCATTTAGGAAAATTTGGAAGAAAAGAAATAAATACAAATATACGTTTGCAGTAATATTCATCAAATTTTCCCCAAGCAATGAGATAAACGATTATATAATACTCATGATTACGTGTTAAATTCATATATTTTCGTATGATGATTATTTGTTAATGTTTTCATCTGTGGATGGCCTTAAAATTTGAATAATTATTACGATTAACTATAGAAAAAAGAATAACCAATGCTCCGGATCGTAAGGTTCTGCCGTAGATCATTTTTTTCAAAAAAAAAAAAAACTTTAAAACATTGATTCTAACCATGAGCAGGAGAAAATTTCCCAATATATTCATTGCGTTGGAACATTGGATCCGATGTGACATACTCCCTCTGTCTTAAAATTATTGTCCACTTTGAGATTTCACTTTTAGTACAATTTGAACTGAAAATGAAAACTTAAACTGGACAATAATTATAGGACGGAGGGAGTACTATTTTAAAATTTCTCAATAAAATAGTTAAAATAATAATTGGTAAAATATCAGCAAATTTTTTTTCCCAAAAAAAAAAAAAAACTCCCGAATTAAGGAATATGCAAGAAGGAATAGAAATCTCTTTATTTAGGGCTTTTGTTACCCGATGGAAGATACACTGGTCTAAACTTCATTTAACTTTGTTTCCACTGATCTGAAAATTACTGTTTCAGGGGAACTCAAGAAAAGAAGGTAAAGCAAACTAGCAATTGAAGGGAATAAGATTGACATCTGAAACGGGCTATAAATTACATCACAATTTCCCTATGACAGCCAAGTCAAATTCTTAACCAGTCAAGCTAAACTTTTAATGCATATTTACAATACAGCTTAGAGGCAATTTACAGAGGTTAAAATATAAATTATTTTCCCTGCTTCATCTTGTCATCCAAAGCTGAGGTTTTGCAGATTGGACACGAGTTCTTCATCGACAACCATTTCTTGATGCATCCCACGTGGAAATCATGAGCGCATGATTTCAGAGTCCCGATTTCATCCATGTTCTGGTACTCTTCCTGTCAACACAACATTCAGAATGAGTGAGGGCTAGAGTTCCAGAATGAATCAGTCCTGCATCATTCACCAATAGATGCAAAACACCCATATCCCAGTCATTCAGAATTAAAAATATATTTAGAGATTTTCACCAAGCAAATAACGCATTTTGCATCATCCTGCTCCTGATCTGCTGCGCAATATATTGACTCCATCAGACTCTTTACAAGCAAATCCTCGGACAACCCAGTGTTCACAGTTCCAATCCTCTCTCCCAGAGCAAGAAGTTCCTATTGGACGACAAAATCAATAATTATTAAGAGCCGCAGTGATGACCCTAAAACAACCAGAACACCAAGTATAATTACCTCATAGCTCATATTATCTATGTCAAGTCTCATTTCCCTGTGGTGGTCAAAAAGATTTCTTGACCCATAAATAGCTGTCCGGTCCATAATCACGAGACCCTAAACAAAAGAATATAAATGTTTTACAAAGATCAATGACTTTAAGAATAACAGGGCAATAGGTTGCCAAATGTACCCAACAAAATCCTACTTGTCAAATCCATTTATTTTGTCTGAGGAACTGACGGATAGGAATTGCAAGAATGGCGCAGTGAATCAGACCCTGTCTACACTCTATTGCAATTACGGATAAAATGACATGATACAAAGCCAAGCAAATTATAGTTTTAGGAAACAAAAGAATTTCAGATATTCTGGTAACTAGACAAGTCCACCAATTACTGTAAAATTTTCACAGTTTGCATTGATATTATGATGTCACGAGAAAAAGGCTTAAGAATTTCATAATAGAGAACACAAGATAAAAAAGATATCTACAAACCTCAGGAGGTGGACGGTCCCGAAAACTTGCATGATCAGACATTGATCTGTATCTATCACCAGAAATCCTACTCCGGCTATTCCTATCACCTGTACGAGTTCCCATGGTAGAAAAAGTGCGTGGATTTCTGGGAGCATAACTTTCCATGCCTAACCCTTCATCAGGAGCAACCGTGTTTCCCCCATGCAAGTTGATCGAAGAAGCCCTCATTGGTGGTACAGGTCTGTGATTGTAGCCATTCCGCACTCTTAAATGATGACTAGAGGTGTTATGCAAGGTTTGAGAAACGGGATTTCTGTTTGAAGGAAAACCATTGTGGTATCCCCCAATCTCAAATGGGGCAACAGGATTTAGAACATTGTAGTGATTCGTTTCATGACTCAAAAAGCTCGCATCTGCGATATAGAAATGCAAACTTTCAGAACCAACAGAATACATAAAGAGGCGAGTGATCAGAAAACCAACCTGAGATCATATTTCTCCCATTTGAGGCAGAAGATGGGTAAGTATGACTCCATTCCATTGGGGAAGGACCAGAACTTTGGCCCAGCAAATCGACGGTGCCGGGATGATCAACGTGTTGGATAGCAAAAGAATGATGTGAAGGATTACTTGACAGGTCAAAGGCCGATCTAATTCTTACATTCCTAGAGGAACCCTCACTACCAATGAAAGGGCCGTTGCCTCTGTAATGGGGTATGAAATCCGCAGGTGCATGATGAGAGTCTGCATTTTGCTTCTCCAACCACGCTTCTGCAGAACTAGAATGATCAGATGAACTACCAGCATCATAGTGCCAGCTTGTGTTGCCCCTCTCACTAACTGCAGGACCACCTGGATATTTGCGCTTGTGCAGCCCTCCACCAGTGCCCATCGAGAGCTCAAAAAAACCACCATCAGGCCCATTAAAAGCTTGTGCACTCTGGTTGGATGAAGAAGCATGATGCGGATAACTGTCTTGGGCTATATTTATGCTTCCAACTGCAGGTGGATGAGGAAAAGGATCACGAGATGGACCAGCGGGCAGAGGTTGATAACGTGGTGGCATATCAAAATTAATTCCAGAGGCAGTATATCCAGTTGAGGAGGGAACTGCATTCCATTGAGCCGTAAAAGATCCATCTTCATTATTCACATTTTCTGAAGGATAACCAACACCACTAGCATTTTCAGCTGCATTAGGCCTTCCTGCACACAGAATTATATAAAGTACATAAGTAATCCTACACAATAATACAGTACCCACACAAACCACTTAATTAGTATCCTAAGAGCAATGAACAATACTGATAGAATTTTACATGAAAATTTTATGTCCCCTTCCTTTATCACAACGTTATTCACTCAACTAGCCTATTCAAGAGCATGATGTTATATATAATAGAAGTCCTGAGGCAATCATAAATTATAATCATCATTGGTCACTAATGAACCTTTTCTAACATCATAAACATCAGAAAGAGATGCCCTATTGACTCTATTGCCTAAATTCAGGTTGGTTATGGAGGAACACATACCTAATTCTAGTGTTAAAACTAGTGATACAACTCTAGCCTTCTGTTGAATACTTTCTAATCTAGATTTCATACCATTCTCTTCAAAAATTTATTCCTACCCCCCACCTCCATTTCTAGTTTTAAGTTAATTCCAGCTGAAGATTCTTTATGTTCACTCATTTGCCAAGGGCATCTAAGGCCTCCTTTGCAAATCTTCTCATTCTCTAATCTATTGGTTCCCACCCCCAATTTTCTTCTAAAATATCATGAATAGAGTAGAAAATCCCTTGCAGATCCATCTCAACATATTGAACTTTTACAATCCTCATTGGTTATTCAATTTCGTTTGAGGTGACCCAAAACTTTACTCCATAACGCTAGCTGCTCTTATAGTCTTTGACAAAACTTTCCTTCCAAAATCAGCTTTAATATGGTCTCCAAGCATGGACGACTTGCTTCCCATATGTTCAGGACAAACAATACTCAGCATATTCTTAATGCTAAAACTATTACAGTCCTCGGATCACAAAGAAAGATGATGTGAAACTGACTGTTAACTAAGCAACAAGATGGAAATCATGCAGAAGAGGAAGAGTTGCTGTCAATACCCAAATGCATATAAGGCTGGTCGCCATGATTCCATACTTGATCATGCTCATCCTCAAATATCTGGGAAGAGCTGAATAAATGTCTGTGCCCCATGGAAATGTATCTCACAGCACTGCGACCTATTTACTTTTACTGGCCAGAACCTGCAGCGTCGAAGGAGTCTCAGTAAACATTGAGTTTTCAGACTTTGAAGAATAATTGAGCTCAAACTTTGAGATACAAAAAAAAGCATGTAGCGTAAACTTTGCCATAGCAGTATAGATCTCATAAGTACTACGTAACACTTAAGAGCATATCTGATGGATAAAGGAACAAGTAAACGAAAAACTCCTCAGATTACAGAACAATATCTCACATGATGGTGAATAAGTTCCACACATGATGAAACAAACTCTGGCATGATTCCAAGCTTTTAAATCAGAAAAGAAGAAGAGTTATTAGCATCTAAGACTCTGTTCTCCATTTGTAGTTGTCAAATCTAAAGTTACTAGAAACCACAGCCCTATATAATCTGCTGTCATAAAATATCAGTAACTTTTCACATTCAAGTGATTCACTTGCACCTTTTCAAATTTCAACAACTCAAGCAGCATGAATTATATCCATAGTTCAGTTGACCTACAATCCTCCAACTATTACATCAGAATTGAGTATACCATATCTCTATTCAATGAGTAGGCTCCAGCATCTTCCAGAATGATCAAAAAAACCTTCCCAACAAGCTAACCTAAAAGCATACTGTTGTCTGTACCCCCCTCTCCTTTACTGGAGATTAAACCTTATGAAACTCAAATTCCAACAAGACAACAACCCAAGGGAGAACCAACAACTAAAAGCTTTACCACATAGCACCTCACCATAACCAATCACAACAAGACTAAAACATGAAACATGCATGTGCACCTCTTTAATAGTCAAAAGTTTTCACATGCAGTTATTTAAAATTAAAGTTAAAGAACTCACAAGGAATAATGGTTCAGTCTGCTCAGCTGAAAAAAAAAAAAAAGATCTAGTGTCAGTAACTCAGAAATCAGAGAGAAAAAGTTGAGGCACAGACTAGGTATCAGACAGAGGAAAAAATCACACTTTCAAGCCTAGAAGAGAAAAACATGTACTACGTTATTACAAGAAAATAGTTACTGGCACTTCAAATGGAATTAAATGTATGCTCAACAGAAATCTCTATCTGTCCATGATAATTGTTGTCAAATGTAAAATACAGCAATAAACAAATATTTAAATCACTATCTAAAGAACAAATCCACACAAATGTTTGAACATCTGCGGGAGTTCTAGCTGATTAGAGACTTTAAAATCCAAGGCTTAAGAATCTTCTCTCCTACAAGCATGCATTTGAACATGATGGCATAAAAGTGTACATAATACCTGGCAATGGAGAATATAGCATGAGCACTCTCTAAAATGATTTAAAAAATGGAGACATTGATGGTAAAAGACAAACCGAAAGGGGAAAAACCAAAAATCAGGATACTCAACAGAAGTTACATATATAACTTGAGATGTCTTCCATTAATCATTTGCTTATTATCTGGAGTAATACAACTATGGAATTTGCATGATTTGAAGACTAATGATCGAACAAAATAAGAACATTACAAGAAACACGCAATAAACTGGAAAAGTAACAAAAGAACACATTCATGTTCCCATAAAACCAAAACTAAACTTCCTGCTATATTAAGAATCCTAAATATGTGTTTTCATAATAAGGAAGGCTCCGCGGTCGAGAGGAAGCTTGTGGTAGGACACCAGCAATGATGATAGGCTCCAACTCTCCACCTAGCCTATCTCAGATCATCATATGATTGGCACAGTGAAAATTTGCTAATAGATATTTTGATAAGGGTCGATTTGCGAATCGCAACAGGAGGTAAAAGAGAATGGTGTACACAACCATTAATCTATTTTTGCATCCTACTCAATCAGTATTCGAGTAAGATATCCAGCTTGATAACAACTTTAGAACCACGAACTCAACAAAGTGTCAACTATGTCATTTTGTTCTGAACAACTAGTCGACATTGAATAAGATAATGTCAATGATGATACGAGTCCGTTCATCTGTGCGTCCATACATTATACAGCTACTTATGAGGTCTTCGGGGGGCATATTGAAAACCTCAAGCCATTTTCGTGAAATTATCATCCTCTCCATAATTCAAGAACCATATGGAAAAACATATCGCTCCAATTAGTGCCGTCCAGGAGCACTTAGAATTCAAGTGACTAACATTCTAACTTGAGGTAAAGCTCTGAATTATGATAGTTAATGATGCCAACATTAGGAAAACTGATGTAAATCAGCTTTCCCCCAACCAGAAGAAGTGATCAGGCCAAATATCTAGCATTTTTAATCATTAGTCATCAGATAATATAGAGGGAATCCACTGATTGAACTAGAAGATAACCAACAAAACCTCACTCCAGTGGAAGATCATGCCCAATTTAACACAAATCCTAAACTTGGCTCTCCGAATCAAAAGTCTGAAGTACAAGATACAGCAACAGTAGCAGGTCAAACTAATGAATCTTGGAAGTACACCAGATATCATAAATCCATTCAAGTGCCTTCAACATTGATCAGAAGTGCCTGCAATACCATTTGTGATTCAAATTCTATAGTCAGCAATCTAACTAGCTATCACCAAACTTATTTCCTACAATTGTCTAATTGCTTTTGAAAGTCCAGATCTTCCTTAAGAAAGTGCATTGGCTAGAATTATACTAAACCAGAAAATCATGCGATTCTACCAAACCAGAGAGATCCTAAGTGATGATTAAGGAAAAGAACAGGGTAGTTTGTTTCAGAAAATTAATTCCCTAGGGGGAAGCAAAGATACCTCACTTGGTCATGATATGAATTCAGAGACATGAAAGCAAAACAATGAAAAAGGCTCCAAGTGCAAAGACACCTCACCTGTACAAGTCCTAGTCCAATGAAATGCCTTCCAACTAACATATTTTCACAACTCAAAACACAAAGGTGATAAACTAACCAAAAACATTGCCCTCGAAACCTCCAGCAGAAATCAACTTGAGAAACCCTAATCCCAAACTATTAGGGTCATTTATTGACAGAATCCACAAACAATGACAAGGGCCACATCTCCATTTACATAATAGCCATCTGCATCACAAGCCAATAACAATCTAAACCCTATTGTTTTGAAGGTAATACATAGAAATCCGCAAATCTCAGAAAGTACAGCTGCCTTTATTCTTAGGAAAAATATACTGGCTACCTAACAGGGTAGATCCAAGCCAGTCGGAAGTACCCAAGCTGACCGACGCAGAGTAGTTACAGGTCTTTAAAAATATTAATTTTATTGACTAGTAAAAATCACCCTCCTCAATTATAAATACTGAGAAAAGGTAGAGGACCGGACACCTAGACAATGATATTGCAATAATTTCTAATAATCTATATCACTCTTTACTACTATGAAATACTGCAAAGGACAGTCTAAAAGTCTGAAATCATGATAGTAATAAGTGAATTACATATGCAACAAATGGTCAGATTAAAATCACGAATGACTCATCGTTATTACTATAAGATACTGGAGAAAATAGTACAAAAAGTCTGAATTCAGATAGGAATTACTAAATTCAAGAAGCAACAATATGCAGTTATCCGGAAAAGAATTTCCCAGTCTGGAACATTTTGAGGGAAACATCATTTGCTGGAAAATGATACAGAAAGGTGACATGTAAAATTCATTATTATTACAGAAACCAATGCAATCCACCGGTGTGGGAAACTCTTGAAAGCTTTGCAGACTACCGGTCTTAGACAACCAATTATCTACAACCCACAGAAAGAACAACAGGTACGGCACTCATTATTAAGTGAGAAACAAGTTTAACAGACCGAACAAAAATTAGATCACTCCAGCTGGTTACTGATTCATGAAAAACCATTTACATGCAAAACCAAGATTGACATTTAGCTGCTGCAATACTCAGTGCTGCTATATCGATAAGTTCTCTCAACCAATCTTACATGTTTTATTTTCAGGTGGGTATAATTCCTTAAGGAAAAGACATAATTTCAAACTACTAAAAAATGTATTAAATAGAACAGATATCATACAACCAAAAATCTACAATAACTTTACAAAAATCATTCTGTAGTTCTTCAAAAGTATGTAAGAATCACCAGCAATATGGTTCCTATAATTTCCAGAACAGGGTATCCATATCTTTTCTTTCAAACAAATGCTACAAGGATTCTAGCTCGAGAGAAGTGGCTACCATTGCAAAGTTCATAAATGAAACAGAAAGTGCACAAAGAAGCTTCGAGACATCAGATTTTTTGAAAATGTGAAGATATCCATCCTATTGCCATAATGGAATATTGCAGGCAAGGCCGCACTGGAACTGTCAACAAGTTTATTGAAAACTCACAGATTTCTTTTTCTCGATTAAAATCTAACTAAATCATTGTGGAAAGAAAACAAGACATCAAATGGGACTGGGTAATACATGCTGACAAGGAACAAGTAACGCAACACAGATGATCATTTCGACTACTTACAACATATCATTTCTCCAAAAAATTTAAACTTTCTTTTAAAAAAAAAAGAAAGAAAAAGAAGTGCATAAGTAATGATTTTAAATTGAGTTATAGAATACGTGGCCGATGCACATCTCATAAAACCCAAGAAAAATGGAGTTACAAACTATACCAGAGCATAAACAAAAAGAAAATTATACTAAGCCATCATAATCAGAGTAAAGATACAGCAATTATTCAAAAAAAAAAAATTTTGCAATGGAAAAAAAAATATCATCGATATTTACGAACCCCTTCAATAAATCAGACGATGATCATCGGTCGGGAGCGGATATGATTATTATACCGTAAAAGGGACGGTGCCTTCGTCGGCCGACGATCGGTCGGAAAACGGTGGACGATCAACCGCGCACTAATAAGATAGAAGAGGCCCACACGCAACCGCAGTGTTTGAGAAATAAAGAAAAGCAAGAAGAGAAAAAATTAATCCGGGAGAAAGACAATGGTGAAATTATATATAACGGTTTTGGGGTCATCAAATGGTGGCTTCCCTCGAAGAAAAGTAGGAAACCACCCAAGACTATAAAGCCTATATTAGAAATAAAAACCCCTCTTTCAAACACCTTCTATAATTGCCACGTGATAAGAAAAAAATACTAAATTATCCTTTTATCTAACCATAACTAAATTGCTAAATCCCTTTTGTACTTTACTTACACGTTTTTTTTTTTTCTTTATGTTTCATTCAATTATAGTGGTTTTCTTTTCTTAATTATGGAGTCTAAATTGAATTGATCAATTAGGTTTTTGTTACAAAGTGTCAATTTTGTTTTAAGCGTATCCCCTTCGGATGAAGCTTATTACAAAGCTATTAAAAATTTCCAAAACTAAATATTGATTTGGCACGACCCACGGAGAACATCAATAAATCATCTTACTAATATTTAAACTTATTAGGATACTTTTATATTTTGTCTAATATTTATTTCAACACATATATTCGATTCAGTCTATTTATATTTAATAAGAAACACTTATAAAACATTTCTAAAACAGACATGGCGAAATACAATTTCTTTTTTTGTGAAATACAAATATTTCTATGATCACACTTATAAAACATTTCTAAATCCTTCAAACATTTCTAAAATATATCGCTTCATATACAAAATTTTATTTTTTTTCAAATATACATATTTTTAAGATCTACAGAAGACTGGGTCAAGGTCGCGCAATGCGCGACCAGACATCACTAGTACTATATAAGAAAGGAAAACCTCCATTTCAAACACCTCCTGCAATTGCCACGTGGCATGTAAAAATTACTAAATTAGGTCTACCAATGTCTGAGTCATCTCCATAATCCTTCAGCTTGAAATCACTTTCCAAATCATCAGTTTTCAAGCCTATCAATCGGTTGTGGCTTTCAAGTGCAGCCTCCAAAGTGGATTCAGTAAGTAAACGGTCAGGCAAATTCAAGAAAAATTTCAATCAAAACTTCATCTCAGCAAAACATATCAAGGCAAAGAATAACAAGAAAATAGAAGGGAGCACGAGCATCCAGAGGGAAGGAAAAACCAACAAAAATCAAAATAATTTGAGGTAATGAAACTAATCTCATATGAAAAAAAGCTATATTTGGCAACAACAAATGAGAACCAACAAGAGAAAGTGTCAAATTTAAGATAATATGCAGAGAAAAAAAAAGGGGATACTTACAAGATGGGGATCGGATCATCTTCAACCTAAGAAATCTTTCTCCATTTTCAATTGGGTTTTTTCCTCTCCAAATACTCAGAGGAAGAATATTTGTTTTTGGTCATTTTGGAATGAAGCAAGAGATTGAGTGTGGTCTTAATTGTTAGCACATTCAAGGATCTACTAATTTCCCGTATTGGGTTTCCACAAATACATACCCAAAAGAAAAACACACACACACATATAAAGGTTTCAAAAGCTCAAGAAACTGTACACTTCCTCAATTCAAAAATCTCAACTAAATAAAGAAAATATAATTTAACCCAAAAATAAAAAAAGTCCCCGAGAATAGAATAATGGTGGAACAGTGGGAAGTGGGGTAAGCCTCAAAACTGATTATGGAGTGATTTCTAGCACTCAAAAAAATCTATCTTTACTTAAGCAAATATTTTTTTTATTTACACATAAGTGATGATCAATCTTTCCCCATCATATTTTTTTACACACTATTAGCATGTTCAATCTTTTCATTAATGATGATCAACAATATCCTAATCAGATAAAATTTTGACTTCAACAAATTTTCTCTTTACTTCTCTATACAAGCACAAAGAGAAAATATAATAATTTATCATTGATCTTACTTCGGCCATTGCGGTGGTACCATTATAGGTATTAAAATTTAAATAATTTTATTTCCACAGGTTATTTGTTTAGTTTTTATTATTTTTTGTTTTCACGTTCAAGAATATTATTATTATTATTATTATTATTATTATTATTATTATTATTATTATTATTATTATTATGTTTCCATCCATTACAGATACCGTAGTCGTTGCAATCTTATATGGTTAATTAGTTACCCTATAATTTTTGTATGATTTTTGTTCTGTTTGAATTGAATTGATCAATTAAGTTTTTGTTACAAAGTATGATTTTTTTTTAATTTTTTTTATGTTTCATTCAATTAGAGTGATATTCTTTTTTTAATTATGGAGTCTCAATCGAATTAATCAATTAGGTTTTTGTTACAAATTGTGATTTTTTAAAGTGTATACACTTCGGAGTAAGCTTATTACAAAATTATTATAAATCTCCAAAACTAAGTATTGATTTGGCACGACCGATGGAGAACATCAATAAATCATCTTACTAATATTTAAACTTATTAGGATGCTTATATTTTGTCTAACATTTACTTCATGACATATATTCGATCAAATTTATTTATATTTAATAAGCAACACTTATAAAATATTTCTAAAACATACCGGGCTAAATACAATTTCTTTTTTTCGCCAAATACAAATATTTCTATAATCACATTTATAAAATATTTTTGAATTCTTGAAACATTTCTAAAATATATCAGGTCAAATGTAAAATATTTTTTTTTTCAAATACAAATATTTCTAAGATCTACAGATATACTGGGCCAGAGTCGCGTATTGCGCGACCAGACATCACTAGTATTAAAAGAAAGAAAGATAATCGATACGTGTCGCTAATTGAGACCATCAAACATCACTTTTAACTTATTATTATTTTAGCTCTTAAAGTTTTTTTTTTTTATGTGCTATTTTGTCGTCAATTTTATCAATTTTACATTTTCAAGGACGATTAATTGTGTCTAATCCCCAAAGTCCCATTGCCTATAAATAAGCCATAGGCATCTAGACATAATTTACGTATTTTTTAATATATTTTTTAATCCAAACATAACATTAGTTAGTGGTGACAATTTTTATTATACAACTTTTTAAAATTTTTGTTGTAATATTTTTGGTCATATCTTACAAATATACATCTCATAAATAATATCAATACCTCTCATTTTGATCTAAAATTCATTAATAAAAAAAATTTTACGGTTAAGAAATATTAGTAACTACATTATCTAATTAATTTTTTTAGAATATAATTTTTCAACATTTACAAACCCGCGCAAAGCGCAGGACACATATTAGTTGCAGTAAAAATGGGGAAGAAAACAAAATCTTTTCCATTTTAATTAATACTCTAATTGCAATGATGATGATAATAAGGGAAATAATCATCCGTTATTTCTTTTGCAATATATTCAATTTACTTTTTTATCCTTGATAATCCTTGTGTTAATTTTCTGATTTAAAAAAAAAATCATCCATTAAATTTTGGTGAAATTTGATTTTTTTCTATGCTCTGTATATAATCATCTCCACATGATGATTCAGGAAGAAAATACATAAATAAAGTTACGCAAAACCTCAGTAATTGGAAATACATGGCCACGTAGTGTGTTTTTACGACTTTTGTGAGTACGCATTTGCATGTCGTTTTGTTCCCAGACTCATCATCATTTTTATTTTCAATTTAAATTTTTGCTAAAATTTTTGCTTGTTCTCATTCCGTATTTTGTTTATCTTCCTTATTATAATGTTTTTATTTCATTTTATGAAGTTTTTGTGTCATAATATAATAATAGGTTGAATTTGTATTTTGGTCGACACGTAAATTATAACAATCGTGAATTCTATAAAAATTCATACACCTCACTTGATTTGAAATGTCTCGACATTATTGCGAAAACAAAATATACGACTTTCAATGAGACAGACATATAAATACATCATTGATTGAAAGAGGCTAACTGTGTTATGGTCTTTTATTTCATCTCTACACATAAAGCATTATGAGTTAAAATGCCTTACACTATTTATAAACTGACAAATACTTTATTATCTTGAATCGTGACATGTATACATATCATGGACACATATGAAAATCGTGAAATGAAATGCATAAGCAATGTTGCTTGACCCGGTCGATATTAAATGTACTACCTCTGTAAAAAAAAAAAGTCCACATTATGTTTTCAAATTTGTACTAAAAATAATATAAAATTCAAAACTCGACTGTGGACTATTTATGTGGGACGGAAGGAGTATAATTTACTATGATGTTTAACTGAAAAATAATAAATACATTGTAAAGTTATGTTTTTTAAACTACCACTATACGCGCTTACTGAGTTAATAGGATTACAATCATGATTACCAAAAAAAAAAAAAAATTATGTTGCCCGCACATTGGATTTTACAATAAATCTAATACACAAAAGTTACAATTTAAGATTATAGAATTATGCATTTCAATTGTTGTAGTAATCATAAACAAGTTTTGTTTGTGGCATACTACTTTCACAATTGATGTATCATGCATAAGCATTATATTAAACCATCATTCAATTAATTTTTACCGTAACAAACTTGATAAACTACAACAATCATAAAGTAAAAGTTTGATTTACAAAGTCTTTTATTTATAAAATATAAGATTCATGTTTGTTAAATCATTTTTGGTTTACTAAAATTAATATTTATCTTTGAACGAGATTGTGTATTATGTGTTGGTGACTCATATAAATGTGAAATAAATATTTTTAAAAGATGTACTAAATAAATGACTCTGTAAAAAAGAGAACTACTAAATTCAAGCGAAAGCAGCAAAAACATGTAACTGAAGGACGTATACTTTAAAAACTATGTGTTCCAACTAAGATTATAATGTACGGATAAGTTTTTATTGCGGAAAATTTTGAAATAATGGACAATAAGCAACACAAATTATGTAACGTTTTGAAACCTTTTCTTCTTTCTTCTTCCTCCTCTCCAGTTCTTCAGGAGTAAGATGCTTCGGTTCTGATGAAGGCGCCGCCTACGTGAAATACAACAGTTCAGTCACGGATCAACTCGGAAATTAACCACAAAGATGATGATAATAACTCTGCTGAAAAATTTATACCTCGGATTTTTCCTTCTTTTGCATCTCTGGATTCTTAGTCTCGGATTCAACCTGTAACAAAGATAAATCAATCGCTACCGGAGTTTGGAACTTTCAATTCTCAACAGAGTTGCGGTGAAGGTGTATGGCAAAGATGATTTCAACAAAAATCATTAAAATTACTAAAGAGGATGCAGATTGTTCCGAAAGTACCATTGGTAAAGCTGATTTGGGAAATGAACAAAATCTCGAAACTATCTGAGAGCTACTGCGAATGCTACTCCGGCTACTTCTTCCGAGGATGTTCAGTGATTGTTTGATAACAGTGAGCATGCAAATGGCATTCCCGGAATCCTCAGAATGGAGTTTTTGAGCGCCGGCGTGTCTGCGGTGCAAATTGCGGGAGGAATAACGGATGAGCCGACTATCAAAACCCTACTACTGGCTGACTGACTCTACCGTGCTGATGGTACCCAATTGGTGTTTCTTTTTTCCCCCTTTTTTATTTAATTTCTTTTTCCTGGTCGACTGAAAAAGTTAGCTTGGATTCCACGTCGACAAACGAGGAATTTGTAATCACTACTATAAAATAAAATAGTAATAGTAATTAATTAATTTCATAGTCAGCATAATTATTTTTTGACAAATAAGTCCACAGTGGGCCATTCAAAATAATTTATCTACTTGAAAATGTAATGAAATTATGTAGTACTCATAAGGTTTTTCAAAAAAAAAAAATAATGTAATAATACTCATAAGTCACAAACCCTTTTGTTGAATATTTTGTCATGTACATCTTTTAAAAATATTTATTTCACATTTATATGAGTCACCAACACATAATACACAATCTCGTTCAAAGATAAATATTAATTTTAGTAAACCAAAAATGATTTAACAAACATGAATCTTATATTTTATAAATAAATGACTTTGTAAATCAAACTTTTACTTTATGATTGTTGTAGTTTATCAAGTTTGTTACGGTAAAAATTAATTGAATAATGGTTTAATATAATGCTTATGCATGATACATCAATTGTGAAAGGTAATATGCCACAAACAAAACTTGTTTATGATTACTACAACAATTGAAATGCATAATTCTATAATCTTAAATTGTAACTTTTGTGTATTAGATTTATTGTAAAATCCAATGTGCGGGCAACATAATTTTTATTTTTTTTTGTAATTATGATTGTAATCCTATTAACTTAGTAAGCACGTATAGTGGTAGTTTAAAAAACATAGCTTTACAATGTATTTATTACTTTTCACTTAAACATCATAGTAAATTATACTCCTTCCGTCTCACATAAATAGTCCACAGTCGAGTTTTGAATTTTATATTATTTTTAGTACAAATTTGAAAGCATAATGTGGACTTTTTTTTTTTTTACAGAGGTAGTACATTTAATATCGACCGGGTCAAGCAACATTGCATATGCATTTCATTTCACGATTTTCATATATGTCCATGATATGTATACATGTCACGATTCAAGATAATAAAGTATTTGTCAGTTTATAAATAGTGTAAGGCGTTTTAACTCATAATGCTTTATGTGTAGAGATGAAATAAAAGACCATAACATAGTTAGCCTCTTTCAATCAATGATGTATTTATATGCCTGTCTCATTGAAAGTTGTATATTTTGTTTTCGCAATAATGTCGAGACATTTCAAATCAAGTGAGGTGTATGAATTTTTATAGAATACACGATTGTTATAATTTACGTGTCGACCAAAATACAAATTCAACCTATTATTATATTATGACACAAAAACTTCATAAAATGAAATAAAAACATTATAATAAGGAAGATAAACAAAATACGGAATGAGAACAAGCAAAAATTTTAGCAAAAATTTAAATTGAAAATAAAAATGATGATGAGTCTGGGAACAAAACGACATGCAAATGTGTACTCACAAAAGTCGTAAAAACACACTACGTGGCCATGTATTTCCAATTACTGAGGTATTGCGTAACTTTATTTATGTATTTTCTTCCTGAATCATCATGTGGAGATGATTATATACAGAGCATAGAAAAATAATCAAATTTCACCAAAATTTAATGGATGATTTTTTGTTAAATCAGAAAATTAAAACAAGGATTATCAAGGATAAAAAAGTAAATTGAATATATTGCAAAAGCAATAACAGATGATTATTTCCCTTATTATCATCATCATTGCAATTAGAGTATTAATTAAAATGAAAAAGATTTTGTTTTCTTCCCCATTTTTACTGCAACTAATATGTGTCCTGCGCTTTGTGCGGGTTTGTAAATGTTGAAAAATTATCTTCTAAAAAAATTAATTAGATAATGTAGTTACTAATATTTCTTAACCGTAAAATTTTTTTTTATTAATGAATTTTAGATCAAAATGAGAGGTATTGATATTATTTATGAGATGTATATTTGTAAGATATGGGCAAAAATATTACAACAAAAATTTTGAAAAGTTGTATAATAGAAATTGTCATCACTAAATAATGTTATGTTTGGATTAAAAAATATATTAAAAAATACGTAAATTATGTCTAGATGCCTATGGCTTATTTATAGGCAATGGGACTTTGGGGATTAGACACAATTAATCGTCCTTGAAAATGTAAAATCTATAAAATTGACGATAAAATAACACATAAATAAAACTTTAAGAGCTAAAATAATAATAAGTTAAAAGTGATGTTTGATGGTCTCAATTAGCGACAATTATCTTTCTTTCTTTTAATATATATAATGATTTTATATCATTTCGACTTTATAGTTTTAGGTGGTTTCCTACTTTTCTTCGAGAGAAGCCACCATTTGATGACCCCAAAACCGCTATATATAATTTCACCATTGTCTTTCTCCCAGATTTGTTGAGTAATCAGCAGGAATCCTCTCATGAAGCTAATCAAGCATCTTATGTTCTGGATTTTTGAATAGACCAAGTTCTTATGTAGATATTGTACAAATTTAGTATAGTTGATATTGTATATAATAACATTGCAGGGTCTCTTTTGTAAATACTAGATAGTTGGATTAACTATTGACTAGTCAGCTTACTATATAAACGTTTGTACAGTGACTTTTCTAATTTAATGAATACGGGAATTCAGTAAACGTCTGATGAACCCTAGCTTTTGTAAGAGGATTAATTTTTTTCTCTTCTTCCTTTTCTTTCTTTCTCAAACACTGCGGCTGCGTGTGGGGCTCTTCTATCTTATTAGTGCGCGGTTGATCGTCCACCGTTTTCCGACCGATCGTCGGCCGTCCCTTTTACGGTAGCCACTTCTCTCCAGCTAGAATCCTTGTAGCATTTGTTTGAAAGAAAAGATATGGATACCCTGTTCTGGAAATTATAGGAACCATATTGCTGGTGATTCTTACATACTTTTGAAGAACTACATAATGATTTTTGTAAAGTTATTGTAGATTTTTGGTTGTATGATATCTGTTCTATTTAATATTGTAGATTCCGGGAATGCCATTTGCATGCTCACTGTTATCAAACAATCACTGAACATCCTCGGAAGAAGTAGCTGGGGTAGCATTCGCAGTAGCTCTCAGATAGTCTCAAGATTTTGTTCATTTCCCAAACCAGCTTTACCAATGGTACTTTCGGAACAATCTGCATTCTCTTTAGTAATTTTAGTAATTTTAATGATTGTTGTTGAAATCATCTTTCTAAACGCCATATACCTTCGCCGCAACTCTGTTGAGAATTGAGAATTGAAAGTTCCAAACTCCGGTAGCGATTGATTTATCTTTGTTACAGGTTGAATCTGAGACTAAGAATCCAGAGATGCAAAAGAAGGAGAAAGCCGAGGTATAAATTTTTCAGCAGAGTTATTATCATCATCTTTGTGGTCAATTTCCGTATTATCATCATTTTTGTGGTCAATTTCCGAATTGATCTGTGACTGAACTGTTGTATTTCACGTAGGCGGCGCCTTCATCAGAACCGAAGCATCTTACTCCTGAAGAACTGGAGAGGAAGAAGAAGAAAGAAGAAAAGGTTTCAAAATGTTACAATAATTTGTATTTCTTATTGTCCATTATTTCAAAATTTTCCGCAAATAAAAACTTATCCGTACATTATAATCTCAGTTGGAACACATTTTCCGCAATAAAAACTTATCCGTACATTATAATCTTAGTTGGAACACATAGTTTTTAAAGTATATGTCCTTCAGTTACATGTTTTGTTTTTGCTGCTTTCGCTTGAATTTAGTAGTTCTCTTTTTTATTTGATGTTATTTTTATTTTTTTAATAAGGATAATGAATTTTCACTTTTCCATTGGCTTGTTGGTTGTTACTTATCAAATTTGTCTTCACCTAATGAGCCGATAACCGCTGTTTCTTTTGTACGTGGCAGGCTAGAGAGAAAGAATGGAAAAAGCTCAAGGCTGCGCAGAAAGCAGAAGCTGCTAAACTTCAGGTACCTATGCACTTCTCTGCAAATGGAGTTTACCCTTTTTTAGTCATCTAACTAATTGTGACAGCAGGTTAGTTCCTTTAATGATATGAACCTTTTTTGTCTCCTTTGGTTGTGTTGTGTTGAAGGCACAGCAGGCTTCCAATGCTTCAAAAACAGGGAAGAAAAAGAGCTCAAGGAGAGAGGGTGTGGAAGATAATCCTGAGGATTATATAGACCCAGAAACACCTTCGGGTGAGAAGAAACGACTCTCTCAGCGAATGGCGAAAGCATACAATCCGAGTCTTGTAGAGAGTTCGTAAGTTTTCAAATGCATTTTGCTTAGGGCTAAAAATATTTAAGCTACTCTGTCCGCTGAGTGACTTGAAATGACTGATTTAGGTGGTACGAGTGGTGGGAGAAGTCAAACTTCTTTGTTGCAGATGCAAATAGTTCTAAGCCGCCTTTTGTGATTGTGAGTTTATTTTCTTAACAATATCACTTTTCAATTGAACATTATATATGTCATTCATATACTCATATATGTAGATATACGTATATTAGGATAAATCTTTTCATATTTTCATAGATAATAATCTGCGGCTAACAGGTTGAACTCCTTGGACAATGAAGTTCAACCCTGTTAGCCGCAGATTATTGTCTCTCGATTACCAAAACATTTATCTTGTTAGTGGTGCACATGATAAGCCTCAAATTCACATCTTCACAAAATTTTTAAATTTAGATTGGTGTTCTCTTGCTTCTTGATATGTAAACCCTGGAGGGTTTGATGTGCTGCCAGATGTCTCCATGAAAGCTTAACGTTAGGAATTTAGAGAGGATAGATTCAGGCAGGATGTCATTTGCTTAAATAATATCTTAAATCTTTATTATTTTTCTCTATTTAATGAAAATTTTCTCTTATACTTCTAATTTCTTTTTGACATTTTATTGCTAATGTTTCTATCATTCACTCGGTTTTCTTCTTAAGGTTCTGCCACCACCAAATGTGACTGGAGCCCTACATATAGGCCATGCTCTTACTGCTGCTATTCAGGTGATCTGAAAAGAAAGTTTTCGGTTATGACTATACTGCTAGGTCTATTAGATGAATCTATCATACAGCTTGACAATTCTAATGGTTTCTTGCAGGATACCATTATCCGCTGGCGTAGAATGTCAGGGTACAATACATTGTGGGTTCCTGGCATGGATCATGCCGGGATTGCTACACAGGTTAAGATATACTTAAACTTTTTAATTAATGTATCTATAAAATTTTGCTATATGTTCAATGTAATTAATTGCAGTAACTTGTTTGCTAATATATTTTTGAAAACAATTGATCGTTATGTAATGTGAATTTCACATGATGCTCATACTTTTCTGACCTTGTTGCTAAAGAAGAGAGTCGCAGTAAGCTGGATAACGTTAACGCGTAACAAACAGGAGGCATATGTTTGTGCAGGAGGGTAGCTGAGAACTAAAAGTTTCATGCTAGGACACTTTAAACATTGTAAACTGGTCTACTCTGTTTTCTTTGTTCAAATTAATTGAAATCATGTGTATCACCAATTAATATGTGGCTTAGATGTCCTGTTGTGAAGAAATTCTCACTTCTAATGAGTACAACCATCTCATTGCATAACTTTGACCGGTGTTGTTAGCTTCAAACCGTCAAAAATTTGTACTGGTTAAATGTGAATACTATCATTTGCACCATGCAAGATTGTAGGTTTTAGCTTTCTACATAATGAAATTTAGACACTTTTTAATTTTACTCTTCCTACTACTTTTTCCCCCCTGTGTATCCCCTTTCAGGTAGTTGTTGAGAAGAAGCTTAAGCGGGAATCGAACAAGACACGACACGATTTTACTCGTGAGGAGTTTATTGATAAAGTCAGTTTTTGTTCTTTTTCTTTTCCTTTCAGCATCCTTACTTTCTGGGTTTCTCCCTATGGCTGCTGCCAAAGAGCAAACTTCCTTTTTCCTGATTTTGAAGCCATCAATTTACACACAAATCAATGAATGTAGTTTTGTCCTTTTGATAGGTATGGAAGTGGAAAGATGAATATGGTGGCACTATACTGAAGCAATTGAGATGCCTAGGAGCTTCTCTCGACTGGTCTCGCGAGGTATGATTTACCAATGTTTGGCTTTTTCATCAAAATGTTTGGTTTTTTATGAAGGTAAAATGTGTCCTTGACGCCTAGTCTACTCTTATGGAATTGCTTTATAACTTCATTACTTAAACAACTCTCGGAAACAGTGTTTCACCATGGATGAGCCCAGATCGAGAGCTGTAACTGAAGCCTTCGTTCGGATGTATGAAGGTGGTCTCATATATAGGTTAGCTTACTAAAACTGAGTTCTTATCCCTTTCCAATTGTTTAATATCGTGTTACTGGATCTCATGGGTTTCTTTTGTGTTAGTCTTGATATTTAATGTGTTAATGTTGGTTTAGAAATTGAGATTTGTGAAACCAGAATTTTTTGGTTGTCTTCCTTCCTCGGCGTATTTTGCCTTGATGCCTTGCGGGATGATTAGTTAGATCTTCTCTTCTGTGGTGTTCCACTGATTGATAAGGCCCCACCATTTCATAAACCTCATAACCTGCAAATCAGAAGAGAAAAATAAGCTATGTTGCTCTCTTGCCTAGTGCTATCAAGTGCTAAGTTTCATTCACCTTCTTCCTGACCTAAAAGGAAGTCATGCATTACATATGTCTTGTGTGTTTTGTGGGAAGAAAATCTTCATCTCTATGATACTCTACAAAGTTGATTTTGTGGGAAGAAAATCTATCTATGTCGATGAGCTGATAGTGAAACAGAGAGTCTTTTGTGTCAGTAGTAAAATCATGCTCCTAATTTCAGTTCCTTTTCATTTACCAAGGGATCTTCGGCTTGTGAACTGGGATTGCATATTGCGTACTGCAATATCTGATATTGAGGTAATCCTGGGTTTCTTGATTGTCTGCTTCATTTTTTTTTGTTAAAAAAAAGGAAGAAAAAAGAATGACAATCTCATGTCTGGTCATTTCTGGAGTAGGTGGACTACAAGGATATAAAGGGGAGAGAACTGTTGAAGGTTCCGAATTACAGAAATCCCGTGGAGTTTGGTGTTCTCACATCCTTTGCTTATCCCCTTGAAGGGGATTTGGGTGAGATAATTGTAGCTACTACAAGGGTTGAGACTATGCTGGGGGACACCGCCATTGCCATTCATCCTGATGATAAGAGATACCAGCATCTTCATGGAAAATTTGCTATTCACCCATTTAATGGAAGGAAGCTTCCTATTGTGTGTGATAAAATTCTTGTTGACATGAACTTTGGTACCGGTGCTGTTAAGGTGCATAATTTCTTGCAAATGCAAAACTCTGTCAGCAGATTCCTCCCTCCTTTATTGAGTGGATATTCAATTTTTTTTCCTGTCTTGTTGCAGATAACTCCAGCCCATGATCCAAATGATTTTGAGGTTGGGAAGCGTCATAATCTAGAATTTATTAATATTTTTACTGATGACGGCATGATAAACTGCAATGGAGGCCAAGAATTTACAGGTATGCCGCGTTTTGAAGCTCGTGTAGCCATAACTGAAGCTTTGAAGAAAAAGGTAATTCTTCAATCTTCTTTCTCTCAAGTAGTTTTTCTAGGAACTCTGCACTGTAAATTTCTGATTCTGTGGTTCTCTATATAAGAAATCTCAGTCTGCTTTGCTATTATTGCAATTTTCAAGTTAGTAATAATATCTGTTTCTTTCCGTATAGGGACTCTATCGAGGTTCTAAAGATAATGAGATGCGTCTCGGCGTTTGTTCTAGAAGCAATGATGTAGTGGAGCCCCTCATAAAGCCTCAGTGGTATGTCAACTGTGGAGAAATGGCTAGGGAAGCTCTTGCCATCATTGATGAGGATAATAGGAAAATGGAAATCCTTCCTAAACAGTATAATGCAGAATGGAAAAGGTACATCCAGACTTTTATCAAGGATGTATATCGTTAAACAAGTTTTTATTTTTGTTTCTTGTTGTTTTAAATGTTGAGCATTTTGATTTTGTAGATGGCTTGAGAATATTCGTGACTGGTGCATCTCAAGGCAGCTTTGGTGGGGTCACCGGATTCCGGCATGGTATGCAAAACTGGAGGATGATGAACAAAAAGAAATTGGTTCGTATACAGACCACTGGGTAGTTGCTCGAGATTCTAAAGCGGCTGAAGAGGAGGCTAGGCGTAGATTTCCGGGGAAGCAGTTCCAGTTGTCTCAGGATCCTGATGTGCTGGACACTTGGTTTTCTTCTGGTTTGTTTCCGTTGTCTGTTTTGGGATGGCCAGATGATACTAAAGATCTAAGGACATTCTATCCAACTTCTGTTCTTGAAACTGGTCATGATATTCTCTTTTTCTGGGTGGCACGCATGGTGATGATGGGAATTAAGCTGGGGGGCGATGTGCCCTTCAGACAGGTTAGTGTCCATATGACTTCTTTAGCATGGGAAAATCTCGATGATATTTTATTATTTGGTTGTTAGCGTCATTCAAGTCTCTTGCCTGAAACAATTTAAGAAAATGATCAGACAATCCATCCCAGAATTAGATTTTGACCGACAATTTAGTTCTTTTGGATCTCGAAATGCCTCTGAATCATTAGATATGATAAAGAGATTTTGGATTCGTACTTTGATTTTTCTGTGATCTGCGGCGTTGCATGATGATTCTTGGTTTCAATAAAAGAAACATTTTGACTTGTTGGTTCTTTTGCAGGTTTACTTGCATCCGATGATCCGTGATGCGCATGGGCGAAAAATGTCCAAGTCCTTAGGTAACGTTATCGATCCCCTGGAAGTGATTAGAGGAATAACACTAGAAGGTCTTCATAAGAGACTTGAGGATGGTAACTTGGATCCTAAAGAATTGAAAACAGCAAAAGAGGGACAGGTGAAAGATTTTCCCAATGGAATTGCAGAATGTGGTGCTGATGCTCTTCGTTTTGCTCTCGTGTCTTACACAGCTCAGGTATGTGGTTTTCTTTTTCTGAAGTTTCATTTTAAAAATTTGACGACAAAATTTGATCTTATCGTTGTTGTCTTCTTTCAGTCTGATAAAATCAATTTAGACATTCAACGTGTTGTTGGATATCGTCAGTGGTGTAACAAATTATGGAATGCCATTAGGTTTGCTATGGGCAAACTAGGAGATGACTACATCCCTCCAGTTGAAGTAGTGCCCACAAACATGCCATTTAGCTGCCAATGGATTCTCGCAGTGCTGAACAAAGCCATATCTAAAACTGTCCTATCTCTTGACACGTTTGAATTCTCGGATGCGGCGACAGCAGTATATCATTGGTGGCAGTTTCAATTGTGTGATGTATTTATAGAAGCAATCAAGCCATATTTTGCCAACAATGATGCAAAATATCTGGAAGAGAAAAAATTTGCGCAAGACACTTTATGGGTATGCTTGGATACTGGATTAAAATTACTTCATCCATTCATGCCATATGTCACGGAAGAACTGTGGCAGCGGCTGCCTGCTGGAAGCAATGGTGAAAGAAAAGAATCCATCATGATATGCGATTATCCAGCAACTGTTCAGGTGAGCTGTCAGTTCCCACAATTGCAAAATTTTGTTTCTGCATAACATAATGTTTACTCGTATGGCTAATTTAGAACTAGTTAAAATGTCACATCTTCTGCAACTTCACTCTGTCATTAGTTTTAAGTGTTCATGCGCAGAGTAGTTTCTATTTGTTGTCATTTTTTAGGATGCAGAAAGAATAGAGAAGCAATGGTAGGTCTTGTGTATAATCTTCTTTTTTTATTATATTGAGTATTATGAGCTCTTTTATGTGATTTCTAGTGTAGTGAAAGTGGATTAGATTTTACGCGGTTGAATAACATGTTCTTGACTTTTTTTTAACACTCTCCAGGCGTGGGCAAGTGATGATGTAGAATCTGAAATGGAGGTGGTTTTATCGGCTGTGAGATCCCTTAGGTCACTGCTGCCGATAAATGAAAAAACTGAAAGGTATTAATGTATTAAATTTGGTCACAGAACACCTTCCTTCTTTGCTATGTGAGTTTGATATTGATTTGGAAGTACTTCCTTGTCCTGGTGTTATTCCAAAGCTGAACTGCTTTATGATTTGTCCGGTCTTGTGAAGTCTATCAAGAGAACTAGTCATGCAGATAATTAACTGTTGAAGCTGGCTTTTTGATAGTGAAAATGCTAATTCCTTTGTAATATATTTTCTAAACTTTGCAAGTGAAAATTGTGCTCTTTCTGCAGGAATAGCATGTTTTATTCACTAGTATGTATATTATCTATGAAGATATGTAACTTCTTAGTAGTTCCTACACAAATTACTATGTTTGTTGAAGATATTGTGATCTTATTCTTTACATTATATGTCCGAGCATTTAGTATCTATATTAAAAGTAGAATTTGTACAGGTGAAGATGTTTGAATTGATACAAATACCTCCTTTGTCTTCTGTCTATAAGCATAAGGGATATTATGATCCTATTCTTCCCATTATATAACTGAGCATTTGATTTCTCCATTAAAAGCAGAAGTTGCATACGTAAAGATGTTTGAAATGATACAAATACCTTCTTCGTCTTTTATCTATAGGCATAAGGGATACCTCCTCTGTCAATCTGATCGTGTAGCTGGCTTGCAAGGACGTGAGTTGGAGATATTGACTCTTGCATCATTATCATCGCTGGAAGTATGTGCTTGATTCTTTTTTGTTGTTTATTGAAAAAATATTAGTTCTTTCATCATAATTTTGATGTCCATCGTAAAGGTTTTGTTGTGTCCTCCTGCACATGTGCTTCAGTAGAATCGTAAAGGTTTTGTTGTGTCATCTGCACATGTTCTTCAGTTGCGTACACTTTTGCTGTTTTTAAACAGATTAGTTTGGTGGAATACTCCGTTGAAAATGTTACCTCTTATCTGTATTTTATGTTGGTTGGCTAATATTGCATGCCCGATAAATTATTTTAATTTTAGGCTGGATTGTGACATGTATTAACCAATCAAGACAATTATGTTGTATTGTTTTTTAGTTGCTTAAGGTGACTCGGAGAAGCTGAACACTACTAAATGCCATGCCACGTGTAATGCTTGTTAATATGTCTTACTATTATTGTTATCGAAACTGTAGATGCTGCTCTAAAGTTGTATCCTGGTTAAAATCATTTGGAAATCACACTTACAATTTTAGTCTTGTTTTTCTGATGACCCTGCTACATGCTTTCTTACCTTCTATTCATAATTCTCTCCCTACGCCATCTTTTCCTTTCTCACTGTGATGGCTAAAATTGCAGGTCTTAAGCGAGGCTGAGCGAGTGCCTAGTAGATGTGCTGTAGATGTTGTAGATGAAACACTATCTGTGTTTCTGGAGATTAAAGGCCCTCTTAATGCTGATGCTGAACGTGATAAGCTCGAGAAAAAGATGGACGAGACACAGAAGTAAGTAAACTTTCATCCTAGATTATGACAATACACTCGATTCTACCTGAATAAAAAGGGGAAAGAAATTTAAAAATGAGATTGCAGTCTCCCAGTACCGTATACTTACAATGCAATACCTGGAGACGAGTTCTGTTCCTGGTCCGGATATTCCTGAATCGCTTTTATGTTTACTTAATCTGTTGAAAAATCTCCCTTGGTTGACTTGATTTGAATGGCTTTAATGAGGCTATATGTGTTTGTAATTTCCAGAATATGATATCGAAGCAATTTCTCTGGAATTATTATTTGGAAAGTGATGTGATAGTTCATTGCAATTTGACAAATAGAGTTAATTGTGATCATACATTGAATGTGCTATTAATGTATTTTGAGCATTCTGGCAGGCAACAAGATGCTCTAGAGAAAACAGTGAACGCCCTAGGGTATAAGGAGAAAGTACAGCCGCATATCCATGTAGAGAATGAAGAGAAGCTGGCCTCCCTTGAGCGTAAAATCGAATCTTTCAAGGCTGCGTTGCGTTATCTGGATCGCCAGTAGAGAGACATTACATGATACGCCTCTGAAGGAGAGGAAATTGTTCTTTACTTTTGGTTTTTGCTAACCGAATTTTGGTTTATTGGGGGTGTGGTGGTCTCCCTTTGTTCCATAGTATTTGATTGTACCTTCTAAGCCGCAAAGATTTTTAATTAAACTGGATACAGACATACAGTTAGATTGAAATTTGAACTGTTGTATTGTTTTCAAGCATTGCGTTCGCCACCATCTTTCATATTCTAAAGAAAATTTGGTAAGTTATAATATGATTTGTGACAGTAAGAGAGAATTTTTTTTTTGTTTTCGACATATCAAGTTACAAGGGAGATAAATATGAGTACTACATTTTTAATATACACATACTATTTATCTAAAAATAATACCCTCTTTATCTCAAAAAATAGTCTATTAAGAAAGAGAGAGCACTTGAATTTTGTGTGTTTTTCTAATATTTTGTCACTGTTTATATTATATTTTTTAACTTCACAGATTTTGTCTTTGTTACAGTGAAAAAAGTAAAAACTTTTTAGGTGTAATTTTCTTGCATTTTTGAATTAAATCATTACAAAAATGAGATATAAAGATGGATTTTCAAATTGTTTGCCTTTCATTTTTCGCAAGCGGAGCCTTCCAAGCTGTAATTACAAAAAAATAAAAATAAAATTGGAGAAAACCCCCCACCGGTCGGCTCGTCCCCACTACGACAAACCCAACGACAAATAATTAACAGTTTGCAATCCCCTTTCCTTCATCCTCTCTCCGTCAACAACTGTTTCAGATTTACAGAAAGAAAAAGAAAAAAAAATAAAACAGAAGGTTTTAATCGAAGAAGAATTTGTTTGAAGAGCAAGAATGAGTGTGATCGAACTTCTCACTCGCGTAGACGCGATCTGCAAGAAATATGACAAGTACGACATCGACAAGCAGAAGGATGCCAATATCTCCGGCGACGACGCCTTCGCCCGGCTTTACGCATCCGTCGAATCTGACATCGAAACCGCTCTACAGGTCCATTTTGCCTTTCTTTTTGTTCTAGTCTTTTTGGCTTTTGACTTCAGATTGACTGAATGTTTTAGGGTTTTGCTTACCTCGAATATTGTGCGATCGGGTGGTGTTTCTGCGTTTTCAGAAAGCTGAAGCAGCTGCCAATGAGAAGAGTAGGGCATCAGCTGTAGCCATCAATGCCGAGATTCGTCGAACCAAGGCTCGGTTGCTTGAGGAGGTTCCTAAATTGCAGAGGCTGGCGATTAAAAAGGTTGTTATTCTGACCCTCTCTCCTTTTCTTCGCATTGCGGGAATTGTCTTCGTTTTTTGTTGCGTCTTTCTTAGCTGAGAAATAGATTAGGTTTAGGGGTTGAAATTGTTCCAATTCTATGTGGCCTTCCTTGAGCTGGCTGTTTTCTACTCAAATCAGCTAATTTTATATGGTGTTCTTTCAGTTTACTGTTTTAATTGGCTGTAGGTAGTATGCATACCACTGTTTCCCAGAGGCCATTCCATCTTAAATCTAACCTCAATTTTGCACCCTGAAGTGGGGAGAGTTCATGTACTTTCATTCTTGTTCCGCCTATTTGAACTTGGAAGTCTTCTCCTCTCATTTTCTAACCAATGGCTCCCACAATCACAATGAAGTTCCCTAATTTTTACTAATCTGTTGAAACTCAACTTACCAAATGTCTGTTGCTGGCTGTTATCCATTGTCCAAGTGGCAATCTTTCTTTGTTAGAAGATTTTAGGTGTTTTTGCAACTTCTAGTCTTTTTGCCATTTTTAGAGTAGAAATATATTAAAAGTAGGAGAATCTAAAGGTGCGGGTCTGTTCTATGAAAAAGCGTTTGGGCATAAAAATTGTGTACACTGTGTTTTTGATGATTGATGATTGCTGGAAGTTCTTGGTTAACTTTAGTCATGTTTCTGGTTTTTCTGAAAACCTTACATCCATCATTGCTCAAATTTATATCCCTTATCTTGTGCTTTTCACTCCGTAAAAACCACTTCATGTTTGGTTCTGCTTAGATGGAAGTGTGTGGAGATTTGGAGTGATGGGTTTACCTTTAAACATTGGAGTCATATCTTTGGTTGGAACTATTGTTTTCTCTTAATGTATATTTGGTTTTTACTATAGCAGCTTTTCTTTGTTGGGTTTTACATATGTTGTATTTTTAGAGCATGCTTTTGAATAAGAATAAAAAAATGTGCCTTCTGTTCACTGGCTTCTTTGCCGATCTTATTCTTTTAACCATTCCCCTAGAATTTGAGCTCGCTGTAGCTTGACATGATTGCAATTCATGTTCTGTATTAATGTTAACTTTGGTTTAGGTTAAAGGGCTCTCAGGAGAAGAGCTTGCTGCTCGTAATGATCTGGTGCTCGCATTACCTGATCGGATTCAATCCATTCCTGATGGCTCTGCTCCTGCACCCAAGCAATCTGGAGGTTGGGGGGGCCTCGGGGGGCCTTCAGCTTCTCGGACAGAAATTAAATTTGATTCAGGTTTTTTCCTGAGACATATTTATAGACTATTATTTGTCTTCTCCTAGAACTGTCTACCAAAAATATGACCTACTTAACTTAATCTTTGCTACTTGAATTACAGATGGGCGTTTTGACAGTGAATTTTATCAACAAACTGATGAGTCAAATAACTTCAGACAAGAATACGAAATGCGCAAAATGAGGCAGGCATGTATTTCTTGGAACTTTGGATCAAGAATTGTTGATTGTAGTATAGCTGGCATAACTCCTTTATTTCCTTATTCATGTAGGACCAAGGCTTGGATGTCATAGCAGAAGGTTTAGATACATTGAAGAACATGGCCCAAGATATGAATGAGGTGAGCTGCTTGCATGCTTGTTTTTGTTTGTTTAAAATAAATCTAAATGGAACTTGATTTCTTTTATTTTCCAATTTCTGCAGGAAATTGATAGGCAAGTTCCTTTAATGGATGAGATTGACACCAAGGTAGGGTTTCTTTTCCTCTTTCCCCGCCAATTTCCTTAAGGAGGAATGCCTTGAGGACTTCTAGTCATCCTTTTCCTATTCTCGCAGGTAGACAAAGCAACATCTGACCTCAAGAATACAAATGTCAGGCTTAAGCACACTGTTAATCAGGTGGTTTGAATTCCATTTACACATTAATTTGTCTTTTATTATTATTTTTTTCCCCTGCTCTTCTACTCTGTTGCATGTTTCTGACAGTGCGTTGAATTCGTTTCAGCTGAGATCTAGTCGGAATTTCTGCATTGATATCATTTTGTTGTGCATAATTTTGGGAATTGCAGCATACTTGTACAAGTAAGTCTTTTAGTGTAAAGCTTATAAAGGTTTAATTACTGCATCCGCTCCCCATTTATTTCCTGGATGAAGCTTATTTGGCTTTTACTACTGTCTTGGCTCTTATGTTTCCGAGGAAGATGAACCAGTATCAATTCCTTCTATGATTCAAAAGTGAAAACTCCTGCCTGGAGTAAATTTCTTTGATTAAGACAGTTTCTCATTTGGATGCTAACCTTGGAACTTGGTTTGTTTATTTGCAGTGTTCTAAAGAAGTGAGGGGATTGAAAAGTTATTGGACATATTTGCTTTATGTTGGTCTTTGGTGGTCCTTTGACCGCCATCTTCTGGTGGAGCTGGTAGTTGTTCAGTTGTGTCATTGATTTCTCTGGTTGTGAATGTATTGTGTTGCCTGTATTAATTATTCTTCTTCTTTTGTTTGGACAATCAAGGGCTCTAATCATAATATTTTTATTTTTTTTTTAAATTTCGTGTCAATTTTATTTATGATTTGCATAATGTTACACGACTCTTACCAGTATAGAAATACACTATTTATACTGTTTTAAGAGAATTTTTGCGATTTCTCCTCGCTGCCAGATTAAGTGTTGGCACATTCGAATTTTGTTTTGATGGAATGCAACAGATTAGAGACATGGAATGTATGTCCCCTTGGACATCAGACATGCTAGGGCAGAAATGACTTCGCCGGAAGAATGTATTTCCCCTTGTATCCCTTTAACGGAATCTGAGAATGAGATAGTCGAATATCCACCATATTTGAATTGCTACGACCTCAGCGAAAACACAATCATTTGCAATTAAAGGATCGACCCGAAAATAGCAGTGGCTTACAATGAGAGGATCTTAATCGGAGAAACATGGAACTCTAGCTGAAAAAAGCCAGAAGGGCTGAGGGTATGTTTGTTTGTTATTTTAGTGCGTGTTTTTAGGTATTTTTTGTATTGAGAATGTGAAAAGGTGTATTGAAAATGTAAAAAGGTATTATGGGATGGGAAAGTTATTCTTATTTAATTCTGAAAAAACCAACTAAAAAATAAAACAAACAAAGCCTGAGAGTTTTAAGTGGGATCACCGTCTGGGTTCTTGAGTTTTAAGTGGGATCACCGTCTGGGCCTAAGAAGAACAAAGATAATCTCGAAATGAAAGGTGCTATATAATCATATTTTCCTAGTTCGATGATTCAATTTACATCACGTATTAAATGAAAAGATTGATGTATACAATCATGATTTACATTTCCTACTTAGAGCGAAGAAGCATAAAATCTTTTAGCAAATTCTTCAAGACAGTCACACACAATGCCACACAAAGCTAAGCCAAACTTGATAAAAGATCACAAATAAGCTGGCTACTACTGAAACAAATAATCAGCTGGGGTATATACTTCAAACTTCGAACCCCTAACGGCACCTATCATGGAAATGCCCAAGTCCAACTGTATAAATCTGGAGACATGAGCAATTGATCCAAAGGGGAGATGGAATCATTCTTGTCCACTTGTCTTGTACTGCAAGAGACGGCGCCATTGGTATCGTTGCTTTCAGACTGCTGTGGAACAACAACAACAATACTACTCTTACTATCCTTTTCCACTTCTTCGGGGCCAACTGGATTCTTCTTGTAGATGTTTCCGACACCAATGTCTTGGCTGTTTCCATCTATTGTTGTTGAAGTGTTCGAAACTAATGTCCTCGTCATCTCAATCAAACCATGATAATCTTCTATGTTGAAGTTATCTTCGCAAACCGACGAAGTTGCCTTTATCCCTTCAAAACTTATGTTAGATACCGCGGCGGCGCTGTACATGCCAGGGTTATCTGTAGAAATCTTCTTGTCCTCAAATCTCAAAGAAGATACATCAGCAACATTAATATTCGAGCACGGGTTCTGGAAATCCATTAGAAATGGTAGGGTTGGAAAATCGCTCAACGTTACCGTTCGTTCTTCTCCTAGTTTCTTCGAGCATTGCTTCCCCAATCTTGTACAAGCCTGAGCTGGTTCTCTACTAATTAGGCCATTTCTATCTTCCGATAATGGACATGGGGCGCCTGTTTTTCGCCATACTCGACAAAGTACCCAGTCATCCAACTGCCATTTTCCACAAAGTGACGAACACATATTAATACCGACAAGTCCTAATTATAAATAAGTCACAAATGTGAACTAATGTTAGTGTGAACTAATGTTAGTGTTACTTTGTACTCCCTTAAACTAAAAGTGAAAACCAAAACTGGATATTAATTTTGGGACGGAGGAAGCACTTTATAATTAGGACCAAAGGGAGTACATGTTAACACTGACAAGTGCAACCCGATGCAAAAACAAGTACTGCAACCTATATAGCTAAAAGATAGTACATGTTAAAAAGGATGCTTACTCTTGTAGTTTTGGGTTTGATGGAAGAAGTGGTAGTTTGGGTTGATTCAGGTAAACGGTACTCCTGCATGAGCCAGTGGGTCTTGTTTCCTTTGGGGGGTCGTCCTAGGTAGAAGACTAATGCTTTCTTGAGTCCAATAACTTTTGAACTGTAGGAGGATATTATTGGCTTGTCCGTTCCAGTAGCCTTCCAGTAACCTGAGCTTGTCATCCGATTCGGCCTCATCCCATTCGGGTATTTCCTTTCCCTCGGTGTGAAAAAGTACCATTCCTCCTCCTCTGTGTATGAAGATGCTTTCACTGCATACACAAAACCTAAAAACATCACAATAAAAGTCTACATAACTGAAAGTTGGAAAAAAAAGAAATGAAATGAAGCTAACTTGGTAGATCCCAAGGGTTAAACTTATAAAGTTCAACTTCAGCGAAAATAGCAGCCGGGATCGGTTGGTTGCTGGTTTTCTTACTCAAGTAGTGCACGATCAGTTCTTCATCTGAGGGGTGAAATCGGAATCCGGGTGGGAGATGAATCTGATCATGATCATGATCATCTACATGAGGTTTCATAACCTTTTCTTTCTCCATATCTTTCTGGTAGCGAAGAACTACAAATTACTAGCTAATAATTTTTGTCAATGTTAATCAAAACCACCTTTTCTGCATAATATTAATACCATTACAGAAGGGAAGCAGCTAGCATATTATGCATATATGCGCCTTCAATATAAATGCCAATTGCATGAAACTTGACAAAGGGAAGCCGTCAAATTTTTGTCTTGCTAATAAAAACCTAAGTCAAGCTAAATTCTTACGCGTTGGATATTGAAAACGATTAACCTGGATTTATATTGTTGTCGTAGCTAGACCTCCTAAATGAACAAAAGGAATTAAGTTGGAGACATAGAGGATCCATTTGTCATTAACTTATGAGCAAAATTTATTGTCATTTACCTTAAACTGTAATGATACCCGAATTAATATTTATGCTAGCTTTACACTTGAAACGATCCAAAAGACGGGGGAATTAACGTCCCAAGCAAACCGTGGTGCGGAGGCCAACATGAATCTTTGTCGTTGCTCATCAGGATATTTTGTGTTAAAACGAAGACTGAAAACAAATTGAGTTTGAAGAAAACGCTTAGCGGTAGTATATTACTAGGGAAACTGTGTATTGAAATGTTGTTCTAACTTCATTCGATTTTTGAAGTTCTTTATATGTACATTTGAGGGGTTATGAGCAAAGTAGTATGCATATATCAAAATGTCGGACTAATTCCTATTTGAGTCTTGAATAAATCCTCTTGAGGGGAATGCAAGCGTCTCTCTCCTTTTTTTTTTTTTTTCTTTCTTTTTCTATCCTTAACTAGGGTTTTTGAATTGGAGACGTTTTCTTAAAGATGCAAGCTTAAAGAAGGTTTTGTTATTTTTAATATATCGTACATTATTTACTGCTTGCCGTATATGTGAATGAGGAATGCTGAATTTGCATCAAAATGTTAATCTCATATATGCTCTTTACAGTTGATGCCTTGAAATCTTTATATTAGGTGAAAATAAATTCCAATGCGACGAGAAGATATCATTAGTTAGTTTTGTATGGTTAAATTGGTTATTCCCGCGAAGAGAAAGCTCATCATGAAAGTCAACGCGTTAAGACAAGAGAGGTTTTGGGAGTCGCCTAATTCAACACAAGGATGTTTTAGACGTCATTTTGGTGGAAATTAAGGACTTTTGCATTCTTTGTAGAAAAAGAAAAGGACCCCATTTGGCATTTTTCAATCTTTCAGCGCCTAGCTAGTTGATAGATTTTGTCTCACCCATGACATGATCGTACCACGGGTTGCTTTCCTTTCTACTTTCACTCAATATTACCTATGACAAAGTAGAGTTTAATGATTCGCTGATAACACGAATCATATCGACAAAGGAGACTAAAATTTACGAGAGATTATAACTAAACATCACTAGCAATAACTATATAACTATGGGTTAGTAAAGGTTTGAGACATTATATATATTTAAAATGCAGTGGCGGAACCGGCTACTCAGACTTAAAGGGGCTGATTATATATACATAATGAAGATTGATGGTCATATATATATATGACGTTAGGTAAACTGTAACTACTCTTATGGGGTTTTCCGGCAGGCCAGAGGGGCTCGGTACCCCTGAGCCCCTTAAGAGTTCCGCCCCTATTTAAATGTGTAGTGTCTTTTACTTTGTTGTGATGTTAGATATATATGGGTTAACAAACTCGATCCTTTACGTACACATTTTCGCTACTTTCGTTTGAGAGTCCATTAATTGTAACCTTGTTGCTACTTCAAATTAAACGTTTACCTCCTTTTTGTTAATTAGCAAAAAAAAAAAAAAAAGAAGGAAAGAAAGAAAGTGATTAAGCCAACAAACTGTTCCATATATGCATGGCCTTGCGAGTTACGAACAAAGATGTGTTAATCATGTACCCGTGTAAAACATGTAGTCCATCTAATTCTAAACCGTAAATTGTAAAATACGTCTGTTCCTTCACTTTCCCACCAAAAAAAAAAAAGAAAAAGAAAAAAAAATTCTTTTTGCATAATAAAATTTTTAAAAATCTCAATCCTTATCTCTTTGTGATTGTGGGCCATGTTACTATTTCTAGTTTTTGATTTTCTCTTTTTTTTTAATAAAAAAGATTTATATATTTTAAAATTTTGGGTTAACAAACCAGGTTGTTCAATGAAAACTTGAAAATTCAAGTAATTAAGGAGACTAAGCTCACTCCAACTGTGCTCCCAACTATAGTCATTCTGCACTCTAAAGGTACGTATGACCTCGTAGGCGTAGAAATGCATTGAGTGAGTACGAGCATTTAGATTTTTCTTTATATATATAAAAAAAAAATTAGATAGTCTCAGCGAAAATTGAACATTTGACCTGGTAATAACCAGCATCCATCTCAATCCCTTAAGCACCCCATCCAACCCTCCCAACCCAGCATTTAGATTTTACTGAAATTGGCTTAAAACCATGCACAGTCCTCAATTTAGTAGGTAATTCATACTCCCTCATTCCCAAAAAATAGTCCATATTGAGTTTTGAATTTTGTACTAATTTTAAACAAATTTAAAAATTCAATATGGACTATTTTATGAGACAGAGATAATAAATTTTTAGTGCTACAGATTGGAATCATTTTTAATGTCATGACTCTTACTAATATAAACGTTACCACTCTAAAAATTAATGTATAATTAGTCAGAAAATTTTAAACATTCGATCAAGATAATAATTCTGATTGTTTGCATGTTTCCTTTTCCTCCTCCTAACAAATTCCTGCAGATAGATAGATGAAATGAGTTGCTCAATATATGAACGGTAGGTAGTCAACAAATTAAAATTAACACATAAATAAACTTTTCTACTACGTCTAAAGAAAAAATAAATAAATTGCGCCACAAAAAGGAAGAAATGCGATTTCGGCAATAAGATTTAGAAATGCGTGGGGGTTATGAATTGCATTGGATCCCTTTCGTAAACTAGACAGCCTCATGTGTTATTATTCCCAAAAACATGGAATTGTTTGCCCTGTCCTAACGTGCATCTTCTTACTCCCCTTTTTCCTTCTCTCTTTGTTTTTTCTTTTTTTGTTTTTGCCCAAATAATTTATACACTATATATGGAGTATTTCTCGTTACCAACTACAAGAAGAATGTATGGAAGATATGGATATATTTCAATTTTTTATGGTTTGGAATAGATAGGATGAAACTTTTAAACCATTTTTGCTTACATTTACTATATAATATACTTATTATTGATCTCATCAAATGAAATGAAATGATATATTAATATTGTTTATTGTAATGATCTACTAACTCCAGGAGATCAAATTAAATTAATCCTTGTCGCAGATACAATAGCAGCACATCACATGCATTTCTGCATGTGGGATTCTTCTTTTTTTTTTTTTTTCTTTTGATTTGTTTAATTTGGTGGATGATCTCATTTTCTTTACAAAAAAAATAAAATAATAAAAACTGGTTGTTTGATTAGAAAAACACGAAATTATCAGCAGTCCGTGATAGATGGGAACAGAATTAAGAAAGGAGAATGGTAAAGATTATTAAAGAAATTAAAGCAAATGCACACTATTTGAAGCAATCCATATAATTCACTCAATCTAATTAATTAACTACAAATATATAGTTAAAAATACTTTTGATATGGAGAGGTCAGGTAACCTTGAAAAATGTCACATTTGGTAACGCGTTTTACGGAGAAGGACTTCCCAACTAAAAATTCTCATCATGAATATAAAATCACCAATAGAGTATTTGAGTTTTTCTCATTCCAACAAAACCATATCTAGCAAATTATAAAGAAATTAATTAGTAGTACTGTATATTATGTATGAGCCTACTAAGTTTACCTTGGGGAGATAAAGTAGGAATCTATGCAACGGATGGATGCGAGTGATGTCGTATGTGGTCGGACACCTCTCCTCATCATATTATAATAACCTAATCTAATCTTCCCTAGGAATTAAGGACTTTATTAAACTTATTAGGAATACCAATAATCATACCAAAAGGTAATGATTTTCTTAGTTTACATCCCTAGGTTTTGCATGTACGTGTTTGTGACAAAACACTCATAATCTTTAGGTGAAAGCTAAAGTAAGACATACTATTGTTTCTCATAAAAAATACGATAAAACTTTACACATTTCTCTATATTTTGATTTCTAGTTCTATTA